TAAGAGAATAGCGCCGTACGCAGTTTGGCGGCTTCGAGGCCCGCATTTGGACTGTTCAGCTGACTTTCAACCATAGTCATGATCTCTGTAGTGCGGCTGGTTGAGGCTTGGCTCCTGGACAGTAGATTGAGGATCTTCGTTTGAAGCTTGGGCTTTGATTTCTTGTACAAGGCGAAAAGCGCGTCAACATTGGTTTCAGCCTCGAGGTCAAAATTTGATTGTTTGAAGATGGTATCACTCATACTTGTAGCCGAGGCGTTCGCATCCACAGCCATAATGACTGCAGGGATGAGACGTTGTTGATCTGTGAAGACTGCACTAAAGATGAACCTTGCCAATGGGAGGATGACCTCAGAGCGACGTCTGAAGTTCTTTTCGAAGATTGGCTTGACATCTTCATCATAGGCTTGACTAGTGTCTTTGGGGTCAAACAGCAGAAAGTCGCAGATCCTGCCAGCTAGAAGCTCGACTTGTACAGTATCCAACGAGAATTTGTCCCTCAAAGCGAGATCTGCTGGACTTTCACGTTCAGGCAACTTCCACTGTCGCAAAACTTCGAGTACGAAGTCAAAGGCTATTGCCCACAATTTTCGATCCGTGTTGTCATACCCTTGGGCCTTGGGAATGGCGAATTGAAGGAATTCGGGCAGACTAGCGATGGCTTCGGCAGTCTCCAGTCGCGGTAGACCTTGTTCGATGAATATGAGACAGAACCTCCGTACGAATGCATTGTCGGCTCCACGAAACGTCTTGACCAACCCCTCTATCGGGAGCTTGATGCTTTGACCGATTTTGACGCGTTGATTGACATATTGGGCAACCTTGATGGTAAGATTTCTGTTTCTTTCCGTGGGTGAAGCTAGTTTGAGTAAGAGCGCTGGGAGAAACTTGAGAAGAATGGCTTCGAGCTTTTCGTCAGAAGGCGCCGAGGCGATTCGTAGTTCGAGTTGTGATATCAGATTGTACTCTCTCTCCGCGTCATTCGGGACAGCTGCTTTTGGTACCGCAGACGCCATGATTGAGAACGGGACAATTTCTTAGATGTTTGCAGATCTCATTCTCGAACGTGAGTGCTTGCTAGTCAGATGGTTGGTGTGCTTTGTCAAAATGCTTGGACGAACACTAGGCTCAGTAACGAAAATAAATATTCGGGCAGAAATGTTGGTAGGGTGGTGAGCCAGACAGCTCTTTGTGCTATAGCAGTGACAAGTAGCTCCAACGCTATGCAAGGTCTAGGATAATATCTATGTGACTTGAGGAGGCAACATATGGTGGTCGTCATCAATCCGATGGCCTCAAGAGTTCTAGGACTATCTTTCGTCGCCACGTCCTCTAGCGGCAGCCTTACAAAGCGGCGAGACTGCCAAGCTTTAAAATTATTGGCTCACGCATCTCGAAGGCTGACAAGGCTGAGTTTTGAAGGCTATCCCATGAGTCGTCAGGTGGTGACGTTTTGTCTTGGCACCACCCCAACTAAATTGCGATCGATGTATTTTATAGTATATCAAGTAATTCAAATGCATGCCACTACCTAATTACTATAGATCATTACATGAAACTTCTCATGGCAGTTATTCCGTCTACATAGATGCACCTGACACAGTTCGCAGCCAAATTGAGTGCGTTTTGATGATTTCCGAGCCCTTTTTCGTACGGCATTCCCATCGACGACACCAAGTGGTTTACTGGTTTTACCACGTGTAACAGCAACACCACTCTCGCAATTATCGCCATTTGGACCTCTCCAGGCGCAAAAGCCTCGGTTTGGCATTACCGTAGAGGTGTGATTTAGGTGGTAGCGAGTCTTTGCGGGTGTAGGCGGAGGAGACGGTTTTGGCTCCTGTAACGCAAATATCTGTGAAATGAGCTCCTCACGAAAGGCCCTATGGGAATCGCGTGCTATCAGTGCATCAGGAGGATGGTAGGACCGCCAGATTAGGTAGGAATTTGTTAGGCAAGTGTCCAAGAGTTAATAAGCGAGTGGTCTCCAAGTCCTCCTTTCCCCTTGTCGCTGGACCGTAAAACTAGCACGCAATTGATCGGCCACATCGATGAGGTTATGATTCCTGTTATACCAGTCAATTGCGCGTAGGATTGGCAACTCTTTAGTAGGTTCATTGCCAAAAACGCCGCGCGCAACGATGTTGTTGTACGGCCTCTTGCGGCGCTTAACGATATAGTCCTCAGGGACTTCCTGGATAGTGAGAGCCGTCGAAATGCCTATTACTGCGGCGTTATCCTACCATAGGAAACATAAAGCAAGTCCGATAACCTCTGTGGCGCAAGATCCGTAAGAAAATTAAGTGTCAGAGAGCTTTGCGTCAATAAATCGTTGAGGGAAATCCTTATGATTTTTGCGTGTTGTGCCCATTACTCCTACACCAATAACCAAAAGCGTATGCGCCAGTACCAGTATTAGGAATAAATTATTAAGGAATACTAGGCGTTTTACACCTATTTCATTAGTTTGTAGTTCCTAACAAAGGTCCTAAACCACGAGATATGTCGCCGCAAGTATAACTAGCACCATTGGCACTAGTTAATACACCACTCTTAACCCTTTGCCAATGCCTTCCGGTCCCGTAATGCGTGAGTGCCATCGCTAGGAGTATACGTAACCCTGCTATAATGCAAGGACCCAAACCTTATAGCCTTTAGGCGTGGGCTTTGATGGAAGATTCACCGAGTCTTTAGTGCGTCCAGCATAACTAGCTATTGCCTTGTCAATAGCGATCCAAGTTGACGCTTTAACCGCATTTTGGTAGTTGCGACGAATTGAACTAGCGATTGGTTCAACGCGATTAAAAGGGGCCTCATTTTGGTGGCGTGGTTGAGAGTTAAAGGTCAGGAATCGATGAATTTGATCCCATCGAGTTTCCTTCATTATTTGATTAATTTGATGTGTATTTCCAAGCTCTAAGCGCTCCTAGTATGCCTTTCGGTTTAATTCAGTGTGATTTGCCATATAAAAGAGCCCTCCGAGCCAGTGGAGGAGCTCAATAGGTTGAAGTGTTGTCCAAGGTCGAGAAGTTTCATTAGATTTTGCGGCGGACCTCGACTTTTCCGCATCGACATTGGTCGCCGCGCACACCACTGAAAGAGTCTCAAACCCACCAAAAAAGTACATAAATAGACTCAGTGAATCTCGAGCTTCAATTAGCACTTTATACGACTCATTATCGACGCGAATTGGTGGAGTAAATAACGCGTAAGGTTCATTGGCCAATTCATAAATTACTGGTGAAGCATGTGGGCTTGCGGCACGAGTTTCGAGCACTTGGACATCGTTTTTTTTGCTTTTTTTTGCAGTAGCAGATAAAGGAAGAGTTTCTCGTTCTTCCCAGGGTATTTTTTTGATAGGAATCCTACCAAAACGCGTTGGTTGGGTCATCTTTAAATGCTTTGTTTACCTCGAAGTATAAAACGCGTTTTAGGTTGGGGTGGTGCCAAGACAAAACGTCACTACCTGACGACTCATGGGATAAGAATTACCTGTGGCATGAAGTTTACGGTGGCACACTTGGGGCACGTTGTCGAAATGAGGGCATAAGAAAGTCGGACTTCTCTAGCAAATGGCAAGCTGAAGGAACGATTCACATCAAGGGTCGAGTTGAGATAAGTCACGAGCAGCCAAAAATTCACCACGAAGATTGTGATGGTATCCAACCATCGAGTATCACTTGAGCAGCAATGTGATCGGATAGTTGCAGTGCAGCGTCCTTGGAGGCCTTAAATTTCGTGAAGTTCGATGCATGGGACAATAGGTTGCGAGATCCATAACAGGTGCCTGAAATGTGTGTAATCAGAACTTCCAAGATTGATCAGAGAAGATTGTCTGTGACTATTTCTCGAAGTTGCAATTCGAATAGAATCGTAAACATCGATTTGGATTTTGAAACTCTTTGTATCAATGGCCGCCGGTTCGACCAGTTCCAGAATCGCACCTGCGCCGAATCTGCAGTCTGCACATGTGGCAGAATCTAGTCGCACCTGCATATGCAGTGTGCAACAGGAGTATCTCTCATTTTTCTGTTCACCTTCCTTGTTGATTGTTGAGTTTGCAAGCGCTCAATCGCGAGCCGAGTTCACCCAGAAAATAAACGACACAATTCCCGCATCCACTTTATCTCAATCTTCTGGCTTCTCTTTCGGACTCGAGTAAGCAGAGAATATCGTCAACTTTCACTGTAAAATTTGAGAATATCCATTAGCCAATGTCCTTCCATCATGTGCTGCATATTTCATCTGGAATACTGTCTCATACCTGGGCCCTTGACGTTTCGGATAATGCTTCGGCTCGTGTCGTCCATGAATTCGACTCTAACTTGTGTGACACCACCTCGAGAACCTAGAAAGTTTCCGTGTCAACCTCCATCCAGATGTCTGTCTAACATCGTTGTGGGTGCAATTTACCTGTTCGGCCGAGGACTCGGGTGACCTTGACGAGCTTGACGGGAACCTTTCCAGCATCCATCTTGGCGGATTTGCTTGTGAAGAGGGATTATGAAGGGTTGATATCGGACGGAGGGGTTGCGAGAGTGTGTAAGTGGTTGAACGGCTTCAATGTTGCTGATCAAAGTCTGAGGCCGCAGTTTGAAGGTGTTGTGGGATTCTGAAAATGTTGCCGCGAATGCCAAGATTCACCCGGACTAATCCAAAAATGGACTAGTCGATATGCTTCTCCCAAGTGACTCAATAGTGAGTGATGGCAGCGAGGTGAGAACAGCTTCTTAGTGACTTACTGCAAGAGTGAGTTGTGCATTGATTATTTCATAGAGTGCTCTACTCACATCGCACCTTCAAGTTAATCCTATTTCACCACGGTTGTCCAGAGCTGAGTATCACCGTGCTACAGTCCTGCTGTTTGATTCGTTGACACCCATTTTCGTTTGCTGTGCCCTCACGAAAAAAATCTCCGAATATAAAAAGGCTGAGAACTCGACTGTCAGGGGAAACCCTACTACTCGGGACCATTTGAGAGAGATACTACATCCACCACAATGGATCTAGTAAACCACCTATCCGATCGGCTGCTATTTGCAGTTCCAAAGAAAGGACGACTGCAATCAGCAACGCTCGATCTTCTATCAGGATCCGACGTTCAGTTTCGCAGGGAAACGCGGTTAGATATTGCTCTGGTCAAGAACTTGCCACTGGCTCTTATCTTCCTACCGGCAGCAGATATACCCACGTTCGTTGGTGAAGGACGAGTCGACTTGGGAATTACAGGCAGAGATCAAGTTGCAGAGCACGATGCCCACCTGCCACTTGGAGAGCAATCTGGAGTTGTAGAAGTTATGGATCTAGGGTTTGGAGCATGCAAGCTACAGGTTCAGGTTCCTGAGAAGGGTCCACTTCAAGATGTCAAGGACCTAGTTGGCAAGAATATTGTCACTAGTTTCACAGGTCTCGCAGAGGACTATTTTTCTCGACTCGAAGGCAGAGGAAGTCGCAAGGAAAGTATCAGCGGAGCAGACAGCCCAATCCCCAAGTTGAATACCAAGATCAAGTTCGTTGGCGGAAGTGTCGAAGCAGCATGTGCACTGGGCGTTGCGGATGGGATTATTGATCTGGTAGAATCGGGCGAAACCATGAGAGCCGCCGGTTTAAAAGCAATCGATACCGTGGTGGAGAGCACCGCTGTACTGATCAAATCAAAATCAGTTTCCAACGACAAACTCGCCAATCTGATTGAAGCAAGAATACGGGGCGTCATCGCTGCACAAAGATACGTCCTCTGCCAGTACAATGTACCACGAGAGAAACTCTCAGGAGCAACAAAGATCACACCAGGAAGGAGAGCACCTACGATAACGGCGTTGGAGGAACCGGACTGGGTGGCCGTCAGTGCAATGGTGGAGAAAAAGAAGATCGCCACTGTCATGGATGATCTTACGGGCGTGGGTGCTACAGATATATTGGTGCTGGATATTGCAAACTCGAGGACGGGCTAGTTGCCTATCTTGAGGACTTGAAGATGTTTTACGGTGTGCTGAACGAGTCGCAAAAGCCATATGATACAGATGAGGATCGCATGCAAGGGGTTGTTGAGGAAGGGGGAGTTCTAAAAGGATCTGGACCGCGACTAAGATGCGGTGTGATAGATTGGATAAATCGTGCTTGTGTTTTTGCTTTCAGAGCTACAGAGGCCTGCCGAAAGTTTGAATCGTACATATTTAGTGGTAGCTGCAATCTAGAATATTGCTTATGCAGCAGTGATCCCTTCAGTCCTTGTTATACTGTTGGGGTCGAGATACGGAGCCTCGCCAATACCCACAGCTCTGTTCCCAAAGCGCTCTCCTAGCCCGTCGTAGTCAAAGGTTGCGGAGTGGAAAACACTTCTGTTGTCCCAGATAGCTGTTGAATTTACTCAGTGTTAGCGACATATTTCTGACACGACCCTCGGGAAAAGGTTCTGCATGGGGGAAAACAAAACCCACCGATATCATTCTTGTTCCTCCACTTGAATCGCACCTGCAAGTCATGATTCGCGATAATCGTATCGTGGAGCTTCTTCAGAATCTCCTCGCTCTCATCGGCATGCACCTCGTTGATATACTTCGGAAACGGGCCAATGGCGAAGATACTCTTCCAGCCGGTGACGGGATTCGTGCGCACAACAGGGTGCACAGCCGAGAGCTTCTGGCCGATATTCTGCGGCGAGCCGCGCTCATCAGTGTACAGGGTGGCGCGGCCGGCCTCGGCGGCCTTGATGAAGCCATCGCCTACAAACGTGGCGGTCAAGCCCTCGAGGAACGTCTGTATGGGCTTGCTGAAGCGCTCGTAGATCTCGTACCCGGACGCCCACAGCGTGTCGCCGCCGGTCTTGGGCAGCTCGACGAGCCGCAAGCTCGTGTAGTCGGCAGGGACGGGCTCGAACTGGATGTCGCTGTGCCACTGCGCCGCGTCGTAGCGCCGCTTGTCCTTCTGCTCGTTGATCGCGAACAGCTTCTTGCGCCCCACCGACGAAATGTTGCTGATTTGCGGGTCGTCGCCGAACTCGCCCGACCCGTTGAGCACCGGGTGGATGTGCAGTGTCGACGTCGACGGCTTGCCGGTGAGTTCGCCCAGGCGTTGGATGAATTGCTTTTGAAGCGTGTTGGTTAGGTTGTCCTGTGCGCGGAAGAAGACGACGCCGCGTTCACTGACTGATTCATGATTGTTGGTTGGTTTGTCGCCTGTGCTGGGAGAGGACTGGAGACTTACTTGTAATGGCTAGATCTCTCAGAAGAGTGTCTGCGTCGGCGGCATTTAGGAGGTCGTCAACGATGTTGGCGGTTGGAAATTCTCGACCGATGACAGGGGTGACATCTTCCGAGTCGAACTTGTCTAAAGAACCACTCTGCTTCAGCGGTTTTGGATAAGCAGACTGCTCCTTGGATTTGGAGCCTCCGTTGAGGATGGGGATGCTTTCAGCGATAGAGCCCATTTTGTGGTATCCACGATAGATCGTACTTCGAAATGGTGATTCTGTTCAACTCAAAAACTCATTCTTGACTTTTGACATGGGGTGGTATATGTATATGTGTATTGATCTCTGGACGTCAGCACTCCTCAAGCGTCGATTGCTCGACATTGGTCCAGATTGCCGGGTGATCACGCAATTACCCCGAGGAATGGCAAGATCGTCGTGTGTTATCACGACTTTTTTCGTTTTGCGTTATCTCAGTATTGGATAATACCATCGTGAAATATCGTCCTGCGTGAATGAACATGTGCTCACTCGTGAAAGAGATGGGTCAGAAGTATCCTGGGAGTCTTCGAATGATCTAGTGGAGTGTAAGAGGCGCGTGACCAGTAGTGCACTGAAGGCTTGAGAGACTGCAACATCTCGATAGCCTATGAGCACTGCGAACCCTCCTTTGGCGAAATGTACCAATAACACACTTACTGTAACTTGGCTGGGGATGGTTCAGATGCTGAACAGGTTAGTTCTCAGCCTGCGTAGGCAGGCTGCACCAGATCTGCAGTTCCTGTTCAGGCATCAACGCTGTGGTATCAAGCCGCTCGACATGCGTCGTTGGTGCCGAAACTCCGCTTCCAAGTCGCATCGCATCAAGAAGACGTGGTCATCATAGTCAAGAAGCAGCGTTCTTGAGATGGCCGTACAGCTTTGAATCACGATGGATAGCCCCGCGCGTGCGTCAAAGGGAGGCTGAGGCTGTCAGGTCAACTGTCGATATACATCTCAAGCATAATCGAAAAATAGCATTAGGGGACTCTAGTGAGAAAATCTCTATAGCTTGGCCACCAGATTTCCTCAACAAGCACAAACCAAAACATCGGTGCCTGATGCTAATCATCCCACCTAGATAATTAAAGCCTGTAGTTCGTATGACAGGCATCGGGATTGGAACAACAAACACGACGATTCGGGGCCAAGGGGCCTAACGCAGATCGCCAGAGAAGCCCCCGCGGCTGGTGGGTTAGCGATACGCACGGAAACGGGCGAAGCCACTTTTGCTTGCCCACAGCGTGCGCAGCACTGTTACAGAGTAGTGTTTACGAGCATTACGACCAATGCACAGGTCCCCCTAGTGGGTGGTGTCGGCTGGGCATGGTTGATTTACAGACCCGCTGGAACCCGAGAACCTCAGGTAAGGATGTGAGAGATTGATCTGATACAATTAATTATAAACTGTCCGATGCTCGATGGTGAGGAATGCACTCCTGATTTTCAGAACTATCCATTGCACTCACAACCCAAAACAACCTGCTTTGTCTTTATTCTTTCAGGAAGCATTTTAGAAAAGTCTTTTTGCGATACGAGCACGATCCGGGCAATCCATCTCATAATCCTTTCATTGTGACGTACTTGTCTGCTTAACTCAGCTTGGGTCTCCGCAATATCCGTGCTCCCACTGCACTTCCAACAACTTTGAACTTCAATCCTCCCACTACGAACTTTCGTCGTAATCGCAGACATTCGATTTCACCTCCGCGGCGAATGTCATCCAGACTGATGCCTGCCAACTCAAGCGCTCATTTCCTGTCCTCGATAAACATCATGCCGTCGAGTAAATCCCCGGCAGTCCACGAACCGCTTCCTCTAAGCGAACCGCTACTCAGCCGATTGGTTGTGGCTCCGATACTGTTTGTGTCCTTCCTGATATCCTTATTCCTGGTGGACCGGAAACACTATGGAAGCATTCTCGCCAATTCCAACACCAAGGACGGCTATTACCACTCACATCAGCGCAAAATGGCGAAGCGAGATATGGACGACGCATTCCAGATGAGACGCAAAGTCATTGCTTTCATGGTCATGCTCAGTGCCATGGCGCTGGCCATTGTGGCCTGGAGTTTTGAATCTCTATGGCGAGGCTGGAGAGCCAGGACTTGGTAAATGACTCAAATTCTCACTGGGCTCCATTCATACAATTTCATGAATGATGGTTGGGGGTTTTAGGTTGAATGATGATCATGATCACTTTTCGGGGGCATCTGTGAGCAAAACATTAGCAATTTGGTCAAATCTTTGAGCGCATATATATGATTGTTGAAATACAGGGGGATGTGGCAGGACTGATGTATCAACACAACATGTAACAAAGTAACAAAATATTGGTTTCGTTAACTCCAAAACTCACCTGGTAGTCTTTCGATTAGGTATTTCCCTCTAGCCACGCTCATGATAGGCACACCGGGGATTTTGCGAATGCGTCTCTTCAAGTCTCTATCGTTGGTTGCAACAATGTAAATCTTGTGGCGCATGATTCGGTCGACGATACAATCATCTGCATATGTTCCTTTGTGCCCACACTGTAGCCGTTCCCATCTCTCGTCTCTTGCTATGCGTAACGCAATTCTGTACTTTTGACCGAGCTTCTCCAACTCGGCCATGACACAATCTGTGATGATAGGAATACATTTGGCGTAGAGACAATCCATCATGGTCGGTAGCATTTCCAACTTCTTCTGGACCGTGTGGGAGAGGAAATTGGTGTCGACCAAGACTTGGTATGGAGGTACTAGAGCGGTGTTGTATTGGAAGAACAGAGCAGATGAGACTTGAGGCCTATAGGCGAGTCAGAACGTGTCGATCTCGACCCTGGTATGTTTTCTTGCTCACGCTTCTCGAATAACATCATCGTCCTTTTTCTTCTTTGGCTCTTCAGATTTGGCGGTTTCCTGATTCTTCTTGAGACGAGCATCACGCTGCCCGATAATCCGCTTGACTTGAGCGAACTTTTTCGTTTTTTTCTGTGTTCCCATCCTTGCGGATAGCAGTGCTGCTCGGAGTCAGTCGCTGAATGCCAGTAGGATCTGAAAGTAAAGCCAGGAAAATTAATTTGAAGCGGGGAAAATCACCTCCGAATCTACCATGTACACCAAGCTGGATGAGGACTAGCTCGGACCGATTCTACGTCGGATCACTGTTCTTCTCCACGCTGGTCTACACTCAATTCGTTTAGGCAGTAGAGAGTCCCCCCCCAGCCACAAATCCTTCCCTGGCATGCCCGGGAGAGTCACCAAAAACTCCCAGAGCCAAATATAACCGCACCCTGAACCACGGTTGGAAGGCCCCGAACCAGAAAACCACAGGCACCAAGCGAGTCAAAACTCGTCACCTTTTCTTCTCTAGCACCACCAATTTTGAACCCTGTTTCTCGACACCTGACTTTGTCCTCCCCCCTTCCAGTTCCATTCAAACCATCTCAACCAACCTATTTCCTGCATAACCACCTTGCAATCTTATCTTCAGTCATTCATTACACGGTACACGGCAACATACATAACATCCGCACACATAATCAACCCGCCACTATTTAACACACCTGTCTCATCATGGTCGCCGCAGCCGCAACCGATTCTGCGTTGCCAACTCTCCCTGGCGGTTACAATTATCCGCCTCCTACCGTTCCTCCTACAGCCGGTGCCCCTTACCTCGCGTCATCAGGACTACCAGAAAACTTTGTCTTTATTGTCGTGGGCGCCGCTCTGGGCTTCATAGCCCTATTGGTTATAGGATGGCAAATCCTAATGTCATGGTCAATTAACCGTCGCTTCAAACGCGATGCGAGTGCGACTGGAACTGGGAATGTTTCCTACACACCCCTACCAGATTTCAAGAAAAACCCGGCTGCGCAGTCCTCACACGATATGGCGGATCTAAGTAAACTCCCCAGGTCGTTTTCAAGCGTTCCCAGCCTATTCTTCTCGCCTACAGCAGAGGTCGCAAAACAAGCTCAACGCCCTCCAAGCAGTCAGCATCATCACCTGCCGGCAGGTCATTATAGAGATGCCTCGGATTCATATCGTCGTTAGATCTGGGAACGTGATCTTTTTCAATTCAAAACACTACCAAACTTGGACATGGTATCACATTTCAACCCTCTTAGTGCGGATGGGTTGGTGGATGGTAGAGGATGAGCACAATGCGGCGCGACTAGGCATGCTCGGCAAAGCAGAGAAACAAACCGGCTTCTGGCATTGTTATTGAAGGGGCAAGATTACCCTACTGTCAAGTGCCATATTCGACTCAAAATCACTACCATACGGGCAAAACTACACAATTAATAATGGGATCTGGATTTAGCGCGGCGTTGGCGTCGATTTATCAGCATCAAGAGGGCGAGAGGAAGAGTGATGAGAGGATTTCGCATCATGGATTAGGAAAATGAATGAATGGCGTTTCTCGTTTGCGGCATGACATTTGCATTTGATGTGCTGACCTTTTGGACATGGGAATCTGTGCAGCATGCGAATTTCAACTCGCCACGTCCACATCTACTGTTTTCCACCGCAAAATGGCATTGGCCGCACAACCAACCACATGTTTACCAACAGGTGTCCATGCAGTTGCTAGCCAAGCAGTATGTGCACCGATACTTTGGTTGTTATACAAAGCCGGAGGGGTGATGGCTGCCAGATACGCTTGGCTGACGTGCTCAAGGCCAAAATAGTTGGTCTTCATACCTGGTCGGGCCGTAGATGATGGTGTTTATAGCACGCAAAACGAAATGTCAATGTTTGCATATACTGACACGACGCACGCTCGCTGGTGTACCAGTACAGGCACTCCGCTGTCACTACTGCAAAAAACTGTCCGCTGCCACTCATACCTGCTTTCTGCCACTAGGAGCCATAGGTACCTACATAGGTACTAGTCATGATTTCTCAGTGGTTCAACGCAGCATTCTCTACAACCTACATACAAAATCCTCGTAGACGATGTGCAAAACCTGCCATACTCCTGAGGTAGACGGTGGCTGTGCCCGCCATCACACGCGGCATTCAAGTTCGGATCCACCAGCCAGCCGATGACATAATAGGTCCGAGTCTCAGGAGAGGACTACCATTCAGAAACATCCGCTCCACCGTATCGAATTCTTCTCGGTGCCTCGACTGCACAAGCTAGGAAAGACTCGAGCTTCGAGTCCGATTCTCCGGAACACCACAGACGATAGATTAAATAGTGCCTATCTAGAGGTGATTCATCCAACCTCACCGCACTCCTCCACCGGCACTGGCAGTGATACCAGAGCGAATCCCACCTACACTAGAGCCAATTCCCTCCCCCCCAAAGCACCTACCTAAAGCAACCATCGAATTTCCTTCATCCGCCATCGAAAAGCAATTCGCCCGTCCATCTGTCCCTCTGTCTTCCTCCCGAAATGGCCACGCCCACCACATACCTCAGCACGGCTCTACTGCGGCGGTCGTGCAGCTCGACCTCGACCGTGACATCGCTGTGCACGCCACGTGTGAGTGCACTGCGGATCGTGCAGCGGCGATGGGCTCGTGTGCATAACGTGCGCTTCGTCACGACGCAGCGCCAGGCCGAGAAGGTGCTCGATCGCTATCGTGAGAAATTGGAGGAGAAGGCCCGACTGTAAGTTTGGATTATTTATACGAGATGGGAATATATATGTGTGACAAGATCAGTTGTGCTGACTGGAGTCTTTGTCGTTGACTATAGGGAAGGACATAGGTCTGTTGACTCGTTGAAGGAGTCGTATAAAGAGAAGATATTGGAGGTGAAGAAGACTGCTACTATTCTGCCTGAGGATGTACCTCCTGCTCCTGCTTCTCAAGCAAGCCCTTCTGCCTTCGCCCAACCTCCGCCTCCTCCACCGGTACCTCAGGATAAACCAGCAGAGAAGAAGCAGTCCTCCTCCAATGCCCCCGGTATCAAGCCTCTATCTTCGTATCTCGATCTGGAAAAGGTCGCAACACTGCAGAATAAGGAGGTGGAATATATATGGAGGCTGCGACATGCCAATGATCCTCTGTCATTGTGCGCAGTCATACCTCTTGAGACCTACGAGCGTATTTATCAGTCCGCGCGTAAACACCCGCAATTTGTCCTTCCCTTACCACGACCGGCAGCCGATGATGGCAGTGGGGATGTGAAACAGTCCGATCAAGGATTTGAAGGTGGTGAGCGTTCGGCTGCTGATATTCATTTCCTCCAGTGGGGTTTTCATCCTCCAGCAGGTCCACCACCTGCACCAGGAGCCAAGTCGTCCAATACACATACGAGTACCGTACTCTTCACTCATTTGGCAGCTTTCAAGCTCCATGGAACATATGCTCAGCCACATACCGCCATCACGCATCATTTGGATCTGGCTGATTCGCATGGTCTGGTCCTCCTGAGTGGATCCGTCACCGAGGGTCGAGGAGTCAGTGTGGAGGAGGGAAGATGGCTGTTGATGTGCCTGCAAAAGTTTTATGACTATGCAGGTCATGGTGGTGGTATCGGACGTGAAAAGCGACAGTCGCTACTGAACAAGTTCAGCTCTGGTGACCAGAGTTTTGATCTAACAGAATTGGTTGATGAGGCCGAAAGAATCTCGTGACCGCTGAAATATTTCGACTTCGATCAGCTCCAGAGTTCATCTTCATCCACAACAATCTCGCCCTTTTTCAGATTGGCCATTCCTTCCAACCCAAGCGCATCCTGGACCAGGAATTCCCAAACCGCATCAAAATAACCGGGCTCCGCGACAGTCGAGTTGTGGTCGCCATTTGGGAACTCCCTCCAGACCTTCTTGGTCGGGCACATATCATACAAGTCCCTCATCATCGAGGAAGGAACAATTTCGTCTCGTCCTCCAGAGAGGAACAGAACAGGAATGCTCTTGTCTTTTACCTTGGCCAGAAGTGCCTCTGAATCCCAACGTTGATGGCAAAATGGAGTGAGGTATTTTGCGGCAGGCATTACAGCAGGAATCATTTTGCGAATGGACAGAAATGTGTTTTCGAGAATGACAGCAGCAATGTCGCCGACCTGCTCGTTGGTTGACAAGAGTTTGACGGCAACTGCACCTCCCAGGCTCTGACCATACAGTATGATATTTGTCTTCCTCAGTTCGTCGTGGTTGCGAACATAATCCAGGGCAGTCTGAGCATCGATTGACAATCCATTCTCATCTGGTGAGCCAGTGGACTTGCCATAACCTCGATACTCCACCATGAATACATGACAGCCCAGACTTTCAGACAAGACCTTTCCTATTGGCAACCGGTGTCCGACATTGCCAGCATTACCATGAAACATGACCAGGGTGACATTTTTCTTCAGCGCTGGAGTGGGAGGACGAAGGAGGTAGGCATGGAGAGTTTGATCGTCGGGCGTAGGAAAAGATATGGACTGAGCATTTTGAAGGCCAAACTGGTCGGGTGTAGGGACTTGGGTTCTTGAACCAGCGGGGATGCTTGCAGGATAGATGATGTCGTTTTGTTTGAAATAGAGAAGACTGCTACCAAGAGCGGCAAGGCCAGAAGTAGCAAGCGCAGGTATACGTAGGTAGGACAGTGCGGTACCCATGGCGTTCATCTTGATAGAAGGGAACAAGAGAAGCGAAGGTGGGGGGCAAGATTAACCATGAACAATATATACAACGAGGGCAAGCAGTGATTGGGACTGTTTGATTGATTAGAACAAAAGATAGGCTGATAAAGGCAGAAGAAGCTCCAGAGGATTTTGGCCGTCGAAGGAAGCCTGCTTGGAAGGCCACAAGTTGCGGAGAGCACGAATACGGAGAGATAGAAGTTACAACAAGGACTCGATTGAACTGCAGTGGAAATGACGAAAGCCACCTCGGGCGCACTTTGGATTCAGCCTTTTGGGGCGGAAGATAGATTGCGAACTTTAGTAGTGGTCTAAGACGAAACAGGTAAGACCCCTCGGGATAGTTTCCATACTGGAACGACCCCAATCTGCCCTGCAGGCGAACTTGAAGGTGCCGTTTGGAGTAGCCAGCAACGCGTTCTCTGGGGTGCCTTTTCAGAGGACTCCATATCTTGACATTGACTGTTGAGCACACACGACCTTCATCACCTCCAACAGTTCAACTCTAGTCTGCCATTCTCCTCAATTTCTTCTGTGTCTCTTGTATCTCTTGGCTGCGGACCAGCTAAGTTTCATCATCGACCTCTCGCCAAACCATCATCCTCCGTCCCTCAAAATGATCAGCGGTCATTCAACAGGCATGCTGGGAGAAGATGGCATACATGTGGACATGAACCACCTGAAGAAGGGAGAAGTCAACCTAGGCACATCGATCATGGCCATCACGTTCAAGGACGGTGTCATTCTCGGAGCGGACAGTCGAACAACCACAGGCGCATACATTGCGAATCGAGTGACGGACAAGCTCACACAAGTGCATGATACTATTTGGTGTTGTCGGTCAGGATCGGCTGCCGACACGCAGGCTGTAGCAGACATTGTACAATATCATCTTGGTCTTTATGGGATCCAAAACAACGAACCACCTACCACCCAAACTGCGGCAGCTCTCTTCCAGGAACTATGCTACGAGAACAAGGATCAACTAAGGTAAGCAAAAGACGGGGATGGACTTAGGAATTGATAACTGACTAGTTTGCAGTGCAGGAATGATCATTGCCGGTTATGACAAGCGGAACGGTGGCCAGGTCTACTCAATACCTCTAGGAGGATCACTACACAAGCAAGCATTTTCCATTGGAGGATCTGGTTCGACTTACATCTACGGATACACAGACGCACACTGGAAGGACAACATGACTGAGGAGGAAGGCGTGGATTTTGTCAAGAACTCGCTGAGAGAAGCCATCAAGTGGGATGGAAGTTCTGGTGGTGTGATCCGTATGGTGGTCTTGACAGCCAAAGGAGCTCAGCGGCATTTGTACCTACCAGATCAACAATACAAAGGACCGGGTACAGGGCTATGACTCGAGGCTGAGGGAGTAAGTTGATAGGCAGTATCATGGGCGGCGTCAAGGATCATGTATGTAATCGTACCTGATGCATTCAAGCGGGCCAAAAAGAAAGTTGAAATAGAAACAACTTTGTTACAACACGACGATCAGCCATGAGGGCTTTTCGACAACAACACCAGTGAAGTTCGAGATGCACGTAAGACTCAGAGTCGCTCTCAGTTCGCCTTTCAGCCTTGTGCTGATGAGATGAGATGAGAATGATTGCATTGACGTGTTTGAGAATAAGCATACCGCATGTGCGTACGAGGTACTTTGGGTTAGAAAGGGATTGGTTATCCGCGCGAATATTCGTTAGTGTTTGATATTAAAAATGAGTTCCAATCGTTTGGATGGGCGTGGATGGATGGGGGCTTTTTCATGCAAAATGAGGTCAGAGCCGCCTTCCGGGTGATTCTCGCGCGTAAAAGGCATACTCGTAGGCGAAGACAGAGAGGCTCTTGGGCATCAACCCGGGTACCTTTTTAACTAGGACAATGCCTCGTCTCCTTTCAGCCTTTCCTGTTGTCTTGCTCCAGCTCCAAGCCACAGCCTGTCTGCCACGGCCCACGGGTAGCGCAGTGAACCTGCTCAGTGAACTTCCACCACCACCACCACCACTAAAGCCCTCCCTTCTCCCACGTCGTCCTCCCCTGCAACCAAAATGGAGAACTTGAACTGGCCAACTGCCAACTAACTAGCCTTTTCGAAGCTTTTCGTCCAAACTTGTCCCCTTTCAAATAATAATTCTCATCATCCTCTTCCCTCTCTCTTTATCCTTGTCCTTATTACTTCGTATCATAAGCAGCCGTCTCGGAATCTGTATCTCAATTCCCCAAGGAATAGACGCGCTCGCTTGCTTCATCTCTTGTCATCAACTTTAGCTTTCACGTCTAAGCCATGTCTCTGGTAAGTTGAATTGTTAATTGTCTGGACGCTCAACCCCCGCCACCGCCTATCCATTCATCAGCACATGCTAGCTCCCTCTTCTTTTGCCTCACCATTCCCACTCCCACTCCCACTCTCCCTCCCATTGCACCGGCACCTGAAACTGCACCTTCATCATGGTTCATGGCCCACCCAAACCGTGAACCCCCCTCCACCACTGCCACCATCACTGGCAGCTGGTTGTCATTCAACTTTCGTTGACATCAGCCCCTCAAACTTCAATGTGACATCCACTTCATCTCCATTCCTACCGCTTGGATCACTATCATAGCCAATATATTGGTGCAACCCACATGTACTACTCGGCTTTGGGTGCAGGCTGTGCAGGTTATGTTCAGGCTGCGGGTCAACCAAATCCTGACCTCGATCGCTTCTACAACCCTCATCATACTGACATCCCCTCTCGCCATCTAGGCATTGAACGCGGCAGGTTGAGATGGGCTCGCTGGTGATGAGCCAGGCGCAGCCGGCTATCAATCATCATTCCTATCACCACATGATGGTTGACACAAATCAACCTCAAGACGAAGCCGCTACTAGGCCTAGGAGCGCTTCACAGTCTACTGCAACAAGGCAAAGATCCTCTTCTACCACCAATCCCCAAACTCCTACCAACCGAGAAGACGACACAGACGTTCCTCATACCCCAGCCGCCCAACGCAATCAACAACATCATCCTTCAAGTACTCATTCCTCTACCTCACGACAACAGACATCCTACTATCCTCACAATGTAAATCAACATAGCCGCGGTTTCGATCAATCGGGGTTTCCGCTTTCTAATGACCCTCGAGTGGTCGTCGCTTCATCACCCCCAGGCTCCCCTCGACTACAGCCAACCTACCGTTCCACCAGATCTCTCGGAGGCTCAGAGGCCACTTCTCCTAGTAGGATAAAGATCCGGGACCTGTCACACATTCGCAGTTTTGCAAGTGAGGAATATCTGGCACGACCGAGATTACCTTCCAGACAACCTAGTGGGTTTTCGGATACCGGAAGGCAATATGAAATCAGTTCCATGCCAGTCACGGATATCATTGAGATGGTTGCAGGCCTTCTTACCAAGATTACCACCACGAACGACCGTCAGCATGAACATCATCGACCCGTCGCTTTGACCGAAGAACAGAGCCACCTCAATCCACAAGCCAACTGCGTACTCGCTTTTCATGGCAAGAATGTGCCAGGCATCACAATTCTGAGTTACTTGAGCCGGATACATAAGTACTGTCCGACCACTTACGAGGTTTTCCTGAGCCTATTGGTTTATTTCGATCGAATGACAGAGGCTGTGAATCGAAGGCTGTATGGCAACGCGACTGGGGGCCCTGGTGATTCTCCAGCAACTGCTCCAGAATCATCAACACCGAATGCACGATCTCCATTACCCATGAATGTGGATAGTCCTCAACAGCACACCGATGTCACCACTCCCCCTGCCTCGGCGCCGAATGCTTCACCTGAACATCGTGCTATTACGAGAGAACCATCATTTGCACGTTCAGGAAATCCACAAGATTTGTCTCAGTTTTTCGTGGTTGACAGTTATAACATTCATCGACTTGTCATTGCCGGCGTTACTTGTGCTAGTAAATTCTTCTCCGATGTCTTCTACACGAATTCCAGATATGCAAAGGTAAAGGCCCAGTCCATTTGCTGAGCACTGATAAAAGCAGAACGTACTGACACCTTTCAGGTTGGCGGTCTTCCTCTCGTGGAGCTCAATAATCTCGAACTTCAGTTCCTCATCCTTAACGACTTTAGACTTTCGGTACCAGTGGAGGAACTCGAGGCATATGGTACAATGCTGGTGGAATTCTATGCTCGAGAACTGGTTGCACAACAACAAGCAGCGCATGCTGCGACTTCACCAACCTCTACAGATGGAATGTATATGAGATCGGGTCGACCAACTCCAGGACAACCCTCAGCTCCACCGACATGATCACGTTGATGATGAAAATGATTATTGAAACTTCCGACAAACTTTCCCCCCGTCGAAATCTCCTTGTGAAATAGATTTTCGATATCACCCACCCTACTCCCTCTTTCGCTTTGCCCCGGGTATATTGATCTTGCACATTCTCAGGGCACTTTGCGTGGTTTGCTATGCCCTACCTTAGACGACTTAAATTTTGGGCGCGCTTTGTCCGACTTTATTCAATACGTTCTTGCGCTGGTCATATTTTTTTTGGCGCAGATGGCGTGTGTGAGGGTTATATGTTTGTTATCATGAGGACGAGAAGTCCCATCTACTTGGTGCCCGATAGATTGCATGCACCCATCGCTTGCATCTCCTGTTTTATCGGTTTTCTCTTGGGGTCAGTTCCCATTTAATGAAGGAACTGGACTAGAGTTGATGATGAATGATTATGATGAGACTCTTCTCACAGGGTCAAGATCATGGGAGAAGTGTACCCTTGATGGGAGTCTTTAGATTGATGAAATGGTGGTGATGAACAGAACTAGGACACAATGCTTAAACATGATTAATGGAATTGGTGTTGATAGAACCCATGGATCTTCCATGTGCTGATGATGTGATTGACCTCGCGTCCCGAACCCCATACAACAAGGATTATGTCCACGTACGGAGGCAAAGCCTCGGTCATTCATACGTGACACTGTGTATCGAGGTAGTCCTTACTCTCACGATGTGTATCCACCGTGGCCATACACTGGTCAGAAGCTGGGTAACATTGGTAAATATTGGCAAACGGAGACAGTAACACCACGCAAAACACGCAAAACAGCAAAACAGCGTGCTGAGGGAGACCACCAGAGTACCTCAACATGATCAGATACGATCCTGGCGCCCATCGTTCAGAAGGTGACCAGGACGTGAATGTAGATGACTCCTAACTAGGTAAACAAATCAACAGTCGTCTGAATCCCAGCTTGTTGGTTCACTTGATCATACTGAACAAATCTCTTCATCACATGCTTCAGTCATCTCTTGCCAAAGTCATCCTGCTTACCTCGTCTGTGTCGTCAGACGTTCCCTCGCTTGTCAGCGCGGTCCTCTGGAGGTTCGCGTTCACGTTCACGTATTTTCAAAACTTACAAGATCTCTACCGCCTGAGGTTTTGGAGACTGCGCTCGATCTCGCACGCACTCAAGCCACGCAACTGGCATCATGAAGAACTTGAGACCAATCCTCATCGGTATCTTTGCTATTGTCTCTTTCCTCTCTTTTGGTGTAGACGCCACACAATACACCCGCTTCGAAGACCTCCCCAAATGCGGTCAGAAATGCCTCTCAGATTCAATTGAACACGCGCTCAAGACCGCCGACTGTGGTACCAGCCTGTACTGTGCCTGTCGATCACAACAATACAGCGAGTGGATATACAGCTGTCTTGGAAAGAACAAGCCCTGCGACGAGCGCGCAAAGCTCAATGATGTGCTGCTGTACAATATCCAGTACTACTGCAATGAGACTTCAGATCAGCGCGTTCGTTATACCGTCAAGGTGGCTGGAGCCGAGAAGACTTTGACTATGGACGGTAGAGATGCTACCAGTACATCGCATGCGCTGGTGAGTGGATCATGGTGCAGAATCTAAGCGGGTTAGCTCCTCTGGTTGAAAATTGGCTAACAGGTAGTGACTGGTGATTTATAGACAGGTGCCACTTCGACCATGACCACTGGAAAGGACCATCCCACGACCACGTCAGGTATACCAACCGGAACCTCGCACACCAGTGATGGAGAGTCGACCAGCAAATCAAATCTACCGTCTCCGAGTGCGGCCGGGAACGCGTCGTCCACCTCTTCACATTCGTCTTCGACAAGCACCACTACCAACAGCAGTACCTTTTCATCAGAACCTACCATTTCCAGCAGTATCCTCACATCTCAGACAGAATCCGTTCCACCAGGCATGACAGTGGTTGACGCAAACACAACCATCATGGGTCACACCGTTACCGCGAAAGCCACGACACTCGTCACCGCCACTGTCAATAGTGGAACTGGACCATGTCAAATCGAAGCTCTTCGACGTGGTCTTCATGAGAACTTGCACGCCATGGTTGGTCTCAGCATTGCTTTGCTATCGGGTTTTATTCTGTTCCTGTTCATTGTTGGTTGAACTGCTATCTCACAGCAGACCTCATTGGAAGTCCACGGCTGTCAACCAATCTGGGTATCTCATGGGCCGCTGAAGGATGATATTAGATTTCTTTGGGCTGGACAGCAATTTTTGGATGAGGGAGCTTTTTGAGGATGCGACACAGCAAGCGGACAGTAAAACCACCGCCCACTCTCTTCTCAGCATACTCTTCTTATTGCAATTAGAGTATCATTCCTTTTTCTGGCCACCACTATTTGGTCTCGAACGGACCACATGTCACACCAAATATCAAAGACAAACATAATGTTCCGAACGATGTAAACACCGAGGCTGCTTTAATAGCTCCTCTCCCACGATTGGCCGACTAACGACGCTACTAATTTTAGAGCCGGGAGAATTACCCAAAGTGGACCACCATAGAATTAAAGGCACACTCCAACTCAACGTCAAGGCTATTCTTACATCCATCATGCCCATCGACTTCGCATTTGACCTCGGCATTGTATGGTGACGGCATGATGAAAATCGCCCTTCTCCATGCCTGTTGACTCTTGCATCCCCTCCATGTCGTAGTCGTATCTCCACTTTATTTCCTCTCCACGATTTCTCACGATACCCCCAGTCATGACAACCCCTGCACACTTACCCCAAAGGAGCACTTATGCCAGGGTCCAGGTAGGTATCCTCAAGCATCTTGACCATTCGGATACCTAGGATTGAGAGCTCTCTCGAGCTTCGTGTCGATCGGTATTGCTCCAGCTTCCTGTTCTCTCCGCGAGGCCCACCATCGCTTGTCAATAGTGCGCGCGAACATGGCGAAAATGGCACACGACTAAGTAGGCGATGGAGAGAGCTCAGGTAGGTCCACTGATGAGCCGAATTCTATGACGATGATGCGGGGGATTTGGGATTCCTTCAGACTGGCGAGAATTTTTGCACCGTTGTATTAACAAGGTGGGAGCTCCATAAGTGCCGTGATCCTCCATCGAGGCTTCCACAAGCTGTTCGCTGTCGCTCGCTCGTTGTTTCCACTGCCATCGTTTGGGGTCTTGTGTCTCAAGAACTGAATCATCGACCTCCGGTCTTTCAAACGACAATGGCGAACACAATGCGCCTACTGGTGGCGGCCGTCTTCTCGCTTCTCATCTCACTGTCCCACACCGCTCCAACGAGTGCCATTACGCCGACTGCCACGCTCGACTCAGGCCCAGTGGTGGGAACGACCACATCACTCAGCGGTGCAAGTGTCGTCGTCACCAAGTATCTGGGAATCCCTTTCGCGGCATCGCCTACCCGATTCGCACCAGCAGCACGCCCGACCTCATGGCAGAAACCGCTCAACGCGACTAAATACGGCCCAGCTTGCGTCCAGCAGTTCAATTATCCGGAAGCGGCTCGTAATCGGACTATTGCCTTCTTCAATACTCCTCCGCCGTCGGGTGGGGAGAGCGAGGACTGTCTCAATTTGAATGTTTATGTTCCTGGCTCCTCGGGGAAGAACAAGACTGTCATGGTTTGGATTTATGTGAGAGCTGGCCTTGTACAATTCCTCCTCGGCATGGCATCACTGACATCGTTCGGGATAGGGTGGTTCCCTGACATTCGGTTCGAATTCAAATCTGATTTATGATGGCACTGGGTTCGCCGCGAACCAGAATGTGATAATCGTCTCTATCAATTACAGAACCAATGGTGAGAATCCTATGCGCATGGTGGTCAGAAACTTGACACTAATCCAGTCAAAATCTAGTCTTTGGATTCCCCAACTCTCCAGAGCTTGAGTTGACGAAGAGAAATCTCGGATACCTCGATCAACGTAAGTGACTCAGTTTGTTGAGAACGAAGGCGTCCTCAGGGCCAATAACAACAACACTAATCATGCTTTCTATCGTATTACAGGCTTCGCACTCGACTGGGTCCAACGCAACATTGCTGCCTTTGGCGGCGATCCAAAGAAGGTCACCATTTTCGGAGAAAGTGCCGGTGCCGCCAGCGTCGACTCACTCGTGACAACCTATCCGAAGAACCCACCATTCCGTGCTGCAATCATGCAGTCCGGCCAGACAACACTCTACACAAACACAGCAAATAACGCACCGAGATCATGGCTCGCCCTGGCAGCAGCATTGAACTGCACATCGTCTCACCCAAAGAGCAATCTAACATGTATCCGCTCCTTCCCAGCCAGTGTGATCAAGTCGACCATTGAACACCTTGCCCTGCCATTCACGCCCGTCAGCGACAACACCACCAATCTCCGGTACCCGGCAGCCGCACGCGTTAATGGATCCGTTGCCCCCGTTCCAATCCTAACCGGCAGCAACGCAGACGAAGGCAGCATCTTCGTCGGCGCCTCTGGTAACAACGCAACAGCATACCTTTCAGCGTTGATCCCGAACCAACCGGCCCTAGTCGCGACCATTCTAGCCGCCTACCCCAACACAACGACCCAACTCTCCGACATCCTCACGGAATCCATCTTCCAATGCCCAGCCGGAATCGCCGCCAACGACACGGTGACCGGCGGCAACAAAGCATGGCGCTACTACTTTAACGCGACGTTTGCGAACACGCAGCTCGCGCCCGGTCTAGGCGTCTACCACGCCAGCGAAATTCCCATCGTCTGGGGCACGTACCCGCGCGTTAACGCCACTGAAGGCGAGGCGCGACTCAGTGCCGCAATGCAGGCTTCTTGGGCTGGCTTTGCGAAGAACCCAAACCAGACTCAAGCTGGTGTTGGAGGGCCTGGGTTTGCGGGTGTGCCGACCGTGGGTGTTTGGGGGAATGGCGTGGGTGTTAAGGGTGATGGGTCTGGGAGATTGAATTCCTCGATCTCCAGTGGAGTGCTCGATCGCAGGTGTGCGCTGTATCGGCCTTTGTATGTTGCGCAAGGCCTGGCCACGAGTTCTTCTGGAGGTGGTCAGTAAGGGTCCCACGAATTTTGACGAAGTGAAGTTATATTAGACTGAGTGATGATTCTTGATTATGGTTGTTCAACCCTGGTCAAACACTCCTTTCCTTAATGCCCAACTCAGAATACCACCAAGGTAATGAATAAATTAATTTGCAGACTAAAGATAGCCATAACATGATTTCTGTTGATGCGTATGAGTTCTGCATTGATCAACGAAGGCAATATCATTTCGTATCCTTGAAAATCGAAGAGTACTGTATCCTGGTCGCCAAACCTCGGCCACTGCCACATGTCTGACTAAGACGACGCGCTTCCTCGAGCAGACCAGCTCAGCATGCTCTTCCACAGGAAGAAAACATGGATCAGGTGACGGCAATTCGTAGTACAGCTCAGCATGTCGTACAAAGTATCATGTTTCGTGTTTCTCTCCATTGACCCCACTGTTCTCTTGGGAACCCACTCTACATACAAAGTACTCGTACTTCAAAGGCGGACTCTGGCTACCATGCTGTGAAGCCGAGCTTGTCAAATCGCCACTGAATCGTCTTCGGAGCCTTGTGCTACTCGTATGACAAGAGCTAAGAAATTCAGTACACCATCAGGTGAACGAAGGCCGTCCAGATCATGTGGGCAGTATCCGGAGGGTATCGTTCCGATCCCTCTTAGGCGTTCCATCACGATTCTACCAACCGAACTCGTACTCGTACAATCATTTATGTAGCTATCTATGGCATCTTAGATACATCACCAGATACTCGGTCGAGTTTTGGCATACACAAAAAGCTAGGTCGCTTGGCGAACGTGAGTGGTTATCCTGGTCGCACTCGAAACGAATTAAGAGCGATTCAAGTCTCGACTTTAACAAGTTCGAATCAACCTCTCAGCATTCATCAATGCCTTGAGTTACTGCCGCGATATCAGCTTTTATCTACCTCGATATATATATCTAAAAGATGGCGACCACAAGCATCCAAAGCCACATATCGCACTACACGACCCTCCTCCGCCAGAACTACAGGCCAATCTACCCAGCGATCGTGGCTGGTGTGCTGACGTCGCTTGCGCTCGGCCGCGCCGCCTACAATGACTACAAGGTCTACCTGAGCTATGGCCCCGGCGGCATGCCATACAACGTGGGGGGCTGGCTGTTCACATCGACGATCGTACGCATGCTCAGTGTCAACATGTTCGACGTGCGGGATTTGGACAAGAGTCCGGACCAGAGGACTTGGCTTGGCAAGGATTGGCCGACTGGGAACAGGAGTGGTGTGAGGCCGATGATGGGTCCGCATCCCATTCCCCAAAGACAACTGGATCAGCATTCGTCTGCTGAGGTGCAAGAGGTCAGTACCTAAATAAAGTCGTCGATGCTGCTTTTGTCTCAGTGCGACGCTCTTCGACAGCAAGTCATCATCGCTAATCTCGTTTGGATATCGGCCTGTGTAGAAATTCCTGCTCGGCTTCCGCGCCCTCGTCGAGCAATATCCGACACTCGTCGCGTCAAAGACATCAAACTACGAGCGCCACGCTGACGCACTGTGGGTGCACGACGCGCACCCGACCTGTGCACTCGGCGAGGGCTACTCGCGGGAGATCACGCACATCCACCAGAACACCGACTACAGCGCACATGTCATCGTTGCCCCCAAGGATGCCGCGAAGATCATCAACTCCGGCTGGGGCCAGCTGCATGGCTGGGCCGGCGTGAAGCCGCTCGGGAAGAAGCTGCTTCCCAGGCAGTATGTCCTGCTTTATGCACCGAGGACGGAGGACGAGGTTGAGATATTGCTTGGGGTTGTGAGGGCTAGTGTCGGGTATATGACTGAGTCGGAGGAGTTGATGGTGTCTTGAGTATACGTGTTGCCCAATGGTTGATCGTTGAGGTTTGTGAGAACAAGAAGAATACAGATTTAATGTTAGTGGTCTGAGGTTGTGGGATTCGGTATGTACATAAGTAGTTGTCTCCTGTATCTTGCGTGGAAACTGACCACCTAATCTCAACTCGTTGCTGTGGTCTAGATCGTCGACAGTTTGTTACGGAATTCGTTTGAAACCCAGGAGATAGAAGGGAGATTGACGTTAATATGCGCTGGTTAGTAAACTGAACGGTTCTCGCCTTCAAAGGGGCTAGGACTGAATCATGACATATGGCGCCATACATGACACACGACTCATACCTAACTGGGGGCGAGCGCCTCCTAATCTCAGACAACAACCTCAGTGGTCGATGAGCTCTAAGACCTGCATTGGTATCTACAATAGTCGCGACTTGAGACACTTTGCCTGCTGCACAGTTGCTCCTGACGGACTAACTAGACGCCTTCCTCCTGGAAGTTCCTGCGCGCTTCTTCTAACTAGCGCAAGGATCAATGGGGCATAATAGCTCGGCAGCATGGGCCTTCTACACTTGGAAGGGAGGACGACGTAGGCGTCTTCGACCTTTAGCTTTGCAGAAATCTTCGCAGAGAGGAATCGAGTGCAAAAGTACAAGGTATGAACTAAGGGGCTAGCTCATGTCTACAGATGGCGCACAGTTCGCCGCAGCCCAGGCTCGCTCGTTGCAAGGTCTGACCAGCTAGGTCGTCAGCAAGGTCGCCAAATGGGTCCCAATTGCCTTGTCTGCCTTGTGCTACTTTTCCAACCCTTGAGGACCTGCATGAGCGTGTTTCGAGCTCGAAGAAGCATCTAAAGGTCCTAAAAATAAGCCCTCGCCCCTCAGGTGCCAGAATTCCGCATCGCTAAGCAGCAGGCTGTACCCAGCCTCCCGCTATACTTCGCAGGATGAAAGCCCAGGTAAGTCCCTTTCACAAGCTTGAATTCCTATTCAGCTATACGACTGTGCAAGGCGTGCGCTTTGCTGCAGTCCGAAGTCTGGCTACGTGACTATGTCCTCCCTTACAGCCAGTGTCGACGTGACTTTCGAGCCGTTGAAGCCTCTTCATCCTGCAGTGAAGGATGCTACTACTCCACGTGCCAGTCGCTTCCGTCCGCAAACACCCACTCCGTCTACTCCCGAGTTGTGCTGGGATGATACTCCAGCATTGTCTACGATAGTTACACCAGGGGATGAATATGATTCAGATGGCGGAGTGCCTGTTGACATCTCGCCATCAGTCGCTCGCAGAAACCGTTCCAAACTGAGAGCAGTCCTCGATCTTGACGTTTACCCCTCCAAGGAATTCCGCACCACTCGCATCTTTGACGATAATCCTCTTCCTATCACGGGCATCACAGCTCTGATCGAGGACTCCAGCCCTTCGGCGCGTACCGAGACAGTGTCTTTGCACCAGCTGCAAGATCAGGGGCGCTCAGAAGACGTTGATGATGGGCCCCTACCAGAAGAAGAATCTACTCGTATGGATGAAACATCGTTCATTCAAACTGCATCAACAAGCCAGGAGAATGCTGTCAAGCCTGAGGAGAAGAGCCATACATCAGATCATCAGATTAGCAATGAACCAGACCATATTATCTCTTCCAAAGATAGTTGTGAGGATGAAGTCTCATCTGTCATATTTGAGTTTGACCACAAAATTCCGAGCGAGACCACATCAGCTGAGATTGCTGTCTCCAAGTTGGATGTTGACTCCACTTTATCTGATGTTGAAGCTTCCTGTACCCCCACAGCCACAGATACTAGCGAAGAGCTTGCCGTGATATGGGGACCGAGCCAAGCTCTCTGTCGAGCTCTTCCATGTGATTTTGTTGAGAGGCTACGTGCTGAACCAATTTACTGCATTTCCACAACGACAAGGAACAAGAGGTGCAGGAACAAGAACGGAGCGAAGTTGACCATGGAAAAGGTCAACACTTTGCTGAGTGAACTGCTCGGATCCTCCCTTTTAAAGGAGGCTTCTAGTACAATACAATTGGTTGAGGACCTAGCAATTCAAGCGATGTGCAAGAACGTCCACTTAAGGGTGGTCGAGGCCGAGCTGGCCGTGCTTAAAGAATACTCAAAGGTCAGGGACACAGAAGAAAATCCCGAGAACGCATCCGAAGCTGCAGAGGGAAAGAGTGTTTCCGATCATAGTTCTTTGGCTCAATGGCTGCAAGGGCTTCTTCAGGCGCACATACCTGAAGTTCAGCAACAAAGCAGTACTGAATTGAAAGTAACCGCTGAAATGTCTGCGATTCTCACGAAACCTGAGCTCCATGTCACGATCGAGGAAATTGTCGAGACTACTCCTCTTTTCACGAAGCAGGAAGTTGCACTTGAAGTGGACAGTATTGCCAAGATGCCTACCACTCCTACAAGACGCAACGTCAAAGTCGAGGTGGACGTCAACTCTGAAGTATTGACAGATACTTCTCATTCCCAAGTTGCATTCAAGATGGACGCTATTGCTGAAATGCCTCCAATTGATACGCAAAACAATATTGAAATCAACATGGGGGTAGTATCCGAAATTGACGCTAGGTCAACACAGCCCTCCATCAAATTGGAGATGGGAATGAGTGCTGGGTTGTCAGCGACTCCTACGCAGTCACTTGTCTTAGTTGAGAAGGAAGTCGGAGCTGAAGCCGTCCCTGCTTCGATGAAGCCTCAAGTCGGGGTCTCGACCGTTGCTAATGTTGCAATGCCTCCCTCTTCGACACAATTTCGCGCCAAAGATGATCCAGAAGGAAAGGTTTCCTCCGCTTCTACTCCCTTCACGACCAAGCATGAGAGGACTGTGGATGATGATACGCCTACAAAGCGTCTGCGGTATCGAGGCACTAGGCAGCAGAAACTGGATAAGCCACAAAGAGATTTATCCCAAGTTTCCACATTCGCTTCCGTGATCAACGTGAACTGGGCTGCGAGAAAGCTGCGGAGCGAGCCTAGATTGCCATGGTCTCCTGACTATGCGACCCTATCAGCCCATCTGCGCTACAAGTTTGAGCCTTACACATTGCGAGGGACCCGTCAGAATATCTCAGATGCCGAACTAATCCGACATTGGCTTGAAAGACCCTTGGCTCGCACAGACGTAGACCAAGAAGGCTATATCTGCTTGTTCTGGCACCCCGGAAACTTTGGCTTTCTGAAGATCGGGCGCACGAATGATATCAACAAGCGTCTAAGAAAATGGCAAAGTCAGTGCAAAATCGAGGTCAAACAAGTCATCGAACCCGATCAATCGATACAGTCTCCTGTCCGGCATCCAATTCGTGTTGAACAACTGATCCATGCCGAACTCCACAGTTATCGCCTGCAAGAACCGAAATGTATAGGATGCTCGAAAAAGCACGTCGAATGGTTCAAAGCGGACCCGGCCTTGGCGCTACGAGTGGTCAAGAAGTGGTCGCATGTCCCAGTGCTGTACGAAGAGGGGCGCCTGAGTAAGTCTCTTACCGAGGTCGAGATAAAGGCGCTATGCCAGGTGACGACCTTGGAAAAGATTGCTCGTACACCGTCAAAGCCATCTCGCCGATCGCTGGGGAGGCATTCGGTTGTGGAATACCCTATGATCAACCATTTTTCAATTGGTGAAGATGGTGCCTTGGACGCTCCCGCTTGGATGAAACCGCTTGCTACGTAAGCCATCGTGTGTCCCTGGACTGGACATAATGTAAATCTGTAGGCTTTGTTAGTAATCATAATGGGATGGAGAAAAGCCTGGCCGCCGTGCCATTGCATATATGGCTCCCGTGGCCGACGCTGTCTGATCTATGGTACTTCCTAGAAAGCTGACTGCGGCAAAGAGTCCTGTGTTCTTTGCTCACAAGAGGAACAATGGCCGTATAAACATGCTAAATCCCAGAAGCGCTGTTGGTACAACGAAAGTCAGCTTTGCAGACACTCAGTCAAGGAAGGACAAAAATATTTTGCGGTAGGATAACTGATAAGGCTGGAGGAGCAGGGGTGTTAAGTTGATGCTGCTCTTGGCTTATCTACCCCTCAATTCCCCAGGCATCAATCAATCTGTTCGTCTTCAGTATCTCGATCAAATGAATTCTTGAGGCGCGTGTCCAGCGGTTTCAACGAGAACCTTCAGATGAATTTTGTTGCAATCATTCTGATAACTCATTCTGCAGACAAACGCCGTGTGTATCAGACTTGGGCAAATATTGGCTCTGAGTAACTGTCAGGATACTGTGCTATTGGGTGCCTCCACTCCATATCTCGAGTTCCATCATGAGGCCCGAAGAGAAGTTCAACCCGGTAAACGAGCATAATCAGCATGAGCTGATGGAGTGTGAGAGTGGTAACTGGGATAGGAGAGAAGAAACTCGGTTTCGACGGCAATCGAACTACAAGAAGCTCCAGCGTATTGCAATTTTATCGCTCTCATTAGCATTTATATTCCACTATGTCTACTCTGAGGCTTTCAACCTATCACTTTTTGGATTCACACACCCCTCTGTTCTGGTTCAGGTCCCAGTTCTACACTTTTCTGAGCCAACAGCAAAACGCAATCTTCCGTTCGGCTTGTTCGTTGACGATGATAAGATATGGCATATTTATTTTCAGTGTCAGTCATGTACACTGAGACAGCATTGTGCGTTTGGCACTACTCATAGTAACTCGAGCTCTGTCGGAGGAACTGATCGCACTGGATGGGGTCATGCGACGTCATCCGACCTCTACACGTGGAGCATGCAGCCAATTGTCGCAGAAGAAGAAGGCTACGATAGCTGTGGTGGTTCTGCTGTGATTGACGAGAACAATACCTCGGGATTCTTCCCAAACCAAAGGAATGGAGTTATCATGGTGTATACACAAATTCATCAAGAGACGAAAACGATCGAACAAGCTATTGTATATTCAACTGATGGGGGACATACGTTCACAAAGTCCGCAGAGAACCACATCCTCCTTTTCTCAGACGGAGAACCAGAGCTGCGGTATCCAAAAGTGATATGGTATGAGCCGACCGAAAGATGGATCATGACAGTGACGAAAGGCAATGCTACTACGATCGGGATCTATACTTTCCCGAATCTCATTGACTGGAATGCAGCCTCCGAGTTTACAGTCGGTGACCTCGTCGATGGTGGCCACAGCTTTGAGTACTCAAACCTCATCGCCATACCGCGACTCAACTCGACAGGCGCAAGTAATAAGAATAGACCGATTGTGCCAGGGGGAACGGTTAAGGATCATGGAGATCACTTACTTATGATTTCCTCTAGCAGTGGTTCACCTCTCAATGGAGGTTCAGTTACGCGCTACTTCCCAGGCAGATTCAATGGCACACATTTTCAGCCGATCAACCATCGTACCGATCGGTTCATCGATTTCGGACCTGATAATTATGCGAGCCAATTCTTCTTCGGGTTTCCGGCTGGATCGCCAGTGGTCAGTCTTGGGCTCGCAGCAAATCTCCGCGAGACCACGTCATTGCCTCAAACGAGCATTCTCATAGGTCCGCGGGAGAGCTACCTCATTTACGGCCCCAGCGAGGGAGACCTGTCATACTTCAGTCGCCCTCTCAGCCTGGATTCCCTTCGAGGAGAAACAATAGCGAATTTCTCCGCCTCGCAGCAATTGGCAGACCATGCGGTGCCTTACCATGGCTCAGAAGCAGTCCTTGTGGAAGTGAGACTCGACATGCAGCCTCCAGACGACGAGGTTGTGGAGCTCAATTTGGACTTCACCTTTAGATCGTCGAGGGGCCCTGAGGATGAGTACATCATGTGTACCGCCGTTTTCAGAACTTGGGCAGCAGATTTTGGATGCGCTCGCAGTCGGGGAATTGTAAAATCATCGAATGACATCTCTCCCCTCGACCAAATGTCCATTCGGGAAGTTCTACCCCTTCTTCCCTTCCACAATCCGGCAGTTCGGAGATGGGAAGTCCAGGCGATCATGGATCGGTCTATTTTAGAGCTTTATCTCAATGACGGAGTGGCAGCTGGGACAATCACATACAATTCGAAAGAATCCTTCGATTTGGTTCACTTTCACAGCCGCAGCATACCGGACTGGGTGACCTTAACCGTGACCGTACAGGAATTGAGACCTGGGCAGAGTGTTCAGGAAATGGTTTAAGCATTTAGCATGAGGCCATCGAGCGGCATAGACGCGCGTCTAACGAGGCTTATTACTTATAGCCCTGGTCCATCGTATCAAGCCCTCCTTCCCGACATTATGGACTCTAGAGGGGCTCAAGACCCACGCTATGGCTCACATGCTGTGAGCGTGAAAGAAAGAATCAGACAGAGTGGAAATTTCCTGAGTACATCCCCTAACCCTCACTTCTTCATCGTTACCACCCCTTTGCTAATCTCGCGCCTAACAAGAAAACTGACAGCAACCTCAACAGCTAGCACGGGCGGACTTCGAAAGTTAGCCTCCATATCATCCGTCTCCTCGCTTGCAGTGATATGCGACTTCTGTGAGAAATTCCCGCACGCCCATTGTTCATGGGTCTTTCTGAAAGTCTGACAGCATTTCCCTCAGACAGCCAAGAGTATCTTGACGCAGTAAAGCATGCTAGGTCTTCAAGCAGCACGCGGTCAAGCAAGTGCTGTTAGGATATCACGATCATTGAGTTCTTCGCGCAGCCGGCTATGTTCGGCTGATTCAGTGGCGCTTTAGGTCGCCTTGTCGATGCCACGACGCGGTGTGCCAAGGCAGATGAGACCCAGCGTCCGTCTCGATCGCCTGGTGTAAAGGTTCCAGTCGTGCTTGGAGGAGAGGCTAGGACGATTCTCAGTCGTGGATATCAAGATTGTGTTGCGCCTTGACAAGCACTGCGCTGAGAAGACTGGGCCTCTTCAGCCGACAGGCCGTTAGCTAAGTGGGGATTGATCGTGAATGACTCCGCCAGAAAGGGTCCCGCATGAAGAAGGATGTCGCCAAAGTGTTAGCGAGGCCTGTGCCGTGGTGTTGTATTTAGCCTGTCAGCAATAATGCGCGGCTCCGTACCTCATTTTGGGAATAGCGCGCATTGGTTAAGGACCCTGCTTTGGGAATAGCGTGATTTCCTGGATCCTATCTGGGAACATGCCTTGAAGCCTGACTGTGTTGCTCGTGCCTACGGACAGCTAAGGTTTGTGTGTATGGCAGGAGTTATGCCTAGGTCTTGCTCCAAAAAGACAGAACTAGCGCCGTCCTGCCTCGAGCAACTCGGCGACCAAGCAGGACATACGCCACCTGAACCAACTCGCTACCTTCATGGTAGAAGTTCTTTGGCTTCCCTGGCTGATGGCTCTTATCACAAGAGACGCGGCGAGAACAATATGGGCCGACGAGCTGAGCACTTTGACCAAGATAAGAAAAGCATCTCAGTCCCGTTGACCGATCTTATATTTACACGATGCAGCGACTTCCGCAAACAAGATTGTCTTCTCTTCTCATCAGTCAACTGGCTTGGATAGTCCTTTTCAACCTTTGTCTACCTGGAACGCTTCCTGAGACTTACAATCCTGTGTCACTACGTTGACTACTCTTTACATTTTAAGCTGAGTTGTACCACAAGATGACGGTTAGCAACTCGACCTCCGACCCCGAAAAGGTTGCGGCAATCGACCCAGTCGTCATTGATCAAGACGCATCTTCTCATGATCTGGGAACGGGAAAGGTCCTGAGCCCGGCTAATCTAGACGACCAACGTTATAACACTACCAAACGTGGCCTTAGAAGTAGACATGCGCAGATGATCGCTCTCGGAGGCGCCATCGGCACAGGGTAAGCATTCCACTACTCGCCGGCATTTCCAGGCTGCTCTGTCCGGAGAAAGCCGAAGATCTTACTGACAGATTTACTCTTCTGCAGCCTGTTTGTCGGGACCGGCCAAAGTCTAGCCATTGGAGGTCCAGCTTTCCTTCTGGTGGCTTTCATTATTATGACAGTCCTGCTCTACTGTGTCGTCACGGCCATCACCACAGTGGCAGCCTATTTACCCGTTCATGGAGGCACCATGTCTTATTACGGCTATCGCTACGTCTCACGTTCGATGGGATTCGCTTTAGGATACCTTTATTGGTACGCCTTGGGAATCCTTATTCCGTATGAAATAACAGTCGCGGGACTTGTCATCAACTATTGGCAGAACGACATTAACATCGCGGTGTGGATTACCGTTATGCTTGTTCCTATTATTATCCTTAATTTCTTACCGGTCCGCGTTTATGGAGAAACCGAGTTTTGGCTGGCAGGAACTAAAGTCATTCTCATTCTCGGACTTCTCTGCCTATCGTTTATATTGTTCTGGGGCGGCGGACCGTCGCGCGATCGCCTAGGATTCCGATACTGGCAGAATCCAGGAGCCGCAAAGGAGCTATTAACCGCCGGTAGTACGGGGTACTTCGTCAGTTTCTGGAAGACTCTAATACTCAGTGTCTTTCCCTTCGGCTTTGCCCCAGAGCTTCTCGTGGTAGCGGCAGGTGAAATGGAATCCCCAAGGCGTAATCTTCCTACAGCCTCAAAGCGGTTTTTCCTGCGCTTGGTAATATTCTACTGCCTATCCGCGCTAGCTATGGGGGTTATATGTCCTTCGAACGATGAAAGACTTACCAATGGTGGCCCAGGGGCTGCAGCTTCGCCTTTTGTTGTGGCCATTGCCGATGCAGGTATCACTGTTCTTCCGTCAATCGTCAACGCTGTTATCCTCCTTTCGGCTTGGTCGGCCGGCAATTCGTTTCTATATATCTCCTCGCGAGCACTCTACTCACTTGCAGTACAAGGCGATGCTCCCCGGATTTTCAAGACGTGCAATCGCTGGGGCGTACCGTATTACGCCGTTGCCATCAGTACACTGTTTTCTGGGCTGGCCTACCTGAATGTCTCCTCATCTGGTGGCGTGGTTTTCAACTGGTTCATCAGTCTTACGACCACCTGGATCATGGTCTCTTGGGTATGCTGCTGCATCATCTTTCTTCGATTCCGCAGGGCCGCCGCTGTGCAGAATATCGAGCTGCCCTATACGAGTCGGATCCAACCCTATGGCGCGTACATTGCCATGGCCCGCTTCACAACCCTTTGTCTAACGAACGGATTCACCACGTTCTGGCCCCAGAATTGGTCGGCAAGTTCCTTCCTGACTGCCTATATTGGCCTTCCTGTCTTCTTCGGCATGTACTTTGTTCATCGGTTCATGTTCTGGAATGACAAGTGGGCTTGGAATCCCGAAGAAGTTGACATGCACACTGGACTTCAGGAAATTGCCGATGCGGAAAAGCCTTCCAAAGTCAGAAAAGGCCTAGCAAAGGTCCTTGCAATCATCGAATAGTCGGGTGTCTCGCGGCTCCAGTTATGCTCTGGAGAGCAACCTGTGACTTGGCTAAGAGACTAAAGGGCGGGGGTGCGCGTTGGGCAGATGATTTCGGTCTGCTATGCTTTGATTTTGAATGTCTTCGTGACAGACCTCCTAAACAGAAATTGGAGTGAGTGTGGGGCACTGGGGATTCTGCTTCTGCTATCTTGCTCCGTAGTCCACGAGGAATATAATCCACAGATACACAATGAGATCTATTCTCTTTCGATGTGCCTCGATTAAGTTACTGTGACAATTTTTGCGCCTAGGAAACCACGGGTGAATTGCGATATTGTGTATTATCCTAGGACAATACATAAGCTACTTACTTCGAGTAAACCAATCTGAACTACCTAAGGGTGAGCTAGAGTTTTGTCCCAGCTGCTGCCAATTCCTGCCAACTCCTGTCAACTCCTAGAGATGAAGTGTCAAGAAGCAAAAGTGGAGCAGATAAATCATGTTACGCTAGTCCGAGTTCAGGCTTGCGAGACGTGAATCCAACTGCAGCTAGGACCTTTGATCTTCGGATACTCCGATAATATCCGTTCATTTCCTTTAGTGGACGTTGATGTGACGGAACGCGACACGCCCTTTGATGGTGATGAGGATGATGATGACCTTGAATTGCTTCATGAGAAGGATTTATATATCACGAGTATAGTTTGCCAGAGTTTTGTTTTTGATCGTTTGAACTCATAAAGCTTCGATACGTCTTCCTTCATTTATTCGACACTTCTTGCAATTGTAAACATGAAAGTCCGCACGGAGAACCCAAAATCCTTTCGCGACTTTAAGCTCAGTTCCTTCGATTGCTTTGGCACCTTGATTGACTGGAATGGTAAGTGATTGTGTATTTTTGGGATAGGGAGAAAGAAACTACCGGGCTCCACGGCATGAACTGCACCTCAGTGGCGCCGAGACCTCCTGCTATTTGATTTACTGATACAATGAAATTACAGAAGGTGTCTATAAAGCGCTTGAGCCAATTCGGTCTCGCCTCCCAGAGTCACACCCACTATACACGGATCGACGAGGGTTTCTTTCAAAATTCAGCTCATTCGAGGTGCCTTTGGTGATCAACAACCCTAGAGGGATTTACTCCACTTTGCTTTCAGAAGCGTACATGAAGTTGGCCCGAAATTTTGGCCAGACGCCAACCGAAGAAGAGGGCAAGGCATTCGGTGCCTCGGTTGGCGACTGGCCAGCCTTTCCGGACTCGGTTGCCGCCTTGAACTCGATGAAGAAGCACTACAAGCTTGTGATCCTGTCTAACGTGGACCGTACCAGCTTCGCAAAGGTGCTCGCGGGGCCGCTTGCCGAAGTCGAATTCGATGCCGTGTATACGGCCGAGGACATCGGTTCGTACAAGCCGGACATTAACAATTTTGAGTACCTACTGTCGCATGTTGAAAAGGACTTTGGTTTGAAGAAGGATCAAATTCTGCACACTGCCCAGAGTCTCCGTGCCGACCACGCCCCCGCTAAATTGATTGGTCTGGACAGTGCCTGGATCGTCCGAGGCGACGAGGGATTCGCCATGGGAGGCGAATGGGCCGACTACGACGGAAAGATCGAATACACCTGGAAGTTCGAAACCATGGAAGAAATCAGTAAGGCGGTAGAGAAGGATTTTAGACAACAAAATACTGCGTGAGAGTCAGAGTCAGGGTCCCCTTCAGATGGTGGGTAGCTTGACTCGTCAGTAGATATATACCTTACTATTTCTCAAGAAATGTAGACCACCTCTGTCGTACGTAGGAGCGCAGGTACCCCTTTCGTCTTGGCACAGCAAGAGATCGGGTCGCTGTCAATTTATCTTTTTTATTTTTCGGCGGCCGCACTTCACCTTGACCGTATTTGTTAGTGGAGTGATCATACCTCATCTTTTCCATCGATTGCACCCTCGATGGCACTAGTGCACGGTACCAACGACCAGTGTAAGATTCTGGCTGAGCTACTCAGACCAGGACACTGTACCACTATTGGTCGGGAACAGGAGAGAAAAAAGGATGGAGACAAGTATCTGGTCTACCTGGTGGCTAGGCGTGTGAAGGTCAGATTTCCTATAGGTTTCATCGTTTCACACGAACCCTGAAAGAAAGCACTTGTCCGATAGGAGGCTAGGATCACTGATTATACTCCGAGGGGCTACTTAGATGGTACTTGCTCAGTCCCCTCAGCCCTTGCACCCCGGACACTGCATGTCAAGATGCAGAACAGGCCAAGTCAGAAGTTCCCCGGCGTCAGCTCAGTCCAGGCACTGCTTTTCCGAGCCTTTCTTGAAGGCGCCGTTGCTAATCTCCTCTTCGTAATCATACTCGGTTTGCCATTCCAGGTACAGAGTCTCCTGAAGCAAGGTCAGAGAAGTCCAAGCCATGCTAGGACGAACGTCCGGAACTTACTGGATCGCTGGCCATCTTGAAATTGTAGGCGGCTTCTTCTGGTGCGATGATGACCTTCTCCAGTCCGTTAGCTGCGGCAGCCTCGACCTTCAACTGAATGTCGCAACTGTGCTCAAGTAGGGCGAAGAGAAAAGCGGCTTCGTCCACAGTGCCCCCCACAGTGATCAGACCGTGGTTCATAAGAATGGCGGCCTTGTTCTTCGGCCCCAATGCGCTTGCAATACGCTCGCCTTCATCAGAGATGAAGACTATGCCACCATAATCATTGTAGACGGCAAGGTGGTCGTGGAAGGTGCAAATATCTTGACTCAGCATATCCAGCGGACGGCCGAATGCTGCCCATGCACGGCCCGCCTGCGTGTGTGCATGACAAATGGCCCGAACGTCGGGACGTCTTTTATGAATGGCACTGTGAATGAGAAAACCTGCGGCATTTGCCGGTCGCTCCTAATAATCAACCCCAGCATTGGTCAGCCTGTACATGCCAGCGGTCGGGTTGAAGAGAGACCTGAGGAAGATTGATCTGGTATTTTTGCCTCCTTCGAAAGGGAAGCTCCCTACCCGATTGCCTCCGATCACTCGGCCCTCCATGTCTAAGCAGATCATATCGCCAGCAGTCATCAATCCAAAATGCTTCCCGAGAGGGTTCATCCAAATTGCGTCTTTCTCCGGATCGCGAACCGAGATGTGACCGCTCAGTCCTTCGCAGAATCCCATGCGAGACCAGGCTCTGAAGACCGCAGCCATGTGTTCGAGGAGCCACGCCCGTTCTTTTGCTTTGGAGGTGAATGATGGGATTGCCGGGAGGACTTGATCGCCATGGCAGACAGCCTGGAGCGGAGTCAAGTCCTCACCACCGTGTTTGTGGCCCTCGGAGACCACCGGCGCCGGTTTGACCTGCTTCGCGGACCACACTACTTTTTCAACAGCAGTTTCAGTTGCAGCCGGGCTCATGATTGCTCTGAGTTACTTTGTAGCAGATTGTGTCGTTCGAGGAGGTCTTCCCGTGTCAGTATACGTCTTGACTTCTCGATGTTGAGCGAAGATAGTGATGTGGCTCTGCCTCAGAATGCAAGTTCGCGTGTGGCCCTTATTAAAATTGCTCTGGGCATGGGCGTTGATTCTTCCCAGATTCACTTTCGGAAAGTCTTGGTAATGCAACAGGCAGTAATAGCTCCTTGCGAGATCCACTCTGATCCAGACATACTCGTACAGATCTTTGGACCCTGCGGCGAAGGCAACCAAGCTAAGGGGGGCGACTCGGTGACACTATTCGGGTTAGCCTTGTTTGAACGTGGGTATTTATCCCATACGTGGACTAAATGATCGTGTCCAGGCCCCTTCAAAGCTCCTGCCAAACAATCAGACTGGGACTAGAGACATTTATTGCACCTCACGCAGGAAATGTCTAATATTGGGCCTTGGCGCGAACTCTCCAATGTTCTGCTAGGGGCGTAGCATCAATGAGGCCGCAGCATATCTATTTTCAAAGGGCTAAACAAGCCGTTTGCAGCATTCGCGGTTGACTCTGGAGCACATGTCAAGACCGACCCGTGATAAGCCCAGCTCTGAGCAGATCACACCGGGTCCTCGATCTAAGATAACTTCAAACTGCTGGTGTTATTTTTGACCTTCCTAAGTTTCAGTGCTCGAACTCAGGCTCCCTTCTCGGTTTTAATATCTCCAGGATTCCACTTATCGCTGCTCCAATCCGTAAGAGAGTAAGAACAATCTTGACACAACATGCCTGAGAGATCTGTATTGGAAGAGCACCTGGGGGCTGGCATCGTCAAGATCACCCTGAACCGTCCGGCAGCGTTGAATGCCCTCAATGCAGAATTGTTAGAAGACCTTCTGGCCGCACTACAGAGATGTAGAGATGCCAAGGTCATCGTCCTTGAGGGTGCTGGAGACCGTTCTTTCTGTGCGGGACAGGACCTCAAACAAGGGCTCACCAAGCATGGATCGCATGCCGAGTTACAGGAGGCTTTCACCCATCTGCAGGATGTTGCCCGGCTGACATCTCGCAGCTCAGCCATTATCATCGCAGCGGTCCACGGATTCGCTGTCGGCGGAGGGGCGGAAATCGCTCTGGGTGCCGATTTTGTCATTGGGGGTCCCGCAACCACATTCAGATTCCCAGAGGTTCCGATCGGCCACGCTGCGACCGGAGGCATCACTCAGCGGCTGGTTGCTCTGATCGGTCTGCTCCAGGCGAAGCGATTGCTTCTGACTGGCGCGTACGTGGGAGCGGAAGAGGCGCTTGCGATGGGGCTCCTTACTGAGATCAACGAAGACCCCAAAAAGCGTGCAAAGGAGCTTGCCGAACTTATAGCTGGGCTGCCATCCACATCTCTAACTTGGTCCAAGCAGTCTCTTGAGAAGGCATGCTTCCCAAACGTCGAGCAGGTCTTACAGGACGAGATTGAGAGTGCGAGTGTCTGTTTTGCCCAGTCCGATGCCGCAAACGCATTCAGCGAGTTTGCAACTCGGCGGACAGCGCCTGGTGCGATGAACTTTTCATCTGCTCCAGCTTTGGGCAATGACACGAACAAATGGCGCTCGGGCAACAAAGATGCAAGCATCACGCCCAAAGAGCCGATCTCCAACCTGAATCAAGCTTTGGATATTGCAGTCATGAGATACCCAGATCGGCCTTTCCTGCGTTTCCCTGGCCATGAGATCAGCTACGCTGTTTTTGGAGCCCGTGTCAGCAGGCTGGCTGGGGGACTGAGAGAATTGGGCGTGCAGCCTGGAGATAGAGTACTGGTCATGATGCGGAACTCTATTGAGATGGTCGAGACTTGGATGTCTACTAACCGGTTGGGTGCAATTTGGGTACCAATCAATCCTGAGCTCCGATCTTCGACACTGCACCATGCAGTCCTAGCAGTGCGAGCAAAGTTGCTCATCGTCGATGAAGGAATTTACGCCGAGGTCAAATCAGCCCTTCCCGGAGAGATTCCATTCTATATCAACGGCACAGAATCTGGCGAACTCTTGAATCAACTTCACAGCCTCGGCCAGCCTGTTACGAAAGCGGTCCCAGTGGAATCAAGTACCACCGCGGCGTTTCTGTTGACCAGTGGGAGCACTGGAAGGTCCAAGCCATGCATGCTTTCTCATCGATACTTTCTTGTCACTGCTCAGGGACTTGTCGACGGCCTAGCCCTCGGAGCAGATGACGTGCTCTACTGTCCTTTTCCCCTGTATCACTTAGACGCGACTGGGATGACGGTGGTGCCAGCGCTTTTCCTTGGGGCGACCGCCGCTTTGTCACCGCGGTTTAGTGCTAGCAACTTCTGGCACGAGATCCGCAAGACTGAGGCTACAGTATACGACTTCATGGGCGCAACTTTGGCGTTGATCTTCAAGCAGAACGCTTCATCGCAAGACCGCGAGCATCGGGTGCGAGTCGCCTGGGGAGTCCCAATTCCGGCCTTTGCTAAGGAATATGAGCACAGATTCGGTCATCCGCTGGTCACGCTATACGGCAGCACAGAGTCCGGTCTGCCGATCATCCAACAAGGGGACTTCGCAACAGGGTCATGTGGGAAGCCACGGAAAGGGTTTCATGTGCGGATTGCCGACCCAGCCGGGAATGCTCTACCTCCGCAGACACCAGGACAGCTTCTCCTGAGGAGTGATATTCCAGGCGCTCTCTTCTCCGGATACTTTGACGAGCCCCAAAAGACTGCTGAGGCATTTACCGGTCAATGGATGAACACCGGGGATGTGGCCAAGGTCGACAACCGTGGCAACGTATTTTTCGTTGGTCGCCTAAAGGATGTGATTCGCAGGCGCGGAGAGAACATCAATGCGGCCGAAGTCGAAGAAGAGTTCCTGCAGCATCCCGATGTGGTGGTTGCCGCCGCATCTGCGGTGCCCTCTGAGCTCGGATGGGGTACAGAAGACGATCTCAAAGTGACCGTCCAGCTCCGGGAGTCAAGCTTGACTGACGAAGGGGAATTGTGGAGCTGGTCGGTGGCCAAAATGGCACGATTCCAAGTGCCCGATGTGATTGAGATCGTTCCAGAGATTGCCAAAACGCCGACTGGCAAAGTTGAAAAGAGCCGCTTGAATCGCAAAGGAGGAAGGCGATTCCATCGTCGTAGTTCAAGCCCTGGCTTACATCGACCAAATCTGTAATTGCTGACTCCTGATCAGCCACGACTGCCTCTACTGAGGTCTCATGCGTTTGGCCAGGCTAGGTACCTCGGGACGCGTGGCTTGGGATGCCAGGAACCAAGCCTCGGGGCGACGTGCCGTCAATAAATGCTCTATCGACCTCTTGATGGACAAGAAACAAGGGGCAGCAGCACCTGCGGTAGCCCTTGATGGGTGCCCAGAGATCCCAAATATGATCACGACCTTGATGGTACTGCGAGAGATGGACTATCCTTCAGTAACATGTACATGTACACGGGCCGCATCCTTATCGCACGATGCCAAGGTGCTCTTTCTTGATGACTCCCCAGGTCGTGGCGTGCCCAGAAGCTTTTACAACACTAAATGACACCTTCAAGGGCTATCTGACCAAGATAAGGTAGCTACCTCGATAGGTACTGTATTGTCAGATTGTATAGGCCGAACCTGGAAGATCCGGGGTCACACCTAAGTTACCTGTAGCATATCGCCAAGCTAACAACTAGCCCCGCAATCAACTTATTGATACCGGCGTAGCTAACTAGGTACCTAGGCATTGTCACAGAACGGCCTCGACAACAGAAGAGGGGGAGGCACGGCAAGTCCTCCGTCCGTTCCCCCTCACCCCCAAAATTACGAGGTTGAATATGAATACAATCGTCCAATAAGTGACACTGTAATTCCCTCTTAGCTTGTGCTCCGTGACGATTAAGCTACCTACCCAACTACTCCGTATCTTGGGAACCCTGGTGACAGACCTCGGCGGACATCCCACTATTATCGGTATCATTGCCTGTGCTATGCTTGTCTAATGTAGACGGGAAGGGCATGCAAGAACAACTAGTATAGATCTTATCAGCCCTCTGTGTGGTCTGACGACGAGTCAGTCCCAATGAAAAGCTTCCATCTCTCGACAAGCTCTCGGGGAAAATATGGGAAGGAATAAAACCACCGATGGACTGCGCTCTCGCACTGGTAAGGCGGAATATTCAGAGCCCTCAGGATATATTCCTTGTTGACCGCTCGATAGGCTGCTTACAGTATGTCCCGTCCCCCAATAACACCCAGGCCGACCGGAGCAAGAGATGACGATGGCTTCACCACCCATGGACTGGACATGACCGATCGTAGCTGACACGGCAGCAGATGCCGCCGGCGCCATCGCAAGTGCGGCGAAGAACAACCGGAATGTAAGAAGTGTCAGCAGCGACAGGAGACGTGTGAGTATCCCAGAACCCATATCCAATGGTCTCTGCCAGAGACCGCTGCGACTTGGACGAAATCTCGGCCATCGCAAACTTCCCATATGAGGTCCTTTGCCACTTCTCCCGGACAGCCCTACGCAGTGCCTCCGGACCCATCAACGGTAGAAGTCGTTTGGGATCCCGGCAACGAGAGCCAGCAGGGCTTGTGGGCAGATCTCTCGCCCTTACATGAGGACTCCTTCCAAGATTGGACTCTTGAGTCAGTGGTCAGTGGCAGCGCATACGCTGGCAGCGTGACTTCTCTCTCCAGGAGCAACTATTCCAATGCCAGCCATGACGATGAGGATAGTGGCGAACTCAGCACCCCGGAGGAACCTCGTTTGTGGCTTTCCGACCTGGACCACTTGAACCCCATGGCGGTCAGGGTGGCCTTAGACACCAGCGAGGCTCTAGCTTTTACGTTTTGTGAGTCTTTCGTGAACAAGTCTCAGTGAAGTTACCCTGACAGAAGACTTTGTACATTCCCTCGGTGCTGATCTACAGGACAGATACGGAACGAATCTCTCGCATACTCCCTGCGCACGATGCGCCAGACAATCCCTACCGGCGCCTGACAGCAATTGCGATCCATGCACCAGTCCTGCTACACACCGTCATTTCCATCGCAACCGCCTTCATGCACAACCATGGAGGGTTGGCTACCTATGAACTAACCGCTACGAGACAAGCTCGGGCGTTGTCTTCTTTGAGACAAACCCTGAGCAAGGCACTGAACGGTAAAGGAGAGTCCCGTCTCATCGTGACCGAGGCCATTGTTTTTGCCATCCTGCTGCAGATTTTCTACCTAGCATTGACTGGGGGCATGGAGATCGAGCCACATTTTGCTTCCGCGACGTATTTCTTGCGCGTCCTGGGCTATCTGCCGAAACCGCCCACCGGGTTTTTGGGTCGCGCACTTGTCCAGCGCTATGCAATGATTGATGTGGCCCGAGCTATATATCGCAGAACGCGTCCTCTTTCCGAGGCGGACTTCTGGTTCTACCATACCGGCCATGACCTCGACCAGACCCAGTCATCCTTCAAAATTATGACCGGCTGCCCTCATGCCGTCCTGGTGTTCCTAGTTCAGGTCACAAATCTGGCCGCATCAACTCTAGAACAGCCTGAGACACCGGAAAATACTGCAAAAGCCATCGAATTGGAAGCAGACATGCATATATATCGGCGATCGCAGCCATCGGCGCTCAACGACCCCTTAAGCGAGGCCTTCTACTGGACCGCGCACCTCTTGCTCCAAAGAAGAGTTTACCTAGAGCACCCGCGATCGAGGCGGGTACAGTTTACACGAAACAAGATCTTCGAGCTTGTTCAAAGCATGGCCCTTGGGTACGGACCTGACTCGTCTGTATTTCTTCCGCTGAACATCAGCGGACGCGAGGCAATGACGCTGAGTGATCGCGAATGGATCCGTACCCGAGCTCGTGACCTGACTCATATTTACGGGATTCGCACAAATGAGCATTGTATGAAATTAATGGAGCAGATCTGGGCTTGCGTTGATGCTGGCTGGTCTGATGATTCAACTCTCGAGCGGGAACTACTCGAGATCGAAGCCCAGAGTCAGTGCTTCGTATTCTAATGGATTTCCGAGGCGCCAGTTTCTGGGAGATTCAAACCTTGAAAGCCCCTACTCCAGGACGATTGTTATCTCAAGATATTACTAGGTGCTGGACCATCTTATGGGTTGACGCAAGCAGCGAGGATCTCATTCAGCAATGCTTTGCCCAACCAGCACATCTCCTACAAGTGAATAAGAATATCGACAACGTCAAACGAAGGAAAAGCTAATATGTCCCAATTCTAGCTCCTTTTATTCAATAATACGAACGAAAGAAATCTAGATCTACCCATATATATACTAGCGAAAGATTAAGACGATGATTATTACTAGTCATAATACTCGACATTAGCAAGGAGACGCGCTTTAAGTTTAGGTGGTGCCATGACTAAAATGTCCTCGACAAGGGGCTCAAGGGATAATGTACATCTCGCAGAAGATGATAAAAACCCGTAAGAAGGACACCACGGTCTGCACAGCCAAGTGTTTGGGCTCTGTAAACAAGAACAAGCGTTTCGCCTCTGCAAATTTAGACAGTCGCGTGTGAGATGAGGCTGACGGACTAGAAAAGTAGAGGACCTTTGCGGTGTTTTTGCTGCACAGGTTGCGATGACAGTTGTTTTGCACCTAATATCGTGTTAAACGTGAGACCGGGGATTCAAGTAGACAGAGAGAAGGAAATTGCCAATACTGATCGACATTGCAGCGCTTTAAGTAGTTTTGCGGATCTAGAGCTTCCAGGAGGCCTCAGCTGCTAGCGTGTGCCCATAAGAGTCAAAACCCAGTTGAGGACCTCAGAGACAAGCAATCACAGATCTACCTAGCTGCCACAACTACTGGTGTTATCTGGAGTTCCAAACGAGCATGAACCCAACAAAACCGGTATGGTTAGTGGAAGAACGTGAGAAAGTTTTCGTGGTTGGTTTGCGCCGACTTTCCCATTCGGTTGGTTTTATGGACTGAGGCCAGTGCAGTGCACAAACCGAGGTCGTTCCTGCAACAGCACTCGCATCGTATATCATGGCACTGCCAAAGGTGGTTTAAATGGACAAAGAAGAGAAGTCCTCCACGCGCTACTGCGCTCCTTGTGGCCTCCCGTCAAGTGCTGACCATCGGGCCATGAGACACCAAAAGCTACCCGTGCCGGTTATGTGTTGCCTTGTGGAAACTGCGAAGTATCGGATGATTCTGAGAAAACCTTAAGGATCACACAATTACCCGGATGCTACAACGCGATGGAAGCCACCACTCCTCACAAATGCTCTACTCACATATGCCTTGAATCTCACTCCTTCGTTGTCACCCCAGCTTTGCTGGTCTCGTGCCTAGGAATAACTAGTCAGCGACCCTAACAGCCATCAGGACGTACAGACTTACGAGATAGCCTCCAAATCATCTGTCTGTTCACTGGTAATGACGTGCGTCTTCCTTGAGCGTTTGTATGCATTGAACCACGGGCCCTGGAAAAGGTGGTCGATCTCCTCAACGCTGAGACCTGATAGCTCAGGCACCATGAGGTAGACATATATCATTGCAATGAAGCACCATCCAGCGAAGAAGATAAAGGCTCCCCAGTTATCAGTCTGAGAAAGAAGAGATGGCAGACCGCTTTGGAATGCGTAGATGAAAAGCCAGTGAAAACAGGCGGAGAGAGCACCGCCAAAGGATCGGATACGGTTTGGCCAGAGTTCCGCGCCGAAGACATATGGGAGGATGAGAAGGCATGCTTGCTGTTAGCGCGAAAGCTGAAGAAAAGTATTTTCAATACTTACCAACAGCATAACCAAATGCATGGATGAAGATGAATGCAATTGCGCCTTGGGATGCGGAGCCGGACACGGTACTCTCCTGCTTATACTTGATATACACACCGACATAAATATCTGAGATAAGTTGTAAGAACGTGCCAACGAACAATGATTTCCGGCGACCTAATGCGTCAATGAAGAAAAACGAGGCAATCAAAGTGAAGAACAGCTTCGACAGTCCATACATTCCACTCAGGAACATACTTCGAGTGGGACCTCCACCAAGACCCATAAGACTTAGGATGGGTACAAAGTATGAAGTGATCGAGTTGGCTCCAGATAGCTGTGCAAGTCCATAAGACACCAGAGACTGTTGAACACGGCGCAAGTTCGATGGCACTGTGAAAGTCTCCTTGATGATGCCGGCTAGACCGTCCGAATGATAAAGCTCCTTCTCCCGGCGGATTGAATCTTCGATTTCTCTCAGCTCAAGTTGCACGCGTGGATGTGTAGCGGGCAGCCCTCTGATCCGGACCAAGACCTTAGCGGCCTCTTCATGTCTATCGACCATGAAAAGCCATCGAGGTGATTCGCAAAGGAAGACACTCGCAGCGACCAAAAGGGCCATGTAGATGCATGGTGAGAACCACACGACCTGGAATTGCAGCTTGCTTGTCGGGATGTGTTGATAAACGCCTAGAACGCAGAAGATAGAGCTCACCAGCGAAATCCCCATGGCGACGTTGAACCAGGCAGTCAAAAGGCCGCGGATCTCCGCTGGGGCCAATTCACAAATCGCCATCGGACCCGTCACTGTGAGCGCTCCAATTCCAAGTCCTGATATGATGCGTGCCGCCCACAATCCCGCCAGACCGGGTGAGAAACAGGCCACGAGTTGACCAATAGTCCAGATGAGGGTATATAGACGAAACGACCACAGACGACCGATCCGGTCATTGAGGAAGAAAGATAGCGCGGCACCGACGGCATATCCAGGATAGATGATAGTAATGAAGGTACGTATCTGCTTGGCATCGGTTCCGGAGGTAATACCAAAGTGCTTTTGGAACCCTGGGAGTGACGGGACAACGGATGCTGAACCTTGGTCCCACGCTGACGAATTGACGGTTAGCTGTGGTGGAGGGAAACATCTTCGACAACTCACTGGCGGTTATTGCGCTCATAGCATACAAAACACATGAAAGAAGTAATTGTCGGTTGAAGATGACTTCTCGAGGAGCGCTACGGATGGCCTTCCCATAGCTCGCGATCGGGGATTCTTTGATCAACTTGTTCAGTCCCATTTTGGTAGTGGTCAAGTCACAGATGACTTTTCGTTGTTCTTCTCAAGTATACTGATGTAGTGGACAGAGTTGGTCGTGGGAAGGCAGTCATCATAGGTTCAGACGTCTGTATTTGTGCTTTAATGGACACCAGAAACCAGGAATTTGCTCCATACTCCAGGTTTTGCTTATCAGGGTGCACCGGGAGGTCGTCCGAGCGTCCGGAGTTGATGGATGCTTGGTTCCTTCCAAACTGGTCACGATTGTTCGTGGTGTCTAGATTCGTTAGACTTTCAAGGATTGAATCTAGGTTGAGAAATCGACAATGTCACATTGTTCGAAGTTGGTCTTACCGATAAGGCGACAAAGAGAGGAGGTGATCGTCAGTGGCGCCAGCATAAAGCTCCGGGCTTCCGAGAAATGTTCGGAAGCCCGAGAAATATAGGTGATTCTTGAAAGTCCGGCAGCCTCTCGGGACTGCCGAGGATAGTCGCACAGTCTGATATCCTCCGTCTTACTCGCACCTCTGATCTATCTACGGATACGCATGTAGATCGTAGTAACCTTCCTTCATTCGATAGAATTATCCGCCTCTAGCAAGAGATCCACTCCGCAGCACATCATGGCGAGATCAAACGGTGCATACAAATATGAATGCCACGCCAGGTCGTCGGTTGCATCTCAGTTCAGTTAACAGGCTTCGCTATTACTTACTCACCATGATCTCTCAGGAATCAGAAATTCTTATTGTGGGCGCCGGTGTGTTCGGCCTGAGTACATCCCTATGGCTTGCCAGAAGTGGATATAAGAATATCACTGTTTTCGATAGGTGCCAGTTTGACAAGAACAACTATAACCCCTTGAACGGGTGTGATGGTGCTTCTGCAGATATCAACAAGGTCTTCAGAACATGTTATGGAAAAGAGAAAGAGTAAGCGGTAGACTTTATACCCGTGACGGATTTATCTGACTCCTTCAGGTACCAAGAGCTAGCGATTCAAGCCCGTGATATATGGCTGCAATGGAATAAGACCATCCAAAACAGTTCCCTTTCTGATCTCCCAACTGGTCTGGAGCCTGACGACAAGGTCATTGATCTCTGTGGTCAGTACTTCCTGGCACATGGGTCGGATCTGTCTGGCTTTCATAAAGATAGTTTGGACATGATGGAGGCGGAAGCACCAGAGTCGAGGGCCCAGCAATTTATAAAGGTCGGTTGCGTCATCATTCATGCTCAAAAACAGGTCTGGTCTAAACCATCCTAGGGAAATGTAGAAGATGAAGAACGTCTTGGTCATATCAGTCACAAATGGGTCGAAAAGCTTCACGCCGTTGACAAGATTGCTGGTGGCAACACGAATGGCTTTCTTGATATTGGCGGAGGTATAACGTTGGCTGACAAGGTAAAGCAAAAATGCCCCGGTCAAAGATCATGCTTATCAAGAAATTAGGCTTGCACTTATGCTAGATTCTTATGCCTCAAAGCAGGTGTGAAATTCACACTCGGTGAGCCGCAAGGAAAGATAAAGAGTCTTATCGTAAACGACAGTGGTGTCAAGAAACAAGTGATAGGCATTAAGACTTTTGATGATAAAGAGCATCTTGGTGATCTGGTCATTGTTGCTGGTGAGAAGAAATACGCATCATCACGATCTATCTATCGCTAACATCATTACTAGGCGGTGCTTGGTCCCCGTCAATCATCCCGGAAGCATCATCTGCAGTTGAGGCGACAGCAGGAACTGTTATGTTCATCGACGTTCCAAAACAGAGGAAGGATTTATGGGACAAATTTCACCCCGACAATTTTCCAGTCTGGTCATATCGGAGGGGAGAAGGCGACGAGTGAGTGATCTTTAAGCATGCTTGCACACTCCAGAACTAACTCTTATGGTCGTTGCAGCTACTATCAGGGAGGCTGCTTTCCCATTACGAAAGAAGGGCGACTGAAGTTTGGATTCCGTGGTCGGAAGGTGCGAGCTATATCGCTGTTTTTGCTCGTGTACATTCGCTGATTGCTCGATAGTTCACTAATTTTCGTGAACATCCCACTCAGACAGATCTGTAAGTCTCCCCTGCCCTCAAATTCATATTGCTCGAATGAGTAAATGAAGCTAATGTAACGTCTGGCCGCAGTCGGCTATCGACACCTCGTACGAAATATAGCACCGAGCCGATCAACACGGTGCCCCTTTATGGGCTTCAACTTATGAAGGAGGTAATTAGTGAAGCTTTCCCCGAGTTAGCTGAGATCGGCTTCACTGATAGTCGGGTATGTCGAGAATAACAAGTTGTCAAGCCGAACCACGAAATCTCTGACACTACATATAGCTATGCTGGTACACCGACAGCATCGACAACAACGTAAGAATCATTCGGTCATATTACTGAGCCATATATTGAAACTAATATGCACTAGTTCGTCATCGACTATGTGCCAGGGTACTGTGATTCATTATTTATCTGCACTGGAGGCTCGTAAGTATCTTGCAAAGCTAAAATCTACGACCGACTAAGATAACAACATAGTGGGCATGGTTTCAAATTTCTACCCATTTTGGGTAGAGTAAGTCTGCCCAACTTGCATTATGATATCGTCTCTGTCTAACGCTTCCGCTTAGCACGTCAAGAATCAGCTCGAGCGAGTCCCCGACCAATTCACTACCTTATGGAAGTGGCGCGTGACGAGAGAGGGTGAAATTTGCAATGGACTAGAACAAGGAGAGACTGGACCTCGGGAGCTGTCTAGAGTCAAAATGGCAGCAGGTGCGGATCCAAACAATTCAGACGATCGTTGTCTCCGAATTGAGTCTCACTAACGAATAACTCTAGATCGTGACTTTTACTTCGAGACGACTAAGCATACAGGCATCCAAAGCCATTTGTAGGTCAAGTCGAACAGACTGCCACAATTAATGGAGACATCGTCTTTAGATAGGTTCCTGCATTCTGGGATGGTGTTCTTAGATATCATTTTCGAGATCCATGAGATGAGAGTCAAAGACGAAGGGAATGCTCAAGAGTTCAGTAAGACATTACAAATGGGATTAAAGTAGGGCCGAAGGGGCTCTATTTTCACATAAGCTATGAGATTGTTGCGACGTATGGGGCTGACTATCTATCGCCGAAATCTATTCCGCAACACTGAAGCATCCATAGGTATAAGATTGCGTAATGTATTCGCGCAATGATTTCGAAGGCACGAGCGTTGTTACTACTTGTTCATTACTGGCAAAGCTGTAGAAACCGTGCTTAGCCGGCCAAGCCTAGAGGCAAGTCTTCTGGAAGCTCTTGCCTTCCCCACTTTCGTCATCTCGGCTTATTTTAAGCTTATCTACCTCAATCCAGCTCCAACTCCCTCTCATGTTCCTATCTACGATGCTGCAACTCGTAGTTCAGCATTCCGATGGAGAGTGTTCTCTCAACCAACACACGGCCTTCGACCGAGCAAAGTGATGGGCACAAGCAACGTCCCGAGATTGGGGGGTCCAATCGCCGGAGTACTCATGCCTGTAAGCCTGTTCACCGAGCCTTGCAACACCAGAATACTACTGATGGTTGAGACAGGCCAACGTTGTCGTCTGAAAAAGCTCAAATGTCATCATATTGGACATAGCAAAAAGTAAACAATGCAACGATTGTTTTGACGAACATCTGCTTAAAAAAAACAGCAAATGCGCAGCGTGCACCAGAGCGAAGTCTGGTTTGTGGCTCCCTGGAAGATTGGATCCAATCGCTTGACATGACATCCAGATTGCATATACGACCAAGCTCCCGACGGAATAGCGAGAGGTGCAGAGTAACGTTATCGCGTGAATAATTTAGTCACATCACTGATGGCAACAGATACATCAGCACGTTGGAAGCCCGAGTTGCTTCTTTAGAAGCCGAACTTCGCATTATCAATCCTAGATCGCCTCTCGTGAGCGAGGATTCGCCAGGTAGGAGCTGCTTTGTGGCAATTCATCCACAGTAACCACGTCATCATATTGTACCGACTTCGCTCATTTCGGGATAGCTGGCTTGCGACTGGGAGCAAGGAGGCTACGAAACTCAGCACGAAGTGATGGAGGTTCCTCTGTTGCCTCAGAAACTATTCGCGGACAAAATGGGAGATATTCATTCACAGAGGTGCGAAACGACAACTGTATTTTGATGTGTGCTGATCATTGAATACAGCTGGTCGAAACGTGAGTTGGCATTTATTGTCCCGAGTCGCTTTACGACGACAATTCTCATCTCGATGCAGAAGTCTTCAAAACAACACATTGTCACAAGAACCCTCTGGCAGTATTACAAAGTTCAACGTTCTACAAGGTGGACCGTCTGCTCCTGAGATTGACATTCGAAGTTTGCCTGATCTCCCATCACAAGGCATCGCCGATAGAATGGTCGAAACAGTATATGTGTACACGCAAGCACGCTATTGCATAGTGGACTGGATTAGGGTTCGTGCATGGCATCGACAGAGGGAGCTTATCTGTTATGCTTCCAAAGATGATTCAATTGAACTACAAACAGGTTGACCTTTCTGCACTTCAACACTAATATCTCTCCAATTCTCACTAACAAATCTCAAACCTTAGGAGCATATTTTATTTGGATGATATATGCTATCGGCGCAGTATTCATCTCGAATCCCGAACATCCAGCAAAGGTTTGCGGGCCTTCAACCAAATTGGGAAATGCTAAGTATTTGACAGGCATACTGTGCTCGTGCTCTTCAATATCTCAATCCTGTTCTTACTGGCCAGGATTTGACCACTGTTCAGGCATTACTGACCTTAACCCAATATCAATTTCGAGTCACGGTAAGTCCGTATCCAAATCTCTGAAATCCTTGGCACTGAGGTGCAATGTGTGCAGGGTGGCCCATCAGTGTGGTACGCACGCTCTCTTGATCTTGTAGAGCGGAATCTCATCGATGTAGGCATATTATAGGGATTACGATGCGCCTGTGTATCGAGTTGGAATGTCACCGGAAAACAACCAAGATGATTAGTGGCCTGGATCCCTACACCGTGGAACTTCGAAAGCGCTTTTTCTGGTGTATCTATTGCTTCGATTGGTCAGTGGAGCCTTTTTGGATGGCCTCGCACTGCTGACTCGGTATCAGTCTATCATCGACTATGACATAACGACCATTTGGAATCCACGATATGGACATTGACGTGGAGGTAATTGACACGTAACTCAACATCTTCATAATTCCCACTGACTTCGTTGTAGCTGCCCGTGAATGTCGACGTTACGTGCAATGATCATGATTACATCCGAGTACTGCAGTCCCAACAAGACGCAGGACGACTTATGGGTGACGAAGATAGTGTGACGACAGTGAGGCGGTCTCCTCGACGACGTTAAGAGTCCTGCTGACTTGAGTAATTCACAGATGACTTGTGCACTGTACCATCTTCGGCTATACAGGCTAAAAGCCAGAATAATGTATGGCGTGCACCCTTTGCCGAAATGATACTTACAATCTTTTAGGACCACTCTTTATGGACCTCATTCTTCTCCAGCAAGCCATGCTGATGTGATGAACCTTGTTGCTGCACTTGACCATTGGAGGTCTAAAGTGCCACGAATTTATCCTCCGGGATATCCTCAGCAAACTTATGAACACGTACAAGCAATGTATCTGCAGGGAGTGCTTCTTGCCATGCGCCCTGCATTGACGCAGTCGACGGTCGAGCAAGATCTTCTTTTTCGATGTGCAGAGTCCTCGGCAGAAGCCTGTGAAGTATGGTCGCCGAGTAATAGCGAAACTTCTAATCTAACCTGCTTTCTCAGAATGCCAAGGCGTTGAACCTCAGCCCGCAGACCCACCACTCACTTGTTGGCCTGTATCAGACTTTTCTTTGCGGTATCACATTGCTCCAATGTCTCGCAGTCGTACCTAGCATACTATCGTCACGACGAAGCCTACGAGCTATCATAGCGTGTTCAAGTACCTTGGCAGTCTACACTCGGACGTATACCGTGGCTGCACCATTTCACCAATTATTCGAGAAACTCTCCGATGAGTTCCTGGACACAACCAGAGAGCCAGCCGGGCACGATCCCGCGTATCTCTGCCGCATGCGACTACTGCTCAAGGATATCGCACTTGGAGATCCCGCAGAGATACCTGGGTAGGAAATTAAAGCGCACCACGTCAAGTACAACGCTGATCTGATCTGCCGTAGTATACTTCGATCAATTTCACAACAAAGTAACGTAGAGACTCAGTCGGGCAGTACGAATTTGGAGAATATGGTACGTATCCTTTCGAATGAAAGCCACTAGCCTAACGTACAGGATATAGACCTTTGCACAAGATTTTTCAATGGTTGGGGACTTTCCGTCAATACTTGAAATGGGAGACCTTGCTATGCCATTTGAGACAGCGTTTGAGATCTTTCCAATGGGTGATCAACCCGACGTGGCTGGCTTTTGGGACGACCAGTAGAAGTAGTGTTGGGAATAGACCTGCATCGATTGTGAAATCCATTTATCTATAATTTCTGGACGTAAGACATGGTGCGTTAGTAATTCTGATATAGGGTGGGTGAGATTCCATATTCCTCCCAAACTCTCACTTTACCAGTACCTAAGTACTACCACAGACTACCTAGATTTTTCAGCCAACTCGTCGGCTAGCTCAGCGGCAAGAGCCAAGAGTTTCTCATTTGTATAGCGTGTAAGTTGTGATCGGCCTGGCCGCAACTTGAATTGACTTCGAAATAGCCGAACTCCCGAGTACCATTGATGCCTCATTGTCATGACCACAAGGTAGAAGATCCCAAAGAAGGCAACCAATAGGAGACAGAGCGTGACAAAGATGGCCAATAGGAGGCAGTTTCTGGCGTAGATGACCACCATCATCCCCATGAAGAAGCACAAGGCCAGTACAAGTAGTCGTCAAGCTCCTGAAGACATTTTCGGCACAGTAGTGTTTCGCCTGAGTACTTCGTTGTTGGTGCGTGGCATGGTGCTGCCAGATCAGGGAAGCAGAGGCCGTTGATGCCCAGGTTGCGATCATAGATGTCATGCACTAGTTCTTGAATCGAGTGCAAGAGGGCTGCCTCTAAATGTTCACAGCGGTCGCTAGAGAGTTCCAGTACATGAAGAGAAACAGAAAACTAAGTTAGAGCACTCTACATAGACTTGGGATTTTAGAGCATCATAGAGGACTTTAGCCTCTGGCGGATTCTCACGACAGGCAATCACATATCTATCTAGTACCCAGCCACTGCTAATGTTGCCTAGATTTTCGTAAAACCACGAAATAGATACAAACTCAAAGTGAAGAGCTCTCTTAGGCGTATTGATAGTTCTTTAGATTTGGATAATGGCTAGGTGGCCACCACAGCGACCACGCGATGTCCCTGATCTGCACAGCCTTGCCAAGACAAGGCTCTCGATTCACCGACCGAAGATTAGCCGCCCACGTCATCCTCAATTCCATCCCACTTTGACCCTCTTGGACCTGACAACTGATTCCCGTTCCCGTTCCCTGCCTTGCCTACGATAATCACTGGTGATAGTAGAGAGCTACTCCTATCACAACCTACTTGCATCATGTCTGGCCCTGAAGTGCACCATCTTTTCCACAACCCTATCGCAGACCATTCTTTCTCCGCCGACCGCCAAACTCTTGCGGTTGCTAGGGACAATAATGTCGAACTCTACCAGAAGTCAGGCTCTAAATTCGCGCTCCAGGATGAACTCAAGGGCCACGATAAGACTGTGACTGGTGTGGATATCGCTCCCAACAGTGGCATGATTGTCACATGTTCCCAAGGTGCGACCGATCGTGTGAACACTCAGAGGCCCCCACAGCTGACATTTGCCTTGTAGATCGAAATGCCTATGTTTGGGAGCCTTCTCCACAAGGATGGAAGCCTACTCTCGTCCTTTTGCGCATCAACCGCGCCGCCACTTTTGTCCGCTGGTCTCCCTCCGAGAAGAAATTTGCGGTTGGATCCGGGGCACGTCTCATTGCAGTCTGTTACTTTGAGGAAGAGAATGACTGGTGGGTATCCAAGCACTTGAAGAAGCCCATTCGCAGTACAATTACCACACTGGCATGGCATCCAAACTCGGTTCTTCTGGCTGCAGGATCTACCGATTCTCACGCTCGAGTGTTCTCCGGCTTTGTAAAGGGTATCGACGCTCGACCCGAGGCCAGTGTCTGGGGTGAACGGTTGCCATTCAACACTGTCTGTGGAGAATATCTCAACGAGTCTGCCGGATGGGTTCACGCAGTCTCATTCTCACCTAGTGGTGACGCCCTAGCGTTCGCAGCACACGACAGCAGCATCACGGTGGTTTACCCGAGTGGTCCGGAACAGCCACCACGAGCCATCATCAACATTAGCGCACAAACTCTCCCGTTCACAAGCCTGATCTGGAACGGCGAGAGTGAAATCATCGCGGCAGGATATGACTGTGAAGCATTCAGATTCCGTGGTGGCGAGCAAGGGTGGGAAATCACAGGATCTGTCGAAGCGAAAGCCCGACCGGGCCAGCAGCGCGAGGAATCTGCTCTCAACATGTTCAGGCAGATGGATCTCAAGGGAAAGACGAAAGATGATACCCAGTTGACTACCACGCATCAGAACACGATCAACACCATTCGTGTGTTTGAAGGAAGTGCGGGTGGTGTCAGACGATTCAGCACTAGTGGTGTTGATGGCAGATTGGTCATTTGGACTGCTTAGATATAGACCCACGCTGGGACGGAACAGGTACGAGAAGACGTGATACAATGAGATTATGGTTATAAGACATGATCTGTATCTGAGGTTTTTCTTCGGGCCTCCGTTACATCTTTGCTCTCGACATTGTTGCCGCACATCGTGTCCCAAGGTAAATAGCATGCTCACAACACGCTATCACTGCTGGTTTGACACATCTTGTCAAACTCGTCAAAATCAGCACCACTAAGAGTACATCGTTCAGACTCGACTCCCGCATCAGCGTCTCCAGCTGTAACCTCGGACGCCCTGCCATCATCTGCCCCATCTCCATCTGCGTACACGTCCGCACCGCTTGCCGCTTGCTCGGCCTCCAAATTGATAGCCCTCATCCTCAACATAAACTCGCCCTGTAATCTCGCCAACCAAGCTCTCAGCTCCCCGGGGTCCATCGCCTCCGTTCTGGTTCTCATCCTCGCCTGCTCCAACTGCTCGCGCAAACTCAAAACCAATTTTCTACGGCGGAGCACAGCCGTCGCTCGCGGATTGCGTTTCTTTGCCTCGTTCCGCTCGTGCAGTCGCTGACTCACTTTCGTCGCGAGACTGATGACCGGCTCCGGGAGTGCAGCGACGCGAGCCACCGCAAGGCCGTAGAACCGCGTCGTCTCGTACCCGTCCGCAATGCGGTAGCGCATTTTCATCTTCAAGGGATCGGAAGGGCTCGGGGTCGGTTTGTGGCCATTGGTGCTTGAGTCTTCTTCGAAATCATCAGTTCCAGTGCTGATGTCGACGGTGAGGTGCAAGTTGACGACGCCGGCGCGCTCGGCCAGGATGCGTGGTAGCTCGCGGAAGTGCGTGACGAACCAGACGAAGGCGCGCGATTCGATGAGAGATTCTGCTATCGCGATTGCGATGGCGAGGCCATCTATCGTCGAGGTTCCACGCCCGAGTTCGTCGACGAGTACGAGGCTATGGTTGTTGCTGTAGGTGGCGTGATGGGTACTGTGGCTTCGATTGCGATTAAGGGCGCTGGCGGCTGATGTGTTGGTCCTGTCATCGCCGGTCGTCGCTGTCGTCGAATTTAGATTTCGCAAGATGTATGCTATTTCGCGCATTTCGGCCGAGAAACTCGATACGGTCGCCTCGGTGCTGTCATCTGTGGCAACGCGGGCGAAGAGATTGTGCACGATTGGTAGTGAGGCGTACGTGGCTGGCACAAAACATCCGGTTTGCGCCATCACTGTCGTCAGTGCTATGCTCCGGATGTAAGTGCTCTTGCCACTCATGTTGCAACCCGTGATGATCTGGAAGCGGGTCTGTACTGTCGCAAAGACGTCGTTCGGCACGAAGCGGTCGGCTGCGGAGGCCGCTTGATGCCCACCACTGCCGCCACCACCGCTGCGTAAGATCTTCTCGCCGATCGGATGCCGGCCAGCTTTGACGGCGAGAATGGCGTCTCTGTCATTTGTAAGTTCAGGCTTGACGTAATCGTTCGTCGTGACGAGCTGGGCGAAGCTTGCAAGCATGTCGAGCATGGCGATTCCTTCACTGATCTTGAACAGAGGCTGGATCTTGGTTCGCACAGTGCCGATCAGTTGCTGAATGCTGTGATCGCTCATGCTGATGGCTTCGTTGTGAGCATCTTTGATCTTCTGATTCATTTTGATCAGGTCTAGGGTCTGGCATTCGATGAATTTGCCGCGTTTGAAGGTGTTGATGAAGATCTCTGGGAGACGGCGCTCCTGAAGTTCACTCACGTTGATGCGGATGTAGTATTGGCGAGAGTTGTCGAATTTCAATTCGAGGTTGACCTCGATTTCCTCTATGAGAGATTAGCTTAGCCTGTCCCATCTTCATCCCGACAGATTCATGGTGCTCACCATTCATCTGGCTGACCAGGTCGAAGATGTCCTTGCCAATCTCGGTATAAGTCTGCCTTGCAACATCAAGGAAGCCATTGACGCCGGTCTGTTCATATTAGATATTGAGTGTCTAGATAAGAGACATGTTCGTACTCGAATAGCATAAACTCTTTGGTTGCGAAGCTCTGTGGGCTTCGAAGAGTAACCAACATCGTCATTGAGGCAATACTTGATCAGGTTTTCAATCTCGACATAATTTTCTCTGCCGCATAGCTTGTCCATCATTAGCAGTATTAAGAAGCTCGGGTCTTGGAGCACTTGCCTGCTGTATCAATTTCAACTCTTCACTTTGCGTGCCAGTCAACGCTTGCCAGACTGGTTTGATCGAATCAACAAAGGTCTTGAGCATGAGCACATTATTGACTGATTGTTCCATGTATTGAAAGTCAAGTCGAGTTGGAATAATCACAAGCTATTTCCGTTAGCAAGATTCCGCTGCACCACTCGATTGACACAGACAGCGGCAAGCACACGATCAGCATCGACAAAAGATTTTAGTGCTGCTCCTGGTCAACGAATCCTTTCCTTAGAGCAAAGTCAAATACCTGAGCGAACCGAGAAGAACAGGTCTTCCTTGACAGTAAGTTCGGTAAGAGCTTCATACCTCTTCCTGATCTTTTCGACATCGGTCGAAGGCTGGAGGATATTGCTTTTCAGAAAGCGGGCACCCATGGGGGTCAGAGTTTCGTTCATTAATCCGTACAAACTGTCACGAGATTTGTTGTTGTGGAGGTTCTGCAGTAGCTCAAGTGATGCGAGGGTAGAAGGATCGATCATCATGGATCCTTCCGAGGACTCGAATCTGATCCGAAGAGTCTGAGGAGCAAACGTTGTACTGAGACCGAGCTCCCTATATTTCATTACCTACCAGTATTAGTAACTCTAAGAAGGAGAGTCTTCTATCACATACTGCTGAGAAGCAGCATATAGCGAAATAACTCCCTGAAATGGAGAGCTTTAGTGACTCCAGATCATCAGGGAATGCAAGATGTTGCACATAGTCATGACCACTGCTCTCCGACCAATATTTTCGATCAATATTTGTCATGAGGATCTCGGACCTCTCAACTTCAAGGTTCTCAGCCACGATGGAAATAAGTTTCGAGTCAGCAGCAGTAGACATGTACAGAATCTCGGAAGGTGCGAAGACCTTGAGCTTGTGGCACGTTCGAGCGTATGTCTGGGTGTCTGTGAATTGACAAAGAACGGCTTCGGAGGTGGAGAGATTGACAAAAGAAAGACCAACAGTAGGAGAGATGCCCCGAGATTCGCTGATAGCACACAAGATCTCATTGTCAACATACCCTGTCGAGGTTGCTCCTGTCCGTGGACGGGAGCGGCTCGCAGTGTGACTTCTGGAGTTGGTGGACCTTGAAGAATACCTCCCGTTAGAGGTTCCCTCCGAGGTGACGATAGAGGCTGAGCGGGATAACATGATATGGCTCGCCCTGATAAGGCCGCTGGTGTTTGGGGCATGTTTGATGACAGGCCTGCCGTGGTTGGCAATCAAGAACTTGGATGCCTCCGGAGAAATGTTTTTCCTCACTGTGCGTAACTGCCTTATGACTTTGCGGCTCAGAGACTACGATCAAAATCCAATACTTACTCATCTTGGGATAGCAGAGCACATCAAATACCAGTCAGCAGCAGCCGCTCATAGTGCGATCGAGGTCTTCTCATGCCAATGAAATCCCGAGTAAAGCCAGGTGCTGAATACCAAGGATGAATTGGTTCACGCAGAGAGGAAATCAATCCATTGCACTGTTCCTCCTCACCGACAGCATGACATGGGAGTCTTCGGTGTTGCCCAGTGACAAACGCCATCTTTCGCCTCGCTGCTACCAAGGTGAAATGGTAGATCTTGAGGTAGCCACCTGGGAGCCGTGGCGAGCCGCCAAAAGCTGATCTGGCATGAGCTGAGGTAAGCACTCCCATTTTAATTGGTGGCATACCATCTATCCCCTGGGGGTTGGTCACAGCGGCCTCCGCTCCCATTACTAAGGCGAAGGTAATCCAAATCTGTGTGAAGAGTGGAAGATCGATGATTCTCCTGGAGAGTGTTTTGACCAATCTCGCCCCGGCTACTGAAGTCTCGCCCTGCTATGTAGTGGGAATAGTGTGTTGGACACATTTACTCTTGTAGCGAGTCCTTCACCTTCCGAAGCCAAAGAGTCCCTCGGCATCATCGCCCTTCCGTTTCTATGGAAATTCAATACCTGTTCGTGGAATACAATGACTCTGGGGGCCGGCCCTCTGAACAAGCTCAGAGGCGCGTGAATGCACATGTGCAGCAAAACTATCACGAGCACACACGCAATGTGGGTAGTCGTACGCCAGTTAAGCTTACCGTTGGCGATTCCCAGCCTGGCGCATCCTTGCGATTTCGAATCCGACCTTTTGTACGAAGCAAGGTAGAGCCCCGCTCTCGCGGACATCGACTCCTCGCGAAGAAGGAGCAAGCATACCCGGAGCCTAGCACCCGCCAGAGACATTCTGGTGATGAATCAAAAGCCATGATACTCAGATCAAAGACAGCGGATCTCTCCTCTATGATGAGGTCACCAGATAGTCGTGCTGTAGACCCGTTCGGTGTACTGCCATGGCACCTGACCAAGGAGGACTCCAGTCTGTTACAACAATTTCAACAATACGCGAGGTGGCCATGGTGTCCTATCAGTGGTCGGAGTGAATGGTCTTCATTTACCGTGTCAGATGAGCTGGTCTTTCGAGTTACCATGTATAGTTGGACGTTCCACATGCGTGGGCGGCATCCGGCAGTAGACCAAGTCCATCAGGAAAGGCACGAAATGGCTGTACTTCGAAACAAGCTAAGCACGATAGCAATTATCAATGAACGTCTATCAGATCCGGAGAAGGCCTGTAGCGACGAAGTCATCGCAGCAACGGCAGCAATCATGAACGCAGAAATCGCTTCGGGATCTCTGGAGGATGCGGATGTCCACATGAATGGTCTGCATGCTCTCATTTTACGCCGAGGTGGACTCAATACCCTTTCTACTCCTCGACAAGCCTTGGTGCAGCGTTTGTGTGCCTGGAATGACTTAATGCATGCCGAGCTTCGGGGCACTCGGCTTCATTTCCCTGCACTTGACTTATGGGCTCAAGCTTGGAGCCATCTCTCCCGCATGGACGACCATATCCCCCTCCCAGGCTTATCCGAAGGGGAACTGAATGCTGTAGGGATTCCAAATTTTGCCGTCTTCAGACTTCTGCATGATATGCGCATGCTTTGCGAACTGGAAGGTCTACAGCCACTTACTTCACTTCCAGAAGAACAGGCCATGCGAAGGAACGATTGGTTTCACAGACTAGAATGGAAGCTTCACCGTATATACGAGAGCACCACCCCTGATCTAGACGACAGGCATAACCGCATTGTCCATGTCATTGCCATGGCAGCCTTGATTTATGCTCACCACTGCCTCCGGGGTAATGGACTCGGCTATCGCAGCTTCTCCGTCCTGGTTCCCAATCTCTTGAAAGGATTACAAACACTGGAACGGCATGGTGAGACGCTGGGTTTCGCGCCTCATCTCAAAGTATGGGTACATGCCGTTGGTGCTGTGACAAGCAAGAAGCTTAATATCGTGCATGAAGTGTTCATGGATCAGCTTACGCAGCTATGCGTTGATTGGAAGCTGGAGCAGCATGACTTCCTCACCTATCTGCGGCAATTCTTATGGTGTGATCGCGTAGATGAATGGCGCTTCACTGAGCTCTGGAATGAAATGAGGGAACGCTTACCCTGTCAATGAGCAGCATACTCCCTTCTTTCGAAGTTCTTGTGAGACGAAATTAGAGAATTACATTGCCAGACTGTTCTCAAGTACTGGCCCTACGTTACTTGCGTTTTTGAGTCAGTAAGCCGATTGCTTAATCGTTTCGAAACAAATCTACACGTCCAAGGTAGAGGTTACACTTCAGTAGTGCTAAGAGAGCTACAACTTATGCCTCGAACGACATTGCTATCCACAATAATCCAAGCCAAATCCAATATGCAGGTCCAAGTCGAACTAATAACTGAATTGCCCTTTTGGGAGAAAGGGTTTCCGTTCTGAGAAAAGCGTGCATCCTGAGGCTGACTAAATAGTCTGTAGTAGGAAGCACCGGGGATGAGTGATGTTGAGAAAATAATCGGACAACGCTGATGAACAATTCAGTATACTGATACTTCAGATTAATCATCCAGCTTTGGCATGTCTGTCTGAAGATATAAGATTTGCGCCGTGGACGAGACATTCCTTCCGTTCATGAAACGGCGGGAACGATCAACATCTTTTCAAGCTCCATCCATGCCTTCTCACAAGATCTACACGAATGGCATCTACCACGGATTGCCAACCTTCCCTGAACACGATGGCAAGCAGTACACTGCTCTCGTACTAGGCGCAAGTGGCATTACGGGTGCATACTTCGTCCGTGTATTGTCTCAGTCTCCTTTGTGGAAGGAGATCTTTGCCATCAGCCGCACTGCACCTCAAGGCCCTCTTCCGAGCCACGTTCATCACGTCGCAATCGATCTGCTTCAAGACCCTGCTGCGATCGCGGAGGCGTTTAAACGCAACAAGATCCGACCGTAAGCTAGATTGTCGTTACGTCGTTCCTAACAAGCCAAGCATTCTCATGTTCAATTGTAGGGACTATGTCTTTTTCGCCGCGTATATCCAGCCACCTCCAATATCAGGAAAAGGACTGTGGTCCGATGAAGAGGAAATAGAACGCATCAATGGTAAGATTGGCCCCGATGAGCTATAAGTTGAGATAATGTACTTACCTTGACCAAGTTTTGCTCCTGAAGAATTTGCTGGAGAGTCTCGAGGCCGCGGCGTGCCGTCCCAAGCGCATCGTCCTACAGACCGGCGGGAAGCACTATGGGCCCCACCTCGGTCCTCCACTGTCGCCCATGGAGGAAACCGATCCCCGCTACCTTCGCAACCCAAACTTCTACTTTGCACAGGAGGATCTGCTGTGGTCTTGGTGCCGCCGGAATGGCGTCTCTTGGAACGTTACACGTCCAGCTTTCATCGTCGGTGCTGTTCCTACTGCCGCGATGAACATAGCATACGGACTTGCAGTTTATGCCTCGGTCCAACGGGAGCTGGGTGGAAAGCTCGACTATCCGGGGACCGTGACGGCTTGGGATACGGAGAAGCACCTTAGTTCAGCGACACTGATTGGGTACCATGCTGAGTGGGCAGCACTCAATGACGATGCAAAAGACCAAGCCCTCAATATCGTCGACGATAGTTTGTTCACATACGGTAAGTTTTGGCCCGTACTCGCCGCTTGGTATGGTGTCGAATATGGCGTCCCGGGAGAGACAACTACGAGCGTGACGCTGCCGGCTTCACCGCCACCTCGTGGATTTGGACCCCCAGGGACGATCCACTATGCGTGGTCATTTCAAGACTGGGCGAACCGACCTGATGTGCAAGAGGCCTGGACTAGGCTTGCGACAAGGCATGGTTTGGTAAAGAATCCTTTTGAAAAAATCGTGGATATCTTTGGGATTCTTGATGGTGATGTCTCCGGACCGTGGCCGCGAAGTATGAGGTGGGTACCGATTACCCCGATAAGAAGAGAATGTTGTGTGGTAATTTTTGGCTAATCGCTTGATAGTGTTGGCAAGAGCAGAAAACTGGGCTGGCATGGCTATGTTGATAGCCATGAGGCGCTTTACGAGGCTATTGAAGGGCTGGTGAATCTCGAAATGGTCCCACCAATTCCCAATGCCGACAGCCAATCGATTAAGTATCATGGGTACTGAAGGCGATCTTGCTTAAGATTCATATCGGGAGGGCTCACAATATCTGGTCCATATACTCGCTGCCCGTTGGGCCTCCGCAGGTGCACCAAACCCCCTCCAGGTTGCCCCTAGGAGTCTAAGTGTTGCTTGAGTCGGAGGATTGAAGTGGTGGCCGCGAAAAACCAAAAGTGCATTAACAGGATGAACATCAAACCTCAAGTCCTTATTATCACTACTAGATAGTGAATAACGAAACACGAAAGTCAGTGAACCTCTACGCTCGATTTCCTCCCCTGACTCGTCAAAAATGTTCTATTCTGGGCTAGCACTGGATACCGTAGGTGCCATTCTAGTCCATAAGTCCAATATATTGACTTATCTCGGGGCCATGGGTTCGACCTGCCAACAAAATATGCAAGTAGTTTTATCCATCCATAAGCCTCGAACTGCAGTCTTACAGGCTTTTACACATGACAAGTATGGAATAGCAATGTAAACCATATCACGGGATCCATCGGTATGCCAATAGCTTCATTCATTAATGACGACTGCTGTGGTCTTTTGGCGCAGAATACCTTGTCGAGCACGAATTGATGCTTTGGAACGCCGCCACCTATATCGATGCAGACTATGGGTTTCTAGTAGTCCCTCTGGATACTCGCTCCTCAGATAAACCCACTTCTAGAGCTGGGCTACCATGGTACCGTTTCCCCCTTCCAGTTGATGTATCTTCCTGTATCAGAAATATCGATTGTGTCCATCAAATTCGCCACTCCATTGATGTACTCTTCCATGTCATGGCTGAAACTGAAGCCGCTCATGCGAGTTGCCAGGTGACCAGAGTATACAGCCACAACGGCGATGTTGTCACCATTTGCCCGTGCCTCCTTTGCGATTGTCATGGTCAGCTGGTTGAGGGACGTCTTGGAGACTCGGTAGCCAAGATTCATCCCGTTGTTGTCTGTGAATGATGTCATTGAAGTGATCAGTGCAATCAGTTCAAAAAAGCCATCATACTTGTGATAGAAGCAGAACCAGAAGATATGTTGATAACTTTGGCGAATTTGCTGCGTTTCAACCCTGGATAGAAATGCTTGATCGCTTGCACCGGTCCCTATCGATTGTTAGGGACACATATCAACGAGAGAGCCAATGGAGGGAGGCATGAAAGCCCAGGGTTTCCTACGATCACATTCGTGCTGAATAGTCTCATCATATTTTCGGAAGTATGCTCATCCCATTTGAGGTGCTGGGTTCCAACCGCTGTACGACATGAGGTTAGCCTCAGATCTTGATGACGATTTCACTGGGTTGGGCACTCCATACCGCCATTGTTGATTAGTAAATCCAACGGGCCTGATCCAAAGGCTTTGGAAGCATTGATGATGGACTGTTCATCGAGCTAGTCGATCTCCAGGATTTTTACGCCCGTTTGTTGGAGCTGGCGGCAAGAACGACTCGTTAGCTAGCGAGTGGCTGAAGCCCTCAGGATGTCTCACATCTTTCACAGACTCGTCTTCTTTGCTTGACACTCTTATGGAGCCAGTTGCCGTCCAGCCTCGGGCTTGCAGCGCTTTCACGAGCCTCAATCCGATGCTGCGATTCGCTCCTGTGCAGATAGATGTCAGCCAAGTTATACCCGGCCTACCACTGTTTGTGTAGCGCAGTCACCTATAATGAGTGCGGTTTTGCCCATCGACATGTTCAATCATTCTCTGTCGCATCAATTCATCGGAAACGCACAAAAACCATCAGGTCATACGCATAGTCGCTGTCTGGAAGATCAGAGAAGCGATCACCCTGTATCTCGAGGCGAATGTTGCGAGCCTCGGTGGCTAACTCAACGGCCTTAGATGCCTCTCATTTTTTCTCATAGGCCTTGGAAAGCTTCCATATAGCTCTCGCCGAGTCTCCTCGATCGCCCTTCTCTATCTCGTTCATTTGAAATTTCAGGTGTGCTTGCTCATAAAGTTTACTGGAAAACATTGTCAGTGAATGATTGGCACCAAGGAGTACAATAAACTTGCATTGCGTCGTCAACACGATTTTGTTCCATGGCCACGTCTCCAAGTTTCATTTCTGCAGAAGATGTTGACGGGTGATTCTCGTTCGCTTTCAGATAAACTTCATGTGCGTTTTGGAAATGCTTTTTGGCTTCTTCAAACTTATGCTGTTGGAACATGATGTTTCCACGCTTGGATTCACCACTGTGACATGTCAGTTGGTCGTGTTGAAGTTGGATACCAGCGAGACAGACCTGGCCCAGAAATGGGACTTGGGGCCAAAGTGATTCACAGCAAAGCGTTGTGCTTCAGCCACATGGTGTTCTGCTTTCTCGAAGTTGTTCGCATGGATATAAGTAGTGGTCAAGTTCAACTGCCGCGTATGCAGGATCTTGTTCCGCTCAAACTTGTCCTTCTTCATGTCAATCTCCAATGCTCTCAGCAATGTCTGTTCTGCCGCATTGAGCGATTCCGGAGTTACCTCACGCGTTAAGTATATATTTGCGTAATTGTTGTACAAGTTGGCGATTTCCTCGTGATCGGGTGGTAGTAAGTCTTTCCTGATCTCCATGGCTCTGTCGATCAAGGATAAAGCATTCTTAGCTTTGCCTGATTCGTATTCGACAGAGGCAGCGGACATCAGGAGATGAGCGTACTCGATCGACGTTTTGTCCTCACAGACGTCGAATGCAACATTGATCAGAATTCTGAACTGACTCCAGGCTCCACATTCCATCAAGTACCTGTCCATTAGCATTTGAGTTCACAGGAGAATCTGTTGCTTACCAGCCACAGCTAGTTAGAAGCGCTGTGAGATCATCCTATTCATAGGACTCTTGCTGCTTCAGGTCGTGCTCTAGATACCGGTTGCAAAGCGCTAGAGCGTGAGGGATGTATTTCTTACAAATATGCCAATCGTGTCGCATAGCAAGGCCATTCACTGACCTGGGAAAGGCCTGGCAGAGCAGTTTTGCAGCCATCAAGAAGCATTTACGACGGCCCTCTGGGCCTGCCCAGATTCGATATTGTTCTTGCATGAGCCTGTGAACTCTGAAAGTTTCCGTGTCCGGATCTCTCCCAATGAGCGAAACACTGGTCAATTGCTCGATCACGTCCTCGAACCTGTATAGGTCAGCAGCGGTCATGGTAGGAAGAGTTCTGGCTTACTCAGACGATTGGTGGCAGAACTCCAGTTCTGGTATGCCTGATTGAACCTGTACTGGCTTGAATATCTCTTCAGGTACCCCATCTGGTGCAACGAAACAAAAGACCCCTAATAAGGGGATGGAACCGCCATGTAGAGACAAAAACGAGGTTCTGTAGACAGTCTCCAGGGAATGCCTATAGTAAGTGTTTTGAACCCCCTTCTCGGGAGTCTTGTGGTATCTTTCGAAGTCCGCTTCGTAGTTGTGCAAGAAAACAGATATCTTGGCTCGTTTGGTCCGAATTTGAGTGGCCATAAGGTTTAATGCCAGAGGTAGGCCACCAAGTCTTTCGGCCAGTTGTACTGGCGGTTGGTTCTCTGTCTCTGAATACGATTTCCGTTTAATAATCGACCGCAAGAACTCTGCCCCTTCGTCCTTTGTAAAGACGTCAATTTCAATACCCTGTGATGCTGGATCGACCGCAACAATGTCAGCCCGCGAGGTGATCAAAACCGGCCCTTTCGGTGACACAGGCAGACAAATGCGGATCAAGTCAGGATTTTCAACATTATCGAAGACAAGCAACCATTCAACGGCTGCATCAAGATCAGCCTGTCGCTTCAATGAGACACCGCTTTTGAGCACTTACACATCTTCTGCAGCAACTTAGTGACGACGAATTGATTCTGATTGCCACTTGCGTCTCAAACTCGATCTTCCAGTTCCAGCAATTCGGCAATGTTTGTGAAGCTTTGGTAGATATCGATCTGAGTCTCACTGTTGACCCACAAAATGACGGGCACACCCTTAGCCTCACGCTCACGGGCATAGGCTAGGGCAAGCTGAGGTTTCCCGATACCACCCATTCCCCATACGGCGAACGTACGAAATTTGATATCCCCTGGGTCATGGTCCAGGGCACTACGTATCGCGTCCAGCTCCTTCTGACGAAAGCAGAAATGGGGATTCTGCGGATAGGGGATGTTATTTCGACATGGAACGATGTGGCCATCACTAGCGAACATGTCAGTACTTTGGACGAAACCTGTGGTGAGCTTCTCAAGGTCTCGGATGAGAAATCCATGTTTTGTGTGAGAGGTGATGTGTTTCACATGGTGTGCTTCGGACTTGTCCTTCAGATGTTGTGTTCTTGCTTGGATGCTATCCCTATACTTCTTGTGATTCACTTCTACCAGAGCCCACTTAGTATCCAACTTAGCGTCTGATCGGCATCAGCAGTCACCTCTTGGGACATGGCCCACAAAGCGCTTACCGCGGGTGCTGTATCTAAGAGCTCGTATTATAAGGACCCAGCAGGCGACTACATCAGCGAGGCTGTCGATTAGCTTGCACCCTAGGCTAGCATCCTGTTTCAATAAAAATTTGAAATCTCCAAATCTGTCCAGATTGCCTGCGGTTTCCTCAAACATGTCGACAAAGCTCGAAAACTTTTTGGAGGTCACCGATAACTTCCATTGTCAGACATGGCAGACTCGGCGTGACTCGAACTCACCTTGAGTAGGACATCCAGAATTCCCCAGACGATAGAAGTGCCTGCTAGTTGAATACATTCAAGGCCCATCAGAAGATCCATAAAAGTGATGAGTTGATTGAGACCATGGAGAATGTGCTGAAGCTTGACGACAGTTGTAGTACTCTGTGAAAGCTGTTCGAGGCTATCGACATTCTCCCGCAGCTGCTGATACGTCGTACATCCTTGCGCATTGCTAGAATCCAAAGGACCAAGATCGATCTCAAATCTAACAAGCGATTCGTTCCACACAATGTCGCAGTAAGCACTCCTGCAAACCCATACATCAGCCAAAATTAGTATGACATCTCCATCAGGGAGCTTACGCATTGGTGTCGAGCTTCACAAATGCTGACAATGAATCAGGGTCCTGAATGATAGGTTAGAGCATAGGAAAGAACGAAGAGCCTCAAATGCCTCCTACCGTCTGAGAGGCGCTGTTGCGAATGACAGATATGTGAGATCCACCAGATGTCGACATTTTCGCTAGCTTGGTGATGATTTGTTTCCAGCATCAATATCACGGCGTAGGAATGATAGAGAGCTAAAGTATATTCTTGGGTGAGCTCGCATCTCCGGCTTTGAGCATCAGGCAAGGAAGGGCTGCTTTCAGGCGCTTTCATTTCCGATCCTGTACTCGGTACAGTGCCCCCAATACCAGTACTGTAGATAAAGTTGAAACGCTGTGGTATCGTAGGCTTTGACGAACCTACACGGCCCAAGCTGAATCGCTGCGGTGTTTCAGTGAGTCAATAAAGTGACACTTCACCTTGAGACGGGAAGGATCCTGGCCATTCGCTGGAAAAGAGAATACACACGGGATAAGGCTCGACCCAGCCAGTGGTCGAACTCGTTTCTGCATGCAAGCCTCCGTCTCATCACATGTGAATGCAGTCTGGCTCAATTGTTTCCAACTTCGGCTACAGTGCACCCCCTAACCCCTTAGTTCACATCGTCTTTCCTAGTGATCACAATAGTCCGAGCCTCAATACTTTCGCAGGGTGACGCCCCGCCTAGCGCGAAAGCTTTGTGCAGAGCCAGAACCCATCCAGAATCAAACTTCTTTGGAATGATCGTCGAGATTTGCTTCGGTGGTATACTCTTTGGGCCGTGATTATTATAGGGGGCGTTGGGATCTTGCTCGCAATTCTGCAAGTCATTCTCAGTGCCATGCAAGTGGTTCTCGCCTGGAAAGCCTTGAGTCAGGATCGGCATGATTCAAAATAGGCTCTTCACAACATGCCAAATTGCTTGAGATATCCAGCTGAACAGGTATGTGGGCCACAACAAGGTGGTTTTTTCAGAACGGAGGGAGCCAGGCGTTTGCAAGGAGTGAGGACCCAAGGAGCTTATCTATGTCTAAGCAGTAGATATGCTTATACATGAGCTGACTGCTTACCACCGTTGAAGAACTCCTACAGGCGTACTTATTTCGGTATTTCGTACTTGTCATGCAAAGCAGGCAGTACATAGCGTGGGAATGAAGTCGTGGTGCATCGAGTGCCATCCCGAGAGATAAATCCAAACCGGACCCTCACCAAGGACGGCGCGACAGCGTCAATTCCCACGCGCGCATAATTTGAGTGTCCGCACATAAGCATCGTCAGATATAGGGATGCATCTCGAGGTTCATCCTCAGGGTTCTTTGTCATCCCTAACGACACTAGAAATCTTCATTATGTGTCTTAAGGAAGAGCGGTTGCCCAGGTAAAAGCTGAAAAGACTGCTCCCAGCGTGGCAGCTTAAGTACGCTGGAGAAGAGGGATGAACCAGTGAGACCTAGGATACTTACCTAGGTCTTTAGAGTGTGCATCGTGACGCATGTCTGCCGACTGCAAACTATATCTATCGATCACAAGCCGTATCTCGGGGATGTTCAAGATATATCCGAGGTGCATTTCAGTTGCAATCCTAGGAAGCTTGTCTTTCGACTCTCTGGGTTGGGGGACATACAAAAGTGCTTAGATACAGGCAATTAAGTTGCCGCTTTAAAGGGTCACGCTGAGGAATTAACACGTGACTCTGACTGCTGACGTAACCCGGCCATTCCCCGCACTCTTTGGACCAAATAATTTTTCTGGACTGGTGGGCGACTCAATTGACCTTGCCTCGAGTCAAACATCTATCACGAAATAAACCTATCCTTCTCCCAGCCATGGCCACGATAGTACCCCCTCCCAGTAAACGGCAAAAACTGGCGGCGATTGATAAAGCAGAAAGAGCCGCTGAAGACGCGCGAATTCCCGACGATTTGGGCAATGTCCGAGTCCAGTTTATCGACCAGAGTACGGGCAAACCAGCAGGGCCGGTAGTGGCCGTCCCTGTCAAAGATGCCACTGTCAAGAATCTGGAGACATTGTTGAATTCGATACAAGGAAACGTATAAAGCCCCCATGATCACATCTCTCAAACAATATGGCTAATCCCTTCTAGGAGCCGGGAGAACGACTGCCATACCGCTTCTTCTTTCGCAATGATCGAGCCTCAACAGATTCGGGCGCGGAAGTACACGATGTCGAGTCAGATATCTATCACTCAGTACTGCGGCCTGGTTTCAAAACCACCGAAGACAACATCATTCTCCAGTTCATTCCACAAGCCGTCTTCCGAGTGCGTGCAGTTACAAGATGTTCGGCCTCGATATCAGGTCATGGGGAAGCAATCCTAGCTACGGCATTCTCGCCTGAGTCGTCGTCTAGAATGGCCACCGGAAGTGGAGATAACACCGTAAGAATATGGGACTGTGACACCGGAACTCCCCTGCATACATTAAAAGGACATACAAGCTGGGTTCTAGCAGTTGCCTGGTCACCGGACGGGCGGATACTAGCAACTGGTAGCATGGACAACACAGTAAGACTCTGGGATCCTAAGAGTGGCGAGGCTCTTGGAGGGCCACTAAAGGGCCATACGAAATGGATTACAAGTCTGTCATGGGAACCATACCACAATCAAGCACCAGGAAAACCCCGCCTTGCCTCCGCTTCGAAGGACGGCACTGTTCGAATCTGGGACGTCCCTCTACGGAGGATAGAAGAGACACTATCCGGCCACAAAAGCTCCGTGACTTGCGTACGCTGGGGTGGCTTCAACCGAATATTCACGGCCTCACAAGACAAAACCATCAAGATCTGGAACACCAAAACCTGGAACTGCCTACACACTCTCTCTAGCCACACCCACTGGGTCAACCATCTCGCTCTATCAACCGACTTCGCCCTCCGCACCTCCTACCACGACCACACGGGGAAAGTCCCGTCAACCACGGAAGAAAAGATCCAGAAAGCAAAAACCCGCTTCGAATCCGCCGCACGCCACGAAGGCCAACTGGTGGAGAAACTCCTCTCCGCCTCCGACGACAACACAATCTTCCTATGGAACCCCACATCAATAGACCCGTCCTCAAACGCGGCCATAAAACCCATCGCACGCCTGCTGGGCCACCAGAAACAAGTCCTGCACGTCAGCTTCGCACCGGACGGGACGCGTATCGCGTCGGCGAGCTTCGATAACAGCGTGAAGCTGTGGGATGCACGCGACGGCAAATTCATCACCACACTGCGCGGCCACGTCGGCGCGGTGTATATGGCTGCGTGGTCGAGTGATTCGCGGTTACTGGCGTCCGCAAGTAAAGACACGACGGTCAAGGTGTGGGATGTCCGGGTGGGCAAACTCAAAGAGGATCTTCCCGGGCACAAAGATGAGGTATTTGCGCTGGATTGGAGTCTTGACGGCAAGTGTGTGGCTAGTGCGGGGAAGGACAAGGTTGTCAAACTGTGGAAGCATTGAGTGTCGACTTCGAGGGTGGCCAGGGCGATATAAGGGCAGTCGTCAAGCGTTCCCTATTCCCGGAGACTGGGACCATATGAAGTGGTGTGCTTATACGAGTTACGATCGTCAACGAACCATAGCGCGGACATAATACTGTCTAAGTAACAATGGAAACGCATAGATGGGAAAAGTGGACGGAGTTTATTTGGTTGATACCCTGATTTTGGCAGGCCCATGGGAAAAGCGAGTCCTTGGAACTACTGTTAGAACATGAATGCATTATGATGCCGGATTCTCTCATCCGTATATGTGCTCGTTTGTATGCCAGCGAGCGACCATTGCGAGATCTTATCCAAGGTGAGTTGGGCCTTCAGGTGACGCTCATACGGGCAGCACCGACTCAAAGTGAAAATGAAACCATGGAGCTCAATTGAAAAATATTCCTGTATGATACGTCTTTGATTGTTACAAACAATAAGTGCACAGGCCATCTTAACCACCCCGAGCTGCAATGTGAGAGAGGTTGGCTGCAATTCTCGCTCCTCTCTAGCCACCTTTGCAACCACAAAAAGAAACCCCGATTGCCTTTCTCACATACAACTGTGCGTTCGCGTTTTATTTTTGATTCATTTGGTTTGTTGATCCGGCAAACGTTCATCTTCGGATTCGGCCTTGTACAGGAGGATTGTAGACAATCTTTCTCGTCTTGACTGCTGCCCATTTATATCGCTTGACCCAACCGCTGATGGCGAACAAAGCAGCGGAAATGATCAGAACCTTCATACCCATCTTCTTGCGCTCGTCCATCTCGGGTTCGGCGGCCCAATTCAGGAATTCAACCACGTCCTTGGCCATTTGAGACGATGTAGCAGGGGTCTTGTCTTCATATTCGACCAATCCGTCGTACAGCACACGGGCCATTGCAATACCGGTTCCAGGGAAGTATGGGTTGAAGTTAAGACCAGATTGAACTTGAGCACCGGCAGGAGGTTCCTCGGGATAACCAGTAAGCAGACTGAAGATGTAGTTGCAACCACCGTGTCGAGCCTTGACAATCAGGGAGAGATCCGGAGGAAGGGCGCCATTGTTGGCAGCTCGCGCGGCTTCGTCGTTCTTGTATGGTGCTGGGAGATAATCTGAAAGCTTTCCGGGTCGTTTCTCGATTTCACCCTCGTCGTTGGGCTCGGTATCGAATTCGTTTTCTTCAGCTAGAGCTTTGGCTTCATCGACAGTCATGATATTTCCGACCAACGACCGATATGGGATACGTTTGAGCGAATGGCAAGCAGCACAGACTTCTTGGTAGACCTGGAAACCTCTTCGTAATCTATACAGTTGTTAATGCCCATTTATTTCCAATTTCTTTTCGAAGTTTTAGAAAACAACATACCCGGCGTGGTCGAATGTTTTTGTCCATTTCTGATGTTCCCAGGGGTATTGTGTTGCATGAAGACTATGAGCGAGGATTTAGTGACCTGCAAGACTCCCTCCCTATCGATGGAGCTTACCCTTCCTCGGCAGGCGTCATGGCAAAAACCTCTTGGCCGAATAAATGATAATACCAGGCGATGGAACCTACGGCAGCCACCGTCGCAGCGCTTGAACCTGCTGTGAGCCAAAAGGGGGGAGATGAGGCGGTGGATGAGCTGGAGGAGGCGGCACGCTATTGACATATCTCAGTACAACTCGAGGGGACCAGAGATTGGAACAACTGACTGTGGTGGTTTTGCGGGCCACAGTTCGTGTAGCTACCCTCAACGGGGCGCTGGCACTGCGGAATGCCGACGTGGCCATCATCTTGTCTGTGAGGCTGTGTTGCACTCCTGACAGATGATGGGGTACTGTCTGCCGAGAAGGAGGATTGGTGGTGGAGGAGGTGGAAGAATTGGACTTTGAACGTGAAGTTAAGCTGGAAATCGACCTGCGGATTCAAGAGAAGTCGAGCTTGAAGCTTTTGGAAAGCGCCGATTGCAAGCCTGGTGATTGGCTGCGGTCTCATTGATGATCCGTTCAGAAAAATACAGTCACGTGGATCAGCGGTGATCGGATTATCTGTTTTTCCTGATCCGGCGCATTTTTCGGAGACGACTTAAAGTGAATGCATCATCACCACCAAGTCCTATCAAGTTGCACTTCATCAGAAGGTGAAGTTCCTCCACGCCTGGGCAAGTCAACCACTTTGCCCTGAACTCACTCCCTTGCATACCCCCTTTCATGAAAGTCCTCCGATGTCGCTCGATGTCTCCAAGAATCCTTCGTGGGGTGACCAATTCAAGAACAGCAACCAACGCAATTTCAAGATCCAGGTCATTATCTCGGTCGCATTCGGTTTGAGTGCCTTCTTCGGCTTTTGTGTAGGTACCAATACTCATTGAAAATCGTGAACCCTGGCTTACAAGATCATCACAACAGTTGCTCCGCCCAAGATGGACCAGCCTCTACCATGCTCGAAAGAAACAATCGGACGCCGCCTCTCGCTTACCAGACCTTCCTAAGAGCTTGTTTGGATGGATCCCCGTCATTTATAGGATATCGCAAGAGGAGGTTCTTGCTTCTGCCGGTCTTGATGCCTTTGCTTTTCTCGCATTCTTCCGCTATGCGATCAAGTACTTGTCTGTCACCCTCTTCTTTTCTCTCACCATAATCTTGCCGGTCAATTACAAGTATACTGGTCAGCTTTCGGGTCTTTATCCTCCTTCCAATTCTACTGATGGATCCGACCCGGAGGATCCGGAGTACTATGATTTCTTCGCCGGAAACGGCACACAGCCTAGGAAGCCAAAACTTGAGAAAGACGACAGCTACTTGTGGATGTACGTTGTCTTTGTATACTTCTTTACCGGCCTCGCAGTCTACCTTTTGGTCGCCGAGACTCAGAACCTTATCCGGATCCGACAAGCCTACCTGGGAACCCAGTCCACTATCACCGATAGGACCATCCGCTTGTCTGGTATTCCAACTGCAATGAGGTCCGAGGAGGCCATTACCAACTTTGTCGAGGATCTGCAAATAGGGAAAGTGGACAGCGTAATGCTCTGTCGGAACTGGCAAGCGCTTGATGGTCTCATGGCTACACGCATGAAGTGTCTGCGCAAACTCGAAAAAGCATGGGCATCATACTTGGGACACCACCATTCACTTCAACATAACCGATCCAATCACAGGCGACAAGATCTTCTTGGTGATACTGAGGAGGCAGATGCTCTTCTGTCCAGATCCGAAATGGAACAAGCACATGCCACACCTGCAGATCGTCCTCGTCCTACCTTGACCATTCGTTATGGCCCGCTTAAGATCTATAGCAAGAAGATCGACGCAATTGACTATTATGAGGAGAAAATGAGAGTTTATGATGAGAGGATATATGCTCTGAGAGGCTCTGAATTTGTCCCCACCCCATTGGCGTTCGTTACAATGAAATCAACCGAAGCAGCTCAAATGGCCGTTCAAGCCATTCTCGACCCAAAACCTGGCCAGTTGTTGACTTCACTCGCACCGCCACCAGCTGATGTGGTCTGGAAAAACACCTATCTTTCGCGCAATCACCGAATGTTTCGTTCGTGGGGAATCATGGTTTTCATAGGTCTGCTGACTATTTTCTGGGCTGCTCTTGTCGCCCCCTTGGCAGGTTTGCTGAGCATCGAGGTCATTGATCAGGTACTTCCTGGTCTAGCCGAGGCTTTGGAGAATCACGAAATCCTTCGATCCCTCGTTCAAACTGGACTGCCAACCTTATTATTCTCCCTCTTATCTTTGGCTGTTCCATATTTATACGACTGGCTTGCCAACCTACAAGGGATGACCTCTCAAGGTGATGTGGAAATGTCTGTCATCTCCAAAAACTTTTTCTTCACCTTCTTCAACCTCTTCATTGTCTTTACGATTTGGGGTTCAGCATCCACATTCTTCGAGTTCTGGCAAGACCTTCGAGACATTCTAAGAGACACTGCGGGAATCATGTACGCTGTTGCAAAAGCACTCGAGCAATTGTCCCCATTTTATGTCAATCTCATTGTCCTCCAAGGATTCGGATTGTTCCCTTTTAGGTTACTCGAATTCGGTGCGGTTGCGTTGTACCCATTCTATCTGTTCAGCGCAAAGACACCACGGGATTATTATGAACTTGCCAAGCCACCGATCTTCAGCTACGGATTCTACTTGCCTCAGACTATGTTAATCTTCATCATTTGCATTGTGTACAGTGTTCTCCCGGCATCTTGGATGATCACCTTGTTCGGTTTGATATACTTCTTGATCGGTGGTTTCATTCATAAGTACCAATTACTTTATGCCATGGAGCACCGTCAACACTCGACCGGCAGGGCTTGGCCCATGATCTGTGACCGCATCATCACTGGTTTGATTCTTTTCCAGGTCGCCATGACTGGTATCTTGGCCCTCCGAGGGGCTCTGACAGCCTCACTCTTCATCGGACCACTTCTTTTCAGTACCATATGGTTCACAATTTATTTTCATCATACATACGTTCCTCTCATGCGCTTCATCGCGCTTCGCAGCATTGATCGAGATACCATGCCCGAGCTTCCAACGCCACCTGAGTCAGCTTGGGACCGAGATACCGACAACGGCCGGCATGTCGATACTGACCCTACAACTGGGCTCAGATACATTAATCCAAACTTGGTGTCTCCATTGGAAACGCTGTGGATACGAAAACCTGGTCACGGCCGCCCAGTATCCGAAGCATGAAAGCTCTATTCCACCTTGCGCATTTGTACATAAAGCTAGAGCATAGCTTGCGCGTTTGCTATTCTGGTTCTTCCTTTGACTTCATTCAAGATACCCTATTTGCAGCTGTCAGTACGCAAACTACTCTTATTAATGATAATATTAGACCTCACAGATATTGGTGGTCGCTTCCCAACTAGGAAATATCGGATTCCAGTCAGCGATATTGCTAGAATTGGCAGCGGCGATCGCCCGATGTCCATTTGACCTACGCTTCACTTTTCTCTTTCATGACCTCTGCTTCCAATCAATATCTCACTACCTCTATCCTTTACTACTTATCATTGACCTATGATTCTATCCATCCTCTAATCTGCAACATTAAGTACGTCCTCTCTTTCGACCCGCTGTCACGCGATCTGCAGTTCTGGCTCTCGAAATTTTCGTTTCCTGAGGAATTGCTTTGACCGATAGATTGTTTCCTATATCGCAGCAGGCGCCAGCCCTTCAGAAAATAAGCATGACCTGTCCTTCCCCAGCCGATGCTCCTATCACGCCCTCAATAGCCTTAAATGATGAAACTCTCGATGAAGATGAACATGGAGGATCCCTGGTCTTCCAGAACCCATTCACCGATGATGGCGGTCCATTAAGGAAAGTCTCTGTTACTTCGGAATCTACCACATACTACATTCGTCAAAATGCCTTTCCAGGGCACCGTGACACATTTGCAAGGCTAGGACATTCCCAGACTTTTCAAGGCTTTTACGACCCTAATTCCACTTCACTTTCTTACTCTGCACCACCAAATCTATGGCCCAGCACACCCGCTGCGATTCCGCCGGCTCTTGTTCAGCTGCTGTCCAAATATGTGTCATTTTCTGACTACAAGCTCATGCGGTTGGTTTGTCGTCAATGGTGTCAGGATCTGCCTAATCCGTGCTTCTCTGCTCTATACCGCCTCCCTCGTGAGCTAATACAAGAAACAATGTCTTATCTATCACCATGCGACTTTGACGCTGCGCGCCATACTTGTGCGTCGTGGTACTGTGCTGGGCAGCATGAGAGGCTCCAAAAGAACATGCTGAAATTAGGCTTCTGCACGACTGCCTTTGAAGAAGACATGCGTCTACACTTCTCAATTCCAGGTGACAATGCATGCTCATCCGAATTACTGGGCATCAGCACTCGCAGGCAATCTGCTGACCTGTCTTGCCTCAATCAAGAATGGATCTGTGGTAAACACCTTGCTACGGAGAGCACGCTGTCGCCATCCTGGTGTTGTGGCCAACGAGTGACCAGGGAGAGCACGCTGTCGTCATCTCGGTCTGGCTGGAACCCCGAATCCCACAAAGCGCCCACTGGCAGATTATTCCTCCGTGAAACGATCGACTTCACCAGACTCCTGAGCTCAATAACAAATGGAACGCAGCGAGCCAAATTTACCGTGTCTGCGTGTGGAAGGTTCGTTCTGGTCAACTCTGGTTGTGATATTTCGATCTTTAATCTCCACGATCGAAAGGATACGCTCAAACCGGTTGTAAGACTGGCTGCTGGTATCGAGGTCTTGAAAGTCAGTATGGACACTAGCTCCGAAAGATATGCAGTTGCAGCTTTACTTGCAGGTCGCAAGGGCATGCTGTGGGAGCTCGTTGGTGACATGACACAAGCTCATTATCGAAGTGTCTCTGGAGAGCCGATCAGTCTCGGTATGCAGACAGACATTCATAGTTCAGCTTCAAGTCCTGAGTCCCGAGAGATTGCTCTGAACCTGTCCGTGCGATCTACTGATTATCATGCCGTTGTGGTTTTTCAACGAATACTGGGACACTCGAACGGTCGCACCGATTCTCCATCACCCGTTCTTGTGCCGCATTCATATTCCTGCCAGAATGAGCATTTGCGGCAGGCCACTACAGAGCTTCCAGATTTCATACTGGGACATGAAAGCCATCATAATATGTACAGCATTCCCATTCTCGCGAATGCGACGGCTCTGTACACCAATCTTGGCAGTGCGGATGATGAGCCAAGAAGCGTGGCGATATGCCCCAATCGCAAATGTGCTGCATACGGGTGTCGAATGGGTATCGAACTTCATTGGGTTGATGCATCAACAGGAGGAGACCTCAGTCGATGGTTTCCTTTGGCTGCACCCAGCGATTATCTCTATTTCCTGCCTACACGAGATAACATTGATCTTCGAAAGAAACTAAGGCTTATCTCAAGTGCAGCTGGTCCAAACATGACTATGTTGACCAGGAGAGAGAGCAACCCGGACAACTTGGAATTCCGATCAATATCTACAAATCCCCATCAGAGCATGACAAGATTACTTTTCAGCAATCTCCCATTTTCAGCAGCCGCCGTCTCAGCTGGTGAATGGTCGAATCCTCAAACCACCACCCAAAGACAGAATAACCTTGTTGAAGGTGTGCTACGTACAGTCGACTGTGACCATCATGGTGCAGTCCCAATCAGCGATGGAGTGCACCTGCTCTTCACTGACCCGGTGACAAATTTGCTCTGTTTGGGTGCAGATGCACCACTTGGTTGGCCGACGAAGCTTTTACGCAAAATTGTTTTCATTCCTCCTCATATGGATGCTAAGAACAAGAATGGACTTGTGCCTTGGAGATATACTGCGGGCCAAGAGCTCAGGTGGGGTGTGCGCGTTGTACTGGCCTTTCACGATGGAACTATTGTGCTTTACAATGTGCCACGAGATCTTTTTGAACGTCTTCAGAAGTCCCAGAATTCATCCGATGCCTGGATCGAGAATCAAGGTGTGATTGGGCAAAGTGATCTGCTTATGGACTCTCTTATGGATTCTCAAGGTCCTATCTCGATTCCTTCAATTAATGGTGACGGATTATCCTCCAAAGTTGTACAGATAACTGGTGCCGAATTGGTACGCGTGGAGGATGATACCATTGATGACTTGGCTGTTGACACCAGCTTTGGGGGATTCTCCATGTGGATCTTCTGCAGAAGTGGAATGGCAAGATTATACAACATTCATGACTCGAAGAATGGTCGAGTCAGATCTCGATACATTGGTGAAAATGGTCTCATCTACCAGTGTACAGCGAGGAGGAAGAAGATCGAAGGCAGTCCCGAAGGTTGCCGTGGGATCGAAAAGGACCACGCCAAACCTCATGTTACCTGGGCCTGACGTCGCTGATTACCAAAGAGCGACTGGGTCTAAACACGGACATGGGGCTGTAAAAGTAGATTGTTTATTGACGCATAGAGTACCTAGTCGTCTTGCACAACTGGTATTGATAATAAATTGACTGTCACTCACCAGATATTACGTGAGTATGTTCGCTACGCACGAGGGCCTCCTAGAGAATATCTACACAATTAACACAGTAGATTCCAGAAGTTCTCCAGCATCAACGACCACACTGCTCGCACATACACTTCTCATTTTCGTGACTCCCCCGTGGCGCCTAATATTACCGCTTAGTACATATCCAGGTCGTGAACTGAGACTGTTGCCAGCGTAAAATGGGCTCGCTCTGATAAAACATTTTGCTTGCTCAAAGCTAGGTAGTCAACTAATTCTCCGCATCCAGGGCCCGCAGTATCATCTTCCCCAGCTTGTCGACCCCTTCCGCCGTCGTCGTCAAGCTTGTCATGAAATAGATGATATCCCCGAGCACACGCGAGTGGATTGCCGCGCCATCCGCATCCAGCTCCATCAGCAGCCGTGCCTGCAGTTCCGTCGTCGCGGTCGACGTATATCCGCCAGCCGAGCCGCGTGGGCTAGCCATCTTCAGTACCAGGACGGTGCCCAGTGCGAAACAGCCCGCGAGCCGTGGGTGGTGCGAGAGGCGGTGGAGCAGGGAGGGTGGGAAGAAAGAGTAGATATTCGCCGATGGCGAGGACGATGATGAATCCGTCGCGGTAGTGAGCGGAGTAGAGTCGGCGGCCCATGCGCGTTTGAAACCCTCCCAGGCGCCGTCTGGGCGGTCGAGACGCCGGAACGTCTCGAGCGCCGTGTTCGCCACGCTGCACCCTACGGCGTGTGCGGTGTAGCTGTGGCCGTGGAGGAGGGCATCGGTCTTGGAGGACGAGAGGAAGGTCTGGAAGATCGACTGGCTGGCGGTGGTGATGGCTAAGGGGAGAAGACCTGCTGTGAGGAGTTTGGCGTGTGCGGCGATGTCAGGGGCGACTGTGATAGGGATCGCTGGTTGGGGTTGCTGGCTGTGTGATTGCGGTGCGGTGTCGGTTGGCGAGGCGAGGAATGACGAGGAACTGGCGCGACCGAGGCGGTAGAGGCCTGTGAAGACTTCGTCGGCGATGATGGGCAGGCCAGACCATGTGGTGGTGGACGAGGGAAGATCTGGGTTGCTGCTTTCGTTCACCGGTGTGCCAATCAATTTGGGGTTTGCACGGATCGTCGTGATCAGGGTGCGTTGGAATAGTGGATCTACGAAGATCATGCCACCAGCACCCATGAGTAGAGGTTCAAGGATCAGAGCACCAAAACGACGACCTTCTTCCTTGACCAGCCGTGTCAATGTCTTTTTGATGTATGCATCATACCGCTCTGCATCCTCGACGCGCGATTCGAAGTCGAAGATTGAATCTAAAGTAGTGAAGATCTGCGGGTTTGAGCACATGTTTTCAGACGCTACATCTGTGGGGATTGATAGCTCCCAGACTCCGTCTTTCATCAGTAGCGATGGCGGTTCAAGCCAGTGGCCCCAGGGTTTATACCAGTCGACTTTGTCGTTGAAGACGCTTGGTTCCGAACAATTCATCACTCCGATCGTGTCGCCGTGGTAGCTGCCCTGAAGGCCGAGGATGCCGACGCTGCCATTGGCCTCTTCTTTCGTCCAGCCGTACCGTGCGCATGAGGCTCGCAAAGCCATCTTCACAGCGACTTCCATGCCTGTGCTACCGTTGTCGGTGAAGAAGACCCGGCTGAGGCGGGGGTTCTGGAGTGTGCTTAGTAGATTGTATGAGATGTCGAGAGCGGGTTCGTGGATCGCATTGGCGAACATGACGTGGCCATAGCGTCCTGCAGCGTGTGCTGCGGTGAGAGCTAGCTCGGGATTGCCGTGACCGAGACCTTGCGTCCACCATGAAGCGGAAGCATCGAAGAGAGGCGTGAGCAGTGGTTTAGCCGGTGGAAGCGCTGCCAGCGGCGTGAGTCCCCCGGATGGCTGAGAGTTAGGTGTCGAGGCGAGAGCTGGGTCGATTTCAGCATTGTAGGCTTGGAAATGGTCACTGTACGCTGAGTCAATTGCAATGATGTTCTGCGGTATGCCGTGTTGTCGGAATGGATGCCATACTACGGCTTCTGCCTGGGATGGCAGAGAAGTTAGCTTCGAGACACGGGAGAAATGCTTCTTTTGCAAAAGATCAACGAGGTTGTTGACCGTTGGCGAAGTCGAGCATTTCTCATAGTACTCTGATAGGGCCGATGCATCGTCTTCGGGATCATTTTGCCTCGGTGGCGGCGGAGGGATCGCATGTGTTGAGATCCCGTGCTTAGAGAAATGTTCCTGGAGATAGCCAAAATTTCCCCATTTCGGGTCGTCAAAGAGAATCACAGAGTCAACATCATAGCCTCTGACGTGCAATGATTCGAACGCGGAGACAGTCGTTGAAATCCCTCCTAGCTTGCTATCACCAACCAAAAGCGACGGAAGTCGTAGTGGTCTGTAGACGTCCGCTTGCACGGAACCAGACGGGCCGGGCGAGAGAACACCGCCAGCTGTCTCTAGGACTGCATACCTACCACCCGATAGGCTATGTTTGCTCAAGAGACTTTGGATCTGTGAAAGAATGGTGTTGTCGGACCTCGGTATCTGAGTAGTATAAGCACAAATGGTTCGTGAAAGCGAAACCAAAAGCACGGGTCATACCGTTTTATTGCCGTCTCTCTCAGCAGCAAGATGAGGGCTCAGCGGCTCAGAGAATTGTGATATGCATTTTGACAAAACACCAGGTACAAAGCGCCTGATGTGCCTAGAAGAATTTCAGCGACGTAGGGAGGCGAAAAACACAAGGAAATATTCACCCATCATCAGCATCCGACTGTGGCCCTGTCGACACCGGCTTCAAGTATAAAAGTGCGTTTTGATGTGCTCTCTTTTGGAGAGCTTTGCATAGCAACGACGAGATGATGGTCTTCCCGACGTCTGTGTTGGCGCCGTAGATCTGCCAGACCTTGAGGTCCCTCCAAAGCATCACGACACGAGCGCTGATGATCAAGGAAGGGTTCCTGAGGTGTAAAGAGAAGACCGAGGATAAGCGAGGAAGTGTCAGAATATCTCAATATCTGGCGTCGCTGAAACCGAGATCTGAGTGGCCCACCCAAAGCTTTTGGTTCCTGCCAAGCATCCCGGCCCCGGGAAATCCCGAACTTCCGATTGGTAGCCAACCGACAACCGAATCCTCACCCTCATTTCGGCCGCCGCCAATATGCACAGCTCCCCATCAGTAATTTTTCTTTTTGAAATGTTGACAGGTACGGATATTGATTTCATTGTGCCTCGCTTCCTTGCACGAAGTTTTTCAACAGCTCATACTGAACTGAAAGACAACGTTTAATATAACCTACTTCATTAACGTTGTATCCCAGGGGCTTGATTTGTTTCTTGAGGTTGTATTCCCATCTTATTAGGTACTCATCCCATCTCGCCAAGGGACACATCTCCCGAGCTCGGCGTTTATCCGGGGTAGCTGTCCCACCACCATGGGACCCTCCCCACTGGAAAGCCGTCTACAGGTTCTGTTAGAGAAACGCAAACGTCAGTCACGGTTAAGAACTCTCAAGCCGTCGCCCCCTGGTTCAGTGGACTTCTCGTCAAATGATTTCCTCTCGCTGTCGACCAATACTGAGTTCAAAAACGACTATCTGACACTTTTAAACAATGAGCCCGTGCCACTGGGCTCGACAGGCTCGAGGCTGCTCGACGGTAACTCCATATACGCCGAGAAATTGGAAAATGAGATCGCGGCATTTCATGGTGCAGAGACAGGGTTGTTAACCAATTCCGGATTCGATGCGAATGTCAGCATCTTTGGATTCCTCCCGGCGGCGGAAGACACGATCATTTACGACGAGCTCATCCATGCGAGTGTACACGATGGCATGAGGCAGAGCAAGTGCCAGGCTCAATTCTTGTTCCGACATAACGATGTCTCTGATCTCCGTCGTCAGTTACTCAGGATTGGTGCAATGCCGGGTGAACGATCTATCTTCATCGCCGTTGAATCCGTGTACAGCATGGATGGAGACCTTGCCCCGCTCACAGAAATCGTGGAATTGATAGATGAAGTATGTTCAGGAAAAAATGTCTATCTGATTGTTGATGAGGCTCACTCGACGGGTTGTTACGGTCCTGATGGCTCAGGCCGAGTTTGCGAACTTGGATTGGAGAGCCGTGTCCCCATTCGGCTTCATACGTTTGGCAAGGCTTTGGGCGCTAGTGGAGGTGAGTGATGTTCTGCTAGAAGAAAATTGGAATCATAATCACTGACTCATAGATAGCCATCATCCTCTGCTCTGACGTGATTCGTTCATACTTGATCAACTATGCTCGACCCCTGATCTACACCACGTTCATGGCATATCCCAGCCTTGTCAGCATTGCAAATGCATATTCATGGCTCCAAGCAGGGAAAACGAACAATGTGAGCTTCTTTCTGTTATCTTTCCCGACTTGATATGTGCTGAGCCTATAATAGCTTGCTGCCAACCTCTTCTTCCTGATCGACCATCTTTTCACCCGCCTTCAATCCTTGTCCGGGATTCTGACGAGCATACAAATTTCGCCATCAGTCCCGCTCATGACACTGCCGGACCGATGCCCATCTTCGCCAATCTTTGCCCTTCTCACACCAAAACCACGCGTACTGGCGGCTCACTGTAACAATGCCGGGTTCATTGCCCGACCTGTGGTATCACCGACTGTACCAAGAGGCACAGAACGTGTGAGAGTGTGTTTGCATGCGGGTAATACGACGGATCAGATCGACAGATTTGTTGAGTGTGTCAGACAGTGGATTTTGAGTGAGGGAGCAGCTCCTCAGCAAAGGGCTTTTTCGCAGCAGGCTCGGATTCAGGCTGAGAAGCCTTTGATTGCGAAGATTTGAACTGACCGATCGACCATTTAGATTGGGCTGGGGTGGGTGCCACAGGTAATCCGACAATGCAGCTTCGAGTCTAATGGCCGTCGCCAGCACTCCAAATGAAGGCCTCAGTGTCTTGAGCTCATGTATCAGCTTCCCACCAGTGATCTAGCTTGGTGATTTAGTGGGTGATTTCGGTCTGAGGCGATGAGATGAGTATGATGTGCTGTGCTACCAATGTTTGACACGGCGCTTGGAGTGTTGCTGCCAAATCCACATAGACCCATTCACATTAGTCCCTACTGCGGGAAGCCTAGATCTCATAGATACCACATGATAAGTTGGTGATGTCGAGAATGTCGATGAGAACTTTCGACGGCCCTCACCATTCCTTTTTGCCCGAGATTGGATTTATATCGTCATTGAACATGGACTCGGAGAATTTCCCTGGATTTGAGGTGCAAAGATTGCATTATATGCTTCAAATTTCAAGCAGGATGAAATCATTTGGTTCTCGTAGATCGGTCCCGGTGGCATTGATATCAGGATTTTCTGGAAAGTTGAATGTTAGAAGTGCATCAAGTATACTGCGAATGTACTGTTCTTACCATGGATATTGCACAGATCAAGGACAATATCCTGATCACTGACCAGATTCGTTAGAAATGTCTCGTCAACTATACCATGTCGACCGTTCTGAGGATCGTGCCACATTGATACTGCGCCAATAGAACCAGGGTCTATCGAAAAGGTTCGACAGAGAGATGCAATCAGGTCCGCGGGGTTGAGGGTTAACAGGGGGATGGGTGTGTAAGTAATTCCCGAAAACGATTCCGATGAGGATGACTTCCGAGTGATGAATATGGTTTTTAGGATGCCAGGCTGTGTCCTTTCCTCAGCACGTACATGTTGATTAGGGTGAGATGCAGTCTTCGGAAGATCTCTCGCGCGTGGTCTGCTCACAGAACCCTTGCTAACTCTTGATGACCCCCGAGCCTGGCCGCTGGATCGCACACTGGATGAACGTCTCGGTTTGCGCTGGGAGGGGGTACCTTGTGGTGGATTAGACCGGATTTTGCGCAAGTCCAAGATGTTAGAAGGGACGGGTGGTGTTTCTTTCTCGGATGCAGAAGAGGAAGACAAGGATAATGGTGGAGGGCTGATTTGTTCACTGATCAGGCCATGCACGAAGTCTGTTCGCGACGGTATGATATTGGGTTGAAGCAGTGAAAAGCCAGCAAAATGTTCTCTAGACCAGTCGGTCTCGGATGGGAAACCCTCGAGAACGCCGGTCATGTTCGAGTCCTTGGATTCTTGATCCACAATCGGTTCTATCACGCTTGAGACCGCTAATTGGGTCTTTCCTTACAGTCAGACTCTCATTCCTACATATGAACACTGCTCTCATACATCTGCAATTGGTGTTTCAATGGATGGAGCAATAAATATATTGTCGTACTGTGATGCTCGGCTAACAGAAATCAGTAAGGGCGCCGCCATGTGCATAACACTCATACCTGTCTAGTATATCATGGTACAGCGCCTGAAAATAGGCACGTTGGTCATTCCCAAAATCGATGTCCGTGCCCCTATTCGATCCATGTTAGTTGGGATTGACCATATTTTGTATTTCAGTCTGACCTGCGAGAGTGCATATTGCTTCCAGGCTCGTGATTCCGAACACGATTCGATTCTCATCAAGGCTCGCACTTGGTCGGTTTGGAAACTATGTAGCATTGCAAACCCATATTGTAAGGTGGGTGTAGCCACAGTTATGGGGAACCAGGAGACCCAGTATGCACCCCCACTCTGGGCTAAGATTGAGGGACAATCGTATTGCGAACATTTCCCTGGAACACGAGCAAGAAGAGAGGAGATCGGCTTTGCAGCAAGCTCGAAAGACTGTGGTATGCCACTTCAATCGCCGCAAAGAAAAAATGATCAGCGTGGTCTGAGAATGAGAATTGGAGTGGTCCAGTGCACGTGCATGTGGCTGAGAGATCTTGCGAAGTTCTCGACAGGCTTAGTCTGTAACTCAACAAGCAATTAAGTTGCATCCACCAGAGAATGGACCTATTGATGACTGGGGATATGAGTTTGGGTGGTGCCAGGTGTGTTTTTCTGTCGCATATACCTGTTTTCTGGGAATACAACCCACTACGCCAAATTAAAAGTGTGTTGACTGGAATTAGGCCTTCCGAACCAAGTCCGTTGTCTGGTCGCTTCCACTCTTGGAATCATCTGCTGGTTGGCTTGATTAGTTGGTGTGGATGTGGCTCGAATTGTGGCGCCGAATAGCAGCAACATACTCTCAATAATGCGATCCCGACGACAATTTGAAATTCTGAAGACGCACAAACAGAACCCGGAGCCTCAGTATCTGCGTCCTAATGTTCCTGAAGATCGGGTCGATCGGGCCAGTGGAGATAGATCATGAGACCCACATAGCCGTCGACTCGATAACTACCTTAGTCCTTGTCCTTCTCGTGCATGCTGGCACCCACCAGAAATAATTCCAGGGCCAAAGTCGAATGATGGTTCAACAGTGTCGACTGGCACACTCACCGATCGCGGTCTGGCACACACGAAAGGACAAAAAGTCATGGAGATCTAGAGGCGGAAACCAAAACTACCCATCGATCCATTGGTAGGACTGATCACCCACCTTTGAGCAGAAGAGAAGCAACTGTATGCGAGATATTGGATCCTGAAGTGGCTCCAACCTAGGCAGGTGCTTATTAGGCCAGTCAGATGCCGCGCGGTAGGACGCCCTTCGGCCTTCAACCTAGGTCCAATGCAGACTTACGAGTGACTGACTTTCCTTGGTGCCCGAGCCTAAACCAAGACTTGGGGACGTGCCAAACAGCCGGGTTGCCAAGTTGCCACTCTTCACTGAGTTCGGAAGGGGTAGAAAGTTCCCAAGATTCAATTCCACTGAAATTCTTAGTATTGGCGTGGGTGACCTAAGCATATTGACACCACCGAGTTTGTAATGTTTCGCACCTGATCTTCAATGCATGACATGCGGAGGTGCTAAAGTAGGATCGAGGGGGCCCCCAGGCTTTGCTTCTAATTAGTTACGTCACCTTTAACCGTCAACTCGATCAAGCCTGGGTGCCGTGGACCTCGGCATTTATGTTGCACATTCAAGCAGTGGCCAAATGCTCGGATCTGAGATATTGCTATGCTTAATTGCTTCGCTACAAAGCTAAGAGAACGTATCCTTCGAGAAATATTGGTTGCCTGCGATCCGATTGCTACTCTTAATCTACTTTCTCCTTACAGGGGTGAACCGCTGTCTAAGGGTATTCTTCCCTAACTAGTGTACTGTCGACTACCATGACGGAAGTCTCCTTTGAGAAGCATGGTAGTCAGTTGTCAGGTACTTGGAAACTCGTTTCGTGGGAAATGTTTGATTCGGAGGAGGCACACAAAAGTCTCATAGCTAAACCCCATGGCGATGAACCCCTGGGTCGAGTTGTCATTTCCCAATCGGGTTATCTCTCCGCTATATTGGTTCCTCCAGTGGTCATGTCGCCACTCTCCTCCGATGATTGGCAGCTTGCGACCGATGAAGAGGTCTTACGTATCGGACGAAGCCTGACGACGTATGCTGGACCCATCACACTTTTCGAAAGGGAAGATGGGGGATTTCTATGGCACACGACAGTTGAGATTGCAAATAATCCCAGTTGGATTGGGAAGCCGCAGACAAGGAGAGCTGACTATAGTCTAGAGGGAAGCACTGAATATATGACATTGAGACCAAACAAAGAGTACACTTTAAAGGTCCGTTTAAGCCCTGACCCTTTCTGCCGAATACTTGGAATGTTTACTGAATCTTGATTTCAGGATGGGAGAAAGGCACGCGGTGTTCTAAAATGGCAGAAGATTGGTTCCTAGCAGGTCATTTATCCGAGGTTATTATTTTGCTCCTATCACAAACATCATGTCAAGTGGCCGCAGTAATCTTTGAATCTTTCTCAACAGTTTGTGTGCAATGATATCATTATGATTAGGACGAGGCTGGATTCACATGGGCTAAATTTTCGGCTCCTTGATCTTCAGCCTTGCCCCCGCATTTTGTTTACCGCGGAGGTTCGAGGGCGGGGAATGTTCCATTCTCCTCACTTTGGTATCACTCTCCCATTTGCCCGTCTATGAAAGTTGGACAGAGCTGATTGACATGTTAGAGTCGACGTCGATGTCATTGCCGGTTTGAGCCTTCTCGCTCAACTGCATCCTTTACAGCTCCTCCTAAAGCTCGAGCAAACAATTCCACCACATCACCTTCAAAGAGAGGTCTCCAGATCCTAGTGTACTGTCTTATTCTTGCAGTTCAACGTCGACGCAAAGACTAAGAGGTAAAATCGACTGATTGCATCAGAATCCACATTAAATCACCATGCCTCCTTCCACCATGCGAGCGGTCGTGTTGAAAGGGAACTTTGAAGTGATCAGGCCCTGTTCCCAATATCCCATGAGTTTGTGCAGCCTACTGACTGTAATCAACTATGGCAGGTTGCCGTTGAAGATCGGCCATATCCGAAACTCCAGAAACCAACAGATGCCGTCCTGAAGATCACCTCCACAGCGCTCTGTGTAAGTTCTCCCACATGGATTCGAATACCCATTGACCTTCAGAAAACCGTAGGGCTCCGACTTGCACTTCTATCGTGGACATCTCAAGTGTCCTCCAGACTTCGTCTGCGGCCATGAGTTTGTCGGTACCATTGTCGAAAAAGGTGATGATGTAAGCAACTTCGCCATTGGAGATCAGGTTGTAGTACCATTTTTCACATCATGCCAAGAATGTTACTATTGCGTTCGTGGACAAGCGAGCAGATGCGCCAAAGGAGAACTATTTGGGAACTCTGTGCCAGTAAATACTATCGATGGAGGGCAGGCTGAGTATGTTCGAGTGCCACTGGCGAACACCACCCTGTTCAAGACTCCCAAAGGTCGGTTTTTAAACATTGACGATCAAGGTGGTGATGATGGCTAAACAATGTTGATTTCCATAGATATCCCAGAAGAGATGCTGGTCCTGATGGCTGACATCTTCCCGACTGGATACTTTGCGGCTTCGCGATTCCTGAAGAATCTACCTCAGCGGGACCGCGATGAGTTTACCACTGTCGTAATCGGCTGTGGACCCGTTGGAATATGCGCTATCACATGTGCTCTCACGATGGTGAAGACAGTGTATGCGATCGACTCTGTCCCCGAACGACTGGCCGAAGCAGAGAAGATCGGCGCTATTCCAATCAACCTTTCCGACAACCCAGTTGAAAAGATCAAAGCTGCCAGTGGCGGCCGAGGCGCCGACGTTGTGATGGAAGTTGTCGGTCATGCTGATGCCTTCATGTTGGCCTTTGACATGATACGTCCATGGGGCCAAATCAGCTCGATCGGCGTGCACACTGAAATGCTGAACCTAAATGGATTGTTGTGCTATGGCAAAAATGTCACCATGGCATTTGGCCGTTGTCCAGTGCGCAGCATCTTCGAAGATGCCTTGAAACTCCTCGTCCAGGAGCAGAAGAAGGTGTCTTTCCTGTGTGGTAAGACTATGAGCTTGGAAGACGCACCGCAGGCGTACAAGGATTTCGAGGCTCGCAAAGTCCTCAAAATTGTCTTCAAGATGTCGGGGGAGAAAACTGGGGAAGCAATTGCGGACAAAGTTTAGTTCGGAAGGACAAGTGTCACGTTGAGCGCGAGCCGCATAAAATAAGCTTTCATGACAGAATTTGCAATACCAGAATTAATACCTCTCAATTTGAGTTCCCATTATTTGCCAACATCAAATGTGGTTTGGATAGGCTCAAGCCTACTTCGATAAGTCCAATGTTTTTCCCCACCACCAAGCCCGGAAACAGTCGCTAGCTTACTTAAAAAACTCATGCTGACTGTGATGATGTGCCTGTAGAGAAATGTGAAATGAGAACCAGGCGGACGGCGAACACAATACGTATTCCCTCAACTGCCCACCAAATGGGTCTCCATGACATTGTCTCTGTACTCGAGGTCAGGTCCGCAAGGCAGAAAGAGGCATTATCTGGAATTCTCTTAGTGTTCAAGTTGGTCCGATCGACGAAAGCCTATCAAACACCGGAGGTACCCTGTAGTACTCCAGGATTGTGGATGTTCCCTGCATATGATTGGGTGGATCATGACATCAACTGGGGTCCTCTCAAGTTACCCAGAGCATTAAAAAGTCCATATATTCGCACTCGTTTCATCTTCCTTCACTCGATCTTGAAGCACTACTCACTCCCATCTTCCAATATTCATGTTCAGACCATTGATTGGTTTATTTCCCACAAAACCCGTCGACCTGGTACCTCGGCATCTTATGTTCTTCCAGTTCCTCTGCAGATCCGTCACAGCTAATTTTCACTCTTTCTCGAGTCCCTACCAGCCTCATTAATCTCGTGAGACATCTTCATAAGAGGAGCTGTCTTCGACATGTCCGATAAAATGTCGTTATGGGAATGGCTCGTATTCACATTGATTGCTACAGCCGATATAGCGACTATCTTTATTGCTTTAATCGGTGCCTTGGACTATCTTTCGAACCGATCGGCGGAGCGTACGCTCTCGAGAGACCGTCGACGACGAGAACTCACGCCTCCGCTTATTCTATGGCAGGATCGACGACCTTCCCGAGCGCAGCTTACACTCTATAGTGATGAGGAGGTCGAACATCTCACTCTCGATTTGTCGTACGAATGCATGAGAAGACAGCGGCTGGCTCGCGAGAGTGACGCACTATCAATAAGGTTTCCATATTTTGCACCACAACCTTGATTTACTTCGTGGCATCTAGCTGTATGAAATAAACGAATGGGTGGATTGCTCGGGGGTTTGCAAGAATTTAACCGTCGTGAGCCCGCCATCTACACTTAACTGTCTGTGATAGGTTGCCGTCAACTATGGTATTTGACACCCCAAAAGGCATTCCAATACTCTAAAGCGCTGCCCTTGAGTAGCGTATTATCGCAGTTCATACGATGCGCTAAGTTAGCAGCGAGAGAAGCTAGAACTTATTCTGGGTCTCTGCTGTTTCGGAAGGCGTGACTGATCTCACTGGAGTTTCAACATCTGTCAGTCCTTGTCGCTCGATCTCCCTTATCTTCTCATCTCGGTGTTGTAGCCAACGAACGAGAAGTGCGAACACAATGAGCGCACTTCCAATCGACGCACAAGCAGTGAAAGCAGCGTGGAATCGTGGTGCATGAATGGTCCTCCAAACCGCATTTGTGTACCAGATAGACTGTATGAAGCTGAACGTGTTTGATGTCGCGATCACGAAGCCACGCATTTCGTGATCATGTGGTATCAAATCGACATACCAGGCATAGTAGATACCTGGGACACCAGCAGCGGCAAAAGATATGTAGTACGCAAAATACTTCAAGCCAATGGGGACATTCCAGATTGAAAGTATGATGCAGCCGAGAATCGTACCGCTCTGCATAATAACGAGCATTTGCCAACGTTTACCCCGTAGCAGTGGAGAATCGGAAAGCATTCCCGCCAGCCATTGTACCACAACTCCAATAGCAACTTGTCCTGTTGGCCAGACGTTCGCTTGGTAGACAGTGTGATGGGTGGACTTCAACCAAATAGCGAAGACGGGCTGGTAGATTGGGAAGCTTGCTTGGACCAGGAAATATCCGACTGGAAGAAGCCAGAATTGCCATTGTCGAGCGATACGAAGGATCTTGGTTCTGTCCCACTTTGATGCTCCCAAGGGTGTCAGACCTTCCTTCACTAAGCGTTCTCGTGCAAACTGTCTTTCTTTCTCCGTGATATAGAAAGCTCTTGTTGTTTCAGGAAAGTCGGGATATAGAAAGTACCCGATAAACGCAATGGGAAGGCTGATAATGCCACAAATGATGAAAAGCCATTGCCAGCCCTCAAGCCCATAGCGTCCGCCAAGTCCTTTATAGGCTCCTGCTTGCAGGTATCCACTGAACATAGTGGCCAGGGCAGCGGTAGAGTAGAATATGACAAGCCGCTTTCCGCGCTCCTCCTTGGTATACCACGAGCCAACGAGGTAAATCATCGTAGGAAAGAAGGCAGACTCAAATAAACCAACCAAAAACCTGATAGCATACAAGTGTGAGACATTCTTGACAGCGGAAGAACAGAAAGTCAGAATTGACCAGGCAACCTCAACTGTAGGAATCAGTATCGATGGTCGGACACGGGTAACCAAGATGACTGCGGGCAGTTGGCCGATGACATAACCAGCGGTGTATACATTGCCAGCATATGTCAGCTCACTTCCGTACATGTGAAGAGCCTCTTTCATTCCGGATACATAAGCATTGTTGATGTTTGCCTGATCGAGATTCTTGCTGAAGTAGCCGAGGCAAGCGGAAGTGAGGAGGCACACGTCAAGCTTGAATAGAAACCATTTTTCTTCCTTGGGTTTATCGGGATCATCCCAGAGGTATCGTTGCAATGTTCGGAGGTATCGACGTGAAGTGCCCGCAAAGCCAGGTTTTTCCCAAGGTTGAAGTTCGCGTGGAGTGTTTATGTCTGACTCGACTGGAGGAGTCACATCATGCGTGGCCTTTTCTGGTATTGCTGTAGCCCCAATCTCAGAAAGTGATTTCAGAGTAGTCTGTTGATCCACGTGAGAGCCCATGTTAAACTTTGGAATTCCTTAGAACAATGAAAGGTTGGATCTATACTCTCTCCAAAACATCATTTGTACCAGGGTAGGCAATACTTTAGATTTTATTTATCAAGCATGTTGATGTATGTTGAAGATTTCATCCAGGCATAATTGCGCCATCTCGATAATTTTTTTCATCATCTGTACGTACGCAGTGCATAGTTGTATCCCAAGGCACTAAAAAACTGTGCATTGTGGAAAGATATCGAGGGTTATTCCGAAACTGGTGCAGAAGCCATGTCTGGAACCTTTGACGGGGCCACAATCATGTCGCCTCTGCGGAGGCATGCGGAGGGGTCTTTACCAATACAATAGCCGACGGATTACGTCTCGTCTCGAGGCAATATCATGAATCGGGGGAAAAGCTGTAGCGATGCTATTCATCACATACCTTACCCGTGGCACGGGGTCGAACGTCGGACCGGAGGACTCCCGTTCCTCTCCAATGAAAAATTGCGAGCGTACCCCTATCGCTGCAGGTATAGTTGCCCATACAAGGGTAGAACTGGGTTAGAATGGCTCGGTATTCGACATGGCGGCCCCTTTGAGGTCAAGCGTTGTCTTGATTAGTTAGGTCCTTGGGTGGTCGTTGGCTGTTGGTGTGAGAGGAGCGCCAGGTGGACGGTATTCTTGTTAGCGATGCTTCCAGGCAAACCAAACAGAATTGCAAAATCTATCGCGCTCACATTAGCGGCATGCCTCGTGTGGGTTGTTATCGTTGCGAATCCCACTCGTTCTATTGTATTGATCAGCATTGGGGTGTTGATGCAAATGGCGACATTTGGAGACGATATGGCAGCATCGCTCAGTCAATAGCCGTTGTGGATAAGTACCAAGACTACCACTTTCCCTTCGTAACTTGCCATACCCTGTTAAACTGATGCTAATTATCTGTTTTTCTTGATAGATATCATTTAATTACATTTCATAACGATTAAACTCATTTCAAAATGTCAACAACAGTCCTTGAGCAGCCAGCACTTCAGCAAGTGACGGATGTACACCAGTACGATTATAGTAATTTGAGGCAATATGTTCATCCTCCCGAGACCAAGGACGACCTTCCTTGGTCTGAGCTTGTTACTCTTGATCTAGAGGACTATTCTCGACCTGGTGGAAAGGAGCGCTTAGCCAAGCAGCTAGAGCATGCGGTTCATCATGTGGGCTTTTTCTACGTAAAGAACTATGGGTTGACAGACGAACAAGTGCAACAACAGTTCACACTCGCCAAGAACTTCTTCGAGCTTCCTACTGAGAAAAAGGAGCCCTTCGAAGTAAATTATGCAGCCGCAGATTATAACGGCTGGAGGAGACCTAGACGTCAGTTGGATGCGTCGAACCAAGCATTTGGCAATATCGAGATGTATAATTTTGCGAAATTCACCAAGGACTTCGAGGGCAAGTATGACCATCCTGATTTGATCAAGGCACACCTGGAGGAGATTGAAGTTTTCCATCGCGCACTTCACAGCAACGTCGTGCTTCCTCTGCTGCGACTTTTTGCAATTGTTTTACAACTTCCTGATGAAGATTATCTCGTGAAGCAACACACATATGAGAAGAAGAGTGAAGATCACTTCCGGTACATGATCTATCATCCTCGTACAGAGGAAGAGTGGGCTGCAGCAGACTATGGCAAGAAAGGCGGCCACACCGACCTTGGAACCGTGACTCTCTTGTTTCGCCAGCCGGTCGCCGGGCTTCAGATATTGGGCGAAGATAACGAGTGGACCTGGGTATCTCCTCAGCCTGGTACGATCACTGTCAATCTGGCGGACACCATCTCTCACCTGACTGGAGGGTGGCTTAAGAGTTCAGTACACCGCGTTGTGGCACCTCCCAAGGATCAACGGGAGTACAACCGCACAGGTCTTCTCTACTTTGCTCGACCACACAATGACACGGTTTTGGTTCCAATCACGGACTCCCCTGTCCTCGAGAAGGCTGGAGTAAAACCACGATTTGAACAACATGTGACAATGGAACAGTGGGTTAGAGCGAAGCAGACGCTGCAGCTCAATCCTGATATTGCAGCAAAGAAGTACTCAGAGTCAAAAGATGGAACTGTCGAGGTCCTTGCTGGATTCCGGGATCGTAAATACAAGGAGTGATCGAGATATCAAGTTAGAGATGAGTGGACCACCATGAGCATTGCAGCTCAGCCTAAAATAGCTGATCGCCTTGAGATGAGAACAAAATTTAATCTTGTGGCCATATTTTTGATTCATACCCACTGGCATTGGCCAAGGAATACTCATGAACTGCCGTCGGCGGCTCAGGAGCTCGTGAGTCCCCAGGAGGACGCGCACGATATACTGTTTTGGCGAAATGTCTAACAGTCGAGTTCACTCTTACTTTACATTCTCATCTGAATAGCCGCAAGGCGCTGGAGGTAGGATGTTGAGATCTAGAGAGCACGTTACTGGATCCTCAACAAGATTAGCCTTATTTACTAAGTGATATCATTTATAACCTAGACACTGTAGCTCTTCGCCATTGGAGTAGACTAATCTTAAAAAATCATGTCCTACACTTAAAGAGGACGTAACATGAGGCTCTCCTAGGATATGGAGCATTTTCCAAGATGTCCTAGAATCAACAGCTCCACAAGGCTATGCGTCCCGATCAATGTAGACCACTGCATAGCGCCCTTCAAGTTGGCATCATGATCTTTTCGGGATTAGAAGTCAGAATTTTGATATTCCCATCATACCAGATAGGAACTGCCTTGAAACGCGAGATCCGCCACGGGTTACCGTCATGACTGGCTCGCTTGATCAAATCGATCTCGTATCGTCCCTACCAGGGAAAATCAATTTGTTAGCAAATTGACCATGGATGAGTAGATGCGCCTGGACATACTCCGCTTGTATTGACATCTCCCCCTTGAGCTCCTTTCTTGACCAACCGGACCCTCACGTTGGCGATGACAGATGCTTTGTCTACATCTTCAGCATGCCCTGGTTGGGGCAGCGAAATCAAGATATCACTGGTAGCCAACACCATTAAAGTTAGCCTGGTAAAAGCAGAGACGACCTGTACCGGGTAGCCATGCGGCAGACATACGACAGAACGTGTTGCGTGGCGGTCATGCCGCCAATCAGCGGCTGCCAGGCTGCGACCAAATCTTTGGGCGTGACCTCTGTTGGGTCTCCGCCGTAGAACAAGGTATAATCGAGAATCATGTGGTCCGCCGGCACCTCGAGTGCCAGTCTGTCCCAATCGCGCATGTCGACATAGAGTACCTGTGGCCATCAGATGATGCTTTCTATGGCTTGCAAGATTACTGGACTCTATCATACCAGTTTTGTGATTGTGTCATGAATATTCGCTCGGTCGAGCAGTAGATCGACTGCTTGGTACATTCTGGGGACTTTCTTGCGTGTGGGAATTCACAAATCGAAAGATCGTTGGTAGCCCCCGAACACCTGCCATTGATATCCTGGAATAGTTCTCAGCTTCTAGAAATTTCGGATTTAAAGGGGATTTTTATCTCCATACTCGACAGGGTGTTCGGTATCATGGTAGTCGCGAGAAAGCGAAAGTGGAATCATGGAGACGCAAGTTCAAACACCCAAAAGCTTGTTCATATATGATATGACCTCAATTTTTACTAAGGTGCTGGGCTTGGTAGTGGGGTGAAGTGGTAGCAGGAATCTTGGGCATTTTGTCTTCGAATGACCAAATATTCGACCGCGCTTGTCCGACACGGCGCGCATTGACTTGTACGAGATCTACGCATACAGTGTGTTCTCATAACTCCGCCGGAGACAAGGTCTCGATACTAGATTTTTATAAGATGTCGTTGAGGAAGACGAAGTCACCCAAGATATTCGTATAGTAGCTTGAAAGTTCTACTGAGTCGACTTATTCCTCTTGGAGTGTTAGGAGTGGACAGAGACCCTATCGAGGCAGTCAGCGACCTGTGGCTTAGGTATGTCCAGCACTGCTGAATGTTGATGTCTAAGGGGAGATCTAAAGGTGTCTAGTCACTACTTTTCGTCAAATAGTGCCCTCAACGCGCAACATGACGATATTGGTCTTGGGTGGGAATGGCAAGACATCAAGTGCGCTTTCAACGCTGCTAGAAGAGAAAGGCATCCCTTTGATCACAGCGTCGCGAACGCCTTCAAACAACGGTTCACGGAAACATATCAAGTTCGACTGGCTCGACGATAGCACATATGATCTTCCGTTCCAGGCGGCCAACGATCCGATCACTGCAATTTACATGGTGGCGCCCCAGATCTCGGATCCATTCCCTTCAATGAAAGCATTTATCGATCATGCTCGGGGAAAAGGCACAAAGCGGTTTGTGCTCCTGAGCGCATCTGTGATCCCCAAGGGTGGTCCTGTCTATGGCAAGGTGCATGAGTACCTGGAGACTTTGGGCGTTGAATATGGGGTTCTCAGACCGAGCTGGTTCATGGGTAGGTTCCCGATCATCCAAGTACGACAGAAGTTGGAACGGTTCGTTACATGCTAACAGCTCCAGATAACTTTATCGACGAGAGCAGTCGGCATCTAAGGTTCCATGACAATCTCATTTCCTCTGCAACGCAAAAGGGGAGGGTACCATTCGTCGCAACGAGCGACATTGCCGCCATGGCTTTCCACCTACTGACGGATGAAAAAGCCCATGATACAGACTATTTTGTCCGAGGCCCAGAGCTTTTGTCCTATGACGAGGTGAAATATCTCATATTCGCCAGCCCAAAAAGTGTTTGTGATGCTAATGCAGTCTTAGGTAGCGCAGATAATTTCAGAGGTGACTGGAAAACCCATCAATCATGAACACATGTCTCTTGAAGACCTTGAGGCAAAGTTCTCTGCATCTGAGATGCCTCAAGAGTATGCGAAGATGTTGGCCGGCTTGGATGGCCACATTGCAAAGGGATTGGAGGCCGAACTCGATGATGCGGTATTGAGGGTGACAGGGAATCCCCCAAAGAGCTTTCGCGCATTTGCGCAAGAAAATCGAGAGAAGTTGTTGTGAGAGATATAAAGAGTGCAGGATAGGAGGATATGCCCCACCAAGGCTTCGTTTTCGTGTTGGTAGATAGTATATTGTACCCAGAACCTCAATTGTCCCATCCTGTGAGGACAAGAGAGACGGCACTTGTCGGAATGCGAATGCAATCGAACCAGTTGCTCGTAGTTGGGTGATGCCAGACTGGTAAGTTGCAAGGCAAGCCAATCAAGAGCCGCCACGGGCCGGACTGTCGTCGTGTGATTGGTGGCCGTTGACCTCAAACCAGAACGTTATAGCGCGTATACTGCGGAATCTCAAAGTCAAACAAACGTTCAACTTCACTGACTTCACATGGTATTAGACAGTGCTGATCACGGTATTATTTGGCTTGGGAAAGCCCTGGCGTTAAACATTATGGCTCCGTGCCATATGCAGGCTCAAAATCCCCTGTCGATTCGATCGGTATCTGAAGCTCGGAATCGCTTCTGGATAAATGGCAATGGGAGAGCGATGTCACGGCTATGTGCTTGCCATAAAAAAGACTCGAGTGCATTCTCACCTTGTATGTGGTTCCCACGGCATAAATTTGCATCGAGTCGATTCAATACAGCCATGCTGCTTATTTTGAGGCTGTTCTATCAAGCTTCATCCTTCGACAAAGGAGAAAATAGATCCTGGGGTGATTTAAACATCAAACCGCCCTTAGGCAACAGCAGCATTTCGCGCATACATCATGGAAGTTATATGAAGAGCTTTCGACAAAGTCTTGAGCCGTCACCAAACTTCTTCGCGGCATATGAAAGACTATCAACCACCGACTGGCGAGACAAGGCACTCTCACACTCCGAGCAATTTTCGACCTACCGAGTCATCTCCATGACATGGGTCAAGGCATTGGCGTCGCCTTTCTCCCATGAATTTATTCAATTCATCGTCGAGCACCCCACGACTTATGAGCGGACTCGAGTTGCTGTTGGAAGGGAAGAAACAGGAGACTGGGTGATTAGTGGATGGAATTGGGCATCGGGTGACCCACCTTCTCACCACTACACCCTGCCTTTGCCACTGCTGTCGTTGATATTCCACAAATCAAATAGACCTGACATAGGGTCGATCAGTCATTTATTGGCAAAGGTTACTGAGAAAAAGCCGCAGTATAACTTGATCCGAGAGATGTGCTGGTGGTATGCAGAGACCATTTTCGAGGAGATGAATTCCAGGTACGGTGGCTCACTCAAGGAATGGGAATGGTCAGAATACCGGTATTCATTCATAGTGAAGACCGCAATTCTGAAGCGAAAGGTGTTAACGGAACACGCGGAGGCGTTTAGAGTTCAAATAGCGAACGAAATGCAATACTGATCTGCGGTGGTCCAGGCGATGGAAATGTGCGAAATCGAGTGAAGCCAGCTTCAAAGGGCAGCTCAGGGCTTAAATGATCACGATAAGGTACGGCGGGTTCTTGAGATAGAAGAGGCAGATAAATATCTGGTGGAACAGACATGCAGAAGACGATGCCAAGCCAAATTTTTCCGAGGCCGGAAATGAATATCGAGAAATGACTTTGAGCATGGCAGATCCAAGACAAAACCCCAACCAGCTAAACACCATGATGAGAGGTGTCCAGGCTTAGACTTTCCAATAAGCCGACTATCTCTATTTACTGGGACAGTCTCGTGTTTCCGCCATGTCGTCGAATGCGGCGCAGGCACCCAAGGGGAAGGAAAATCAAAACGCAGGCTCGCCAAACCAGACGTGAGCTTTCCTCTTCTTTTGTGGGCAAGCCGTGCTAATTCTACTCGCAGGCTTTATATCAAGAACCTGAACGACAAGATCAACAAGAATGAATTGAAACGAGCCCTCTACATGCTCTTCACCACACATGGCCCCGTGCTTGATGTGATCACAACTCGAGTTGGCGCAAAGGCCCAAAATATGAGAGGGCAAGCACACGTGGTGTTCCGTGACATACAGACAAGTACTCAAGCCATGCGAGCCCTACAGGGATTTGAGTTGTTCGGCAAGGAAATGGTATGGCCGTAACTCATATGAAGCAATTACAGGCTGATGTTTGTGTGCAGGCCATCGCATACGGAAGAGGTCAATCTCAGGTTATCCCCAGGCTGCGCGGTACCTTCGAACCACCCACAATTGCGACTGCGACTTCAGGAGCGACGGAACTCCAGAAATCAATTTTCAATGCCCCACCAAGTGCGATTCCTGCAAAACCGGTCGAAAATGGTGTTGGTCGAACTGAGGCAGTTTCCGAGACTGGACCTCATGGCGTTAAGAGAACGCGTGAAGAAGAGGAGGAATCAGACGAGAATGATGTTTCGATGGAAGAGGATGAGGACGATGCCCCTATGGAGGAGGACGATGACGACTGAGTCCCACGGTCGCTGCATACTCTTCCCATTCGCCGGATCGTGTCCCATTGCAAATACGGCCATGAACCAGCACTTTAAGGCGAGCTTGCTAGTCATGGCACCTTGGTCAGAGCTTGAAATCGTTCAAAATATTGTGAACAAGAGGGATGTCATCGATGGGTAGCATGCCCTGGACACTCTCAGAATACTTCAAGCGGTCTTAATCTGTCCCAGTCGACTAGGAGCCTACTAGGAATGTACAGGCTGACTGCTTGACCAATCAAGCCCAACCAAAGAAGGAGATACTCTTCTGGGATGATTATGTGGCCCTCACCCAGGACAGCAAGCGCATCTGGCGTGTTGCAAGGATGGATGAAAAACGAGGGCAAGTCCGAAACCGGATGATTCTGGTCGCAGTCAGTGTATGCAGTTACCACAATTGAGTGGGGCTCACAGTCATACTAATCCCTCCCATTACGCTGATACGACGTAAAGTCGCGTGTAGTGCTGAGGGGACCAGGAATTTATACACCTCTTCCAGATCGAGTGGCCTTCCATCAGACGGATGTCGACACGAGAACCACAGCATTGGGACACAATATGTTGGAGATAATGTGATTGAAAAATCAACGAGGAGGCTCTCACTCTCGTCACGTTGCTCGACCGACTACACAGAATCAGTTCAGCTGCTTCGTGCCGGGCAGGCACCACTCACATTGTCAATGTTAATCATTTCCTCAACAATTTCCTGTTCTGCACTGTCTCCTTCAGGTCCTCGAAGGGCTGTTTTTGCATTTTTGCGCTGCTTGATAAGAAGCTCCGAGCCTGTCCAACTCACACTGACCCAGTCGGTGCCATCCAAGCGATCCGCGCTTCGCTGCTCAAGCGCCTTGCACGCCTCGGCAAACTCCAGGATGGAGATACTAGGGAAACTCTTTACCTGACTCATCCCAATGTCTCAGAATTTTGTTGTGTGTGTGTGGCCCTTTCACTACGCAATGCAGTGGCCTGAAGCCATTATTGAAACAAGGTGGTGGTTCGCGGCCGCCTTCCGAGGTTGAGGTTGCCTTGTCCACCTCATGGTGCCAAGAATTCCAGGAACAGAGATCGGTATTGATACCGTATTTGTCGTATTGGTATCTACCACGGACATGCTTTCCGTTCTGTGGAGCCTTGACTCGTGGCAAGTGGAGCATTGAGCATCGCATTGGATCTCATCGGAATCAGAATTGCCTGCCGTTCAAGTTGAACCTTTATGAAGCTATGGACCTCTAACTCCGAGCTAACCACCATCATATGACTGCGGACCACTGTCTCGAACCCAAGATTGTACCCAATCGCTCACAGAACCTTCGAGTATAGACGTTGCGAACAGATAGGAGAACAAAGTTTCTTATCTGGTGGACATCCGTACTCTTGCCTCCCCCGTCCTCATGTTCAGAGTTCAAGTGATTGAGATACCATATCGGATCCCTGGGCATATAAGTAGCTGTCAAGGGACAATGATTCTCCTACAATTGTTTAACAATCCCTGACCTCAAGACACATCTACTCAAGGACAGTCCTTGTTTCCAGACATATCCACCAGATCAATTACAGCAGTACTCTACCATCCTTTCTCTTTGCATTTGAGAATATCAACATTATCGCCGACGTCCACCTGAGTTTCCTCACCTTCTGCAAGATGTCTGAAATACCACCATGGGTATGGTTTACTCTCCATCTCTACGGTCTTGCCGGAATGTTCATTATCATGATTGCGATGCTCTTTGGGGCACTCTACGTTAGACGACATTTTGCCCACGAACGGAATCCAGCCTCGGATGCAGTTCCACCAATCTTGGAATTCTATCTTTCCGATGAAACAAATGCTCCTCCCAATGAGACAGATGTGCCTCCCATCGAAGACCATCCGCTACCCAATCGCGCACGGCTTGGACGCTGCAGCGCCGAGGAGCTCCAAGAAGTGGCCGACCACATTTCTCACATTTGGTGCACAAGGTTTGCCGAAGAACAAGAGAGGTTACTCCGCGAGAAGCTCGAGGAACAACGAATTGAAGAAGAAAGGGAGCTGGCAGAAATGGAACGAGCACGGGAAGAACGAGAACGAGAACGAGATTGAGAAGAAAGAGAATGGAACGAGAACAAGAAGAACGAAGAGGTTTGAACCGCACTTGAGACTTCATGCGCGATGGCGTGCTTTAAGAATGATAGATAAAGATCATGACACTGATGTGAGATCCTCAATCATCACAGACGGAGGATATTGCGCTGCACAAAGTATTATATCAGAAATCCATTCGTTTCAATCAGCCTAAACAATGATGTCTGATTGCGTTCCTGCAAGATCCAGAAGTTCTTCCATACTCCGGAAATGTATATTCGGGAAAAACTTGTCTCGCTGCCGCTGAACAGCATCCTCTGGCAGTCTCGAAGAGCCTGAGTATATCAAAAGTTCAAAGTAACCCAACATTGCAAGCTCGGGTGATTTGTTGTCGACGACACTCTTAACCGTCTCCGCGAGTGATTTGTTCTTACTCGTCCACTCGGGATCCCGTTTCTTCATGACGGCGAAAAGCTCATTGCACGTAATATAATCTCCAGCGACGAAGGTATACTGCTCCCAAGGCTCGGAACTATTCAGAAGCGCCGCAACCGCTTTCGCAGCGTCGCGTACGGAGCACACGGAGAAGCGTTGATCGCCAGGCCCGTAGATGGTGCACGCCTTGTTCTCGTGATCCATCGGCCATAAAGGCCCGATCTCAGGAAGCACACGATTTGCAGGTGGAACGACGTAGTCGGCGAACCATGAGTTGCAGAACACCGTCCACCGGACCCCCTCCGCAACCTTGAGCTTACCGTGCAGCTTGTCGTTCGCTTCCGCCATGAACATCGGCTGCTCGGGATAGTTCTGCACGTCGCACGTCCACTCCGAGGGGATGTAGCTCTTGCATTTTTCGGACTGCGTGCACGCCTCGAGCATGTTGAAGTGGATCTGCGTCGCGTTCGGCGGGTTGGCGTAGTCTGCGATGGTTGACACCAGGCCTTCGGCGCCGCTTTCGTTCAACACTGAGAGGAGAGATTCAACGCTGTAGTCGGTCTCTCGCTGCGAGTAGTTCCTCCCGGCCTTGGTCTTGCGCGTAAGCACGATGACCTCGTGGCCCGCCTTGGGCAGCTCCTCGATCAGATAATGCGCGACATTTCCTGTTCCTGCCACCGCGACCTTCATTTTGCTGGTGTTGATTATCCTTGGTACGAGAATCACTTTTGAATCGGGACTTTTGCCGTTTCTCACCTCAGGAGCAAAGAATGAACTCGTCGCTTTATAATTTACAGGAATGGAAATTTCTGTCATATGCTTGACGTTAAATTTTCATCTGAAGAGGTACTCTGCGAGCCAGTACTAGGTGGTTGGATGTCGTTGTCGAGGCTCACTTGGCGCTTGGCTCGCGACCCTCGGCCACCGGTTGTGATGCAAAATGAAGGTCGCGATTTATCAGCAGAACGACACTCTTAGACTATCTCTGTGTGTACAGAGATTGAACCAGGTGTAGCGTCCATTATGCTAGAATTGGTTTGTAATATTCTGGGGGTCATGTGAAAAGTGCATGTCGACTCCAAGATTGAACTTTGATAGTCAGCACCTGAAGTGAATGTGACTTTTATTTAGTGCTATGCAGACAAGGAGGATTTGTCACGCGGAAGACGCACCATGAAGTGCTGCAATTAATTGCATATTGAAATAGCTAGCTATGGCTGGGTACATGAGTCACTTTCTGACATATCTCTCGATCAATGGGTTCTCATGCCTGTCGTTATGCTGATGGGCCACACCGACTACACTGGCACAGGGCATCCGAAGCTGACAGCAACGGTTCCATCGGGCCCAAAAACGGCAATGAGACCTTCGATGGCAGCCCAGGTGCCCATTCCGCAGCATGCAAGGCCAAGTAGAACGTAGATCAATGCGATGGTGCTTCGAATCCAAGTCTTCTTGTAGCCTCTCATCCATCGCTTCACACCGTTGTCGTGTCTGATTGTCTCACGGGTTGCTGGGTTGAAACCCTCACCAGGCAACTCAGCAGCTTTGTGGATGATGCTGCTTATATACATCATGCCAGGAAATGTGTAGGTGAAGTTCATCATGAAGACGGCGCCGACCAAGCTGACAATACCATTGAGGTTGGGTACTGCTCCAGCAACGACAAAGGCCAGGATCCAATAGCATGGTCCCAAGATGTACCAGAGGATCTTACCCTTCTTCTCGACGATTGAAGGGAACTTGAAGATAGCCTGGAATACTTCTAGGTAAACGGTCTTCATGCCGATGTTGAAGTACATGATGATGGCGATCCAGCCAGAAAGCAGTCGGAGAATGTTACCGGCAGTCTGGAGGCCATAAGGATTGACGACGTTGACGATGTTGTTGGCAGAATATTGGCCGTAGAAGGAGTACACAAAGACACCGAAGAACATGTAGACGATGCAGATGAAAGCCTGGGCCATGAACATGCCTTTCCAGAAATCGAGAGGATGTCTCATCTCGGAGAGGAAGGCAACGAAAAGGAGAGCACCGGCATATGCGTAGACCATGGTGTTGACTGCGTTGAATGTAGCGGCAAAACCTGGCGCTTGTTGCTGGTACTGGTCCGGTGGGATACCAGCGAACACTTTGACGGGCTCAATAGTCTTGATGAGCGTGGACCTCGTGATTGCCGGATAGTAAGGCGCGAAGTGTGATGCAGCAACCATGCTGTTGTTATACTTGTCAGCGAGCTATAACAACCGAGGGCTGAGTCAAAACTTACCAGATGATAAAGTTCACAATGTTCATCCATACGGCAGCATTCGAAATCCAGCCGATCTTCTTCAAACTTCGGATGAATCCACCACACATGCCGACAGCCATAATGACAACCATCATAGCTACGAAGCAGACTTTACCTTTAGCGATCTGCTCAATGTTCAAAGCCTTGCTGAAGATCAAGATAGCCACGGTAAAGAACTGCTGAAGCGATTGCGCGATGTTGATGAAATGACGCAGTTTCACGCCGAAGAGCCGCAAAAATGGATCGCCAAAACTCTGCATTGGGTACCGAGATGAATCAAGATCGAGGAAAGTCTTCCAGATGACCCAACCGCCGCCAGCAGCGAAGATACCGAAGATCAGGTAGAGAGCAACACCGGTACCGTATCCCACGCTAGCAAAGACAAACCTGTTGGAGACTGTTAGCGACGGATCTGGACATCATCTCGTCTCAAGTGGTACTTACGGAGCGCCTGACCAACCAAGAATATCAGTGGTGATGAGGAAGAACATCTGTCCCCAGCTGGCAGTTCGTAGCGCACGGGCAGCAATGCGCCATTCTGCATCAGAGACCTTCAGCGCGCCGTCGGAGGTGCCGCCATTGTCAGCGACAGTAACGCCACCAGCGGGTGTCTTCTCGTTCAACGTTGCCAGGGTTTGAAGTCTAGCCTCCTTTGCAGCTTTGGCCTTCGCACGACCAGACTTGGAAAAACTGTTCTTGATAGAGTTGAGGAGGGGAGTGCCTTGCTCAGCCTGGAATACTTTGTTCTCCTCGACTTCCATCTCACGTTCGAGCTTAGCCCAGTATACGTATTCTTCGTACGTAACAGTGCTGTCGACACGAGCGGCAAACCCCCATGTTCGCTCCATGACCTGTGGCTTTTCATTGGCACTCGCTGTAACAGATCCCTTGCGCATCTGCTGCTCGGTGACCACATCCAGCTCCGGGGCCGGATGCGTAACTGGGACGATATGCTCCATGATTGAGGACGATGGAGTCAACGAATGAGAGGAACTCAGGTCGGAGGAAGTTGGAGAGAATGGGCCGTGAGGGTTCAAGGATGAACTACTTATACATTATAAGTGGACACACGAAGGAAAGCACATTCCCATCTGTGTCTCCTTCCGATGTAACATGGCACGAACACATGGGCAACCAGACAGTGGCGACCTAGCCATGGGTAACCGCTGGAGATTGCACATCGAGGTGTTAGCGATATCTTGTGCTCCTCCTTGACAACTTGATAAACACAAGGTTCTTGGGGTGGCTATTCTTGATAAGAAGAAGCTTGCTTGGATTGCACAAGCTTGATGATAAGCTTTGCTACGATTGGGTGGAGTGGCCAATGATCAGCAGCTGTGGCGACCTTCATGCCAATTTGAACAATTTGAAGGAGGTAACAGGATGGAGATTTAGACATGCAGCGTTTCATCGCCGTCCATCAGCACCACAGACCCCGGTAGGACGGCATCGTGCCCTCCAATTGATAACAGGCGATCGGCGGTATAGACAGAGATCGACTCCATTGCCAAGTAATGCCAAGTGAGTCCGTCAAACCAGACTAGGAAGGTAACACTATACGAGGGGGGCATGTCGGACGACATCAAGAAAACAGTTTAGCGTGTCGCGGTTGTTTATTCCATGGCCTGTCAATAATCAAGCTTTGTGGATGTTCTCTTGCTCTGATTTGGCTCTTATCAAAAATATCATCTGCGAGGTGGTTAATCGTTAGCTAAGTATATCTCAAACTCCGCATCAAAACGAGCAGCGCGCAGAACGACTGTCTGTACGAGATATCCGTTGATTCTAGACACGAGATACTGACCGGGCGGCCTGAGAATCCATCAGCCTCGGTTCTGTTGAATCCGATCCGATCCATTGGTCATGGGTATTCTTTCAATCTCCTGCGCTTCAAAGTTCGAACCGCCTGAATCACTATCTGCCCTCCAGCCCCCAGAGAAAAGATCCAATCACTTTGACCTCCTCATGGCCCGCTTAGGGCCCCCAGGCTACTAAGTACTTCTCCAGTCTCCTCACGCGACAACATGCGAACAGCAACATCTTAATTAGGCTTAATCTCAATGCCCAGGTGTAAATCGACCGGTTGGAGATCGCCGATGTCATCAGCTGCCTTCTTACCGAGTATATCTGCTGGCTCATTTCCCCCCTTGTTGTCTTTGATAGGCTCGATGGCCACTCTTACCTTATCTCGAATGCCCTGTACAACGGGACTGGCCATAGCTTTTAGTGCATGGTCTATCCGTACCACTCTGTCATCTGACGAGTATGATTGATTGTTATTGCGTTCCATTGGCTGCGGAGACAGAGCAGACAGGGCGTCCTTCTAGAAAACAGCTCTGGAAGTATGACAACCCCATGCTCCCGTTGTCACTCATGCCGGGACCCGACTAGCTGAAAGTCCCAATTCCTGCTCGATCGAAGCCAGTACTCCGAAGGTCGCATTATTACCTCCCTTCCATTGCGAGGCTTACTTAGTACTTCGTTCTCAACCTCTCAACCCCTGTCTTCTACAGGCTGGAGCTGCAGCTGAGAGATAGTGGAAAGTTTTCGACATTGTACAAGCACCATCAGGGGAGGTTGACTCTGGCATGAATGTAATCATAGCGCCCCGTATTGATAGCTTGAGATCACTGATTGCAACAATGTTCACTGCTACCCTCAGCATCATCACATCACACTACAATGCATGTCAAAGTATAGTGAGAACGGTTTCAAGGCAACTTCGATCTCGGTGTTTTCAGCAGATCATATCCTTCTTCCGATTTTTATGACTTCCTTGATGTTTGCGGAATTCATTTTGAATGCCTGGGACCAAATCTGCACTGCGCATGCCCTTCCATAAAGGTATGTGTGTTCTTAAAGACGAATGACTCTCTGTTCCAACAGGTAATCTGCCGTATCGATTGATGGATACTGCACTTTGGTGACTCGCAGTCATATAATGATCCAGTTCGAGCACAACTACGATCCTAGTGAAGATTCTACCGTGTCCCGACAACAATATCATGTGGTTGTGAATTCTCCTCAGGAAACGTCCATGCTCACGAAGAATCCGTCTCTATTTGTATTGGAATTGCATAGATGCTTCTCAGGTCACGAGATTGAGGTCGATCGTTTGTGTTTTGGGCGATAACAAGCAGATTCATTTCGATGGCAGCCACATACAGTCTTCTATCAGAAGCACCGAATATTCTGGATGCAGAGTTATTGTGCTGGGGAGGCTAGGAGTCTCGTTGAACTGAAGGAATGGGACACGGGTTCACATCGAACTTGCAGTGGGGTCAAAGAGGCTCACAATCGTTCAAGAGCTAAAGTTCAATCGACAGAGACGTTACTTGCCGAAGATAACCATCTCACTTCAGGTACTACATTAAGATGAGTACGATTAGCGAACATCTCTAACGGAGGGGAGTTGAAAATCAACCAATCATACCACAGTGTATACGAACGCTAAAAAAGTACCATGGGCAAAGTCGAGCCAAATCAGTAGGTCGTCCCGGTTCCGGCTCTACCACTATCTGGATGCGGTCCAACAACACCTCAACACTGGATGAACACCTCGACTTTTGCGGTCTGTGTGCTACTTGGTATCAGTTTACTGTGTCATGTTTCCTTCTGGGATACACCCGGTCCGTGAGTAGCCGATGGAGATCGAGATATATCGGTGAGGAACTAAAATTTCAGAAATATGAAGAACAGGCGTTCCTGTCTACTTGACTCTCATCCTGCCTCATCTATCTCTCGAATACATTGTTACCCACCAGAGTCCTTCCCGTGGCGCATTCGGCCACTCATCCCAGTGAAATTATCCTTTTACAACTGCTCCCCCAATGAAAGAGTTGTGGAAATTCATTTGGGCGTTGATCGCTGTCGCAACGATCATTGCTGCTCAGGCGCCAAAGATAGACTTAGCATTACTAGGCCCTATCTACCAGCCAGCGGCCAACAGCTCGTTCAAAGCATTCGACGATGCCCGTGCTCAGGCGACCGAGGCTATCAAACAGATCATTTCCTCCGGAAATAGTACTTATGGGCCATTTGATCAAGACACAACATCATTTTCTGTGTCGGTCTTCAGCAAGAATGACGATGCACTGTTGTTTGAATTCCACTATGAGGCATCTGAATTGAATGGATCATATACTAAGGGCAGTTTGACAGAAAACACTATCTATCGTACAGGGAGTCTAGGCAAGCTTATGACAGTGTATACGTGGCTTGTGAATATTGGCGATTCTGTCTTCTCCGATCCAATCACAAAGTATATTGTAAGCATTACCTAGCAGCGAAAGCGCAGCTAAAGTCATCTGATGTCTCATTTGCACCATAGCCTGAGCTTGCGCAAGCAGAAGCATCTTACATAGATCCTATTCTCTCAACAAATTGGAGCGAAATCACCATCGGTGCTCTAGCATCTCACCAGTCTGGCCTTGGCCGTGATTGTAAGTACCTCGTATCTACATTTTCTGCATCGATCAGACACCAGATCTTACTAATACATCGAAAAGGGCACCTTACCGATATGGCACTCACTACCTTTGAACAACCACCAGTATCGGTTGTAGAACAGAGTGGATATCCTGTACTCGCAAATGACGAGGTCGTTCAGTGTAACTTTTATGGAAACCAACCAAGTTGTACGAGGTCACGTAAGTCGCATGAAAACCAGCGTGGAGTCCAAGATTGACAGGGCTTCTGCAGAGGCGCTCGACGGTATAATCAACCATCCACCATCCTTTCTACCATACTCAACCCCTTCATACTCGAATATTGCATTCATCCTTCTTAGTCTAGCGTACGAAACCATCACTGGCGAGTCGATAGACCAGGGTCAGCACGAGGTTCTCAACTCAAGGCTAGGAATGGTTTCGACCACACCAAGGCCTCCTGGGGGCGAGATTGATGCTATAATCCCTTTTAATGACACCTTTGCACGTTTTCATCATGACCTCGGACTTTTGTCACCGTGAGTCACCGGAAACAACTTGCTTGCTAAGCACTTCACTAATTCAAATTGCAATACAGTGTTGGTGGTCAATACACCACTTTGAAAGATTTGCAAACCTGGGGCAGAGCGATCCTCAACAGCACGCTACTACCGCGTGCTCAAACAGATCGTTGGCTTAAGCCGAGGTCATTCACATCACAGTGGCACTCAGCTGTCGGAGTAAGTCAGCCTTTGAGCAATATATGCTTCGATGTTGTGGGATTAACTGTGGCCTGAATCTCAAGGCCCCGTTCGAGATATACAGACATCCAATACCAGCAAATTCAATCATCAATTCCAGTCGCATCATAGACACATATTGCAAGCAAGGCGGTCTCTTTGTATATTCGACTTATTTTGGTCTTGTCCCTGATCTTGACATTGGTATATCGCTTCTTAGCGCAGGCGTGAACTCGGATCGCCAGATTCCCCCCATTCGCGATACACTTGTCCAGATATTCGTACGTTTTCTCCTCATCTGAGATTATGTCTAGTAATGTACTAACTTACCCTATTAAGTATCAAGCAGCGGAAGCGGCAGCCAAGGAACAGGCAAAAACAGCCTTCACCGGCACATATCAGTCCTCTTCAGGAAACTCTTCCATCACACTGGCAGTCGACGGAGGCCCAGGAGTCGCGGTCACCAGCTGGACCAGCAATGGGGTGAACTTCCTCGATACCGTGTTGCTCTCAAGCTACAACAGCCTTCGTCTCTACCCAACAAAGCGTAAGACCGAAAAGGACGGCATAGAGTACTATGGGTACCACTTGGAGTTGCTGCCTAACAATGGCGAACCGACCACAGCAGACTTTTGGAACCATTTGGACGAATGGTGGATCCAGATGGATACTCTAATCTACAACAATCTGGCCACCGATGCCTTTACGATTGGATTCGACAAGGATGGTATTGTGCAAAGTGTTGCGTCCCAGGCTCTGCGGACAATATTGTATAGAATCGCCTAAGTTGGATGTCTGTGAGATGTTAAGTGGATGAGGTGGCAACTACAGCGATAGGCAACCGTGAATGTTCAACACCTTCGTATTCCGTGATAGATTGCTTGATGCCCCATTCAAGCAGCCTCGAATCAGCCTCAAGGAGCCTCAGCCTCATCAGCCTTGGCGGGTGGCTTGCCAAGAGAATGCTTGATCGCAGCTGAGGTCTCAGATGAGTGCTGGACCGCCGGGCCAGAAAATGATTATGTGTCATTGGTAGGCAACAGAACCGTAAGGCATATATATAGCTTTCGATCATTCTCACAATGTGAAGACTTGTACGTCAACATGGGAACTGCAATCATGGCCGCTTCATCTGGGCTCGAATACTTGGACCTACACCCTTTTGTTCGCACGGCTACGCACGACAAGTTGCTCGGATGTATTTTCGGAGGAGCGCTAGGAGACTGCATCGGCCTCTATACGGGTTCAAGCCATTCATGAATCCCTGATTACGAGTATACTGACGAGCACCAGAGTTCTTACCAAAAACTTCTTCCGAAAAACAGTATCCCGACAGGAGTTTCAGCCTCGTTGAGCCTGTGACCCCCTTTGCAACCGACACACATCGAGGTAAGCGTTGCCATCTGGGAAGTATACCACAAGCTGACAGCGCTCAGATAAGTTTGAGCTGGTAGGCAAATCCCTATCCGCTGTTCAAGACGTGATGGGCTTGCATGATGTACTGAATATTGGCAGGGGTCATGGACAGATGACACAGATCATGCCCTCCTGCTCATACTATCATATCTCCACAACAAGGGACAGATCATACCCGTCGACTTTGCTCGTCGACTGAAGATATGGGTTCGCCACGGCCTTTTGGCTCTGGACAGGCTGCCGCTTGGAATCGGACGCACAACATCCACCGTAGTTTCATATCCAGATTTTGCCGAGAATCCTGAAAGTGTCGCATTGAAAACCTGGATGAATTCGTCACGCCAGGGTGCCGCGAATGGATCTTTGATGAGGACTCATCCTCTAGGAATCATGTGCATCCCGAAAACTTTGGATCAGACGTTCGAACTCGCTGCACAGATGAGTCGGACGACACACATTGACCCTAGATGTACGGTCTCTTGTTGTGCAGTAACAGGTCTTGTGCGTGGTCTGCTTCGAGGGGAGGTTCTCGTTGAAGCTGATATGGACGCCGTCCTCGACCAAGCTTTCCTATATGTGCACGGTTCTGACACACTTCGAAACCCTGGTCACGATGAGCCGGCAGCAGCCCCAATATCGGCGGAGCAGAGTGATGCCTTGCTTGACAGGCACGAGTATGAGAAGCATATCAAGGCTGCCAAGTACTCAGATCTAGAACTAGACGACAGCCAAAAGATGGGCTATGTGTACAAGTGTCTCGGCTCTGCAGTGCTCGCATTGAGGTCCACGATGAGGACAGCAGCTTCGGACGCTGGACCCCGAGTCACAATCATCAATCTTTTCGAGGAGACAATCATAGACCTGATCATGCAGGGCGGGGATGCGGACACCAACGGTTGCGTTGCTGGCGCCCTTCTCGGTGCTTGGTCCGGCTATTCTCGCTTACCTAGCCACTGGGTGCGAGGAATACAGCATCAGGGATGGTTAGTGGAAAAATGCGAGGCTTTGAGCGGACAGGTCGGCGTTAACACCGAGCAAATTCAGGATATCAGCAATCCAGCGGATACTGCTCCAGATGGTGGTAGAGGACTATTCAGTGATAAGGAGCTGAACGACAGGGAGCGCGGTCTGCTTGAGAAAATCCTTCTCAAGCAGAAGACCAGGCGAGATGAAAAGGAGAAGGAGCTGATGAAAACATCCAAGAAGGGTGTTGGGAGTTTATTGAAAGCCTTGAAGCTCACAACATAAGAACAGTCAAGGGACCTGCGGAGAGTAGATCTGCGTCGCTGCCCAGGAGCTGGAACTGGAGCCTCGGATATCATATCGTGTAGCATATACCCTGGAGCTCAAGAGTCAAGTGGTGGATGCGAAGAGTCGCAAGCTAAAGTATCGCCAGAGACGCTCCTTCCTTACAGTTTCTTGAGCCTTCGGTGTGCTTTGCTTGTTGTCGAATACTCGTTGCGTCCGTCCTCGCTCGTAGTTTCCTCGACAAGATGAAGCATATCGTACCTTCCAATACACAGTAAGATGCTGGAACTATCTCTATTTGTCCTGATCTCCCTTTTTCGCCCTTCATCTTTCCCCTCCACCAGGGCTTCAACACAAAATTTTGGTACTTTTTATCTTTTATTTAAAAAATATGAATTTCTAAAGCTGGTTAGATGTCTTCACTGTGGTGGCGGTGCCCGCCGGCAGGGGTCTCGGCTGGGGTTACTTCCAAACGTTTGCCGAACTTGAACACTTTCTCGCCTCGTCGACTGACAAGTTTTCTAGGATGGAGTACGAGCAACGAGAAGCCCGGGAGATGCGGGCCCATGAGCTGGCAATGAAAAAGCTCGACTTCGATCATAAAGTCGCGCTCGCAAAGCTCGGGTTCGCGCCGACCAGCTTCGAAGCGCTCGGTCCTTCTGCGGGAGTAACGCCCAGCCCCCCTGCATGATGGGCACCGGGATGGAAGGTGGTGAGTGTTCTTCTATTATGTATCCTTCGAGGACACTGCTCATTCTCGCAAAGGGCACCAAAAAAACCAAAAAAAAACCTTCCGTCATGCTCTCATTAACACTCGGTCTTTTCCCTCCTTCCGAGTCAGAAAATCATCCGGGAAAAGAAAATCAAGCTGCCTCACAATGGTGACTTTATCGTCCAAGGTAATCAAAACGAATGGACTGGCGGCTTTCTTCCGTATCACCATGGGACAACTCAGGCCTTCATTGCCTCATTGCGAAGTCCTTCGAGGTTTTGAGACCACACCCGTGATATATCAATGGCCAGAGATACTAACTCCTCAACGCTATAACCTGCAAGCTGTGCTCGGGAAGGTCGTGAATCCTGCCATAAATCAAGAGGTGCCGAGGGTTCCTGTGGTACATACAAGGCCTTGCGCTCGATTCGTGGGCCTTCCACATAATTCAAGACGGCAATTGAAGCAATACCAATAGCCGCCATACCAGCCACAGCAGTCAACGTAAAGGCGAGCCATTTCCACACCGACATGTCATCTGACATGTTGGTGGCCTGTGACGGATCAACGGAGGAATCGGGAGAATAGAAGGTACTAAGATACCAGGTTGATGGCTTTAATCGGTTGATGGTTTTCCTGATGTGCGGCTTGAACACGAAGTTTGGAAAGTATGTGGTAGTGGAAATTGAAGATCGAGTGGCTGGGGTGAGGGAGGATGCCAATATGAGGACTTAAATAGTGTGGGCATCTTTGAGGTCCTCAATTGACCGTATCCACGAAATAAACATTCAGCTAACGAGTTTTGCACTGAGATACCTCTTGACTACTGACCACATAAAAACCTGTTGTTACTTACCTAAGGTAGACATCAACAATGCCTATTGCCAGACGCTACTAGCGGCTCGAGGTTGGCATCCATGATATTGTTGACTGGGCGAAAGGACTGTCACGAGGGTCTGTTAGGGTCGAAGCACGAATAATGCCAGATGTCAATGGCGACCGCCCATCCACGAAATACCCAAGTCGAACGGCGAACATTGCCATATTTTGTAAAGATTAGGCAATTTCTCAATCGCGAAAATCCTCAACTAAAATCTCGTACTTTAGGCTCTTGTTTCTTTGGGAATAACTTATCTGTGTTCTATAGCATATTTCGGAATCTAGTCTTTATACTCTAGTTATACGCTATAGAGTAACTTTATCGAGAAATACGTGGTATAGTATATATACAAGCCAGCTAACAAAACTATACAAACTTATCACTCCATTCGCTGATACTGTATATTCTTGCTCAGACCAGAACAGGTCCCCGTAGACGCTAGAAATGTGTATGTACGAGTACCTACGAGTAGGTGTCTAGGTAGCAAGGTTTAATAGGTACCTGTGCCCGCCAAAGACGCTACCGCCTAACATTGGAGCACCTACGAGTACGAGTACAACTGTTCTAGTCTGAGCAGGAATATACCGCCTCCGCGAACTTGAATGGCGTGGTAGTGTTTGTGACCCTACTGATAACAGTGCATTTGAGCTACGGCGCATCATGTTGATATTCTGAGCAGTTTGGCTACAGTGGAGCTTAAAGCCGTCAATTGCAATCTGTCCAAAGCTTCGAAGCCACAAGAGTTTTGCGCCCAGAAAATTTTACTTCTAGGATCGGTGCCCAAAGCACCAAGCAATGCCCCGCACTTGGTGGTAATGTACGAGGAAGCGCAGAAGGTGCAGGTTGTCAGGCTCTCCGACATCAAGCCACCAAGTGATAACTGGCCCCTTAGTTACACCATGTCTGCAAAGGCCCTTCGCGAGGCTCCACGAGATGTACGCTTTCTGCTCGATCTATTCGTAGGATTACGCTTACTAGAACAATAGCTGTCGGAGATCGCCAAACAGGAAGAGGCCCTCATTCTCCCACACTTCACTGCGGACGATGCCCTTGAGATCGGTCTAGCAATCCGTAATAGACTAAGGGCGTTATCGAACCTCTCCGCCGTCGTCAACATTACCCTTGCCAATAGCAATAACCTTCTATTTCATGCCGTCTCTCGTCCGGGAGTCCAGCCAGATAACGATATCTGGGTATCGAGAAAGCGCAAGACCGTGCTGCGATGGGGTGTGAGCACTTGGTTTATGCACAACAAGCTACATGGCAATGAAGAAACCTTCAAGAATAAATACATGCTTGGAGACTCCGCTGGCCAATATGCCATCCATGGTGGTGGAGTTCCGGTCCGCGTCCGAGGGGTGGAAGGAATTGTCGGCGTCATCGTTGTGAGCGGCCTCAAACAACACGAGGACCACCAAGCTGTTGTCGAAGGCTTGGAAGAGTTTTTGGACGGTCTCAATCAGGCTGCGCCGACACAATAAGTTAATCGTCAGCACTCTCTTGGAGGTGCAGTTGGTGTGAGCGCATTTTCAAATGGCTTCAACAAGAATCTCGCCTTTCAAGGTGCTTCATAGTGCGCCTAAGAATGATGACGATAAGTATGCCCAGCCCACACATCTAAGGAGCAGTCCAAGCACGCCCATATCACACACGCCTCGGATAAGTTTCTTACGAAAGCCTTATCGCTCTCACACGGTATGGCCATGCGACTAAGACCTGGATGAAATTATGATCTGGCAACAGCCACTCACCCACGGACGAAATGGTTGGTGTCTCCATGTGGTTGATTGGACTGCACAGAGATAAATACTGAACACCGAGCGACCTCTGAGACTCTTCCAGCAAGTCAAGTCTTGGATTCGATTCTTCGGCAGAGATCTAGCGAACGACAATGGTCAACAAAATTAGCAAATAAAGTGTTTAGCAAGTACCTAGTCGGACCCCAGCGAAACCCCATTCATGCATGCTTTGTGGAATTCTGGAGGACACGCGCGTCAACATTAAGTGACACCCCGATTTGGTGATGTAGGACTCAATCTGGAACCCTTCTTCCGTGTCCGATCAGGATGCAGGTACACAGTTGGCCGTAAGCATACTCATCGGAATCCCTGACCTTCCGAGCCTGATCTTGCGTCTGACTATCTTGTCGAGGGCAGTCGACCCAATACAGACTTATCTGCTGGGCTGGTACGTCGAGACCCATGTATGATCAATCGCCATGAAGGGTCGCGGACAAATACGATGGAGCTGCAAGCTGATAAAAACGAGAAGCTTTGGGTAATGTTGGCGAATATTTCATCCTTGATATCTGACCGGACACACTGTGATGCGCCATATCTGGCATGGATATGATCACCGATCTCCTGTCAGATAAAGTGGCACACTTTCCAAAGCTTCTGAGTCTCCACTAGGATGAGAAGCCTTTCTGCGACGCCGGTGGGCATGTAGATGGCTGACCTTGCCCCCCTTAGGACTTGAACAGCTTCAACCCCATTCTTCCTGATGCTATATGCGGTTGCAACCCCTGTTCATCGTACGATGCACAAGCATGTCCACTGGAAGCCATGCTTCAAAAGGGAAGTGTATCCTTGTTCATGTGGATTCGGATGTCGTCTAGGCTCTTACCCAAACATGCACGTCCTACAACGATTCTGAATCAGTTGCTGTTGCTTATTTCGAGCTGCAGATCGAGAGGCATTCGCGGTATGCTTGTAATTAGGCATCTACTCGTACCAAGAGGGACTTTCCACAGCGAATCAAGTCTCGCAGGACGCCCTAACTAGAATCAAACTCAGTCCTGTAACTAGCCGGGACAGCCTGTCCCTCAGGATGATTTGATATCATGGTCACGAGACAATTTCAGACTCAGATACAGGCACAAAGTTCGGCTAAGCATTCCTGTCGAGCTTTTGCTGCCTATCGTACCGTGCCAGATGAGGGCTTCGGCCCCATTACACTGCCCCAAATAGCCTCCATCAATGACGATTATAGGGGGCCTGATCAACATACTCCTTTCACATCCTTGGTAAAGGCCCGTATTTCTTCTCTGGAGCATCAAATATGGTCTCCAATTGAGCAGATCCTGTCAGACACTACTATAGCCCTCAAGCTAGTCGTGGCTAGTCAATTACCGTAGATCTGAGTGGTTGGTCAACCTTCCGTACAATTCAAACAGCATGCCATGCGTATACGGTTCGTCTTTGGTGCCAGGACTGGGTTTGATTAGGCACCTCCCTTCCTTTGTATCATTTACGTACCACGAGCCAACTGTCTATCAGCATCTCACGACACTCTCTTTGTTTTGACGTCCAATGTGCAATAACTGTACGGCGACACGAATGCAATGAAGTTATCAAGCAGTGATAGTGCCTCCAGTAATGGTGATTCGGCTGCACAAAGGTTCCGGTTTGACATCGAAAGCGTCACAGGAGATGGACGAGCGAATCATTCTCAATCCCTGATTAGAGTCTGGAAGATTCCTATCCCGTTGCGAAGGGCCAGCATTATACCTGATCTGATCAGGAATCTTGCCTACATTTCGACGTTAGTGTAGGTACTACGGAAATGAAGTCTTGTCTATGCTGAACTGACAAAACTTCTTATGAAAGATGTTTCGCACTGGTGGTGTACATCATTCGCCTCAAAGAGGGCCTAGTCCGCGTCGCCAATGATCCTTATGATATTAGATTCGGTCTAGACATCGATCGCGATAGCCAATCTATTTGGGACGATGAACGGCAACCCTTCCTTCACGACGCTTTCCCCGTGCCAGTGCACTCACATAACGACTATTGGCGGAGGATTCCACTCTTCGAGGCTATTGGCTCAGGTTGTATCAGTGTCGAGGCTGACGTCCACTTACGAAACTCCGACCTCTTCATTGGCCACACAGCCCGGAGTTTGAAGAAGAACTCTACGTTACAATCCATGTATCTGGAACCTCTACGGCGCATGATCGAGGAACAAAATGCTAATGTGACAGATGGCACTTGGCGGGGCATCTTCAACCGTACTCCTCAACAGACATTCGTTCTTCTGGTCGACCACAAGACCTCAGGAATTGAAACATTAGCTGAGCTTCATGCTCAACTTCAGACACTTCGTGATCTCGATTATCTGACATACTGGAATGGCTCAGAAAGGGTTATGCGACCTCTCACCGTTGTAGCAACAGGAAACGCACCATTCGAGGGCGTCCTCGCACTGGATCCACAGCACCGGGATATATTCTGGGATGCTCCACTTGAGCGCTTGCCTTCCATTGATGATGATTTCGATTCCAATCCCGTCAGATACGCATATAACCGCTCAAATTCGTACCTTGCTTCTACTCTATTTCAAAATGCCAGGTTGTGGAGTTCTCATCGAGAATTTGCGCCGTCGTTGGATAGCCCTCGACTCGCTGATATGGGGGCAAGTCAAATTGAACAAGCAAGAGCGAGGGGTCTACTGTCTAGATACTGGGACACGCCGGACCAGCCTCCGAATCTGAGGGAGATAGTATGGAGGGTTTTGGTCGACGCAGAGGTTGACCTTCTGAACATGGATGATCTGGGTACGGTTAGGGCGAGAGCCAAAGGATGGGGAGCCATCCCATTATCGACTTGATGGTGCATGAAAGGCGGAATGTCCTGTGCTTGCATTGAGTACAATTCGTGATGTTGTCGAGGAGAACTTCCTGCAATGTATACCTACGCTGTGAGATTCATGCCTATTGGGTGCTATTACACGTGTACGTGCTGTACCCTGATAGTACTGCCATCATGATTGGAGATTTCGTTACTACGAACAACTTATCGCCCGCTTCTTCCCTCCTCGCGGCGGTCTTTAGACTTCCATCGAAGCGCCTTCTGCTGTTTTCTCTTCTTCGGCCTTCTTTGAGTGCGACAATTCTTCTATCGAGCTGTCGTTCTCCAAAGTTGTCGCCATTCCTGTCAATCTGGGGATCTCACTAAATGTTCCAAAATAGTCTTCCTCATCGACAGTCGTCTTATTAGCAATTGGCCAGATCAGCTCCAGACACATGTAGATTGCACCCGATATGAAGCACCCTAGGAACCAAGCGAGCCAATAAAGGTGTGTCCACCCAGGCCAGATGGCTTTGGGTGCAACACCTCGTTGAATCAGTCCTGGTAAGAGGCACCACACACTGGACAGCCAGGCGATAGCTGCCCGCCAGTTCCAGCCTCTCCAGTACCAGTATATGCTTTTACTAGACTCTTCAAAAAGATCCGTGAGCTTCATAGTACGCTTCCGGAGGAGAAAATAGTCAGCAAACATGATACCCATGAAGGGGCCAAGGAAGACGTTGAAGCTTCCCACGACCGTGAGGAAATTGGTTGCAGTGCTCAGCAGCTGCCATGGCTGCATGATGAAGGCGAAGCCAATTGTGAAATATGCTCCTCTGCGGATCGTGAACCATCGAGGGAGGAGTGCAGCCAGATCAATGCCCGCCACGACGAGATTCGAGGCAACCACGATTCCGTATTGGGAGAAAACGAACGCCAAACTGGCGAACGCAACTCCGGCTCGAGCACCCGAATTATTTTCGTACTTGAGGATGGTACTCAAGAAAGCATATGGCTGCCACAACAGTTTGCTGGTCTCGGGGTACAATTGAGCTGCGCAGGAAGTGCACACGATACCGATACAAGCAACAATGATGGTACCTAAAGGCACCATGACCAACTGCGCGAGAACTTGATCGCCAGGTTTGCGCGCATATCTGGTGTAATCGGATTGAGAGAACATGTGTGTTGCGATTCCACCAATATTTGCCGTTACCGCAGCGACGAATGCCCAGCCCAGTTTGGAGCCCTTCGCTGGCTTCACACCGGAGACACCGCTCACATCAGACAGCAAGGCACCCCCTCCACCAGCCCGAACCATGGCCCAGATTAAGAGGACGAAGACTGTTGTGGCCACGGTGGTTGATGCAATGAGAAAAGGGCGCTTATATTTCTCGGGGCTCATGAGCATCAACGGCAGGCAGGAGACGATGAACAGAAAGAATGCGACGAAGTCCGAAACATGCATACTACCACCAGCGAGCTCCGTATCCAGATCCGCAAAAGATGGCCACAAGGCCGTGAAGAAGACCTTCAAACACTGACCGCCGTACCAAGTATTCGTTGCTGTCCATACAAAGGAAAGGAATACTCGAATAGCCATTGGGAACAGATAGCCCCAGACGCCCCAAACCTGCTTCATCCAAAAGGGAAATCCAATATGCCATTTGGCTCCAGGGTGACCGCCAGCGATACAGACGAATCCGACAAAGGTGTGTGCGATGATGATGGCCAACATAGACTGCCACACATTAAGGCCCAGAGAGATCACAGACGAGCCCGTCGTCCATCCACCCACGTTGAAACTACCTGTCACCATCCAGAGGCCAACGAACTCCCAGGGACCATAGGGCCGCCTCGATGGCGGTAGAGGGCGAGTGTCTTTGTTGATGTAGGCGCCCACGTCGGTGTCGATGTCCCGGTTGACCTCGAGGCGGCGCATGATGCGCTGTTTGAGGGAAGTTTGGCTCATGGCTGACCGAGTGCTGAATAACTGCAAATTAGAATCTAGTATACCACATGGTCTCTCAACTGGGTTCGAGCGCACATATCATATACTAATGTGACGGAGCTTACCCGTGTCGGTGCTATGAGCGAGCACCGACATATCAACGACAATATCAGTGCGTGTTATCATCGACGTTAAAGAATTAGATAAGGCGATAGCGGTGGTTCTGAAGATCCGCATGAGCTCTATGCTGGGTAGATGATCCATTCGATAATTGATTACTTCTGGCTCGCACAAAATGTAGTTGTGAAATGAAATCTTCGCTTAAAGTTTTACAGTTCTAGCAGTTTATCAGTTTACCCGTCAAACATTGCGTATCACAGGAGTATTTGATTGGTAGGCCGAGAGTGTTTTATCTTGTACTAACCACTAACAAGCATTCTTAGACTTAGCATAGTAAATATCAAGATAAGAATTGATTTGGTATGTCGACAGTCTGCGCGTTGATGTCCGATGCTTGTCCCGAACTCCAACGGCATTGGAAGGAGGGGACTTGTGGGATACGAAATTCCTCGCATTGGATATTTGGTAATGAATGGAAGTCTTAATCGCGGGTCCCCGGGCTGGAATCTGATGATCTCTCGCGGCATCCTTTGGAGCAGGAAGTTTACCAGTTTATGCGGAGTTCTCAATGCAAAATAAGAGTTCTATGCCACCAGTACTCAACTATCTGAGTATCATTTCGCATATATCAGAGAAACACAGCATACTCCACTGACTCAAACGCACCCAGAGCCACCCACCACAAAGATGTCGTACTCTGCCACTAGTACCACCGAGCAAGAACGCAAGACCATCACTCTGCTAAACGGTCAAACATTCCACTTCAATTCCAATGACTCAATAGAAGCTGCACAGATCCCTGTGATCGACGTATCTCGCATTTACAGTGAGAAGCTGGAGGATCGCCAAGCCGTCGCAGATGAAATACGAGATGCATCGAGGGAAATAGGATTTTTCTACATGATCAACCATGTGCGTGAGCCCTCAGAAACAGGTAATTGCCAGCTGTCCGCTAATTTTGTTGTAGGGGGTCGACATGAGCTACGCCGATGACGCCATGAATCAAGCAAAAAAATTCTTCGCTCTCCCATATGAGAAGAAGATGGAGGTTTTCACCGGTTTGGTACCCAATGAATACGTGGGATATCATCCACTCGAGTATTATAATAGGAATGGCTGGAAGCATCGAGGTTCGTGTTTTCTCTCCGTATTTGACAGCAATGTTGATGTGTGGTAGACCTAAGTGAAGCCTTCAACTGGGCGTATGATGCAGCAGAAGATCCCGAAGCACCAGAGACAGAAAGCAAGTCCGTAAGTATATGGCCATCAGATCTACCGGGATTTCGAGACAGCCTCTATGCATATCACACCAAGCTGCTGCAGCTTTCGAGAAGGCTGACACGGATCTTTGCGCTCGCATTGCATCTTCCGGAGGATTATTTTGATGAATTCGTGAAAAGACCAGAGGCCGGCATGCGCATTCTGCACTATCCCGCACAAGAGCGCTCTGCGGATGACCAGCAGGGTATTGGAGCGCACACCGACGTTGAGTGCTTCACAATCGTCACACAAGATTTGTCTGGTGGGCTCGAAGTTCTCAGCAAGGGCGGTTCTTGGATCAAGGCATCTCCGATCCCTGGATCGTTTGTGGTTAATATCGCCGACTGCTTCATGCGGCAGACAAATGACTTCTTTGTTTCCACTGTGCACAGAGTTATCAACAGGACAGGCAAGGAGAGGTTTTCTGTGCCCTTCTTCTGGGGATTTGACCGCACGAAGCTCTTGGAGCCTGTACCCACATGCGTGAGCGACGATAACCCTATGAGGTACCCCGTTGTCACCGGTGGCGACTATTATAAATGGAGATCTGTCACACAAAAAGGGCTGGGAAAAACGAAAGAAACACCTCAGTTGGTTGCTGCTGAATAGTTGAAAATGTCAATAGGCCGAAGGTTGTCTGTGGATTGATGTAAGTGGCAAGGCGATATCACCGAGAAATGTCGCTGAGAATATCTCGTGGCCGAAATCGGAAAATGTACCATAGTCTTCATAATCAAACAGTCGTCCGTCGGCCTCGTGAGACTCTATACGGAGTTCAAAGCCACCTGGGTAGTGTTCGCTACCACCCTCCAATGTGCCATGTGCGGACTCGAGCTGACTCAAATGTTGTCGCAGGCGAAACGTAGCCATGACTACCGGCTCATGATGCTGCTTTGTCATGTCCAGAAAGTCAACGATTGATCCCAGAATAAGTCTCAGCTTCTGAAGGAAAAAGGTGGATAGCTTTTCCTTAGCGGCGACAATGCAGAGCATGTGCCCTACACCGGCAAGCTGTTGAAGTAAAGTCGCTCCACAAGCACGCATATACTCGGGAGGAATTCTTCTCATGCTATCAATCATCTCTTGAGCAGTGTCACATATGCTACCGAGATCATGATCGTCAGACAGAGAAGTCAGAATCCTGACTAGATGAATAGTACAGAAAATGTTTGTTGCTTGAAACCCACAGCGGTTTCTCCCGCTGTCGTCGGAGCGCAAAAATGCTTTCTCATACTGAGGGAGTAGTGCAAGCTGTAGCGAAGACAACTTCTCGCTAAGAAGACCTCGTTGTGCATGATCAATTATGCCCATGGAAGGTGTATGCAAACGACGTTTTGTGCGAAAAGCGACGACAGCGTGCTCCAGTATTCGATAGAGATCAGTAGTATAGTTCCAGCCAGAGAACCAATCTTCAAAGTTTCCATCTCTCCCAGGCACAAACGCGGGATGATGTAACCCAGATGGATAACCAACATCACACTGTGCTTCGGGCACCCGTACGTAATGACCTAGGACACATGCGGTGTGAACCTCTAGTCTGTAAATGGACCAGAAGATTCTTCGCCGTACCTCTCTCTCACAAGTCCCGATACTAGAGGGCCATCTTCTTTCATCGTGTAGACTAAATCTTCCACAGATACCGTGGTACAAGCCCAAGTACTTCTGAACCATATCGCTGTCGCCGATTTGAGTTCCAAGAAGTGCAAGTAAGCCATAAGACCGCATCAGGTTTAGGTGACTCATTTTGCTATAATCAATTGGTACGAGCAAGACGGCATCTTTCCGATATTCAGATGCGCAAGTGGCAATCTCTTCTTGGCTCATTTCGTCGTTGAAAAGGGCACCCTTTTGTGCATATTGGGCACTGACTGCGCACATGGTGATGAAGCAGGTGTACTCTGCGGTATTCTCGGGGAACGTGCCTTCCCTCCATCCTACCCATAGCTCTCGCTCACAGAAGACGGGAAATCTATTTATGTCAGCTAGGGACTTCACACTGACGTTTATGGAGGGTCATACAAGGGATGGATTGTATCGAGATAGATATCAAGCAACGTTGTGAGGACCTTTCGACGCTGTTGAAGTTGTAATTTTATCGCGTCATTCAACTCAACCTCGCCAGTGGGGTTGTCAAGAGATTTGTGTTCGAGACGTTTTTGTCGAGGTTTTGTTCCTCGTTTCTTGGGTAGACGACTACGTACACAATCTTGCCCATATTCAAGACATGTCAGACAGCTGGCCGTCAAGTCTACAGCAAAACTTGGTGAGCCATATTGAGTCTGAGGTCTGCATTTGATACTCCGCCCGCGGCAGAAGTCACAAGCTTGAGTTGCCCGGCGGCGTTTTGTGGCTCCATTACGTTGGGATTCCATGTATGGGCTTTGGAAAATTCATCAATTACAAAGTAACTGAGTCTGTGAGATAACGAATGCGGCTGCACTGATCAGCTAGTCGTCTCAACAACGCAATTGTTGAGTTGGGAGTGACATTCTCTTGCAACGCCCGCATCTATTGGAAGATAATGGCTGGCGAAAGGAATCTTGCTCGTCACCAAGAGCACCCAAAGTAGCTTGTGATCAACTACTTAGATGTGCGATGGAAAGTGGTGATTTTGTGGTTGAGCATTCTTCAAGGAGATGAGCGCCGAAAAGTACTACGGCTAACCAGCTGGGTGCAAGCAAACTCTAGTTAGAATTAAATAGTATATTGAAGGAGCATTTTACGGCGTACGGAGCACCCTATGTACCTGACTAGTTAACTTAGCTTCAGGGCATGCACTTACCAATGACGTATGGCCCGTAACTCCCTGCTAGCACTGTGCATAGGGCGTGAGTGTTCGCCGCATGCAGTCTCAACTCTTAAATCTCTCATATTTTCTTGCGTGAAAAGCCATTATTGCTTTTCTCCAAAAGACCGCAAACATGGCTGACGCAGCACCAGAAATCAGATCCGAGGAATGGAAAGCTGTAACCGCGACTTGTCGAGAAACGATTGACTCTTTCGAACACAGCTTGAAAGAATTGAACAAGGCCATCCACTCGAATCCTGAACTTGGCTTTCAGGAATTCTTCGCTGTAGAAACCATAACCGCGTTTCTCCAGAATAATGGTTTCACAGTTCAGAGCAAGGCTTACGGTCTCGAAACTTCCTTTACGGCCGAGGTCGGTAGTAATGGTGGGCCTCTGGTGATCATCTGTGCAGAATATGATGCCCTTCCCAACATCGGACATGCTTGTGGACATAATTTGATCGCAACTTCCTCAATCGCTGCGTTTCTGGGTGCAGCACAAGCGATCAAAAGTTGCAAACTTCCTGGTAGATTAAGACTTCTAGGCACACCAGCCGAAGAAGGCCAAGGAGGGAAGGTGAAGTTGATTGAAGCAGGTGCATTCAAGGAAGACATTGCGGCTGCCATCATGGCCCATCCGATCTCGCCTCATCAATTGAAGGGGGACTATACCGGCTTGGCTGGCATGGATATGATTGCATCTCACAAGTTTAAGGTCGAGTTTCATGGACGTCCAGCTCACGCAGGTGGTCAGCCATGGAATGGTCTAAACGCACTTGACGCTGCAGTGGCAACATATAGTAATGTTTCCATGTTGCGACAACAAATGAGACCAGATGAACGTGTTCATGGTGTGATTGAAGATGGTGGAACTGTACCTAATGTCATCACACAGTACTCTCGCATGAACTGGTACGTGCGGAGTCCATCCATGAAGCGATGTGATGATTTGTTGAAGAAGGTCGAGAAATGTTGTGAGGCTGGTGCACTTACTACAGGATGTGATTTCAACTTTATCAGGCAAGTGCTCAACTTTTGGTGGTACGGAGTACTAATTCGCCCAAAGAGCACCAACGTACAAAAACATAAAGGTCAACGAGACGTTGTGTAAGCAGTATGTCGAAGATATGTCGATCCTAGGCGAGAAGGTGTTGTTAAGGGATGCAGAAGCATTTACTGCATCTACTGATATGGGTAAGTCGGTCCATGAACTAACCAACTACCACAACCCTGACTGATAATGGTCAGGTAACGTCTCACATGAGGTACCGAGCTTTCATGGCGGTTTCCCTATTCCCACTGAAGACAATATCTCGCCGCATCATCCAAAATTTGCAGAAGCTGCGGGTGGTGATCCAGCGCATCAAGCTGCTATCAGGTGCGGCAAGGGGTTAGCTATGCTGGCAGTTCGTGCCCTTGGCGATACTGGGTTGGCTGCTTCTGCAAGAAAAGAGTTCCAAAGCGCACGGGACGATTGATGATACAGTAGATTGCTGGCGGCAACGACAAAGTCCGCAGATAGCCGAATTTGCAGTCTTCTCTGTCAGAACCGACAGTTATCGTACCTGCAAACTGGTACTGAGTTCCATATTCTCACATGGTCGGCTCCGGAATTGGTGCTTCAGCCGGCTTATTGACTCCCGTGTGGGCTGCGCGGGCCGCGCACCGAAGTGACTTGCGAAGCACCAATTGAATGTTTGATGCCCCGCTCCTCTTATTGTATTTTGGATCATTGGTGATATAAGATGTCGGACATAGATCAGTATCTCAGACAAAGATATCATCAAGTAAAATCATCAACATTGACGTTGTGGTGAACGAAGTATAAGCAAACGACAGTAAAACCTAAGCAACAGGACATCATGGGCAGTATGCAGGGCACCACAGAATCCACAACAGGCTGGAGGTCACTAAACATCGCCATTGCTGGTGGTGGTGTTGGTGGTATTGCGGCAGGTATCTCTTTACGACGGGCGGGTCACAAGGTGACAGTTTATGAACGATCAGACTTTGTTGGAGAAGTGGGTGCATCGATATCATGTGCGGCCAACGGTACCCGGTGGCTTCATGATTGGAACGTCGACATATCAAAAGGTGACGGCGTCGTACTCCGCAAGCTCATCAACAGAGACTGGAAGACTGGTGAGCCTGTGAGTGTTTACGACCTCGCCGACTATGAAGAGAAATGGGGTTATATCTACTATATGTTCCACCGACAATATATGCATCGAATGTTACTAGATTGCGCCACCGAAGATAAAGGGGCGGGGCACCCTGTCAAGATTGTCGTTAACCACAAAGTCCAAGATATCGACCTGGAAAGCGGCAAGATCACTTTTGCAGACGGCACCACTGCGCAGCATGACGTTGTTGTTGGAGCTGACGGAATTGGATCAGTCGTTCGTGGAATCATTGGTATTACACCCGATAAGCGTCCAGCAGACCAAAGTTGTCTTCACGCCAATGTCGACACGGCCACAGCAGTCAAACTCGGTTTAGTGGACTACTCGCAAAACGCGGCACTCGAATACTGGGGTGGACACCATACATACGATAAAATCGTTCTTTCACCCTGCAACGGTGGAAGCTTACTATCATATTATTGTTTCTTCCCCAGAGAAAAGGGTGATTTCACGAGTCACAAATGGGACGAGGAGGCACCACTTTCGGAACTGCTAGACCCTTACCCAGAACTTGACCGACAAGTCTTCGAGCATCTAAAGATTGGCAAGGAAATCAAGCCATGGCGACTATGGATCCATGAACCATATGGATGGTGGCAACGCGGAGTCGCCTGTGTCATGGGAGACGCAGCCCATCCCATGTTCCCTCATCAATCCCAGGGCGCTTGTATGGCAATTGAGGATGCGGCATGTCTCGGTCTTGTGTTCAACCAACAAAACTTCAATGGCGATATTCGCCAGGCACTGGAAACATACGAAGAGATAAGAAAGCCCCGAGCAACCAAGGTTCAAGCGGCTTCTGCCAGGGCCAGCGTTAACATCCACGAAAGAATAGGTGAGTTTGCGCCCTTTCCCACCAGTTGTATCCGTCATATCCGCAGACTAACAAGGGGTTTTCAGGTTTCTCCGATAACACCAATAATCCTCTTTACAATGTAAAAGATGAAAGCCAGAAGTTGACTATTGAAGAGATGAATTCGTAAGTCCTACCCTAACAAAGTGTTTCCCAGCACGAGGCTAATGAGATGCAGATATGATATGAAAAAGCATGTGAGAGATGTCCTCAGCTCAAAGCGAATGGGGAAGGCATAAACCCAATTTTCCAATGGAATTTCACGAATTTAAAATGTATGAGTAGCGAAATTTCAAGTAATATCTGATTCTCTCGGAGAGAGAGAGAGGACACGTTCCAAGCAACACACATGTACTCCACGGCATGTGCCTCTAAGAGATGATAAAAAAAATTGAAAGTGTCTTTGATCACCGTCGTGTATGCATAAGCTCATGATTCTCGTTGTACTGTCTCCGCTTTGTTGGTTCCCTCTACGACAGTTTCGCTCAGTAGACCTCGAAGCTCCTCATTACCAAAGCCACCGAACTGTTCCAGGAGATCATGGATCTCCGTTGTGACACGACTGCGCTTGTCGTCGCTGCCCACGGTCGTCAATGCGCGTTGGTTCCCTTCAGAGTCGAGGTTGAATGCATCATCATCCGGCCCCAAGAAGCTGTCAAAATCGAAATTTTCCAGGACCTCGGTGTTTTCCAGAGTGCTGAAGTCAAGATTGAAATTGTCTTCAGGGACCGTGAAACTGGTGAACACGGGTTTGGGAGGTTGATCGATTGTTTCCAATTTCGGTACTGGCGGTGCTCGAGAATCGCGGTCCCGGCGAACGCTTACTTCACCGCTGTCGCTACTGGAACTGTACATCTCCCTCGACTTTGGGCGTCTCCGGGGTCTCCTTGATTCCACGATGACAATCTCGGGGTTCGACTCTGTCTCAGGTGCACTATGGCGCTCTTCAACACGCGAGCTTGATGCTCTGGGGAGAGGTCGCAGCTGGTTTCTATCATCCCTATCACGCTGTTCTCTCCTACGAATAACCCTGTTATATTCCTCCGTTCTATCGTAGTCGGATGCTGAATGGCGGCTCCAGCGACGATCTCGATGGCCTCTTCGTTCAAGCCGGGGAGTCTCTGTGGATTCATGACCGCGGGCCCCTGTGGATGGTCGACGAGGGCCTATGGATGGCCGACGAACCAATACCCTTGATCTTTCTTCAGCGTATTGGGCTACCTGTTTTGGTCTCATTTCTCGTTCTTCGTGGCGTAATATGAGCTCCTGATACTTAAGTAGGTCCTTGTCGTATTTCTCCCTCGTCTGCGGATCCTGCAGGGTGCTTCTAGCCGCTTGTATAGCAGTGAACCGTGGCAAAACTTCATTTTCACGTCCAGGATTTCTTTCCGGGTGATATTTCAGAGCCAGGCGGCGAAAGCTCTTATCGATGTCTGTGCTGCTGGCGGTAGCCGGTACACCAAGTATTTCGTACAAGCTTTCTTCTCGTCTTGCGTGAACTGAAACCTGTTTTCGATCCTTAGGGGCATGAATATTGTTGTCGTCTTCTAGAACATCATCTTCTGTGGCTTATGTTAGATCTTCCTGAGGCGCGTAAGAATGCTGGTAGATCGTGGGATTGCTCACCAAGTTCCCGATCATGCATTGTGAGAACCTTCTCCGCTCTCATCTGGTGTCTAGGCTGGGCGACTCTTTCATAAGCATTACGCCGAGTCCAGTATGAATGCTTGACACAATATATCAATTTTACGAACGACTTGACCACCATACTTGTCATGCTTACCACGGCTTTGTTGCTCGAAAGGCCTTGAAGAAGCTTTTCATGGCCATGAATCCTAGAAAGATAGGACCACTCTCCCCAATGGCCAGCGAGGACGTTTTCTTGCACTTTGCTTGTCAGCCTCGTACTCAGGCTATACTGTGGCAGTTCAGCCTCGCGGATCATCTTCTCGACGAAGAGGCAATGTCCAAGAAGTTCCTTCTCCACTTCGGAAGCGAGGAATGAGAGTTGATTTTTATCCTCAGCGGCCTCCTGCCCGTGAAGTACGACGAAAGCGCAATGGAAATCAGCTGGTGTTGGTGATTTTGAAGTACCCTGCTTCGCTGCAACAGCGGGCGGCTTCGGACGAGGCTTCACCTCTTCATGTGGAGGTGGATCTGAAGGAGGCTGTGTCCCTTCGAGTGCATGTTGTAATTTCGTCTCATTGTTTCGCTTTTCTTCTACGAGACGTTCTAACAAGGCTTGCTGTTCTTTCAAGATAGGCAATGCTTCGCGACTGTATTTGGTAAGTGGCAATTTCATCAGATCAGTCTCATCAAGACATACTTTCGTATTTGCTCCGCATAAACGAGGACGTTCAAAATGACAAGTAATGAGCTCTTCAAGCTCTCAAGCTTTGTGCGCAAGAGGGCTAGTTTGGACTCAAAAAAGGGATATTTAAGTCTTTGCTTCCATGAGACAGCCGCAGTTGATCCGTTGGGTTTGACGATCTCGTCAATCTCCTTGAAGATATCTTTGCACGCAGTGACAAGCTGTTGTGCCGTCTCAAGGGCTCGGCGGGAGCAACCGGACTTGTTATCATCCTTCTTCAACTCGGCACCAAGTTCTTGCAATACTGCTCCGGTGACTGCGATCTCCTGAGATATTGCTTCAATGCTTTTATTTGCTTCTTTGACTTTTCGGGAGAAGCCGATCAGTTGGACCGACAGCCTTGCTCCCAGATCTGCTATCTGAACCACCGAGGCGGCAATGCCGAGTATCTCAAGGCCTGACATGCTGCAGGGTTTCGATCATCTTGTAAGCCTGCATATTGTGATAAAGAGTCAACTTCGGTGTATGTGATGTTCGTCAGCAGAGGCTGAGTTGTTTTGTGCCACCTGGAGCCCTGGTACCCCGCACTACTGAGATACGAGAGATACGAGTGGACTTGGGTTCCAGCCTTATTCGTTTTATCGCATCAAGAGCTTGTCAAGTCAAAAACAAAGCAGCACGAATAAAACATCCTATTGAATACACGAATGCACGCATGGAAGGACTCGCCGTGTACATCACGATGGGCGGTCAACCACGATTACTCTCGCTGCACCTGTATCGAACTTCAACAGCCCAGGAAATTACGTGATCCCTCGATAGTTGCTCCTTCCAGGCTGCATCTCGGGTGGCTTGCTTCCTTGACCAATTAAATGTTTGTTCAACCGGTTTGCCAGGCATCAATCTGCGTTCGATAGGACGACTATTGTTTGTCACTTCCTGAATACGAAATATCTGTGCCTCGAGCATTGGATGGTGATAGCCACTTTCTGCAACATAAAATGCGGCTTCTCCTTTGCGCTCCAAGAAATCCTTCTTGACATCTACGTACCTGGAGAAAACAAACCGAGTGTCGCCTAGAGCTCGGAGTGGCTTGAAAGATTTCAACGTACCAGTATCTGATATCTGACTCCTATTGAACCCGATATCAGCAGAAATCAATTTTTCACAACCATCAATTCAGTTATCAAGATGCCTAGATACATTTACCTCCTACATGCCAACGACGAATCCGAGCTCGGTGCATCAACACCAGCCGAGATGAGCGAGATGCTCGCGAAAATGGGAGCATACAACCAATCCCTGAAGGACGCCGGACTCTTCATAACCGCCGACGGATTCCGCGCGTCTAAGGAGGGCGCCAGGGTCACTTTCTCTGCCAACTCAACTAATGTGCAGAATGGACCTTTCAACCGGGAGGGGCTTATTCGTGGATATTGGATTGTGAAGGCGAGGGATCTGGATGAAGCGGTTGCTTGGGCGAAGAAAGCCCCTCTTGAGGATACGACGATTGAAGTCAGGAGGTTTGGGGAGCTGGAGGACTTCAAAGATATCTTGGCCGGGCAGTCGGATAAGTGATACTAGTAAGACAACACTTGGAAAGGGGTTCATTATAGTGGATCTTTGTGCAGATTTATGTACTTAACATCGTTCAGTCGTCCAGCTCTTGGTCATCACGAATCAATGATCCATCCCACCGAATCGTCCTAGACGTCAGGCTCAACTCGCACCAAGAACCTGTGCCGTGCCTTCAACCATACCCTCCCAGACCTGCTTGTTCTTGCAGTAAACCTCCACATTTGGACGTGGTATCGTATCGAAAAGTCCCATCTTGATCACTAGGTCCACGAATTTTAGTGTCAGCGTGCTCCTGATGAGTAAGGTCCGATCGCCAAAGCTGGGAAACTTACGCTTAATGCCTGGATATAAAGGAGTGGTGGACATAACAGGACTAGAGTTTCACGCCGATCAATCAGCATATCTCGTTTTGTATCCAGAAACCATCGCTGCCAACCGTGCTCGTTTCTTCCAAGATCATGCACAGGCGGTGCTAATGAACTAATGATCACACCTAAACGACGTCGCAGACTCACCTGCCACACTGCCCGCAAAACCAGCGATTGACCGGCGTGCCTGAATCCGTTTCCTTGTCCTCATACAACTTCGGGGTTCCGCTCACAACGGCGTCATCGTCAGGCACGACCATCACAATCGTCCCGACTGTTCAGGAGACAACATAATGTCGTTAGCTCTAACTCGCAACTGCGATTTGGGATGGGGCGCGACCAAGAGCAGAGAGAGCACATACGGGCGCCGCTCTGCCGTCGACAATTTGTGCAATGGCAGATGGCAGAGGAATTCTTGTCGGCGAACTCATCGCTGATGGCCACGGTAATGGACCCGCAGTTGCATTTTCCTTCGAGTGGCATATTTTGGTCCGTGAAAGATTTTGTGACTGAGTTCTGCGTGACGCAACGTTGCTGGGGACGGATCTCTGGGACGTGGGTAGTACGATAGAGCTTGATGGTTCTGAATATGTTCACTGTATGTACTCGTTGCTCACGAGCGAAATACTTCGCGACCAATTACCGTAAGAAGTAATAATGCTGTTCAGGGGGGCGAGGTTGAAGGATTATGTTATGGGACTTGCTTAGTACTCACTACGCACGAGTGTCTGATACCAGACGATGTAGCTTTATATTACACCGAAAGGCCGCCACTTCAAAGCTGTCGGAACTGACTTTCTATGACAGTGTCAGTCCTCGTGGATGTGACGACCCCACCTTTTTGGATGGCTTCAAGTAAAATTCATGTTTCATGGCTTTTCGCCGACGTAAAATTGTTGTCCCGAGGTTAAGGATTCTGTTCGTTTTTGGCCCCACTTGCAAGGCTTCTTCTCTAACTAGAAGGTATCGAACGAGCGAAACGCAAGACTCAAAGACCTAGACTGATTGATGCTTGTGGTGTCCCATGAGCCAGCAATATCTGGTCGCTAGCGGGTGGACGCACTGGATAAGACACGCGTGGGTGGCGGCGATTACCGTTTACTATCTTTAATAACGATATCACTGTGCATGTAGTGATGGAACCCACCACCAGTGAGAAAGCCATTCCAATCCGAATTTGTGAACCAGAGAATGGTAGCTACTAAAACAACATAAAAGGGAATTCCATTTCCATCCATTCGTTCATCTGTCGGCTCCTGTGCCATAATTCCTGCTCCCAACCAACTAAATGCAATTGTAGCTCAATATGTAGCGCTATGCCTCGTTTCATGTCATGTCTTTCATGCCAACTCAAAGCACTTCATACTCCTTCCGAAAAAAATGATGTAATTCGTTACCTGTAGCCTGGCTTCCTTGGGCTCTGGGTACCCTCGCTTTCGCCCTCAAACTCATCCTCCTCTTCAATGAGAGCCGGTGTCCTCCTCTCATTCCGTCGCTTCGGTCTTCTTCGTCTGGAACTCGAGATGTTGCTCGCACTATCATCAGGAAGTATGTCACTAACAGCATCCCAGTCACCGAGTCCGTCATCTGTTTCTCCTTCCCACCGGAAATGCCCGTTCTCATAGCTGGCCGCACTTGCAGGTGTGCCCATTCTGACCTCGACGCCAGTACCACGTCTTCGTTGTGCGGCAGCCGCGAGCCCAGCACTTCGTTCGCGTATAGTGCGTCTCACAATCTCGGCTTTTTGATGAAGGGTTTCAAACGCATCTTCGAGTGCTTCCATACCAGTGTATATATCACGCTCTATTTCAGCCAGTGTTGCAAGCTCAGTCTCTTCATCAAATGCTATAGGTGCACCATGGTGCGCAGACATTCCGGAATTTGTCTGACTATAGCTGCCTTGTCGAGAGCGCGGGATACCGCCCATAGTACTGGCGGATTGATTATAGCCTGGAGTCAACCCGCGTGTTGGTGGACGGAGTGGTGTTTGCCCCCGAGATGCTATCGGGTCTGGAGATGGGAAAGTTTCCTCAGCCCCTGACCGCAGAAAACCGTCAAAACGTCCAGAGACCAGAATGTCCCATTCGTCATTGCTGATGGCAGCAAGGGTGGCAAGTGTATTATGGAGCGTTTGGTTGTGTAAAAGAAACAAGGCTGCTTCACAGTCACGAGGTGTGCAATTGAGTCGGTACAGTCGTTGTATGGCTTGACTTGCAAGGCCAACGTGTTCAGGCGTAGAGCGCGGGGCAGGCGTTGGGGTTCTAGCAGGCTCCGGAGGGAGTGTAAGACCATTTTTGAGCTCAGGGGTCGGAACCCTATGGGGTGGCTCCGCTGGGTTGTCCACTATACCTAATAGGTTCTTGAAAGGTGCTCTTTGATCGACAGGAAGATGTGTTAGAATGGCGAATGTGAGTGTCTCATCGTCGACTTCATCTGGCGGAGAAGTTGGGGTATCTCCTGGTGTCTGTCGACTTAACCATTTATCAACTGATTGTTTCGTTTTTCGAGACTGGCGAATGTAATGCTCTCTGTACTCCTCAGGAACATCAATATCGAGCTTTTGCATTGGAGTATGAAACTCAACAGATATGCCTAAACCTACAGGCGACTGAGTGAAGGTGAAGGGAGGCCAAGCTGGGAGATCCTTGCGTCCACAGACAAATTCCAGGACCTCTCCCCAGCTAACACCAGGTTCATCTTCTGATCGATCGCTCGCTGCATTGCAGATTGGGCAATAGCAATTCTCGCTTGATATGTCGCGGGCAAAGACGGCCTCAAGCCGATCTAATAGCCTCCTGGCTACTGATCGATACCCAGTCGCAACAGCCAGTGACCCATTCTTGGACATGACTTTCTCATACTGGTCCAGAAGTGCCGTGTATGGTTCAAACAAATTTGCCACGACAATGGGTTGTTGGCTGGGACTTTGCGCCTGTTGAACTGCCATTGGTTTTCCGGCCAGTAGTAGATTCTTGGTTATTGCTTGATGCAGCCCACCATATTGCAAAAGGTAATCGACCTTGGGTACCGCAATGGGCAGCGGAGCAGGAGGTGGTGGTGGAGGGCCCGGGGTGAACGACGTGATGCCGGTGCCTGGAGTGCTACGTAACAAAGAAGGGCTATCTTCTTCAATAAACACCTCTAACGGCGTGACTCCTCGAGATTGCGGCAAGATGTGCACGTCCGGAGTATTCTGAGCCGATTGTAACTTGGACCCCGGCCGCTGTAAACTTGGTTGCTCTGGTGCAATGGAAGTTGCCTCGGAGCTGATGTTAGTGCCTGAATCGGTGATGCTTGTCGTGGTAGCTGGAGAGTCGAGCCTGACGGGCTGGCTCACCGATCTCTGTATTGGAGTTGCGACTTTGAGGGGTGTCTCCCTGGTCGGGGTGTGTTCGCGTGGCTTCTTATGGAGTGAACGATTGGATCCCACATCGGACGAGGTACGCAAATGGCCATTCGAATTGGATGATTGTTGCCGCAGCCTGATCTTTATCTTGGAATCTCTGCTACTAGGCTCCTTCTCCCCCTCTGGTATAGTCTCCACCAAGACTGGCTTCCCCGGACTTGGTTTCCATTTCCCCGCAGTCGATGTTTGTTCGGTGAGTGGTGGACTGGGAGGTGCAGTGGGCTTTGTGCTCGATAGACGGTCCTTTGAGGCATTGAGATCGGTGGTGGGAGGAGTGAAGATGTTGAGAGGAGGCCGAGGTGCTACCGCCTCACGGCTATGTTCCTTCGAAAAGGTGGGATATGGTAGACTTGACTTGGAATCGTTCTTGGGAAGTTCGTCGTCGACAATGATTCCAGGCATTGAAGATCGTCTCTTGGGATCTGCGGGAGACAATGAGGACCTCGATGAAGTCTTTTCTCTTGTAGAGGTCTTGCGGTGGGAGGAATATTTGTGGTGCCGCTCTCGATCTCGATCCTTGTCTCTGTCTTTCCTTTCGCTCGACTTGGAAGTCTCCTTCTTCTCCCTCCGCCGCTCGGGACTGTTATCTCTGATCTTGGAGGGCATTGCGTGAGACGGCAGTTTGCATGATGCACACGGCGGGCGGACGGGGAGTTTGTAGCAGGTCACCGCACCAGGGCGCTTAAGGACTGGTGGGATTGCCTGTTGTGGAGACACTCAAGAGTGCGAACAGTAGCAAAGCGCTTAAGCAGGCGGAACGACCCGCATATCACAGTCTGATTTAGAATATTAGAGAGAGGACGTGTGTGTGTCCGTATGTGACAGATCAATGGAGAGGTAGAGTTTGGTCGTGTGGGTTGCGTATTGTGTCGGTGGCTCAGATCTGGTGATGCGATGCCGCCTTGTGTTGTACACCCAAATTGGTAGTGGCGGTTGAATTGGGCAGGAAGTGGCTGGCAGAAATGCCAAGAGATTTTGATCCAATTATATAAGTGTATAGTGGTCCATTAGTAGCAAGTGTCGCACTAAGAACACTAGCCTCGCCAAAGATGCCCCGTTCGTGAGTTGCTTGGTTTCACTGGTGGTTTGGATGGTGCTGTGCCCATATCGCCCCAGAGACTTACTGCACCTGCCTCTCTGGTCCCGTGCCAGCCATTTCACTGACCCTGGAGTTGAGATCCCGTTGATGGGGGAGAGAAAGAGTGAGATAGACGGCGAATTGATCAATATTATACATCATCAATATTTTCATACTAGTTACGCATTATCGGCTTATCATCGACACAAATGGCCGGTTTGGTGAGTCTGGGGAAGTACAAAACAGCCACAGACCATCCCACACCCCGAAACACGCTTATCTTTTCATCCCCACTTCACCTCAGATAACCGCGGGCAACTTTGTCCTCGCCACTTATTATCTTGACATTCACTCTGGCGTTCAATCATCCATCTCCACTCTTAATTTACAAGTTGAGGACGAGGGCTGCACCGCCAAATAAGGCAGCGGCACCCATGGCACCAGTCTGCATGGGAACACCAGCACCAGCGCTGCTAGAAGAAGCGGCAGTTGCTCCGGGAGCACTCTCAGTAGCAATGGTGCTAGTAGGTTGAGCAACGCCGCTGGTAAATGGAATGTCACTGGCGGAGCTAGCGCCTTCAAACGCGGGTGTGCCTGACTCGGAGTCGCCAGAAGGTGCAGTCTGAGTGGAGTTCTCAGGGTTGAGAACGTTATCAATGACGTGAACGACACCATTTGCAACGAGAACGTCGGGAATCACAACCTTGGCGCCATTGACAAAGACGCTGCCACTCTCTTCGACGGTGATGGTGACATTGGTGCCTTCGAGAGTGGGCAATTGTGTTCCGTTCTCGAGCAGGTTGCTGTACCCGACTGTGCCGTTGACAACGTGGTAGGTAAGGATAGAGGTGAGTTCCTCAGTGGTAAGATTTGGAAGGGCAGATCCGATTCGTGCAAAAGCTTCGTTGCTGGGAACGAAGAAGGTCGACTCAGGAATGTGGTCAACGGCCTCGACCAAGTCAGCTGTGGTCAGAGCACCGGCAGCAGCGGTGAGATTCAGCTGGGTGGCGGTCTCAGAAACATTCTGCGGGATCAACAGTACATTGTCGATGATGTGAACAACACCGCCAGTGAAGTTTAGTGCCTCCCCAGTCACGTTGGCTGTGGTGAGAAGACCTGAGACAAACGTGGTAACATTGCCATCTGCATAAACAGCAATGCGTTGTCCTCCAGTTACGTTGGCGAATTGAGGAGGCTGAAGGAGAGTTGGTACGAATTTCTGCTCGGTGAGGTTGGCAAAGGTCCCGTTGATAACATGGTAGGAGAACAGAGCAGTGATCAGGTCTGTATCGCCATTGGTAAGGGCAGCGCCAGCCGACGAATTCAGCAGATTGGCGAAGGCGGCATTGTTGGGCGCAAGAAGCGTGATGTTCTGAAGACCACCTAGTTGTCCCGTGAAATCGGGAAACAATTGGAGGTAGCTGGTGAGGTTCGACAGCTCGGTCTGGTTGCTCAACAACGTGACCAAGTCAGGTGTCGCTTGCTGCGCAAGGACGGCGCCAGCCAGGGCAGAGAGAGTCAATCCCTTGAACAACATTGTTGCCGAAGACTACGGATAATCAATATCTGTTTGGGAGGAGCGAGAAGATGTCTGGTAGATGATTGTGAGGGACAAGAGTGTATGGACAGGCAAGCAAAGAAAAGATGTTCTGGCTCAGGAACTGGACCCAGGACGTATTTGAGGGAACTCGCGACAGACCTCGAGTAACCCCTCGCGACATGCCGAGCGTTTTTTGCTGATCAAGAAGTCCATTCCGTGATGCAACTCGGCCATGCTCCGCCAGACGCTATCGCGGCCTCAAGACTAGAACAAGTCAAGGTGGAACCAGGACCACAGCGCCAACCGACGAAACCACGTCGAGGCTGAAGCATGGCAACAACAAAAAAACTTGGCTCGGTAGTGGAGGGTGAGACGCGACGATTGGTTCCACCGAGGCCTAACCAATTGAAGAGAAAAAAGACCCAGAAGAGTGCTCGAAGTCAATGACGAGTATATGGGCTAAACGAGACTAATGCAGGCCTGTTCAGCAAGTTAGCTTCCATCGTGGCCACTGAGGTCTGCTTGCACTACTGGGCGCTTTGTGGCTCGGCTGAATTCTGAAGCATAGCTTGACACAAAGCTACTGCGTACTTGGCAGAAAAGGCCAGAAAACCGGTCTCATTGGGAGGGCAACCCCAGCTCCGGTATGATTTTGCAATTGCAACCTCCGAGCTCATCTAGTTCTGTTATACTTCTGGCCATCCACGAGAACTTGGAACTCTGAGTATAAGGGAGCCAGACAGACCTACCACGCACTCAACCACGCACGAGAAGTCCGAAAGAGTAAATCGGACAATTCCACCTCCTGGAAAGCTCCCAAGAAAGCAAGAAAAACTTGGAACGACAATGCACATGCGGTAAACTCTGGTGGACGGCATGAACCGAGCAAGAGGGGAAATGGAACTCAGTATCCGTCTAGGTTTCGAATGGCCCAAACCCGATGGTTCTTGGATGTCTGTTGTCAACACAAACTCAAAAGACGTGACTGATCCAAGCTCGATTGGGCTGGACACCCCCTGGTTTTGTCCCCCGCATTATTGACGGATTTGGAGCTCGCCCCTTGTCGCGCATCATTTTTTTCTCTCCGGGGGTTTTGCAATCGCCACCTCAGCCGTCCCAAACAACTACTATGAAATACACCAACAACTAGTATATTCTTCATTCCTGTATCTCACACCACTATTCACAAACTGCGCCTCAACACCGTGCTCCAATTGCTCTAGCCAAACATCTATTCGAAGCGAGGGAAACGTCGAGAGTAAGGCCTCTTGCGACTAGAATCAGAAAGGCGGTTAATGATATCATCACCTCTGCCAATTCTTCTTGTCCTGCCGTCGGCCGTCTGGCCACGTACGCGGATTCTTGGCGGGCCTCTCAAGTCGTACAACAATATGCCAAACCTCGAACTGCTCGATCCATCATCGCCATTGTCGCCACTGTCTTCGCCATCAGTGCCCATCACGATTCACAGCTCGACCCCGTCAATAACCCCCCTCTTTTCTCCAACCAATCGCAGCACTTGTGTAGCCAAGTACGTGATTTGCATCATCCGATCCCCGATTTCACCATTTCGATCACAATTGCCCATGCCCGACAATATTCCCCACCAGTGAGGTTTGTACATTACTCCGTGGGTACCATTGCGTCTGCGGCGCTTCGTCCTCTTGCTTGGCTTAATGCGGCCAGGCCAGGTCCAACTTTTGCGTCTAAAGCAATTGTACTACACGTAATCAACATTCGAATAGCCATGCTGTTGTTGCGTATTCGAGTGAAGGCTGAGCCTCGTCATCTATTGCTACGATCCAATGGTTGTGACTCGTGGCCTTTGAGACTGAATTTATTTGTTTGATATTCCAAGGGAGACCGCTGAACACCACACTTCCTGTTCGTTTGCGAATAATCACTATCTAGCTACTAGGGGATACCTAGGTAGTTTGTGCCACATCTGAATAAACAAATGTATCGCTCTAGTCTATACGAGGTGTCATATATCTATATTATATTATACAAATAATTCAGAGTATAATAATTTGACATCAAAAGATGACACTCCTGTTCAATCAAGTAGTCGTCTGAACCTCGGAGCAATACAGACTCTTGTCCGTCATAAGGACCCGCAAAACCAACTTCTCCTTCCAGACTCTTTGAATTTATCTTAATTGTACCCACTACGGCTTAGGTTAGACTAGTATAGGATAGCTTCCGGCCATTCTACATTCCATAGCTGATGTGTATGGAACGAAGTTCATATAGTAAATTCACAGCACTTCCACCAGTTAGTAACTACACATCCTTTGAGCGCATTGTACCTCGTATTTAATGTCAGCAAATACGAGCGCAGCCGACGTGGGGTTGCAGCGTCGGGGAAAGTTAGTCGAGTCTCCAGCCTGATCGCAGTTGCAAAGTGCCCAAAGCTGTTCATAATGAAGTTCATCCTAGCCTTCCCATCAATAATACAGCTTTCTTTTCATGATTCGAAGCATATTCGACCTCCCATGCCAGACGAATGCCACCCTTTCCCGCGCCTCGCGATCGGGATGGTTTTCACGTTGCGCTGATATGCGCTTTGCAACTCGAGGCTGATTGCGTGCATGCAGTCTTCGACAAATTCTGGGAAGATGATGGCAAGCAATACGGCAAGACCCCTGGGGACCCGAATGCCTATACACCAGGGGTAATAGGCCAGCACAATGTGGTCCTGGCTTATCTGCCAGGCATGGGAACTGTCAACGCGGCTGTGGTGGCAGGGTCCATGCTAATCAGTTACCCAAACATCAAACTGGCTTTAGTAGTTGGAATCTGCGGAGGCATGCCATATGGGCCTAATGAGGAAGAGATCGTGCTTGGGGATGTCGTCATCAGCCAGGCAATTGTGCAATATGACTTCGGAAGACAATATCCAAACGGCTTCAAGAAGAAGTCCGGTATACTGGACACCTTAGGTCGACCTAATCGGGAGATAAGAACCATTCAAGCCAAGCTGGAAACTAATCAATACAAGACGAAAATGCAAGAGCAAATCGCTGTGCTGCTCCCTAGGATTCACCTAGAAATGCCAAAGACACAATATCCAGGCGTTGAAAACGATATACTCTATCATTCATCATATGTCCATCAGCACAATTCAAGTGCGGCATGCAATGTTTGTGAGTTAGGCGACCAGATGTGTCAAGAAGCCATCCAAATGAAATGTGAAGACCTAGGCTGTGAGACGGTCATGCAAGTTGCCCGTAAGCGTTTGGCCAATTCACCCAAGACGCAACCAATGGTTCACTTTGGAATCGTTGGTTCAGGGAATGCCGTCATGAAATCTGGACAACATCGTGATCAACTTGCCAGGGCTGACGAGATTGTCGCTCTTGAGATGGAGGGGGCAGGAGTATGGGATTCCTTCAACAGTATTGTTATTAAAGGGGTATGTGACTATGCGGACAGTCATACGCGGAAAGGGTGGCAGCAATACGCGGCGGCAACGGCGGCAGCGTGTATGAAGGCATTCTTAATGGAATGGACTTCAGAGCACCCTCTTGACAATGATGGACACATGGACACCGTGGAGCACATGGACAATCAGACTCGCATTGAGATCCTTCGATGGTTATGCAACGTCCCCTACAAAAAACACCACGCGAACATGGTTAAAGACCTGCTTGCTGGATCAGGAAAGTGGTTGGAACAACATGATTTCTTCAAAGACTGGAGAAACGCCAGTACGTCATCTGTACTCTGGCTCCACGGAATTCCGGGAGCTGGCAAGTCAAAATTGGTTTCCAGAGTCATATCACTACTGCAGAACGCATCGGCTTCATCCTCATCCGATGAACCTATTGCATACTTCTACTGCACGCGGAATACTGCTGAAACCGAAAGGGCTGATCCCACTACCATTCTACGTGCAGTCTTGAAACAGGTTGCGTATTCTGCGCCGGATGGATCGCTTTCTCGGCTGATCGTTGACGCATTCAGAGACAAGAAGAGAGATGCAGATGAAGATGGGATTGATCCAGAGCCGTTGTCGTCCGAAGAATGTGTCCAACTAATCATCCATATCGCCAAACGCACCTCTATGACAATCGTTATCGACGCTCTGGATGAGTGCGATCCAGGAAAGAGACATATCCTTCTCGAAGGGCTCGAAACAATTCTGAAAAATTCCAAGAATGTTGTGAAACTGTTTGTTTCCAGTCGAGATGACGCGGATATTAAAATGAGATTGACAGCAAGCCCGAATATCTACATCAGTGCGACTGATAACGCCTCAGACGTTGAGCGATATGCGCACACAGAAATTGACAATGCCATTCTCCGGAAAAGGATACTCAACGGGAATGTTCCGTCATACCTGCAAGAAGATATTATCAGCAGATTAACTGCACGTGCTCAAGGAATGTGAGTTCAGTCTACACTGAAGTCCTGCCCGGCATCACTCAAACTCGCTTATTAGGTTTCTCTCTGTAGCTTTGCAGATCCAAGCACTCTGTGATCATCAACGCATCAACCTGGAAGAAGATGTCCTCGAGGAGTTGTCATCATTACCGAAGTCTTTGGCAGAGTTGTGGGCTGATGCCATGGCTCGGATCAGTCGCAAGAATAGTGCGGCCAACATTGTCGCGATTCAATCTCTGTGCTGGATCCTTTGCGCTCGAGAAGCTCTGCAAGCAGAAGAATTCGTTACTGCGATATGCCACGCAGCTCGCGTTGATTTAACCAAACATGAAATCATCACTGTATGTGAAAATCTCGTTGTCTTGGACGACGAAACGAATGTCTTCCGCTACGCCCATTTGTCGGTTCGCGAATTCATGGAAACTGCCGACGAATTCGATATTGGCACTGTGGAATCGTCACTAGCGCTGCAGTGCTTGACATTCTGTGTGGACGGCATTACCCAAGGTGACTCGGACGGAGAGGACGCTGCGGAAGATTCCTTCTTATTGTATGCTACACTGTATTGGCCGTTTCATTCTCGCGCGGCGTGGCACGAGAAGACATCTGAGCTTACATTGCTTCTGGAGCGCCTCCTATCGCAACCTTGTACCAGTATGAGCTTTATGCAACATTGGGTTTCATATGTCGAGCAACTGTCTACAGTCAATGTTGAAGACAAGGGGAGTATGAGACTGCAGTTATCTCTGAGTAGAATGCGACATCCTATTTTTTTGGTGGTTGCTTTTGCGTTCAACGAATTCTATAATGACAACTGGACTGCAGACCTTAACGATATGCACTTAGTAAATGAATATGGACTGACACCGCTGGCCGTGGCTTGTAACATCGAAAACTTTGCCATGGCTCGAATTTTGGTTATGAAAGGCGCTGCCGTGGACATCATGGACAATGATCGAGGTTCGATAGTCAGGGGAAGGGTCTCCATTTTCCAAAATCCGCTCTGTGCTGCACCGTACCATGGATGGAGAGAGCTTGTAGAATTCCTTCTGGAAGCTGGGGCTCAACCCTACTTGCCTTACAACTCTGGTAATTTACTAGCTCTGTCGGCGGCGGCCATGCTTGACGATATGGAAATCACGAAACGGCGTCTTGCAGCTAGGGCTCATGCCCATATGCATGAGCTCTACTCGGGAAAGCCTCCTTTATTATACGCAGCCCAAGAGGGACATACAGAGGTCTGCCGCGTGCTTCTAGAGGCAGGGGCGTCTCCGAACATGAAGTCTGGATCTGCTGGACCTGAGAATCTTCCTCTGGAACAGGCATGTAAGAGAGGCGATCTATCGCTGATTCAGCTCCTCTTGGAATATGGTGCTGACATGGAGGCACCCACGGCGTGGAGGGGAACACCACTGGCCAGCGCCGCATGGGAATCAAGGTTGCAAGTTGTTGAATACCTTCTATCAAAGGGTGCTGATCCTAGGTTACATTCTGGGCCCTTTGGTACGGCTTTCCTGTCAGCGGTGGCTGTGGGGAGCCCTGAGATTGTCTTGCTAATGCTTCGAAAAGACCTTGATGTCAGCTATGTCGGTCCCCGAGGCACAGCCCTTGGATTGGCGATTGGTTACCGATGTCCTGAAGCTTTGCGATTACTATTACACTCTGGCGCAGACGTGCACACAGATTGCAATTGGAACGGAGTAGTCCACAACGCTTTTACCTTTGCTGCTGTGGAGGGAAATCAAGCAATCATGATAGAACTGCTCGACTTTTCCAGTAATCAAGGGATCCGGCCACCACTAGATCTCATGTTGGTGCATGCTCTGGACTCTGCATACAGCGAAATGAGAAGCGAAAACATTCACCTACTCCTCGAGCGAGGCGCAGATGTAAACGTAAAAGCTGAATTCGGCAAAACTACCTTGCATTATGCAGTTCAAGCCGGTCGTCTCGAAGATATCCGGCATATTTTGTCTCTTCCTGTGGATTTGGATGCGGTAGACCAGTACGTAGGATCTATACTGCAAGCATTATGTCATCGCAATCCGGATCACTATTCCGCTTCTCGGAATGAGACAGAGGACAACATAATTTTCCGGCTGTTGCTCGAAAAAGGCGCGACGTTCGACACTGGGGGCGGCCCTCATGATAGTTTTCTACAAACTGCAGCATATGAAAATCGCCCAGCTTTCATTGCCCAGGCAATAGAACAAGGGGCAGTCTTCCGGAATGACGCTGGAAGTTGCTGTGGCGCCTGTCACGCGGCTGCAGCACGGGCTCACCACGAGGCTCTTGAGGCCCTGCTGCAGTCCAGACCAAATATAGATGCGAGCTGCGAGCCATACGGCAGTATCTTAACCGCAGCCGCTTGTCATGGGCGACAGCCTGCATCCCAGAGGCTGGAACGTTGGCGGACCTTCGCTGAAAGAGACGCAGACGATGAAGCAATGGCATTTGAAGGAAGTATATGGCGAGTGCGACCAGAATCATACGATCAGATTGCTGCTCGGCTCCTAGACGCCGGTGCACGAGTGGATATCCCCGGAGGGTATTTTGGCTGCGCTTTACAGGCAGCAGCATATGTAGGCAATGCTACCTTGGTGCAGAAACTGATCGCTGCTGGAGCAGAAGTCTGCTCTTCTGGGGGTTTCTATGGATCATGTCTCCAAGCTGCTGCTGCTGGGGAGTCCCAGTCTTACTTTCTCGTCCAAAAGCTCCGTCATGATGCCGTCTGAAGATGAAAGCGAGACACCGGTGGTCGACCCGTATGAAAATACGATCGACATTCTACTAGCCGCAGGAGCGGACGTCAATGCCCGTGGCGGATTCTTCAATTCGTGCCTGCAGGCAGCTGTGCACAGCGATAATGTGGCAATTGTGTGCAAGTTATTGTCGGCGGGGGCTGAGGTTTCCGAAGATGGTCAAGGTTTCTACGGCGGCTGCATTTCAGCTGCTTTATCCTTTGGAAAACAGATACTGATGAGTGATTGGAATCGTCCAAAGGCCGATGCTGAGGATATTAATGCTGAGAAAATTCTTGGTCTCCTCTTACGCAATGTGCCGGCAGCACTACTCGACGAATCCTGCTTTGGAGCCTATCTGCGAAGTCGAGACAAGCAGAACACTAGAGGTCTTACTATTCTGCAGAGGACTGCACCTTTTATCTCACTTGCATTGAGAGGCAGGACACTTGAGCAATTCAATGGATGCTTTAGCCTCTTATTGTTTTATATCTAGTTTGCTATTCGCTAGATCGGGTAACCTCGATCAACAACAACTGGTATACTTGAAGCAGCCCACTCCAACGACAAGGAGAGAGTAGTCATGGTAGTCCACCTCCCGACTCCTAGTCACGATTTACTACGAATTGAGTCATTCCAAGTCCTATTCGATTCTGAGTATTTACATACTAATAGGCTTATAAGGTACTATTAGCTTATCTTATTTTGTAACGTAACTATTTAAAAACAGTTTAAAAACTTATCAATAATATACTTGTCGCGTTTATGCTGGACCCGATTCCAAGGAGTCAGTTTGAGAATTCGGGGACTACCTACTCGTAGTACCCTCTCGTCAGCGCTAAGGGCCTCGCTCTTGTCCTAACACTCAGTTTTCCGACAGGTGGATGATATGCCTTGCTACAGTATGCGTGCCTACGCGTAGCAAATAAACACTACATTGGGCATTTGATTTTTTTTGGTTGCGCGTTAGGTGCTCTAAACCCTAGCAGCCGGCCGATCGAGTATCCTACAATCCCGGCCAACTGCCCAACCCACCACCCCCAAGCTCGAAAGCCTTCGCAGCCTTCAAGACCCCAATATCATCCCACCGCTTGCCGATGATCTGCATACCCACAGGCAACATACCAGGACTCGTCGCCGCATCACCACCATCACCACCTCTCGCCGGCACCCACCCACAAGGCACATTCAGCGCCGGATGACCCGTAACATTAAACGGGGCCGTATTATTGGTCGTGCCAACGACCAACTTAAACTTATCCATGACACTACTGCCACCGAGTTCCTCCGGGCGAGGATCCGGCAACGGCGGCGCGACATTCGGCGTCGTGGGCGTGACGAGCACATCGAACGACTCAAGCGCAGCATCATACGCGGCGCGCAGCTCAAGGACATGCCGGTGCGCTTTCGCCTGCACGTTGGCGCCGTACTTCTCGCTAAGGAACGTCTCCGTCAGAATCACATTGATGACGGCCGGGTTCGCGACACGCAGCAGCTCGTACATCTCCTGGTCCGGCGGCCACCGCAGCGACAGGTGTGGCATGTTGTGGCTGAGCACGTCCGGGACGCGGCCCCCGACCGCCAGCCGCGCCATGTGGTTCCGCGTCGCGGCTGTCCAGATTGCGGCGCCTAGCAGGTGCATTGGGAGTGAGATCTCGGAGACTTCTGCGCCTGCGGCTCGGAAGTGCTTAATCGCGGCGGAACGAACGATTTCTGCGACTTCGGGCTGTGTCCCGGGCGAGGTGAGTGATTCTTTGATTATGCCGACTTTGAGCCCCTTTCCGGCTTGTGAACTTGATTTCAAGGCCGCGCTGTAGTCGAGGACGTTGTGCCTGAGTGGCGTTTCTGGAGTCATGCGTCCATCTAGGCCATCGTATCCGGCAATCGCGGTGAGCACGGTGGCGATGTCCTCGAGATTTCTCGCCATGGGCCCCGTGAAATCAATCATGGGATGAAGGCCCGCAATCCCGGTATATGGTACGAGACCGTGCGTGGGCTTCAATCCGTAAACACCGCAATAAGCCGCTGGGACACGAATACTCCCGGCCTGGTCGCCACCGATTGCAAGGTCGATGTCTTCACCTGCTTCTTCCAGACCCGGCACCCCCGCCGCTCTCGCCACTCCCAACGCCAATAGTGCCGCTCCACCGCTCGTGCTGCCTCCTGTATTGTAGTTCCGCAGCCAGGGGTTGTGCACCGGCCCGTTGACAGACGTGTACGACAGCGGCATCAGGCAGTAGTTCTCACATGTCGAAGTCCCGGCGATGGTGACGCCCGCCTCGAGAAGACGTCGCGTCACTGTTGCGTCGATGGTGGCGATGGGATGTTTGCCATCGCGGGAGACGAGTTGTGGGAAGGTTCCACATGTGTGCGGCAGGCCTGCCACTGAGACATTGTCCTTGATGGTGATCTTGCGGCCTTTCAGTATATCCGAGGTGGGCTTCTCAGCCACGAGTTCTGCTTGATGGCTCCATGCGTTCAGGTTATTGTGTTTCGCTTTTCGATATTGTCGCCCACCGACTGTGGGTATCGGTGAGAGCCGTGGGTCCACGTAATCGGGCAATGCATCGACATTCGCGGCGGTCACATCGGCGGATTGCAATGCTAGCAGGAATGCATCTTCGTCACTCTTCGAGATGATGAAGTTATTCTTGGCCGCGGCATCATGGAGTATTTCAAGACTGACGCTTGAACTGTGCTTTTTTTAGTAATGACGCATTGCTGCCACCGAATTCTGAGGCATACTTTTCGCCGTCGAAAGCAATGATCGACATGGTGCTTGAAGTTGATGTTACAACTTTTCGTAAAGAATATCCGTGATATTCGATGATTTTCAACGTGCCAGATAAAGGTTCCGTTCAACAGAGATGAAATGGAATGACTCGCCTCGTGGGTGAAGGAGCAATATCAAGTCGCGGATCTCCATGGCGCGGCGTACATCTCCATAATTCCCATGTGCCGCGGTAGCACTTTCGGAGATCGCGTCCAGAGGTTCGCAATGAATTAATGTTGTTCCAGCTTGCCCAGCCATGTAAAAGTAGGCGAGAATTTTCTTTCCAAGTGATAGATATCCGATGCCCGATCCATAACGATGTCTTGAGTGGAGCGGTGTCAACCCTGTGCATTTTCAGGGACATCCTCAAGCCAATTCCATTCCACCAGCACTCTTCCTTGATCAATATCTGCCAGCGTTGCAAAGACTTCCATAGTAATGTCGATGTCGGTTGGTTGACAGCCTGTGCATCTGTCGACCACAGTCAAGTCCACGCTCTTATTGTCCCTTCTGGCTCTGATCTTTTTCCCACATAGAGGATTTGCATTAGGATTGGTTCCCACGCTCACCGCGTCGAACACAAGATGTGACACGGCCACAATCTTGTCGCCATCCTTCGACGTGACGCCGCATGCGCCCAAACCCGGGTCATAGTATGTAAGGTCTCCGGTATATGGTCCGCCTCGTCCGGAAGGTAGAGGGAGATTCTGAGTCTTGCGGCGAGTAGAAAGTCCGGCTGCAAGACCGATGATGAGGATAAGGAGCGCGAGGACTGCGGAGATAATGATAATGCGGGTTCTTTTCGATAGACCCTTCCATCTTTCCATCAGTGTCGGCTTTTTCGGATAGATTCGTGCTGACTGAGGCACGGGAACGGGTTTGCGACGGACAGTCGCACTTCGCGCAGCCTCGGTCGCATTGATATCTGCTTCAGTCATGGCTGCAAAACTTTTATGTAGATTAAATATATTTTCACATCAAGCTGTGCATTTCGTGAGAAGGAGTGTGACACCAGTGCAGTCGCAGCGACCATGGTTTTTTGAAAAGGATCGCCGCCAGAAACAAGGAAGCAACGTCTTGCATAAAGAATTGGTTGGCGTTCCGATTCCAGCTAAAAGGAAATTGCCGGTGAGGAATTGGTGGCTCGCTTATTACCGTGGCGTTGGTGGTTGATTGGGCTGCCCCTTGTTTACCCCAGACACCACATGCAGCAATTATATTTATTCCCAGAGCCATCAGCTTTGATGTGTTATCCAGGAAGAAGTCTTGTATATATTTCATAATAGCAGTATATCTATGTCCATTCGCCTCATAACATCTCGCCAGTCGAGTCCGACATCTCCAGCGTTACAATCCTGCTCTATTCCAAGAGTCTCGCGATCCGCCCAAACTTGGCGAACCACCGAATGCATGTCCGTTCGATTACCAGCAAATACCATTTCACTTTGACAAAAGTAGCGAGATGCCAAATGCTGATCTTCACTCGTAAAGGCTTCCGCGGCTGCGATAAACACTGGCCAAGCTGAGACTTCACCTCCACCTGCGTCCATGAACTTTCCAACATTTGTAAGCACTTGATGCACGTAACTGGCCACTGCTGATGGAGGACGTTGGAGAACGACTCGGCACAGGTGAATCATTACAGCCCCGTCAAAGATTTGTGAATGAAGTTTGACGAGAGTCTGTGTTGGTGATGGCATATCAAACTCGAGCTCTTCATTCGATGATTGCTCTGCCTCCAATTGATCATCTTGGAAGTTTTCAAGCTGTTGTATTATTTGATAGACTTGTTCGAGTGTTGCCGGGCTCATGTCCTGCGATTCAGTCCTGCCGCTGCGTGCGATTTGTACCTCCAACAAGCGAATTTGGTGAATTGCTTCCAGATGACGGGCGTTTCCACCAACTGTGCACCCAAGTCGTGGTTCGGTCATCATCTCGGTGAGTAAATTGTGCACTGGGGAGACAGGCGTTTCAAACACAGCGCCAGAGTTGTTTGCAGTCTCAGCGAAAATGATACCGAGCACAAAACTTTGCGTCACTATCCAAGAATCCCATGACAACGACCATGGTCTATCAGGCAGATATTGTGATACAAATCCAATGGCGCCTCGATAATGCTCACGCCAGCCATGTGAATTGTTTTGAAAGACATGCTGAACAGCGATGAGTGATAATACCGCGGCTAAGACGCTGGTATAGTCATCAGTTTGTGAGCTCAAACTATTGCGGAGCTCTTTGATCGCCACTCCAATATATTTCACAGCATGGGCTTTCTCGCCCGCACAGTTTCGAGTACCTTTCAGATGAGCAAGGTGAAGGGCACCCTGAGCAAGTGTTGCAAAATATAATGCGCGTGCCCCTGCAGTCGCCTTCCGGGACCCGATTGCCAGGTAAGTTGACTTCCAAGGGTTGCCGGCAGCATCAACAGGTACCATGAGTGACGAAACATGAAGAATGTAATGGTGAAGGAAGCGAGCCTCATCCTTGTCATTCATGGTAATCTGAGGCAGAGGTCTCATAATTGACCACTTCTGCTTATGATGTTGGTGAAAGTCGACGGTCTTGTCGCTCTGCACACAAGTGGAAAGGCTCAGCTGAGAGGTTATCACCCATTGATCACTCGTTCTAGCTTTCTCTTGCGCAAGGTGTAAGGAATGTGGGCTTGTCGGGGTTGAAGATTGAGAGTCTGTGGTTGACCCAGAATCGACATCACCTGAAGCATCACTAAGGGTGGTGGAGAATTGGCTGCTCACTGAGTGATACTCTCCACAAAACGATGAATCTTCATCGCTCGGAGGGGGGATGTATTCACTTAGGTTCACATCAGTCAAGGCCGGGCTGCTATTGTACTGGAATGATGAGAAAGGCGTCCGAGCTTGGTGCAGGCGATAATGGCAGCAGTCTTGATTGCATTGAGTGATCAGATGGTCAATCTCCTTCGAGCTCCATTTTGGATGATTCGCCCAGGTCAGATGAGATGGATATGACCTTCGCTGGCAGGGTGGGTACTCTCCACTAACGGGGTCGACCCAAGCTAAACGGATATGATAACCTTCACATATTAAATGCGAGCGCTTACAAGCCGAGCATTTTGGCTTCAGGGTATCACAGCGAACGTTTCGTCGCCGACAAGTCCAACAACCGGCAAAAGTTCTTGTTGAGGACGTCTTTGGCATATCGAAGAACACCTGGTCAGAATTCCATTTTGTAATCACATCTGTATTTCAACACATAGCAGTATTGTGAGAATTGCAACCGGCTTCCTAATGGCCAGACACCCGACTTCGTGAATCAGGATGGTCAGTAGGAACTTCGTGATGCTCAATTGAAAAGTAAATGAGTTGCTCAGATGGGGGACTTAATCTTTCGGGATCCTGAGATGACCAGTTGGAAGGTCAGGCCGCCCAGGTTCAACGCAGAGGAGCAACATCTCCAATTCAAAACGGGCAGCCCATAACGAAAGCCCTAAAAAGTACCTAACGTGGATCATTTGGCAATCCGATTGGTTGTAGAACCTGATTTTCGCAGTTGGGTTCGTCGGCTCAGCCAACTATGGTATCCTCACAACCTCCTTCGACATCAGTTTGAGCATTGCAGCATGGAATATGAGATATTGCACATTCTGTGATGCCCTGTTCAGGGAAGCCAAAGTTCAAAATCAGCTCACGTGATTTCGCGTTTGCCAAGAAATCGCGTAGCGCGGTAGGTAGTTTGACCGTGTTGACTTGAGCTTGAAATTCAGATGGATGAGTGAAGGGCAATCGCATCTCAATTCATAATCCAAACATCGGTGAGAATTGCCCTTGGCAGGCTGAAGACATTTGAGACCTGCAGCTTCGTCCTTGAACATAATCAGGCCGAAACATGAGGCTGATCTCTAGTAGGGTGAATGAGGTGAGAAAAGATCTGAGAAGTGATTCAAAACAGGCTGGACTGCCGTCATAGGGCGCATTTCATCATCTCCTTAGTGATGTTGACCAGTCATTACTTTTTCTTGGAAGTTGCCGCTACTTGGATCAAGTAACATCAAGGCTTCATGGTCTTTCTTCGACAATTAAATCTCACCTCACTCCTTCAAGCCCAGGGCGAGTCAAGATACGACCGCGATGACATCATCGGACTCCTCTCTCCCCATCTCGACTGCGCAACATGAATTGCTCTCCCCGCCTCCGTCACCGTTCTCTAACCCCGAGCAACCTATAATCGCCACGGGTCACCTGGGTATGATCATCGAGAATGAAAGTCTTCTTGAAGGTGTTGCTCCGTCGTCAGACCCAACGATAGGTGCACCGACAATCAAGCCCGAAAACTCAAGACCAAGACGGCGGATAACGTATGTGTCCCGACACTTTGCGAAAGATGGGCAAGAGAAGGCGCCTCGCCGACGTCCACGAGCATCTGGCAGCCAGACTCGGAAATCTAAACAAAGCAAAGAAGAGACAATGGACGGCCGAAGCGTTGAAGCATCACTGTCCTCACCACCAGTTACTCCCTTAAAACCACAGCCACGCATATACTATGGCTATAATATCGACGATTTCTCTTCTGACTCGAGTCTTACCGATGTGCCTGACGACTTCGATGATCTTGCGGACCCCTTTTTACCTCCACCTACCCCTGAGTTACGCCCGACTATCGATTCGAAGGCCAAAGGAAAGAGGATACGCAGTCCCACCAAGTCACCTTATTTTCCTCATCCCCATAAGCACCGTCCAACCTTCCTCTCTACACTGCCATTCCCTCCATTGGCTCACAAGAGATTCGGCCTAATGCAGGAGCGATTGGCTCATGATCCATTCCGGCTCCTCATTGCGACCATATTCTTGAACAAAACTCCTGGTGAGCGAGCAATGCCCATTTTCTACCAGCTGATGAGTCGCTACCCAACCCCTGCGGAACTTGCTGCAGCAGAAGTTAGTGACATCACCGACATCATATATGTATTGGGATTCCAGAACCAGCGTGCACGAAAATGTGTCGAAATGGCCAAAGTATGGCTCGAACGTCCACCAGAATGTGGCAAAAGATACAGAAAACTTAACTATCCCAGCAAAGGCGATGGAAGAGACGTCAAAGACAGTGATGTTATCGATGACCATGATAATCGTGTCGCTTGGGAAATTTCTCATCTTCCTGGCCTTGGACCATACTCACATGACAGTTGGCGGATGTTTTGTCGTGACAAATTACGTGGTGTGTCGAGTAGTTGGAACGGTGAAGATGCCGAGGATCCCAATAGTTTCGAACCAGAATGGAAGCGAGTTCTTCCTTTGGACAAGGAGCTACGAGCTTACTTATCATGGGTTTGGATGAAAGAAGGGTGGATTTGGAACAAGGAGACTGGGCAACGAACGAAAGCCAGTGATGAACTCATGGCTCGAGCCAACGGCGGTGGCATAATCGTCGAGGAGAAAGACTGTGAGCATCTAATTGTGAAAAGTGTGGACCCAGAAGCCGTGAGCATGCTTCAGGGAGAGAGAACTGTAGAACACACAGCGGGCGATTTCCTACCGAGCACCCAGATCATTGTCGAACCAGAGAAACCCAATTTGGAAACGCCAGACGATTCAGGAAATGTTCAGAATACCTGAGATGTTCTAGGCACCTATTTAGGATGGTAGCAACCAATGCGACCAGGTGATGGGTCGTCCTTCTCTAGGATTACAATATCCAACGCCGCCGCTCCATAGCATTTTGGCTACACATGATACAAAAACTTGCAGCTTGTTGAAAAAAAAAAATGAAAAATTCTCTCTGGAGTCAACCAAATTCCAGCGTCTGCGCCAAGAGGAAATTAACCACCTGCGTTAGGTAGGTAACGTTTCAACAGTCGCGCAGCGGTGCGACTTCTTTTCGCCGTGGAGTATCCGCTTGAGTTAATAGTAGATGCTCGTGAGATCTAATTGTGAGCACGTAAGCCACCCGATCGATTAATGGTTGCGTCTCCTGAAGCCGAAGCGTCCAGGTGATCTTGATCCGCTTCCCATCGACTCCTTCTCACGGGTATCAACTCCAGGGTTGACCTGACTCTTCCTGATAGCCTTCCTCTTGCCCGTACAGCAACAGACGCCGCAGCAGGTACCAACTTGCATCAAGAATCCGAGCAAATTAAACCCCGTCCCTATCCACATGAACGCCAACATCGGGATTCCCAAACTCGCTCGAATGTTCAAGTCTTCCGCTACGGAGACCTTGTCTTTGAAGATGACGAACATGACAGTTGCAATCACCGAGCCCACAGCAGTGAACAGTAACGATGCAAACGTTATGATCGTGATTGGGAGCTGGCGCAAGAAGATACGGCGAGCTTTATGCTGCCATCGCGGTTTCTTGGAGAATCCCAATGGTGCGAGGAAGATGCAGAGGAACGTCAATATCGTGCCAATGAGGAAACATGCGAACATCCATGTGCTGGCAAGCTTGACCAAGTTAAGGACATCGACGATTTCCGTGGGCAGCGTTATGGAAGCTCCTGCCAAAAGCTCGTTGAGAATGATTTCGACGGGGTTGAACCAGTACAGGGTTTGTGTCGGCGAACAATGAGTGATTCCCTGACCGGCATATCCCTCGCAGAAGTTCCAGAGTCCGACTTGGTAAAAATCATGCAGTCCGATGGATTGAGCAATGGAATTTATGAATACGGCATTCGGTACTGATGCAGGAATAATGTTGGCCAGGTCGATCTTCAGAAAATATGTATCTCGGATAACGGGCTTGTCATTAATATTTCCGATCTCAACGAGGATAAGAAAGATTAATGCTATTAGATAGCTCAGTGCTGTGAATATTCGAAGACCGGTCGGTTTAGGCTTTTGGTAGCCAACAACATCGTCGTCTCGTGGAGGTTTTTCAGATCTCGAGAACATGCCCATCGTGGACTTGGGCACCGTCCAGTGCGCTGCAAGTCTCCTCTATCCTATCGACCGTTGGGGTGCCGTGGTTAACGTGAAGTTCTGAAGTGTCGATACTATCTATCTAAGGGAGTGAAAATAATACTTGCAAAGACTGCCCAGAGAGCATTTGGGCTGCTAGATGCGTCATGCAACAGGTACACGCAATGATGGTCTCAAGCATCGAAAACAATTCTCACCCTGGGTTGTCGGATCATGGATGACAGTTGCCCATGTGGGCGCCTCAGACACCACTAGCTTCAAGCCTTTTCCGTGGAGTGTTGTTGATGGTCGGGTCGCTTGTCATAAAAAGCGGATGTTTGACATCATATCGAGGTCAAATCCCGAGTCTAACGAGTCGTTTCGTGTCTTGGAAGTACAAGTGCAAGCCTTATCCTGGCCCGATCGACGCGTGGCGGAACCTTGTTTGTTCAACCATTTCTCAAACTTTGGCGACCTAGGAGTATCGGTTGCTTCAGATCAAGAGACTTGTGCACAATAATCCAAGGTAAAGAGAAGATCTATACATGGATACCATGACTTTGAACGAGACCTCAGCTACGGCAAGGCTGGGTGAGCTATACACCGCCAATACACGAACTCGCCATCCTCGAGTCGGAGTTAATTGTTTGCCACAACAAATTTCTTCCAAGACCCGTTCACGCGTCATCGTGGCTGTCATGTTTTCTTCATGCCAACGACCCATGCTGTATCCACCTCGAGCAGGTCTCCACTGCAACAGGTCCACGGGATGAAATCAAACCTCTTCCGGCTGCCGCATCAGTGCCTCGTTATCATGGCCCTTGAATCTTGACCTCATGTACAAACTGATTCTTTCAAAGTGGAATTCTTGTTGTCAGAAAAGTTGAAAATTAATGAAGAACGTTTTTTGAAGTACGTGGCCGGCAAATTGAGCCAGACGTCTTGTATTTTCAGCCTGGTTGGATTTCCTAACGTCTTCCTGGTCAATTATCACACACATAGGCCACCATGAGGGCCAGCCTCTTAGTGATTGTCGGCTTTGTGCATCAAGTATTCTCACAATCGATTACATTATCAGGAACAGACACGGCAGCAGCGACGTCGACTGCCCCCGACTATGTCACCAGCGGCGTTACATATGTTGACGAGTCCAGCACATTAAGCATCACATCGACCGGAGACTATGGCTCAATAACAGACCTCTCCAGTGCCATAGCATCCGCCAATGGCACGATGTCCTCGAATGCCACCACGACAGGAAATTCCACAAGTGCTACGCAGACTTTACTTGTTGGCTCTGCAAGGACGACGACTGCTCTGAATGGTACTGCTGCAGGAAACTCTACTGCTTCCGCAACCTCGAGTGCCGCACAGCCTTCGAATACTGTGCCTTGTAATGGTTTCCCGGAATTTTGTGCACGCAAATACAGCAATATCACGCATGTTGCCGCTCACAATAGCCCGTTCGTACGTCCTGGAAATCTGGCGGCGAATCAAATGCTCGATGTTGAGACGCAACTTAATGATGGCATTCGAATGCGTAAGTTTACTATTTCACATTTGGTACTCTGGGAATCGACTAACCATTTTCAAGTCCAATTTCAAACACATTTGGAGAACGGCACTATTTATCTCTGCCACAGCTCATGCGAGATCTTGAACGTCGGAACGCTTGAAGACTACCTCCGCACGGTGACGAGATGGCTCCGAGCCAACCCTTATGATATCGTCACGATCCTAATGGGCAATTCCGACGTACTAAATCCCCACAACTATACAGCACCAGTAATCAACTCCGGCCTGATCGACTTCGTCTACACAGCGCCCACCCGCCCAATGCCTCTCGACTCCTGGCCCACCCTCAGCGAGATGATCTTCTCCAACTCCCGCGCCGTCGTAATGCTCGACTATGAAGCCAACCAGGAGGAAATTCCCTGGCTCCTCGACGAATTCAGCCAATTGTGGGAAACACCCTTTTCGCCCACCGACCGCGACTTCCCATGCACTGCACAGCGCCCACCGGACCGACCTCGCGAGAACCGTGAGGATCGCATGTACATGATGAACCAGAATCTGAATCTCGATGTGTCGCTCGTGGGAGTGAGCATCGACATTCCAGCCTCGAACATGCTGAACGAGACCAACGCTGTTGAAGGGTACGGGTCCGCAGGCTGGAGCGTGCTTAACTGTACGAGAGAGTGGAATCGTCCGCCGACTTTCTTGCTTGTGGATTTCTACAACATCGGGAATTTCAACGGGAGCGTCTTTCAGGTCGCGGCTGATGCTAACGGGGTCACCTATAACAGGGACTCCTGCTGTGGACTGGAAGAGCGACGCACTAGGAACGCGGGAAGCGCTACGGGAGTACCGATCGGATGGATCCTATCCCTTCTCTGTGCCGTGTCTATGGCTGTTTCGTTGTAGTCGCCGTGCGTTGCGGTTCCATCGATTACTGATGGTGATCCACGAATACCGGCTCGATAGTTTGCCGTATGGACTGGAATGTGTGCATTTTGGGAAAAGCGTTGTAGGTGCATAGCGTTTGGTGTTCTGGAACCTTGTGGGCCACTGATGTCTAGATCCTTACTATTCATGTACTCTTATTCTTAATCTATCCCTGCTTTATAGGCTTTCATCACATCCTCTACGCATCCAGGGTCGTCCACCTTTGCCCCTCGTATCTTTGCGTACATCAGCCCTCCTTAGCCACCTGCTCGCTCGATACATGAGTATCCGTCACGTCGCCGTTCCCTGCCGCAGCAGCCCTGGCTTTGTCGCCCCTCTTCACAAAATACCAGGCCGTGCTGACAGATGCCACCGTACAAGTAAGCAGAGCGATCGAACATGAAAAGCTTACTCGATACGTCGGACCGAACTTGGATTGGTAGATTTGTGGTCCCTACGATGATTGTCAGTGAATGGGGGAGATCAAGCACGAGGCTGAAGTCTCGATCCGACTTACCACTATGCCCATCAGTTGACACGAAGCCTTCGCATTGTTAGTCGTCAAGCAAACATATCCTGTCGTAAGAACTCACATTTGTAACCCCAATAGCAAGACCAGCCGTAGTCGTGCCTCGTGCTGCGCGAATTCGTTCTGGCCAAATGATTGCGAAGAAGCTCTGGGAGGCAGCAGTTGCAATCATGACGAAGATATACTTGGCGACCTTGTGCTTGACCGTGATCAAAAGGATGTAGCATATGATTTGCAGCACTTCGACGCCGATTCCAGCAACCCAGGGGCTCAGACGTTTCGTATGGATGAAATATGCAAGGCCGCAAAGGATGATAAAGACCATGGTATAAGGTGGCTAGAGAGTAGTAATATTTGTTAGGAACGGATATATCAGCAAATGGGTAATTTGGTGTCTCACCATAGTCATCAACTGCGAGTTAGCAGTCCCAGAGATCCCAAGCTCGTAGATGACCGTTGGTAGTACGAAGGAGATTCCCCACCCTCCGATGCCATGGGTGATCCAGATCATGAGAAATGGCACAAAGGTCGGGTCTTTGAACAGAGCCTTGACCTGCGAGAAATCCCAGGTCTTTGCGTTCATCGTTGGGGCCTCGGTGGGCAAGGATGCCAGGATTGCCTCCTTTTCGTCCTTGGAGAGGAATTTGACCGTCTCGGGATCTAGCCATTGTTAGTCAGTTCGTCTCTGAGTGTTTGAGCTGTTGCTTGGTACTGACAGTTTGGTAGGTAGAAGAATGTGTAGACCGCACAGAAGAGGATTGGAAGTCCTTCGAGAATAAAGACCTGGACAGGCATTAGTACAAGCGGTACCTCGGTGTCCTAACAGTCTCTTGCTCACCCATCGCCAGCCAGCAAGTCCACCAGCCCCATTCATGAATGATATACCGTAGGCTAGTCTTGTTAGCTGTGCTTTTGATTTCCAGGAATGAGTAGATCTTACCGAGTAGTCCACTAACAGTACCAGAGAACATTCCACATGCATAGAAGAATGCCTAGAAAGTATTAGTACAAATTAAGATACCAAAATGAGGCCCAAACGAACAATTCTCAATGGCAGTTTATCAGTGGGATACCAGAAGCTCAAATGGTACCTGGTAAACACGAGTCAGATCAACAGCCACATCACTTTCTCATCGCCGAGGAGGGACTCACAGAACACCAGGATAGAATCCAGCCTCAGCGGCTCCCAAAAAGAATCGGCAAGCTAGAATACCAGCATAGTTCTTGGTAGCACCTTGACACATGGAGATAATGCCCTATCTTAATGTCAACATCCGAAGGGATACCATTGCTCGATCCACGAACCCAAGTAATCATGATCCTGCTCATCCACACAGAAGGAGAGAACCTCTTCAACGCCAGTGTCGCAACTGGCTCGAAGAACATGTACGGGTAGTAGAAAATACTCAATGTCCAAGCCCATTGTGAGCTGGTGAGATTTCCAAGCTGCTTCTTGATGCCCGTGCCCTCCTCAAGGTTGATAATGGCCGTATTGGTGATATTGGAGACGTGGATTCTCATGATCAAATATACGAAGGCATACCATATCAACAGACGCTTGTCGACCTTGCGCCGGGCTTGTTTGGCAATTTGTTCAATTTCTAGTCCACCGTGCTCTTCCGAGGAAAGAGAGTCGGTGGATATGGCGTTAACTGCCTTGTCGCCGGCGATCGAGTCCTGCGGATTCGACATCACGTATTCTCCGTTGCTTGGAAGGCAATGCTAGGAAGATGAGGAAGGATAGACTCGATGATTGGAGACAAAATTCGAGCCTCGTGCGAGTCAAAGCGATCACCTTATGCAGTGAGGACAGAACTTGATATCCGAGCACGCCATTGTGGATCGCCACGTTGATTTTTTCTCTAGATATCTTGGAGTCGATCCTGCGATAGCTAAATGAAGGGTAATATCCCTAGAGACGGGATTGGCAAACCCTATGTGAATCCACAGTAAGATACACTATTATCGGAGAAGTTCGCATACCATCTCAGGGGTGCCAAAGACATGTTGATGACGGTCCTACTGCAGGGCACAATGTGTCCACTCCAAGTTGTGAAGGTCTCACGAGAACGAGCTGCTCAGTATCGTTTCGGATGGTAATCTTCAGATGTTTGCAAAGACTTTTTGCAAATTTCAATCCATACCGTAAAGAACGCTGTTCAGATGCAGAATCGGAAAACGCAAGGCTCGCGGAGACATATGCGTGATCTCGCACAGATAAACGGCTCAACGGCCCAGTTACCGATCGCTAGTATTTCCAGACGGCAATGAAAATCCACTGGCAATGTGTAACGAGAACAATTCATTTGTTAAGGCTGTTCAATTGGCTGTTCCATGGTCTTGGAACGGCGGGAATCCGCTGGATGGATGAAAACACCATTTGAGTCTCCGATTGCGTGCTTCGGACATCTCCCGCAGCGCATGTCGATCCACTCAGCGCCAACTACATCTAGTATGATGTAAATGCATAACCAGATCATATCAATCTTTCCGTTTTCGTTTGCAGAGTATCGATAATAGCAATACACTTTGGTACCAAAATTCGAATTCGAGAAAATGCCTTCAGCCACGAGACAAGAGCCGGTTCCGTTGCGAAAATGGCGGCGACCTAGCAAAACCCAAGTCGATCTGCCTTGGGCGGATATCCAACTTATCGACATAACGAATTTCGACGCTCCAGGAGAAAAGAAGAGGTTGGCAGAGCAATTGCGCAAAGCTGTAGGTGTTATTCATGGTCGGACATTGCATGCACTAACTAATCCTTGACAGGTGCATGAAACTGGATTCTTTAGTGTCATAGGGACAGGTCTTACCGAAGAAGAAGTCCAACGACAGTATAACATTGGACAAGCATTCTTTGACTTACCTGTCGAGGAGAAGGATCAACCTCAGTATAAGTGTGATTTTACCGTGGGCAACTATTTCGGGTATCGGGCGGTAAGTTAAGCCTTCCTAGTCGGCCCGTGATCAAGGTCCACTAACTTCCTATGCAGCCATATGAGAAGAAGATAATGTCGACAGAGGTCAAGGATATTGTGGAATCTTTCAACATCGCCAAATACATTCCACAATACGCCAATGAAGCCCGCCATCCATTTTTCGATGCATATCGAGAGGAGATCGAAGAATTTTCTCGGGTAGGTCCATCGCTTTTCGAATTGCAATGAATGCTGATTGAGGTGATGTAGAAAGCTTTAAGTATCGGTAGCAAGATATTCACGTTGTTTTCGATCATTCTTGACTTGCCAGAAGACTATTTCTCTTCGAGACATGAATATGATTCTCCAAGCGAGGACCACCTGCGGTATATGACGTATCATCCCCGGACAGCTGAGGAAGACGCTCAGGTCGAGAACACATGGTCGCGAGCACACACAGATTTCGGATCTTTGACATTACTCTGGAGCCAAAATATCGCTGGGCTGCAAATCAAGACCCAAAGTGGTGAGTGGAAGTACGTTCCGCCCGTGGACAACGGCATCATCTGCAATGTCGGCGACACACTCGACTTTTGGTCTGCAGGATACTTCAAATCGACAACGCATAGGGTAGTCCGACCGCCTCCTGATCAGACAGAGGTGGACCGATTAGGGTTGTTTTACTTCGTCCGGCCGGGTGATAATGTTGATATCAAGCCCGTGGCTTCGCCTTTGCTGAAGCAACTGGGCCTTGTGAGAGAAGATCAGGAAGACGCAGAACCTATCACTGGACTCCAGTATGTACGAGAACGAGTGAAGAATTATCACAATCACACCGATTATGCAGATATGCGAGGTAAGAAATTCAAGATTGGGAATTTGGAGATCGAGGATGAAGCAAACTGATATCCACTTGGTCCCGTTCACCCGAAAACCAAGGCTGACGGCTACCCATCTTTCCGAATATGACGGTTTGGAACGGACACACGGTTGTCGCGCAATACACTATGTTATATAGCTCTTGATACACTGGGACTGAAGAGTACCTGGGCCAGTCACTGTAAGCAATGTACTACTTCAAAGGGAAATGGTGAACGTAGAACGCTCACCATGTCAACAGAAATGACGTTGTTTGTACTTGCAAGACTGTTGATGCGGACCTTGATTGGACTGGACCATCCAGCTTTTCTAGTAAGTGATCTTTCCAAAGACCGATAGTATAAATTGTAGCCCTTTAGAGATGATGCACTAGGTCCTAACAAGTCCACCTCATGTCCATTATAGCATAAGATATACGTCCTGCGTAGTCTCCAGAGTTCGTTCCAACACCGGGACTCTAATATCAAATGAGTAACCCGATTGCGAAAAGATTACCTTATCCCTTCTTCCTGAGCTATCTGGTTCTGTGTCAACCCCCATTCAATTTGTCCAAATACTTGTCGAAGCGGCCGCTGACCTCAATGACATATTCCAGATGCTTGTATGTCAACTTCTCTCCTTTCCATTCGGCGTACTGTCGCGCTGTTGTTATCGCGTTCCGGATCTGTCGTCCGTTCATCTCTTCTTTCGCGAGACGCTGCACATTGTCTCGCAGTTCTGATATGTCGATATCCTCCTCAAAACCCTCTAATCGAGTGATGAAATTGCTCCAGATCTGTTGTCGTTGGTACTCCTGTAAGTCAGCGTAATGGAGCGCAAGCTGGATCCGAGACCTGAACGCCTCATCGAATGTTCCGACGCGATTACTTGTGAGCACGAGAATTCCGTCGTAGTATTCGAGGACGTGTAGGAAGACGGATACAAGTGCATTCCGTGCTAAGTCTTCGAGCGTCCGTTGTTCCAAGAATACATCAGCCTCGTCTAGAAGCACGACGCAGCCCCATATTTTCCCAAGGTGAAGAACAGACTCGAGATACTGCTCTACCTCGTCAGCCTTAATGCCTATATCCCCGCAAGTCACTCTGTATAAAGGTTTTTCGGCAATTTCGGCGACAGATTCGGCGGTAAGAGTTTTGCCAGTGCCCGGTCCGCCGTGTAGAAGCAATATCAGTCCATTCCCTTTGTCTTCGATGAGGTCAGTTGATTTCTCGATGGATAGTTGCTTACTGACCAAGGCCTGGATAAGGTCCTTAGTTTTGCTTTCAACTACCAAGTTCTTGAATGCGGCCTTGTTCCATTGCACATCTGAGAGTTGATCGACATTGAGGTCAAGCCACTTTTTTCGACGTAAATTGAAGCCTTTCAGTTTCAGCGGTACAACATACTTGAACTGGTCATCAGGCGGATCGTCGGCGATCATCTCTTCCTCCGTCATCCTGAAATCTGACATGTCGCTCTGAAGAATCGTATTTGACGAGTGGACTTTTTGATATGTCTTCATGTCAATCATATACCTCTCTCGTTGGTTGCCAAGTTTGTCATTCGATTTGACTTCCAAATACGACATGGGCCGGCACAACCGACATTTCCAGAATGTCTCTCCGCGTCTGCTAAGCTGCTCTTTGATCTAGGGTTCGGCGAACTGTAGTGGATAGATGCTTAGACGATTGATTTCCTGCACGTTTTGTTTGAGACCAGATACTTCAAGAGCGAGAGTAGTCTTTTCACGATAAAAATGACCATCATACGACCAAGACCAAACTGCGATCTCCCAAATGTATGTTTTGGTGGTCGCATCCTCTGATTCGTTGATATTAGCTTTGACAGGTCTTTTGCCTTTCTGCCACATTCGATCTTGCTTCTGTGCCTTTTTATCGCGCGGCTGTCCAAGCCACGAGTCGCAGATGTAACCCTTGATGTTCTCGCGCTCTCTATAAACGAGGACATCGTTCGGTTTATAGAAATAGCACAAGTACTCAGCAGAGAACTGCCCTTGGGATATCATGGACTCAGCAGCATTATACAATGCTCCATAAACATCCCAGATATAGGTTGCCAAAATTTCCAGCTGCCTCCGTATTGTGTCGTTAGCCTGCTTTTTGATAGTCTCAAGATCTTTGAAGCTGTGGAAGAAAAACAGAAATGGACTAGATATCTCAGACATGCTGTCAAAGCTTTTCAAAATTGCATCGTATTCAGGCCGAGAACCTAGAATCATCCTGATAGCATTAGACATCTCATCACTCACTGGCCACAAAACCTCGCGATAATGCTTAATCTGCGTCGGTAGGACGCCATTTTCGGTGATTTCTTGGTCTTCGAGCGCTTTGTTGTGTATCTGTCCAAAATCCCGATAAACTACAAGGGTTATTTCCTTGTGACGCTCCAAGTAGAGTTCGATGTTTTTGATTGGAGATGTTGAATACAGTGTACCCCCATCTCCAAATCTATCCCGAGGATGATCAAGATATGGTATCGACATCTTGTCGCCTTGCTGTATACGAAAAAGTATTTGCACCTTTTGAGGCTCTTCACTTTTTGGGACGCCCTCTAGTCGTCTTGCTTTCGCTTGTAGGTGGATAATATGCTCTTGCAACTGTTCTAAGCTCATTCCTTCTCCATGCTGAAGTGCTTGCTGATTTTGGGACAGGCTGTTAGCTGTCTCGAGCCCCGTGGCACTTTGCACAACGCTAGTACTCAGATCACCTATGCCAGCCTGAAAGTTGTACTCTTCGTGAGTACTGCGAACTGAGGTTTGCGACCGTCTTCCAACACCAAACATATTGCTTGGGGGTTCAACAGAGGTTCTAATGTAATCCGGCAAATCCAGGGTACCAGGGTCTGACTTTGCTGGGGATTCTGGTTCCTCTGGGAATCCAGTTTCGATTCTTTCATTCAAGTCGAGCAATATCGAGCCCAAGTTTCCTCCAGAATTTTTCCCTAGTGCGGCTGAAAGTAGTCTTACTGCATGAAGACCATCCTCGGTATGGTCATCCGAGACTGTGAGAGCGATGTTTTGAAGGTCGTTCTGTTGACTGTTGAGCGTTAGCTTGATCTAAATTTTAGAAAGGAGGTTCTTTCCTGGACCGAGCCAATACCAGCAGTTTGTGAAGTACCAGCGATTCAGCACTAGCCTGTGTCTTACGCGTTTTTCGGAAACGCCTAAACTCTTCCGGTATTGCTCTCTGCCACTATTATGGGTCATTGTGCCCGATGTTTCTGAATATAACTTTTGGGTGACTGACCTCTCTGTGCGGATAATAATGGCTCTGGGTGTAACCTTCGTCCTCAATTTCACCTCCAAAAAGTCCTGCAACTCCTCCTCTTGCTATGTCTGTGTCTTCTTCTTGCTCATCAAGTTCGCTGGTCTCAGACTTTTGACACGACTCTTCCTCCTCCGCCTCCGTTTCTTCCCCTTCTTTTTGATCAGACCATAGAATTCCGAAAGGGTCGGACGCCTCGGCGAAAGTGGAAGACGGAGTGCGATCACGGGGTGATTCTGCAGCCTGATAATTTGGGCAAAGTCGTGGATGGAGCGTTGATGGGATGAAGTTCATTTGCCTCAATTTGTCAGATGCAACCGTGAGATTCGACCCGAACAGCGACGTGGTGCACAAGAAGAGTAGGTGTACGAGGAGTGAACGGTCCGAAGAGATCGCAAAGATTCATGGTCGCAGACGCCTGAAAGCTGCGAAGCCCCTTGCGGGGTCGTGTGCATCGAGAAAGCCTCGCGCTGGCTGTGAGTGATTATCTCTGCAATACACAGCCTCTGTGGCGCACCTAAGGCATCGTAGGCGTATCCAGGAATCAAGCATATTTATGATATCATTCAAGGACTTCGCCTTATGTGAGACATTACTCGTGGATTCCTACGACACTCTCGTCCCCTAATTACCACTGCTATCCTCGACGTTCGATAATCAGGGAGAGGAGAGGAGTCAGGAGTACGTCCAAAGTTGATTAGCACCACCCCGCAACAATGAAGATCTAGTCAAGAAGTTCGAAGGTACGGCCCGCTTGTGGAGACCAAGCAACTAATGGCCCGAAGCGCCGAAATAAGCACTATGGCCACCACAGACCTCAACACTGGCTTATTATCTTTGTACTCAGATGTAGCAAGGTAAACTTCTTCCTTGTTAAACAGATACCCCACGACTAACCGGACTTACCTATAGACCAATTGAATCTCTCTCGGGCAGTGATCTCGCAGAGGAAGCCTTCAATGAAGCTCTGAAGACCTTCAATGACGTGATGACTCGGGATCCCTCGAAGAAAGCATGGCTTCAGAGCTTACAATGCTCGAGGATAGAGGATGTGCAGCTTGCAGCATCCTCTGCGAGGAGCAGATACGAGCGGGGTCGAGGCAATAGTAAAGTTCGCAACTGCCTCGCAAGTTTCTCCCAGAAGGTTCTCCATTACGGAAAAGTCCTCGACGTCTTTGTGCAGCACCATCCTGAATATGTGTCTCTGGTATGGGGATCAATGAGAATTCTTTTCATGGTGAGTGATCCGAGTAGATAAACTTACGACTTCTAGAGAAGGACACTGACATTCTACGTAGGGTGTTGCAGAACAAGAGAACTTACTAGTCACAATTACTGAGGGTCTCAATCAAATTTCCGATTCCTTGCCACGTGCTGAGATCTCGGCAAGACTCTACCCTATTCCTCGTATAAAGACAGCCCTCTCAAAGCTATACGCAATAGTCATCAAGTTCCTGATCCGTGCTGTCAACTGGTATAGTGAGGGAAAGCTGGTGCACACTTATCACGCGATCACCAGGCCTGCAGCACTGAGATATGATGGCTTAATCAAACAGATTCGCGAAATCTCAGACGAGATATATGAGATAGCGACTTCAGGCAGTCATGCTGCGCTACGAGACATGCACCTTAAGGTCAGATCTATGGACAAGGATCTCAAAGCCGTGCGCGCGATTCTTTCCCAATTTCAACAGCTTGTTGCGAACGGACAGGCTATCAACAAGTCCACACGATCCGAGATCAATCTTCTAAGCAGTGAGGTCAAGAAAATTCTTGAGTGCGTTTCCCAAGCTCAACAAACCGCTGTAGATGGTCGTCCGGACGATACTGCCATTACAGCTGAGTTGGGACTTTTGAGGGGTGAGGTTCGTTCCATCAGCGAAGTTCTGTCTCAAGTTCAAAGCCTCGCGGTCAGCGAGCACATGATCAATAACACCTTCCGAGCCACGACCGAGCAATCTTTCTACAAGCTGAAGATCTCGCAAGTTTTCGCTGTTCTTACAAACGGTCAATCGCTCGATCCACAGGGTACTTTGATAACCTCTCGCTTGCTGCGGGACAGGCGCCGCCGAGGTCCAAAATCAGCTAATCAGCCAATCTCACATGACCATACTCTGCAGCAATGGAACGACCAACAACAATCGGCGATGGTGATACTCCGCGGTGCACCGAGTACACGACTTGACATCAAGGATTTCTGTGTTGACGTTGTCGAGTATCTGCGAAGAACCGAAATAGCTGTGCTTTGGGCCTTGAAGGGCCTCGACTCCACGTCGGCCAGCAACATGACCGAGATTGACATCTTGAAGAACCTTATTCACCAAGCTCTCCAAATCCGCAGCGCGAAGCAAAGCACCGGAGTCGATACCTTGGTGGCACAGCAGCTGCCTAACTTCTTGAATGCCAGCTCCAAGGAAGACTGGTTAACCATGCTAAAAGGCGCGCTGAGCACCTTCGCAGCAGTTTATATTGTTGTCGACACCAAGGTCATCTCTCCATCAGATCCGAAGTCGTCCACGGTCCCAGACATGGCTGGTGAGCTAATAAACACTTTCCTACGGCTCAGCGAACGCTTTTCTAGCATGAAATGCGAAGGCAATGCAACGAGCATCGTAAAAGTTGTGGTCGCGCATTACGGCGCAGCCATCCCAGTGCTTGATCTTTCAAAGGCGACTTTGCCGCATTTTGTCGTCCAGGTCGGCCGAAACAATCACAGACAGACGCGAGCAACGAAGAGACCCCCAAGACCGCAGGATGCTGCATTTGTGAACTCCTCATCAACGAGGACAGAGGGGCTGTTCTCCTCAGCGAGTAGCAGCGGCGGCATACCACGGCGATCAAAGAAGAAGAACCGGTCATGATCACGGTTCGAGGAATCGAAGAAAATCAGATTGTGGAACAAAAAAAGATTTTCTATGCTAGGTCTCCTCAGTCCCATAAGAACCCAACAGCCTTGCGCCAGGTTGGAAGTTTGGGTTCTGGCTCTATGTCGCCGGCTGCTCTCTCTAGAGCTTCTCTCAGCGGGATATCCGCCAAATTAATGATGCTTGTGCGTTTGTATAATTTCCAACCAATGTATGCTGTTAGGACGAGGGGAATATCTCTGTGATTATATGGTCAGTGTGCGATACTAGGAGATTAATTCTGCCTGCAGGACTTACAGATACGATGAGATGAACCCGCTAGTTGACCAGTTACCTCTCGTGAAGACGGTGAAGCCACCCGTCAAGAGGATAAGTAGACACATAAACAACGCTACAGGTGAGGAGTATTCTGCCATCAGGTCAGCATGGGATCTACATATGATCCGAATTGTTTCACACACCTGTCCAGCGATTATGCCAGGGCAAGCTCGACAGCGGCAAATGTTGCTTTTTCATCGCCTGAATGAGGCGGATATGATTGAGCAGCACAGTCGACCAGGAAATAAGCACGCCGCACGCCGTAAGGTCGACAAACCACCAAAATACCGTGAGAGCGCCCTCAGATAGACTCATAAACGCTAGAAACATGAATGCCGTGTTCAACAGGACGCACATGTATGGTACACCCCAGGAAGTCGTTCGCAGGAAGATTTTTGGTGCTTGTCTTTTGAGCGCCAGGCCGTAGAGAACTCGAGTGCCGGATAGCAAAGCTTGATTGGATGATGACCAGGCTGAAGTAATTACGATGGCATTCACGAGTGAAGGCACACCTCTGAGGCCGGCTGCGCTGGCTGCGATAACAAATGGACTTTGTGCAGCTGTACCGTAGCCATCGTTGAGGCGGTCATCGTCACTTGGGACAAGCATACCAACAACGAGCACCGCGAGTAGGTAGAATGTGGCGACTCGAGCGAAGACTCTCTTACAGGCCTTCGGAATGGTTACGCGAGGGTTTCTCGTCTCCGCTGCAGCCATGGCTATACTTTCCGTTCCAGCAAAGCTGAAGACGGCGTTCGTCATCACAGACCAGTAACCCAGAAAATGGCCCCACTTGCCAGTCGCGATGTACTCAACGAACGGACCTGGTTTGTTCCAGTATCGAAAGCCAATTCGAGGAGTTCCTGAAACGCCGCCCAGATCAATGACCAGACCGAGGATGATCAGGAAGATGATGAAGAGGATCTTGAGCAGTGCGAACCAGAATTCGACCTCGCCGTAGATTCCGATGAATGAGATGCCAATGGCGAATGTCAAGGCAATGAAAATCACGATCCATAGTGCTGAATTGATATCGGTCCAGTACTGAAACAACACACATACCGCACTTATCTCAGCGGGTACTGAAAGTAAATTTCCATAGACGAGGTTGTATCTGAGATCGATCAGTGAGATGTTGAGAGGACTAGTTGTGTTCACCTTACCCGATGGCAAAACCGAGCGCCGGGTCAACGAGGACTTCGGCATGACGGACGAAAGAACCAGTCACGGGTAACAGGGCTGCGACTTCTCCAAGTGCAAATTGAACAGCACAGACGATAAGACCGACGGTGAAGTAGCCGAGTAGAGAACCAAGAGGTCCCCCAGTTTGTATCGATCCCCCAAGACCCAAAAAGAGACCCGTGCCCTGAAGATTTGTTAGACTAATCCCCTAGGAGATGCAAGTGATATACTTGCAATTGCACCAGCAATGGCTATCAAGGAGATGTGCCTCTGATGAAGACCACGTCTGAGATCTTGTTGTTCATTGAACGTCACGAAATCTCCCTCATGAAGTCCTTGTGGACTCTGCTCAGCACGGACGCGTTCTTCGTCAGTGATCGGCGGTTTGCGATCACCTTCACGAGGCTGTGGTATCGGAGACGTGGACATGCTGGAAGACGACTGATAATCATACCTTGTCGTTCGAACAGACCCTGAGGGCGGGGAGTGGTGCTGATATTCATTTTGCAGCAATGGCGTGCTCGAGGTTACATCTTCTGCCATTGAAGGTTTTGGAAAGGACGGGTTACCAAATGTCGCTAGTACCTCGTGCCCACGTACGAAGTAACTTTGACAGCCTGACTGGGAAGCCTATCAATGAGTGGTTTTCGCGATTGTTGGTGTCAGCTTTTCAATCATCGACGGAAATTCGGGCAGGCTAAGTGGCATTTGGATCGCTAAGCTTTAATTAGCTCATTCTTAAAGGGAAGCCACACGCGGTCTTGGTGAGGAGCTTCGACGCCCAGATCCTCGGCAAGTTGGGAAAAAAACATTTCACAGCTTCGTAAGCTATCATCCACAATCGTCTTTGAGGCAAATGGAGCTGCGCCGATAGATTGCAATTTGGGCCTCATCTGAGCGCCTTTCGCATCGTGTGAAAACGGGGAACACCATGTGAATTCTGTATGTAATCCCACAGTCGACAGGACAGAGTATGACCACTCCATCGTGCGCAAATGATTGATCAAATGGTCTCCAGCCGAGTACGCAACCCGTCGTACACTTTGCAAATAAGCAACTCAGAATGCGATGATCGGCGATTCTACGCGCAATGAGAGTTGATTGCGCAACTTAGGGATGAATGGGTATGATTTTCAAGCCAGAAAACCTTCCTCCATACAAGCAAACAGGCAGCAAGTGTAAGTATTGGCAACACCTTCGAAATGATCTAAATAAGTCAACTTCCGAATGTACCGAGATGTATAACCACCGTATCGACCCATCGGCGGCTTCTGGCCAACCGAAGATATCATAGTCCTCTCCTATGGCGACAAACCAGTGTGACGAGATTTTTTCGAACCACGAAGCGGACGGGATGCACTTGGTATAGCTACGAACAAACAATATTCTATTTCATTTCATGAGGATGAAACTGAACATTCCGCCCTTGTTCAAAACACCAAGGGTTCGTGGTACAAGGCTCCCGAAAACCAGGGGTTCCCTATTGTCAGTCACGACTGAGCCGCTCATGGGAGCTCTATCAACGTAAGCAACCCGGTTTCTAGTCAGGAAGTTAGGTAAGCTGTCACGAATATGAAGGGTTTGATGCTATCTAGTTTCGCTCATGTTCTATTTATGCATTAGTTGCACAGCCATCTGGCTATGTGGCAGTTTGTGGGATGATCAATAGCTCGGACCCAGTGATTTGGAGTTTCGGGAGATGAGATCTGCCATTCGGGCGAAGATAGATGGGCACAAACGAAGAGAATAATCGAACATCAATAATAGCAACAACCACTCTTGTTGCTATCTGAATGCATCTCCGGTCTATCAGTTGTACTGTACAGCCCGCTTCACCCCTTTTGCAGGTGTTTCCCAGGGTTCCAGATTCTTCAACCAATTCTCCATTGTTGGATTCGGGATGTCACTTGATTCAAAGAGCCCTGAGCAGTCTTGTGGTCAGCAATCGTAGAGCTGTTGGCAATTTGTGCCCATATAGGACGAGACTATGAGATTCACATTACATACCGGCCTTCAGAAATGTCATATCCGGCATTCCAGATGATTTGATCCATATCCCACACCCACATTCATCGCACCAAGCCCGCTCCATATCCGTTCCACTGTCGGCCTTCTGCGTGAAGGTCCTAGGATTTGGGCTTGTGGTCTGGATATCAGCAGTCTTGGTGAACAGATGTGCTGAATGCCTGTGGAGATTCATTATTGTCACCGGGCGCTCACGGGTTGCAGATGGGTCGCGTTTGCAAATCACCTACATGGCTCCTGCCCACTTGCGACAATCGATACAATCTGGTTCGCTATCAGATTCCAATCAATTGTCCAAGCTTAGGGATTCGACGTACGACACAGGTTCATCTCACTCGGTTTTGGTATAGTGTACTTATGGCGACCACAGTTGCATACTCCTGTTATTAACTGAGACATATTCTAGAGTTCAAGGCTCGCAACTCGCAAGATGGAATGAAACTTCAAAGAAAAGTGCGTTCGAGGTCCATTTTGTCTTTTTTAGATCTGCAGCAGTCTGAAATATTGTGACGTAGACATACGGCTTCTATCACGGGAGAAGCCTTGATCAATGTACCACCGAGGTGAAGTTAGTTCTATGACCTCCTCGCCATCGGTCCAGCGGAGTCTGGCAGACCTTCAGATACTTAAAACGACCTTGAATACTCTGCTTGATCATTATTTGAAGTCCACCAACTCCAGAGCGCCGCCTTGTCGAACTGTTATCCGCAAGACTGGGCGATTTTCTGGGCGGCTTATCGTGCATGAAGCTAATCGTCCAGATGTGGACTGCATCACATGCTTGATATACCCGGATTGTAAGTGGTCAGCAGAGCAAGTTAGAAGCGTGGGGTATTGGGCTCTAAGAAAGGCACCTGCCAGTGAGCCTTGCAGTAACAAGTGTACAGGCGGAGCCCAGGCAAACACTTGCAGACAGGTTGTTCTTACCAAGTGGGATGGCTGTCGCGAGACGGAGGCTGCTGGATCAAGCCTGAAATATTTAGTACTTAACCCAGGATCGTCCCGTCTCTTTGCTATCATTCTTCAACACTCCATCAAGGACAATCTACCACACGACTAAAACATTATTCGAAACACAAACCGTATCTCAGGATACTCAACCAACCGCCTTCAAAAGCACCCCAAGAACATGTCTCACAAGGGCTGCCCTAGCTGCGGTGCTTCCATCACCAGCGGCAAAACTTGCAACTCCTGCGGCGCGGTCAGTAGAACTCTTATCATAACCTACCCTACCACAGTATCTTTCTTTCGCAATCCCACATAGTCCAATTCATATATTTGCTGACTGATAGTGGGGTGCATTCACAGACTTGCCCAAAGTGAGGGGTTACAAACTTCCACAATTGACCGAGTCAACGAATTTCTCCAAAGGCATGAATGACGACGAGATGAGAGGGGGACTACGGTCTCGAACGTAATGTCGGTGAGGATGAGAGTCTGGTGGGAGCGCAGCCAGCGGGATAGTCTACTTCTCTGCTATCCCAATCACTCATTTAGACAGATGATTGATATCAACAGGAATTGAAGTCTTGAAACTGTCCAACTTCCTTTGCCTCTATGATACATGTTTCATTCTGGGATGACTCTATTGAAAAATGCCAACATATCCCGCAATTCAGCTGCCCCAGTTGAATGCCCCAGTCCTGGGTAGAGATGCCCATCGATGTCGTCCCTGTCCACCCATTTCATCAACTCCTCATTTCCTTGAACGAATAACTTGGTTGGAATAAGCATGTCTGTGGTTCCATGCACGTAAAACCACTTTTTCGCAGTGACCGCATCTTCCACAGGATTCTCTTTCCTTAAAGCCTCGATTCGATCTCGTAGGGGCAAGTATCCGCTCAAGCACATAACACCTCCAACTTTATTTCTCAGCCTTCCCGTCAAACCCCAGACAAGACTAATGGCACATCCCTGACTAAATCCTCCGACAAGGATCCTCTCGGGAGGCGTACCGCTCTTGATTTCTTGTTCAACCAAATCATCGAGCACCGCAACACTTTTTAATATCCCTTCCTCATCATCAGCTGCATCCGCCTCATCTGCTTCTCCAGGCACGCGTGGCTTCATCGCGTTAGGTAGTGCCTTTGGAATGTACCAGGCTTGTGTCATCGCTTCTTGGTTGCGAGGAGCATTTGGTAGTACCCACTTAAGGTATTGTGCCTTGTTGTAGAACTGAAACTGTTGTGCCAGACCAAGCGGTATGCCCTCAGCGTCATCGCCATAGCCATGTAGGAAGATCAAGGTAGCGGACCGGTCTGGAGAGGTGGCTGGTACGGTCGGCTGTACGACATAAGGAGGTTTGGCAGACATTATACTTCGTTATAGCTCAGAAGGGTTGTCAAGCCGCTTGTTTGTGTCACGTAGGTTATTCTTGATAGCAGATGTCCTTGTAACAGGCCGTCACTTGCATACAACCGTGTATGAGTGGACTAAAGCATAGCTGTAGAATATCAAGGGCATCTCATTTTCCCTCACGACATCAGTGGCAAACTTACCTGTGCATCGAGCGGTCGGCTACGAATTTATGCCGGATGGATGCAGTGACTCTCACTGCACTGAACTCCATAATCGGACGAAAGCAAGTGAATGCGGGGCAAGGACGAGGAAGGAGCGACCAGTCGATACAGGAAAGTTTTCCGAAAGGCTTGGCATTAAGGTAAAGTTCCACGTGATTTGATTCTTCTCCGCAGCCTGGATGAGGGGAATCACTCTACCCTCAAAATATTCAATCCCACGGATCAAGTGTCCTTGTTGCAAGTCAAATCGATCCCCGACCGCCTTCACGATGAAGAGTCTGAAGAGAGGATTGGCGCATGACCCAAATGCAGGCAATATCGCCAGCAAAGTCTTCATCCGGTCTACCAGAAATGGTCGTGTTCAGAAAGTCGTCAAGGAACAATATCTGAGGAAGGACATCCCTTGCTCTTCTCAGTTATGCTCAGCCTGTGTCTCGACTGCTGCAGCTGATGCCAGTGGTGTTGGTAAGTGTTGGTTTTTCAGAACATCCCGACTATGCTGACCAAGTAGTACCCCCATTTGTGCTTTCAAAACGTCCAGTCGGAATCAAAGACTTCCCCCAAGGCCACTACCTTGTCCCAGATACGAATGTGTTGCTCAACGGCATGGATCTGTTTGAAGAGACGGACCACTTCCACGATGTCATCGTGCTACAAACAGTTCTAGAGGAGTTGAAGAATAGAAGTCTTCCTCTCTTCAATCGATTAATGGCATTGACAAAAAGCGAGGACAAACGCTTTTACCTTTTTTTCAACGAATTCAGGGTCGAAACCGCAGTCAAAAGAACCGAAGGCGAGTCCATTAATGATCGCAACGATCGCGCGGTTAGGAAAGCGGCCGCATGGTACGCAGTGCACTTGGCCAATAGTTCAAAGAAACCGCCAGCAATAGTGGTCCTCACCAATGATCAAGATTGTCGAACAAAAGCCAAAAAGGAGAAAATCAACGCCCTATCTCTGCGAGAATATGTTGGAGGGTTGAAGGACTCCGACAGACTTCTCGACATGGTATCCCAAAGTGCCGACGCTCGAGATAGCCGTGCTGCACCGGGTGAATTATTCTATCCAGAATACTATTCCATGTCAAGAATGAGTACGGGGATAAAAGCCGGCACGTTGCATCAAGGAACTTTCCATGTCTCCCCATACAACTACCTGGAAGGAACTGTGAAAGTGCCTGCTTTTGACAAACCACTTTTGATTCTCGGCAGAGAGAGCAGCAATCGATCAATATCTGGAGATATCGTGGTCGTGGAAATTCTTCCAAAAGACCAATGGAAAGCGCCATCTACTCAGATCCTGGACGAAGAAGCAGCTAACCAAAATGAGAATGCTGAAAATGACAGCACGGAAGAAGCAGTTGTTACAGAGAAAGAGAGGCGTGCTTTGCAAGAGGACGTGAAGCGAGCACATACTGCTGGTGGTGAAACACGAGCTCAACCTACCTGTCGAGTAGTTGGTGTAACCAAGCGCAATTGGAGACAATTGGTTGGTACCATCGATGCCACTTCTGGAAACACAACTGGCCAACGACAAACGACAGTCTTTCTCAACCCAATGGACAAGAGAATTCCTAGAATTCGAATAAGAACTCGACAAGTTGGTGAATTGATTGGTAAGCGTATCGTCGCTGCGATTGATTCGTGGGATCGAGACACAAGATACCCTGTTGGTCATTATATCAGATCACTGGGTGAGCTGGAGACCAAAGAAGCCGAGACAGAAGCACTTCTTCTTGAGTACGATGTTCAATATCGTCCTTTCCCCAAGACAGTCCTGGATTGTCTACCGGCTGAAGGTCACGATTGGAAAGTGCCCAAAGAGTCAACTCACCCTGGCTGGAAAGGACGACGTGATCTCAGAGAATTGCTGGTTTGTTCCATTGATCCACCGGGCTGTCAGGATATTGATGACGCCTTACATGCTCGACAATTACCGAATGGAAATTATGAAGTTGGTGTACACATCGCTGATGTTTCACATTTTGTCAAACCAAATAATCCCATGGACGCCGAGGCTACGGCCCGGGGTACAACAGTGTATCTTGTGGATAAGAGAATCGACATGTTGCCAATGCTATTGGGTACTGATTTGTGCTCTTTGAAGCCATATGTGGAGCGTTATGCATTCTCCACTCTCTGGGAACTCACACCCGATGCCGATATCGTATCTGCGCACTCTACAAAATCTGTTATTCTATCCCGGGAAGGCTTTTCTTACGAACAAGCACAGAAACGTATCGATGATGCCAGTGCCACCGATGAGTTAACTCAGGGGATGCGGACGCTACTTGCTCTTTCCCAGAAGCTTCGCCAAAAACGAATGGATGCTGGTGCTTTGAATCTTTCCAGCCCTGAAGTTCGGATCGAAGCTGACAGTGAGTCTTCGGATTCTCTTGCCGATGTCAAGACGAAGGCACACTTGGCCACAAACTCCCTGGTAGAAGAGTTCATGCTTCTTGCCAACATCACTGTTGCAAAGCAAATCCAGTCTGTATTCCCGCAGACAGCACTACTCAGAAGGCATGCTTCACCACCAGCTTCGAATTTTACTGACCTTGGTGAACAATTAAAGAAGATGCGTGGCCTAGAACTCGATGTTTCAAGCTCACGAGCACTGGCAGATTCCCTCGACCTTTGTGTTGACCCCAAGCATCCTTTCTTCAATACTCTGATCCGAATTATGGCTACACGGTGTATGACTTCTGCGGAATATTTCTGCAGTGGGTCTCATGCTGAGCCAGAGTATCGACATTATGGTTTGGCCAGTGAAATCTATACTCATTTTACCAGTCCTATCCGAAGATACGCAGATCTTCTTGTCCATAGACAACTTGCATATGCGATTGGGTATGACGGAGAAGGGAGTGACATTGTCGACAATGATCTTCGAAACAAAGGCAAACTAGAGAGGGTCTGTCAAAATCTCAACTTCAGACACAGAAATGCTCAGCTAGCTGGCCGGGCGAGTATCGAATACTATGTTGGGCAAGCCCTGAAGGCCCGAGCGGAAAAGACCCCAGATGCAGCCATTGATGTTGATGCATATGTTTTACGGGTTTTCGAGAACGGGATCGTAGTCTTTGTTCCACAATTCGGCATCGAAGGTCTGGTTCGTCTTGAAGATTTCGAGGCTGTCAACGACTCTGAGGGTGGCTCGAAGCCAGAAAGTCAGTTTGACCCGGAGAACTATCGATTGACTGTCATCGAGAAGGGGAACGAGAAGAATACTTTCACGGCAGAGCTTTTTCAGCAACTCAAGGTTCGAGTGAGTTCTGAAGAGAAAGGAGGAGCAAGAGAAAAGGGCAAGCGTAGAGTCAGAGTCAAGGTCCTTGCTGCGCAATAGGTTGTGGCAAGTCGATTTTATCCTCTCAGCTTCGTTAGACCAACTCAGATTAGAAACTGCGCAAATATCGATGGAGTCAAATATTAGCAGATTCTAGGGTACTGGCTCTTCGCGTACTGTTGAATCAGCATCGCTTCAGGCGAGAAGATGTCTGCCTGGGAACTCGTACGATTAATCTGCTCAGCCCAAATAAACATCTTGAAGACTTGCCTCCTATATGACAGCCCGTAGCCCATAGTCCAACGCCACATACTTCACCATTTCTCCTCACTTGGCCTGATCTCAAGCTCATTCGTGAATCCCGATCTTGGCTGCGTGTGAAGGTACCAATAAGTCTCAGCAATCTAGAGCAAACGGAAGGTCAGCCACCAGAATCCTCACACACCAAACCCACATCGTCCAAACAAGAAACATCATGCAGTTGGGCAACTCACCGTCTCTGGATCAATCTTGGCATCCGGACCCGCATCGGCCATGAAGCCCGCCGTGCCAGGTGTATCGATAATGCCATCAATGATTGCATGTGCGACGTGCACCCCCTTAGGGCCGAACTCGCGCGTCAGAGAGTGCGCCAACGCCCGTGTCGCGAATTTACTGACGGCGAAGGACGAGAAGTTCGCGGATGATTTGAGCGATGCGGTGGCACCGGTAAAGATCAGTGTTGGTGGGTATGTTGGTTTGGGAGATTGTGATGCGGTGGCCAGTAGGCGTGGGAGATTGCTTGCGAAAAATGGAAGCCGCCCTTGCTATCATGAGGCGAAGAAAGGGGTTGGTCGTTAGTCCACGCGTCCACTAGGGTTGAATCGTATAGGATGAGAAGGGGGCCTTACCAATTCACATCAAACGGCGCGAGGAACGACTCCTCCGTCTGCTCCAGGAACGGCTTGATGACAAGCTTCCCCGCCGCATTGAATATCGCTGCCTAGAACCCCCAAGTATACTAGAATCAGCGTATGATTCCTCACTAAGTAGCTTCCAGAGCCAACTCTGTTCCCCCCCTCAAAACAAACATACCGCACAAGTCGCCTCCTTGCCGAACTTTTCATCAATTTCCTTCAACACATTCTTAATACTCTCTGCGGAGCTAACGTCCGTCGACACGCCGATCGCATTGCCACCGCCCTCGTTGATTTCCTTTGCCAGGCTGGCATAGCTGCTTGTGCTGCGCGCCAGAAGCACGACGGAATATGCTTTGGCGAATTTCTTGGCGATCGCGGCGCCTGTGCCGGGGCCGACGCCGGCGATGATCGCATAAGCTTTCGTGTTGGCCATTGCTAGGGATGTAATGCTGGCAGATAGTGTATGTTCAGCGATGAAAAAAGAATGGGATAATCGTTGGTGGTTGGAAGCATTTAGCTGTCGTCACGAAGGTCTAGGCTCGCTAGCTCCGGATCGCAAGGCTGGCCAATCAGGGGTGAGAAGAGGAGAGGGTTGAGTAACCATCTTCCCAAGGTAGGCTACAACACACCAGAAGCGAAACTTTGCAATTTGAATCTCAGCTCACCCTTTTTAGTTGTGAGCGAGCGATATTATAGACGAGAAAGGAGCCCGTTGACTTGCTCATCAAAGGATCTTGAGCTATATAATTTGACCACGTGACACATTCAGCCTTGCTGGGGTCATCATAGGGAAATAATCACACAATCGTCCATCAAAATGGAAAGAAATGCTCCCAAAATTACCCTGATGCCCTTTGAGCTTTTCAGACCGACTTTCCAAACACCTTGGCCAACCAGCTAAATCAAAGTTCTGTAGCAAATTTCACTTCGCTCGACACAGATACCCGTTCATTCTCCTCGGTGGACATGTTGGTCTCCGCGACTTCATCTCCTTCTTTTGTAGTGGCCTTAGGAATGTAGAACCGCTTGTCAATGCGTGTAAATGTGAAAACAGACAGCGCGAGTATCTCCAAGGTAAAGTTGAAGACATAGAATGCGGCCTTGGAGTGATACCAAGCAGGATCGTTGATGGGCCTCGGCGTCTCCCATGCAACACCGGCTTTGAAGCCCGCGACGATGACACAGATAGTGGTTGTAAGGAGGATGATGAACCCTTTGCTATGCATGCTTTCTGTTCCAAAGTCTCGCTCGTAGCGATCATGGGGTGCTAGAAACGCGACTGCGAGTAGTAGTAGCGGTAATGCGGCAATAAACAGTAGATATGTGATGGCAGCCAGCTGAATGTCGCGAGCAACTTTTCTTGTGTGCATGTTCAGCGTGTAGAAGGACAGGATAGTCGCTGTGATGACCATGATCAAGGCGCCAACGATGAGCACATACAGGCCTTTAATAAGGATGTCCAGCGGCTTCAGCCAAGCATGTTGAGGCTTCTTGGCTTTGAGGATGCGATGTGCGAAGAAAAGGTTGAGGATATAGAGAATGAGAATACCGGCATTGATGAATATGCCCGCCGCGATGGCAAGTCTGGCGTTTGTTTGTCTCGTGGCCCATGCAATGCGTAAAATGCATGTCGTTATTCTAGCCATGCAAAATCCGAAGAGGAGAACTGACGGCCGGAATATATGTTTTCGACGGTTGTTAACTTGGAATATGGTCATGTTTGTGGCGGCGAATCCAATGTAGATTGCTAGCAAGACACCCAGCGCAGGGACATCGATGGAGACTGTTGGTACACCACCAGTTTGTGCTGCCTGGGGAAGGTAGGGAGGCTGGTTCAATGTCAGTGTCTAGTAGACATCTCGTGCGCGCCACATTCAGAACTTACCCCCTTGGGGACATTTCCTGGCTGAGACATTGGCAAATGTCGTTGTTCTTTTGTTATGAGCTGTCGAGATGTGATTTCTGCTAGAGGGCATCCTAAGCATTAAGTAGTAACGATCCAGATGGGACATCGAACTCCATTTGCGCAAGGCAGCATTTCGCAAACTTGCTCCGCAGAGGGATAATGATGACGAATATTTTCGGGCTTCTTCATTTCCGATAGTGTTGCATGAAACTACTGGATACTACCTAGATAAAATATTCATGTGTTGCTTGTTCGTGAGTAAACGATCAAGTGATCCATGTAGATGATGCTTCGTCGTCATTGGATATTATGCGGTACGGTCGTGATGGGAAATGGGAACCGAACCGTGGACGAAGAACATACACCGACGGAGACGGGCTTTTTTCCACCGACACCCAGTAATGTCTCGGTGGCGTGAAGACCAATACCTGGTGGTGGAATTCGTGGATCCCCATTGCCACTCTTTTGTACTTTAGCCCACCGTACTCAACGGCTACACATCGAAGGATACTTTGGAGAGTGGAATATTTGAATATTGATATTGATCTACCTGAGGAGCTATTGCATTAAAATAACACCTTGCCACAGTCTATCAAGGGCGATCTTTCTCGAAGAAAGGTAGAAAGTTCTCACGAAAGTAGTCCTGGCGAAGGGTAGAGTATTCCTCAAAACAACGCATTTACGCCAGAGAACCTGCGTTCTAGGCGGATTTACATTTTCGGTATAGTGACAGACTTGGCGCGCCGCCGCTTTTGACGTCGTTAGAGAGAGTGCGACATCGTACATGTAGGCCTAAGATGAAGTGCTTTCAGCCTCAGGCAGCCTACTACGACGTGGTGCAGGTTACCTTGCCACAGGATGTGGCGCCGTATCAAGGACAAAGTAATGGAGAAGGAGAGGCGAGGAGGTGTGGTGTTAGCGTTAGTTGCCATTCCGTTTAAAGCGGAAAGGCTTTCAATCTGACTTTCAAAAGGACCCCCACCGTTCCTGATCCGCCCGGGAGAGAGACACCCGCACCTGTGTATACCGCAAAGGAAAGACTTCCTAGCCGCCCCGCAAGGCTTGAGATAGACTCTTTTGGCTCTCCAAAGGAGCACCGACGACTCTCTCATTCAGCGTGCGAACATGCCTCTAGTGGTGTCCGACCCTTCGCCGATCAACCGGTTGAAGGCCTCAGGGTGGTCTACGATTGCTCCGACAAGAACTCCATCGTGGCAGATATTGTCTTCATACACGGTTTAACAGGCGGGACTAAGAAGACATGGTTTGATGGGCCTTCCGGGATATACTGGCCTTCGGATCTGCTGGCAAAGGACGCCCCTCGCACACGAATCCTGGCCTTTGACTATGATGCGGATGTCACAAGGCTTCTGGGCCCCGTGTCGCAGAACAACCTTCGCGGCTATGGAGAGGCACTACTTAGTGACCTGGCTTCCTTGAGAGAAAGCACTATTTCGGTACGGCTCTAGGCGCAGAAATATCGCAAACTGACTCTTGCTAGACTGCTCGTCCCTTGATATTCGTTGTTCATAGCCTCGGAGGACTGGTGGTAAAGGATGCTTTATGTCTATCGGATAGCAGCTTCGAGCCTCATATCAAACTAATCAGTCAACATGCTAGTGCCATTGCATTCCTTGGTACTCCGCATCGTGGCTCAGATCTAGCGTTCTTCGGCTCCGTAATTGGCAATGTGCTTAAGATGGCCGGAAAACGGACAAATGTAGATATTGTCCAGCTATTGAAGCCTGATAATGCGACCCTCATGGAGACAGAAGACTCGTTTGGAATATGGTTGAGACATAGAGGTAATTTTAACATTACCTGCTTCTACGAAGAGTTGGAACTGGCAGGCGTTGGTAAGGTATGGCAGTCCCACATGTGCAAATATGGAAGACAATGCTCACCACCTGTTCGATTTTTAGGTTGTCCCCAGAGATTCTGCGAAGATTGTTGGCTACTTCCAGATACCCATCCATGCAAATCATCGAGTAGGTCATGCTTACCCCTGAATGTCCGCTACTTCTGACATCCGAAGGACATGGCGAGATTTAGAACCAAAGATGATGCTGGTTACCGACGAATACTTGGTGAGATCAGAAGATGGCTTAACCAGATTGAGGTCGCTATGCCAGGTTGGAAACAGAAGCCTTAGATGATATCTTGGATGTTAATACAGTTGATTTCTAGGGAAAGGGAGAGGACGAACGTCGAAAAACAAAGGTAATATCCCCTTCAATGGCAACGAATGAAACCCTAACTCGGTGCGTTCAGTTGCACTACAATCACTCGCCTTTACTGAAATGTATTCTCGGGGAGGCGACATCTCTGAAGCAGCTGGAGACACCTGTGACTGGCTATTTCTACACCCCCAATACCTCCAGTGGCTTTCGGAACACCAATGTCTGCTCTGGATCAAGGGTAATCCGGGGTCGGGCAAATCCACAATCATGAAACATGCACTCCAACACTGTGAGAATCCTAATGAATCCTCTCAATTCGTTCTTCTCTCTTTCTTCTTCCACGGACGGGGTTCACCAATCCAAAAGACCCCAGTTGGTCTCTATCGATCGATACTCCACCAAGTCATAGATCAGGTCCCTGAACTTCTCGAAGAATTTACGATGATTTTCGAAGAGAAGGAAGACAAGCTTGGCCCTTACGGGGAAAGCTGGGAGTGGAGAGAAAGCGAACTCAAGAATCATTTTAAATTGATGATTATTAAGGCAGCTGCACTTGTCAGACCGAGAATCTACATTGATGCTCTGGACGAGGCCGGTGCAGCGGCTGGCAGAGCTCTTGTTGTTTTCCTCCGGGAGATCATGCAGAGCCTCCCTGACGATGCATTCCTCCAGTTGATATTCTCCTGTCGACATTACCCCATCATAACTCTCAAAGGCGGACTTGAGATAACTATGGAGGACGAAAACCGCGACGACATCAACCGCTATGTCGAACATGAACTTCGGTGCTACATTCCAGATGAAGAGGCTGTAGAATCCCTGAAGAGGGTCATCTGCGACCGAGATTCCGGAATCTTCCAATGGGTCACACTCATGACCGCTTCAGTCGTTGAGATGTATCTGGCAGGCACCCGGATCACAAAGATCCATGAGGCCATTAACACCAAACCCACACAACTACATGACCTATACCGGAGTTTATTCGAAAGCCTAGAAGTGGAACAAAGGCCAAAACTCCTACAAATTGTGCAGTGGGTTATGTTCTCACTCGAGCCACTAACTTTAAATCAGTTTCAGCATGTTCTCGCTGTGTCATCAAGTTCATCGAGAACTCTTGATAAATGCCTACAGGAAGCAGACTATGAGACACTCGGTGAACTTAAGAGGCAAATGCTGGAATTGTCTAGAGGCTTGCTTGAAATAGTACCTCGCTCAGACAAGGTTCAATTTATCCATCAATCCGTGCCTGACTATATCAGCGAAGAAGGATTTCGTGTTCTTAGTGACACATTCACGACTTCTGCCCACTTTTCGGGGAAATCGCACTCTGCCCTTTCCCGGACTTGCCTACGATATGTTGGATTGGACGGAGTTCGACAAGTCACAAAAAAAGGGCCTATGTGGAAGGACGTTGCAGCGATAAAGGAACATCTGCCACCTTGGCAATACGTGGTCGGTCGCTGGCTTGACCATGCTCTCAAAGCTGAAACGTATGGCGTCGGTCAAGAAGATCTTGTGACGGTTTTTGACTGGCCTGGAGGTTCGCTCTTCGAGACTTGGGTTGCGCACTACACAGTTCTGTTCGATTTGTTATTCCACCAGTGGCCGGTCCCCCCTCGTCAAATCGCTGATGGTATGGACCTGCTACACCTTGCCTGCAGGTGTGGACTTTCGAGTGTGCTTCAGGCATGCCTGGATCGGATAGATAAGAATCTGGTGGACTTTTCAGCCGACTACATTGCCTCGTGTGGTCGAACGCCATTATCCTATGCTGCTGAGTGTGGTCAGAGAGCCATCGTCCAGACTCTTGTCCGCCGCAAGGATGTCAACATCAATTCAAGGAGCCAGACCAACGCAAAATCCACACCAATACTGTACGCGTTAGGTCAAGGCCATGAAGATGTGGTGCTTGATCTTCTCGAGCTGAAAGGAATCAATCTCAAGCTGAAATCAAGAGGGAGGTGCGTTTTGAGCCTTGCCGTACAGCAAGGCTTCCGCAGCTTGGTCGAGATCTTGATGAGCCGAGATGATGTCGACGTGAATGTCTCCTTGAAGGGCAAATCGCTTCTGTCACGGGCGGTGATTGAAAAAGATTATCGGTTCGTGGAGTGGGCACTCCGTCGAAAGGATGTCGATGTCAATGTCGAAAATCGGCGAGGGGTGCTGCTGACGCCGGTATTCGCTGCAGCCGAAGACGGAGACGAGAGAATGCTTGAGCTTTTCCTCGCTCACCCGGGTTTACAACTCGACAAGAGAAATAAGGACGATCAAACGGTCCTTGAAATGATGATAGAGGCGTCAATAGAATATGGGCCGGTTGAAGAGATCTGCCTCATTGCAGAAACGGTAAATGCTTTCAGAAACCGCGGCATGTCCAGTGAAGCAGTCCGAGCACACCCGCTCCAAACACACTACCGGCGCTGGGCTATGGTGAAAACTCTGATGGAGCATGGCGCAATCTTACCTGTCGGTATGCCCAGACTCCATCACGTTTCTGGTGTGAGGATGGAAATATATGACATAGCCTTTACGGGGTATGACCCGGAGTGGAAACTAAAGTTGAATGAGAAGCTGGCCTCTTGGGGATATGAGAGTATCTTCGAGAATAATGAGACAGCTAGGATGGACATGGTAGGACCATGAGCAGCAGCAATGGAGGCGGTGGAATGTCAGGAATATAGGTGATCCTCCAGTAAACCAGACTTCTCGCATTTGGAGCCTCGTCCTATGTCATAGCAATGAAATGATAGTGTGAGGGAAGGGCAGACGGGGCGAGTAAAAGGCGGCTAAACATAGCTACAGAAGGGTTGTCTATCCTGTCCTGTCCTTATAGACCCTAATCTACAAAGAACCCGAAGTCATAAGGGGGCAAAGTGTGTAAGCTACAGCAGGGTAGATATGCTATACGGTGAATCAAGCGCTTCTTCGCTTGTACAGTGGAGCATATGTACTTACTGCTACATGCAAGAACCTTGCCGAACGCGGCGGCACTGACTGCCAAATATGGCGGGAATTCTTCCCTGCGTTTAAGTGACACACCCCCAATAGCGACCCGTTTATTTTAGCTAGGATGTGTCTTTACTCCGTGGCCAAACTAACTAGGCTGGTCGCTCGAAAAACGGACGACCATCTTTCCTTCTCATTTCATTACCTTGTCCAGTGCTCCTCGCTGGATTGCGCGGCTCTCGGCTCATGCGTTCCTGAAAATGTGGTCAGTAAACACTCCAGACATAAAGAAAGCTAGCAGATCGCGTCTTTCACCCGCGGTCGAAGAACCAGCAACGAAAAAGCTTCGGAAAGGCACCCGGAGCTGTACTGAATGTCAGCTACCAACAACGAAACATCTAATTCCTACTTTATCTCTAATAATATACAACAGGTAGAAGGCGTAAAACACGTTGTGTCTGGGTCTCTGAAGATGCTCGCACCTGTCGAAGATGTGAGGAGCAACAGACAGAATGTGTCGCGCAGACCGTCTCATCCAGGCCGCCCGATGTCGTTAGAATAAGCTCTCGGGACCGGATCTCAAATCTTGAGCAACAGGTCGGAGTCCTGACCAACGCACTGCGCAGCATCCAGGAGAAGCTTGGAGATGAGACTATTTCTTCTGTTGAACCTGTACATGCAGACACAGGAGCGACATTGGCCGAATCAGATATTGAATCGGATAGTCCTGACGAGCTTGGAGCAAACGGGCCGGCATATCTTCGCTCACTATTCGACAATAACATCATCAGTACTGAAGAGCACAATGGCGATGCCCAAAAATCCGCCACTTCTTCTGATCTACTTCTCCGCAAAGCACGAGAAGAGCTTCAGCGGTTGATACCTCCGCAAGAGGACGTGGCTGTAATTGCCAAATACGCTGACACCTGGCTTTCGTTATATCACGTTCTATTCCCAACGCGTTTCGTTGCCCATGGCGGCCGCGAATTAGTCTACCGATATAGCGAGATGACCGCCCCGGACATCGAGCCTCGATTGCTCGCTATATGGCTCATTACCATCGCCATTACAGCCCAACAAGTATCACGTGAGGTAGAAGAGCAACTGACAGGCATGAAGAGCCTAAAACAGTATTCCAAAGCTGTTTGCGAATGTGTTTCCACAAGCGTAATGACTCATGATTCACTGTTGGGTACAATGGAAGGTGTGGAAATGGCACTACATTATTTGAGACTGTGAGACTGCCCTATCTTTCAAGCATCATCCAAACTGACGTCCTGTGCTAGCTTAATGGGTCGCGGGAATTTTATGAAGGTGTGGATTAACCTGCGCCGCGTCATAGCAATCTCAGAAATCATCGGGCTTCCACGAGCCGCTCGAACACTTGAGAGAATGAAGAGTGCGCCTACCAACACTAGAGCTGGGGCGAGCATGTCCAAGTCCGATGAAATCAGGCTGACAGAAAAGGCCGAAGTATGGGGAGGTATTTGTATGATCGACCGTATTGCAGGAATGATGTTCAATCTACCATCAGGAACGCATAGATATCAGCTGCCGAGAATGCTTGTTGTGGGTTCTGATGGGCAGGTAATTCGTCGTGGATATTTGAGTAACCTGGCAGGCATTTCGAAGCAAGTGTACGAGCTGGATGACAGTCCCATTCTGGACGGATCGGATGCTGAGCTCTACGCCGAAGTCCTGAGGATTGATCAGGAGCTCATTTCTCTAGCAAGCGTTCCTCCTTCTTCATGGTGGAGCGATGCTACACCAGGCACTCTATCTGACCAGGTGTTGAAATACTGGCATGCATATCTTACAGTACGGGTTCATCTCAAATTCACCCTGCAGAGGGACGCCAATCAACAATTCGACTACAGCCGCTACACATGTATGAACGCATGCAAAATCGCCATTACCCGATATCTAGCGCTTCGACCATCAATGCCGAGTGGGTTCTTCATCGGACGAATTGTGGATCTGCAAGCACTGACGGCTGCTGTGGTGCTTCTCCTCGCGTACCACAACTCACGCCCAAATCGCCGCAGCAATTTTCAAGCTCAGGCGATTGAGTCTCCTGCTCCCTTGATTGCACAACTGATCGAAGTCATGGACTCTCTGTCGTCCCTGAAGGCATCCGACTTCGCCACTCAGGCCGTAGCCACGATTCGCTCATTGAGCACTCTGCTGGAGGATGATAGTGCATCTGAACAACGAGAACTGACTTTAACGGTACCGCTGCTGGGCAAAATTCACGTCCACAAGAACAGGAACCCTGGTGGCGGTTTCATTCCACAGGGTCCAAGTGCCATGATGGGTCTATCACATGCAGCAGCTGGCAACTCGAATGTGCCGCCATCCTTCACACCCGCCGCTTCGGATTTTTCTGGCCAAACATTACCAGTCACTAATGCGTGGGCATGGGATCCCTTGTCGCTATTCATTGAAGACGACGACCGGGAAGCGATGTTTCAGAGCGCACTGAGGACAGAGGATTTTGGACAGATGGACATGCCTATGAATTTTGGTGACCATGATTTCGGTGGCTACATTTGAAAGGAGACACCCTTTTCTGAGAATTCCATACGCTTGTGCCGTTCGCCTGTGCTTCAAATGACCAGGGATCCGCAATTAGTAGGAGAAAAATTAGCTGCTCCGATATCCAGAAAATTCCCCAGTCTCACGCGTTGCAAAGAAGCGATCTAGAAGCCTGTATTCTAAATCTCGTACACAAGATGCCACTGTGTAATTCTCCTGAGAATCTTTGGACAGGAGCGGTCCTTTGGGTGCACGTCTCGTGATCAAGCCAGCAAGACATGGACGATTCTCAAGCGGACTCCTGAGGCACGACCCACCAAGAGAAAGTCATGAGCCACGCAGCACCTCATCTGAGAGTGTCCAAATTTTCACCACGGCCCAGGATGACAATGATTCCGTCAGTAAGAATACGTTCACAACTTGCAGGTTGGCCCATCAATCTAGTGCGACCTGGGAAGGATGCAATTGCAGCTTTCCGCCTACAAGCCCCTCAAGCCGGTCGATCTTCGCAAGCTCAAGTATTGGTAAAGCAACTGCTTCGAAGTGATGAGCCATATGTTCGAACAGCTTCTTAACGGAGAAGTAGTTGATGCCACAGAAGTGACAAGCCTCAGTAAAGTGTTTGGAAGCCCAAAATTGACAAGATACTGCTAGAGACCTAAGTCTTGTCTGCACCCATGCGTCTTGCTCACTTGAGGTCAAGTTGTCCTTCATTTCATCTCTTCTGGTGGCGGACAACCGCGGCTTCGACTTGGGTAACACAAGAGCCGCATGCTCACCGATTAGGTGCTGACTGAAGCTATGCTCACTGTAGCAGACATATTTGCACGTAGGCTGAACGCATCTCCACCCTTTCAAGCGCCTGTGATGTTCATTCTCATGATGTAGCCAGTCAGTTTTGCGACTGAAGGAGCTTGACAAGGGATTGGCTTTATTACAATCGGGGAATGTGCATAGGTAAGGGCGAAGATGATCGAATACGTGCGCGGTCCATTGGTAAGCCTCTTTGATCTCAACGATTTTAAGACATATCTCGCATTCGAATCGTGCAGGAAGCAGAGTGGTAGGCGGAAGAGGGACTCCTGCAGGGAACATGGAAGCCCTGACTGGCTTGCTGGACGTGAACTCGATTGGTGCGCCTTCGATGTATGGTTTGCTTGTCGAACTAGAGCTATGTGGGAGGAATGAATGGGACCAAGTCCTCGATTCTCCGCCGGACTGAATGGGGTGTCCTATGGACTCGAAGTACCCAGCTACTTTGTGGTGACCTTGGAGACGGAGATGGATGCGGCGTATTTCCTGGTACCTGAAATGCTGCACCGTTGCAAGTCGCTCCATCAAATTAGATTTGCACTTGGGATTCAGCGTACGTGCATGTAGTACGAAGTCTCCGAGGGACGGAGGGAACCTGAGTGGCCGAATAGGAAGGACTGCGGTAGAGACGCTCTCGTCACCGCTGTCCTCACCGCTGCTGACACCATCTTCATCATCGAAGACTGTCGCTTTCTGAGCCAAGTCACGATCTTGCTCCACCTCTAGGCTTTTGATGGAGATGTCGTCTTCTTCGTCGTTCTCGTCATCTGGCTTCGTTTCTCGTGGCAGAGTGATCAATGCGATCTCCTCCATATGACGGCTGACGTGACTAATGAACTCTCGCTGTGTTTGAAAGCCGCTGTCGTTACACAGATGGCAAACCTGATCACTCCATCTTTCAACAATAGTAACTCTTGCAGTTGAGAGAACCGTTTGGCTCTTAGCTCCTTCCAGAGTCCGTGGAAATTCGTGCTTCTCATGCAAATGGTCGAGGTAGTTCTGCGAGAGTGTGAAATTCGCGTTACAGGCTTCACAGCGCCAGACTTCACAACCTCGATGTTCTCGAAATTCGTGATCTGCCCAGGTTTTTCGAGAGGTGAATTGAATCCGACTAAATTTGCAACCTGGAAACGTACAGATATAAGGTCGTAAATCAGCGAATACGTGCATTCTAGGTAAGAAGTTAATAAGAAAGTCGAAAGCACAGTTGGAGTTGCTTACTTCCATTCCACTCGATTCCTAATAGCCCACTGTCTCTGTCCGCATAAAGAGCATCGGAATGACCTGCCTTCTTGAACTCGGCTTGGAGTGGCTGGGACGCGAAAGATGCCTCGGGCCGCCGCTGATTTCTGGGAGAGAAATGAAGTATGTGATGCTATTGAGGTGGCATACTTCGATTTCGCTAGTGGAATGGCGCCTAGACCGGAGTCGTGAATTTGAGTCTCAGGTATAAAAGTCGGCTGCTCGGACTCGGAGTTAGTGTGCTTCGACTTTGTAGGTAGCGAAGACCCAATGCCAGAGTCTCGAAACTCGGAGACAGGTAACAATGATGGGTTTGCAGGTCGCACTAAGTCCTTTTCGTCGTCGGACGAACTTGGCTGTTCAAGAGGGCTATTGGCCGCCGGATCACGTTCCACGTCTGCATGGAAACGCTGGTATCTTTCCCAATTTGCTTCGCCGAGCCTGTTCGCCAGGCCCTCTTTGATCATTGGGAATTTGTCCCAAACTTGGACAACATACTGGCGCGCAGCATCAGAAACGGACTCCACTTTGAGCATCGGATGCCTAGCTTCCGAGATGGGAAGTAGGTCAACTCTGCAGCTGGAAATCAATGTAGGTAGCAAGTGCATAAGATTGTTTACATGGCTTTCAAGTCGTTTGAGGGACCGCATATGGTTTTGTTGGAGAGACTCCGGATGGCTTTCGGCAAGGTTCTGAACATCGTCGCTTTCTTCACCTTCATCAGAATCCGAAAAATCGATCTCACTGTCCGAATTTGTCTGATCTTCGAGATAGGAGACAACGAGTGACGTGTCGATCTGTTCTCTGTGCAGAAAACCGTAGGGAAACAAATCTGCCGGATTAGATTTTTGGACAGGGTCAAAGGAAACCACACCATACCAGAGGTAACGACATCGGCAATACCAGCAAGTTCACCGGCCACGATTGATTGCAATTTGGATTCTTTCACAACATGTCGCTCAAGGTACCGAAGATCCAGGCCTTGCGCCCACATATACAGAAGGGATATACTTCGCTCAGCCTTCTCTCGTCCGTAGCTGGTAAGACAGTGAGAACACCCACCCTTACGGAGCGCATCTTTCGACAGGTTCAGTATCTGATGGTAGAATGTCTCAATGGCAGACTTCCCTACTTCGCTGGGCCCGATTTTCTGATCCGAAGAGATGGCAGTCTGCGAAGCAGTGGCTTCACGATTCAGATCAGTCTCAATGACCTCATCTGCGCCGTTCCCGGGAGTTAGAGGATTGAGAATGTGCCTTAAGTCCATCTCTAAATGGTCGTCAACATTTTCGGACCATGTCGAAACCAAAGATCCGTGGTATTATCAAGTTGTTGGTGCAAGCTGGTATTGATCTGTGAAGCGTGATGATTCCGGTGGTTGAAGATGTGATGAGCACAACTGTGGTGCCCAATTTGAAGCGAGGCAGTGCCTGCAGCCTCCTCATTGGAAACCACTTTCAAGTCGCATGCACTGCCTTAATCAAGAATGCCTTGGGCATTTAGTATGCAACCCAGGTTTCTCTGGAACCGCGGGTGTCAATCGCTACCTGCAAGCATTTTTGAGCAGCTTGGCAACCTATAAACTGCGCTCGCTCTTCAAAGAGGCGAGTGGTCTCTTCATGCAAGTGCTTCAATCCTGAATACTGTAAGCCGGGACAATCTCAATATTCACATAGGATTAGATATCAGCGGCAGAGTTCCTGCAACCCACGTGAAGCGCAACCTTTGAACGTATAGGTAACGGCCATCATAGCCTCTTGGTTTTTAGAACAGTGCGTTGCTCACCCCTAGCCCTCTGAGTCTAAATGGCAGAGGTGGCCGGCCTGGTGCTTTCCGCGGTACCCATTCTTGCTGCACTTCAGCAGTATGGAACAGTCCACAAATTGTGCAAACGTTTTCGAAAGTGCAAATCTGGCATTGATGAACTGATCCATTGCCTCTACATGCAGCAAGTCATATTCAGCAATGAGACAAGGCTGCTGCTGACTTCTGTCGTTGGCATGGATCGCGCGACTGCCATGCTTCAAGATTTGAAACACGCCTCATGGTCAGACCCAAAGTTTTCCTCTCAGCTGGACAGCGTCCTAGGTGACTCAAAGCAGGCCATCGTTGCTGCCGCTCAAAGCGCCCATAAGAAGATGAGAGAGTTCGAGGACGATGTTCAAAAGCTGGAAGCTGCAAACTCAGGGGCTAGAACAGGTAGCAAGGAGTGGCGGAAGGCACTGCGCGCACAATTTAAGTTTACCTTCACGGAATCAAATCTAACCCGTTTAGCCTGCTCCATCACGCAAGCTACAACAGACTATCGCGTCCTTCGAGCACAGCTGCAAGAATACCTTGCCTCATCACCAGACATTGATTCCAGTGGGCGATCATCGCTGGAGGTTGAGCGCATACAAGCTACCCAAGATGCAGCAACCCGAGTATATGAAATACTGGTCACGGCGTGCAAATTGCACAGTAAGCATCATGCTCGGTTCAGCCTAACGCCTAACTATGTCTCGTCATCAATGGGCACCGAGATCAAATTTCAAATTGCTTATCGCCATCTGTCGTCGACCCAAGCCCAAACCCAAAGAGACGTACTTTGGTTTGTGGTGGAGTCAATTATTAATAGCACTATCAATACGAGGGCGCTGACTATCGCACCATTACTGACAACCGGCAGCCAGAAGTCGACATCTAAGCGCCCACTGTCCCCGATACTCAAGACTCTCCAGCTTGGAAGTTGCACAGGGGCAAAAGCCAAAAGAGTCCGTATTCGCTCACCCTCACCACCTGCTGTATCCGGACCCTCGATCGCAGTAGGCCCTCTGACACTACCAAATTTACCAGAATTCAGCAAAACGAATAACCTTTGCACTCATCTGCGAGCTTGTACCAACAAGCATCATCCAGTTGGTGTTTGCATCGGGTGGCTAGAAAATTCAACTCAGTGGAAGCATAGGGTGTTCCATAGTCTAGGTCCTTCGACTCCAAAGGCGCTCAACAACGAGGAAGTGGAAACCTTGGCAGGGCTACTTACTTCCCTCACATCAAGTCGAAAAGTCAATAGTAGGCTTACTGTCCTACAACGACTTCGCCTTGCGAAGTTGCTATCAACGGCAATGCTGAACTTCAACGCCACCCCCTGGATGCCACCATTGTGGAGCAGCCAGGATATCGTGGTGTATGATGTGCCTCAGACGGGTGAAAACGATCCGAAAGGCCTTGAAGTCTTTGTGGAAGTTCCGGTGCAGCCAACAGAGAGTCTGAATCCATCAGGAAATTCTACTAATCCCGGCCCCCCAGTGGTCAACCCGGCACAGCCGACAATGTCTATGAGCCAGCCGGCGGCTTTCGATACTCTGGCACCCTGGGTCCGCAACTTAACGCTGTTCGGGCTTGGAGTAATGCTCCTAGAGATCGCATTTGAAGCGCCGCTTCAATCTATGCGAACAGCCTCTGACGTGATCCACGGATACCCAGCAGCAATCGTAGACCTGTTCACGGCGCGCAGACAGAGTGAAGAAGTTGCCACTGGCCTAGGATTGAAATACTCAGAGATTGTGAAGAAGTGCCTCCACTGCGACTTCGGACAAGGTGCGGATTTGAGCAATCCTGGTTTACAGAATGCTATACATCGCGATGTTATCTCTGAGCTTGATCGACTTGAGGCGGGATTTCAGCAGCTGGGTATCCAATGATTCATAGAATTGAAAAAAACCGGAGCTGTAGCAGGAGCCCGAAGCAAATCGCAGTTTTTTTTGGGCACAAGTAGTGTTGCTTTCCCATTATTGCGCCTTGGTACTACATCAAAGGTCCCAAACTGACTCTACGGCCGGATACCCATGGGCTTGCCTTTCAGGTACAGGGGCCGTTCAGTGTAGTCTAAGACGTCACTTGACCAGCCCGTATGACATCGGAGTTGATGAAAAGTAATCATATTCCGTCGCTCGAACAAGTGAAATAATACTCTTTACGAGGGAGGTCCCCTCTGCTATTGTGTCTGGAACAGCTCGACCGACAGAATGAAAAATTCAGGGATTTTCATTCTCAACCCTGAAATTTTATACTGTCGTCAGACAGCACTTTTAAGCAACATGTATTCAGCCAGCTTGAGCTGCTTCACCCAGTTTGCCGGCCTGTGGGCTACCAGACGCAACTTCAGCTCCAGAAGTGAGAGTCTTGTCGTCTGCAAAGAAGATGTATCGGTGGTAAGGGTATTTCATTTCATCCACCCCCTGGCGGCGTAATTCTTTCAAGAAGTCGTAATATGCGGGTAGGAGCTCATCTAGGTCCTTGCTGGTGGTTTCCAACATGTTCTTCAGCCACCGGGTGGCTTCGTCTTCGGGAAAGTAGCTGTCATCAAAGGATTGACCGTTCCGAGGAGTTATGTCCATAAATGTATGTTCTCGACATAAACGCCTTGATAAGATGCATAGGCCTTCATGCTTGTACACCTGCATGCAGTGAGTGCAGAGCCAGCAATCTTGGCATGTAAGACATGTATACACGCAATTTGTGGGTCCAGCGAGACTTCCACAAGCATCGCAATAAACTGTGTTTCTTCTACGACGTCGATACTGCGGTGAGAACCTCAGTTGCCAGGCAACCCGAGCTTCGTCCAATTGTCCATCATATTTGCAACAATAAGCGATATATGGATAATAGGGAAGTGCCCGTCTTAGAGACCCAGAGGAGGCCCACTTTAGCAATTTTCTGAGCGTATGCAATCGTCGTATCCGAGCGAATTGCGGCGGAAGCAGATAAGTAGGGGTTTGTGGTAGTCTCAAGCTCGACAAGATCTCTGGACACTTTCCTGCATAGTCGACGCATGTTTGCCCATAATTATCGACGAATCTTGCATCGACCTCTTGTTGCAGGAGTGCATTCAGGAGTCGCTCTTTGTTCTCCGAGAGTGCTAAATGGAGCATAGTTTCCCCCTTTGTGTTGCTGTTATTCGGCCACGCCCCAGCTTGCAAGAGACAGATCAGGAGGTCATCTGAATACCAACCTGGCTCAAAATTATAAGAATACCAGTGCGGGTCGTCGGGATCGGCGCCAATTGATAAGAGCCAACGAGCGATTGGCATCAGGTCGCCGGATACAGGGACAAGGGGAAAGCCTTTCGTCAATCCCGCTCTCACTAGGTTGGAGAGATCTTCGGTGCTCAGCTCTTTGACTTCCGCAGAGGTCCCTATAACTTCCAATATGCCTTCGTCCCTCGAATCAATAGCAGTTTGAAAGGGCCATGATGGACCATAGTCTGTCTTCAAGAGCTTCAGCCTTGCACCAGCCATGACAAGCAATCGAACCGTCTCGATGTGGCCATTGAGGATCGCTAATTCCAGGGGAGTTCCCTTATCTAGGTTGTCTAAATTGATATCTGCCCCGTGGTCGAGAAGCATTCGTACCATTTGTCCGTTTCCGATGATGGCGGCTAATTGAAGGGGGGTGCCCTCCTTCTCACCGTCGCAATTCACATACTCTTTCTTCTGCACCAGGATTTCACTTACCCTAGTCAGCCCTGTTCTGATAGAGTAGTATAGGGGACTCGAGAGTTTAACGCCCATGGTGCCATACGCCTTCAGATCGTGTCGATCTTCATACAGGATTCCGGAAAGGGAATACCATTCTCGAAATGCCGCATCTTGCGTCGTAAAGAGGTCCAACGCCATTTTGAGCAGTCTCTCAGTCTGGAACTCGGAGGGTACTTCGAGAGCATGCTTGTACCACATTCTCGGAGCATATGATAACAACCCATCCCGTGACACTTCTGCTGAGTTTTTCGATGTTCTTGATAGTGGAAGCACGGATATGGTATATATCAAGCAGCTTTCCGCAATCAAGTTGTGTGCTCGGTATGGTTCAAAGTAGCATGCATAGCGGCACCTGCCCGACAGGAGATATTCTTGAACGGAGAAGTGTGCTACGCTCACAATTCCTTGAAACTTTGTGGTTTTACAAGACTGAGGGAGGTGGCAATCCTCCGCCCACGAAACAAGGCTCGAACCAATCCTGAGCAGATCGAATGGGTCACCCAGTCGAGCTTCGAGTGAAAAGCACTCACTGCCTTCACAGTCTGTAGCCAGGGCATCAACCAACTGGTAGAACGTCAGTTTTTCTTTGGCGAAGCAAAGCCATTGAAGGAGCCTGAGGGCCATGTCCAGATAGCCATCTACTTCGATTTGCAACAGGATTCGTTCATATGTTTCGTCTAGAGTCTTCGGAAGTGTCGCTAGTTTCTTTCTCACCTCCATAGGCGTGAGGCATTTCCCGAGCACGTCCAGCTGACAGGCGACCCATCTGAACCTACAAATCATGCATCAAACTCTGTTCAGACAACATCTTGGGCGTGCACTTACATCCCATGGGCTTTTTGCGCCAATTCTTCTCTGATCTCCCTACCAATAGGTTTAGAGTGCCATTTCCTGAGTTTTCGATGACTTTTGAGATGCTCATCGATAAGTAAGAGGATGTCATGATCAACAACTGATGCTTCCATGTGGATCTCTTGCGTGACTGAGGATGCCAAAGCCTCTTCCAGATCTCTGAGCTTGCGACTGGTGGCAAAAATGTGTAATTGATCGCGGTGGCGTTCCTGGAGGGTGGAGATGAGATCATTAACTTCATCGTGTTCAAGGCTTTCATCTAGGGCGTCTAAAATGATGTAGGTATGGTCAGTATAGTCAATCAGAGTATCAAAAGTTTGCACCAAAGCCGAATCCGGTGGTTGTGCTTGACCATCCTGATACTTCGCATAAAGGCTTTTCAATAAATGCCTTCCATCGGCAACTTTGAGGACAAGCTGGAAAAGGAGCGATCGCAAGCATTTCATTGCACTCTGTTTGCTGCTTTCGCTGAAATCGAAGTAGAAGTACACAACTGTCGATTTCAAGGAAGACATGTTATGGCTGGTGACATTTTCGATGACAGTTGCGCTTGCCTACTCTTAGCACGAAGAAGGCCATTTGATCACATACTTGACTATACCTCAGAATAGTTTTACCACATCCAGCTATGGGCGTGAGAATCTGGGATGTCGAAGTGGATTAACAGACTTACGGATACCATGGAGCCACATAAATGATCCTTCTTGATCTCTCCAGGTGATAAAGCGGTCGTCAGCTAAAAGCCATTGTCCAGTATTTTCCTGTCTAGATTTGAGGGCTGCATTGTAGTTTGTCGACGGATCTGGGCATTGTAACCATTCTTTGAATTTAGTGGCCCAGATAGCTATGGTACTCCGCCACATGTGAGCCATTAGTCTGTTGCTTCTCAATCAGAAATCTTTTCAGGACTAACAATCGGACTGCCCTTCTAGCGCCAGAGCAGCAACTCCCTCGCGGATGACAGAGACCTGCCGGTGTGTGTCCTGGGAAAGCTTGCTTGGCTACCTTAGTCCCCAGTCTGAGATGAGATAAACGGAAACGCACAAATGATCTTGCTGCAGTGCTATGCTTATCGACGACTTCAGATGTTCAATCTTGGTGAGTGCTTGTTGGACTTCCCCGGAAGTAATGCTCCACACCAAGTCTTTCACACGGTCACCAGGTCTAATTTTGGGCACGAGAGTCTCAAGGACCGATCGGAGCTGATCGAGAACTCCATCTTTTGAAGCGAGCAATTTTGCCTCATTGAACCATGGATCATTTTTCTCGCAATGGTCAACCCGACTTTGAAGTTGATGAAGAAGGCTGTAGATTGTGCTGGCTTCCCGGGCAACCTGCGTTTTTTCTCGGGATGCCTTACGCACACTGTTCGCGTATTGCATCAGCTTGCATGATATATCGAGGATACTAACAATACTGGCAGTCACGCTGAGAGGGTCCATTTTGTGCGGGATATTCGCTAGTGTAAGACAGAGGCTCTGAAGCAAAGAGTCTGACCTAGAACGAGACTCAAATCATGCAAGGCATGCTTAGTTGTACCAGAAACTCGCTATCCTTCACCCTTCCCAGAGTAGGTGCGGGGTGATCTTCTGCAAGGAGGGAAGCTGCATGAGCATTTGGCTGCGCTAAGCCTGCAAGGGGCTTTTGATAGGTCGACGAGTTTGACGGGTATGAGGATCGCCTGGCGAATTGGCACGGCACATCTAGTTTGATTGAAAATTGGTGTCGAGTGACATGTACACTGGATGATCACAAAGAAAGCATACAGTAACGGTATACGTCCGAGGTATCGGGACATGATTACCTACATTAGTTCGTAGGGCCCCATCGATTGTTGTAGAAAGTATTCACTTGACAACTTGTTTCCTATATAGGTTGTTAGCCTCAACAGCAGCGGAATAGACCTGATCGGCAAGAGCGAGCATCTAGTCAACTCCAATGTTGCTAGAGATTTGGAGTGAAGCGAGGAAGAAATCCAACACTGACTTCATGCACTCGATAAGTGGACAAGCAACGGAATTTATATTGCTGTCTTTGCTCTCTAAGGCTGGAATTTACCCTCGGCTCGAGACGATCAGAAGGTCATCTGCATTTGGAGCCTTGCCACAGTCGAAGGGCTGCATGCAGCATTCGGTAGTGGCTCGCTTTGGTTATTCTTGCGCATTGTCGAGCAGCATCTGAGCATCGACCTTGAGCTGTGCCATTGCGGCTGAGTTTTGTGGAATTGTTGCCGAGATTGCTTCGGAATTTCGTCCGCCTTGCGGCCACACTGAATGCACCACAAACCATGATCGGCCTTTTCTTTATGGTTGCCTGCATGCTTCGATACGCTGACCTATCGTGCATGATAATGTAGATGATGACCATTATTCGATTGCAGGATTAGTGACAACGCCAGTGGAATTGGTATAGCAGATCAATGCGTCGTTCACCGACCAAATCCTGGTGGTCCATATCCTCTTCCTTGACCCGGCGGGCCACCTTGGAAACCAGGGGGTGGTTGAAACCCAGCAGGTGGTCCTCCAAAACCGGGAGGCGGGCCACCAAAGCCAGGCGGAGGTCCTCCCGCTGGAGGTCCGCCAGCACCTCTTCCTGGAAATCCTGGCGGTGGTGCCCCTACAGGAAATCCGCCTCCAGGTGGGAACCCAAATCCTCCTGGTGGGGGTGGTCCGCCCACACCTGCTGCTGGACCTCCCAGACCGACTGGCAGTCCACGCCCTGCTGGTCTCGAGATACCTGTCCCTGCCTGTAAAGCTGCTGTTGCGCCTCCTGGTGCGGATTGACCGAGACGAGATGCGGGATCTGATGGTGGTGGTCCCTCAACACTACTGGACACAATATTCGTTCCTCGTATGATGACCAAGCCTAATGTTCGCTTCTCTTCTGTCTCGACTGTGGCTGCAGCAGCTGAGCCGGGTGCAGCTGGTGCAGAGGATTTGTTTTGCTTGCGCTTGACTTTGCGGAACTCTTCGGTGTCGGCAAGAACGAGGTTCATGTGCTAAAATGAATGTTAGTCCTGCTCTAAAGCTAGTTTATGCTTCCAAGACCAACCTTGTCAAATGCCATCATCTGTCCGGTCATCTGTCTGCCATCATTCAGCGTTACTCGCATTCGGTAGTTGATCTAGACATTGTCAATTAGTCTCATGTACATATGGGTCGACCGTGTTCGTCGCATACCAGGTTTTGCTGCAAAAGAGTTAGCAAAAGTCACATCACAGAAGAAACAAGATTCCCAGAACATCTCCATACCATTTTCCCCTGTCTGTTGGCCATCTTGCCTCCACGTTGCGCACGAATGCGACTTTACTCAACTCGCGTGTTGGTTTTCTTGTGTTCAAAAATAAATGTAAACTCGTGGTGTTGGCCGCAGTCCAAACCTCGAGAGTCAGACGATGACTGGAGCAGTCCTTACACGAAGGTAAGGATGACGCAGGCCCGAGCTGACTAGATTGAAGAATGGTAAGTTGGGAATGAAGTCTTCTATATTGGATGTCTCCAGGCGGTTGACTTGCCCGCAGCCCACCTGGAAAAAGCTAAGTGTCCCAATGCGGACTAGTCTGCCTGTAGTTCTTGGCGTTGCGCCAAGACTCAATCCCACATTTCGGAAATTCTTCGTAGGCCTCGTCCACCACACCACATTCAATCCCTTTCGGCTCCCTACACACCTCGTGCTTGGAATTAATTCATCTCTGTCGCAATCGTTAACACCACCATCTACATATCTCAAGATGGCGGAAGGCAACGACAAGAGCTCTAATGCCATGCGCGAGCTGCGTATCGACAAACTCGTCCTGAACATCTCAGTCGGTGAATCTGGTGATCGTCTCACTCGTGCCGCCAAAGTGTTGGAACAGCTGTCCGGTCAAACTCCCGTCTACAGTACGATATCTCACCACCAAGATCTTCCTCCTATCTCCATTTCCTTGCTAACAGACCTCCCTCCCCACAGGCAAGGCTCGCTACACCGTTCGATCCTTCGGTATCCGACGTAACGAAAAGATCGCTGTGCACGTCACAGTCCGCGGACCCAAGGCCGAGGAAATTCTCGAGCGTGGCCTCAAGGTCAAGGAATACGAACTGCGCAAGAAGAACTTCAGCGAGACTGGCAACTTCGGCTTCGGCATCTCAGAACACATCGATTTGGGCATCAAGTACGACCCAGCCATCGGTATCTACGGCATGGACTTTTATGTATGCATGAGCAGACCCGGTGCCAGAATTGCACGCAGACGGAGAGCCAAGGCCAGTGTTGGTCGATCCCACAAGGTTGGCCGTGACGATACCGTCAAGTGGTTCAAGACAAGATTCGAGGGTATTGTCCGATAAGCGGTTGCTTTTTTTCTCCATCACACATTCGGGGCGAGGTGGTCGGGATTTTGTGGGAAACCTCAGTCGACATGATGACGCATTTCAGCAAACAATACACCGCAGCGAGCTGGCCATGAATGGAAGTCACTGCTGTTGTGAAAACCCAAAATAGTCAATAAGCGGCACTGGTCACCATATTCGGGTGCACCTTTCAAGCACCGCACCAAGCATCAAGTCTTACCTCTCATCAAGGTCTTGAGCTGGGAGATACCATATGTATCATGGATTTTGATGCGAAATAGCATCAGATCCAAAATAAATCACAAAACAGATGAAAGCCATTGACATTCCCCGCATGAATTGCCCTCGATTGCTCCTTCGGTGCTCTGCCATGACTTCACGTACTCGTAGAATCATCAGACAACCAATCGCTCCCAGCTTTTCTTCTACTCCCGGTTTTCTACTTGTTAGTCAGACAATCAAGCATACGAGGCAAGACACAAAGGTCGATACATATTGATGATTTAGGATCCACCGTTAGCCTTCCACACAAATAAGCTGTGCGTACCATTACCCTCTGGCATGGAAAATCAGAAAGCCCCACTTGTTAACAGGGCCAATGTTAGCATTGGGCTACCGACCTAGGTAGCTTTTCAGAAGTGGTCTAGTTCGTGTCCTATTGACTATTGCTACTTGTACGCAAGTCGATCTTCGACCTGCAAATCGGGCAAGATGGTACACTTGACTCTCTCGCTTCGCGGCATCAGACCTGTTTTACAGAGCGAGTAAAGAGGTGTAACACTTACCCTGAGCTCACGTGTGACTCACCGTAGCCTCGCCTCTTTCATAGGAGCTCACCCTCCATTCATCTTCACTCACGCTGTGTTCCTGTACACGACGCTGCCAGATTGACGCTGTACTTGCGTCCCCATACTCGCCAACGAGGGCTGAGAGTTGAAACACTCGAGCGCTCCCAATGTCCGGACAACGCCACCGGTCTGCGCCTGTCGTGTGGCCAATGTCTCGACGACCCAAGCCGTCTTTATCTGGCGTCCTCATTAGCAACGGACCCGGCTGCGTCTCTGCTGCTGCCTATTCCACTTCGACACCGGCCCTGGGCTCCTACTTCACGCTCACGGTCGCGCCGTGTGGTGCGAGTTCAGCCTCTAAAAATCTGTTAGGAAGTCCTTGAACGCTACTGTCCTCGAGATATAAATCGCCTCCAAAAATGGACGGTAGTAGCAATTCGCCTCAAGAGGGAATATGCATCTGGTCCGGGGCATCGATAGCGGACGTCTCGACGTTGTTTCGAAAGAACGCACCATTGGTGTTGTCCGACGGCGGATCCTCGAACAGGTCTTTCGAATCCAGCCCTGCGAAAGGGTCATCGAGATCATAAAGCTCGGCAATTCGGTCCGAATAGGACTTACGAACAGCGGACAGCCTCTTCCGGTCAGCCACGTCAGAGCTTCGCAGCATAATCTGCTGTAGTAGGGCGCAAGCTTCGGCATGATTTTCTATTGCATTGTCGCTATTTAATGCATTGTCCAGGAGGACGGCTGTCTTAGCTTTAGCCAGGGCTATGGACAGCATTGCTTTCATTTTGGGACGGTGGCGGCGTAATGGCGTTTTCTCTTTAGCGTCTCCATCGTCGAAAACAAGAAGTAAGTTCTCCTTCGGCATATCGCTGGGTGAGCATTTGTCGTTGCCTGGCGGATGCATCTATAGCATAGTGCAGGGCTAGAGCGAGGCTAGGTCCTTCATTTCTCCCGTTTGGCATGATAAGCTGACCCTGTTGGTCTTGAGCGTTGATGGCGTTGTCGGCTGGGAGGTGTGAGCTCCATCATGCTTAAGCCCCTGGGCCCCTCTGCCGGCGCTTGATCCGCTTCTCTCGTGTCAAGCCAGTTCCCCGAGGTTATGTTGGCGACACTAATCGGACCATTGGGAACCGAGGCTAGCTAGATCTTCATCCTGCTGCCTTATGGAACTATCGTCTTGGGACTGTTTAGAGCCATGTATACCTAGATTGACCGAGGTGACAGGCGAAACAGGCAGATTTGCGGTCTCGGCATCACTCTCATCTGAGTCTGGGTCAGGAATGATACTTTGATTGTCGAGATCACTTCCATGAGGGCCATGGCCGTCGCCGTCGCCCATGGAATGCCCAGTGGTTTCCCATGCATCTTCTTCTTGAGGCGTCTTCCAGAGAACGTGATGAAATTTGACACGATTTCTCAGCTGCGTCGTCACCAGATGGCGTAGAGTTACAGCTGAAGAATAAATACCGCGCCGTGGGATCGTGATCGGAACGTGCGTAATGGTCTCGTTAAAGGCCGAGGAAGACGACGTTGATAAGTGGTGCTGAGTTCGGCTGGTCCAGAGCCATTGCCAGGACCGCTCTCTGGACATGTGGAACCCTGATCGTGCAGCAAGGCCTGCGCACACGATCAACAGGCCAAAGACCGCCGTGGCAGTGGAAACCCCACGAAGAGCACCAGGTGAAATACCTCCATCGAGGGAGGAATATTTCAGGAACTCAAAGCCTCGTTTTTGCAGAGGTGGCGGAGGAAGTGGCGTTGCTAACGCTTTGGTACAGTCTGAGGTCAATAGCCTGGCAGAGGTCTCCTATGATGAACGATTAGAATTACGTGTCAACCCATAGAGAACAACTGACATTCTGGGATGAGCAGTGCTCCCAAAAGTCTTTGGTGGCAGCCCATTGGGCCAAAGCGAGGCTCTTCTCAGAGGCTCTAGTCGACTGCAGCATATATGGCAGCCCCAGAAGGGCAATGGCTAAGCCGACAATGGTCATGTAGAGCACCCATATCTCAATGCTAGAACACGCGCGCTTGAAGTCTGTATATGATTTCGAGAAATTGCGAGTCGTACGAGCAAGCAGCGTCGACTGCACAGCATTCGGGGTGGCTGCAGGTATAGGAGCAGTCGTCGTCAGAGCAGTCGTTACAGCAGTTGTCGTTACAGTAGCGGCCGATGGTAAGGCTGCGGCTTGGGGAACTGGGGGTATCCTTCCAAAGCTGATTGCAGGCGTTGCTGATGTTGTTGCTGCTGCCATCCACTGTCTGAATCACGGCGCCGGGCCTGAGCGCGGCGCTGCAAAGACTTGTCGGCTTTGAGATAGATACTTGGGTAAGATTGGGACGTCGGGCGAAATCAGAGTGCGAAGATGCATGGCGGGTCAAGTGCCCTGCACTATTAGAACCCCGCAAGTGGCTTACAGGTCGAAGTCGGCCTGATGCGCCTGGCGGCGGTGCAGGAAGCCCAAAGCATTTAGTTAGTGTTCGAAGCGTAACTCCTAATACGAAGTATGCACTTTGCTCAGCCTAATGATAAGCAGGATGGGCCCTGGTTGCATGGGCACACACGTCCAGCAGCGCGCCGAGTGGGCCACCGCATTGCACTGACCTCGTCCCAGCCTTACGGTAATGCTCAGTCAAATCTTGGTAGTACAACACACCGCGATCCCAGGCGATGCGCCAAGAAGGATGGAGGCAAATATTCAAACAGCGACAATTCTGTGTGAGGGCCGGTAGGGTGCATTGTAGCGTCGCTAAGCTTCCAAGGCTGTACAAGAGCAAGGCTCTGCGTGCAGTCTGGGATTTGGACACATCCTCCGCACCGTCAGCCAAAAATCGAGGTTTCGAAATCTTACCCTAGTCTCAGGTATGAGAAAGAAAATCATGACAAAGGCCAATCCCAGGCACTAATGAATAAATCATAGTTCAAGTTATATGTGATATATATAGTTTTAGGTAAACATGTCGATTCCCGATTTGGACCTGATTGCGATATTCACCATCCTTCCCAACGCCTCGCTGTGGTTGTTCTCGTTTTGAGAGAAATAATATAATTAAAGGGAAAACCATCCATCGTACATCGTCATTGTTCAAGTTATTGTTTCGTCATGCTCGTCTTTTCTGCCATGTTGTGCGAGTGGTTTTTGTTGCTGTACAGAAGTGTGCCAGTATTTTCATCCTTTGTCTAGCCATCACCTGACGCCGATTCCAGTCGAGATGACGTTGCTCATAGAAACAGAAATAGGACGAATATCTACATCGTCCCTACCCAGCCGAAGTATGCCCAGTCTGATTCCCAGCACCAGCAACGGGACTAACAGGCGTATTTGGCGTCGTGGCGTCTGAAACACTGATCGTTGGCAGATTGAGCTGCGGGAGCTGTGGCGCACCACTACTGGGAGCACGATTCAGCGTCCCAGCTTGAGCAAGTCGGCTGGCATTACTGGCTGCACGACGCGCCACAGCGACCTCGTAGGAGGGCGCATCACCCCAGTCGAGGTAGTCGTAGTCAGGGGGACGGTTCGCTTCATCGAGATCCGCGTGAGGGATCCGCGACTCGCCAATGTCTTCGGACCCAGTGCTTTCGTCGGGCGTGAATCTGTTGGCGGTGGGAGAGGAGTTGCTGGTCCCGCTATCCGGGCCGTTGGTATTGTTGCTTTGTGCGGTTTCCGGCCGGGAGCGGTCGCCGGGCTGTGTCGAGACTGGTGTTATTGCTCGTGCGGTGGGTTGGTCTTGGTCTGAGCCCATGCTCGAGATGCTCATATCGCTGATGGAGGCGTCGCGAGTGTGAGTGCGAGAAACATTGGTGAAGGAGGTGGCGTCGGAGAGAAGGCGTGGGCGACCTCCTGTGCTGGATTCTTCGCCCATCGGTGCAGCGCCGCTGAGGAGTCCGCCGCGTTCGGAATCGTTGCTGTTCGCTCGTAGTCTGGTTCCGTCGTGTCGTACTTCGCCTAGAGAGCCGTAGGCAACGCTTGAGACTCTTCGCTCTCGTCCTCGGGATTGATGTTCGGCGATGAGGGTGGCGGCTGAAACGCTGACACCGCCGTTCAGGGAAGTGGCACTTTCAGTGGCTCGTTGGCGGGATTCTCTTCGAAGTTCTTCTAATCTGGCATTGTCGCCCCGGTCACGAGCTTCTCTTCGTTCTCGTCTTCTTTCTTCTCGTTCTGCAATCTCCCGCCGCCGAGCAAGTCGGATCTGATAGAGAGATTCCATTTGGTCTTCTCGACGAGCCTCTTCTGCCTCCTGGGTTTCCGGGAACTCAATCACCGTGTCCATACCGCCTCTTTCACCTTCCCGGCCAATAACCTGCTCCGAGTCTTTGGGGGCTCGAGAATAGGCGGGTAAGGTCATGGTGCTTCGTACACTGGCATTTCGGTCTATGGCGGCTCCGCTCGTCCCTCCACCACCGTTATAAGCGGTGCTCGACGATAAATCTCGATTGTGGACCTGCGAGTATTTGCCTCCTGGTGACCAGTTTTGCCATTTTGATTTTAGGAATTGTGTTGGTATGTATTTCGGGCTTTTGCCCTGGTTTTTCCATCGTCGGAGGAAGGAGTACAACACTACGGAGCCTGTGATGACCACGATGACCACGGATATAATCTGCAAATGTTAGTGATACGTCGTTGGCTCTTAGTGGGTAGACTGTACTGCAATGGTCACAGCACTGCCGCTGAAACCGCTATTATCTTGCTGTTGCCGCCTCTGTAGTTGCGAAGCATGAAGTGTCCGCTTGCCGCGTTGAATGATGGCTGGAGTGACTGCCATGGCTGGTCTCCGATTGAGTGAGTGCCTTACTACTGGCACATTTGTGGGAACCGTTGTTAGGAATAATCGCTTTGGTTGGGTGAAGAGAATGCTGCCAAACACGAAACGACGGCTTCGTGAGGTGTCAGGCTTTCGAGTCTCGAGATATTTGGTGGTTATAAGACGAGGTGGTGATACAAAGTCTTTGTGGGTTCCTGAGACCACTATGTACAAGGAATTGTAAGATGGCTGGTGAGATAGATTAGTTGAGTAGGATTGACTCCGTTTGGATAGCCAGGATCCAATGCCTGGAGGGTGGCCTAGGCTGAGATTTCGATCTTAAGGATATGATGAGGTCGGAGTCTTTGGGATAGCTGCGCACGTCAGCCCCAGAGCGTACCCACTTGGATTCTGGGCACTCAATGGGGACAGCCGCCAACGCGAATTGGAGCAAGGCACGGGCTGAAAACCTGCTGAGACACGAGCCAGGGTCTTTTTGCCTAGGTGCTTTCTAGGCCCTGGCTGATAGAGTCATCAACATTCTTTTCCACTCTGATTGCACTTGTTTAGCTGGGCACGTAGTGCTGATAATGGCACAGTATATCAATTATATCAAGTCGAACGCTTTGTCGCTATGATTATGTCGATATCGAGGTATTAGGGGCACCAGGAACCAGTCTTGGGGGAACACGCGTATCCCAGGGCCTCGAGAACACCACATGGCAAAGTGGCAGATAAACAAACGTGTCTGTGCTCAATAATGATGATGATATCATCTCGCACATTGAGTCCAAAAAGGACCTCGTTTGCGACCGCCGATATTAGTCGGTACGGATATCGAGCTTCTGTAACGATTCCTTTATTTCATGTTCTGCCTGGTGTTTGTGTCCCCGGGTTTCTGAATGGTCGTTTGAACGGCAGATGCGGCAGTTCAGGGACTAAACTTTTGGCGGTCGGCGGCAAGGCTTACGCCAGCTGTTGATCTAGCCAGACCGTGCCACACACAGTACGTTTGATTGAGGCGCCCATCCGTGCATGCGCGAGCCAATCTTTTTTTAGATTCTATCAGCACCAAAAGAACTTGTGCCATTTTATCCGTCTGTATATATGTATGTGTCTCGTATGTGCATCACTTCCACGTGCGGTGTGTTCATGGAGAGGTTGTGGGCAGCTCTTACGTATTAAGAAATCCAAGACAGTTTCAAGGCAGACATAATTGAATATGCAAGTGTTAGTCCATGGAGGAATTGTTCAACGGGTTTAAGCTGGGAACTTGGGAGCTACGGCCTCCAGGCGGCTTTGAGGTATAGTATGGGCGAGAGAAGCCTGAGAAGAGTACGAGGTGCCTGCCAAGACACTTCGGATAACCTTGTGTACCGGCCTTTGCTCAATTTCAACACAAGAGCTTGAACGACGACCTTTATCAATACTTCACCTCTACTGAAATTGTATATCAAATGAACAACTTAAGCTTCTTCTTGCCTGTGTTTGGTTTTGTTGTACTCGGGGAGATGGATTGGGCAAGAAACCACGCCCTCTCCAATATTTAACCTTCCATGCGACTGTAACTCTCCCAATCGTGAGCTACACTGGTGCGCCTGTATCTGCTCATCCAGCTGCCGAGGGGAGACCAGCGTCGAGTGCAGCACTAACCTTAGCCATACGCCATGAGCCATATGTTTCTTCAAATGTCTCATCTTAACCAGTACAGATCTTGTACGACAGTCTTGCGCACTCCCATGCTTGACTTTCCAGGTCAGGTGCGACGTGAAAATAGGCAATGGCGAGCATCAACCAACATTCGATGCAGACTCCCACACCCAACCCCCATTGACGGACCACCAACGGCTCAGGTGGATTCGCAATCCGCGGCATATTTCCTCCTTCGATGAAAAACCCGAGAGATGATAAAACTTTCAGTGACCAATTGATGGTCTCGTATGCATCCGTCTTCCGCATGTAGAGCCTTGCAAGGATCAGAGCGACGTCGTAGACACTGAGACGTGGTACTTCGGAAGCCGGTCGACTGTGTGTGTCTTCAAGTGCCCGAAAGAGAGACTCCATCTTGGCCACATTCATTTCCTCGAAATCTTTGGCGCATTCTTGACAATCAGCTCTCAGACTTTTTCTCTTGGACAAGACGCTCTCCTTTGTGACTTGATGGTCCTTGCACATCTCGCAGTCACAATTGAATCCCCAGCCATCCAGCGTAGTCTGGAGTTCAGTGTGGTTATCGGCACTGGGTATTGCATACCAGGTCGTGAGTTCGGTGTCAGCTGGGAGATCCTTTGTGGCGCTGACAATCATCATATCCCCAATGATGGCGCGGCCGACGTTTCTTATGCAACAGTGGTTCATATACGACGCCATGTGCCAAAGGCCACAGCCCTGCGACATCATCTCATCTGGCTTTTTCACTAGATCCATCCCGTCAAGAGGATTTGTCATGTATGATTCTCGATCAGAGAGAGGGCAGTCGAAGCCATTCAGGTTTATGATTCGCTTGACAAGAAAACTAGCATATCGTGTCAGAGCTTGCGCTTGAGGAGAAGAGAACAGATTACTCACGTATCAATGATCGGTGTACCATCAACCTCCGCAACATCAACGGGCTTGTATGAGCCGTGATGAAGATCAGTGATGGCTGGGATTAAAGAGGGATTCCGATAGAGCTTCTGAACGACGACTGTGGTGAGCTTCTCCTCTGTTGCGATCCCATAACCTGGTGATAGGATCGATATAGCCACGTCAACCTGTGTCTTGGGTGCATACGCAAACGCCTTTTCACATAGAAGAAGCTCGCCGGTCTTGACTGGCTTGGTGGTGAAAAGACCGCGCCCTCGGAAACCGGCGGCCTTGACACAAATGGGACCGATAAAGGTGGCTTGATCCAGGAGTCGTGGGCCATCTATGGACACCTTCTTGTATAATTGACTGAAAGAGTACCGGCCGTACTTCTGCTCAGCAAGTCGATTAATAGCTCGGGTCAGTTCAGCTCGTGCCTCACCATTTTTTGGGTACTCTAGACAGAGAGTTTTGAGAGTCTCGCAGCAGTCTCGGTATCGCTCGAGGCCATATAAAGCCGATGCGTTGCGAAAAAGAGCCTTTTCGTTTGGCTTCTGAATCTTTGATGCAGAATCCAGATCGGACAGCGCACCATCGAAGTGTTTCGACTTGATGAAAGCAAGAGCACGATTCAGTCGAAGTATCTGAGCCTCTTCTGCTGTCGGGCAACCTTCAAGGGCTTTCGTGTAGCTGTGGCTATTGTCAATTTCAATACATCAGACAAGGGCTGAAGACTTACCATTCAATGGCAGAGAAATACCTGGCTTTGCCAAAGTGGAAGTTGCCCTGAGCTTTCCACATGGATACCGGAATGAGATCTGGCACGATATATTTCTGCCAGAAATTGGGGATCCTCTCATCCCATTCTGGAAGAAATATGACGTCTGAGGCATGCTCAACACGAATAGCAAGTCTCTCCTCGTCCGAGTCGTCGATGATCTTGACAATGTATGGCTCTTTGACGATCAGAACCTTTCCGATACCCAGAAAATCTTCTCCGGCGCGCTCATCTTCCTCTGCTTGGTGGTGCAAGGACATCTCAATCAAGTTCTTGTTTTCATCTTCAACAACGGCCACCAAACCAGCATCAGTTCGGCGAGGCGAGGCGAGTGATCTCGACAGAAGATAGCTTCCTCTATGGTGATTTTTAAGGCCCAGATCACCGACCATGATTTTCCTCAGGTCACGTAAGGCGCTGGCACACGGAGTATGAGGTGAGACATGCTCGGGAAGCACGTTCGTCGGCGGTGGTGGCAACGGCGTTGTCGACATGGCTGGTAGTTTACGTCCTGTTAAGCAAAATTGCAGGTTACCACGGGCTCCGGGTCTTGAGAACCACTGGTGGAGATGGCCTGCGATAAATCTCGCTGGCTCAACACAAATGGGACGTGCAGGAGATGGTGATGTGACTCTGATCGTGTCAGGTAGTCAAGGAGGAGTCTCAATCGCTTGAAAATATGCAGGTGTAAGCGAGATAGATGAGTTTGAATGTCGAAGCAGTGACGTGTGAGTGAGAGAAGATATCAACGACCAGACAGTGCAAAAGGTGCTCAAGTGGGGTGAAAGAAAGCTCGGCGAGATATGCTGCTTCCCTTTATCTTCACTAGATAGATCAGTTTGAGGCAGTAAACATCAGCTTCAAGCATGAGCATGTTGAAGTGAAGATGAATTGGCCTTATCCACCAGCCGACTAAATATCTTGAAGCACACTACTGCACGCACCCGTAGCAAACATTCCAGAGCCAAACTTCATTATTGCCTAAAGACTACCTCATCTCCAGCACAATATTAATGCGCAGAGTACGTTGAAAAAGAGGCTTCCAGTGACCTGTGGAATTATAATAAACGATAATGGCTGTCTGCACACAAAGATAGCCTTGCTCAATACTGATGTCACCATGTGTTCCTGAAACCCAAGAGCAATACCAAGCCCAAATCCGCTATCCATGTAACATATGAAATCACAATTATCCAATGCTCTTAGTTCGTCGACAGTGGAATGTCTGTCGTCTTCCAGGAGTTGCAGCTCACCACGTCAATCGTGCTCGAAACTCAAATCTACGTTTAACGCCTTTGATCTTGCTGAGGGGTACTGGATCCGTATGTTCTTGCTGTTGTTGAGGCTGTTGGGTCTGACAAAATTGATGCAGATCAGCCTGCATTATGCCGACTAAGGGGTGAGCATCTGTCAACCTCATTCGCGCCCTCTGAACCGCGGTTTGGCACTCTTCGATAGCCTGATCAACCTCGCCCCGTCGTTGGTGGAGGATTGCCAATTTCCATTTCGCGTAAAAGCTGTCTGGATGTTCTCGCCCTCGGGTCTCCTCCAGTCGCTTGACCGTGTGTGATAGAAGGCTGAAAGCCTCATCCAAACGACCTTGTCTGGAATAAACGCGCGCGAGTTCGCCTTTTCCCATAAGGATCCCCAGATGGTCTTCGGGCAGACTTCTATTAGCAGCATCAATGCCACCAAGCAACAAATGCTCCGCCTGCTCAAGCTGCCCATTTTTGACCATAATCTTCGCGAGGTAGCACAGCGCCCACAAAGTCCAGGGGTGTTCTTTTCCAAGTTTCGTCGTTCTTTGGTTGTAGACTTCGTGCATTAGGTTCTCAGCCTCGTCGAATCTCTTCAAGTCCATGAGCGCCATGGCTAGATTGTTCTTCGATTCAAGTGTTTCCAAATGTTCTGGTTCGAGCTTTTTCTGTCGCATGTCCAAAACATATGCATGAATTCGAGCAGATTCCTCGAACCGGTGCCACGATTGCAGAGCTACTCCGTATCTGTCCATCGCAACTAAAGTCCGTGCGTCGTCCTCCCCAAGGGTGATGTTCATGCGTGTCTTTGTCCTCTCGGCATAGTCCAGTGCCTCCGTATATTGACCGTTCAGCCAGTAAGATCGCCCAAGCTCGTCAGTAGCTTCGAGCGTTTCTTCGTTATCAGAGCCATAATTTCTTTCTCGGGCGTTGACCACAATTTTCTGCAGTCTGATGGCTTCATCCAGCTGACCCAAGCCCCAGTGGATCCTTGCAAGTCCGAGCATGACAGCCATTGTTCTAGAATTGCCGGTTCCCAGCCATCGACACAGGAGTCTTTCCACTTTTTGCAAACATAGTAGAGAGTCCTTAAATCTGCCACCTTCGCCATATACGAACCCCGCCTTGGCCATAATGGATGCTTGCTCCCCAACTATGTGTAAAAACGTTGGAAACAGATAAGGTGAAACATAAAGGCGCGCTCTTGATAGTAGTTCGTCATAGTTGGATATCTCAATCGAGCATAGAGGGAAACATATATCCAGATGAGATAATATGCTTCTGTGAAACTCGGACTGTTTGTGGGCTTCTTTTACACACTCCTGCCTGTTGGTGTCGCTTTGGGATGTCAATCTGATTGCTTCAACAAGGATATTCAGTGCTATCCGTGCCCAGAGCTTCCGTTCTCCTTCGCTGAGACGATCTCGAGCCCAGTCATAAACCAGAGGGTGTAGGGAGTATTCAGAAGTCGTATCATCCACATTAACAAGAGATAAAGAGATTAACTCCGACATACCGTCTCGTGCCCGATGGGTATCCTTCCCTGGCGATGCTGAATTCCAGAAGGCAGGCATGACACGCGGTGGACAGAATCTTTCGGCGACCCAATGCTTCAGCCTCATGTGAAGAGACGCGGCGGCGCCAATGAAAGATGATGATTTGTTCCGTGCTGCTTCCGTGAATATATCGAGCATAATATTTTGGCGGTGGTAGAAAGCAATGATGTTGAGAATTTCAATCGCGTCTTGACAGGATTGCGATTGATTCTTCTGAAGACGTGCAAGAGAAACTTCGAATGCAGGATATGCAAATCCCTTTCCCGTCTGATCGCGATAATCACCCTCGATACCATCCTGCTCATGGTGAGACGAATGATAGGCCTCTCTTTTAGAATTGTAGAAATCGAGATATTTCTGAAGCCTTTCAGGCCCATGGAATGCTTTCTGGATAGATCTTCCCGCGACTACCAGTGCCAAAGCAAGATGGCCCAAAAGCTCGCATATCGCTCTCCCAACCGTCTCCGTGGCTAAGTTCCAAGGTTCAGCGATCTTAGAGCACGTCAAAAGGAGCCGCAAAGACTCGTCCTCTCCCAGACCCTGGAGTTTCAAGAATCCCACATTCGCATCTCGACAAAGGCTCGGGTGTCTTGTGGTGATAATCACAGAAGCGTGATTATTCATCCGGATATGTTCCAGCACATTGAACCGTGAGTCATCGGCGTTGTCGATGATAAGCAAAACTGGCTTGCAAAATTGTTGAAGCACATGTTCTCCTGATTTCTCCGTAGCTTCGAGACCACCCTTCTCACCGAGTTCAGCCAGTGAAGATTTGATACGTTCTGTTGATGTCGCATCTATGGTCACAACGGCATCAAATCTCAGCGTCCATCAGTTTTAGCTCCTCTCGATATTCATAGGATACTCACCGATGTTTGTAGTGTTTTGCAAACCAGGACGCAAGCTCGGTTTTCCCAGCACCCCCCATACCATACACAACGAATCTCCTTGCAAAGTCATCTGACGAGGGTCTCCTCAGATCTATGAATGCCTCTTTGAGCCTGGTCTTCTCCTGCTCTCTACCAATAAACTGGTTGGAGTCCAGATGATGGTGTTTTGGGAGCATGAAGATATTGTGCGGGTGCGGCTCTTTCATCGGCGTCGAAGGACTCGTGGCTTGACTCATATGCATTCCTATGCCATGATCGATGGCTAATTGTTGTTGCCAATTGTCACACAGAGCTTTCTCATTATTCTTCCTTCGCAGTTCAATGCGACCAGCAGCGCCCTTGCAGAGGCGAAGAAGATTGGATCTGACAACTAAATAACCAGGAGATTCAAGTGCGGCGAATTTAACCATGCCCGAATGAGTCGCATAGATCCCTGCACTAGACCCTTCCATTCCTGGCGGGACGGCAGAGGAATTAACAACACGAGGATTAATCTCTTCCCAAAAGAATATTTGCGTGAACCACAGTTGGATCTTTGTAAAATCTTGATTGATCGACCACAATGCGGAGGTGTGCTTGAGCTTTTTGGTATTTGGCAGATCAACAAGATATCTAGCTCGGTACCAAATATGAGGGTCAGAAACCTGGCCATGAGGAGTACCGAAGAACAGAATCCCAGCAGTGCAGGTGAATATCCCTTGTTGATGGTGGGTCGTGGGGCTTTTCTCATCGCGGGAAAGCATTAGCGCCTTCTTGACGATGAGGCCGCCCATTCCATGGCAGATAAAAATGATAGGTCTTTGATCACATCTCGCCATATGTCGGTTGGCTGAAAGATAGCAGACAAGATTCCTTGCGATTGTCGTCACTGGTGCCGTTTCCTCGTCTGCATCGAAAAAATGCGATGGACTCCCATCATATCCAAAGGTCAAAACACGAGCAACAGTCATAAATTCATCGAGTGGCAATAAATCCCTAAGCCAGAGCTTTTTCGTTGCCTTGTCGGTCCAGGCTCCAACAAGGTCTTCATTGAGTCCATGTACAGCAACAATGCTTTCCATGTCAGCCCGATTTAGCAAACGCCAATCGGTTGAGAGAACTTACTCGATACCTTCAACTGAAGTGACATCAGGCTGTAGAGCGTGTGTGATTCCATCGCCTTCAGCCTTAGAGGGGAATAACAACTTCAACGTCATGCTTTACAACTGATAGTTCTGCTAGCAGGGCACGAGTGGTCAAGGAAGAAGGATGCAGGCGACCTCGACGTCCAGTCGCCAGAAGCCGAAGATAAAGGTGCTGCTACTTCCTTTCGCCCCATACTTCCAATAACCAAGCAGCCCATCCGGAGAGCTCAATATGGATGGTGACTCAAGATGGTGGTGGAGATTGAGTTCGATGTGGTCAAGACCATGGTCGAAACGGGTCGGGGCAACTGCTCCCCGTTAATTGCCCCAAGCCCGAACTCATCCCCAGGCAGGATGGTTTGCAAAAGTACCGACCTAGCTCCTACCTAAGAATATCTGTACCCTTTGGCCCTTGCAGCCTGCAGCTGCTTCGTTCCGCCATTCTTAGTTAGGCGCTTCGTAAGGCTGGCGCTTGTCGAAACAACGCTGTGGTCCTTGAATGATTGCTGTCCAATCAAGTGAGCACAGTATCGGGTCTCCCCTCTCCTCACCTGAGCCCGGCGCGTATCAAAAATACTTCGAATTGAACCACCTCAAAAATTCATCTTCAAGGATACTATTAATTCTCTTGGATATTGTGAACACTTGCACTCCATCAATCGGCGTTATCCAGGCTGAAGGATGGCAGCCCATCAAACAAGTGTTAGCAGTCTCTCCATGAGGATAGTCGGCTTAAGTTTGCCCTCGTGGACAACAACTTTCCTCCTTCTTGGCACAATATTCTGGCTTGTGAGATCAGTGGCCTTTGCGTTTTTGAGACACAGGGTTAGTTACACTCCCAACAAAACCAGCCCGGTGTACAATTCTGAACAGTGCAAAGAAAGATTCTGCTTTTGGGAAGAGTCACCATTGTCAACCACCCCCAGAACTACCATATAAGTGGCCACTTGGTATTGATCGAATACGAGAATTATGGATTTCAAATGCCAATGACCAATTGCTGCCATTTCTTTGTTCGATCGCCAAAGACTATGAGCCTCGAAATATGCTTTCTCAGTATCTTCTCTTCGGTCCACGGGCTTTCCACATCCTTGATCCCGATAATCTAGAGTCTGTCCTTTCGACCAATTTTAGTGGTAAGGAGCCCTGTGAGGATTGTATTTGTGTTCAACCTGATAGGACTAGACTATGGATTCGGTTTGCGTTACCAGATATTTGCCCCTCTGCTTGGGCACGGCATTTTCACCCAAGAGGGTGCTGCGTGGAAGCACTCTCGAGAAATGCTAAGAAAACAATTCGTCCGCGCACAGTATCAGAATCTCAAACAGTTCGAAGAGCACGTAGACAACCTGCTAGCCCGCATACCCAAGTCTGGCGTGGTTGATCTACAGCCCTTGTTCTTCAGCCTCACACTAGACACGGCCACGGCGCTGTTGATGGGGCGCTCGGTTTACAGCCTTCGAGCGGATATTGATCAGGATGCCGAGAACAGATTGTTCTCGGAGAGTTTCACCGTGGCTCAAGAAGGACTCGCAAAGCGCTATCGCATCGCGCCGTGGCAATTCTTGTACAACCCTTCTAGATTTCGTAAGGCCTGCAAGAACGTCCATCGCTATGTTGAGCGGTACATCAAAGAAAGGGAACTGGCCGATCACAAGGCCGATGGTGATGAATATGGGTTCATCGACCAAGTTTCGCAGGAATCACGCAACACCACTGAGCTTCGGGACCAAATTTTGAACGTTCTACTGGCTGGGCGAGACACGACCGCGTGCTGCCTTTCGTGGACTTTGTGAGTTTTCCTGCACCCATCTACAACGTAGGTTTTTTAGAGGCTGATCTCGTTGCCTAGTTGGCTACTGGTTCGACATCCGGAAGTTATGTCCAAGCTCCGGCAGGAGATCGTGGTGGGCATGAAAGGCTTCGAAACACCTACCAGAGAAGCGATCCGTAAAATGCCGTTCCTTTCCTGTGTCATCAAAGAGAGTATGTTTTATCAGAATCATCAGTCCAACTTGTAAGTTAACGATTAACCTAGGTCTGCGACTATATCCTCCCGTTCCGCTAAACCAACGGCAGGCTAAGAAGACGACTCTCTTGCCAACTGGCGGCGGACCAGATGGGAGACACCCGATACTTGTTCGAGAAGGTGAAATGGTTGTCTTCTCACAATACGTCAATTCCCGCGTCAAAAGCATCTATGGACCCAAGGCGAACCAGTTTCGGCCCGAGCGATGGCAAGGCGGTGAATTGTCGAAAATTGGCTGGGCATATTCTCCGTTTCATGGTGGACCCAGGCAGTGCTTAGGGGAGGATTTTGCGCTTATGGAGGTCTCGTACACGATCGTAAGAATGCTACAGGCTATTCCGAGTATTACCTGGCCGGAGGAGGCCATGGACGAAACAATGGGTACCGAGAGACAGAGGTTGACCTTAGTGCTGTCGTGCGCAAATGGGTGTAGAGTGAAAACAGCCACGGTCTAGCTCCCACGTCCGACGAATTCTGTAGACTGGTCAATTCCGATCGAACGTTTCAGAGAAGTACATTGTGTTGACGACGACCGGGCAGGGTTCCTTGGGCTTGTAGAGGTAGTACTTCAATCAAACGCATTGGTGTAGAACCCAGCGCTACTTGGGTCCAGTGACGGCCAGCATAGGTTGCGGCCTTGTCCCGCTGACCCAAATCACCTGCCTAGCTCTACTGTTAGGTCCTACCCCAAAAGAACTGGTTGAGAGATCGTGGAAAGATGTAACGACTGTGGGGCCGTGCATAGATGGCAGTTTTGGAGCTGGCGCAGCTTGTAATGCAATGTGTGTAGGCTGGGAGCCTGCAGCCTGGAGTGTAGATGCGCTCCAAGGTACCGTTTCGTCTTTCTAGAAAGGGTAGTCTACAGCCGCCAGTACCATAAAGATTACATGTCATGTTTGAGCGGAGACGAACGTTTTGTCAAGATCTGCTTGTACTGTCTCTATCTGTGTTGGGGAGGAAGCAAGCATGAGTCAAAATTTTGGTTTGAGAGAACTATACCGACCAGCAGATCAAGAACCTGAGATCGAGTAAGTCAAAGTCTATCTTTTCCTATAAGAGTCAATAGTGTACTTTGCTGATGGGATTAGTATTGTTGCGGTTCATGGACTGAATGGTGACGCATATCGGACTTGGACTTACACAAACCCATTAACGGACAATGGCAACATTTGTTGGCTCAGTGATCAAGACTTCTTACCAAAATACATTGGGCAGGCGAGGGTTTTGACCTGGGGCTACAATGCAAACCTCACCACTCTGAGTGGGCCTACCAGCTCAAATCGAATCTTGCATCACGCCCAAACGCTGGTGCAACACCTGTTTGCAAACAGAAGCGTAAGCATTCTAGTTGTGTAGAAATGATAATCAAGGCGTCGCTGACGATAACCGAGCTACAAAACGCCACCCAAAGACCGATTATCTTTCAATGCCACTCATTGGGAGGGATTGTTGTAAAGAGAGTAAGTGATCTTCCTGTTCGTTGGTTTATGAGACTGTGTCTGAGTTACCATCGCTGATTTCACTCTGCCTACTTCAGGCACTGTCACACGCCGCAGATCAAATGGGTCCAACGACATCTCACCTCCGCTCCATATTTACCTGCACCTATGGTGTGTTCTTTTTTGGTACGCCGCACTTGGGCTCAGAGAAAGCGCAGCTATTACACCATCTGCAAAAGCTGGTCTCGGTTTCAATTCCAAGAAGCATATTTCGCACTGAGACGCGTCTTGTCAAAGCTCTCAAGGCAGGATCAGAAATCCTTGAAGAGATCAATACGCAGTTTCTTGCAATAGCAGGGGAGCTGAAACTAGTATTCCTCTGGGAGGAGCATCGCACCAAGGTGAAAGGGTTTGGCAATGTTTATATTGTGGAACAGAGCAGTGCAGCGCCTTTATTGCGCGACGTGCTCAGCTTCGGGATTGCTTCAGATCACCAGGGCATGTGTCGTTTTGCAAGCAACCAGGATGCTGGATTCATCACAGTGATTTCTGAGCTACAGCGCTATGCTCAAGACGCAACAGGCAGGATCGAGAGAAGGCAGGTTCAAGACCGCGAACTCCTACAGTTAAAGCGCAATGGCGAGGTTGCTGAACTGGTCAGGGTGATTAACTTGTTATGACGAACCCGAAGTCACCACAGCTAGTGGATGAACGCGCCAAGAAGTGACGGAGGATCTGGATATTCCGATCCGCCATGTTGCTTCCGCCCGCGCTAACCAAGGCTGGACGACCATAATAAACATTTCTGGCGATGTCCATTCGATGCATGGCTTCTTTCCAACATCTCATTGTTCACCCAACATTCTGTACTAGGTAGGCAACATTGCCCTCATTCAACGCCATGGCGCCTTCAAGGTTTGACAACGGTACCGTTGGTACAAATTACTCGAGCATTCACTCTGCCGATGCCTTCGTCAACACTTATCAGGTTCATCCCACCGGACTTGGTGCTCAGTGACTTTGCTAACATTGTCAGAAGGTGTTGTACACGCCAGGATCAGCCTCCCCACCTCTCGACCGCGCTCAGAAAAAGTCAACACGCTTTAGCAGAGCTACTTCTATCAGATCCCAGAATAACAGCCAGTCATTCATACTTCCACAGAACATTCCCAATACTTCTCAAATTGTCGCAGACCAAGGATCCCTACCAGACGTCCGGGTTCATTATACCGTTCCAGCCGATGAGAAACAAATAGTTGCTTCTCTCCGAACTCTTCAACGCGACTTGAACGAGGCCATTCAGACCATCAACTCGTTGACTCGAGAACGAGATGATGCACTGCTGGAATTGAGAATGCTCCGAGCATCGTCTAAGAAACAAACCACTCAGACCAAGAAGACGACGCGTGTCTCTTCTCACGAGCAAGAAGAAGAGTTGTTTGACTTGAGTCGGTCGATAGAATCCCCAGAGAGATCACCAGCCAGGAGAGTCCCAAGCAAGCGGTTTGGCGACCCGAAGCAGAATGCGAAGACAACAGTCTCAGATGATGCTCGGGTGTTGTCACCTGTGCATAGCCATGCGCCAATTTCCCCGAGCCCGAACAAACGCCACGCCAGCGCCCCTGCCGGTAGTGCTCACCACAGATCGCAACCGAACAAAAAGTCTGCTGTTAATGACACAGAGCAGAGCGTCCTGGAAGGAGATCCAACTGCAGCTTCCAATACTTCTCGCCGCCGACGACATCTGGACCTGGACGAGAACATGACATCCGCCTACATCATCCCAGATATCACCATGAGTCAAGGGCAAGCACAGCCACAAGCACAAACGAACGGTGTGTCTAGAGGAGCACAAGATGTTCTGCATCGCCATGACAGCGAGCACATTCAAAGCTGCGAGGTTTGTCAGCGTCTCACGGGCTCGAAGAAGACCAAGCACGTTACACATGCCAGCCTTAAATCGACCCACTTCAGTTCAAACACAAACAAGCAAACTTCCAAAGTGGCCAAAGAGCAAGATTTCACCGCACAAATTACGCAGCTAATGAAATCCGCAATGCTTGACGACCCCACTATCCGACCCAAGATTGCTCCATGGCATGCTCTCGCTAATGTCAAGAAGCTGTTGACCGACCAATTCGAAGAGGCCAAGCGCAAGCATGGCATCGCTTGGAAGACTTACGACGGCATTGATGCTCCGCTTAGTAGCAAGCGACATGCAGCTGTCAGTGAGGAACTTTTCTATTGGTCGCGGAAAATGGAGGAGTGCAGAGTCAACCTGGACCAATTGCGAGATGTCGAGGAAGGTATGAGAGGTGATGATGAAGATTGAGCTCGAACTGGAACTGAAGTCTCGGTATCAAACCGTTCTACACAACTTTACGCTAGAAGGCGCCTGAAAGTCTCCTCCCAAAAGTCCTTTCCAGCGCGTGTGCAGCACGACCATTATGATTTGTTGTCAGTGATAGTATTTTCTTGATTTCCAGTCCAAGCCAGGTCTGGCCATCGGATCTCCTCGAGTCAAGGACATTGCATTGCGCTGCGACATGTATGATTTTCACATCAGTCAGAAGTCTGACTCAGGGGCATAGATCAGGGTGTTCATCAGAGATGCAGAATAGTTCCTGCTCGCCTGTATGGTGTTTTCAGGCTCGGACTTGATGGTAGCGTGGGAGTTTTGGACGGATATGAATTAGTCGATCAACGGTTATTCGGTTGATCGATTCAACTATTCATTCGAATTCGAACTACATAACATTCGACTCTGACTCATTGTGATTTACGCTTGTAGAATGCGATCTTCAACTTGCATGCTATCGGTTAATGAGTGAAGCAGCCTGTAATTATCTGTGTGCTGGTTTACGGTGGACGAGAGAATCACTGGTTGCGCCACGAGCGTAATATAATATCACCCATCCCCGAAATAGTCGAGTTTGTCATCCTCCCACCAGCCACCTGCACCAAACTGGGTATGTATACATGAGTTGACTTGCTGATATGTGTGATGGCTCATGCTAGCTGGGTAAGGCCGTTATAACATGGGTACCTGCCCTCGACTACGGGGACCTTCGGAACGAGGAGAGAGGCACGCTGAAAAGTAGACAGCAGAGCAGCCGAGGTAGGAGTAGGTTAGGGGGCATTTTGGGAACATATTATTTCGTCTTCTTTTCATGTTCAAGTTTTGATCGATATCGGTCTATGTGAGACCAAGATGTCGTTTCAACCCATCATCTGTCATTTAATCAATCAATCACTTTGACCACCCCATAACCGGTGGGTTAGATCCATCCGCCATCTAGAAACATGAACCGCCTCCTGCCGTCTACGAAATGATTTCCTCTGTCTCCTCAATGACCTCCTCAATGACTTCCTCAACGACCTTCTCGCTATCAACGTCCGCACTACGGGTCCGCTGTAACTTGAGCTCCTCCTCTGGATCCGGGAGACCCAGCTCCTCTCGGTCCTCTCTGAGTCGTTCTTTCTCCTCGCGCACCCAGCTGTACCATTCCTGGTAGAGGCGGCGACGCGCCTCGATGACTGCGGCGTTGGCGCCCTCCTCCATTTCCTTGTCGAGCTCGTCGAACTCTTTGCTGTATTCACGGAGTGTGCGGCGGATGTTGCGCTGTTCGTCTTTCGAGAGTACGGTTGGTGGACGTGGGCGCCACAGGAATTGCTTGAACTTCTCGGTGGGGTTTTCTGACAGCATTTGGCCGTAGAATGTCCACAGTCGAAAACCGTTTTCCATCTGGTGGGGTGGGTCAGTATATGTTGTGTTTATGTTAATGTTAGAGAATAGAAAAAAACCATACCTGATGTGTCCAGACACTAGCACTAGTAGTGACGTATCGTCCTGTGGGATCCCATTCTACATCGGTGATACCATAATGGTCTTCAGTGTTCATGAGCATGAGGTTTGCAGCCAAAGCAGCATCACTCTCAGGCTTGTCACCTTCGTAGTCCAGATCGTAGAAGTCGACATCCGAATGCTGTTGTACGCTAACAGTGGCGACCACAACAAACCGACCTCGTGGTGACCAGTAGATACCATTGCTGTTCTTCTTGTCGAACGTTCGAACATGTTTGAATGCACCAGTCCCTGCGCCCTTTATCTTTTCGGGTGCAAAGAATGAAACTGCGGTCTTGGGGAGTACATTGCTGCCTGCCACTGCTTCGCCTGCTGTGATGAGTACGAATCGATCGCCTTTAGGTTCCCAGGCAAAGTTAATAACTGTATCCTTGAGACTGTCCACGACCTCGACGGGAACACCTTTCTCCTTGATTCGGAAGATCTCGAGATTTGTAGCCAATGATTTCTTGGATTTGGAATGTCTGTCGACTTTGACACAGATGAATTTGGCATCGGATTGCCAGTGTAGTTTTGCATCTGTGACGTTGAAAAGATTTCGTGTTCTCACAATCTCTTTGGTGGGGAATGCCATCAGAGTCACTTTAGCAGGATTTGAACCCATCTCGGGAGTCCAGAAGCAGAGGAGTTGTTCATAAGTCTTGACACCCTCACGTTGGGTGGTAGCTGGAGCCCATTCAAAGTCCACCAAACCGTCGACCTTGACCGAAGTTTTGTCCAGCAGGTTCATGCGGGGTGTTTCATAAACCGAGATGCTCTCACCGGGTTTCATTCTTGCGACGAACTTCTCATCAGCGGACCATTTGAAAGCTGGCCATTGGACTTTGGGCTTGAGAGGTGCAACACCATCTGGGCCAACAGTTTGAGCTAGATCATGGGCGACAAATGACCGGAGAGGCTTGCCAGTTTCAATATCCCAGATGACAATATGTTTTCCTTCCTCGTCGATGGTGAGCGGGCCTTTTCCTTCTTCTACGACAATCGGTTGATTGGACCATGTCGTCAGGAATTTTTCGCCCGGTGAAAATTCCATGAGGCTGACAAATGGGTGGGGGAATTGCTTAATTCTCTTAAAAGACGCTCCGCCCCATAATTGCACTCCTTGTTGATGAACTGAAGCCAGATATGTTCCAAGCGGTGACCAGTTGACGAACAGTTGAGTCCAGTGTTTGCGATCAACAATGGGCTCGGGGTTGTCTCTTTTGTTGTTCCAGAATACTCCTACGTTGTCTCCTCGGAACATGGCAAATTGATCACGAGCAGATGGGTCGAATAACCATGATCGGAGATGTTCTTTGTCTGCGAAAGGTTCGATCTCGGGAGCAACATATTGCTCATCTATTCTTCCCTCTCGTCCATACTTCTCAATGTCTGTCAGCTTGTTGACGGCAAGAGTGTGTTTTTTATCGAGGGCCGTTCCGTGGAGTTGTTTTGTAGCTGCGACTGCTTGTTCGGGGGTCTGATATTCGACAAACGCAAATCTGCGAGACCAGTTAGGACACTTTAGTCATATTTTAATGTGCTCTCAGTATACCCTTCAGATGAACCGGCATCACTCATTGGCATATAGATGGACTCTTCACCATCTTTTATCCTTCCAACCGTGTTTAATCTCTTGAGTAGGAATTTGATGAGTCGGGGTTTTTGTTCTTCGGTGACGATTGGGAGACCATCGATAACCTGTAATTCTCAGTATACAAATCTGCGACTTGGATGAAATCCAACGTACCACAAAGGTATCGAGACCTTCTTCCATGCGCACATCATAACGTTCTTTGAGATCGGAGAAGTCGATGTTGTCTTCTTCATCCTGGTAATCATGGTCGGAAAGCTGATCGAAGCCGGGCGCCATGATTGCGGATGCAAGGGATGCAGCGGTCGGCTGCTTGATCTTTGACAAGGGCGCTCGAATGTGAAGTTATTGTCTAATGCTGGCGGCTTGGTCTCGAGAAATTCATTCGATTCGACTTTGGTGGCGGCAATGGCAGTGGTGTGGATGCACGTGTGGCTGCCAAGATTTGCACTGGACCCTGCGAGTCATGTAGACTAGCACATGATCACGCATGACTCGAGCTCAACTCTGCAAGTCGGCTAACCTGCCATGGACATAAACGAGTGGCTTTCCCCAAGAATCCATCCAAACTCGAAGACTCCATCCATCTGCCCTGCATATCTGTGTCGAATGTAGACTGGTGCTGGCCTGGAACTGGGACTTGCGCCGGGCTCTCACTCGCAGCAATATCGTCGTCGAACGATTAGAACCAGCACCTAGCTAGGCAACGCGTCCTCATTGGTATCACTTTCATCTTCGACCTCCAGATCAGCGGCTCCAAAATTGTGGAGTTCCAGTTCCCCAAGCCACCCGAATTCCTCTACTTTGCTGTCGCTGTCGCATTCTTCTCCCTTCCCAATCAACAATACATATATTCCAACAACGACGAACATTGAAAGCCCAACCTTTCAGAGGTTTCTGACTTATCTCTATACTCATTCCGCGCCTACGTCTGCCTCAAGATCTCTCGGTCGGCCATCAGTGCCTTTCACGCATTGCATGGCCTACCTGTCGATTCTCACCTGACTTTCTCTGTTTCCTCTTCTCGGCTTGTCCAGTCTTCCACCGCCAAGTTTACATCCCAACGACCTAGTGCAGTTTCAGACAAACTTCAGCAGACATGTCTCGTAAGTTCACTACCCGTTACTAGGCTCCTCTCTGCAGTTTGGTTAACAATGGAAAGTATCCTCGGAAATACGGGCAAACTATGTTGGCATCATCGACTCGATCTTGGAGACTTCCGATCTCACGACCATCTCGAGAAAGAGTGTTATGAAGGGAATTCAAGATCGTATTGAGTATGACATAACTCCGCAGAAGGTAACACATGCCCAAGGCCTCTATTGTCCAATTTAATACTGAGATTGTTCCAGGCTGCCATCAAGGAATTGATCGGCGAGCGATTCGACATCATAAGTGCTCAGAACAGCGGCGACGCAGAGACCTCAGTAGTGCCCTCGGTCGAACCTGCGGATCCAACACCCAAAACAAACGGAATTCACAAACCTGCCCCACCTTCTCCCTCAAGTTCACCTGCTAAGCGTGAGGCGCCCAGTGAGGATCGACCAGGTGCAGCTGATGCATCTCGGCCCAAAAAGAAACACAAAGTGAGCATTGACGCGGATGCGGCATTTGCGGCCAAACTACAAGCGGAGGAGGAAAGACGCGCACGACCTACACGTGGTGGTGCAAACCACAAGGCCGCACCAGCAAAGCGGAAGAAGAAAGTCAAGAAAGAGCGAGTGACAGGTTCAGATGACTCGGATCTTGACGAAGATGGAAATAAGCCAGAGAAGCCGAAGAAAGAGACTGGCTTTCATGTGAGTTGATGCGCTTAATGATACCTTGAATTTGTTGACTGATCGGGATAAGAAACCGCTAAATCTATCTCCGGCATTATCCAATCTGTTTGGTGGAGAAACACAGGTAAGTGGAGATACCGGTATTGGGTTGTGGGTTTCACCAGCTAACACCGGATCACAGTTGTCTCGACCGCAAACTACCAAACGGATTTGGCAACACATCAAAGCGAATGAGTTGCAAGATCCTAGCGACAAAAGATACATTTTTTGCGATGACAAAATGCGCGAAGTCTTCAAACAGGACCGAGTGCATATGTTCACCATGACGAAGCTCATTTCTCAGCAAATGTACAATCCGGATGAATAATGATGGTCTTAATGGGTTATTGGAAGCAGAATTCGAAGCGGATGCAATATCGTTAGCTGCTTGCTTGGCCTCGACTCATGACTGAAACTTGAAGATGACAGAAGCTTCGAATGCGAAACGTAGGAGGAGTAATCCGTGGTTTGGTTCAAGCCATGGGAATTCATGAAAACTTCAGACCTAATTGGCACTGAAATGTGATGCCTGAGGCCTCTTTCAGGAGGGCCAGCCTTGCTGACTAATGTCTCACCCTCAAAGGCTCAGAAGTCCGTAGTATTCTCCAGATGCCGCTTTGGGAGACCAAAATGACTCATGGAAAGCCCAAGAGTGGCTTGCGTCGGGCACAGCCTCAATTTTGCATCTACTGACTGGCGAAAAGAGTCATCTATCCGTTCTTGATGTTTCTAGACTGACGTCGTTGTGCATATTTATGTAAATCGACACACCTAGTTGTCCAAGGGGTTGCTGATATCTTTAACTCGGCGTGGACACTAGCTATAGCCAACAGTCGTTAACATCAAGACTAAGCACATGAAGGGCTAGTAGACCTCACTTAGTGCCGGCAGCTGAGTCATCTCAATTTGTCCGGTGCCGTCATTACTAGTATCATCCACCTCTAATTTCTTTGCCCACCACCAACGCTTCGCCTACCACATAAACTCACGACAGCTCAAGTTGCTATCTTAGCTTCCAGCAAACAGATCTAGATTCCATTGTACTCAGACGATCTACCATCTCATCAACAACCATCGACAATGGCCGACGCAACTGCCAACGCCGCTGCAACTACCTCTGACGCCCCTCCTTCCACCCCTCGCGGCGCACATCCAGGCCGTGGTCGTTCAAACAGAAATCGAAGCGGTTCTCAAAATTCCCCCGAAACTAACAGACAAGACACCAACTCTAAGGGAGCTCGTGGTCAAAGAGGAGGCAGAGGCCGAGGAAGAGGAAGAGGCCAACCCAGAGATTCTGCGCTATCCTCAAGAACAATTCCCTCTCAAACACCCGCAGACGGGAGCTCAGGAAGGCCGCCTGGAGGCGGTTTCGGTGCTCGCCTGACCGAAGCTGCCTCGAAAATGGAAGGTGACCCAAATGTCCCTCAATCATCGGGACAAGGAGAAGAGACGGCCATGGAAGAGGCAGAAGTATGCTTCATCTGTGCCAGTCCTATTGAACATGTTGCGATTGCTCCTTGTAACCACCAGACTTGCCATATCTGTTCACTGAGATTGAGGGCGCTGTACAAGACTCGAGCTTGTGCACACTGCAGAGTGAGTGATCCCCCCATATCTTGATTTTACCAGCATCATGCTAACATGCGATTCCAGACAGAATCCCCGTTTGTGATATTCACCGACAATGCCGAGAAACGCTTCCAAGAATTCTCCGATGCCGATCTCGTCAAGGTTGATGAGAATTTGGGCATCAAGTACGAACAAAATGTCATCCTCGAGGACACCATTCTTTTGTTGAGATATAATTGTCCCGACAAGGACTGTGATGTGGCTTGCCTGGGTTGGCCCGATCTTCATCGTCATGTTAAATCTCACAGGAAGATGATGTGTGATCTTTGCACCAGAAACAAGAAAGTTTTCACCCACGAACACGAGCTTTTCACATATGCCGAATTACGCAAGCATGAGCGTTTCGGTGATGATAATCCAGGTGCAATTGACCAGTCGGGTTTCAAGGGCCATCCTGAATGTGCGTTTTGCAAACAACGATTTTATGGCGACGACGAACTCTACACTCATTGTAGGGAGAAGCATGAACGATGCCACATCTGCGATAGGAGGAATGGCGGCCGAAATCCTCAATATTACCTCAACTATCAAGAACTCGAGAAGCACTTTGCTGATGCCCACTTTGTCTGCCTGGATGCTGAATGTCAGGCGAACAAAACGAATGTTTTTGAGGCTGAGATGGATCTCAAAGCACATCAACTATCCGCACATCCGAATGGATTATCCAAAGACGCTCGAAGAGATGCTAGATTGGTCAATCTCTCAGGCTTTTCGGACTTGAGGACCCCTTATCAACCAGAGCGTCGGGTGAGACAAGATCGTGGCAATGGAAGAGGCCGAGATCCAAATTCGGAACCTCTCCCCATGTCAACTGCGCAAAATCTCAGTCGTGCCGAAGTAGCCTATCAAAGACAAATGGCAATCCAAAGTGCCCAGTCTGTATCCAGCAGGAATTTTGGGGGTCAACTTACACAATCTGGCCCAGCGTCCAGGCCCCAACCAGCAGCAACTCAACCTTCACCACAGCCATTGCCTCCTGTCGAGAATTTGTTACTTAATTCAGCAGCTCCATCCTCTGCAAACTTAACACCTCAAGAACAAGCGCGAGCACTTCGGCACCAAGCAGTCACTTCGCGGGCCACGAATTTACTCAAAAATGACAATACCAAGTTGTCCCAATTTCGGACTCATGTTTCGGCCTACCGAAGCGGGACAATTTCCGCGACTGATCTGATCGATGGCGTCTTTTCCCTGTTCGACAGCCCAAGCTCGGAATTGGGCAAACTCATTCGTGAACTGGCTGACTTGTATGAAGATGAGTCGAAACAGCAAGCCCTTCTTCAAGCCTGGAATAGTTGGCGTAGCATCAATGAAGATTATCCTAGTCTTCCAGGCCCTAGCGGCACACTGCCTGGTGTCACTGGCAGTGCCAGTGGATCAGGTGGACGGAGAGTACTCACACTTAAGAAGAGCACAGCACAATCATCACGTTCTGCGGTTTCAAGACAAGGATCCTGGGGCAATGCACTGGCAAGCGGTACCAGTCGTGATCCCTTCCCAGCTCTTGGTCCAGCGAGTGGTGGCTCACGGAAGACAACAACACCAACCCCTTGGGGTGCGGCGCCTGCCCCAGTAGGAGGATCCGTCACTCTCAGTTCAGTCAAACCAGCCACAACAGTAGCCGCGTTCAATCGGCCTACATCACGCCAGACACCAGTGAGGCAATCTGAAGACAACTTCCCCTCTCTTCCCGCAGCAGCCAAGCCAAATACAATGATGGCAGGCTTCAATACTCGTGGTTCAGTCCGCTGGCTAGGTTCAAGCCGAAACTCGCCTTCAGGATCAGGGGCCAACACACCAGCGCAGACTCCATGGGGTAATGGTGGTTTGACACCGACACCAGCTCAAGCTGCTGCAGCCGTGGCGAATGCAGCAGGAAGTGCTGTACCAATGGACTATGAAGGCGACGGTACGTTTGGGAAGAAGAAAGGAAAGAAGGCGAAGAAAGAAACACTCTTTCACTTTGGCTGAGGTCTTTTAGTTTCATCCAAGTCACTCTGAACGCGAACGGATGATCCACTATATCCGATTCGCTCCTTTCTGTACTGCGCCCCCGTCAATTCACACGTCTGCAAGTCAAAGCAAAATTACCTTAACTATTTGACCCTGCTGCAACAATCAGTCCGGGGAATTAGCTCAGAATTGGACATATGTTTCAAGCTGCACAATCTCAATCACTTGTTCGATCGTGCAAGACTTGTCCACGCTTTGATATTTAATTTTCACGTTTCGAGCTCCCTACCCCTCCCTCCAGGTGAGTCATGAGCGGCGGCCTTCCTCACCACTTTCCTTCCTGCTCCTCCGTTCTCTTGCCTATAAATAAGTGCCTTTCCCTCCGACTTTCTGCCATGAATTTTTTTGATCTGTGCAAGTTGGCTTTCCGTTTCGTTTGAGTCGACTGCCATGCATTGGAATGGGAGCTGGGTCTTGGTGATCACGGTTTAAGCGTTCAGGCCATACATTGAGTCTTGTACGAGTTTTCCCCCTTTATGCTCATGCTCTCTCCCCCTCTTGATACTACCTCTTGGGTGTTGCAGAGTCCTTCCTTCTCCTTTCTCTTTGCACAATCCCACCTCTCGTATATATAACTATCAGGTTGAATGCTACTGCATGCGTCAGTAGCAGCCGGTCATCACCACTGTTTGCTTTTCCTGTTTTTTCGGGACTTGTGGTCTCTATGGAAGAAGATGCTATGATTCCAGCAGCGAGGTTTCAAATTAGAGCTACAGACATCGGAATGGAGTATTCTGAGCAAATCGCCTGCTCGTCGGGTCTTCATGTGTCTCATACCTCTTCTTTGAGGTTGCAGGAGAGTTGGCGGTGCGTCTGTTCCTGCACGAGCACTATAAGCAAGGAGGGAAGTGGTTCTCACCGCCAGAATTCGATCGGCCCATGACTGTCCCGAACTGAAAGTCTTGTCGCAGGTATGGAAGGGTCAATATGGCACTTCTTGGGCTTTGACTGGCATAATCGGACTTTTGAAAGTTGCCAAAAGGCCTCTCATTGCCTTAACCCTGTATCAGTACCTCATTACGTGGTAACACTGAACAGGCGACACAGACAGCCCATTCCTGGTGAATCTTGAACCATCTCTCGACCGAAGTCTAAAGACTCGCTGAAAGAATGACTATCAAAACCTGCACAGCAGCCAGGGGGGCAGCAGGTACGAACTGTTGAACCCCATTTGTCTGAATTTCGCTAACAAAGACCCAGAACAGGAACACATGCGCATCAGAGAAGCCATGGACATGCCCACTCTTTGATGCGGTGAGAGAGATGATCACTCAATCCTGCTTAGTCTTCAGTTCGAAAGCTTTTCAATGGACTCAGACATAGCATCAGTGGAACGCTTCGTCATCAATCACATGGTGCAGGACCTACCCCCTGGTTTTGAAGGGCGAGAACTACAGAGAGTTCGCTATCCAGTACTGCACTAAAGAGCTTCAAGATGGCCAATCGTACAGCGGCCTTCGTCGCCAACATGCTCGCACCGAAGGTTTCTCATAATGAACAGCGAAGCTTCTCGGGCATGAGTGCTAGCATTTGTTATATCGTTCTACGCATTGAACCGTCGGTCTTGAATGACCGGAAGCATCATGGAAAGGCATATTAGCCTCAAATCGAAATGTATTTTCTAACGTTTGCAGACTCTTGAACCCCCCTCGAAAGGACCTTATCCACGCTGGCGAGGTGCCTCTCGAGTTCAATGTTTGCAAGCGTTGTGTCCGATCCCTTGTTGGGGAGGACCAAAACGTGTTCTCAGAACGTGAGTGTATCTGCTTTTGGCTTGCTTTGACCTAGCTAATAGCAATAGCTGGTATTGTTCAATGCAATCGCAAGGGTAATGGAAAGTGTGATTGGTGCATAGTGGACGTGCTTATGAGGCTAGGGACAAGACCATGGCGAAATCCGTCCACAATCCTTGTCCATACGCCCATTTTGCTGACATTGTATACACGAAAATATTTTTGGAGATTGCCGTGTACAAGAACATGTTGCGACTCAAAAGCTCACATAGAGTTGCCAATGCTCAGGCTACAACTCTGGACTTTTTTTTGAGACATTATTGGGACTTTGAAAAGCATCACTACGAAGTGCGCGAGGGCTCGAAGCCTCCAGACAACCTTCCTTACGAGCTGTCCTCCGACTTTCTCGAATCCTCACTACGGGCTTCGCTAATGAAGAGTTGTCCTCCGACTTTCTCACACATCGTCTAAGCGTCACAGACTGTGAAAGATTGCAAGCGCGGATTCTATTTAGAGAATAACGCAAGCTGGAAGCCTTCATCGATGACAATGTGAAGATCATCAAATTCTTCTAGAAAGCGAAGGAAAAGGGTTTTGGCGTGACAAAGCTCAAAGCAAGTTCTACATACAAGATGGAGCAGTGTTTTCAAGAAAATGGTGAATGGGATTCAGAAGAACGAAGAGATGTACACTTCTCTGGTGGAGGCCAAGTTCGACTTGACAACAATCAAAGGACCTGACGGTATGATGAATGACAAGGTGTTTGAACCATGGGCGACCACGAGAGACATAACAGAATTTGCACGCGCAGTCCACTTGACTGTGTGCTACCACATCATCAAGAATAACCCCGAGTACTTTCACGAATCTCCAGGTGTACAAGGACCATCTCAAGAATGTCTACAAACTAGTCAGTGAAGTGGAGACATTTACCTTTCGACTGTGGGGGAAACTCAAACACAGATCGGTCAGTCTTGCAGACGAGTAAATCAAGCCGCAAGGGCAATTTTGAACTGCTGGTGCAACACTCGATCAGACCTCGCAATGATATGTTCCGGGACTACTACTTTCACTGCATGAAGATTTGCTCCTGGTGAGACGCATCCCAAAGTGCCACATCTTGTGGTATTTCAAGAACAACAAATATGCACAAGTTTGTCACCACTTCCCAGACACAATCATTGATGGTTGCAAAAATGAGCAAGCTGAACCATCTTGTTGAAAAGTTGATGCTAAAACCCTTGTCAAATTCGGGACCAGAAAAAGAAACGTCTTTTCTTGGGCCAACGACGTAGGGTGGCTGTCGCTATATCGACGATATTTAGCTGCTAGAACTCGTTGGTAGCCTATATCTCAGCGGCTACGCACGGAACCTACCATGTCTCTCGCTGCACTGCGCTCTTTTCCCAAGCGCTGCACCTAGTCACAATCAATTCAGAGTGTCTGTGGCCTATAAACTGTGGACTATGAAGGCGAGAGATATCCCGACTGGGATATCGTGGCATTGATTGGAAGTTGTCACGGATGCAGTCATAGCGGCAGTGATGTTGAGTTGTATCCAAGCCCCAAAGCTTCCCGAAAATATATTCATGTGAAGATGGAACAGTCATCATCAACGCTATGTTCAGCTGTATCGGCAGTAATTTCAGTTGGGGATAGCTGGGCAAACCCAGAGAAAACCTTAGAGCACAAAATACCAAGCTCTTTGTTGTTATGCAGTACTGATGATGCATTAGCAACTCCAGCAGCCAGCAACCGCGGAGCTACATTCGAAATCGAGCCTCATTCTGCCTCTTGGTAGGAATCTTCGGCCACTCTCGAAGTTTTTTACGCGATACACACATCATCTTCGTTGGTATTCCAAAATCTAAGAGGATTGACAGAAGTGTGACGGAACAGAAAACTTGAATTGCTCAAGCATTCTATGCTTGAGGTGGTCTGAGCCTGAAGGACAGTGACCGGCAAGGGTTCGGCTTCGAGTTCTACTGGCACCGGACCGCCTACCTCGGCCAGAACCAGCCAATGATGTCCAGACTACTATTCTTCTGAGCCGAAAGAGCACAATGATCCGATTCTCGAGTCCTTAGCCATCATCTGTGGGGATCAAGGGCACTGATAAGAATGCCAAGTATTCCCACGGTACGAGGAAGGCAGTGGTTGCTGATGATGTCTCGGACTTAGCAGAGCTTCTAGAAATCGATATGCCGGAGGATGCAGAGTTGTCTACGAATGAAGACACTTCTAATTTTGAGAATTGTGATGGATATCTCAAGGTATTCCTCACATGTTTAGAACTGAGCCTAAGCAATCATGAGTTGGAGTTGGCTTGTGAATGGTGGCTGAGCGTGGATCATATTCTCCAAAACGAGACTCAGCTTGATGGGAAGCGGAGATCGAGAGCTTTTGAGATCTGGCAGAGCACTGTTGAAGAGTTCTGGTCGCTAGAGGGAAAATACGTTTACGGTGAGATGTTTCAAGCAGCCTCCTGGCACCATCTTTTGGAGTCGTCTCTTTCGTGGCTGCGATTGCAATGAGACTTCAATGCAGTGAACGGGTCAAGTTTGCATTTTCGACCGTAGGGTTATTCAAAGCTCGCCATTTCTCGCATGTCTCAAAACCTTTGAAAAGACTGATACGTTGCGTTCTGTGGCCTGGACACACGAAGGATCTCTCGGGGCCGGGATCGATACCTCTTTTCCCGTATGAGTGGGTCATTTACTAGACTCTACTTCAACAGGATGTGGCACTCGTTGACCATGTTGACTACTTAATCTGCCCGGCTGTGGATGTCCAGCGTGGCGTCTGCGGCCACTCTGAAGCTGCTTGGGCGTGTGGTGCTGGTGGTTCAATTCATATTGATTGTGTCATCTTTGTCCGCATTATGTCTTGCACGGCCGAATTTCTCGTCAGTCATCACAGTCCAATTACAATCGAGAACGACATTATTACCTTCTATTTGCTCGTGGGCCATAATAGTTTCACGAAGGGAAGCAACAACGATAATTTACGCTTCGAACGAGATGGCACTTAACTTGGAGACTACACTAGGTATATTCTCATTATATGCCGACCGAAACCAACTGGTCCATTGCTCGATACTACGAATGGTGGAATTAAAACTGGCGCTTACTTGGCGAAAGGTCAGTAAGAGACCTTCGCGAGCTTCCAGCAGTTATACCTATACATCTCAGGGCATCAATTTTCATCCCCTCGCGGAGATTCGAGTCTCCCTTATCTGCCTTGCTGATGCCAAGAATGTCGCTCCGGGTCACTGGTTTGAACAATGGAAGAAGTACTTCGAAAAGACTCACATCTATGCACCAGCCATTGTGATAACTGGTGGCGTATGCCTTACCTGTCTACATGAGTCATTCCCACATACAACCCCGATTCGTTTTGACCAGCAGCCTCGCTCCCTCGGGACTGCGTCTGACTATGTTGTGACTAAGTATATCAAGAAGTGTCTGAGAAGCAGGCATTCGCTGGTGGCTATAGTCGCTCGGCCTCAGGTTTCATCAACTGCACCTATCGAACCTGCACCCCTTCCTCCACCAGCTCCTGCACCGGTGGAATTAGCGCATGGGAAAAAAAAATCAGAGTTCACTCATGGACGAGAGTGCACAATCATTGGCAACCGGCACTTACGACGTCGATTGAAAGGACATATACCATTACTCGGGTGCTTAATTGGCACTCGAGCATCCAGTATGTCCAGTCACCCACTTATTTCTCCTCTACGCTAATGATACCAGGCCGTCGCAGAAAGGGAAATGGAAGATCTCACCGACCAACACCACTGCAAATACACCTGCCCCCCTTGGCCTACCTGCCTCGTGTGCCCTCTCAACCAAACAAACGTCGAATGGAATGGCTTCTAGTCTGGCGCCACGAAGCATTGAACAATCTGCAATTGCGGGCGGAACTATAAGACTTCAATACCAGGATGGCCATATTGGGGACATGATCATGAGTGTCTTCCACTGTTATAGAACGATTGTGGGTACAGAACACGAATTGAATGGTCTTCGACCTGGCCAGGCAAGCACCCCGTCTCAATTGCATGGTGGCCGCCCTGTACACCTGCCATCAGATTTAATCAACCCAACCATCGCACGGCTCTCCGCAGAAAGGTTTATGCACGGACATTATCCTTAAATGCTTTAAGACGAATTTAATCATAGCCAACCCGTAACGGTAAGATCGAATCTAGCCGAGGCTAGCCTGAGCTGACAATTTTCATCCTGCAAGCTTTGAGCATATATTTCAGGTAACGACTGCTCTACTTGTGGGGAATTTATTGTTGAAGATTACGATGATGTTCGAGAAGCCAGCTTGTCCAAAGGCGGAGATGTCACAGAGGTCCATGGGATCAAAGACATCGTCAGACATAAGCTAGATCGTTCAAAACATGCTGATGGAAGACATCAAAGGGGAAGCTGGCGAACTGGCTATGCAATGCGATTGCTCCCTCTCCGCCAGTACAATAGAAGCTAGGCGTCGACCAAGGCGACGGATGAAAATGTCAGCTGGAAGCGAGGTGGCGTGGAATATGAACGCAAGTATAGATTGCCAACACGATCTCGCGGAAACCACATCTCGGGTTTGCTTTCAACTTGATACAACCGAGATCAAACATTAGTCGATAATTGTTGAGCTGAGCTGCCGATAGCACTGATATACCTGATGCCTTAGTTCAGCTTCATCATGCACTAGAGTCTATCTCAAATTGCAAAGTCGTTCAGCAGGCAGTTTCGACAGGGCATCGATAATACTACCCAACTGTCATTCATCAGTTCAAGCGCCTATAAGTATTGTGTGGTGATATCATCCAGAACCTTGTCGTTGTTTCAAGAACATATAATCAAGGCATTTCGTATGAGGTTGAGTATGACGCGGAAATCGTCATCAGTGAGTGCGAGTGGATCTTGCATCGCAATCATAGAGGGGCGAGGAAAACGTGGTCTTTCCAAAGCGAGGTAAATTGTTCCTCAGGTCCCGAGACAATTACTACCGGAGAACTTCTCGACGAGGCTGAGAAGTCAAGGTCCGGCACTTATGTCACTTGGCCTAGAATGGCCGTGTGGTATGTGGCTTCCGGACCTCGATGACTATCTTCGACACAGACCTTCAGATTTGTTCGATCTGTGCATATCTACGGAAACGAGCCAACTTTCAGATTATGGTGGACATGCCTCTCTTTGATTCATCGTCCATGCTGTTCGGCCTTTCTCTGCTGTGGCATCAATGACCATCTTTCCATCAATCTCATACCTTGGGACTTTGAAAAAGAACAACATGTGCTACTTAGGAAGCGTGATAGGCAGATCGCTTGAGCTCAGTGTCCGGAGTCCATGGGGGAGGGTGTTACAGTTGCCAACATGGTTTTATCATGGACTGAATCCGTACAGAAGAACAGTGATGGGCACCCTGTTCGACACCACGAGGACGTGGAAAGGCCACTGCTCCGCCAGCAGGTGACAAGTCGTCATAACCCATTGATATATATAACTCTGCTCAGGTTCAGTAGTCATCTACGACTACAACAGCAGAACAAGAACAGCAGAACAAGAACAGCAGAACAAGAACAGCAGAACAAGAACAGCAGAACAAGAACATGGATGCTGAATACGGCCTAGGTCGTTGAAAACAACCATGTGGAGAGCTCGGAAGTTCACATTCTGGAGGCCGCGTTCGCACGTACAAAGATTCATGAAGATGCTGGGTCTGGTCGACCACGGACGAAACTTACCAGCCTGGAGCCCAGGGTTGCTTCATCTATCGGTCAGAGCCATACCAGTCCATGTTGTCCAGCTGGATGATTGATTGAGAACGCTCACCAGTGTGACAGAGAGAGAACGGCAGCTTCGTTCTAAAACCCGGCACTGAACACTATCGACTTCGTGTGGCCCCTTATGGCTCACGGTTTACGCCACGTTTTGTTCAATGATGGCAACATCTTAACAGAGATTGTGTCGTTTCCACTGGCAATCGGCGATCGCACCTTGCGAGAAAAGGATCCAGTAGTACCACTGATATCCCAGATCCTCAAGAGAGGGGCCAAGAATCTTGCGACCCTGGACTAGGATGCCGTGATAGTTACCACTAAAGGTATGACAAGAGGTTTGGGTTATGTCTATATGCATAAGACAAGACAATACGTCGGGGATGAGGAAGATCCACGAACGGGGGTAACCCGGCCCGTATTTCATCATCAGCTTATGAGGACTCAATGCTGCCCCGGAGAGAGATACGCTAAAGAAGAGAGCACTTCGTGAAGTCGCGCTGGTGACCACTTAAAATCCCCATGAGAATAGCTTGATCTGTTGTATCTTTTGACAATATTTTTCTTCACTTTCTTCAGCACTCCGAAGGGCATCGAGTGCAGCAATAATCGCCCTCAACCCTCCGTATCTTCTAGGGCCCCAAGGATCATTTTCGCTAATCTCTTCATCTTCTGCGATCGTACGGGTGGTCCATCCAACAATGTCATTGCAGATGGCTATCTTAGCATTTGCCACTCCCTCAGCCTCAGCAATGTAAGCCTCCCATGGTGCTTGGCCGTGTGCGAAAGAAATCCATCGGCGAGCAGTCACCATAGCCTGCCGCTGGTACCACTTGTTCCGATGCGTCGGGTACCGGTCGATCAATGTCAGGAAGAGAAACAATATGTCGATGAAGTGATGGCCAGTGGCGAAGCTGTGTAAACTTCCTGGTATTGGATTTGACAGTCCGAATGAATACCGGTAAATCCTTCTGTGTTCTGCGAGACCCAGCTTGTAAGTGAGCCGCTCAATTTCAGCTGAGAATATCAAATCGCCCATCAACTTGGAGGTCTGCGCCCAAGAGCGGACCTCGTCGACTTTGGTAGAAACATCAAGCTCATATTCAGAAAGTACAGCTTCTGCGTGCACTGAAGGAAAAACCGCCATCATAGATTCGACCAATGCAGCGTGTGAGCGATTTCTCAAGCCGGGGAGGGTAATGTCACCCTCCCAGAACACGTCGCCAATAATCATGTCGCCAAGCCAGGGACAAGCAGCAATCAATCCGGTCTGGTTTGCAACCGTAGGTGGACCACAAGTGAAGAGTGAGTCTGCTTCAGAGATTCCAGGGATCGGACCTACGAAGGGACACATAAATATCCCAGGGTACTGGGCCAAAGCCGCCGCATCAACTTGTCTCAATTTTTCCAGCCTTTCACCAGAGGTATTGCCTTCAATCTCGAAGTGCTTTAACATGTCTTGGTACTCTTTATCCTTGACTTCAAATGACGTGTTACCCATGATAACTCCAGATTGCAGAATCGCACGATCAAATAGACGCGTGGGGGAACCACAGATGTGGTAGACGAGGCTGACGCTGCCTGCTGATTCACCGAATGCAGTGATATTCGACACATCGCCGCCAAAGCCACCAATGAAGGTGTGGATCCAAGAGAACGCGTTCCGCTGGTCCTGCAGAAACAAATTGAACGGCCCATGATGACCCTGAACATTACCGGCTGAATACTCGTCAAGCAGATCCTGGCAAACCAAGCCGCCGAACCAATTTAATCGGTATCCTATGTTCACAACAACGACCGGCTGGGAAATTGAACATGCATATGATGCAATAGATGCATTCGAGTGTAGGCCGTCGATATGGCCCACGCCTTCTGCCAACCCACCACCATGAACGTAAACCATCACCGGCACTTTTGACCTCGATGCTGAAGTCAAGCTTGCGACGGGAGCTGATATCGATACTGTAAGACATGTGAATTCATTGTATTCCAATCCGAGATCATCTGCCAGCGGCCCACCCTGAGGAAGCCACCAGGCTGGGCTGGATGCTCCTGTTTGAGGACATCCCGCTCCAAACTCCGTGAATTCTCGGTATGGTCGCTCATCAAAGTTCTGCGGGATCTTCTCGAGTTTGATAGATGGTAGAAAGCGCTTGGGTATCCTAGCGAAGGGAATGGAACAAAATTGGACAACTTTAGCTTTCGAGAAGCGCTCCAGCTCAACCAGTCGACCCGTGAGCTCACCAAGATCTGGATGGGCATGAGTATATTTCAGTCCCACGTACCGTGCTTTGCTCTTCTCAATGGACAGGTGACTCATTGCTCCTACTACTTTCCGTTGTGGCTCTATTCCTATACCCAAAGCGCAAGCACTAGTTTTCGTTGCCGACGAAGCCGTCTGTGGTCACATTTATCATCCATGGCAAACCTCAGGCAATCGTCGCAGAAGTGATAGTTAACGCTTCAGGAAGACTAATATAGTTCACTAACTGCTTGGGGAATTTCTGAATTCGTAAATGGGCCAGCCCGTGTCTTGGCCTCTCGTGGTCCAGCAAGCCCGTAGGACCGAACGAGCACAGACTATCCCAGTAGAAACCTCGGCAATAGGCATTGTGCAGAATGATGGGAAGAGAACAAATCCCCGCAATCGTGCAACTTGAAGAAACTTTATTGCTTGTTCTTTCTCGGCATTCATTTGCCCCTGCTTCTCGTTAACCTCGACAACATCAAGTTGTTGTGTACGAGTTCATGGCGATATCATATTTGGCGAGATGATACTCACATCAACCCAAGTGAATGAAACTACCACACCACTCTAAGGGCCTTCAATATACACTCAGACATCTCGCACCATCTTTGCTGCGCAACAGATCTCACTCTGTGCAATGACAAGGTTATGTTGACGATGTTCACCACCTTCGCGATCAATGGGTCATCGAAATCAGACGATTCGTTTTCGACTAGACCTAACCGTGCTTGTGACAGTTGTCGCAGGCTGAAGATCAAGGTACACTATAGTAGGCGTGATATCTGAATGCTCAACTCACATTTCCTAGTGCCAAAGAGCCTGTGCATCAGATAGGAAGACACCCTGCAAAGAGTGTCATTGGAACGAAACAAGATGCACATACAATGTTCGCCCTGTTAAAAGGGGCCGCCCTCAGAAACGGTGAGAGAACTTGAAGCCAATGCACGCACTATGTCGCTGGCTAATTTGTATTGAAGCCAACGTCTTCTAGCCCAAGCTGATTCCACAGTCGATCTGGACACTGACTCCATCATGAACTGCTGGTCGTGTGAAGGTGCCTCGGAAGGATCGCCTTCCTACGATCCACCAACGTTGACCCAGAGTTCACGTAGTCTCGGAGGCTCACAGATAATCTTCTCCACACCATTTCCAGATTTTCCTACAGATGCGGTAGCAGAGGAAGACTTTTTGAGTGCCGAATTCTTGCCAACAACAGAAGTCGTGCCTGGGAAAGAAATATTTTGGAGCGATCCTGGTGTACGTACTCCAGCGAATACCCAGGGGATGAACATTTGGAGCATTCTCCATGAGTTCTTCGACACTGGGTATATCATATTTCCTGTTGTGTCGTATGCCGACGTCGCAATTCGGTTGCTCGATACCCCAGATTGGCCTGCGGTGCCTGATCTGCGCACATTACTCCTCGCTATCCGCTTGATGATCGCTTGCGGCAAATACCGAATGGATTCAAGGGATGAAACTCTCCTCTACCAGTTGATACGCGAGGTGGAAATTTCGCGACTTGAGTACGATTTTGCAGACCCAGCATCTCTTGACGCGGTGGCTTGTTCTTTGTTTCTTTTTACTGCCTATAATATCCTTGAGAAGCATGGCCGCGCTTTCCTCTATTTGGATGAAGCGGCAACATTATTAGAGAAGACGACTCCGTCCACGGAAGCAGAGAAAAGGCGCAAGCTCCAGGTTCAACAAGTCATGTTCAACACGGAAGTTGCGACTATCGAGATATACGGGACTTCAACCACGCAACGCAGGACAAGGGAGCCGTCATTGACTGAGGACATCGTCTCAGTTTCGCAACTTGAAGACGGCATAGACGTTTCTTCCACCAAATTAGCCGCTCATCTATTGAAACAGCTCACCAAGATCAACCTTGCCAAAGACGCAGACGCACTTCAGAAACTCAACAACGAGTCCCATGAAGACATTGAGATCTTACTTGGCAGTGCTCTTCAGCAGCATCGATACTCTCGAATCCAGGCGGCTGATGTTATTCTGACTCGTCAGTGGCAGCTCTCCTCTCGGTTCGTTCTGGGAGATAGTGGCATCAGCTCCCTTGCAAGGCCATCCTGGTCCACAGTCGAGCATCTCGGGCATGTTGCAATGTCATGGGTGTGTCTTCTGCAAGAAGGCGAACTTCGAGTGGTGGGCTTGGGGAAACTGGCGGGACTGATTCGGAATATTGCTGCATTGGGAGATTTACGAAAAGGTCGGACCATAATCGGTGGTTTGGCTGGCGCAGTAAGCAGGGAAGACCATGACAAGAAATATGCTCCCACCCTGGCTAGAATACTCATCCCCATGATGTCCTCACTTACTTCGACACTCTCCATGCCAAGCGAGCAGGTCTCCCAGCATTTCTTGCCGAGTGTGCATGGCGAAGTGCGGTCAATTCGACCAATGTTGGAATGCGTTTCGAACGATAACCCATCATTTCCTGTGGAATCTAGCACTTCTGACATAGGGGAAATACTTTCAGGCCAACAAGAAGAAACAGATTTCGAGCAGTTCATCAACACATCTTAATTACTCGCTTGAACCCTGACTATAAAGCACAAATCCGGATGTCCCTTAGTCTAGCAGATATCAAAGGCCTTTCTGAAGGCAGCCACCTGCCTTTCGAACCAACCCAGTACAAGTTCAGAGTTCAAAGCAAAAGTAAATCCATGAGGTACGCCGCGGAGAATGTCTTCCTCTACTTGGACTCCAGCAGAACGCAAGAATTGCGCATACTTTAACCCTTGTGGTCGTAAAAAGTCGCAGCCTGCGATTGTCATTAAAGTCGGAGGATGATCGAATACTTTTTTCGAGCCAAGAGGGGAGGCATATCGATCATAGGGATCTAGCTGCTCTCCACCGTACAGCCCTAGACAGAAGGGTTAAACTAAAATGGAAATCTGGCTGAGGTAGCGTTGTACATACCGAAGAGTTTAGTCAATTCTATCGAGACAATTTCTGGAAGTTGGGGTGCACTTGCGAACACCCTCTCGTTCGGACTCTGCTCAATCTCTCGTTGTTCATCAAACATGGCTTCAGCTTTGGGGTGTGCAGTGACGGGCACTACAAGACTGACAAGGCGCAGAACCCAGTCTCTGGCTGTTGAAACCTCAAGAGACTTGAGCACGCATGCTGCCGCAATGTTTCCCCCAGCAGAAGCACCAAATAGACCAACACGCGTAGTGTCGATCTGGTATTGCGGTGCATGATCGGACAGCTTGCCAACAAGGTTAGTGCGGTGAAATACTAAACTGGAGCTCAGCCTGTACGTACCCAGTTCAATGCACGCATGCCATCGTCTACTGGTGCTGGGAATCGATGCTCAGGAGCAAGTCTGTAATCGACACCAATAACCACGACATTTAACATTGCTACGAGTAGCTCAGAGAAAACTGCAACCCAGTTAGTTGATCTGGTTACGTAGAAGAATGAAAATACTAACCCTCATCGCCAATCGGACTGCCGTGAATCCACCCTCCACCATGGAACATAAGTATTGCTGGCCTGAGCGTGGAACCCGAAGATTTCTCATTAGGTAGAGATTCATAAATCCAGAGGTCAAAGCTCTCATCCTTTTGTCCTGGAGGTGACACTGTAACAATGCTCTTGTTGACTTTTGGCAAGTCTTGCGGGAATTGACTTCGAAATCTAGTCCTCTCCTTATTATATCCTTCACTCGTGAACAGCTCTTGTACCCAGCGACGCATTCCAGGAACATCGTCACCTGGTGGCATTTTTGACTTTATGAACGGTAGGCGTCGCATTTCCTTCATGGAACACGCTATCAGCTTCTTCCTGTTTGGTTTCTCGAACGTGCCTCACCTCTAACCATTCTAGATTGGGCTTTTGAAAATCATGGACAGCATTCGGGTCCATTCCTTGCTTCATCATAAGTTCTAGTAGCTCTGGGTCCATGGTGCTGGCAGCAACTGTAGAGTTCGCCAGGCCCCCTGCGATCCCAACGCGGCCAAATGCATTGTCCTGAGTTGCAACGGCAGTCATGATTCTGGTCTTTGGTAGAAGGTATGAGACTACAACACAGAGTACATTCTCATCACTCGTCCAGACACTTATGCATCTCGATTTTTAGACCAGCCACCAAATTAAAACACAGGTGTTCCGACGTCTCTGATCTGCAAATGGAAATCCCCATTCAGAAATTCCCCAAGGGGAATAGCGTTCGGTAGTTTTTGTGGGGAACACGAAACTAGGCCCTGGGGTGCATCTACGAGTACTCTGCTTCTGACACATATTTATCTGTAGGGCCATGCTCATGTCGCATTTGATCGCCAGGTTGAGTTCGAAGCATCTTCTCCTACAAACGCATATCTGCTCTTGTCGGTTTCACACAAATATGACGACCGTGATCGATGACAAGACCAAAGGCACTGCGCACGCCGAGGATCTTTCCCAAAATGCTCAGGCTATGCAGGAATTTGACTCAACTATTCACCACCCGGAGAACTGGTGGAGTTGGCGACTTGTGGGAACCAGTAAGTCTCAGCACTTGGAATCACACTTGCATGGAGACTGATATATGCTTCTACCCGCAGTGATCACCATCGGGCTTTCAATGGGCCTGTTCGGCTACGATAACAGCTTTGCGGCACCACTGATGGCATTGCCTTTGTTTATTACAAGATATCAAGGCCCAGATCTTTCCTTCACGGTAAGTCAAGAAGGTTCAGCAGCCTCATCAATACTAATGGATGAGTTCAAGGCTCGCAACCTCAATCTAATCGTCCCTGTGCCTCTGATTGGTGCAGCCATCGGTGTCTTCATTGCTTCACCGCTGATGAAACGAATTGGCCGGAAGAAAACTTTCCTTGCAGCATACTTCTTGCTTTGCATACCTGGATCGTTTCTTCAGCTTTTTGCTCCAAACATCGGTGCCTTGGTGGTAGGAAGATTCTGGAACTGTAAGAACACCATTCGTCTTGCTGCATCTGAAGATTTCAAGCTAAAAGTTGCTTAGATCTTGGTGTCAGCGTCCTCACGACGACTGCTCCATTGTATCTGGCGGAGATGGTGCCTGCCCATTTTCGTGGTAGAGCCATTGGGTTCTGCGTGGCCGGAGTATCCGCCGTTGGCATCATCGCAACCACCCTCGTCTGGGGCACTTCCAAGATCTTGGATGATCGTTCATACAAGATTCCCCTGGGCCTGCAAGCTGCATTTCCTGCAGTATTTGGTATCATGACTTTCTTTGTTCCCGAATCCCCCTTCTGGCACTTACAACATGATCAAGCTGAAGCTGCTAGACGTACACTCATGACCCTTCGAAACGACAACGTCGAGGTCGTGGAGGCAGAGCTCTCGCTGCTGCTGAGATCTATCGTTGCAGAGAGGGAAGATCAATCAAAAGCCCAATTTTGGGAAATCTTCAAGCCCATGCACCTCAAGCGAACGTTGACGGCAGGTGCGCTGTTGTGTCTCAACCAAGTCAGCGGACTGGTCCTTGTCAGTACTTATTCCACCGTTATCCTTGTTCAGAGTGGGGTTGGAAATCCATTCCAGATCACCATTATTATTACCTGCACCCAATTCCTCGGAACTATGATTGGACCGGTATTAGTGGACAAGATTGGTCGGAGGCCAGTTGCACTCGTTGGATTTTCGGTCCTGTTTTTCCTCGACATTGTGGGAGGAAGCTTAGCTACCGCCGGGTTAACTACCGATGGTCAAAGACTCGGCCTGGCAGCTGTTTTCATTCTCTTTGGTTTCTTTAATTCGGCATCTTTCCAATCTTTGTGAGCCATTCTCTCTCCTGCCGAGCTATATCAAGTACTAATTTTGTCGACTAGGGCATTCGTTCTTCCTACTGAGATTCCAGCAGTGAGTCTGAGAGAACCCACCGTGGCATGGTCGGTCTTTTGGAGCTACACCACCGCTATTATTACGACTTTCGCAGTACCTCAACTCACCGCACCTGATGCAGCGAACCTGGGGGCTAAGTCCGCTTTTATCTTCGCTGGATGTGTTCTGATCACGGTCATTTGGACATACTTCTTCATTCCCGAAACCAGGGCTCGCACTATGGCAGAGATTGATGAAATGTATGCCATCAATTTACCTATGAGACATTGGAAACATTACAAGTGTGAGGTAGTGACATCTACAGCGGCGGAAAAGAAGAAGACCGAGGATGGAAAAGATGTATGAGATCCGCGTCTAAAGCTGCCGGCCCGTGCGAGTCATAGATCTAAGGACGATTGCTCCTTTGCATCACCTGTCGAATCTGCCCAAGATACTCGACTGCTGTCTGATTTGTATCAATAATATCCTGCTTGGTGATCTCTCGACCTTTGTGAGACTTATAGCACCTAGAATCTCGGATTCACTCGAGACCTGCAAATCTGGAAACTTACACTCGATCTTCTGCTCAAGCACCCTTCGATGGCCAAGTGAGACGACTTTTCCAAATGCAGCCTTGCAGGCCGCCGGAGTCATTATTGGGATTGCTGAAATATGGCTGAAGCCGAGAGTAAGATGATCTAGATCGTGCAGTCCGTCCAGAAGCTTTTTACTTTCGTCCGCATGCCCTCCAGGTGGTCCAAGAGACGGATATCGTGTATAAAAAACTTTGCTATGTCTAGGCTTTCCGTCAGGGAATTTGAGAACCACGGTGGAGGGTCTGCTGAATTTAATTCTACAATATCAATAAGAGACGCGTCAAGTGCTGTAAGTCCTGTGATCGCTCGACTGCAGCAAATGTTGGAATAAAAGAACGCAACGTTGTGACTACGCTCTGCAAAGCAGGAAAAATTCCGAGTTTCAGGGTAGCAACTTTGTGGCGTCCTCAGCCAATGCCCGATAGGGTGCCAGTGGAACGGGAATAGCCCCAGAGTACCCGAGATCTCCCTTCGTGCTTTCGAGCCTCCTCGTTATCTTTCCCACCATTTTCGCAATCCATCTGTCATTCGTAACCGCATCAACAGCCACCCTTCTTGCATTGTTGCTCACAGTGGTGCCCATTGCTCTTGTCCAGTCTTTGATGCTCCGTTTTTTGGCTTTGATGTCGCTACTGAAACTTGAGACCGAATCAGTGTCCGAGACATCTTCCACCACCTTGTCCACAGCATCATCGACAGTGTTTCCATGTTCTATTTCGATCATCTTTGTCGTCTTGATTACCGCGGCAATAAAGTCTAGAAGTTCTTGGTCGAAGACCGCTGGTAGGCGTGCATGAGCAGAAATGTCGATGTTCGTTTCGTCCTTGGCTGTCTGTTCCAGCTCCTCTTGCGCATGAATGGCTTTTGGCAGACCATCAGCTTCCACTACCTTCTCTTCCTGCTTCTCTCTGTCCTGCTCGTTGGGTATCTGAGGCAGCACGTGTTCATGATGAGGTAACAGGAACGATGGTATCGTCACAGAGGCATCTGCGCCTGCCAAGCGAACAACTTGCTTCATAGCAACCTCTTGAGGCAGAGTGCGATACAGCATAACATCTTGCACTTTGAGCCTTGTATCGATGTCAAAGACTGTAGACAGTGGTATTTGAGCGAGACCAAGAATGCTGGTAATTTCTAGAACAAAATTGGCATCGGCAAGCCATGCTTTGATTCGGGCCTCCAATCTTCTAGTACCTGTGTCATTCTCTGCGTGGCCTTTAAAGACTAGATCATGCAGCAATTGTCGCAGCCACTTTCCTGAAAGACCAGCAGTTACAGAGTCTATGTGAACAGGATGGAAGTAAGCGATTGCTTTGAGTAGAAGACGTAGCAAGAAGGGTAAACGATGGAGAAAGCGGCGTATGTATGGTGGGCTGAGATTACGCAGTGTTGTGACTTTGATTGAGTTCGGTGGAGGGAAGGGGACAGAGGCTGTGTCATGGAGCTGTGTGCATATAGCAGCCCGCATGTCTTTCTTGTCGTCTGGATTAAAGGCATCGCTCTTCGCATCGGAAGTGTTACGAGCCATGGCTTCCACTTTTCGCTTGCTCTCTGCGATTGGACTGGTCTCCTCCATGCGCGACAAGGCATTAGTATATGTCACTGTGGCCTGTTCTTCGTCAGGTGATATCTGAGTGATTGAGGCCAGACCATCTCCAGCAGACACATCTTTTGGAGGGTTTCCGTCCGTCAACTTCTCAATCGTGGAGACTCTTTGGACCAGATCCGCTCTGAAGCCGTTGTCGTTCTTTAAACCTGTGATAGATGCTGCATTGTCTACCCCTAGGGGAGGCTTGCTGGTTTCCACATCTGTAAGAGCATGCTCAAGTGTCATCTCTCCTTTACCACCTTTCAGGTTTCCATAGACCTCCCCAATATCAATGCGTCGGAACAGTGAGATCTTCACCTCATCAACATGAAGAGCGATTTCCATGTCATCAGAAATCTTGATGCCAACCTCGATCCCGTGTGCGATGATATTGAGATGAAGTAAAGAAAAAGTCACGCCCCGGACGACAAGGAGCCCCTTAACATCGACATCGATCTCCAGGGCGGGAAGATTGAGGAAGGCAATTCTATCATTAATAAAACGTGGCTGCTTTAGAATCGAGCCAAGCACCGTTCTCAGTGCATGCGCTGCCAAGTCGAACTGGTAGAGGGATGCAACGAAGATGGTCAAGTAGCAAGCTGGGATGTAGATACCAAACAGCAGCCACGAGGTTGTTGCTACCGAGTAAACCAAATTGATGAAGATGATCATCGTCCATAGTGGAATGGGAGGTTGAATGCGGCAACCATTAGCCTCGCCTAACCATAGGATGTAAGTCAAGGTAGGCGTTCCAGACAATGCCCATCTCAGCGGCCATTTGAAGGTGGTGACGAGAGCGATAGTAAGTCCAAGGAAGATGTGGGCTCGCAGGTATGTACCTGATCGGTACGCATGAAGATCTCTTGGCTTGGATGGGTCTCGCGCCCCAAATGAGAGGTTATTCTCCATGACTTTTAGTAAGACCGTTCCAGATCAGGTAGATCAGAAAACACGACACTACAACAAGGTCTTTGTAAAAAGTCTTTTTGTTATGGTGGGGGTATTATGATTGAGATCCCCAAATTGGTGATGGTGATCTCAAAATGACGTAGTGGTTCAAACACAGTGAGCGGAATGACGTTCCCGCGAAAGTTACAAGCATGCGAAGACAAGGAGGGCCGGAGAATCAATGAGGAACTGCAATCATGGCAAACCGCGATACTAACGAGCATAATGTATCATTGGGGATCTCAACAAAGAGTTGTTAGCAAAGACCGTATCTGCCCCTGGAGTGTCTTGAAATCCGTGGGCGCAGGCCAGTGTCGGACTAGTGCCCTTGCTCGTGCCAGTGATGTAGCATTCCTTCAGACCTACCTAGGTATGGTTATCAGATGAACGGCCAAGCACTTTTGGCGTATCGTAGGGCGTTGAGAGTCCACTCCTGCCCTGGGGCGGTCCTTTTGGCGGAGACTCGGCGGAGCCAGTTCACTAATTTGAAGGTATCGCCGGATCGCAGGTTCACGAGTCAACTGCATTTGGTAGCCGTCTGGTTTGGGGCTCCTGGACATAACATCTATCGAAGGCAAAACACAACAGCAGTCCCTCAATCAAACTTCCGTCGCAGCCTTATCGCACCATGTTCATCCTTCTCGTTCGGTTCCAAGACCAACATAAATTTATGCTGGCCACTCTTCCCAAGAGCCTTGTTGACCTCTCGATCGGAAGCCATCGTGACTGCAGGCTCGCGCAGAATTTCTTCGACTTGTGAACTCAGACTCTGCGCGTGTGCTTGCCAGACGTTGTTTATGAAGGAGAACGACGAGGTTGTTGAATGCAAGATGCCCGAGGAGTGGATAGTAATGAAGCCAACCAAGATGAGATGAATGGCCAGATATGTCAACATAATGAAAAATCCCAACGACCTAACTGGTTGGAACACTGACAAGGCAAAGCTTGCAGAGTAGTCGGTCTTGGTATCATGAAAAGGAAGGAAATAGTAGAAGCCATCCGCAGTCAAAGTGTGGAAAGGGGCTTGAAGCGCCAAAGCAGGCCAACCTGTCTCCTGGATTGTTCTCTGAAAAATGTCGGCGCGTTGTTGGTTCACGCTCCGTATATTAAACTCCGCCACTGTCTCTGAATAAGCGAGGAAACGGGAAAGGTTCCTTGTGTCTCCTCCGGAGGCGAAAGTCGCACCCAGGGCGCGATGCCTATTGAGCGTGAATGAGAACGGATTGATTGTGGCTAGTGACGACTGGTCGAAATAGCTGTCATCTCTCATGATGACTGCCCGATCCATGTCGAACTGGCGCTTGAGCTCCTGTTACGAGAGTTGGAAAATACCTCGGTCCTCTTCCGAATCACTGTCCACCGAAGCTCCAGTTTGATGTAACCCTTGACTAAGAGTTATCGGTTCGGTGGCAGGTCTGATTCTATCCGCCTCGATATATATCGTCTTGGTATCGTAGAAACCTCCATAGCAAAGAGTTGCATCAATAGACCAAACGTGATCCAGCACGGGGACTAGGTCCCCCGTGTCATTGGAAATCAGAACGCTGTCTGGCTGAGAAGATGTCATGCTAAGCCACTGGCTGTGTGGACCCAATTGCCAATCTTCAGTAATGCCAAACCTTATCGGAAAGGAGGTGGTGTCGATACTATAGCCCGAGGTGTTGGTCATATTTAGGATAAGGTAGGCAGGTCCAACTGGGATCGGAACTTTGTTGAGCATATGATCAAACTCATGAGCTGTCGATTGAGTCGAATAGCCACCTTCCTTGGCGTCGACGCGGACGTAATCATAGTGAAGGGATGTGTTATATGATGGATCGACAGCGCTAAGAAACCCACCAACACCAGGGTCGAGTATACAAACAGTCATGGGCCAGTTTCCAAGTTTACCATCCGAAATCACGCGGCACCCGAATTTAGTAAATCTGTTATCTGGAGGAAGGATGAGAGAGGTGCCTAATGACCTCACTGGGCGAACACTGCCAGAGAGGCTCAGATCCCCGGGGTACGGTCCACTAGAGCCTGAGAAGTTCAGCCCTTGGAACTCCGGCTGAATGCATGCGTAGCGCGCATCATAAATGGTACCATTGCCACGAAACCCTAGGAGATTTGTCCAACCGTCATCGGCCACTAAGGGAAGGGAAGCACGGATGACTGGTCCGGTGTCATCGATTTCAGAGTCTGTAACCGCATCCTCAGGATGTGAAGACTCAACAAAGGCAGGATACGATGTTTCACCGTTCAGAAAGGCATCGTTGTATCGCGGGACTTTGAGATTCCATGTATCACCACGAGTATCGTTGATGAATTCGAGAAACGCGGTAGAGGTATTATGATAAGACGGAATAGAGGCGGCTCTAAGATCCGAAAGCAAGATGGTGGAAGTGAACTGTGAAATTGTTGTCGTACAGGCCATGAAGCAGGCCATTTACACAATGCTGCGGTTGAAAGTTGCATGGCGCCATGTCGTGATCAATGGTTTGATGATGTCCCACGGACCAGAATTATTATACCGCATTGTGGACAGCTGGAGGACACTTGAAAGAGGTACTCCAAACATGACAGACTTTGAGGCCAATATAGATGTACAAAGAATGGCTTGGAAGGACACAATCCAGCGAATGCAGAGTGAGCAGAGGGTAATGACTCTCGCTGTCCAGCCTGACCTGATGATGGCGTGCCAGCCTTTCTGAGCTGGACCTGCAAACCAAAGAAAGGCCAGGAAGGCACATAAAGTAGCCAAGACTGCGGAACCCCCTACTATAACACTCAGTGGCATCAAAAGAGATGGCCTAGGTCGTCTCGGACTGGGGTGTGGGGTGACAGGTGGGCTAGAAGGCTCTGCGGCCAAAGTGACTGGCGGAGTAAGCAGCTGTCTGTTGGGAGGCCCATCATCAACGTTCACTCCGGGACTCGGCCATGTCGCATGCTCATTTCTGTCCATGGTGAGAATAATACCCGCCACCTTAAGCAATTTGAGTGGTTTGGGGGAAACAAGGCTGAGATCGAGATTATCAAGGTTGAAACGAAAACGGGGACGTGAAAGGCTTCAAGAAGTATATAGGCGTTGACAAGAAGTTCTCCACCAGCCCTCATTGTGGTTAAGCAGGCCTGGAGGCCGAGGGCATCCATCTAAGGATGCGTTCCTCTATTTGGTCAGCTAGTTAGTATGGGTCTCCTGCCAGCCACGGCGTGGAGGAAGGACGCGACCAGTAGGTGCCCTTGGGCTCACAGGCAGTGCTGCGTCCTCGCCCCTTCTCCAACAAGCCACAATACATCAATTGTGCATGTGTATCAGCTCGGCATCCAATCATAGGCAACACGAATTGGTCGTGTCTTCTAATGAGAAAACCCCAGCCTTGTAATCAACCACAAACTGGAGCTTGTATTGATTTGTGGCACACAATTGTTGGTGGAGGCGGATCTTGCCGAGCCTATCGAGCGAGACCAACCAAGCTCTCAGCCGCGCTCCGACAAGGGCACAGACAGGGCAGACCGATTGTTAATGAAGTATCGGATGATTGATAAGATAGTCATTAATTAGTAGGGTATATCTGTGTGTAATTCTAGTTCTTATCGAGCTAGACTTCGTAACAAATTTTGAACATCCTGAGGGGATAGTAGTAGCCCTAGTTAGCCACTTGACTACAATGTTTCAAACACGAATCCAAGGCTGCATTGGAAACCACATGGGAGGTATTATGCGTACAGCCTCAACAGTACTTATCTGCGGCAGAAGGACAGGGCCTTGAGATTGTCCCTCGTCTTCAGCTAGAGAATGGTGGTGCTGCACTTTTGGCATCGTGCAGAAAATGCGAAACAGGGAGAAGTTCAATTTAGAAATCAAGCCTGCAATGAATTTATGGGGTTTCTTTTGATGCCGGAGGATTTCGCTAGATAGCTACTCTTATAAATGTTCGGAGTGCATTCCTGCGCAGGTCAACAAGGCTGGCGTGCCAGGGGAGGATAAGTCACGTGAGCTTCAAAATGCTCTCGCAAGGCATCGAGGGCTTCAAGGCAACGGCTTCTGTCATCTTCATGATAACTAAAGGTGGCTATATGCTACAAAAGGTGATTAATTTGCTCTCCCTAAGGGCTATAGCGCCCAATACTGTTGTTATGTCCTCTTTGCGACGGTTAAGTTGTTCGTTCCCTCGCTTCCACCATTGGGGTTCATAGTAATCTCACATCGTCATCGTTTGACCGAGCTATCCACCGGGCCATGGACCTCACAGTATCTTGCCCAATTTGATGTCCCTAATTTCTGCATGTGTAGTCCTCATCAAAGCTCAAAGTCGCTTGCGGGTAGCCGGGATGTTGGATGATGCCCTTTCCTGCCTTGACAGAAGCTTTAATAGAAGCAAATTCGAGGACAGCGCGTCCATAGCCTTCTGGACCTTTGTCCATTTCCCAGCTCATGTCAATCAATTCACGACCAAGTCCAAAGCACATGATCTCGCCTTGAATGTTGGTGTACTGATCAATAGTGATATTGTTGATGAAAAGAATCCTGGTAGCTTGGAGCATGCCATTGATGAACTCTTCCATCTCCCCACTTCGCGGGTAAGTGGGTTCGCGAACGAGCCAGCAGTGCACCGGAACTCCATCGATCTCAAGGTCCTTGCTGCTCGCCATTTTCATCGCTCCTTCCTCGAGAACAAAGACAATACGGGCAGTCAAAAGGCGTGTTGCCTTGCCGATAGGTCCAACCATCTGGAACGATTCCACTGTTCCGCCATGGGCAACATTCAGAACGTCTTTAGAACAAGCGATCACTGGAATACCGTCGATCATGACTGTCCGATAGATATTTTCATTCTTCACCGCATCATCCGGAAGGTAACGAACAGGATGGTTGTAGAATTGCGAAGTCAAATCCATCGGCGAACCACTGAAATATTGTGCCTGTTCTTTCTCAAAGTTGTCGTAGAAGATCGGATTGTCTCGATGGATTTTCCATTTTGGTTGACCGGGAAATTCAGATGGCAATTCGCCAACATAGGAAAGGGTGGCAGTGGTCGCGGTCGTAGAGGAGAGCGAATCAGGGGTCTTCATTCCGGCTCGAATATCACTCCCAGTTCCTTCACGAGTGATGGTTCCATCTGTGCCCGCACTGTCCTTGATCTCACAGCGATCGAAGCTGTAGAACTGGCGGAAAATGAGCTTGAAGGTACAACGAAATCATGAAGAACAACTTACGCTATCTTGCAATCCATCCTTACTGGTAAGAACAGGCTTCTTTCCGTACTTGGCAAGGAAAGCAGCAGGCTTGTCGGAAGTTAGTACAGAACAAAAACCTTTCCGGCCGCGCAATAAAACTCACAAGTTGGAGAACTGGTTCTTCAGCCAGCTACAGTCCATTAGCGATAAATCGAATAAATGTACAAAAGGACTTGCCTTCAGCTTTCTCATGCCATCACAAGACGACATGTTGATGTTGACTTCAGGCTCAGTGCGCGTTGGCTGCTCCTTGAACAATGCAAGCAGGGGAGCGACCTTTGCTTCAACGGATTGAAGCTCGTCGGCGTTTGAACTGGGAGACACCTCAATGAGCTTGTCTGAGGCCTGTTGAACAGGAGTCGCAGTGATTGTATCCTGAAAAGGATTGACCACGAAGTGTTTGCGCAAGGTGCGACGGGCGTTAGATGTGAGCGTATCCTTGAATCCTTCACTTTCGCCTTCGAGGGGTCGCAAGTCAAACAATTGAGTGTCATCGACTTCACAAGCAGACTTTTTTGTCGCATGGTCAATTGTTTCCTCGGCATTCAGAACTTCACCTATTGCGAGTCCTGCGCCGAGAGTCTGAGCTTGTACATTGTCGTTAGGGGTCGCCTCAACGACGTTCATAACCACCTTTCCATTAAGTCGTGCGAAATCCTGATCGCTACTCTTCACAAAGCCGTTAGTTCCGTGTCCAGAGTTAAGCTCAAGCGAAGCATGAGCATTTTCACCGACGCCGTCTTCCATCAACTTCATCCGCATCTGGAGCTTTCGAATTCTCTCACTGCTGTGGACAAGCTCACGACCAAGTCTGAGATTCTTCTGGATTTCTTCATGCAACGCCACCCTAGTTTGCTGATGGCCTTGTTGTTCTTTGAACAGAGCAAGAGTCAATGATTGATTGATCAACGCCGGGTCTGGAAACCCGATGGACGCTGCACCAGGATTGCCCGGAATGTAAGGAGAATTGTCTGTATCCATGTTGGCGTTCTGAGCTTCATGCATGGGAAAGGGTGCCTAGATCAAAGTTAGTCACTCCACGGGAACAGGCGTACATTATACAGTAGCCACTCTTGGAATCAGGTACTTACGTGAAGACTGTTGTCAGGGCAATGGCGAGCAACTGCTTGTCTGTGATGAGTTGGAGGCTGAGGCAGAAATTGGTCAACGGTACATGAAGAAATCCAGATGGAGCAGAGAACGACCGAAACCAAAGGAAGAAGCTTACCACGGACAGGATCTCTGGTTGGATGCGTTGTTGTCTAACAGGACTTGTGGCACCCTCAACAGCAGAGCGGACCGCAGCAGGGCCAAGACGCAGACGCGAATCGCCCAAGTCAGGCTTGATATGGGTGTTGAAAAAGTCCGTATCACGGTTGACAGCTGATTGATTGAAAGATCGGTCAGCGTAATGTCCAGCTTTGACACGCGCAATGATGGTGTTGATGTTGTTATTCATGTATGAGGTAGCTATGGCTTGCAGGGAACTGATATTGTCAACAGGTGTGAATTTGAAGCTGCCCAGCTGGGACTGATTGAGGTCTTGACGCTCCATGGGAGGGTACTTGAACAGCCGATCTGAGGGCTTGTCAATAGTCATGGTGGCGATCGTTGGCACGACAAGATGGGCAGAAGGGCAGGACAGGCTTTGATGCAGTGGAGAAAGAAATGTGACGTGAGAAGATATACTGAGTTTGGCACCAAGTGACGAGAGACTTGGAAGACGTGAGAACAAAAGGAGAAGAACAAACCTGGTTGATGAAAAGGACGCCGCCTTAAGGGCAAGAGCAATGCTCACTCAGGCTGCAGTACTTTCTGTCAACTTGAAACCTCCTTCCATTCAAGTTGATACTGACTGCCCAAGGCTCATCACCACGGCGAAACTATTCTCCGTGCTGGTGGATCAGGAAGCACCGGGCATCGATGGAGGTCAACATACCCAGCCCAGGAGTGCGTTAATAGGACCGGGCAGTGAACAATCAAAGAATGGTGGACAATCATGTGTCGTTAGCAACAAAAGGCTATCGACTTACAGCCTTGTCGCCCCAATAGAATGCTGTGTTTCATTAAATCATAGCTCATAGTAACAAAGATACTTCCCAACCTCGACCCGAGCGCCAATGCTCATGGACAAAGCATTATGCACTCCAAAGGCATCAAAAATCAACTTTGCCGCCTCTCCAACATCAGAGCCATCATTTCCAACTGTGCGTTAAATGCTTTGGTCCTGTCCAGAATCCCTCCAGCATCAGATGAGTTACTCACATCGTTCGCAACACTTCGTAACAAAAATTCAATCCCCTCATCAACCTCCTCTTCGTTTCTTTCCACATCGAGTTCAACCCGCCTTGCAGTTTCACTGATGTTCCATTTCTCTCGCACATCTTGTTCACAATCCCAGTGCCGTCTTCTCACCAAATCGCACTTCAGAGCAATCTGCTCTCTCTGCTTTCGAATCTCAGAATACTCCGCTTGCAAGCCGGCCTTCTCCCTCTTACTTTTTCGCACACGGGCTTCAAGCTCAATGCGATTCTCGACAGCTTCAGACATTTGGAACAGCTCCTCGTCCAAGTCTTCACCAAATGCTTTGAAAGCGGCTCTCTTGGTCTTGATAGCAGTGCGGTCAGCGGATCGGGTATTTTGAGACATGCTGTTGATCAAATTGGCAATGGTCTCGCGACATATCTGTGCGAGAACATCAACAACATTTGGCTGCGAACGTTCAAGAGGTAGAGTTGGAGTAGCTCTACCAGAATCTACTGCATGACCATCTTCATCGGCATTTTCTTGTACTGTTGAAAGTGCTGACACCTTGGTCATCCGATGAGTCAGAACAGGGAATGTTGGCATTGGTGTTTTTCCTCTTCTCCGGCCCTCGACTTGACTGGGCTCCTGCTGGTGTATTCGTCTTTTAGTCGTTTTCTTGGGTGGCGCTGGTGTTGGAGGTTCTGGTGATGCATCCTGAATGTAGGTCTCATCACCATCCTCTTCATCTGCCTCTGGAGTGAAATCCCGTCTTGGGGCGATTCTCCGTAGACGAGAAGGCTCGGGGTCTCGATCTACCGCGCTTTCTTCATTCCCTTGCTCCAACAGACTGGGCTCCGCCAGATTCTCCGACAGATCTTGCAACTCTGCATTTTGGATGAACCCAGCGTCAGTTGCGGCCGAAATATTAGACTCGTTCGAGTGTCGCTTTTTCTTGCGTGCACCCACGACTGAACGCCTCTTTCGCTTCTGCGGCCTTGAGCTTTTGGCGGCAACAACTTCAGGCTCAGAAGCGAGGAGCACCTGTGGTTGAATGTCGGCTTCAACTTCTGGTTCTGGGTTTGGTTGACTAAGTGGAGCAGTATCATGTTCGATGACCAAATCGTCCTCTCCAAATTCTGGCGGATTCGACTCGAGGTCTGGCTCTTGGACAGTTTTTGTTTTGAAGAATAGTGTTGCAGGGTCCGGAGTAGCGTTCAAGTCGACCTCACGGCGGCCAGCAAACGCGTTCTCCTTTTCCGGATCATGCTCATTTGCTACTGTTTTGGGAACACTAGCTGCTGAAGCGGGTCTTTCAATGTTTCGTGGAGTTGATGATTCGTCGACTTCCAACTCGTCATCTTCAGCTATGGCGAAAATAGACGATTCCTTTCTCGAAGAACTTCTAGTCGTCCGTACACTTGCCGATGTCGCAGAAGCCCGTGACAGCGTCGGCGTTTGGTCGTTAGCAAGTGAAAGCCTTCTTCTTTTGGAAGAGCGGACACTTGACGAAACTGTTAGGTGGGCGTCTGGGAGTGACTGGCTAGCGGCATCGATTGGAGTCTGGTGAACTGATCTAGCCACCAAACTTCTTCTCCGTCTTAGCGTTGGAGTTTGGGAAGTGCGGCGTGGCCTCGATTGACTTGCTTGAGGTGTTCTCGTCGTCGAGCGACGTGAGTGAGCCGAACTTGGAAAAGAAAGTCCGAAGTCAACATGGTCGAGTTTTCGATTTCTACACTAGTAAGCAGGTATCGGGAATCAGTATTTGGGGAAACTCACCCAGCACCTCTTTGCCGCATCTGCTGTCTTTCCTGCCTATCATTGCCCATCCCAAAATCAAGGCCAAAGTCCGCCCCAGCAATCTGTCGGGACCTACAACAGTTTAGTGGATGGAAATCAAAAACGCGGTGTTGGAGATACAACTGACCCTGCACCTCGTTGGCGCTGCAGCGCCCTTTCCTGCCTATCCATTGAGATGATGAATCTTACAATAGGATCATTACTTGATTATGACGCACAGAAAAAGATCATAAACTCAAAGACGCTGATAGCCACTGTCGCATGTCGTTGACTTCAAGACGCGTTCGGACTCCAAAGACGCGTCCGATAGAGTTTATCCGGGATTGAGCCGAAATCTTGGCAAATAATCAAGATACTATTCCGTATTAGGCTAGCCGGCCCTGAACCTAGTTCAGCCTTCACCGGATCCCTAGGTACGTGGCTTTGGAACACTGTCTACACACTATAGCCCTGGTCAACTTTTAGCATCGACTCTCCTGTTTGCAGCACTGGACTCTTCCTGACTCCGGCTTCTGGTCTTTCAAAGATTCCAAAAGGTCAGGATGCTGCTGGCTCTCCCGCCTTTTCGCCGCTATCACCCTCTTTCTCACCGACAACTGCATCCTTGAAAACGGCAAAGCTTGAGGGCATTTCTCCCAGTACTGGAAAATGAAACCCGCACTTGGGACACTGCTCAGCCAAGACAGCCTGCTCTTGGGCGAGCTCATACTTTTTATCCTGCACCTCGTTGCACACGGGGCACACTCGCAGCAGCCGGGTGCCGACGAGCTCAAAGTTGGTGATGATATCCTCCATGATGGCACCATTGGCGGCCCACGTCTTGCAAAACTTGTGGTAAGTGTCCTTGTGCCAATCATATAATGCGCCACGGCTCGTCCAGAAGCTGCATTCGTTGTACCAGCTCCGGTCGTCTGGGTGCTCCCACCAGGTCAGATGGAGGAAGCCTGGAAGCTTCATCAGATGGTGACGGGTGTCGGCGAAGAGGACTTTGAATTTCTCGTAGGCGTCCGGACTGGAGAAGCGCACTCTTTGCATGCTTAGATAGATAGGCATGATGGTTTCTTGGGTAGCTTTGGTAGGCTGAGTCTTGAGCGGAACAACAATCTTTACCAATGGGTGAGAGGAGATATGGTGACAAGAGAGCAATCAGCGGTTTAAGTACTACTACAGGACCTGACTGGCAAGATGTTTGATTGTTTGTAACTTGTGGGTTGGCTAGTATCAGGCGAGGGAAATGTCATCCTTGTGCCATCAACTTCTGGCATCGGTGGAGTTGATTCGATCGCCGTGAGCGAATTCCCATGAGCCACGAGCATGATACTTGCTTATTGCCAGTCCCATCAAGTGATAAGGCAGGTACATGGCCGTGTCCATCATGGTGAAATCCTCAAATCTTATGCCCAAGCCCAGAAGGGTGATAATAGCCCCTCTGTATCTTGAAAGTTATGCGGACAGTATTGCGGGGCACCCATCAGAGAAAGCGCACTAGTCGAATCGTTTTTTCGACGTCAGGCGAACTGGAAAGTCTAATTCGGAATTTAGTACAGGCCACACACGAGCGCGGAATTGCTCCAAGGAGTTGGTGGCTGTGCGTTTGATTGGCTACACCCACCTGGAATGATGGGTGCCGACAATAGATGTTGATACGGACATGTGAGTTGAATGTTACACAAGTTGAATGCATGCTTCAACAGTCACGAGCCGTAAGTCTTCGCGTGGGGAGCAGCAGAATGGACTACACTGTCATCGGTGTTGTCGAATCGAAATCAATCGGAGGAGATTATGAGCTTCAGCTTCTGGTAGAAATGAGAATCTATAACAGTTGGAGTATGCTCTGATCAGCAGCAATGAATCAAATCACTACTCAGAAAGCAACTTGCTGATTTCTCAACGTTCGCAAACCGGAACAAAGGATCACTACCGCGATGGCACTATTCGAAGCTCAACCCCAGACTCACGTTGTCCACGGCGGAGTTCAATGTCCTGCCCCCGAATCATGGTTGCCATTTGAATGGGAGGAACCTGGAAAAGGGAAACTGGTGCATGGAGAAGTCATGTTTGTCCGCCCTTTCGGGACATCTGGAAGACTTGCCGCCGGGCTTTGGAGAGCTGGCCCGACTTCACCAGGCGGTCGACCAGACGGTTCTAACATTGTGACCTACTCCGCCCCACTAGGACATGAAACAGCATGCGTGATCGATGGCACCGCCACCCTCACTGTCGTTGCTTCTGGGAAGACATATCGAGTCGGACCGGGCTCTATCATTAGTTCCCCTAAGGGAATCGAGGTCGAATGGGCAATCGATGGTCCTTTCTTCAAGAAATACTGGTGCATCTGGGAGGGCACTTCCCAAGTTCCCAACAGCGCACCGGATTTCCAGATCAACCACGTCAGCGACAACCCCAAAGATTGGGTCGACTATCACTTCACGGAACCCAAGGAGGGCCCGCAGGTTGCAGGCCAATTGTACTTCATCCGCACCGCAGGCTCCTCAGGAACCATGTTGAGCGGTGTTTGGCGGTCTGGGAAAGGCATAGCAGCAACCAATCTCGATGCCAATGGCACTTTGACCACGCCCTATACTGGCGTATTAGGTGACGAGACCATTCTGCTGCTGGCCGGCGAAGTTGATGTGACGGAGACTGAGAGTGGGAAGACACACAGCTTCAGGGCAGGCGATATAATTGGCCTCACCTCAGGCATGCATGTCACCTGGGTGTCAAAGGGTCCATTTACCAAGAAACTTTGGGTTATTACCAAGGATGAATTGCCAGCCTCCAATTGAGAATGCAAGTCGAAGTCTAAGTAGATAAGACCATACCTACCTAGGTAGATCAGCAACAATAAACTTTCACACGAGTGCCAGTGCTTGACAGCCCACCGCGGAAGCGGGGAGTCCCCAGGTACTTCGTATCAATTAGATAGGTAGCTTCTAACCCCACCTCCGACGTACGTCCAGTCTGGAGTTAAAAATTGAGATAGGCAAGATACTCATACCACGGCGCATCAAAGCTTCAAGCCACAAGATAATACTTGAGCTTATTTCTACATAAGAACGCCAGTTCTGTCCACGGTGTGGATGCCATTATTATCCCCCGCATGAAAACCATGGTGCAACATCCAGTCATGGCAAACTCGGAATCCAGCGACACTTCAAAGCCATCATGTATCAATCAGCCGGAGCCAAGTGGCGACCAGCCTGTCTCGTCGCGGCGCTTGAAAAAGCGCGAAGTGGACCGGCGATGCCAGCGTGAAGCACGCGAGCGAAGGAGGTCTCGCATCGCCGACCTCGAACAGTTGGTCGAGGCAATGAGACAGCGAGACGCGAGTGGCGAAGTCACGGCTCTTTTGAAGCAATTGAAGTCTGTCGAAGCGGAGCGGGACATGGCGATGAGAACTTTGAGAGACATCCAGCAAATCATGTTTCTGCGACCACTAAAGCTCAGCGACCCTCCTAGCCAAGGTGCTAGCTTTTCCTTCAGGCAGGTGAGCCCGGGGGAGAGCAACAGGGGGAGTGGATTTATCGAGAGTGCCCCGGGACCATCTACCAGAGAAATAGCTTACTTACAAAACTCCTTCCTCGAAACAAGTGCATTGGCAAACGATGGTTTGAGTATAGACAACACTATTCCAGGGTCGAAGGCTACTCTTGACTTTCCTGATATCCCATTGAGTCGCGGCATAGTTGGACGGAATAACCCATTACCAAAGTATCAGGCTTTTACGCACACAAAGCATACCGGCGGACACCATACCACCGAGTCGATGTTTGAAACATATAATTGGATTAATGCAAGGCAGACTTGCTGTTGTTATGACCATGTCGAACGACAGCCAGGTCAATATGCTAGCTGGCAGGGTAACTTCTGGAAATTCATCCGCGATATCCTGAGCGAGCGCTTTGACTGGGAAGAAGATCTTCAGCCGGCGGATGATGTCGAGTCTGAGGATCTTCCCATCCGCGCAATGCTAGAAGGCTGGGATGCCGTTGCAAAACGTGGCCCTTTACATCCTTCCTGGCAGATGCTGCGCCGGATTGACGAGTCTTCGTTCGGTCCAATACCTAGGATCGAGCGATTGGCGATGCTTCGGGCCATGCACCTCCTCATACAATTCCACACCGATCCTAGCCCGCAACGACATAAGCGTTTACCGCCGTGGTATATCTACCGACCATCGGAGCATATCGAGCATTGTTACGCCATCGACTACTACGCGTGGCCCCCATTTCGCCAACAGTTCATCCTCAACGAGCATGCGTACTGTGGCAACGATTTTTTCCGCCTGTACCAGGATCAGATGCGGCTTCTGTGGCCATTCGATTTCCGCCAGTGTTACACCCAAGATTCGGAGACTGGTATGTATCGACCCAGTCTTTTGTTCGACCAGACAATCAACGACATCAAATGTTGGACAATGGGGCCCGACTTCTTCCAGCGGTTCCCTGAACTGTCTGGTGCTATCCCGAATACTGGCCTTCAAGTCCAAAGACCGCTAGCCATGCCTACCGTACCAAGGAAAATGGGCTTGCCAACTTCTGGAGCATTGCCTATGGCAATAGCACCAATGTCCAAGACTGTTCTGAACAAGGCTCGGAAACAGCCACGCGGGAGTCGACATGTAGAAGCAGAGGATGACCAGACCAACGTTGATCCCGGAATACCAGGGGCCACCTTAGCTGCTCAAGTCGACCAAATTTTGCCAATCATGTCGGAACCACACTACACGCAGGGTGGAAATATCTTCCCATCTAACCAAAGCCACATCTTTCAGGAACCAGCCGGGGATGTGCCTTTTGAAATGATCGATGGGTCGCTAAACCCTTGGGATTTTGACTCGGATTTCTTGAATGTAAATACGTTTCCTTCCGTTGCCTTGGATGAGAACAACATTTATCTAGGGTCTGAGTATCAGTGGGTGCAGCAACAGGCCAGCTATTGATGGGTTCGTCATGAATGCAGTCCTGTCAATTGGAGTGGTAGTTTCAGACTCCAAGTACCTGGGTAGTTTTACTAGTAGTTTAGCGAGACTTTTCTCCGTAACGAGAATATATAGGCCCGCTGCTTTATATCTGAGCCTTGGCGCTAAACTGCAATCGGTCCACTCGGGGGCACCTCTGATACGCACCGTTTCCCTAATAGCATTCGCCGCCAATACCACGACGATGAAGCGCCTGTCCCGCTAAGGCAGCCTTAAAGAGCCTCCAGTTGGTGAGTTGATGATAACATGTCTTGGTTCTGGGGCGGAGGTGGTGGCAAGGGGGATCAAAGCGATCCGGCGAAAGCACTTGACGATGACTTGAAGCAATTCTTGAAAGATCAACAACCCAGACCATACCGGCCTGCTGAGCTATCAAAGCCTACCGCTCCGACTCCAACACCCCGAGAAACGCCGGTTCCGGTCGCTAGCACATCCCAGCCTACAACGGTGGAAGATCGAGGGCTTCCCAAAGAGTCGTTATTTCAGGACGGTCGCTACAAGGATATCTGGAAGACCTATGTACCTCAGGAACAAAGCGGGATTTCGCCTGTAGAGAGGGTCCTCGAGGCCCGAAAAGACCGGCGAGCGACGATCCACAAGGCAGCCATGGAAAACTGTGCGTTTGAGCAACAGATGCAAATGGATTGCATGCACGCCAGCTCATGGGCGCAGAAAATTCGGGGAAGAGCGACTCTGTGTCATGAGGAGAACAAAGCATACAACAGGTGTTACTCCTTGCAGGCCAAGTTCCTACAAGCTCTTGGATATATGAGCAGCATGAGTAGCACGGACGATGACGAGGAAAGGATACAGATGCATGCGGATAAATTATATCATCGCATGATGGACTACGAGGCTGAGGTGGATGATGCCAGACGAAATGGAAAACCCATCCCACCACTTGTCTCTCTTTTCAACCCAAATCGAACGGCCCCGTCGGCGGATCAATTGGTGCTGCCCGAAGTCATCGCGTCGAAATTGACCAAGCCATTGGATGATTATGCGCCTCATGAAAGAGAATTGGCGGCCAAGGCGGCACTGGAGGAAGCAAAGGTGGCAGACACATATGCCAAAGATCTATTTAACTACACCACGACCATGAACGAGGAACGGAAAACACGACAAGCGTGGTTAACGAAAGCATTCGGTGACACTCTGGGGAAGTTCCTGATACCGGATGCCCCGCAAGATGCCACTCACACGGCGTATAACGTTCCTGAATTGGAGGAAAAGATCTGGGAAATTAGTAAAAGTGGATCGACCGAGAAGTAGTGTTGAAGGGAGGAGCGATAATTCGATATCACCAGACCAGGCTGGTGGATTTCTGACCATGGCAAGCTCCGGTACTATGCTGGCGAGGATTACGGTGGGCTGTTGTTCGCAGCTCATGACCACCATGATTGATACTACTACAGCAAGAAATGATATCTCAACTCACGTCTCGAGTCGTCACACGAGGGCGGGGCTCCGGCATATCCTGAAGAAGGAGACCGATCGAGGCAAGCAGGATCCATATGGTCAATATACCATACTTGAGATGATGGTATTGCTGCGTATGCAATGAAGATGGTGGTCAACAAGGCCACATGAGCCGGGATGTGAAGCGGTAATTGCCTTGGAATGTACAAGTACATATCCATTTATGACGACGACATGGCCCTCGTTTTTCGCAAGCCGACGAGGCTTGGAGAAAGTTAGACGGGAGCACGCAAAACTTGTACAAGATAGGAAGGCATTTGAGAATGTCAATGTAATTGGTAAAGTTCGCTTATGGGAATAGGTGAGAAAGTGATTAAGCACCTTCTTGAAGTAGTGGTAGCAGATGACATACCTTTTACGCCGATCCCGCATCCCACCAGACGAAAGCTTCAGCTTCGGCATTGGCTTCAGCGACCTTCCTATCCCATCCAAATTCATGCGACTTATCTTCGGCTTGGCCTGATGATCCGTAACCGTGCGGGATGTGGTTGGCTCTCTGTTGGCCCGACACCATGTGGCAATGGGAAGGAGCATTCGGCTAGGGAAAGTCCAGTACGTACCTTCGATACTCGTACCTGCTACCCACTCACTGAAGCCAGGAGTCTGAGAGGGAAGGAGCGGGGCAGAAACCAAACGTCAAAGCACGCCTTCCTCGTTTAACTGACTGCCACTAACTCGATTGGCTCCCTAACTAATTGGACATTTTCTTTTCAACAGCGTGGTGACTGGCTAAACTGCAGCCCCAGAACCGGAGTCGATCTTGTTCTTTTGCTTTTTCAAGTTGAACCGAATCGTCCGTTGTGTCGTGGGCGGGACACTCTGAGGCCGCATGACGGCATGGAGCATGGTGGGAACCCCCATGTCCAGTACTAAGTACCGCCTCACATACAATCACAAAGGTCGCTAGTATGCCATCTCCAGATTTCTCGTCCTCCATACATTTATCTGATCCTGTTTCCTACGTCTCTTCCATCGCTTGCCTCTTGCTCGCCCTCTGCTTCATCATGGGCATTTTCACCCGGCGATCAGATTCCGACGACACCCCGCATGACTCACCACCCGCATCTTTCACATCTGACACCCCAACGACGATAGAACAAGACGCGCCCTTCTTACAACTACCACCCGAAGTCCTTTATCAGGTTCTGGCTTCCCTTCCATGCCAGTCATTGGTCTCCCTATCTCGATCATGTCGACAGTTACGCCGCCTCTCTCAAACAGACCTGTTGTGGGCAAACCTCCTGCGACCCAATGTTCCCTCCGAGGATTTTCCACCCGACCCATACCCATCCGCATCCTATCGTGACCTCTACATAACACATCACCCATACTGGTTCCTTTCAAAGTGGAAATTATGGATATCCGACGAACCCCATATTGGCAGGATCATGATCTGCAGATTCGATCCGAGAAGAGGTTGTATCGAAGGCTATCGCTTGTTGGCCGAGAGGTCCCCGTCTATGGGTGTTGTCTGGCCTTACGATGATGCTGTACACATTCATCTGTTTGAACCCAAAGTGCATCTCTGGCTCGACGATCCTATTTTGAAATTGGCACATGACATTGTACCCTTCAACACTCGCCAAGGTTGGTGGGAAGGAGAGATCAAAATGAGCGTAGGGCGTCCTGGTCACAACACCTCTGCCTCGTTTTTCCTCAGTCGAGACATCCCACCGCGACTTCAAGACAAAAGTATGGAGTTGTGGCCACCGCGGACCATTCCCAATATGCCTCGCGTGCGCGCGGCCAGTGTTGACAAATTTCGAGGACGAGGTCATAAACCACAGAAGTACGATGAGATTTCCCAGACTACGTTTCGAATGAGACATTGGTCACAATTCAGCACGGGGGCCTCACATTTTGGGATCCGGATTGGAGAGGAAGTCAGTACGTGGAGCACGATTGATCCCAATCTTTATACTCCTACGGCGGAGAAACCCTACCAAGGTATTTACGTGGGTGACTATGCCGGTCATGGTTGTGAGTTTCTCCTAGTTATGCAAACGGACAAGGCGCCAGCGCCACCTCCAACGATGGCCACCAGCCGTTATTATGACGTTCCTGAGGCAGAACAATTATCTCAACCAGAATCGCTCGATCTTTCCGCAGTGAGTGACCCACCAGTCGCCGTGGACAGTGGGATATTCCGAGGGGCTATCGAAGCAGTAAAATTGACTGGTGATCCTAACATACCACGTGGTGAACACACGTTTATCGCGGACGACATTGGTCCGGCAGGTCTGATCAGAATAGCCGATGAACGACCTTTCAAAGGAGCGAGAATTGTGAAGAGCCGTGGACATGTAGCGGCAAGGGGATTCCAGAACGGTAAGCAATTCAAACAAATCTCACACCAAAAATCAAGACTAATTGCGATGTAGATGAGTTTATCCCTTCCCAATTAATCATGGTGAACCATAACTTGCTGGCTCAATACTGGGTGCCTTTTGGTCATATCTCGTACTATCAGCGAGTTGATCTCGATAAATTGATCGATGATACTTTTCGCAGTGGTTACGCGACTGTTACGGAACCACCCTCGCAGGGGATAGCATCATTGTAAACCATTCATCTCATGCGACGGAGCATAGGATAGATATGGCATGGCCAAGTGTGGTCCAAAAACAATGGTTCAGCAAAGTCACAGAGTTGAGTTTTATACCACTGATAGCGTTCCGTTTCCCAAGTATACTCCTCAGAGTAGGCAACTCCTGCTGTTGGTTCAACCATAAGAAAGCTTTCCACGTAATGTGACCCATCGTGACTCCTCATAATGCAAAGTAGCGGGTATATCGACAAGTTCAGAGGCGTATCCCTTCTCTAGCCACCAGAATAATAGGTCATTCACCACCCAGTATCCAGTAAGCACATCCTCATCCTTCTCATGCCTATCGCCTCCTCTCAAAGAACCCACTACTGCCCATGACGGCCACCGACTGGTCCATGACCCACTCGCCGACGCCGAGATATCGATCGACCCAAGACTGGACCTCCTTGCTATCGCCGATCGAAGACGACTTGATACTGGTAGGACTGGCGGGTTAGTTAGAGTGAGACAGACACGTGGTATTGCTGGATAGGTGAGATGGGCGATAGGAAGGGCGGGAGGGGGAGGGGGTTTTCTACGAACGTGAGGCCGGTGCTTCTCTTGACGCCTGCCAGGAATGCTGATATCAGGACCGCATCGAATGCGTAGTGTGTGAGGCGTCCGAGCTGTTATGTGGGTGGGTGGCTAGGTTAGTAGGTGTTGTAGTTACTGGAAGGGAGGGGAGGGTGGTTGGGGGGAGAGACGAACAACCATCGTGTGTGTGTGTGTCTTGTTGCTGTTGTTGTTGGTTGTGGTGAGGAGGAGGGAGTGTTGCAGTCGAGGCTGCCTGTGTGGGCGCTGGGTGGTGATGGTGAGGGCGGTCGAACTGGACGATGGATGCACCAAGCACACTCGTACCGCAACATGTGATGTTGCAGCTAGGTACCTGCCTAAGTACCAATTTGGAAGAGGTGGTTCGGAAGGATGGTTATTGCGGCGCCGAGATCAGATGTCTTATCGTTATCGGTGAAACACGTGCAGAGAGGGGCCCGTCGAGGGGTAAACTTGCAGCGCTTGTTGAACTGGAACTCTGGCTGAATTGCGGATGAGCTTTTTTGTTTCTTCTCAGCCTGCCGAGCACCGCAACGAAGCTCATGCAACGTTCAATTGGTCTTGTTCCCCCACTTTCACAACAGCTCCTCTAAGCTTTCCAAAAAGAGTTCCCATTGAGGTCCCATCCCCGTCCCATCACATTGCGGCTATCAAGCCCGACCCTGACAGGGCCTTCTCATTCGTTCCCTCGCCCAAGTAGGTCCTTTTTCTGGGCCTCACTTTGGCTATACCAGCCACGACCAGCTAGATAAGCGTGACGTGAGGGGGCTCCATTCTTAGGGTATCACTGAACAACAATTGGGTCCATCTCAACGATTGCTTTTTTTCCCAGCAACCCAGCGACTAGGAACCACAAAAGCCCGTTTCCACAGCCTCACCAATATCCCTCCCTCTCTTCTCAACAGGGTTATACTTTTACCCTCCTACTTCCTCGACAAATCCACCGAAGTTCCCAAAGGTATGTTGTTGTAAAATCATCCCTCTCTCCTGACTCACCAGCATCCTCCTGTGTCAAGTCTGAAACCCGCCGCTGACCGCATTAGTTCATCGGACACCGGCCACCGCCTCGTTGAATACAATCTCCTTCCTCCGCATTTTCTGCAACTTTCAAAACCCAACCCCAACCCTTTTCCAATAAGCAGTCAAGAAATCAAGCAACATGGGTGACGCCTTGGATCACCTTTCTAACCGTACCAAGTTGGAGTGGCAGGCCAACTTGAACACGGAATACACGCCCAAGAGAAATCACCGCAGAACCAGCATCATTGGAACCATTGGTAGGCCAATAGCCTCCAATCCCACACCCAAGATCCTCAGAGACTGACTATGTGACTACAGGACCCAAGACCAACTCTGCAGAGAAGATCACCATCCTAAGAAAGGGTATGTCCAAGCCTGCGGCGGTCAAGAGAAAGTGAAATACTAAACACAATACAGCCGGTCTCAATGTCGTTCGAATGAACTTCTCCCATGGCTCATACGAGGTAAGACTACTCTCTAACGCAATCTCATGACCCAGCACTGACATAGGCAGTACCATCAATCTGTTATCGACAATGCCAGACAATCGGCCAAAGACTACCCAGGTCGTCCTCTGGCCATTGCTCTCGATACCGTTCGTTATACCTCAACAGCCACAGCTTAGTACTGATATTGACGGGTCAAAATAGAAAGGTCCAGAGATCCGAACCGGAAACACTCCTGGTGACAAGGACATCCCAATTCAAGCCGGCCTAGAGCTGAACCTGACGACGGATGATCAATATGCTACCGCAAGTGATGACAAGAATCTGTAAGATCCTCCCACAAGGAAAAGAGAAGACTGTGATACTGATAGGTCTCAGATACGTAGACTACAAGAACATCACCAAAGTGATTGGTGCTGGCAAGTTGATCTACGTCGACGACGGTATCCAATCCTTTGAAGTGATCTCCGTGGTGGATGAGCAGACCCTCCGAATCCGAGCCCTTAACAATGGACAAATCTCATCCCGAAAGGGTGTCAATCTCCCTGGTACTGATGTCGATCTGCCTGCACTGTCCAAGAAAGATATTGCTGATTTGCAATTTGGTGTCAAGAACGGCGTGGATATGGTGTTTGCATCATTCATCCGTCGTGGTGAGGACATCAAGCACATCCGCACCGTTCTTGGAGAAGATGGAAAGGATATCCAGATCATTGCCAAGATTGAGAACCAACAGGGCATGAACAATTTTGACGAGATTTTGACCGAGACCGACGGCGTCATGGTTGCCCGTGGAGATTTGGGCATTGAGATTCCGGCTGCAAAGGTCTTCATTGCTCAAAAGATGATGATTGCCAAATGCAACATGGCGGGCAAGCCGGTCATTTGCGCCACGCAGATGCTGGAGTCCATGACCACCAATCCCCGTCCTACCCGTGCGGAGGTGTCTGATGTTGCTAACGCAGTGTTGGATGGAGCGGACTGTGTCATGTTGTCTGGGGAGACTGCCAAAGGCAACTATCCCAAGGAAGCAGTGTCGATGATGCACGAGACATGTCTGTTGGCCGAAATTGCCATTCCCTATGCCAATGTGTTTGATGAGTTGAGGACTAGTGTTCTACGACCCATCGAGACGGCCGAGTCAATTGCGATTTCGGCGGTGGGTGCCAGCATGGAGTTGAACGCAGGAGCTATTCTGGTCTTGACCACCAGGTAAGTTTTGAAATGGGTGTGTTTTGAGTGACGTGGCTTGGTCTAATTCGCAACAGTGGTTCATCGGCGCGTCTCCTCTCCAAGTACCGACCAGTGTGCCCCATCATCATGGTGACACGAAGTGCCAGTGCTTCAAGATATGCTCATCTGTACCGAGGAGTGTATCCGTTCCACTTCCCAGAACCCAAGCCGGATTTCCGTGGGGTGGACTGGCAAGAGGATGTTGACAAGCGATTGAAGTGGGGTATCTCATACGCGATCAAGTTGGGTGTCTTGACCCAGGGTGAGTCGGTGGTGTGTGTACAAGGCTGGAGAGGTGGAAAGGGTCACACCAATACCATTCGCGTGGTGCCTGCCGAGGAAGATCTCGGACTGGCTGAGAGTTGACTCCCTGCGGTGGGTGAGTTCTTCGGCACGCCAACCAAATCGAAGCAATTCGTTCCCCCACCAATGTCGCCGACATCACCTACTCACGCACGAAAGAAGTCCAGACCGGTGTCTGGAAAGTTTTCTTTCGTGTGATGGAATGGAGTGGATGATGGATCGGAAGAATCTATCGAGTCAAAGATATGCAAACGAGAATGTTTCTTGTCGTTGATGATGCTACCTAGCTTGTGCGTGTGCCCACCCAAAAAGATGAAAAGAAGGGGAAATGTCGATTGGGGAGGTGTTTGTCGACAGGCAGAAATGACATGTTACTTATGAGTACGTATATTTTCTATCGACCATTCGGATCAGGTTTTATGAATGTTGAATGTCATGATGAAGCAAGGACTTGTACAAGTGAACATATCGATGCCAGTGAGGGAAATCGGTTATTTCAGTACTCGGACCGGGTCTCAATAATCTTCAAGCACTATCAAGCATTGTAGAGCTACAGATTCAAGGAATACCAAGGTATATCAGCTACCTATCCATCCATCCAATTCCCACCCCCAAAGCCCGGACCCCCTGGCTTTGAGGTCCCCGGGAGCGGAATGTTTTAGGCGCTCGCCTCACCCCGATTCGCAAGGGGGTACTATTCCTGAGCATCATCCGTTTCATTTCAATGATAATCTCCGTTTCAGAATTGATTTCAACCTGCCCAATAATTGTCCCTGGAAAAACATACTTACTGTATTTAGGTCTTACTTCAAGCTTTCTGCCCTGTCGGTGAACCACAGTAAGTATTCCGTGGAGAAAGGGATAGTTTGGATTGTCCAACGCCCTGTTTGAATTCTACTCGTACAAGCACCCGGGCGACGTACGTTGTCCAAGCTGGTCTCTCGTAACTCGACGACATTCCAACTTCAACTCCATCTGGCCAGTATCCGTAGTCATTACTATCCGTATACTCTGAAACAATCTGACCGAGCTCCAGACCTCGAACTCCATCCCTCATATTCCAACTTTCTGTTATTTTTCCTTTCCCCTTCCACCTCATCTTCGGTAGGGATCTTCACGTGCTTTCGTCACGTAAGCCACGTCGCGTCACGCCTCCTTCACTCGCTAGATTATTATTGGGAATCTCCACGCTGGCACGCCCCCAACTTTTGCTCTCACAGGGCCAAAGCTCGTGATTTGGTTTGATAGGGGCCTCAGCTTTGCGCCTTCGTCATTCTCCGTCCATCCATCCCATCAATCAATCGCTACACATCCTCAGATCTCCCTTCAGCTGAACCCTACCTCTCCAATCCTCCGAGCCTCGACCGTGCACCTTTCACATTTACCACTCTTCCCTTCTCACAATCCATCAATCTTAAGAATCACGAACGAAAGAAAAGAACAAACGGAACAAGACTCCCAACTCCTCTCTCCAACGCCGCGAGAGTGTTTTACGCAACCATGGCGGCGGCAGGAGGCGACACGCCAAAACAAGTCTTCTCCCGGCCCAAGGCCCCTGGCTTCTCAGATTCCTTTTGGTCCGCTGATTATGCCGGCGGCTTGGGCGTGCTCTTCCAGAAGCTGCAGCAGGGCGTCGTTGAGAATCAGCAGGTTCTCACGATCGCGAGTCTGAGAGCTGATGCCGAGGAAATGTATAGCGATCGCCTCGGTGACATTGCGCCGACCATTGATCGTATGAATGGTGGTTTCGCGAGAGATGATGGCGCCAGTACGAGAAAGGTAGGATCTGATTCTCAATGGCGCACAACCAAAGTCGGACTCATACCAACTAATTGTTTGACTGCAGGCATATGAAGGTGTACGGAGCGAGATGGTCGAAGCGACCAAGAATCACAAGAAAATTGCAGACAACATCCGAGAATTAGTCGTCAACCCTTTCTCCAGATGGTGCGACGCGCATGCCACGAGAATCCAAAATTCCCAAGATGACCTACAAGGCAAGATCAAAGCCCACGACCGACAAGCCGAGGCCGTCAAGAAACTGCGGAGTCATTACTTCAACAAATGCAGACTGGTGGAAGATCTAGAAGAGGAGAACAAAATGGCCTTTCAAACTGCGGCCAAGGAGAGCCCAAAACCCCAGAGCCCTCCACCTCCCAAGATTGTCCTCCCGGAGGAAGAGGTGGAAGAATTACCTGTGGACATTGGTGATGTGACATATCCTCCGGAGCAGCTGAGAGCTCTTCTGACCAATATGCTCGATGTCATACCCCTGGGCGAATTCAAAGTCCCCATCTTGGGAACCTATCAGAATGTGTCTTCCGGCACCGAGATTGTCGAGTACGCGCAGAAACAGATGAAAGCATCGACCATTGGCTATGCTGAGAGAATCGGACAAGATCTGGTGGACCGTGGATTTTTGAGGTTGGTCGGTAATATGGGAAACACTTTTGCCAACAGTTCAAGGATGAAGTATCAGTGGAAACCCAGAGTCTTCCAAATCACAGGACACCCAGAGAAACGAAAACCCTTGAACAGATCTACCACCACAGGGTCAAATGATGGGTCGGCCGACTCACCCATCGGAAACATTGCCGAGACCCTTCAGACTTGGAATCCTCTCAACAATCCTCATCCTAATGAAACCCCTGCGGACAAGCTCAAGCGAGAAGCCAAAGAGGCCGATGAGAAGTATAAAGCCGGAATCCGAAGACTAGATCAACTCCGATGCACCCTGGAAGAGTCCATGATGGACCACCTGAAGTTCTTGGAGCGATGCGAAACTGACCGACTCAAGGCCATCAAGTCTGTCATCCTCGACTTTTCAGGCGCCATCAGTAACAGCATTCCATCATTCCAGAGTCAAGTCGACCACATGATGCTGTACCAAGAGACAATCCAACCCCTCGGCGATCTGAGATATCTTCTGGAGAATTACCGAACCGGTGCATTCGTGCCGAAAGTGACACCATATGAGAATTACTATGGAAGTGTTGATGATCAGACGTTCGGTGTCGACTTGGAAGCCAGAGCCAGAGTCGACCGGAAACGTGTTCCGATCATTGTGACTTCGATCTTGACTTTCTTGGACAATCATTATCCTGATCTCGAGGGTGATGAAGCTAGACGGAATATCTGGTTGGTCGAAGTTCCTCTGGCAGCTACTCATCATCTACGGAACCAAATCAATAACGGAGCGCCAGTTCCAAGAGAAGTTCTGGAGAAGTATGAGGTCCCGATTGTTGCGAGTGTGTTGAAGTTGTATCTTCTTGAATTGCCCGGTATGTTCAGTTCGATTTATATTGCATTGTTTCCCCTTTCTGACTGTCACAGATTCTCTGGTTTCATCTCAAGTATACGAAATCATCAAGACGATATACACAACCACTTCCGACGCCGTCCCCAATCCTATATCAAGCGATTCCATCGATGCTTCACCCAGGATCAAGGTTCTACAATCAACACTCGGCCAACTTCGACTTAACAATATAGCAACATTGGACGCCATCGCCACACATTTCACACGCTTGATAGATCTGACATCTGCAGACGAAGCATACATCACAGCACTAGCCCAATCACTAGCACCTTGTATCCTCCGACCCCGAACAGAGAACTCCCTGACGTTAGAAGAGCGCCACGCCTACCGACTAATCCGAGACCTGTTCGACCACAAAGAATCCATCTTCGGAGAACTCAAGCGTCAATCATCCACCCTCTCCGGCTCCAACAGCGTCTCTCAACGCCAAAGAGCACCCAGCACCGCCACACCAGACGAAAGCTCCCGAAGAGCAAACATGGAAGCGCGCGCCCGCGCCATCACCGAACAACGGCAACGCGACAAGTCTCCCGGCCCCCACAACCGCCACCGCCGCGACAAGAGCACCGACGGCAGCATGGGCCGCTTCCCCGTCGTGGCCAGCCCCCGTCCAGAAGGCACCAGCACCCGCCCAGCCAGCGGCTTCGGCCTGCCCACCAAACGCGCGAGTCTAGAAGTTCCCGGCAGCAACGAATCGTCACCCGTGCAACAACGCAACCAGAACGCCACGAACCGAAACTCCGAGATCCGCGTCCAGACACCGCCAAACGTGCTCGCCTCGGGCACCAATGGCCAGCAACACCACGAGCAGTCGTCGCCCGACACATTCATCTCGGCGACCTTCAGCGGCGGCGGGCCCGGCCCACACATCCCGCCCCCTCTGGACGACGACAGCGGCGAGTCGGACTCGACACCCGCGCCGCCGCCGAAGGATAGGGAAGATCCAGCCTCCGCCACAGCAGGAGCGGGAGCGTCGAAGCTCGGATCTTTGAGGCGCGGCGCCGCTGTCGGCCGCAATGCGACCGGAAGTATCAAGCGTACGCCCGTGCCGAGCCAGCAGGGTGTGCAGTTGTCGGATCGCTCCATGGACGATTTCTCATGATCACGTACGTAAAGTTGGGATGGTTCGACGATCGTTGTATTGAGATAGACTTGTGGCGGATTGCCCTGCCTGCTGGATGGGGTTGATTGTTTGATCGCGTCCATGCGATGGTTGGTGTTTAATGGATGCGAAACGACGACTCAGACCTTGCCGGGGCCGGTTGAATTGTGATTATCGGCCGTGTTGTCATGTCATGTTCATGTCGTGCAATCGCTGGAACTTGGTCCCAGCGGCTACTGTGTAGCGATTCAGCGAGGGAGAAGGAAGGCGCTTTCGCTGCCCAAGAATAGCTGTCAATCGATATAATGTCTACAGAAAGAAATCAAGAGCAGCAGTAAAGCAGAAAATGACATCTAGCTACCCATGAACTTACTGAATGCCACTCTCTTCCTGTTCCGTTCAATCGGGCTACTGTACCCTATCTATCCTAGCGACCTTCTCTGAGTGATCCTTCGCTCGACAGAGCCTGTTGTCAAAGGGGTCGACGCCATATTGTTTGATTTTCGATGGTTCGCTCATAACTCCGTTTGAGTAGCTTAATTTGGTTCGGGCTTGCTGAGACTAAGTTTCAAGAAACGTGTAGACAGCTTGTTCGTGGCGGTCGCCGTGGAAGGAAGTCCCAACCCTCATGATCCTCGAAAGACCTGTTCACAGCCATCGACGAACTCGCTCCGCTATAATGCACTTGCGTTGGGTAGCATACAGATTCCAAGATAGCCAATGATGTTGCGGTCGATGCATGCCATGTGATTCCAAATTCGATCAGTGACTTGATCAGCTGTCCATCTAGAGATGAGGACATTCATGGATCGATAGACGGTCTAAAGCACATCCTTTGGTTGCCCAGCAAGCTCAAGACATTCTCCTCCAGTCTTTGCACTCGCAGTGGCCTTGGGCCTGTAAACGATAATTCCGGAAATCGACTTCTGCGACTTTCCAGCGGTTCGTCCTCCAATGCCAGCCTGAGTACTCCTTCTGGGACATTGCCGTAAGATACTGAAGAGCAGTCGTCCCTGAGAAGTCACGCATATCAAGGTCAAGATGCATACATCCGTCGAGATGGCGCAATAAATCGATGTTCACGGAGCCGAAAATGGCTGCGTAATGTAGGATACTCCTACCTTGTGCATCGACGGCAAGGAGGTCAACGCCTGCTTCTTGAAGCAACAATAAGATGCCCAGAGAAAGTATCCATTTAGTATTGACAGCCAAAGTGGCTAGATTCCTTCCCTCCTTGTCCAGATAGTCCAAATCTGCACCGCTCTCGATCAGCCTTTGTACGATATCTGATTGTGGCTTCCCCAACTTCTGTTCAATGTAATAGGCAAGAGGGTCTCTTCCCTCCAGATCCTTGTGCCGCGGATCGACCCCAAGTTGAATCAACTTATCTATGGTCGCATAGACAGGAAACCCTTCAACTGCGTGATGTAGTGCATTCATCCCTTGATAATCCAAGGACGTTTCGATCTCCAAGGAAGTCGAGCTTCCAATTATGAACTCGACCGTGGACTCACAGCCACTTAGAGCTGCATGATGTAAAACATTCCAACCTCTTTTGTCTTGAATCAGCAGATCTTTTGGACCCTTCAGCAGAATCTCAAGGCACTGAACATTTCCAGCGCGGGCAGCAAGATGGATGGGTGCTATACCTTTGCCGTCTTGCAGTGATCCCTCAAGACCATGCTCCAACAAATACTGTGTCGTTCTCCTTGCCGATTCCTTGTGGTCATATGGCACATGGTGTAGGGCCGTGTTGCCATAGATATCGCGTTGATGAAGGGATAGCCCTGCCCCTGAACAGAGGATTTCTAACATCCTGTGTCGTGATTCTCGCCAATTGTTCTCAAAGTCATGCATTGCGTCTTTTTTTTCCACTTCATCATCAATATCAAACAAATATTCAGGCATACTCTCGAGCATAAACACACCAGCAGACCAGAGATCTTCTCTGCTCTTGTACTCGAATTTGCTGCTAAGCACTAGATGCAAAGCCGTGTTACCATCCTCGTCCTGGAGTTGAGCATTTGCTCCAGCATTGAGCAGTGGCTCTATCATATTAGGCCTTCCAAAGTATGCAGCTGCATGCAAAGCTGTGAGTCCTCCATGTGCAACGTCTTTTCTGTCATGAGTCTCATGTATTGCGCCGGGTTTCCTTCGGACCGCCACATTGCTGTCAAATCCAGCCTCCAAGAGCATCTGGACCAGCGCTACATTGCTTCGTAATGTCGCATAATGCAGACAAGTCATGTTATCGCGGTCTGCGGTTTGCACCAGTCCCCCATGGCTGATAATCCCGCGCACGACTTCACGATTGACCCGATCAACATGTGTATCGACTGCTCGGTGCAAGAGACTCTTGCCATCACTATCAAGCATCTGTAAGTCAAGCCCGTAGCCGATCATCTTCTCAATATGAACAATTGGATGACGACAACGGACGGACCGAAGAGTCCGGGAGAGGTGTACACCCCAGTGCTGATGAGCGTACTCCCTGAACTCTGGCTGTTCGCCCCGAAGAGGTCTTTCGACGCTGACAATCCTCGTGCAGGCCAGTGACAGCCTCGCTTCACCTTCATCAACGTTGATGCTGTGTTTACAGAGACTCATATCTCGTCTGTCCTTCGATCGATTGATCTCTGTTTCTGGATTGAGGAGGTACGTTCTCAACGTATCATGGATCAAGTACACCTTTCCGCTGACTACCTGCACCAGCATCCCGCATATGTCTCTGATGATATCCGTCGCACGGTCAGTAGTCGTCGTCAAGCCCTGAAAACCTGGTTGAAGCAGAAGAATCATGGCGAGCTCGCCGACATTCAAAGCTCTCTTTGCTGCCAAAAGGATGGAAAATATAGCTCTTGCCTTTTTGTGGTCTGTGCAAAGAGTGAGTACCCGTCTGTAGTGGTCTTCGAGACCTCGCGGGAGATCATTCACTGCATCCAACAATGCTTGGGCCGTCGAGGGAGGCTTCTTGCGCAGGGTTTCCAAGAGAAAATGAGCGCATAGGAAATTCTGTCGCCGACCAGCCTTTAATCTAAAATCTACAAGTTCGACCTCTTCTTCTGTAAGTTTTAAGGTCTGAACTAAGCATTTGAGACGTTGGCTGATGAACGTTTCGACATCTTGGGCGAGACTCTTGTACTCCTGTGCTCCATTGATCGAGAAGACTTCCACCCGCTGCTGAAGTTCACGAGAGATAGTGTTGGTAAGAAAGTACGGGCGACTGCTAACGGCCAATTTGAATGTCTTGCCTGTATCTTGAGCGTCCTCGATTAAGTCCGTCAGATCATTCACAAACTTGAGGAATTGTTCTTCGCTGTTACCTCCCCCAAACTCATCGACAGCATCTAGAACACATATAATGGTACCGACTCGAGAATCAGACATGCATTTTCGAAATATGCTCCAGAGCGAGTTCAATTCTCGAACTGAGTTTTTGCCGTGTTGATGGAAATAGTCTACCGCAATTTCGATTAAGGTCTCATCGGTGAGAAAGAGCTGATGCAGAATAGCCTGTAATGCAGTTTCAGCGACATTGTCCTTCTTGCTCCCGTCGAAGAAGTAATATAATATTTTTGGACCCGGTATCGCCAGATGTGTGTCGACAAGGCGCCGGCAGAGCACGGATTTACCAGAGCCTGGGTCGGCGGACAACCAGAGGCAGGAGCTGCGAGGGCTATTCAGCCATGCACGAAACTGCTCTTGTTCGAAGAACCAAGTCCCTGTATTCTTTTCACATTTCGATTTTGTGTTCTTGAATCCTTCGTAGTCGTGCGTCCTGAAAGCTTGGAGCGCTTGCGAATACGTTTCGTTGGCCCAGTAGGGGCTAGAACTATGAAATGGAACATCAGCATTGGAGCATAAAATTTTGGATAAGGCTTACCATCTTGTTTGAACTTTCTGGCCAACAGCCTGAGGCTGGATGACTGACAGCAGCTCTTTCGCATAAGCTGCCGCTGTCGCCGCTGCATATGGCTGCCACTGATCGTTCTTGTGCGAGTCGGCGTAATCGCAGATTCCACGAATTACCAAGTACGGGAAGTACATCACGCCTGCTGCTTCCATTTCCACACAAATAATGTTCAGATCACCGCGCGATAGACTATCTCGCTCAAACGCGTTCTTAACCACCTTATTGGCCGATCCGATCGTCCCGTAATGGATATAAGGCCTTGTATGTGCGCGATCACATCGCTGAACGGTCTGAAGCACATTGCAATCATTGCAAGTCGCACCGCCCTGGTGTTCATAGCTTGATCGGAATAAGAGGTCTTTCGCCGTCGTAGGATAGCTATATTTCTCCCTCTCATTGGGAAGCCTATCCACTATGCTCGATTGATGTTCGTGGATTTGGCTTTCAGATAGCTCACGCCGCGCAATTAGTTGCTGAATGGCTTCTAGTAAGATCGAAGGGGGTTTTTTCAAGGCTCCTGTCCGCTGGAAACCTTTTACTGTCTGCTTCCCCATATCATATTGCACGACACCACTACCTACGACGACATCGCCTAGTCGAATGTCCACAGCATTGTGTATATTGGGTACTCCGCCCCCAAAGCCAACCAGCAGTCCAAATTTGATCGATGGGAAGTCATGCTTAAGTTGCGCGGCTTTGATCGCTGCAGCAATGTTGCCAACCTCCGATAAGACTGCGATGACAACATTGTGCCCTGAAATTTCCCCAAATATATAGGTATTGTTTCCGCGAGGAGTGGGGGGCTTTGTGTGCTCATGATCCAGAATGGCTTTGACCGGAGCTACCTCCATCCCCATAGGGCAGATACAGCCCACCGTGTAGTCGCTAGTGGAGAGAGCCATGACTGCAGGTGGTTCGAGGAGGGCGCCGAGGAAGAGCAGCAGGAGGTATCGAAGCGCAACAAGTCAGCGGCCTCCACAATCAGGCTGAGTTACAGAGTTGCCTTTTCATACAGGAGCGATGTGGGTTGAGGTTCAGTCTCCCGGATATGTCGCTCGATATAATGTACAGTCGTCCTGCTGCACAACCTGCAGTCTTGCCAACCTTAAGCAACAACATGTTGAAAGAGTTTGAGGCTGTAGACAGAAGTAAGTGGTGTGCATGTGGCTGAGGTTTGAGTCGGCCAACCGCTAAGGGTAACGAACAGCAAGAGCCTTGGTTAATACGTGGCACGCCTTCCAGCCTGGTCGGCAAGTGTCCTTACGTTGACTGCCTCGCCTATTCTGCCTGGTGTTGTTTATTGGGGGCAAATCACCCATCGGTCACTGGCCAGTATCCCTCTCTATTTAGCTGACTGGCATCATCCCAAGTCAAGTTAGCGAAAGTGCATATCGTTGGTTCGCGATAATTCCTCTTCACATCTGCATTAACCATGCAGTGTCCAAAGAGGTCAAGGGTATGATATATTCAGTACGATCTTAAGCTCATCTTATATCTTTTAGGAAAGTAATTATTTTTCCCTAGGGTCGATAAATATTCACTTATCGCAGATAATTAACGCCTTATCAACCAAGGTAGTAGTTCAATGACTTCCATGCTTCGCAACGCGATAGGCAGTATTCTTTCCCTGCTACTTAAGTATCAAGCCTTGGGCCTTTTGAGAAGACTTAGGCATCTGATTTGGGTGGGTAAGCATCTTTGAGTTCCCCTCGAGCCGAACGCAGGCATGGGCCAGTTATTCGGGTAGCTACCTCGGCAGGCTTGCGTCAATGGTGCTCCGAAGTTACGCGGCGGCAATTGCGGCATAATGATGATGTGTAGCTCGGGAGGGGAACCTCACACCGAACCTGTCAATACTTGCTATCGTCATCACCAGTCAACGGTAATCAATAAAGTACCTATATGTGGAAAAGTCTCCGCACCTACCAGGGCATGTATCGACATCACGATTCCCATTCAATTTCACCCAGGTGGGTGAGCCGGCACTCCGTCCCCGCGGGGTGGTCGCTAGTTAGTGTCGTGGGTCATGCACGGCTGGCAGGCAGGCAAATACGACACTGAGCGGAATACGATGCTACCTAACGACCTAATAAATCCAATCGCTTAGGAACGTCCAAGGAATCATCCAAGGCCAGATAGATATCCAGCCATCGATCACCTAAGGGAACGGTATTCAGGCTGTCTCGTACTTGAAGATCTAAAACGCCTCTTCGTTCCATCTTTCTTTGCCATCGCTCCTACGTCGAGAGCTATTCTTGTTGTTAGGCTCTAGCAAGCCTTCAATCAAGGTGCCGGCCACTACCCCTGCAAGGATCGCAAAGCTTGGAAAATCTTGCCATTGCTTGATTCAACGGAGTCGTTTCCTGGCTCCACACCCACGCCCACCTCGAGCACGGGACAGCAGCTGCGTTAGACCTGTGGATGCCGGCTACCCAGCTGAGCACATCAATTGAATAAGTACTTGAGTACTGCTTAGAACTCTCTTGGGCCTGCTCCACCTCTGGCCATCTGTGATCGAGGGCTTTTTGACTAGCCTGAGCCGTCTTTAACCACTTCTGGGGATATACATACCTCTTCGTCAACCCGCAAATTCTCGTTCTCAGAGTTTATCTCGACATCTTCTTCGAGCTAGGATTCATAAACATCTTTGCTTATCCGATACTGCTCATTAGTCTTTCGGGCCGATCACTCACAGCGACATCTGACTAACAAGACACCACACACATCGTTTGTCAAATTGATTTAAATCCCCACGATTCGTCCCCAATAATCACCCTCCGCAGGGTCGAGGTATCGGATCAGGCCAACGGCACCCGCTAATCACCACCAACCAACTACACCCAACTCTCACCCACAACAACCCACAATGGTCAACAAAGCAGTCGTCCTCCCGATAGCATGCCTCAGCGGGATCTGCGCGGCGATGCTGATTTTCATCTGGTGGTTCTTCCCGAAGTGGTACAAGAAGGGTGTGGCGCAGGATCAGGCCGAAATGGACCAGGTGATTGCACTGCGCCGTGATATCTTGGCCGCACGCGTGAGAGCAGCCGCCAGAGCGAACAATGCCGATGCCTCGAGTGGCGATACTGGTGCTGGTGATGCCGAGGCTGCGCAGCGGGATCTCGAGGCCCAGGATGCCAAGCTCGCCGCTGTTACGCAGCATGTCTACAGGCCGCAGCCTGTTGCGGTGTTTTGATGAGTGGCCTTCCTTGATATCTCGCTTTTCCTTTCTCTGGAGTTGATACTCAGAATTGACGACATCGACGCTTTGTGGGCTGAGATGTCTGGAATTCATGGTGCTTTGCGAAACCTGATCCCACACCTGATCACGAGGACTGCTACTTCGGTTACGAATGATCGAACTAGCCGGGTTAAACAGGTGAACATCGCGGTCGTACGGCCTATGACCTAAGCTGGCTTGATGATGAGCGATATCACACTACCTCCTTACTTCACGATATATCTCCGTTGCTCAGAAGAAATCCGTACACGAAACAGTCTCTTGTTAGAATCCATGAGATTGCTATCGGGGTTCATGAATATCATCCGCCACCAGAGATGAAATGACTGTTTACGCGGTGGTGCAATGCCCTGGCGGAGTGGCCCAACCGCATATACTGGTGTACGCTTCGTGCATGCTATAAATATCCAAGCTGGATCGAGTTCTGCTTGAGCATTTCGGGTTTTACCCTACACAATCGTTCTCACTTCAGTGCGCCGTCTCACAGAAGCCGGGCGTCAATCTGCTGCGCTATCACGATAATATCGGAAAGAAACAGGAATCTGATCAAGAGCCGACAGACCAAAAGAGATCTTGTGTTCTACAAGCCGTCAGTATTTTCACGTATCCTCAGATTTACCTAAGCATGTTCGAACAGTTGGAGGAAAGACGTTCGGAGATGGAAGGAACTCAAACCTGAAGTTACATTGGTCGTTTGCCGAGGGGTTTCTATGATGACAATCAGATCTTGACTAAGCTAGATACTGTAGTCGACCACTATACGCGGTCATACTAATCATCTTTAATATCCATTGATCGACCATTGCGTTAGAATGACGGTGAATATCAGAACAATGTGCCTGGCTAAGCCCTTAATGGATGACAAATGATGTTTCTTACATGAGCATGGAAACCTTTCCGTTCCCCTTCATACATTTGTGGTCTTCGGATACCGAAGAGGCTGGTTGCATTCGGTTAATGACATAGAACGGTAAGATGAGCCTGTTGACCGAAATCAGTTTGTACTTCATTGATAGCTTGGTTATGTGCATACTAGTATTTCCTGGTGCCAAACCACTCGTCCTGAAGAATAGCCAATCACGTCAAGTATGGCGGCAAAACTGTCTATACGCTCATGTTGATGACTGATCGTCCAGTCACTTCTCAAGATATACCAAGCTGTTAAGCACGGGGAATGAGCGATGAGTGCAACCCCTGGGGCTCTTCCATCGATGTACTAGCGTTGGAGATGAACGAAAGTGATCTCTAGATATGGCATATATATAGCTACATGACTGCGCTGGAAGAAATGTTGAAAATATTCAATTCTAAGGTTGAAGCCTAGGTGGACGCAAGATACTACTATCTTCATCACAGATCAGGTATGTGCAAGCTGACATGTTTGAGTGCCGTTATTCGGATATCCACTGATATTGAGGTGGTATAGAAGCCATTGAACCTCAGATCTCCAGTCGTCCAACAGAGTCTTCAGGGCAATGGGCTATCTGCTCTCGTTATCTTTGTTCCTAGTAGCCATATCACTCTCATCGGTTTCTTGTTCAAACTTAGGGTACGGATCTAACAACATCAAAGCCGAGTATGGATCTAAACCCCAGGCGTGGAAGGTCGATGTGGACCCAGCCTTCATCGCTGCCACAAAGCTCAAGGCAAACCTGACGAGGTTTGTGGAGGATACAATCGATGATCTACCTCCGATTGTGGTACAACGCTATGGTGCGGAGGGAGATTTGGTTTTGAAAAATTTCGAAGACGGGCCACCTCGATATAATGCAACGACATTACGTGACTTTTGGGCGGATGAATATGATTGGGTTTCTGTTCAGGACAAACTAAACGCAAAGTACAACCACTTCACGACTACGGTACACGCTGTCAATTTCACTGATCCAATACCTCTACACTTTATCCACCATCGATCCAACCGCTCCGATGCAATCCCCTTACTCTTTCTTCACGGATGGCCAGGCTCATTTATGGAGGTTGGGAAACTCCTCGACGGTCTTCTGAACCCGCCCAACTATTCAATGCCTGCTTTTCACGTTGTCGCCCCGAGTATCCCGGGGTTCAGCTTCTCACCAGCGCCGCGAAAGGCAGGGCTGGCACCCCGTGCAGTTGGACAGGGCTACAATGACTTGATGCAGCAGCTAGGGTACGAAAGATATGTGATTCAGGGGGGTGACTTTGGCGGCATGATCCTTCGGCACATGGCGCCAGATTTCCCAGCGAACGTCGTCTCGGTTCTGTCGAATTTCTGGCTGGTTCCACCGAACACGACCGATATCGATCGCTATACCCGTGGTTTGACCACCGCGGCCGAAAACTTCACCATTGAAGCGCTAACAAACTTCACAAATCTGGAGGGCTATCGCCAAGTTCAACAGACTAGACCTTTGGCCCTGGCTGCGGCTATGGGAGATTCACCTATTGGGTTCACGTTGTGGATTTATGATTTTATGTTCCGTCACGCGGACGAATACCCTTGGACACCGGAGGAAATCATCACCTGGTCCATGATGTACTACATCCAAGGCCCGTACAGTGGATTCCGGATGTACAAGGAGATTGCCGAGGTAAGTGGTGTTTTCAATATGCCGCATCGGAAAGGATACGACGCAAAGGTCCACATCTAATAACATATAGGAAGGTGATTGGGATATTACCAGGTACACCTCTCAGCCAGTCGGCATCAGCACCTTTCCCAACGACGGATTCTTCACTGTAAGTCAATGGTACCACTTGAGTGAGATGCTGTCACATACTGATCAAAACATAGCCATTGGATTGGGCGCAAAGACACGGGAATATCTCAATCATGTATGGACCGCATTCCCACGGTGGGCATTTCGCAGCTCATGAGGTCCCAGAGTACCTGCTGAGTGACATTCGGAATTTCTGGGGTAACAACAGTCTCTCAAATGTTGATCTGATTTAAAGTGATGTATCCGGATATGTTGATCCAACGTGAGCTGCTGCTGGAAATCATCGAACACAAACCAGATCACGATCTGGTCCAGTGGAGCAGTCTCGAACGCGAGCATGCCTAGAATTAGACACGAAGATCTCATAGATATTTAAGTACTAGATCGGGCGCTCAGAGCGTTTTTAGTTGCCCAATATCCTATACTGGGCCTCAAGTAAAGGTTCTCATATGGCAAGAATTTAACGAGTGCATGGCATAGCCAAGTCTTTGACATTCCGATCCACCAGCTGCATCCATGGGGCATTCATTGCAGGGTTTTGGTGAAAAAGTCTTTGCATAGCTGTTGACCCTGAGACACAAAAACCACGATGCATGACTTCAATATAAGCGTCTAGGTGGAACACCCGGGCCTCGGGCCCTTGATCCCTAAGCCTCGGCGCCCAGAGCTCGAACAACTCCAGCACCACGTGCAACCCTGCCTGGCATGATTGGCCGTGGAGAGATCTGCACCTGGCACAGCTTTCTCTGGGCAAGCACAAATCGGTTCTTGGCTGGCCTCCCTACAATTTAGTCCAAGGGTGTGAACAGAATCCTGTACAAGAATCTTAAAACATCTCCCAACGGTACCAGCAGAATGCCCCTGGGTGATATCTTTCACGCGGCGCGCGAATATGCACGCGACAGTCAAAATGCCTACAGCGCCAACACGGATAAGCTGGTATCACGACTGAGCGATGTGGTCCTTCGGACATGGGACCTTGGCTTCACCGCGTTCGGTGGACCTCCCGTTCATTTTCAGATCGAACATCGACGTTTCGTGGAAGGCAGAGGTGGCAAAGCCCCATGGATCGATGAGCAGATTGTGAGTTTGTCGAAGGCAATCTCTGAAGGCCAAGACCCCTGCGCATTTGTCACTGACACATGGAGAGGAGTAGTATCAAGAACTCTTTGCGATATGTCAAGCTTTACCTGGGCCTGGGAGTACCAAGATGTTGTTTTGTATCGTCATGATACACGCTGGGCTGTTACCCGCAATCGTTGCATTCTCGATCTGGAGGTAAGCTGCTACAAGAAATGAAATCCGTCCATGTCCGATGACTCAAATCTCGGACTAGCTTACCGGGCGCCATTGCCATGTACGCTTTGTCTCTGGGTGTCCAGCGAATCAATGAGGTGCTACCATCGATAGCATATGCCTTTCTTTCTGGGTTGAATGCATCGACCGTTGGGATCGTTGCGCTTGCGGCTGTACAGGTATGGTCAAAAGCTTTTAACCAGGCTCCCAAACGCAAGGAAGTGAGAGAGAAAGAGCTGACTTAGGCTCAATATTATAGCTGGCGGAGAAAGCTATCAAAGATAATGTTACCCGAATCCTCGTCATCGGCGGAGCATGTGCCGGACTATGCTATACTGCACTGTGGTATTTTCCAGCGCTGATCTTCATCGGTGGAGTGGTGACCGTTATTTGGGATATGTGGCTACGTCAACAGGTCAGCCTAGCGAAGCGTAGGTGGCAGAACAGACGTCAGCGCCATCAAATATCACAGCAAATGCAGCCTGGGGACGAGACAGCAACGTCGCCAATCGAACTTAGTACGGGCACTCACGGAGGAAGCGATCGACCACGAGACGGGTTACAAAGGAGGAACCTCACCCAATCTACACAAACTGCCCATGGACAAGTAGACCATCCTGCGCCTCAAGGGGTTGATCTTCCATTGCAAGGTCCAGAAACCGACACCAAATCGCATGCTATCCCAGTGTTGACTGGCATCTGCATCATCATTGGCTTCTTTGGTAGGAGTCTGATGTTATACTCCACTCTCATCATATACTGACCATTCCATAGCATCGTTCATCGCAATACTGGTTACGCGCGGACTCCTCAATAATCCTCCACGACCTTTGGACCTATTTGCAAACATGTACCTTGCGGGGACCATCATCTTTGGTGGGGGTCCTGTTGTCATCCCTTTACTGACCGAATACGTAGTACAACCTGGGTGGGTGTCACCTCGCGATTTCCTGATCGGACTTGCCATAATCCAAGCTTTCCCCGGCCCGAACTTCAACTTTGCTGTCTATCTTGGTGCGCTATCTCTACTCGGCACGTCAAACCATACTATTCTCGGTGCATTGCTAGGGTATATTGGTATTTTCGTCCCTGGAATCATTCTAGCGATCGGGTTTCAGAGTCTGTGGCGAGTGTTGAGGAAGAAGACAATCGTGAACAGTCTGTTGCGAGGTGTAAATGCTACTGCTGTAGGATTGGTGTTCACTGCCGTATACCGGCTCTGGCAGATTGGATACCTTACACCGGAGAGCAGTAGAGGCACAAGCTTAGCTGAGGAACCGTGGTGGGTCGTTGTAGCTGTGCTTACGTATGCGGAGAGTGCGTGGTTCCATGTTCCTGCACCAGCAGCTATTGTTGCTGGTGGGGTCTTAGGCTTCTGTTGGTATGGAGTTACTTCGTGAGCAACGACTATACGGGTGAAATTATGCATAGATAAAAACGGGTGCACTTAACCACGCCATGTCCAACGACAATGACCATCATGCAAGGTTCCTTAGGTGTCTATGTCCCTGAGAAAGGGGTTCGGCCAAGCCTCGTGGGGTGTTTCGGCTCTGATCAGGCTGTGCCTTACGTGACGCAAAGATGCCAAGCCATGGTGTTATAAAGCAGCGAGACATGCCCACCCTTTAGTCAATGATAGAACGAGATACTGCAGTAGAGTTGATGCTGCGGCCATCATCGACATTGAGCTTCTAAACAACCAACACCCTTCAACACCACAGCTTGCCATCAGCTATGCATTTCGCCGGGCTATGCGCTGCGGCGCTCACGGTCGGAAGTGCCTATGGCTATATCGACTCCCAACCCTTCTTTATGTTCTCTACCTCAGAGTAAGTTGGCGCATCTCCTCGACTCAAACCCGCAGGCAAACACCATTTCCCAAGCCACGGTTCTTCACATGGAGCGATAACTAATAGCTACCATGTGCTGCATATAGACTCCTCACATCGTCCTCCAAAGTACAGACCGCACCATCTATAGTCTCCGACATTGCCCTCTCCTTATCACAATGTCCATCAGACTACTATATTCTGGTCTCCCAGCCAGGCGTTTCCTCACAGAATTATCATTGCAAGAAGAACACGCCTACTCTCGCTCAGAAGCTGTCCACTTCTCAGCAACCAGGAAGCATTATTAAGAGCAACCTTGCCATCACAGACGTAGTCGGGACCATCGACCCATCAAGCTGGACGGAATTGCTTCAGACGACATGCGGCGTTGAAACGATGGAAATTCATGCTGCCAACGGCGAGATACCTTCAAATCTCGGACCCGCCCCAAGACTGATTCATCTTAAACTCCCTGCCCCGTCTTCGGAGTCAAGGGCGCAAGATCTGGCCAGTAATGATGCATTCTTCGCCACGTTGCTGGAGATGCTCCCTACCCAGAGCTACACGGTTCTATATACCACGAGACGGGCACGAGAAGGATGGTTCAGCGCACAGGTGATGGAGCCTGCAGGGTATGAGATGGAGAGCGATATTCAAGAGGCCCTCCATAGCGATTTGAAGAGAAATCTGGGAGCTAGAGTTGCGAGTGGCAACAAGACAGAGAACCAGACCTTGATTGATGGACCTCTGTTTGATAAGTACCAGTTCTTCACACCTGGTGAGTCTTCTTCCCTCCGAACCTTGCGATTTCTCTCGACGAGACGAATACTAATGTCTCCTCACAGGTATTTTCATGGGTTTCCTCACAGGTTTTCTCCTACTATCAATTCTGTATGTTGCTGTTTCAGCAGTGGCATCACTACAGGTCACGTACGCTGCTTTCGATAAGGAGACGGGCGCCCTTGCTTCTAGCAAGAAGGCTCAATAAATAGACTCAGTTATGTCCAATTGGTAATTACCGATATTCATTTGAATCTCCTCCTTTCACTCTATCGGGTAATGGCTTGAGTCTTTTGTGAGTATAAGACCAAGTGGAATCAATCAACCAAGGGATTCAACTGATCAGAGCTTGCAAGACTGTCATAAGGTATTTCAATATGTTGGTATAGTAGTTAATGCGGTCACGAATAGAGACATAGGGCCTCGAGGAAGTTGATGTATTCCTACAGTTGAGATCATGCTTTAGTGGCCAGAGACAGGCTTTCTCAACAAACCATGCCTCTACCTTGAAACGTACCATGAATTCCTCCATCATCGCCCTGCTCTTCGTGGGCAAAACGTTTAGCCACAATATATGGCATTCGCCTGAATAGTATTAATCTCCTTGCCGCTTTCATTCATTGACCAGGAAGCTGAAGGGGCTAGTCTGTAGTGGCCTATCCGTGTACGACTCCCTGTAACAAAAAGAAAACAAGAGGAGAGCAGCTGGAGGAGAGCCCCAGGAATCGGAATCGGAATCAGGCTGAGTTGCCTGGTTCTGGACCTACGGGGTTGCCACCCGAGGCTTTCGTTGCCAACCCTAATAGTAAAGTATGGCCTCCCCAAATACTGTCAATGTCATCTTGCCCCAGACGGGCGTGTGACAGTTCTCCCAGGTTATGCCTTCAGAGTGTTTGGAACACGTTGTAATCATTTTATCGCGGGCTATGGCGACCTGTGATGAGCAACTACAACTCGTGGGAGGCATCAAAACAGTAGGCCAGTATAAATCCTCATCTCCAAGTTGCCTCGTGTAAGCGTCAATAAATGCCATACGAGGTGCATATCATGTTGAGCGACGGTCCATCATGAGGCTGGAGAAGTCCACCTAGAGTCGGTCAGGTATGGAAAGTTGCAATGTCAAGATTTGCTTATCACACAAGCTTCCCCAAAAGAGTTGCCCAGCAAGCCACGAAGAATGCCGGGACTAGAACACGAGTCCAACAAAAGAAACACTCATCACGTCGGCCCTTTTACCGATGCACTCCTACCACGAATCTCACCACATGATCTGACCACAAAGGACGAAAGGCGTGGCGATAAGCCGTTGAATGAAAGGACACGATCAGGAGAAATGCCGGGTTAACCGGAGGAGTAGCGTGTCTAGGCATGAATGCTTGACGAGACTAGGCTTTTACACCAACGTCAATGGCTGTATCAAACCCGCTTCATGACCAGGCTCCCCTCCATCCTCCACAATCAGATCTTATTCTCCAGCATTCCACAACGCAGCTAATTCCTCATGAGGCAGGACCTTTTGAGCCAAGCAAAGGTGAGTGGCGATCATTTCCCAGAATACCCGTCGCATGGTCACGGCAAGTATCGGTGCTTCAGACTATCATAGGATGATTTCATCCATTCACCACAAGCTGGCCCTGGTCAATCAACCTCAAGCATGCCAATCTATAGCGTCACTGATTGTTGGAGTGCCTCGTGGGTGCCTCGGGCGTCTGATCACTCCAACTCCATATATTGATTACCAACTGCCTTTGCCCCGTGAGTGGGCTTGTAGTCCATAAAAGAAACTGCTCAGTCCTTCTTCAACCTTGTCGCAAACTATTTCTTTTGGCCGGCCAAATTTGGTTTTGGTTGTTTGCATTTCTTTGCGTCTTCATCATGGAGAAAGCTGAAGCCACACGTCGGTCTTCCTCCGAGGATGCCCAATCACATTCGAATGCCGAGAAACAGGTTGAGGAGGCTCCTGTCGCTATACTAGACATTCCCGACCCCGATGAAGGACTGTCGGAGGAGGAAAGGAAAGCAATCGTGAGTATCAATCAACTCCGCTTGTCCACCGACCTCACTGATGCTCATAACTCTCCAAACAGGACCGCAAGCTTCTCTGGAAGCTAGACCTAAAGTTGATCCCTTGGTTGACCTTGCTGTATCTGATCTCGTTTTTGGACCGTACGAATATTGGAAATGCGAAGCTGGATGGCCTTCAAGAAGATCTCCACATGACGAGTAATCAGTACAACGATACCTTGACAATCTTCTTCATCTCTTACTCGCTCTTTGAGCCTCTGACTCAGATCCTGTTGAAGAAGTTCCGCCCCTCGATTTTCTTACCTACGATCATGTTACTTTGGGGGATTGTGATGGTCACAATGGGACTTGTACACGACTTTTCAGGTCTAATGGCTGCTCGATGGTTCCTCGGTCTCGCGGAAGCAGGACTATTCCCTGGTGAGACCCACCCGAAAATGAGTCGAGGAAGTAAATGCTGATCTTCTCCAGGCGTCAACTACTACCTCAGCTGCTGGTATCGACGATCAGAATTCGGTATTCGAGCTGCCGTATTCTTCAGCGCTGCAGCACTTGCAGGCTCTTTTGGTGGATTGCTCGCTGCAGCCATTGTCAATATGGGGTATGTTAAAAGATCCATTTTGGATCAGCAACACCGTGCTAATTGTGCGAAGAGGAGTCGGTGGCAAACCCGGCTGGGCGTGGATCTTTATTCTCGAAGGCCTAGCGACTGTCATCGTTGGCATCGTCTCATTCTGGATGGTATGTTTAGCTAAAATCCCTTGTTCACTCCGCCTGCTTACGGTTTGACAGATTCACGACTTCCCCGATGAGGCCAAGTTCCTCTCCGATGATGACCGTCGACGAGTTCTCCGCAGACTGAAACTTGACCAGCAATCAAGTGCCGAGCATGAAGAGTTCAAGCTTGATTACCTTTGGGCCAGTTTGAAAGACTGGAAGACCTATACTGGAATGATGATTTACATGGGTTGCGATGGAGCATTATATGCGGTATGAATACTGCCAGCATTTGCTTTTCGCGTTCTTTTCCTAGTCACAGCTCCTGTCCTTGTGCAAAACGGTGCTAATATACCTTACCAGTTCTCTTTATTCCTGCCAACAATTGTACAGCAGATGGGGTACAAGAACGTTCACGCACAGTTACTAAGCGTGCCGCCATACGCTGTTGCAGCTGTCATGACCATCTTCATCGGCTTCGTAGCTGACAGGACTAGAATGAGAGGTAAGATTATGGTCCCCCTGTTCTCCTAGAAATTTCAGTCATTGGGATCGGACTGACGGTAGTTCGTCTGCAGGATATTGCAACATGGTGATGTCCCTATTCGGAATAGCAGGCTTTTCTATGTTACTGGGATCTGCAAATCCACACGTCCAATATGGAGGAGTGTTCCTGGGAGCCATGGGTATCTATCCCTGTATCTCCAACACGATATCCTGGACGGCGAACAACGTTGAAGGTGTATACAAACGAGGTATTTCGCTCGGGTTTGTCATCGGATGGGGTAATCTCAACGGTAAGGATTTACCTTCTCGCAGAGAGCCCGAGCAGCAGATTACTAATCTCTAAATTCTATGTAGGGATTGTGTCTTCAAACATCTATCGAACAGCAGACAAACCGCGATTTAAGCCTGGTCATTCTGTGGTGTTGGCATATGAAGCACTCTTCTTACTCGGTGGAAGTGTTCTTCAACACGTACTTCTTCGTCGAGAAAACGCCAAACGCCGTGCAGGCGAGAGAGATGTTTGGATCGAGGGCAAGACCGAGGCCGAGATCGATAAGTTGGGCGACAAGAGGCCTGATTTCTTGTACACGTTGTGAGCATGGCAATCGAAACGATGATTGTGAAGCAAGCCCGATGAGACCATTCTGCTAGAAGAATGAACAAGAAATGGATAGCAATATCTAGTGATATCAGTACGAATAGGTCTATCGAAAGAGAAACACTTTGTAATCTGATCTAGTAATATCGAAATGGACTATTCACTATTCAATATTCACGATCGCACTCCCTCCCCTCCTGGTCCATCGCAGCCTCGTGACCCCTGAATCCAACCCCGGAAGAATTTTATCCCTCCGATCGCGGAGCCGAAGCTCTGCTCCCCGCAGCCTCGCCGGAATCTTTTTTTCCATTCTCCAATTTGAACATTAAAAACAACCAGCTTTAGCACGAGACAATTCTACAATTCCTCTGCTCAAGTGGTTGTCATCATGGCTAGCAGGACTTTGCGCATCGGTATGCCCCTTCACGTTTCCCCCACCTAATAACCTGCTAACTTATCCACAGGATTAATACCCGGCGACGGGATCGGACGAGAAGTGATTCCGGTATGTTTCGCAACAACCTCTACCCCGGATAGACGATCTACAAATACTCCAAGAACATCTACTGACCGCGAACGAAAACTAGGCCGGGAAGAAAATCCTCGAATCACTGCCGTCCTCCCTCGGGCTGAAATTCTCCTTCGTGGACCTCGACGCCGGCTACGAGACATTCAAGCAGACGGGAACCGCACTACCAGACAAGACGGTCGAGACGCTACAGAAGGAATGTGACGGCGCATTATTCGGAGCTGTGAGGTAAGGAGACGGACATGCCCAAAAGAAAGAAAAGCAAAACCATGCACAAAGAGCTAAAGACTAGAAACAGCTCCCCAACCACCAAAGTCGCAGGCTACACGTCCCCGATCGTGGCGCTCCGCAAGAAACTCTCGCTGTTCGCCAACGTACGGCCCTGCAAGACCACACTCTCCCCAGCCTTCGCGTCACCGACGCCGCACCCGATCGACCTGGTGATCGTGCGCGAAAACACCGAGGACCTGTACGTGAAGGAGGAGAAGACGTACGCGGACCCGTCGGGCGAGGGCCAGATCGCCGAGGCGATCAAGCGCATCTCGAGCAAGGCGTCGTGGCGCATCGCCAACATCGCAGGCGAGATCGCCGTGCGCAGGCAGAAGATGCGCGAGTCCGCCGCAAGTGCAGAGGAGAAGGATAAAAAGGCCCTCGTCACCATCACGCACAAGTCCAACGTGCTGAGCCAGACGGACGGACTGTTCCGCTCGACGGCGCGCGAGGCGCTGTCGCAGGCCAAGTTCTCCAGCGTCGCCATCGAGGAGCAGATCGTCGACAGCATGGTGTACAAGCTGTTCCTGCAGCCGCAGTACTACGACGTGATCGTGGCGCCGAACCTGTACGGCGACCTGCTGTCGGACGGAGCCGCCGCGCTGGTGGGCAGCCTGGGCCTGGTGCCGAGCGCCAACGTCGGCGACGGCATCGTCATCGGCGAGCCGTGCCATGGCTCCGCCCCCGACATCGAGGGTAAGGGCATTGCGAACCCGATCGCCACGATCCGCAGCGTCGCTGTCATGTTGGAGTTCTTGGACCTGCCGGAGGCCGCGAATGTCATTTACCGTGCCGTCGATGCTAATCTCGCTGAGGGCAGCTTTGTCAGTCCTGATTTGGGCGGCACTGCGAAGACAAGTCAGGTCGTGAATGATATCATCAAGCGGTTGTAAGCTGCTGTGGGATTGGATTCAGTGTCGGGGTTTATCGCTAGATGTTTGTCGATGTTGGAGAAACCCCCATGGACATTCGACACTGGCTGATGGGCGAGTCAAGAGGTCAAGGTTCAGCTATTATATCGTGAGTCAAAATCGACATCGCACGCGACCTGGATGTTTTAGATTTCCTGCGAAAACGGGTGTACATAGATACCATCATATTCTGTTAGGCAGGATGTAGAGAGGGATCAAAAGCGAAGAATTCCTGATATCGTCGTTTTTCAGGATAGCACGTACAATGTTCGCTCTCACAGTATTAAGCAGATGAGAAAGGTCCCCAATGGAGTGCATGCAATCAGACTGGCGACGTTCTCCTGATACGGCTCTCAAGCTGAGGGGCCCGGATGGACGACAGAGGCTCAAATCATGTGCTCTCTCGGTCCACTCATCCTGTTCATTCTCCCTAATCCCTTGATCAAAACCCAGCCATGGCCAAACCCACCAGCATACTGACACCAGCCTTGACGCCATCGACAATGCGAACCCGGCCACCCAAACTCTCACCCAGCTCCTCAACACAAGCCTGCCTGACCGCATCATCCAAGCCAGCCATTCCAGCGCAACCCAGACAGATAGCTCCCACAGACGAAGACTTTCTCAACAATTGTTTCGTCGCCTCGATCATCTTGACCCGCACCTGATCAGCGGGCAGGTCATGGAGATCCGTAGCGTTCAGACCGGTAGTTTCGACTCCTGCAAAGCGCGAGTGTCTCTCCGCTCCGACTCGCTGCTCGCCAAGGCTGAGGAACTTGTCGACCGCGTGCCCGAGTATCTCCTCCCAGATTTTCCCGGTGGAGACGATGCCGAAGGTCTCGTTTTGGTATGACCGAGATCTGTCCTTTTCAGGGACAAGCGGTTCGGGCTCGTGGGTCGTCAGGGCCAGACTGGCCAGGACACTGGCTTCGAAGATCCCAGTCACGTATTTCTTGGGGCCGTCGAGTGCGGCGCACAGTGTTTTTAATTGGAAGACCAGCGGATGTTGGCTGTAGCAGGCGACGAGGAAAGCATCGTGGTCTGCGAGCAGAGGCTGGAGATACGGGAGACAGAACTTCGCCGACTCGTCCGCATCCTCATGGGAATTGATGGACGGGATTGCTCGCGGTTCAGGTTCGCCTTTCGCAACATTGATACCCTCGGCTGGCGTGGCTGGTGATGTGAAGAACGTGTACTTCACGAAGCCGGGTGGATAGGCCAGGGAGTCTAGTAGTGGAACCAGTGCCTCTGTCATGGATGTTGATGTGTTGGGATTGATGATCAGGATCCGTAGTGCTGACGGGGATGAGGCATTGGACGCCATGATGGCCGGCTATTCGAATGGGAATGATGCCGGGTCCTGGACCAGATATAAAATGCTGCTGCTGCTGTGAAAACAATGACTGGCTGCAATGCTAAACAATTCTTGTGATGATTGATATTTGTGAGGACAGGTGACCGACACTGGTGGTTGCGCTTTTGGCTTCAAATTTATTTAGATGCCGAGGGAGGAAATGTCGAACCTTTCGAGTTCAGTATCGAACAAGACTTTCTAAGCCTACCAAGATATTTGCAGATTACCGTCTTATAAAGTGGCGGGGATTTGTCACTCTTCTCAAGTACTAAAATCTGTGCTTTAGGGTTTGATGGGAGTGAAAACTATGAAAAGTTGGAAATACGTCAGAAGTCATTACGAGGCTGTAATTGATAACGGATTGAAGCCGATAAGAAGAGTCCCGAGGTCATCTGTACACTTTCGAATTCACCATCTTTCAACTCTGTTATCAAGCAGCTAGAGATATACATTTGACCTTGAACAAGCATACCCTCAGTATATCTTAGGCATCAATGCTCCCTGACCCGACAAGCAGACCTCCACAGGCCATCCATAAAAATCCCTCATCCCACAAACACCTTCGCATCCAGGAGCACCAATTGTCCCTCATCACATGCATCAGATATCGGCATTGACCACTCCTCACCCAGAGCTTGACTTTCACGCGACGGCCCAGTCTTAAGATGAGGCGACTGGAAACTAAACCAACCAAGCAAAGCCTCAATTCGTGTCCAGTCCAGATCATTGTCCAGCCTTTGTAATATCGTACATGCTTCATCTTCCTCGAGGTCATACATGAGATGCTTGGGATGGCAGCCAATTAAGCCTGTGAATGCTCGGTTGGTGATCAGAAGAGGATATCTGACCGGTTTACACAAAGTGAATGAACTGGAGTCGGGCGAACAAACAATTCCTCCGGTTTCATCACTTAATTCCCCAAAAAGATCTGGATTGACTCTTGCACCAAAAGTCGCCATATCCGGATGACAGAACCCCTTGTCGCTATCACAGTATTTGTTGGAGTATCGTGTCTTAGAGCAAGCTCTGCAGTGTGAGTAAAAGAGCATTCCTCGTCGCCACAAGTCGGCAAATCCCAGCCTGCTGATGAGTAGATTTACATGTGCTTGGTGATAACCCAAGGGATCCCGAGATATCAAAGCCTCCATTTGAGACAATTTCAGTCTCGGTGCACAACTTGAGTTGAAAAGGTCATGTAAGATTGCGTCGGTGCTCAATCCGTGGATGCGCATTATATGAGTCCAGGAATTGGCTGTGTCATCCTCAGTCTCGATGGACTTAGCCAATCCATTCTTCGGTAGGACAATCACTCGTGATATCTTAGACATGACGATAAATCTGTCCTGAATCATGCGACAATTCGTGATCATGAGCCTTTCTCCCCCAAACTGCAGGAAGCTGGAAACCAGTGGTTGCTGGACGAGCATTGGCGTTGTGGGCTTTGAGGTAGACGTGTCTCCAAGTGACACTATGAGCCTGGTAGTCCAAACTTTAGTGGACAAGGATGGTGCTATTTTGCGAGACCTGTGTTAGCTAAGTAGTTCATAAGGTAAGATTGCTGATGTGAAGGTCATAGATTGCCTACTCTCGACAGGCTTTCCAACGGCAATAACCTTGACCAGGAGAGTGCAATCCGCTTCCTTTTCCTCCTTCTCTTTGGTGACCTGCTCCAATGTCATGGAGCTCTCCACACCAGATTCGAGTCTGAGTTTTCTTGCCCCAAAATTGGGTTCAATCGTTAATCTGCAGCGAGGGTTCTGCTCAGGGAAGACATGAGTCGAGTTTGGAGTCGTGACAATGCATTTCCCGCTCGTAAAAGCCCGCACGGCGGTGGCTGCACAGACATGTGTGGTCCAGATGGTGATTCTCTGGTTGAGCAGAAGTTGATATTCACGTGTGGCCACCCAGAGATGGACCTAAGAAATGGTGAGCATCTTTGGCTATTGGCAAAAGTTTTTGGGCACTCGTACAGTGATCTCTCCAGTCTGGTCGCGGAGCACCAAAGTGTAAGCCTTGGTAGCAAGCTGTGGAGTGCCGTCGGTGATGGAATTCTCCTGCAGGTTGACGAGGATTCCAGTGAATGTTGCATTGACAGGGCCTGGCTTTAGCTCCGATATGTTGTATCGAGTGTACTCACTCAAGGCCTCTTTGTTGATGGGTGGGTGTTGATGGTCCCGTTGGTGGAGAGTGGAAAGAGATGATGTTGAAGTGTCTTCCATACTGTAACATAGACCAGCATTTGACACACAGACAGATTCCACAACGGAGATTGAGCAGACGGACACTTACTTAGACATTGAAGTTGAGCAACCAAGTCTGCATTGTGTGGCAGAAACGACCCAGCGCCAAGCCATTGTTCAAGAGGAAAGAGCGACGGTTACAAATGAGGTGGTGTAAGAGTGAGCAGCAGGAAGGAGCAACGGCAACAAGCCCCAAAACAAATCAAGCAGTCAATTGAAACAGTATGAAACAGAAGTCAGTGATAAGAATTGAAAGTAATATACCTTGTGGAGATGAGGCTATACTAGGTAATCTGAGATAAGGAGCGACAAGTAGTTGGATATGACTGACAATGACAACAACATTGAGAGTCAGGGCAGGGGGAAAAGCAAAAGACAAAACATCTGTGCACTCTAGGAGGATTAGGTCACCACCTGATTATTCGGTCTCCCCATGAGTCTTCGACGGTTGCAACAACGCAAAAACCCCTTTCGCTGTTCCACAATGATATGCAAGAGAAGAAAGGATAAGCAGTCTAGCCACCCCCCACAACACATTCGCGAATTCCGAAGCTCCAAAAAGGAAGAGTTCGGAAACAGTCTAAGACTGCTAGGTCTTTGGTCTTGCGTATTATTGCTTCCAGTGTCAAGCAAGGTTTTCTAGAACAACTTGTGTTCAAGCGTCATGTCGGATTCGGGTTGGAGACCGATGCAAGCACGGAAAATGTTGGTCAGAGCACCACGCTGTTTGGCGAGGGCATTGACCACTGGAGTGCCAGCTGGGACAAGTGGGGCCTGGAGGAGAAGATTAGTAAGTGAGAAGAAACAAAATTCGAAAAGCAAGACTCGATGCTTACCTTGAGCATGTAGCTCAGAATGCTCAGCACGCTGTGGAATCCCTTGTAATCACCAGCCTCTTCAGACTTCCATTGGATTCGAGTCATCATCTCGGCAACAAGGACAAGATCGATGATCAAAGGTGATGCGAGCAAGGAATCCTCACAAACGTTGAAGATGCTGATTGTCTGATGACCACCCATGAAGATCTCTGCGTAGTATTCATCCAATGCACGCTTGTTGTCTCCAACAGCGGGCATATACTTGATAACCACAGTGTGATCTGGGTGTTCATCCTTGGCGTACAAGACGGAGTTGGCAGCGACCATATCATCCACAACATTGGACTTGGAAATCTCCTTTGATCGGAACTGCTTCTGCGAGCTCAGGTTCTTGCCATCGTTGTTTCCGAGATGGTTGTAGCTGGCAATGGAGGTCAATTTGATACCAGCATTGATCAAGAAGTCGACCAGAGCCGACTTCATCTTGGTCTGCCCAGACTTGAAGTCATCACCACCAATGAAGGTGTTATGCTTCTCGGCCAATTGAATGGCGCCGGGAACGAATGTGTTTTGAGGGGATCCGTTGATGAAAGGAGTGTTTTCCAAAGTGCAGGCAACGGAAAAGACCGTGGAGGGTGACACCTCTTCATGACCTTGCTTGATGGCCTCGATCAGATTGTCGGCGGTATCATTGACACCCGGGATGATGTCGGCATATCTCTCGGTGTTGGCAGTCCACAGAACAATTATCTTATCTAGGTTGTTCTGCTCCTTGAAATTTCTGTCGGAAAAGTGTTAGCGTTACACCCGTGGTACGAGGGAGAGAAAAGTGGTCATACCTGATATCAGCTCTTATCTGCTCGACGTGAGACCAGCTTGCCTTGCTTCCGGGGAGGATGTTATCTGCGCGATCCTCCTGATTTGCAGCAATGAAGTCTGGGTAGTAAATACTGGGCAGGGGCTTTTGGAGGGACATCTCTTTGTACACGAGGGCCTTCAAAGTTGGTTCGAGGACTTGAGCACGATCCATGGCTGCAGCAATGTTGAGGCTGCTGATATCCCAACCACCAACCACAAGATCGTTGGGATGAACCATAGGCAAGACATCGTGGAAGGGAATATTGATCTCCTCCCCGGTTTGTGCTTCGGTGCCTAGTTTGATGGTTGATCCCATGATGACGGATCCATAGTAATTGGCAGCGCGATGTCCCTCTCGAGTATCCCAAACGAGACCACGTCGATTGGCGATGATTCCAGCCGTTACAGTGGAACCATTGTTTCCACCCCAACCCACCAACATCATACCAGTCTTGGGGACCTTGCGATCAACCTTGAAATCGTAGGTGGTTTCCTTGGGAGAAGCCACGAATTTACCGGACTCGGTCTTGGTGACGGCAGTGGTTCGATAGACATATTTGGTGTTGATATGGTCGTCGGTGTAGGTGACATTGGGAGAATTGACGGTGAAAAGATCCTTGGCTGGTGCTGGTTGGGCCTGGACCAGAGGGGTTGATTCCTGAGCGCTATACCCGTTCATGGAGCCGACGCCTACTTCCGCATGAGGAGCCATCTTTGAGTTGAAAAGATTGACCGAAGATGGGAGAGTTGAAGAATTGAGCGAGAAGTTTTGTAGTTAGGCGAATTTATCCTGTCTTGGGACAATCCGCAGCTCCTCCAGGGGGAGAAGAGCAGCGGCTTCCGTTGAACGGGTGGTGCGACCTAAAAAGAAGAGATGGTATGTCAGAAGGCATCGTGGCTGGTGGTTTAGAACAGTGCAGTCAAGTCGAGAAAAAAAGATGGACAGAAACTGTTGAGAGGATTTCAAAGCCAACTGGTGGCATGAAGTCAGAAGACGGAAGACAGGAGAGAAGACATGATTGTTTGGTGTACGTGTGGTCGGTCGGCAGGCTGCATCCCAAAAAAAACGAAAAACAAAAATTGTTCGGATAGCAACTTGAATTGATGCCAGATAGCGAGTGGTAGAGACTGGATGGATGCATGTTTGAATCTGGAACTTGGATGCTTGATGCAGGTACCATCGATTGAACAGGGACCAGTAGACCAGCAGACCAGGGGGTTACACATTGAGCAGGAAAAAACCTCCGGAGGGACTTACGAGGGCAAAAGGTTTGAGAACGTCTTGGCGGTGGAACGGATCACTCGGGAGTGATCCTGTGGTTTGTAAAAGAGGTTGATGAAGATCACGGCCGGGCTATGATCTGGACTATGATGGTTGATATTGATAGAGGTTGAAGAGAAGAAGAAGAAGTGAAAGGGATGGATGGGGGTTTGTCTTTGTAGGCTTCAGCGATTGTGGGTTGTCCGGAGGAAATGGGAATGGGATAGTACGGGAGATGAGATGTGAGGGAATGGAGTCGAATTCATGTGCTGTGACTAATAGGAAAGGTGTTTAGTCTGGCCGTGTTGACCGCCATTATCATTTCACATGCACTGGATATCTAGGTAGATTTTGACTGCCAATAAGACATGTACAGGAGGACTACTAGTCGTGACAAGATTCCGACGATAATAATGAACCAGATAAGAGAACCATTTGCACCAGAGTGGTTCATACTAATTGAGTCCATGTCAACAATTGCCCCTCCATTTCCACGAGGTACCCCGCAACCCACGTTGACATGGGAAGGTACAACCAACTTGTTGGAAGTGTGACTGCCTGTTCAGGGGATCAAGGTGTCAATTCAATGCTCTTTCCTGGCAGTGACAATCCACGTCGACTTGATCATCTGGAAGGTGTGATCAGAAAATGAGGAACTCCCACTGCACTGGCAGCTTCACCCACTGCATCTCTTCTCTACCCACGTACTCGTCACCCCCAACCGACCAAGAGACTTGACCCAAAATAAAATCCCACCCATAGCCACGTAGCCCGGTATCTAGGTCTCCGTACTCTCATGTACCTAGAGACTCTCGGAGGTCATTAGGTACTCAGTCGCAGTCGGAGTATCAGTATGACACTGATGCAATGCGAAACCTAGTGCACTCGTCTGCGCGTTCGTATCGTCGAATCCCTCCTCTCTTTCTTCCCTGTACATTCTGTAGTCCAGATCCAAACCCTTTGTCCTCTTCCATGCTGACCCGGCTCGACCAATCCAACCCATCCGATCAACTCCGAACCCAGAGTCACAGTCCCAGATATCCGGCCCAACATAATCGACCAATCTCTCGCCTTCATTTCTTGCGCCATCTCGTCTAATCTAAAATCAGCATCTCTTCTCTGCATAACTCTGTGGTCCTCGGTCACGCGATGAATTCTGCAGCCCAACTTGAAATGTCTGTCTGCAATACTGCACTTCCAGGCAGCAGTCATTGACTCGTAGTCAGTCCCACAAAACACTAGTCATTAGCAGCGCAATGGTGCAGTGTAACCAGCATATTTATTGCTGAGACGTGGGGTGGGTGTCTTTTTCCCTTATCAGCCTCGGATCCTGCTCATTCGGATTTTCCTGTCGGCATCGGCTTCACTCTTCACCACCATAACCCACCCAATTGATGCCCAGGTTGCACGACTAAGCCACAATACCGTCGATGTCTGGTGCTCTTTGGAATTCGAGACATTGTTATCACCGACTCGGCTCAGTGGGTGTGAGTGCAACATGGTCCTATCGTTGACGCTGCATTGTTTGCTTCCAATTTATTCTTCTTTCGTCCATCGCGCTTCATGTGCATTGGCACGCCATGCATCTATCCTACGCGTCGTTATGCAGTAGGGTCAAGGATTGCAGCCAGCACATCAACGTTGGTCTGAGACTGGTGCATTGTTCACTGGGTCGACTTCGGACCAGGTAAATGATGCACCACTTTTGGTCGCTGCTCGAATGGGTATATACATTATATTATGTATTGGTTCCGGCCTTATTTATGCCTCATCTGCACAAGCCGGCTTCAATCCGGAATTGATTTCCCTCGATGACCGGGTCGGCTGACGTACTCCATACCTCGTCATACCTGCAGTGCTCATCTATATCTTCACCCATCGTTCAGTGCAAAATTCAACCGCCTGGTGAGGCTGGCAGGGGATCTACCCCGGTGCCGAGAAGAAAATCCCAAACCACAGTCTTGTGTTGTACACACAGGCAAACAACTCCTCATCTCCAAACACCAAACAATATATAAATGCTCTTGCCCGTAACCAATAACTCCATTCATCCCTTGTGAGTCGTCGATTTAGGTCATGTTCATTAGTCTAGTTATTCTTCTTTCCGGGAAATTCCGGCCTTTGATGAGGCCCGGATCTCCGCTGCTGATGTACTCTCGAATCAATGGACTTGGTCGAGTAGGGGCGTTTTCATGTGGCTTGGGCATGGTCGCCAGCCGGAATGCATCTCTTTCGCAGTAGACCTTTCCAGAGAGTTCGAAATAATCGTGGTCAAGTCGAACTTGGCATGTCGTACACTTGAGACAATCCGGATGATGTTTCTCTCGTCCGCGGCCCGCCACGTTGTGTGTTTCCATGTATAGCCCTTCAATCCCCAGTCCGCATGTTGCGCACAGCGAGTCTTCCAATTCATGATAATGATGCCCGCAATATGGGTGGTCCGAATACACATAAAACTCCGCCGTCGGGAATGGCGATTTGCACATCCAGCACACAAAACATTCCTTGTGATACCGTCCACTCAACCGACCATCGGCACTTGACACGGACTTTTGCGTCGATTGAATCGTCTGGTTACACCCGCGGCAGATGCCTTTGTTAGGCGCTGTACCTTTGCTTGTACTTCGTGGTGCCCAAGACGGCTCCGGTTCGGACGCATTCGAAGCCACCGCATCCTTGTTGCTGGTCGGTGTAACAAGTACGTTGGGAATATCATTCTGAGGACCCTCGGTTTCTTCAATGAACGAAGATCGTCCCTTTTTCAACGGTTCAACTTCCAACATCGGCCCGGGTGCCAAAGCTGGCACTGTAGGGACTCTCGGTCTCAATGGGGCTGGAACATCCGCATCGGCTGCTTTGACCAAGCTAGAATAGGCACCCTCGACCGAGCTGGCACTGGGAGCATCGGCTTGTGGAGAGCTGGAACGTGTACTTATGGAATGCTCAGAAAATCCCACTGATCCATAGGATGATGCAGAATCGATCGAAGCCCTTTGGACATCATGCGAGTTCCTAAGCCTCGCTTCTGTTTCCATCTCCATAATGACCGGTAGTGCTGCACGATCCACTACTTCAGGGGAAGTGGATAGGATCGAGGTCGAACCAGCTTCCTGGGCGGGCTCGACCACGACCACTGGAGCTGCCATGGAAGCAGCAGCCTGCGTTTCGAGAGTGCTCAAGGACTCTTCGTGTCCAGACAACTGCCTGAGGGCCTCCTCTACACTCGATGCCGGTGCTGGAGACCTGAGGGGGGACGGAATAGTTGTTGGGGACGGCTCTCCAGTGATAAGAGACCTCTCGCTATTGGGGCTCAAAGCAGGTCGGTCCATTGGTTGAACAGTATACTCGTCCGGCTCATCACTCAGTGCTTGTCGGGCAACCTCTCTCCTCGAAGTGGCCGACTGCGATCTACGCCTCCCAAACAATCTCCCCAAACTTTTCGAAAACACCCCAGCTGAGGTTGGTTGTGGGGTAGTTGGACCGTTGAGTTGGGGCAGAGCTGATGCCTGACGATCACTATTGATAGGTGAGGGTCTTTTGGATTTGTAAGACGGCTCAGCAACACCTGAAGGGGCTGCAGCATGGCTCTGGCTCAAAGGCTCGTTCTGTGTATCGCCGAAATCGAAAGCATTGAGATTTGGATCCATTGCCCTCCCTCGTGACAAGTCTGGTTCTGTGGCCGTCTTGGAAAGAGGTGCAGAAAAGGGCATGTTGTTAGTCGTATCATGCTGGTCCCCAGTCCGACTCAACGTCTGGGAATGTGAAAGATCGACCGAATCTCCAAGTTCATCATTGCTGGCCTTGGTGCTTTCGCCGTTCGTGCTGATAGATGCATTTCTGTGACTAGAGGCGGTAGACGGACGGGAGTACTTGTCAGGATTGGGTCTTTCGGGTGGAATCTGTGCAAAATTGTCTGATGTTGCAGCCCTGGCTAGAGGTGGAGGCGCCAACTTGGGCTGCCTAAAGTTTCTCGACGTATCTCTTGACCGCGAACGTTTGGAGTCGCTGTGTTGGGTCACTGCTCTTTCCCTCCTCTTAGATGCAACCGGCTTGTTGGCGGTTGGGAACGGTGGGAAGGCACAATCGAGGTTTGTGAGTTCGGGTGAAGGTGGTCGGCGTGGGCCGGGTAACGAGCCCTTGCGAAGGTTTGAGAATGGTGACCTTGAGCCAGAAGATGCGCTTAGAGGGGAAACCATGGAGCTGTGGCCACTGCTACCAGGTGTAAGCTCTCCAGGATACACTGGTGGCCGAACTAAAGTCAGTCAGTAATAGAACTCTTGGACAGAGCAAGGAAGAGGACGCACATGCAGCAGCAGGATCAATCTTGGGCAACAGCGGACGTTGTTGTCTGATGTTTTTCAGACTGTTGGACGAGTCTGTACGAGGAAGTGGTGGAGGGATTGTACTAGACGTAGATAATGGAGGGAATGCCGTGCTGGAAGTCGGACTGGTTGTTGAGCACTGGTGGGCGGCTACTGCATCCAGTGCAATGTCGCTACCGCATTGAGAGCATTTGATGACAGGGCGAAAACTGGCACTCCTTGTTGGCAAATCCATCGCCTCCATCCTTTGACGCCAATCCTCCAATGTTGAACAACCCTTTTACTTTTCGCAAGTCGTAATCCGTTGATGACATGTATCGCAAGCAACACAATCGATATGGGTTGGATGAGGAGGTAAGAAAAGTATCTGTAGACTGTAGTAGAGGCCCGGCCAGGTGGCTTGAAGGAGTTAGTTCTTCGATATGGAAATTAGTCGAATTGGATGTTTGATCAGGTGGTAAGCAGAGCAGGCTTCGTAATGCTTGAGAACGGAAATGGATGAACCACGAGCGATAACATGGTATCTGAGAACCCATAATGTCACGAGTCGAGACACTGGAGTAATAGGCGCCGGACATAATTTTGCAAGACGCCGTGCATGAATGGCCTTTTTTGATGGAGTGCAGCATTGTTTGGCCGGGGTAGGAGATGAGGCTTTGGTTGGCGTCGAGACTAAGGTGTGACTGGGATGTCTGACTTTGGTTGATGGGACCACACCGTCGATCAAATTCTGATCAAGCTCATTTTAGCCTCGATGCTGACAGGGGTTGTTGAATCAAGTCAAGCCAGTAAGACGGGCGAAATTTGATGTGGATGATAAGGAAGCACGAGCAAAATTGACACTGGCGGGGCGTTGATATTGTCGTCGTGGCCATGTTTTCATGGTTCAACCTACCGGGACTTGTCTGTCTGTCACATCTGACATGTATTGTGTCAAGGTGGTGTTAGTCGAGAGAGCCAAACAACGATTGCCATGCTCTCTGGCACGCAATCTCTTGACGAAGTTCTCGCTTGAGAAGCAGGACTCTTGAGAGGTTCAGAGGATGTGAAGAATTGCTGGGATTTCTCCACTGAGTTCACGCGTCGTCATTCGACACAAGGTTCCAAGCAGCCTCGCTAAGCTAATTAGAGATTAGGTCACAGCCATGGGCAGCCACCAAGACAGGGGGACATTAGCATTTTGGTAGCAGGGTACTCGAAGGAGGCTGAGCCAAAGAAGCCAGAGCGTTTATTGCCGCGAGCTTGACTCGTTTGGATGATGATGGCGGTGGAGACGTATCCTTTAGGGTCCTGGTCAACTAGGGGACAAGCACACCGACATGTCGAAAATTGATAAGTTTTCCGGGCATTGATCTTCGATTGTGTTTCTGTCGACGACGCTGCTTCAGATGCTGCTGACTTACTTGGTCCTTGAGGATCTGGCACAGGTACGTGGCAGGCACAGAGCCGAGTCAGAGGCTCAAAACCCCTTCGGCCTCCATTTCAGGCGACAGTCGAATTAATTGGAGATGGGTAGCCCAGGCCTCAACTTGAAAGACTAAGAGGCCTTAGCCTACCCATAGCATGCCTGTAGCACCCGGAAGCCCACCACTAATTTGCCCCTAGAAGGTCTCCATTCTGGCCTAACGAGTCTCTAACCACTCTCTTCCTGCTTAGCTACACCAGCCCCTGATCAACCCACCACCCACTCCCTCAAGCTCCTTTATTCGCTCAAGGGCCAGTTCGCTTGGAAGCCTTGGAAGACTTCGACAGTCCACTCTGTTGATTTTAGTGGCTCGTTCAAACCATCTTCATTTCCTTGAAGAGGACTCTGAACGAGACCGTAGCATCCAATCCTCCCGAGAAGGTTGCTTGCCAGGCAACATCTTTACTGAGACCATCCGACAGGAGAACATTGATCATGAGAGGGATCTGAAGCTGAGACCGGAGGGCCCGTTGAATTGTGCAATCCTAACATGCACTGAGTGAACAATACGAATGTTCGGACGATTCTAGCTAGTATTGAGTACCGAGTACTTGCTTACCCATGCATATCAGGCTTGTCGATGGGGTCAAGTTTGATAACAATCAACATCAATTCCCACACCGCTGATCGGTGGTTCACGACCCAGCCAAGTCAGATTCCAATCGACCACTCTGCAGATCAATTTGTCTGGACTTGACCATCATAACGACAATCATTGCCTACTAGGTATCTACCTACTTACCAAGTAGTACTCGGTACTCCATAGTTGAGGCGCTGAAATAGTACTCTGGTATGTAGATGAACGCTTCACCGTTCTGCGCTTGAGGGCTAAGTGATTCTACCGTAGCTCACTATAGACACTAAATGATCCTCCGTAACTCCAATTGACAACTTTTTTGGGTTGGGTGCACAGAATACGAGGTACGCCGAGAGCCGCACCCCTCTACTAAGTCCCTTCTAAGTTAGACCACTCACCGACCTCACCTCTACTTGTTCCCAGCTACACTTGCTTGCTCTTATGACTTGTGCAGCGATTTATTGACCTGATTCAATTCATCCAACTGAACTTGCCATTCTGTAAGCCACACCTGTATCTCAAGAGGTTCGAAAGGCTCTCGCTCAAGGTCTCATAATAACTCCCCTCTGTCGAAAGAGGAAACACTTGCTGGTCCTTCGACACCCCCCAAAAAGCCAAATCGAACGGTGCGCGATGCTGCCTCAGGCTGCTGCAGTGGATCTTAAGCAATTCCCACGGTTGGCAACAGGCAGCATAATTCTCTTCATTGAAATTCATCACCTCAGCACAGTTTCCGAACACGGCTTTCTCCGGAGATTCATCTACCAAGGTCAACCCCATGGCCACAGACTGCCTTTCTGTCTTTCTGGTCAGAACTTACTGCTCTACTCGTCCAGCTTTTAAAAGGAACAAAAAATGGTTCACAGCTGCAGCATTGAGATGTGGGGAAATATTGTAGAATCCCTGCCAACACTTGGGAGTTGTCGTAGTTGAACGGCGAGCCCAACTGTCAGTGGACGTTTCGTGCTTCAGCAGGTAGGTAATTGAGAAGTTGGGTATCTTGCTTTCTCCCTCCCCTCTCTCTTGCTTGTGTTCTCATGACCACAATTGACTTCGGAGATCTGAAATTTAATCTGGGTTCCACCTGCTCGATCAGGAAGGATTAGATTCAGTCGGAGTCACAACCCACATTAATAGACAACTACAGACGATTTAGCCACTAATCATTCAGAAATTCATCTATTCTTCCAACGTCTCTCGAAGCTAATCTGAGGCCCAACGCACTCGACCAGGATCCATCAGATTCGACCACGAGTTCACAACCTCCATCAATAGGCAACTCCGGACTATTCAGCCATTCATAAATGGATAGTTCGTCTATTGACTTTCAACGTCTCGAATTCAATCTGAGATCCACGTGCTCGATCAGATTCGTTGAGGAGTTCATGATCCACATCATAGCCAACTACAGACCATTCAGCCACTCATCATTGACCATTTCGTGCCATTGACTTTGAAGATATTGGAGTCAATCGTGGTCCGCTCAATTTAGTCGACGCGTACGCCGGTCAAGCGTTATTCAACTACTCTATCGAGGCATCGCTGGATCCTCAGTGTGTTGCTTGCGGCCACCAGCTATACTACGAATCCACTATCCTCAGACTTGAACAAAGGATATCCGTGAGTCATATAGAGAAGCTCATGAAAAGGCAAACGATGTGGATGTCCATGAGAAAAATACGCAAAACTCACTGCTGATCACACGCTCTCCCCACTGCACATAAAACCCTCGCCTCTCTCCCACATTCTTCTCTTTTTTTCTTCTTCCTTCAAGAACTTGTTACATTTCAAAAGACCAACAGTACTTACAACAAAACCATTCAAGATGAGTTTGTGCTGCAGTAAGAAAAGCGTTGTCCAAGAGACTCCCCTTGCTGCTCGGGTGGTTCAGCTACCTAGGCCTGTGCAATCTGCCCCGATGCGGCAGCAATCACCTCTTTGGGTGAATCCCAGCCGGGATCATCTGAGCGATGTTTCGTCTCTGTACTTGGACGGACCAACCACGGCGACATTTGTATACCCTCAACTATGTCGCAAGCGCAACATCCCGTCTCTGCATGGACGGTTTAACTTGGACGCCCAAGTGAAACCAGCTGTGCAGAGTCGGGGTTACCGCAGCCCATGGTGTGAGACGGGAACAGATGGGACTGGAGTTTGAATCCGCACCCAAGTTTGCAGCAGCGTTCATTGTGAAGGTGGTCTCGGTGATCTTTCGTCAGCAAGCTTCCAAAGGTTTTTCAAGGATCAGTAGCCTCTGTGCGAACAACTTGGATTGTCCTGGGTTCGGGCCCAATGGCAAAGATCAGGGATTTTCCCGAAGAGTTGAATATTGTTGTTTACGGGTTTGAGAAGCTAAGGCCTGGGGACGCGGGGCCGGGGCGTGTGCCCCCATCACTACTCGTTGCTGGTCAACGGTTTTGGAGGGGGTTTCAAAACATCGTCTTTAGGCTCGTTCCAGTGAGGCAGTGATTCTCTGATGTCAATGGCGTCTTACTGAGGTGTATTGTCTTGTGACAAGTTCTTCCCGAGTCCTTGTGAAAGAGCAGAACGCATTTCCTCACCGAACATGTCAGTATGAGTAACTTGGACTCAAACAATCATCTCTCCATCGCTATGTGAAACGCAACAGAACGTACTTCCCTCGGGAACGTGTCAGTATGAGTAGCATAGCGATGGCAAATCTTCTGTCCTTTTTGTACCTGAGGCTGTGTGAAACACAACAGAAAGCACTTCATCTTCGAACGTGTCAGTATGAGTAGCACAGCCTCAACCAAAAATCTTTCTGGGACTATGTGAAACGCAACAGAAAGCACTTTCTCTCGGGAACGTGTCAGTATGAGTAGCATAGTCCCAGCAATCTTCTTCGTGCTTTTTTTTTGTTCCTGAGGCCATGTGAAATGCAACAGAAAGCACTTCTCTCGAGAACGTGTCAGTATGATTAGCATGGCCTCCAAAAAAATCCTTCCTGTCCTTTACTGTTCTTGTCCTTTTCTCGCACCGAGCCCTATGTGAACCACAACAGAACGCACTTCTCTCGGGAACGTGTCAGTATGAGTAACATAGTCAACTCTCAAATCTCTGTCTTTCTTTCTCGTTTCCCCATCATCGTCCTTGCTTTATGCAAGGCCTTGGAGGGGCTTGCAATCCTGTAGAAATCACACACACTCTCTCTGATCATTGTTTACTGCGTAATGCATGGCGTCGGGAGGATACGTAGGAGACTAGAAGGAGATTGTGCGAGATCACCGGGTTACATTGGTTTGGAGACCACAGCACGGAGCCGTCTTCCTGAGTAGAAAGATGTAGAGACCGATTAATCATGAACTGTACGCTCCAAGAAGGAGCAGGGATCTAAGAAGGGACACCATGGATCTATGGAACAGCAGGGATCTAAGAGAGAGCAGCGAGAAACAGACTTGGCGAGGGGTAGGAAGCCAACATGACTGAGAGTGATACTGATATTGGACTGTGGAAATCTACAAGTGACAGCTAGTGGAAATAGCCCGAGTTGATTGTATAATAAAGGAACAACTGTCTAAGAAGGAGTGCGAATTCGAAGGAGAAATGTCTTGAAAGCTGTGAGGAAGACAACATGGCTGATGGTGCCGTTATGTTCTAGGGGTGATAGCATGAGGGAAAGAGACCGAGTTGGTTCAGTGTATTATAAGTGGACTACGATTAAAGAAGGAGCAGCAAAATAAAGGAGGAACAACTTGAGGGGAGCAGGATGACAAGATGACAGATAGTGACATTAAGTTCTGCGAGTGATGGTATGGTAGAAAGATATCGAGTTGTTTACATGATAGAGAAAAGGGCGAGAGGATGGAGGCAAGGGAAGGAGGACCAGTAAGACAAGACAAGTGATAATTACATTGCTTTCTACAAGTGACGGCCTAGTGCAAAGAGGCCGAGCTTATTGCGTGATAAAGGGACCACGATGAAAGAAGGAGGAACAACTCGAGAAGGACAAGGCGGACCAGATGACCGATAGTGACATCGAGTTCTACAAGTAATGACTGGTGGAAAGAGACCGAATTGATAGCATGGTGAATGAGCCACGATCAAAGACAGAGCAGAGAGCTGGGGCCAAGTAAGGCGGACTAGAAAGACAAGATGATTGATGATGTGATTGAGTTCTACGAATGATAGCCCAAGAGAAAGAGCGAGAAGTGATGGCCTGGTGGAAAGAAGCCGAATTGGTTGCATGATGAATGAGCCACGATTAAAGAGGGAGTTGAGAGCTGCAGGGGCCAGGGAAGGAAGATTATCGACTTGAAGTGATACATCAAGAGAAGGAAGACCAGGAAAATAGGGGAAGGAATAACAGGAAGATGAAGCGGTACGTCAGGGGAAGGAGGGTTTGAATATGGGCTGGATTAATGAACGTCCATACCAAATGTTCAAGAGCAGTTGATCTGGGGTCACCGTCGTTGTGAGATGGCGCAAGGCAGGGACGCAACAAGGCTACAACATAGTGCAACAGGGTGTCAAGGTCGGAAGCAATGAGACCACAAGGTAGAGAACTTGAACATAAAGTCGATACTATACTGCATGCATACAAAAAGCCCTCAGGGGGTAGAGACCAAGTGAGTCACGGGCTAGTATGATTCGTAGGTCATGCCGATCTACAGAGGAGTATAACCATTATACTAGGAACGGGATGACTGCTCCTCAATCAGTGAGGTAACTTAGATTCCAAGTCGACCACCTCCGGCATCGTGACACCACCGACCCTGACCTTCCTCAGATCACTCTCCCACCCGTCCTCAACGTGGGGCCATGGCCCCCTGGGCGTGATAGCCTTGGGGTTGATATCCGCATGGCTCTTGGTGTAGTTCTCCTTGATATGCTTGAAATCGGTCGTCTCCCTGAACCCAGCGACATTCCAGTACAGGTTCTTGAGCCAGTTATTCAGCTGGGGATAGTCGTGCCGGATCGTGCCCAGATTGCACTTGAAGTGCTGGACGTAGATGGTGTCGAAGCGCACGACCGTCGCATACGCTCTGATGTCCAGTTCCGTCAACTCCTGACCGAGAATATATGGCCCACCGTTCGCAGCAATCATTTTCTCCAGCTTGTTCAGCGCTGCGAACACTGGGAGTACATTCTCATCATATCTTTCTTGCGTCTCTGCAAATCCAGCCTTGTAAACCCCCGAATTAAGATCACGCTGCAACCATGAGCCGATGTCGTCGATTTTGTTGCGCAAGTGCTCCGGATATAATGTGATATGGGCAAACTCTTGAGGTAACAGTTCGTCAAAAGCCGTCTGCAGATCCCTCAGCAGCTCGAGACTCTCATTATTGACAATCGTCCCCGTCTCCCGATCCCACAGTACTGGCACAGAATACCGGCCTTTGTACTCCTTGTCTGCTCGAAAGTAGACCTCGTGGAGATACTCGCTGCCGAAGATATGGTCGACTGTCGCCTCGGGATATTCGTTTTCATCGCGTGGGAACCGCCAGCCGGGCCAGCCTCTGTCGTCGCCCTTGGGATATGGCTTGACGACACTGACATCGATAAGATCCGTCAGGCCCTTGAGGCGACGGACGAGCAGGACACGATGTGCGAATGGGCAGAAGAGACCGACGTAAAGATGATACCGTCCGCGCTGCGGCTTGAATGGGCCGGACGTCGTGATCTTGCCGTGCCAGGAATCCGCTGTGCCGGCTAGGTGTTCCGCGACGGTACTTGGTCGAGGCCTGGACGGATCTTCTGCTGTAGAAGCCATGGTTTTGTTGTCGTCAGCAATGGTCGGACTTGAAACTCCTGCAATGATGGTAGACGCTCTTGCCGTGCCAGCCGAGAAATTCGCGTGGGACAGCTGCTCATACAGGGTCTTCAATCTATTCATTCAGGTAACCTACCTTGGTGGATAATTCCAGCGTGCATTGCAGAGCCCGATGAAGACTATGTCTTTACGAACTCATGCTGAGTGAATGCCAGAAGTCAGATTGTATATATAATCCATCCCTGTCACATCGTTCCGATGGAGAGGTTAACGCGCCGGAATTCCGCAGCGGGACGGTGACGTCAGTGTTTACTCTCTTCATATGTCCCGAGGTTCCCAGTCGCACTCAATAAAACATTTGTATTCCAGTAATATCACATTCACATCATCTAGAACTGGGGGTGGGCTACAGAGGACATGATTGGCATGGGGGAAAAACGTGATTCCAATAGTATGCGAAACTCGTAATTCTCAACTCTGCACGCTTTTTCTCATGCTTCGCGAAGCCTCCTGGTGCAGATGCGGCCGTGAAAATACCGTACAGTTGCTGCTGCTATCTGAGTTGACCAAACCGCCAATTCATTGAATCTCATTACCACTGAAAGGGATTACTTCTTCGCATCCTTCTCGACCTTATTCTTGAGCTGCTGGCCCTCGTCGACCTTCTTCTCCAACACCTTCTTGATATCTTCAATTGCGCCCTTTAACAGATTCTCGGCTTCCTGTCCGTGCTTCTGGCTGAGCTCTTGTAGTTGTTGTAGTTTGGGTGCAAGCTCTGAGCCACCGGGGATCATCTTGAGAAGCTGCTCGATACCGCCTCCTGCTGAACTCGAGGCCTTGTTGGTTTGTTCCTTGATGAATTTCTGGATGTCGTCTGTGTTTCCTGATTTGGCTGCTTCCTGAAGCTTCTGCCATAGTTGACCCAGGTCACCCTTCAACAGCTTGTCTTTGTTCTCCTCGACGAGCTTCTTCAGCTGAGGCTGCTTGTCCAAGATGGGTTTGGCTTGTTCAATTCCCTTCTGCCATGCCTGGTCGCCGTACTTCTGGATCTCTTGGGTCTTTTCTTGGATCAAGTCTTGAATCTTCTTCAAGGTCTCGGCGCTGAAACCTCCCTTGAGAATGTCCTGAGCTTGTTTCCATGTGTCTTCAACCTGCTTCTTGGCTTCTGGTCCATACTGGTCACCCATCTGCTTGAGCTGGTCAAATCGACCTCCAACCTTTTCTTTCAGTTGAGGATGATTCTCAAGGATGTCCTGTGCAGCATCACCCGCAAGTGAGCCAATGTCCTTGAGGCAATTTTGTAGAATATCCCATGCATCAGTGGCAGCTTCCATGCTGAAACCTTTCTGGGTGGTCTTTTTGAGGTCATTGTATGTCTTGGTGATGATCTTGTCTACTTCATCTCCGTGCTTTTCTCGGATCTTGTCCAAGTCGTCAAATGCCTTGTCGACGTAGATTGATGCGCCAGGGATCATTCTAGTATAGCTGGTGACCGTTTCCCTCAACCATTGCACTGCCTGGTTTGGTTCTGGAGCAGCGGCTGTTGTCTTCTTGAAAGCTGTGTCGACGTAGGATTTGGCCGAGGAGACACTGTTTACCACGGACTTAGCACCCGAGAAAGAGTACCATAAGTAGCCACCTAGAAAGGCGACAAGACCACCAGCAGCGCCGCCCAGCAGAGCATGACTTGAGCCACCAGAAGCTCCGCCACTGGCTTGCGATGGATTTGAGGTTGTGGATTGGTAGCGGAAGTTTCTTGGTTGGCGGACTTGACGGACTCGAATTGGGGCTGGTCGAGCTCTCAAAGCTCGAGTTGAGCGGAGTGCCACCCGAGGAGTAGTGGCAAGCATGATTCAAGCGGAATTGGAAGAAACAAAGAGAATGGGGAGAAAGAAGAGCGTATGTTTCTGTTGGTGAAGAATGAACTGACGGATCAAGAGGATATGTAGAGGCAGGAAAGCAGAGCAGAGCAGAGCAAAGTCGAGCAGAAAAAGCACGCTCCGAGTCAAAATATTGAGCTGGACAACAGCAATGACGACTTTGTTCCTGACATTCACATGGACAGCTGAAGATGCCCTCTTCATTGGTTGCGGCACGGAATGCACTTCCAGACCTTGGATTCAAACGTCATTGTGGCACAGGGCAAGGTGAAATCTTCCGAAACTCCTTGCTGATGGTCGAAGGTTTTCCTCCAAGACAATCCATCAATGATTGCCATTGCACTAAGCATGGTGTTGAGATAGTACTCGTAGTCAGTGAGCACAGCCTACCCAGTATAAGTATTAGAGCGACAAAGACTCTCGTCGCTTTTGAATGTACGAACGGGCTGATGTTTTTGGAGCGAAGATGATCAACTCCCACTTGATTCCCCGGATTGTCCTGGATTTCGGACCCGGGTAGGACAGCTCCCCCCTGGCTATGCCTATTCCGGGTAGCTCTCGGCAAGACTTTATTCCCCCAGTGGCACCCATTGACAACCGTCACTGCTGGCCTGGTAGGCATTGATCTTACCCGAGGCACTCGTAGTCAGTTTTGGGGGCCAAATGGTTAAAGGAGGCTTTCCCCAGGCATTCCAACTCAAGCCTAACGCCCCGGAGCAGGCTGTTTCTCGCCTAAGACACAACGTCATCTATCCTCGACACAATTTGTTCCCAGTCACCTCAACGAGACTTGAACCTCTCTGCATCTCACCAGAATTTCAATCACATTCCCGGCGCACATAGCATCATATCACATATACACCAGCCATGCTATCTAGATCCACCATCAGAGCCCTCCGACAGGCTACTGCCTCATCTCGGTCTATAATCCCATGCTCAGCACGTCAATGTACGATACGCCCGATGCACCATATGCCCCAGAATGCGCAACGACCCTCACAATATTGTCTCCTCCAGTCCAGCGCCTTCCACACATCCCCATCTCGACTAGCACAGTCACCGACAGCCGACGCGCTGATGGAAGACCTCAACGAACTCTACGCGACGGCAAAAGACGAGTTTGAAATTGCGGCCGAGGAGACGGAGAAGAAGACCGTGTATGCGGAAGACGACCGGGAAGCCGCACAGGATGCCCTGAAAATGCTGCAGGATGGCTTTCAGAAGGCCATCAAGGAGAGCTCGCCGGACGTGGCCAAGGAGGTCCAGTCACGCGTTGGTCCGAGGATAAGAGAGCTCGAGAACGCTATCAAAGCAATGGAGGAAATGGCCATGGAGGACTGAGGGACTTGACCTTGAGTACCAGGCATTTTCGTGAGGTCAAAGGGGGTAATAATACCTCTGAGACCATGGGCCAAATCCTGTGATGGAACATCCTGCGCATTTGGCCTACGAGCATGGTCTGAATTAGTGGTCACGTATTTCACCACCAGGCCACACCAAAATGTACAGCAAGATACAGGCAAGATACAGGCAAGATACAGGCAAGATGTCTACGTGGGCGAAAAGATCTCATGTAGGGAGGAATGGAAGAGAAACAAAAATCAGGATTGTATCATAGAATTCTCTCATGTACAGACGTTGACCATGTCACATTCGTCCATACGCCTTTCCTTCAGCAGTGATTTTAATCACTCCTCGCTGAGAAATGCAGTCGACTATCCACTGTTCATCCACGCAATCTAAAACACACCCCTCTAGTATTTCTTGCCCTCTCTCAGAACATCACCATACTCCTCCAGGGGACTTCTGATGAGCTTGGTCTCCTTCCACAGGTTGGGGGTCAAGAAACCGTATGAGTTGCTGACTGCGACGAAGGTGGCCTTCAGAGTGTTCTCGAGCGTCTTGGTGCTACCGGCAGAGGATGTGTATGCGTCCTGGACACCGGCCAACTGCAACAGTCTCTTGACGGCGGGAGATGCGACGAGACCGGTTCCTCGGGGAGCAGGGATCAGACGCACGGTGACGGAACCGCACTTGCCGGACTCCTTGGTGGGCAGAGAGTGAGGCTCACCGAGGTTGGTGCCCCAGTAGCCACGTCGGATGGGAAGGACGGAGAGTTTGGCAATGATGATGGCGGCGCGGATGGCGGTCGCGACTTCTTTGGATGTCTTGATTCCCAGACCAACGTGACCCTCGCTGTCTCCGATGACGACGATGGCCTTGAATCGAGTTCGCTGACCGGCACGAGTTTGCTTCTGGACGGGTTTGATCTGCAAGTGGTTCGTTAGACTCGAGTTTCTTTCTTCCCGCCAGGTAGACTGCCTGGGACTGCGGTAGCGGTGCCTCATACCTTCATGACTTCATCCTTCAACTTGGGCAAGAAAAAGTCGACGATCTGATACTCCTTGATGGGAAGAGAGTGCAAATAAATTTGTTCCATGCTCTGGATTTTTCCGGCCTTGACCAGACGTCCCAACTTGGTGACGGGTTGCCATTCCTTCTCTTCAGATTTGTTTCCTCCACGGCGAGGTCCACGACGGCCTCTTCGATCTCCTCGGCCTCTGTCGCCGCGGCCACGGTCACCGAATCCACCACGTCCACGGGGTGCTGCGTCAGCCATGTTTGTGGTTTGTTGTTGATGTGATGGTGACGAGGATCGGTTTTCAATGTGGATGGCTTGTCCTGCAGTGGGATACAATTTCGCAGGCGAGACAGATCTGAGAGTTTGCGGCTTGCCAAGAGTTCGTGCCCTAAGTAGGGCGGAGCAAAAGGTGGTCCGATGGAGTGAATTTCACAAAATTCTGGAATGGGTGAATTTGGCGGAGAGATTGCGAAACGGGAAAGATATCCGACAAATGTGCTACTGTGAAGTTTTCAAACAACCGAAGTCGAGAATGACGCAGGAGATTAAAGAGCGACAACAGGGTCTCCTTGTCTTCAACGTGCTTCCTTCTTGTGGATTCTAATCTCTGCTAATGGTTGAAGAGAAGGGATTTTTAAGGTATCTTGGTATGCAGTTCTTGTCGAGATAACGTGTCCAATTCATTCTATACAAGCACAAGTTCAAAATGGTTTTAAGGTGGTATGTATCTCTCCTATCAAAACCCCAAATTAGGTGGGCGGCCGCGTCACTCACCTTCTCCAGGTATCAAAGTAAGCTGGCGAAACGGCCACTGCTCACACAGGCCGTCACAACAGCAGTATGTTGACATGTCCGCTTCATGTGTTTGAAACACGACTTCTGACATTTGAAGGTGTTGTTTGGTGCTGGTGATACTCTCGCCCAACAAGCTGTGGAGAGGAAGGGATTTCGCAATCAGGATGTCGCTCGAACAGGTAGAATGGTACTATACGGTGGCTGTAAGTGCATAGCACTACCATAGCAAGGATTGGTGCTAACAAAGCCAGGCGTGTTTGGGCCGGCCGCCACGAAATGGTATGGATTTCTGCAAAAGCGGATCAACCTTCGCTCACACAACGCGACTATCGCCGCACGTGTGGCTGCTGATCAGACGGTTTTCGCGACTATCAACCTGGGTGTGTTCCTCTCTAGCATGGCACTCATGGAGGGTAGTGATCCAAAGGCAAAGCTAGAGAAGAGTTACTTCCAGGGTCTCAAAGCGAATTGGGCGATTTGGCCAGCAGTTCAAGCAATCAACTTCAAGTTTGTCCCGCTTGAACATCGCGTTCTCATCGTCAACATTGTCAGTCTGGGTTGGAACTGCTTCCTCAGTTACTTAAATAGCTCGAAATGAGCTCTCGAGCTGGCTGTGCATCCGCACTGTACATAAACATGCGTTGTCGTTCTGATGGTTAGCAATACGTGTCTTTGTCCTAAATGTGGCAGTGGAATACAGTATGATAGATATTAGATACCACAGCAACACAGGCTTTGCAGACTATGTTGTGCAATACCACTGATGCATGAATCGCGCACCTTGTAGACTTTGAGAGTGTCGGGTACAACCAAGCGCGCTAGTCTATTTGAGGCGGCCGCTGCTATGCAAGTTCAAGCGATTCGCTTTCTTCAATACTTCCACCACTCGAAGCAACATTGCCACCCAAGAAAACTACAGTACCCAGAACATTGGGGTTAACACCCGCGAAATGGCGTTGTTTATGCTACATGTCGTTCTCAACTCCGTAGCTTATGGACCAAGTCAACGAGCTCACCATCAGACCGAGCTGAATAAATATATTTGCTGATCTATCCAAGCCCCTGCCATCATGGAGCTGGGCACGAGGTCACGCACAGGGTGCCAGCAATGCCGCAAAGTGAGTCGAAAATGTGACGAGGGTCGCCCGATGTGCTCGAGATGCCTGCGGCTAGGTATCCATTGTGATTACAATCGTGTGCTCTCTTGGAAGTCAAAGCACGCAAAGAATCAGGCTAAAATTCCATTATCCCTGCGACAAACCAGGACTGCTCGGTCGAGAGTACATACTCTGACCAATACCATTGACAAAGAAGATGACGTTACGGATTCTGCTACTTCGTCAAGGCTCAGAATACCCACCGTTCCCGGAGAAGAACTGATCCCATCCAAAGTGGGCACTGGACCCATAGAGGAGGACATCATGAACACCAGTAAGTCGAGCTTCGTGTTAAACAGTCCATTTCTTCTTTTGAATACCTGCCAACAAGCTACTCAGTAAGAGTTCTTGGAGAGATCTGCGGATGGTCAAACCCAAGTCGAAATTCTATGCTCTCTGACCTGGTACCGCTATGTCTGCAGTACCCAGCTATCAACGATGCTCTTGTTGCGTTGGTGGCAGCACATGAGGAATCGTCGTCTGCAGCAACTCTTGCTACCTTCGAACATGCTCTGGCAAGTGCCAAGGGTCTCATCAACTTACCCATTCCCAGTGGTGGTTTTTCCAAAGTACTTGTGGCCGCCGCACTTTCCATAACCCAGATCTCCATGAAGCTGGGTCATCCTTGGACAGCACAACTGTCCACTATCTTAGACATAACGCTACAAGAAATGGATGTTGCGTCAGACGCCTCGTCAAAACTGAGTACCATGGCCACTCTCGAAGCCTTGGGTGGTCTGGACATGGACGCATGGATTATATGCCGGCGAACAGCACCGTTGCATATCTGGGCAAGGTTCTGCTCAGGGGGTAATGGAATTGAGGGTATTACTGGACTCCCACGATCTCTTATAGACCTGATCGCGAAAATCTCGCTTCGTGAGGATATCGAAATCGAGTTGAGGCAGTGGTCTCCGCCACGGGATTGCGACCGCATCCAGACCGACACCGCGTTGCTTTATCGACTCACTGCGCTACTCTACCTGCATGTCGAGATTTGCATACTCCTTGACGCTGACAGACTCACCTGGGAACTAATGGGCTACGTACGAAGACTGTCTGATGCAGAGGGTTTCAACCACAGAGCACTTTTGTGGCCAGTATATGTACGTTTTCGTCCATGCTTCCCTCCATGTCTACAGGATGCCCATTCCTCTTGTTCCAGTCTGTTCTCTCGAATTGTGTCGCGCACGCTGATCTTCTCCAAAGGTACTTTGTCGCGCCGCTACCAATCCCGACATCATTCACTATGCGACAGATCTTCTTGAAACCATCACGAACTACTCGACACGAAATGATCTGGTGATAACCACAATTAAAAACGTTTCCCGTCGAACTAGCGACCCACATCCTTCGAAGTACGATCAGCAGATTGGTCTCGAATATTGTGAGATTGGGTTATGGTAAAGAACTACGTACCGAGAAAGTAACTCCTTCCAGGCGCAAATGTGTTCCGTAACCCGGATTGCCTCAACCCAAAAGGATGAACTTAGGTAAGTAACTGCGAAAGTCCCCTTCTCGGAGAAGCACGCGACTTATCCGCGAGTGGGATTTGGTGAACATCTTGGATCCTCCTAAAACTTCCACATTAGGCCTGGTATCGCTAAGTTCGCCAAATTCATGCTTGACCCACAACTCTAATCCAGTGCAGTATAACATGAAGTCAACGCCGTCAAGCAAAGACCAATACACCTTTATCAACTTGACTGGTCGTGCTTCTGCTCAACTCTACTTCTGATCTTTTCCTTTGGTACGCACAATATACATCACCTCTACCAATAGTTACCACAGGTCTCCAGCAATGGGTCTGAAGAAAGTTGTTAGGCCCCATCATGAGCCAGACTACGCATGGTCTCGCCCTCATGGCTTGGTCGAAAAGCCAGGCATGTATCCTGACGAACCAGAAGCTTGGGTATATTGCGATAAATTCTCATACGATCAAGGAGAGACTGTATCTCTCAAAGTTCACACCACGGCAGAAACTTTTGATATTGAGATTATCCGTGATGGTTATCGACCAGAAACCGTATTCACAAGAACCGGGCTGAAAGGCCAGGTTTGTGACACGCCAGAAAATGCATACTCCCACGGTTGTGGGTGGCCTGAAGCCCTAACTATCCATCTCGACGCAGAGAAGTGGAAGCCGGGATACCATCTCGTGATTATACGTGTCAAAGAACCCAATGGGAGAGACTATGAGCGTGAGGGATTTTTTATTGTCAAGTCGCCCAGTCGCAAAACAAGTGCCAAAGGCGAGGCGGACTTTGTCCTTATTCATGCCACTTCGACCATGCTTGCGTACAACGATTGGGGCGGCGCAAATCATTATCGAGGAGTTTCAGACGGCTATCAAGACGACGACCCATCCCCGCTCTCGAGCACTCAACGTCCGATTGCCAGGGGCATGCTGCGGATTCCTAGAAATGCGCCGCGTGAGTCGAACGGTGCAACCGTTGCAGAATTCGGCCACTCACCGAGATATCCTGCTCTGGAATATGCTTGGTATTTTCGCTATTCACGCCATTTTGCAGACGCTGGCTGGGCAACCTATGAACGTCCATTCACGGTCTGGGCAGAGCAGAATGGCTACAAAGTGCACCATCTTACACAGTCAGATCTACATCTCGAGCCTGACTGTCTCACAGGATACAGCACAGCTGTTTGTGTTGGCCACGATGAATATTGGTCCTGGGAGCAGCGCGACACTATTGACAACTTTGTGAATAGTGGAGGAGCACTTGCTCGATTTGGAGGCAACTACATCTGGCAAGTACGGTTTGATGAAGCAATGAACACCCAATACTGCTACCGGCTACCACAGTTGGATCCGGAGTCGGAGAGCAATCCCACTCGAACAACCACAGCGTGGGATTGGCCGAAGATTGGCCGCCCAGGAGCAACGACTGTCGGATTGACAGGCGTCATGGGCTGTTACACGCGATACGGCATGGCTTCCCCGCGATCATCTGGCGGGTTTCAAGTGTATCGACCCTCACACTGGAGTTTGGAAGGGACGGATTTGCGCTACGGCGATAATTTCGGTGCGCATCCCATCAATATCGCCGCTTTCGAGGTCGATGGCTGTGATTACACGTTCAATAAAGGCCTTCCTTATTCTACGGGCAACGATGGAGCACCTTCAAATCTTGAGATCATCGCCATGTGTCCAGCCAGCTTCGGTGAAAGAGACATCTCCAATGGCAAGGAGCCCATTGGTGCACCACTCAGAGAAGTGTAAGGATTCCCATCCTTGTTACTTGATTGGTCTATTTACGAGGGTTAAAACTTGCTAATATATTCGACGATTTAGTTTGGGTTTCCTCGAAGCTCTCTACGAGAACCAGGAAATGCCAGAATATCTCAAAGATCGAGAATACGGCTCCGGCATGGTCGTGAGCTTTACCAAGAAGACTGGTGAGGTGTTCTGTGCAGGGACATGTGAATGGGTAGTTGGACTTATTAAGCGCGACACATTCACCGAAATGATCACAAAGAATGTACTAGATAGGTTCATCAGCAGGAAGAGCTCGTGATAGGTAGAGTGCGGTTTCATGAAACATTCGTAAACATAGAATGTTATATCCTGCGCTATAACTGCCACCCTGTGTCCGAAGTTCATCCTAGGAATATACCTTATTAGTTCATTCCGTGGACATGACTATTGCTGTCGACCACTCGCTCTGAAAAATACATAACTATCCGCTGAAAGGTTGGACTAGTAAATTTGCCACAGATAATAGAAGTGGATTCGCGTAAAGATCGTCAAATAAATAGCAAATTGTCAAGGATAAATTGATTATCGGCTAAGCATAGTTAATGATCTAATGCTAGAGACGAAGAGGCAGCCCATGGCTAGATTCCCAATTTTATCTGTGCCTTCTTCCACTTTCAATACGTGCTTTTGGCGTGTACTCGAATTGCCAACTTTCAGCTTGTGGGCTGAAGTTGGACGATCAATAGCCAAACGGAAGCAATCTTTGGAGGAAGAGGTGCCTTTGCAGGGCCCACGACTGTATTGTGTGGCTTTAATAGTAAGTCGCACGGTTTGTGAGTTTGAGGTACCTCTTTGCCGTTCGTCTGCGGATAGACTTGCCCCAGATCTGGAAAGGTATACTGGAGAGGTTCAGAACGAAAATGACTACTGCAATAATGATGCTAGTCGTCTGTGCACCGTTGTAAGTAATCCACGGCTGGATCCCAAAGGTGAAGGCGCCTCCCACGAGGTTTCGGATGAAATTTGAGAGTTGGACGATTTCTCCCGACAGATCGACATAGCTATCCAGAGCATATCCCATGGCGACTGGTAGGGAAGCATTGAGAAATATCCCAACGAAAACTAGCCCGAGACACGGGACGATCCAATGGATCCCATGACTGGCACCGACACCATAAAGCAACACTCCGATTGCACCAAGGAAGGGTACGGGAATATATGCCCAAAGACGGTGCTCCGCCTCTGCGATTCCATTGTTAGCCTTGGCCAAGCGTAGGACAATCCAATCGGCCACATTTCCTCCATAGATGGCGCCGATGAAATTGCCAATGATCAAGGCGAAGTACATCAGGCCGAGTTGCGAGGCATCGAAATTGTATGGCGGCGCCGCAAAAAAGGAAGCTTGAGTGGTGAAGACATAGCCCACAACGAACGTCGCAATCGCTATCATCCAGCTGGCCCAGACTGCTGCAGGTAGTGTACATACTTGAAAGACCTCGAATGTCAGTTTAATGTAAGATGCTTTCACGTTGGTGTTGGGTCGAAAAAGTGTCATTCGTTGGGCATACGTGTACCTCTGCGTAGGCACTGAAGTGACGTTTTCTTGAGGCTCCCCGACGCTAGTTGGGAGGGGAGTGCTTAGAGAAGCCTCATAGGTACCGTCCACCGGCTGCTTTGATGCAATCTCAGAAGATTCGTCTCTGACTTCTGTATCAATCCTGTCAATGCCGTGTTCAACGTTGGCCACAATACTAGTTCGTGGGAATAAGGTTTCTTCTGCGCAGGACAGGACCAGTAGAGAGGAAACCACAAAGAAGATTATCAAATAGTAAAAACACCATTTCCAACCTTGAGACTGCGTGATGTAACCTGCTGCCACTGGTGGTAGGAAGTTGCCGAGAATGAGAACAATGCCATAGAGTGAGAGAACTCGTCCTTTTTGATGCAGAAATGTTATATCGATGAGACTGGTGATGATGGTAGCATATGACGGCGCAGAGCCGAAGCCACTGAGAATCATATAGGCGTAAAACCCATTGATATTCTTCATTGTCGCGCCCAATGCTAGCCCGATCAAGATCAGAATAGAGCCGAGGACGTATACAGATCTTCGGCCATATTTCAACGCCCACGGCTGAAGGAACAGGCATCCGAAGCCGCACATAAGTACAAGAAGAGCTTGTCCATAGTTGAGCAGAGTAAATGTGGTATTAAGTTCGATTGTCCAGACAGCCCACGCCGGAGAGGTCCAGGCGATGCTACTAACATTAGTTCATCGGCGGATTCATGGTAGGCGGTGTCTCGTACGCAGCATTCGCGAAAAATGTCCATGCCAGCAAGTTGCTTGCAACCCATAGCTTGGCTCCCCGAGACCAATTCTGTATACATGTGAGTTCTCGATTTAATTGATTTGTTCAGCAAATTTCGTACTAGTGGATCGTTGATATTTTTTGTGGGTGCAGGGACAAGAACAACTCTTGACGGTCGGTCGGTCTCGCCGGGTTCTGTAGACAAAGCCCGAGGTCAATATCTGTTGAAAGACCTATAGGCAGTGCGAAAAGGCTCACCATTGACTAGGCGTAGAGTCCCAGCAACAAATTCACCATTCTGTTCCATCTTGTACACGTTTTCGATGTTGGTGCCAGACTCATACAAATTGACCAGGGTTTTGAGAGAAGAAATTGGAAATGATCATGCCATGTTTGATATATTTATTCTCCTGTAGTGGTGGTGAGCCGCTGGGTTACTTTCGAGGTACTGATGATAGCCCGAACCGCATCCCATTAGGTTGACCTGTGCTCTTGTTACAGGATCTGGGGTTAGTGCCAGTTCTGGCCAACATTGAGGATGGAGAATACGATATGCTAACAAGTCCGATAGCAGTGTTCATCATGCGAAAAGGTCTAAGTTCAAATTGTCCGCCGCGATGCTGATAAGGATGGCTGAAAGTCTGGCCAATACCCCTGTTGTTCCCCGCCCCATAAGCCCTGTCCTTCTAAAATTTCCTCATTGAGCTTAGTTCACGTTGTGGACTCTTCGCCACAGACAGTTCTCAGACCTCGAATGATGTACCCAACCCTTGGCTGTGTTAAACAGGATAACTAGGTGGTTATTGTCAGCGAACTCTGAGTTTCCAGATTGTCAATCGATTTCTGAAGTGTTTAGCGGTTATCAGGGCGACGTGCAAGGGGGTAGTTGTCAGCGAGATCATGATTGATGATACAGCATTTCCATCGGAAATTGAACTTTCCAGTTGGCGAGACCCAAAATCGCGAACCACTTCTAACGTCAAATGGCACAGCCAAACAATAAAGCTTCCCCCAGGCCTGAGTAGCGTTGCGTGTTGACACACGCAAGCCCTTGAGACACGATAGATCCTATTCTCTTGTTTTGACTCCACTCAATGATCCGGGTCACACAACGACGCGAATCTGCTCGTACAGATACGCTGTGAAAAAGCTGTGCCGATACCTCAACTAACTGCCGCAACTCCAACCGACTTCCAATCTACAGGACGTTTTTCAAAACATCATTGAATTGCCTCTTTTGATAGACTCGAGTGAACATAGTCTGAGCAACCGGAGCTGACAAACACGCGCTGATCGAGGTGGGTATTTTCATACTGCCCGAGGTAAATCGTTACTCATGACTACCACTGATAGACACTCACAGTCGGAAAGGACTTATCAAGCAGGCCCACGATAAAAATGCCATTTGTTGCGCGACCTGATCAGGTGGCAGCCTTCCAGAAGGCATGTAGCCAACCCAGCTATTCCCAAGAAGCGCTCAATGTTGAGTTCACAACTACCACCGAATTTGACAGAAGTGTACTCCCTCCTCACCTCGAACCTACTGATCAGGCAAAAGGATTGATCAACATCTCAACCTGGCAGAGCAATGTCTGCGGAGATTTTGAGCTTTCTTCTGTCTTGGTTCAATGTAAGGAGGGGGAGAAAGAAGGCTATTGGGTGATCAATCTGATCGTCAGTGAAGGTCATGCAATCACTTGGGGTAGGGAAACTTGGGGTGAAGTAAAAAAAAACTTGGGAAGCCCAGGCTTTTCTGTAACGGCGAGGGAAGATACGGCTATTGTGAGCGCCAGGGAACCAGACTTATCGAGATTGACGCCGAGTTGACAGAATGGCTTGAGCCAAACGCCACTGAATGGTATAGCTTTGAAGTCAAAGCATTTCCAGACAGTCGTGGACTCGGTATGCATAGTGATCCACTGGCTATCACGTTGAAGGTGGTGGAACAAAATGTAAAACGAGCATCAGGAAAAGTGAAGCTGACACTCAGAGGAACTGAGAGTGATCCACTTCATACCATCCCCATCACCTCTATCTCGGATGTCTTCTATATCAGTGGTGAGACCAAATGGACGGTAGATGACGAACGACCATTGAAAGGCGGTGACGCCTACTTGCCATTTCTTGTTGGCCGACATTACGACGTGATCTCTGACTTCCACGTTGGATCTGGCTTTCCGAGCCACATGGAGACACATGAGTCTAGTGACAAGACTGAAACTCGATTATTTCGGAGCTGATAGGGCAGCCACGACATCGCACGCAATGGGCCTGATATATACTTCCAATTATTGAGGAACAACTTCTGGAATCTCCTATTCTAATAGTGCGTTTGACATTTGGCAATCATCCCTTGTCAAGTGGAGAATTGGATTAGTTAATACTAGTACTTGATAAAAACTCAATTGAACAGGCTTTCAAAAGCACGCATCGCTATGGGTTAACTGTTCTTATCATGTTGCTGAACGAATACGTAAGTCTTAGTACATGTAAGCATGGGACTGGGACAAATGCCATTTTGTCATTCACAGAATTCCATAGTTAGACCGAATCGCCCCAGGTCACCAATGGATCAGGAATTTGTGTTCATTCAACTCTTGAGCCATTTGCTGTCGGGGTTGGTCCTCTGAAGGTAGTATTTCACTACCTCCTGCTTTACTGGCTATGTCGAAGTGTGTTCTAGTGATCAAGAGTGCGAATTAGGGTCCCGTAAGGAAGCGTTAGCTAAGGTTGCCTACCACTAGCTGCATGGTACTTACTGCGTGGACACCGTTCTCTTTTTTGGAAGATGCCATGAATCTCGACAGGCAAATATTAGAGCTAGATCCGCGAAAAGGGGGAGGTGCTCTGTGCTGGGAACTGAATGGGCGGTAGAGTTAAAGAGGCGGGATGTATTTACCGAGTCAATCACGATAAATGTCTTGAAGAGATCCACTGGCACTGGTGTATGAGTATCGCCTAGTCATATGAGAACCGCCCACAATATTCATCGCACTAGTTAGCACTTTTCATTGGGCATGTGTCCTGTGTCTGGATTCACAGCCTTGCCTTGGTCGAAAGCAGCTTATAGCAGCATCAAGCAGCGCCAACAGGGCAGCGACATGATGCTTCCCAAACGGGATGATCCGCCAGAAATCTTGGCATTCGAGTTTACGGAAAGAGCTTTTTGCGGATGAGCCTGCGGTAGGTTCGAGTTCACTTTCGCCTTCAATCACTCTCACTCCACGGCACTGTGACAATAATCTATCTTCTCATTTACCAGGGATCAGTCTTCTTCTTTTGACCTCTTTCCTGGTCTCAATAATTGGCGCGCTGCACGCTCGTGTCCGCTTCTAGTCTCCACCCAGTCTCACCATCCTCACCACCTACTCCTTCAACTTTTTCAGCAAGATGGCGGAAGTTGAAATGCCTCAGCCAGTTCCTGGCCCCGTCTCAGATGAGAACGTAGCCCCTTCCTCATATGACGAGATCAAAACCGTCTTCCACGATGTCAACAACTTCAACGTCAAACACCCTCTTCTCAACACTTGGAGTCTATGGGTTGGTTATATCTCACTACACAACATTGGCTCAACTAACGGGATCAATTAGTTTACCAAGCCTCCTTCATCAAAGGGCGACAATTGGAATGATCTGTTGAAGGAAGTGATTTCTTTTGACTCAGTGGAAGAGTTCTGGGGAGTATATGTAGGACTGTGTCCACAATTTGGCGATGATTAATATCTAACGTGAACAGAACAATATCACCGCTTGCTCCGACCTTGGCCTGAAATCCGATTATCATCTATTCAAGAAAGGCGTCCGTCCGGAATGGGAAGACCCGCAGAACAAACACGGTGGAAAGTGGTCATACTCATTCAAAGACAAGAAATTGATCAACATTGACGAGCTTTGGCTACACACACAGCTTGCTGCCATTGGGGAGACGTTGGAAGACGAAGGTGATCAAGAGATCATGGGTGTGGTTGTCAACGTGCGAAAGGGCTTCTTCAGAGTTGGTCTGTGGACTCGAACCACTGGCAAGGCGGGTGGTCGCGACAACTTGATGAAGATTGGACAACGATTCAAGGATGTGCTTCAACTTCCAGCCACGGAGCAACTCGAATTCAGCGGTCACACGGATGCGGCCCACGCAGGCAGCACGAGAGCCAAGGCCAAGTATACGGTCTGAAAAGTCATCATGATTTGCCTTGAGTTGGAGGATAGAATTATGGCAGTATTCATTCACATGTCAGTGGATGAGAAAAGACTCTGGGATGGAGGATTGGACCGGAGTCGGCGTTTGCTCTGGCGTGGCGCTGAAACGGTCCTCTATGACAGAGAGATACCCTGCATTTTACTCATGTTCAGATTAGCATAGCGACAGGTCGACTGGGCTTTAGTGGAATATGAATTGTTCGAATATCTTGACAAGGAGATTGGTCAGTGTCTGCCTGGAAGCTGATGTTGATCTTGATACTTGTGGCCAATAAGACGAAGAACGGCCACCCAGCCTTATATGTCTGAACAGTCATGATTTCTTGGTGGCTTGACCCCTGATATTGGGGCGAAATATTCTTTTGGAATATTAACTGTGTCTTCCCTAGACGCATTCCCGGCATTTCACTCATCCTCATTATCAACATCTGCGTTCTTCTTTTCCATTGAGCAATGTCGGGTCCAACCATGTTAGTTGGTCTCTGTCATGCTTCCACCAGGCCGTCCCGACATGAGGTCAGGTGTCACAAGAGGCTTCGCATACGTGACCGGATATCTCGGTGCGAACTTCTAGGTTCACTATCACTCTTCTCTCCGTTGCTAACCTTGACTGTTTGGCTCAAGACGCAGTGACCGAGCAGAGCCGCATGGAGACACGTGATCCCGGATGAACCCGCATCCCGATATCTCATGTGACGGAATATCATCCAATGAAAAATGCATTGCCAAGCCGGTGACGACCGGTGAGCGAGGCTATGACCACAGACTCAGCCAACGAGGAAGGCGCCTGTTCTGCACTTGGTCTGCACTTGCCCTGCATGCTTTCTGCACGACTGCAGGTTCGCTCCATCCTCCAACTCGAACTCGCACTCGCTTATCCTCGCCGGATTCCACCTCAGTGTTTTGCGTCTCTGACACGAGTCCTGAACAGATTCAGTTCATGTCCAATTTTCACAATTTCAGAGGCCCCCGTGCATGTGTTACTGATCTACTCCCAATGGTATCGTGAGACCGCCCCTCTTTCCCACGGAATTGGGCCTCGATATTTCATTCCATGCCACCTTGGATCAAATGGATCCCCTGGCCTAAGCGGCTCTGGCACACTGTCATCCTATCTGAGGCCTCTTGCGTGGGCTCACCTGCGACTAGGCCTCTAGAGACTAGGTGGGCTGCTTAGTTCTGCCATACTTGATAAACATTCCTCCCACTTTACGCGAGGTTGCCTGTTCCCATCCTCCTTTCTTCCACTTTCCAATGTTTCAGCCTACTTAGATTCATCCATTGCCTATAGCCTTGCTGCCAAATTCCCAGGCATCAAACTCAGCCTTTGGTCTCTGGGCTGTTTGCATTGTTTGCCTAGTTACCGACAAGCAGGCAGACATCACCCTATCCTCATCCAAGTCCCATTCCGATGGGGCGAAAACCCCGGAAAAGCGGCTACAGCTCTCGGGACAAGCACTACAGGGAACTGGTTGCTATTGCGAACGGTACCAACCAGTACCCTACAGGCAGCGTTCCTCATCGCCCAGCTCTGCCACTCGTACCCTCCCAACCCATTCGACCTCAACAACGGGATCTATCCGCACAATCCAACCCTCAACGGCAATCCGTCGATTGGCCAATCTCACCACCAACTCTCCCAAACCCAGTCGACTCACTGGCTGTCGCGTCATATCACCAGTCAAACTTTGCAAACTCAACCACGACCAGTCCCACCGACCAATTAGGCTACGAACGAAGAACATCTCCCGAGGCGAATACTCCTACGAACTCGACGGTGATTTCTGATGCTGGCTGTGGACAGTTTTCGCGAATACATGGAGGCAATGCTATCACTTCGCCTCAGAATCTCTTTTCTTCAATAACTGGTCAGAGCCATCCGATTGATTGGGTTCCAGGGCCAGCAACTAACAGTTGAATCACAGATGATGTTGTCGGCATTGACAAGAGATACTCTGCCGCCGATACCACTCGACTCGTCCAGCAACTCGAACCCAAATTCATCCCTCCTCACAACCAATTACCGAGCAACTACCCAAAGTCCCGACGCAACAACGAACCATGGACCCCTGTACAGTATCAGCCACCAACCAAGTCATCTAGCATGGACACAGACATGCACGATGTTCCAGATCACACCCATTCTCAGGATGGACGCGAGAAAGGTGGTGGCAGAATAGGCCCACTGTCACAGATCCAAAGACAGCAGGCCAGCGAGGTCAGAAGGAAGGGAGCTTGTCTCCGTTGTCAGATCATGAGAGAAAAGGTATGCTTCTGTTTTTGCCCAGATCTCCCACGGCCCTAATGCCTCCCAGTGTGATCTTAAAATCCCCTGTCACACATGTGAGACCAAAGACCGTCGAAAATTTCCCAAGAAATGCATCCGAGCCAATTTTGACTGGGAGAGCCAAAGTCATATGTACTTCCCAGGTAAGAACAATAATCGACCATGAATGAATGCCCTCCATTGACGTTGGTGCGTAGATGAATTGACACACCGACTTAAGCAAGACAAGCTGTTCACATACCTCTCCTTTACATCGTTCAGCATGTCCAACCGTCCGGAATTCACCGTCAAGTTGGATCTCCACATCGAGGATAAGTTGTGGGTGGTTGTCAAAGAGTTCACCCCCTTGGAAGACCCTATTCGCCATGCTCATCGCTCCATAAACGACGCCAGTGGAAACAAATCATACCAGCGCTTACAAGTATGGAGTCCACCTATAATCATGCGCATCCGAGACGGCGAGCTCCCGTCAACCGTCACCACGATGAGGAAAAATCTGAGAAATCTTTTCACCACAATCTTGGCTGATGAAGGCAAATGGGCTAGGTGGAGTACGAGATATTTCTACCATGTGGAAGAGGACTTTCAATGCGACCTTGTTATTTGGATTGGGAAATACTATAGAAAAGATATTGACGAACATTCGATTTTGGCTACAGCTTTGAGCTTACTGTGGTGGGAATATCTCCTCCTGAACAAAATTACTGTGGCTGAGGACGATCTGGTCAGCCTCGATCAGCACTTGGGAGAGAAGCGTCCTAAGGAATGTGAAGGCATGCCTGCTGTCCCTGAAACCATCAATCGATTCCTCAAAGCCATCATCTTACCAATGGCGATCGAGACGGCAAAGAAGCTCACAGAGGCAATGCATGACCGTCTTTTCAAAATGGCAGTCAGTCAGAAGCTCAGCCAATCCGGCACTGACATTGCTACCTGTCTCATGTTTGTGCTGATGATATTCATGGGCGGAATTCAGTCAACATTACTCCTCCTTCCTGACATGCCAGGGGATGAAATCGGCATCCCGGACTACAGCCTGGAGTCAGCAAAGTCAAGAATACTCGAGATCGAAGAGACCATCATCGAGTTGTGGACTTCGTTCCACCGTTATACGTTAAGTCGGCGTGGGGGCGGGACGAGTGCCAAGTCAATGTTGAGCGCCAAAGAAGTCAACTCCCCGGCCGAGGTACATGCTCGTGAACATAATCTCGTGGGCAAGATGAAGAAGGGGATCGAGGATGACTACGGTACGTGCCTGCCGCCCGCCTTGGACGTTGCTGCCCTGTTGCTGTCGTATCGGCCAGGCCGACGTCAATTGCAGATGCAGCAGCAGTTGTTGGTGAAAGAACAGATGAGATATAGATTTGAGGCTGATTGGTTCCCCCTCTCAGTAAAAGAACGACCGTTGGATTTGACTATGAGCACGAATCACGGATATGTGCTTGATGGATTCCGTGCTACCAATATCAGCAGGCTGTGCTGGAGGGTTTGGGCCAATATCGAAACCGGCGCCTTTTGATGAGGTGCCGCCACGTTTACCACGCCAGGCGTCAAACTGGCCAGGCATCTCTACATATTATGCTATATTGCCATGCATCCTCGAACAGGGGTCCTTAAAGACTCGAATACGACATTAACGCAGACCCACGATTGAATGACAGATTCCTAGCCGCGAGCATGATCTCTGCCAATAACAATGTATAGCAGCCGCGGGGGTGTCACCACGATTGCCGGTTTTTCACTTCACTGTACCGTGCTTGTTATTTAGGACATTTGAAAAATAAATTATTTATTCTATGCTACTTAACCCACGGCTTTCTCATACCGGTTTCTGTTGACTCCTTTTATGTAGTAGACGAACTTGAGTCGAAATGGTGAGGCATATCGCGGCTCGGAAAGATGCTTTCGTTGCTTTCATATGTGAATACTGAAGGTATGGTATGCCATGTCCAATCCCACGCTCAATGACCAAGTGCACCTTTGGACCCTCTACACAAACAGTAGGATCCGAAAGCATTGGGAATGCTTGGTAGAAAAGTACTATGTTCCCACCGCTACGTAGCAACATCAGTCCGTGATCAACCCGCACCTGGAACCCGATAGCAATCATGTGGCACTCCCACCGTCCACGTGGATGGATTGCGCTTACACCCGTCACCAGTGTACCCCAGAAATGCTGCCCAACCCGACACAACACGGCCGTACTCGCACACGGGAGCAAGCAAGCAAGCCAAAACATGAACCATGTGGCCGTATCCCATTGGGTCGGGTATGTACAGGACATAGACAGAGACGGGACACGGGATCAGAGCAAAAACGACTCGATGACCGCCGGAGGCACACCCAGCTTGTCCTGCGTTGCCCCAGACAGACAGACAGACAGACATGGCGTATGAGTCCGTTCTATTTGGCGATTCTAAGTACGAGTACCTACCTACCTAAGTACGTTCGAATGCCGCAGTCCGCGTGTCGGTAGTGACTTTTCTTGAGATCAACTTCAACAGAGTACTAATATTCTACTTGGAATCGAATAGACAAATACTAAGTTAGTACCTACCAAGAGATACCGATTCCTTGGGTCTCTAGTTAGTCGGGAGGATTCGGTGCGGCGAGTAATAAGAGTGAAAGGCGGTGGATGTTTTATTGCCCGAGTTAGGCAGCACCTCGGCGGGTTTTTTTCCCCCTAGACCCCTCCTCTAACTATCATCATGCCCCTCACCTCTCACCCGTGCGATTGAAATACTTATCACGAGGATACGCCCCGAATTGTCAGGCCTTCTGTTGCTTTTTGACTAAGCAATGTATTTCGGTGGTTCGTTCTGTCACTGTCAGTGGTGGATTTCCGGGTCTGGTTTCATGTGATAGTGGGGTGATTGTGATTGTGATTGGATTTGTGAAACGAGATGCAATTCGGGTTCTAAACTGGGGTAGGGTGCCCAAGTAGGTAGGTAGATTCATATAGTATATCATCACTGGTCTTGGGAACACATGCTTTCTCCAATTAACTCCCGCATAAACCGACCACGCATAAGGGAACTTTCCTTAGTTCCATTCATGCCAAACAAAGTGAGGAGAATAGTTCAGTAGGAATCGTACAATCTGCCATGTTTTCTCCTTCTCGCTCTCCTACTTACTACCACAGCGTCCCACTTGTGACAATATCATGACGCCTGCTTTGCAAAATGGGAATCCGATGGACATGTAACTCTGGAGTGACATCCTTGGTTGGTGGTGTACAGTTTATGATGTTTTGTTAATATAACAATAATGTGTGTGTGTGTGTTGGCAAACACATGATCGGTGAAAGATCGAGAACAGAAGTGCTGCTATGCTGGGATACAACGCCTGGAAAACAATCAAGGTAGGTGCCGCAAGTACAGCCCGGTATGAAAAGTGATAAGGATGTCGATGAGTCGACTGCAAGGTTGATCGTTTGACGTTTTGTTGGGTGTCGAGGTAGGTCGTCGTCGACAGGTATTGATGTTAAGAGCTCTGGGTCGACGGTCTTGTCTGGCTTGAGTTCCTATCTGGGCACAACAGGCCCAAGGAAGCCAGAGCGGGTGAGGATTTGGAACACCCCTTCATGCCTCATTTTGTTTTGCCCCACGATCCATGAGGTGGAGGCGGTGGAGGGTTCACAGGCCGCACAGGCCTCGAGAGCGGTGTGACTCGAACGGATCTCATACTTGCTGTCGTTGTGGCAGTATTATATGATATTGCTGAAGGAACAGATGGTGGCAGCAAGATGGTGATGTCTTGTCGGTGCTGTCAGATAAGTTGTTTTCTTTGTGGAAGGGCAGAGAGCCTGTTGAATTGATTGACGGATGATGTAGGTCGACAGTGAAGGTTCTTGAAGGAAGTGCTTGTTATATGAATGCTAGTATCAGATGGAAGGATTGAAATGTTCTAGAAGGACGAGCAGTGCAAGAACCTTTATGCCTTCACGACAAGGCACGACATGAGTATATTGGCCAGGCAGGGTGGATTTGGTACAAGGCAGCCACGACCGGATAGGGAAATACCAACATTGGGGACGAATAGGAATGGGCATCGACGTCCTTTCCAAAGGCATCAAAGTGAGGCATTGGCGGTAAGTGAGCAGTGCCACGAAGAAAAAGGAGTCATATTCATGTTCAACAATCGACACTTTCCTCAGTTTCAACATGATTCACATGGCATGGACCAATCACGAGGCCGAACAGCGATAAAAGCACAAATGTTTTAGGAGACGAACCAGGTGGCGAAGATCCAGTAGGCAAGACCTAAGCACGAGGGCTAGGAATCCAGGCAACAACCCTGGACTGCGCCAGGAGGGACTATGACTGGGTGGACCACCGACGGAGAGCAGGTGGGTTCATCCAGGCTGGCATGAAGTGATGCCAAAGATCAAGAAAGCGAAAGGAACAGTGAGGCATTAAGTGTACTGGGACTTCTGCTCTGGACCTTTTTTTCCGAGGCTTAGGATGTTCAGAGGTGGCAGACTGAACAAGGCTGAGCACGGGAAGGGGAGGGGGAGGGAGAGTGCAAAGCAAAACCCTGAAATTGCACAGAGTGTTTGGGTAACGAGAGTATCCAAGAGAAGCGGAAGGGATACATTGTCGGCTCTGAGTTGTCAAAACACAAGGGGATTCTGTCGAGAATGCGTGGTTGCAAGACGAGCCTCGGGAAGGGACAGCCTGAGGTGGTGGCTCAGCGCGTCAATGGGCAAATAGATTGAACAGTACGAGGGTAGGCGCACTTGAGGCGGTCTTTGGCGCGAGGATTGAAACAGCAGTGAACAAAAGGGCATTGGGCTGAGAGGCAGGATAGAAACATAATGGGCACAAGGAAGAAACAAGAAGTGAGTCAACGAAAGTATTGATGGATGACTGCGCCTGCTGTTTAGCGCAAGAGAGGGGATTCGAACACGGGACTGAAGGTCCAAAGTTCAATGAGGTTCAATACGAGATAATACAATGGGGGCCAAAGGGGAGGGGAGGAAATGACCTACTCAGACTGAACACCGATGTGCAAAAGACAAGACCAGACGAAGAGAAGGGAGAGATCAAAAGTGACACACCAGGGGTCCTTTTGCCAGACGGGTGAGATATGAACATCCGTGAAGAATGCTGCAGTTTCCAATTCGAGCTCCCCTGAATACAGTACGAGGTATTCGGTACAGAAACAAATGAACAGGCAATCGAGGACAAATAGGCATCGACAAGGCAGAGCTGGGCAAACATGGGGGCGCGAGGGGCGTGTCGTTAGGTAGCCTGGTCTACGCCTGTTTGGGCGAGGTGGCTTTGCAGGCGCACAATCTGGCATAGGTATTCAAGAGTCATCAACTAGCTACCAACAGTTGAGAGTCATGGTGAATCGACATGAAATCAATGTTGGATTGTCATTTCCTTTCGCTGAACAAACACTTGAACAGAGGTTACCGAGGAGGCTCTGCACCTGCGTCCTGCAAGTAATGGATTGGTAGATATCAGTGCTTTCCGGTTACTCATCTGGTTAGAAGGGAGTCGGTTACGTTGAGGGAGAGGGGAACAGCATTCCAAACATGGTCTGGCGTGGAGGGGAACAATCTGAGTAATGATGATCGAGTTACGACATCGGGGGGGAGATCTACTTGGGATTCCATTGTCCATGAAGAACAATGCATTATGGTGTAGTGGATACCTTCTATTTCTCCTACTGATCCTGAACCTCAACCCCAATATCTTGCCTAGTAAACTAATTAGGTGACATGGCTACAACCACAGCCACGAGCGACAGCGACAGCGTTATTATCGACAATCGTGATCGATCCGCTTGAGCCCCAAGGACCGACAAGGATAACCTGGATGCCCGCCCCCGGCCCCTCGATCGGTTAGATATCAGTAACTAGTACAATAGCATGGGCTGTGCTGGGCCTCTTAACTTTGATCTCAACTTTGATCAAAGTTTACAGCCCTAGACGAAATCGCACTTGGGCTCTGAACCTCTTCCGAATGACGGCTTATAGCGCTTGGATAGGCTCTTAGATACCTATGCGTTGGTGATGTGGTGCCCAAGTACAGCCTGGAAGTCGCCTAGTGCGGCAGAGTGGGAAACAGAACACCTGATCGCACCTGACATGCCTGCCCCACGGACTTAGGGCTAGGGTTAGGCATGCGCTTGAGCCTTGGGTGGCACTGCTAACTCCATTGCTCCTTCTACAACCCTGTCTGCATGGTGTTTCCCTCCTGCTAACAAAAAGGTACCAGAGCTTCGTAGGCCACAGGACCGACATTTACATTCTGCATCTTCTGTTGGCTACTAACTGGAACTCACATCACGACGAATCACTACTGATGCTCTTCCAAAAGTACCAGTCTTGTTGGATTCTAAGAGGTCGATTGCTCATCACGACATCTCCGGTTGCTGCAAGACATATTGGCCGATATTCTTCCTTGCATCGTCATCGTATCTTGATACAGAAGTACCCGTATCGATATTCATCTGCGATCTACCGAGTGTCGGAATATGGCATCGATGACTCCCGTCCTTGCTAATAGAGTCGTCATTGTATTTCCGATTCCAACCGACCTCTCAGTCTAATGGAGATGTTGCTTCAAAAACTGAGAAGCCTGGTGATACCTAGTGATTCAAACAATTAGTCACGCAAGTTCTCACCCTCAAAATCACCAGGTCACAAGTAGCCTTACCCTCGAAGATACTCATTCCTACTCTCTTCCTTCTCTAGATCCGCTCTGGCACCCATCCACCCATGCCACATCTTCGAATACGTTTGGACAACTCCACCGATCCCATTCTCCTGGATGATCTTCTCGTATGCTGCCACCTCTTCTGCTTCCTCATCCTTCGAGGCCAACACGATACGCGGGATGGTCAACTTTTCAGCGTCCGCTCTTTGCAAAAGACTAGACGTTCAAGGTTTTGGGTAAGCCAAACAAATGCCAAACAAGGCTCGATGGCTGAAGTGGCTCACCCCGGATGTGTCTGCCCTGATACCACAAAAGGTGAGCTTTTCCCAGAGACAAGTACTGCCACCTATACCTGGTGTTAGGCAATTTGATGCTTTGATTACAGGGTGGATGGAGGCCAAGACTTCAATCTTGAGCATTTCAACCTACCTTTCCACCCCAGCATAGTCCGAAAGCAGCCCATTTCTTCACGGCAGGGAACCCTTCCTGATATCCCTCCACCATGGAAGGAAACAAACCAACAACCCTAGACACTGAAGCAGGTCCACCCAAAAACTTGGACAATGTTTCCTTCTTCTCGTCGGTATCTGGGGGAATGCAGTCGTGCGAGAGAGTTTGGCCATCAAACAAGTCCGGCACCACCACCAGCGAATTGGTCTCCGAAGCCAGGATATCGGCCCCTTGAAGGGTTTGTGTGCTAAAGCCAAATACGTCAAATATATCGACAATACCTGCTGTCGCGGTTTTCGATCCCGTCACATCTATCAAACATTGTTAATCCCCATGCACCCTGTTAGTCGAGTGACAGGACTGCCCGACTACTAGTCCTCAATACGCACATGTTCGCACATTGCCAATCGTCTCGTAGGTGCCTGCGAGTTCGTAGTCCTTCGCCACAAACGGCGCAATGGTTCTGCAGGCTTCACAAGTCATTGTGGTAGAGTGGCGAATCTTGGTTCAATAGTATATTAAACTGACCGAAAGTCGACTTTGGGTCGACCGCACCTTTCCTCTGGCAAGCAGGGCGTTCATGAAGCCCTTTACATATCCTCCTCATCACCAGGATATGATACATCCCAACTACCTCCATCAACGGAAATTACGGAAATAAAAAGATCACTTCCGTTGGTGCACCACCACAACCGCCTGGTCTCCGGACGCCGGCACCGGGGGAGTCGGACCGCAACCGGCACCGTAATCTGTCTCTACTCTGTCGATCCTCGCGTCCCGATCTCGGGCCAGATCTCAATGCGCCAATGACATTGATAGGGTTCTACGATCGTCCCAGCAACGTCGCCGTCAATAACTAGTAGGAATGTCAATAGATACTGCTATCATCGTATCTCTCATCGTCGTCATCCGCGAACTCTCTCCATCTCATAAAAATTCTTCACCTGCGTCTTTCGCATCCGGATTTCGGGAGGGCGATTCTGCTCCTCCCGCGTCCTCCTCGACGGGCCTCGCCTTCTTCTTTTTCTTCTTCTTCTTCGTGACGGCCACCGCGGAAGGCCCTTCAGCCCCGTCTTCACCAACAACCTCTCCCCCATACCCCGCAGGCACATCGAGCAATTTCGTCCTCTTCTTCTTTTTCCTCTTCACCACCGTGCCCTCGGCATCCACGCCCTCCCCAAGCACAGTCTGCCCGCGCTCCCACTCGCGTTGCATCTCCAGCCGCTTCTTCTCCACCTCACGCAGCGCCAGCGTCATCTCCAGCTCCTCTGCCTCCCGCCGTAGGATCTCGGCCTCCGAGTCGCCTGGTCCTCCTCCGCCCTCGAGGCTCAATTGCCCGAGCGTCGACGAGTCAAATGTGAGAAGGCTGCGTCCTGGACGAGCCTGCGTTCGCGATGATGATTGGGGCAGCGGACTCGTGGAGCGTGGGCGGTGTGGTGTTCCAGACCCAGAGGTTCCCACGTCCAATTCACTTGCATCAAGCGTCTCGTCCGCTGTGATGACAAATTTCTTGGTCGACTTCTTCTTGCGCGCGGCGGCGCGTTGCCGTTCCGGGTCGCTCTGCTGTTGCTGTGGCGGTGCTGTGGATGTGGTCTGGGTGTGGTCGATTTGCAGGTCGATGATGGGGATCGAGTCGACGTCGAGCTCTTCGCCGCCGTTGGCATTGCTGATGATTTCGTGGAAGTGTGGGCTCGATGATCCCGATGGCGCGATGTAGAAGGGGTCGTCTTTATTGCGGGCCATGCGCTCGGCTTTGCGGCGAGCGATGGTGGCGGGCGATTCCGGCGCGGATTGGTATGATAGAGGTTCACTCTCGGTAGGTTCCATGAGTCGTGCTGACGCGGCTTGGGGTTGGAGAATGGTGGTTGCAGATTGGGGAGCTTCTCTCTCGTGATAGAATCTCTGATATGCATCGTCTCCCAGGTCGTCCTCATCGGCAATCTGGGAGGCCTGCAAGATTGCAGACAGCTCCGGGTTTAGTGGCGTGTCTAGGTCAAGGCCCGTCGGAAGGGGCACTTTCCTTTGAGCAGCAGGGGCCACGGGGTTGAGGTCAAAGCCAGAGAACAACGATGGAATGGCTGATGTGAGGAGTAATGGAGCCCGAACTTCGTCGTCGCCTTGCGCCGAGAGCGCCTCAGCTGCTACACGCAGGAGTTCAAGAAATTCTACGCTTCGTTCCTGGACCTCGAGGTTGGGATGAGCGGACAGCTTTTCAAGGAATTCAGTCGTTCTCGCCAGGATCAGCGACATTGTAGTTCCTCTCGATCGATTCCAGTTCTCGTTGAATTGCGCTGCTATTTGAGAGATGATCTTGGGGATGGCCTGGATGAACTTGGCCAGGGCAGTGGGAGAGAGGGCGAGGGAAGATTCGTGGATCAATGAGTTGAGGATTTCGTGTGGGTTGGATAGGCTGGAGGCAAATTCACCGCACATCCAGGCCGCAGATGTAAGGACCTCGCTTTGGCCACATTCATGGGAGGCATAGACAATTGTGCGGTTGGAGAGTAAAACCAGGGTTTCTGCTGCTTTGGTCGTCTCGGGTCGTAGTTCCTTGACGCGGACTGCAATGTCTAGTAGTTGTCCTCCAACTCGAGAAGCCGGAGAGCCCTTAGCCTCGCTGCGACTCATGCTGGAAACTCCGGGTTTGTCCACAGTGAGATGACGGACGAGGTGAACGAGGATTTCGATATACCATTCGAAATCAGTGACGTACGAATATGTATTGTGTGAACACATGTCTAATATTCTCGTGATGATTTCGTGCCGATATTCATCTGGAATATGGATTGTCTCCGAACTTCGCTTGTCCGGGATGAGTCGTTGTTCCAGATCAGTTTGGTCCTCGTCTGCATGTCCGTTTTCGGCGGATGCGGAAGCAGAGCTAGCAAGCTGTTTCATCAGGCGATTGACGATTGGTTGGAGATTATCACTGTTGACCATTCCCGATACCAATTCCAGTGCTTGCATCTTGATAGATATGTCTGGATCGTCGAGACATGCCATAATGACGTCCTGCTGCATCGAGACCAGGGCTGGATGGGACCCGACAATCTTGTTGAAAGCCAATAGCGCGACGTATTTGAGGTTTGGATCACCGTCAACGACGATCATACCTCTCAGTTTTGATATGCACAGATCAGCAACCTCTTCGACATCAACTCCGCTTTCGGCACCTTCCAAAATACCACCTTGGATGATACCACTGATGCATTCATAAAGCAACGACATGGCAGTGGTCTCTTGTATTAGTTTGGTCAAAGGTCGGACGAGTTTTTTGACCAATCTAGGTTCAAGTGGAGTGAGAATAGCGAATAGTTTAATGATCTTGATTCCCATCCAGTTGTTCTTTTGTGCCAGTAGAAGCTCAAACAGTCGTGGCGCCAAGGACAGAAAATCCTGTGGTCTTCTCCAGCCCAGTTCACAGACAACATTGACAGTGGCGGCAGTAACGCTATTGTCTTCCTGTTCGTCCATGAGACGCTCCTTGAACTTTGGCCAAGCCACCCTGAGTGTCTCTGGATAAACAAGAGCCAGTCTGTAGAGAGTGACAATCGTCTTTTTTCGAACTGCTGGCTGAGAATGGGACAACCGTGGTAGTAGATCTGTGAGTATGGACAAGGCCAAAGATGAAGTCACTATGTGAGGTAAGGTAATGAGCGGAAGAGACAAGACTGGTATAGAAGGAGATGTCAGATCCTTCTTCAACAGATTCTCGGCGAGCATTAAGACCTCGGTTTCTGGACCAAAGCTTTGCACGGCAGCCAGATAGCCCACTCGTTTGAGCATGGGCTTGGGAGAAGCCATGACTTCCAAGACATTGAAAGCAGCCCATGTCATATCATAACCGAACATCTCCAGATAGATGAGTTTCAGTAAAGCGGTTGCCTTGATATCCAGGTCCTGTGAGCGTATCTCAGACTTGCACTCCTTGACAGCGGACTGGATGTATTCGGCTTCATTTCCTTTATGGCCCCGCAAGCCACGGATCAAATCCACTAATGACTTCTCGAACATTTTTGCGAAATGGTTATTGTTCTGGTATGATCAGAAATGGACAACAATCATAAACTCGAACGACCATCGTTCCTGAGTTCGAACTGGAGGGTTTCACCGGTCCAGGTCGGAAATGAACATGTTTGGCAAGTCAAATTTCAATGATCATGGTGGTACAATTCTGTATCAAACAGCACGTGAGTATGCAATAAGCCAGGATTGAAGAAGGGCCTTGAGCAGAATGATGGTGTCAACATTCGACTTGGGGATGTCGACTTGTGAGATGGCGGCATCTCATGCCAAGACAACATATCGACACACGTGATCAAACCCCAACTTTCTAGCAGCTCGGACTTTCCTGGCCTTTCCTGGTCTATCAACTACCCAGGTTCGGAGCGATTCACAAGACAAAACCACTCCGCATTCCCAACCACCATCTCATATATTTCTGCTTGACTCTATACACGGAGCCTTCGACTATCTCTCACAGCCCAGTGGCTCTAGTTGTCTAATCTCTTAGCAAGGCGTGACGATGGCAACCAAACCCCAACACTCCTCGGGGCCTGCGGCTGCTCTACAAGTTGCACAGCAAGCCTCCACGATACTCGCAAAGTCGGCCTCTGTCAGCGCAAAATTCCCTAATTCTTTATTCAGTCGCCCAGAGACCCCCGAATTATGGACCGAGCTCGAACAGTTACTCTACGCCTGCCTGCGCACCGGAGATGATAAGTCAGCGTTTCTGTGCTTGGAGAAGTTGACCCAGAGATTTGGTGCCGATAATGACCGGGTAATGGCCCTAAGAGGGTTGTACCAGGAAGCGGTAGCAGAGAATGAGGAGGCTCTTCATGGAATACTGCAAGATTACAATCAAATACTCTTGGAAAATCCAATGAATGTACACATCCACAAGCGACGGATCGCCCTGATTAAGGCCATGGGACGACGTCAGCAGGCCATTGCCAATTTGGTGGACTTTCTCGACTCTTTCCCCACCGATGTCGAGGCCTGGTCGGAATTGAGTGAACTGTACTACACGGAAGGACTGATTACCCAATCCATTTTCAGCCTGGAGGAGGCTGTGATCATCACACCCAATGCGTGGAATCTCCATGCACGACTTGGAGAGCTCCATTATATGGCTAGCTTGTCATCCTCAGACAGCGTAGAGGTGCAGAAGCAGCTCACCCAAGCGATTCAACGATTCAGCCGAAGTATCGAGTTGTGTGACGACTACTTGCGGGGTTTTTATGGACTCAAGCTTGCATCTGATAAGCTTTTGCAGACGTCTAGCTCAACCAAGGGTGGCTCCACAGCAAGCATCAGTGTAGAGAAGGTCCAGAAGTTGAACCAATTGGCTACGTCGAAGCTCGAGACAATGGTGAAGCAGAGAGCAGCAAACCGGTCACCAGGAATCGACCAGTCAGGAGTTGTAGCAGCGCAAGAACTGTTGAACCGATCCAAGGGGTGATGCTTCGCCACAATCATGACTTGTCAAGTTTGTTCCTGACGAGTCCGAGCAAGTCCACAGGCGATGACACTGTTGCCCAGTGAACACCAGGTTCGAAGTGCGGGAAAGACTCGCCCTGCATGATATGGAGGGCTCTGCAGTTCCGAGAGAAAGTTTACGATGGAAAGCGTTCCTGCAGTGGACCGAACGGCGATGATGAAAACCGTGGTTCGTGAGGGCTCATGTAAGATGCGGGCGTTTCCACTAGCGCGCTGCAAGAACCGGGAAAGTTGGGCAGCATTTTAACGCCGAGCAGACGTGGCAGAATTTCTCAGGATGCCTTGACAATTGACCAACCCAACCGTTGACGAATGATAGTCGGGGTCCCTTTTGAATGTGGATTATCTTCCCACTTGGCCTCTAATTTAGGGCACGGCGAGCCTCGCCGTTAGTTGCACGGCAAACCACGAGGTGATGAATGCTAGGGCAGTGTCGACCCAAAGCAGAGATTTGTTGGGAATCAAAAGGGCCTGTGTGGTGAAGATGGTGATTGACGAGTCGATGATTAGCGGCTGTGAGTCAGATGGAAGGAAAGGGCCAGGTGGCAGATGTGAGCAGAACAGGGCACGGGTGCCATGGCTGATATATAGATGGATGTATGAAATAGCATGGTCACGACAGCACCGATAGTCCAAATTTCTCTTCAAGCAGCCCAATGTAGACCATGTCTCTCACCTGACAGCAACAGCTTTTCGACCGAAGATCAAGCTAGATATTATACTGGTGGTCTGAAATTGTACGGTCTCCTCGCCAGGAGTTTCAATGTCTTCAAATCGTCTAGGATTCCACAAGCAAAGAAAGACGCGCAAGAAGCAAAAGCGCTTACCTGAACGGTCCCCTTACAGATACTCTGCATTCTGGGCAGAAACACCAGTGGTGACACAGTGCGTCACTTGAGTTGGGAGGGTTGATGGTTGTCGCCATCTTTCGACCCCTACAATCCTGATTCCCCTTTTTCCAACAATCGAGAGTTTTTTTATTTTGCCTCTCTCTGTACGCAACATCGATTCTGGCGCCGACATCAACATCAACATCCAAATACGCATCATTACCGTCGTCTCCGTCACCATCGGGGCACAACTCAACTTCCTTTCGACAACCTTGACCAGAGCGATATTGCTCGGAACCAAAGAGGCCAAATCAGGCACCCAACTGTCTCTCCAGCCTTGAGACCAGTTCACAACCAGCAAGAAAGCATTGCTTAAATCGATCAAAGGACAGAACAACGGGGTCTATCATCGCCCGAAACCGCCATCAACTTGACTGACATCGGATCTGTGTTGGTGCTGGACCATTTCTTCTCCAGTCCGAGATAGGTGACAGTGTGACTTGAAGACGCAAGCAAGTCGTTGACCACCTGGACATCAACATCATCCACAGAACGGAGGCGGTGATTTATTTATTACTGATTTATTCTTACCAAAAGTAGCCAAAAGTTGAGGGGTTGTCTGGTCTTGTCTTTGGCGTTGAAGTTCATCGGCGCCAAATCTAACGCCTTGGCCTGCAAAAGAGCCGGGATTGATCTGCTCACCCCGGCGGCTGCCCCACTAAAAAGAGGAGTCTAGGGACCCGAGACACCTGGACTTGTTCCCCTAAGGGCCCCAACCCTACCACCCTAGGGGCCTAGAGAGAAAAGGAAGAAGAAAAAGCTGTGCGGCTGGTTGTAACTTGTGGATGTGAGACCTGGAATTGTGGGCATCATTGGGCATCACTTTTTGACATTTGGGGGTTGTGTGTCCCCTGCTTGAGTCTCGTCATCGACTCATCGGTGCTGCGAGGCTTCTTCCTGTGCGAGTGTTTCTGGCTTCCGGTTCCCATCATCATCCGTGGCTTGTGGCTCGTGGTTCTCTGGACGACACTCTCATTATCATTATTATTATTCTGGCTTTTGGTCTCCGAATCATCCACACCCACTGGCACACCCACACCGTCTCCTCTCCATCAGGCTCTCTCGACTCAGGCTTGAGGTTCACACGCGCGGGCATCCACGTTGGGCACTGACCCCGACTCCTCGCTCTCGCTCGCTCTCGTTTGCCTGCCTGCATACAATCAACAACAACTTGGCTTTGGACTCCCACCCTCTCCCTTCATTATCTTCCCCATCATCGTCTTCATTATCTTCCTCATTCCAGTTCCACGGTTGGCGACATTTACCTCTCGGGATCAGGCATTCTGGCATGCAGCCTCTGGCCGACCCTTTTCTCCCCGCGGCTCCACTTGTTCGGAACATCACAGGTTCTATTTGTTCCAATTCCAATTCCAGCTAGCCATCCCAATCCCAATTTCACTCTTCGCCCTCATTTCTCATTTCGCCCTGCGCCCTCACCGCAGTCACAACAACAGCACCACCACCACCACCACCACTTATATCATTGCCACCCTGGGTCCTTGGAGCTGGCCATCTTGACCATCCTGCATCCTCAAGTCAGCCTCATCATTGGTCCGGTTAGCATCCCTCGTAGACTAACAGTCATCTCAAGGTTATCTCGTTCAGCCTGCCACTGGCGCAGGTTGAACGCGGTATTTCCTTGACCACACTCAGTCTCTAATGGGGTGCGTGGGATACCTGTCTCTTTCTGTCAATGCTGACCAGTCTCTTGCCAGGTCGTCAAGCCGCCAAAGTCACACTCATATCGACATTACCCACGTCCGCTCTTCATCTCCCTCGGCCAATTCCCAAGACGACGAGCTTCACGAGCACGGTGTCCACGTTTCGCCCGCCGAGATCTCCCCCCAGTACTCCGTCATCCAGCCCAGTCAAAGTCAGAGTGGCTCCTCCTCACATCCCGGCGAATTTCAGATCATTTACCCCAATGAACTGGGTGACCAGGATGGTTCCGACCTAGTCTCCAACAGAGATCCTCGAGAGCATCATCTGCAACAGCACCCTTCACGCTCCAACTCGAATCACAGACAGGTTCCTCGCCCTCAACAGTCACTTCGTGAACAGCCTCGCAGTCGGCCCCGACTCCACCAAAATACCTCTCCCACTGAGAGCGGTGATTCCACCGAGGACTTCATCTCGGGCCCAGACACTAGATACCATCCGCGATCGCAATCCCAATACGCACCTGATGGGCATTATCCTCACTCAAATTCTTCGGGATCATTCAACTACCCAGCCGTCCCACACCCTCACCAGGTGGGCCAGGTGATCGCTTTACAGCCTCAGCCTATGGCCATGCCCTACCACCCCCAATACCCCCAAGGACCGCCCATGCCATACCCTCCACCCTCGGCCTATGGGGGAGGCGGCTATGGGCATCCTGCTCCTGGCTCTCAAATTAGCTCCCCATACTCCTCACCGTATCCTCCACCCACCATGGTCAGCTACGGTGGTGGTCCACCAACAGGCTATTTCCCTCCTCAATATCCTCCTCAATATCCGCAACACTATCAACAGCCATACATGCATTATCCCCAACAAATGCCACCGCCAATCCCATATCCTGAATATGCTCGGATACAGCCTCCGCCTCCGATTTCTCCTCCTCCTGGCTCGGCGCATGCTTCCGCCGAAAAGATTGAAAAGCCCAAGGAGGCAAACCCTGAAGAGATGTTCAAACGCTTTGCCGACTTGATGAAGGAAGAGCGCGCCCAAGCCGAGCTCACCAAGGAGCAGGAAGCCATGGAGAGAGCCAAGGCCGAAGCAGCGCGTGCAGAACAGGAGCAGCGGATCCGTGACGCAGCTCTCCGCCAAGCTGAAGAAAGATCTCGACAGGAGGCGTTGAGGGCGGAAGAGGAGAAACGCATTCGCGAGCAGGCTATCATACAGGCGGCCGAGAAAGCTCGTGCTGATGCCGCTGCGGCTGCTGCACGCGCAGAAGAAGAAAGACGCATCCGACAGGAAGCCATCATAGCTGCAGAGGCAAAGGCTAGAGCCGACGCTGCGGCGTTTCAAGAGCGACTAGCCGCTGAACAGCGTATCCGTGATGAGGCCCGGCAGGAGGCCATTCGTGCCTACGAAGAACAAGTTCGAAAGGCTGCTGAACAAGCCGCTCGAGAACAACAGATTCGCAAAGAAGCAGCAGAAGCAGCACTCAAGGCTGCAGCTGATGAAGCTGCTGCCAAAGCAGAGAGAGCTGCAGCGGAAAAGAAAATCTTGGAAGACGCCATAGCAGCTGCCAAGCAAGGAGCAGAGAAAGAGGCGGCCGAGGCGGCGGCAGCAGCCGAAGAGAAGGCCAAAAAAGAAGCCGATGAGGCAGCAGCCAAGGTCAAGGAAGCCGAAGAGGCGGCAGCCAAAGCAACTGCTGCAGCCGAAGAAGCAGAAAAGAAGGCGGCGGCAGCGGCCCCTCCTGAGAAGAAAGCCCCTGTGAGATTCAAGGATGCTATTGGCCGCAACTACAACTTCCCGTGGGAACGCTGCCATCGATGGAGAGTAAGTCGACACTACTTGACGTTGCAAGAATAACTTACTGACGTGTTTTAGGACATGGAAGGGCTCATTAATCAAGCTTTCGCCCATATTGAAGGGATAGGAGAACATGTCATGCACGGTCGATATGATCTTATTGGACCTGACAAAGAGATTATCATGCCCAATTACTGGGAGTCAACCGTGGAGCCTGATATGCACATCACCATGATGCTTTGGCCTATCCCAGAGCCACCCAAAGAGGAAGAAATCCAAGTCCCTCCGGACTTTGATCCCGACGCCATTCTGAATCTAGATGACATTCTTAACCCGCCCACAGGGGGAAAGAAGAAAGGTGGGATCCCCTCCAACTGCGATGTTGCGCTGTGTGTGTGATTACTGACTGCTGAATAGGACATGCCAAAAAGAAAAAAGGAGGCGGTGGTGGCCTTGCGGGATGGATGCTGGGAGGCGCCCCGAGGGCTTCGCGGTCTTTAAAAGGTGAAAAAAAGCCTGAAGTAGCCGCTGGATCCCAGCACGGTGCCCCTGCCCAACAGGGCAGCTGCACCGTTATGTGAGCACTGTTCGATCGTATGATCATGATGGGTCGAAAAGATTGGAAAGTTGAAGTGGGCGATTGGATATATGAAATCAAGAGGTGGAAAGCTTGAGTGGTACAGTCGATTCATCCACTGCACAGTCCTATACACCTCGACGACGATTACACTAATCTCTCGGGTCTTTTCCTATCAACTATCAGTCGACTACGACCAAATCATGGTAAACATCGAAAAGCCTGCTTACATAGGCTATTTCAGGGGGGCGCGGCTTTATTCCTCTCGATACATCGGGATCGGTTTTTCGCGCCTCAGGGGACGAAGACAGTGGATGAAATATTTTCTTATGTAATGACGAAATGGATGTGGCTTGGAACTTTAGCGGGAGTTTTTCTGGGGTTGAGCATGACACGCATACTAGGTTCTTGGGAATTTCGATGGGAGCATGGAAGAAGTGGAAAGTTGAACGGCGACTACTTACTGGGCATACTGCGTAATGTCTGTCGTTCTGGATTCAAGTTGTTATTCTGGGAAATACCAAGGCTATAACCACTGTTCAAGGCTGCTTCAACAAAATTACACGATACCCCCCTTTTGATGCTGGTTGCGGAGGTTGCAAGTCAGTTCTGGCTTATTCGCACTGCCCGAGAAGGAGATACACTGCATCAACGAAATGAACATGGAATGGAACTGAGATTACATTTGTACTATGTAGCGACCCTTTCTGGGCTAGATGATATTAGTAATACATTGAAGCTCCTTTCAATCCAAGTGTGAGATGAGTACTAAGTACTCAGAATGTTTACGACCCTCTTCAATCAACTCGTCTACTTCTTTGAGTTTGTGTACTATACCTGGGTAAGTAGTGAGTGAATAAGTACATCCCTTTGTCGACATCTATGCCTAAGTAGGATTATGTAAGTACCAGCTGAGGCCATCTGAGTCAGCAAAGTACCCACGTGACCGGCCATTCCACTTCAATCCCAATATCAGATCTTCCCAATCCACTTTCCAATCTTCTGTAACCGTACTTACATCCATCGATTCTTCCTAATCCTCTGATAATCTCGTCTAACTCTTCCGAACCCTCATTGAACAGCACACGCATTATTCTTCATCCCCGAATATCAAGTCTTTACCCCATAACGCAATATTGGCCACAATCATCGTGGCATACGCGCTTGCGTAACTCGGACCCAAGCCTGACATTTCCAGCACGTGAGCATCAAATTAAATCGAATTTATGCTCGTTCATTTTGTCTAGTGCAGTATCGCCGGTCGATAGCCTTCCTTGCTTCGACTTTGATGCGCCACACATGGTTTGAGATGTTGGAGTCGTTCCCTCGGATTCCGTAGTCTTCATCGCCATGTCAACCAGGGTCCTCATCCACGACTATCCGCACCGGACCTTGGCACTGGTGACCGATCAACATGCTCTCATCTTTCGCCACTCCCATTCTCAACCAGAAGCCAACTCGAGACTAGGAAGTCAGACCTCCCTATCCTCCACCAACCAGGGTCGGTCAAGTATCACCCCTCGATGCCTGGTCGAATTTACCGACAAGGCTTCTATCGACCTGACACAATTTCACACCGTTGGCACTGCTAAGGGCACATTGGGTCTCATCACTCTCAACAACGATGTCTTTCTATGTGTAATCACGGGAGCTGAAGAAGTCGCAACGGTCCGGCCTGGCGAGACCGTACAGCGAATATTTGCCGTGGAGTTCTGTGGGTGAAGGGTTGGTCTCTTGAAAGGGACATTCTCGGCTGACTTTGCTTAACAGATTGTCTCAATCGAGCCGACTACGATCATGCTCATGGTCCCTATCCGAATCCATACCCTGGTCAAACCTTTCATTCAGATGATGTTGACTATGGTGGTGGATACGATCAAGCGGACTCCACGGCCGAGCATCCTTTCCACGCTTTAAGGAAACTCCTCAGTGCGGGAAACTTTTATTACAGTGTTGACTTCGACCTGACTCGCCGTCTTCAAGACCGGTAAGCAAACCAACACACCTCGTTCGGGCCAATATTGATTTCGTGGTAGTGCCGAGTCCGAATCGTCCGTTGACATTTCGAGCCTGGACGAGGGTCTTCTATGGAACTCCTACATGATTGATCCCCTACTCAAATTCCGCAGTCGGCTTACAGAAAGTGAAAAAGAAGCACTGGATCACTCACGGCTACTCACTTCCGTGATTCGAGGATTTGTCAAAAGTCTGACAATTCCACTATCGTCCTCGCCAATTCGGGGCACTGTTCCTGGTCCTCCAACCACATTGACTGTGATCTCTAGACTTTCATCCCGACGTGCTGGGACAAGATTCAACTCTCGAGGTGTCGACGACAATGGCAACGTTGCAAATTTCGTCGAGACCGAGACAGTTTTCTGGTCACCCACAGGACTGTGTTTCTCCTACACTCAAATCCGTGGCAGCATTCCCATTTTCTGGGAAAGTACAAGTAGCTTAATCCCTGGACAACAAAAAATCCAAATCACTCGCTCACCAGAGGCCACACAACCGAGTTTCGACAAGCACTTTTCCATGCTTGAGAGGACTTACGGTGCCGTTCATATCGTCAACTTACTGAGTGCTTTCAAACCTGGAGAGGTAGAACTCACCGAAAGATATCGATACCACATCAATAGAAGTCCGTTGAAACGCCACAATGAAGGCGAAGAAGAAGAACACAGTCTATTGCAAGAAACCGAGTTCGACTTCCATGAGCGGACCAAGGGTGCTGGTGGTTATGAAGGGGCTCGAGCAATTCGACCATACCTCGACCCGAGTTCCGAGTCTTTTGTTTATTTTCTCTCGCAAGAAGTTGCCGATGAAAGGGCTGGGAGGGAAAAGAGAGCACGAGTAAAGCGACCGCTCGTTATAATGCAACAGAATGGCGTTTTCCGCGTGAACTGCTTGGATTGCTTGGACCGGACAAACCTCGTCCAAGGACTTATAAGTCAACTAGCTCTGGAATTATTCCTGTCCCACCGAGATGAGAGAGCAAATTCCGATTTCTGGATGCGACATTCGGCTCTGTGGGCAGACAACGGCGATACATTGTCCAAGATCTACGCAGGAACAGGGGCTCTAAAGAGTTCTTTTACTCGCCACGGTAAGATGAGCCTTGCAGGTGCGATTGCAGATGCAAGAAAATCCGCTACACGTTTATATGTCAACCATTTCGAGGACAAATCTCGCCAGAACACGGTTGACCTCCTGCTCGGAAGATTAGTAGGTCAAAATAGTGTCGATTTGTTTGATCCTGTGAACGATTGGGTCGTCACAGAAATCGCGAGAAGGCGAGCCGAGTTCGAGACCAGAGACCAGATCAAGATTTGGATGGGCACCTACAATCTCAATGGCAAGACTGCTGGTGTGAGGGAAGACCTATCTCCATGGCTCAATGTTCGCAACAAGGCACTTGATATAGTGGTAGTCGGGTTTCAAGAGATTGTTGAGTTGAGTCCTCAACAAATTATGAGCACGGATCCAAACCGCCGAATGCTTTGGGAAACTGCGGTACGAGAGTGCCTCAATGGAGAGTCAGACGATGAGAAACACGAGAGCTCACCTAGCATAGGCGATGAATATGTTCTACTGCGAAGTGGACAACTCGTGGGTGCTGCGTTATTGGTCTTTGTTCGCTCTAGTATTCTCGGTCGCATCAAGAATGTCGAAGGTGCCATCAAAAAGACTGGCATGAGTGGTATTGCTGGCAACAAAGGAGCAGTGGCCATTCGCATGGACATTGAAAGTACTTCTGTGTGCTTTGTGACAGCACATCTGGCCGCAGGATTTGGAAATTACGAGGAACGAAATCGTGATTACAACACTATTACCTCCGGTCTCAGATTCCAACGCAATCGCAGCATTGAGGATCATGAAATCGTCTTTTGGGCTGGCGATTTCAATTATCGAATTGGGCTTGGTTATGAAAAGACCAAAGCCATTGTTAACGAAGCAATCATTGGCAATGAAAAGATTCGAGATGAAGCCTTAGGCAAGCTCTATGAAAACGACCAGTTGAACATTCAGATGGTGGTTGGGAATTGCTTCAACTATTATCGAGAAGGACGTGTTCGATTTCTTCCAACCTACAAGTATGATCTCGGGAAGGATGAATTTGATTCGAGTGATAAGCAGCGCATTCCTGCCTGGACCGATCGAATTTTATGGAAGGTCAATCATAAGACCAACTCGGCACAAACAGGCGAAGATCTTGGCTCGAAGATGAAACAACTCGAATACAACAGTGTAATGGGTCTTCGATTCAGTGACCATCGTCCAGTCTACGCCACTTTTGAGCTCGGTATCCGAGTCATCGACGAAGCTAAGAAGGATGCACTTGTCAAGAAACTTTACCTTAAGCGGGCGAAGGAGGTGAAACTCCGAGCAGGAGATTCAGTGGAAGACTTTGAAGAGATCAGCTCCGAAGGTGATGACGCGGAAAGCATGATGGAGTATCAGAGCATCCAAGAAGGACTTCCGCCTGCAAGTAGCGACAAGCGCAAATGGTGGCTGGATGGAAACAAAGGTGCTCGAAGCACGATTCGCCCGCCCAAAGACAATATGGTGCTCAACGTTTCGCGGGCAGGAAACCCATGGAGAGAAAACGAAGAGGACGATTGGGTGGAAGTGGAAAGACCGCCCATATTAGAAAACCATCACCATGCTAAACCACAGCTCCCCGACACCAGGGCCACGAGCCGAAAACCTGTCCCACCACCATCCAGAACAAGCAAACGAATGATCCCCCCAGCCTGGGAAGGAGAACGACTTGTTCCTTCGGGTCAGGCTAAGAGAGAAGCGGAAATGAATGCCAATCGACGTCCTACACCACCCACGCCTCGGGGTCAATCGAGATCGCGGACGAGAGCAGACTCCTCGCCCATCCATGCGCCGAAAGACTCAATAGGAGAAAACCCTCCCTCGGCAGGACCGCAAGTCCCGCAGCGTTCGTCCTCGACTGTGACCGTGACAAGGAAACAACCTCCTCCGAAACCGGTGAAACCCACGACCTTGGTTTCCGCCTCAAGCCAAGTTGCTGTTCCACAAGTCTCTCCATTACCAACCTCCGTTATCTCCCCTGACCCAACACGCTCCAGAACCAAGCCGTACAACCTAGACGGAGGCGACGATGACATGGACGACAAGCCCCCTCCACTACCCCGACGGACCGGAACAACCAGCTCAACGGCCTCATTCGTTTCTGCTCCAGACTCACATTCACGCACGCAAACACCGACCTTCATCCCCTCCAACACTGCAGCTCTGAACACCAGTAGCAACTCATCTCTAAGGAAAGGCACCCCACCACCGCCACCCAGCCGCATCACTCGACTCCAGCGCGACAGCAGCATCAGCAGCCAACACTCTCACGCCCTTAACAATGCGCCATCCACAACCACGACCTCAAGTCACAGCTCGCTCAGCAACGAAGCAGCACCGCCACTCCCACCGCGGACCAACACGAATTCCTCCACGATCAGCGGCCCAGCCGCTTCGAGAACTGCCAGTGGCGCTGTGAACCGGAGTCGCCAACCTCCGGCTCAGCATCAGCATCAGCATCAGCATGATCTCCTGAACGACGAAGATGATGAGATCGATGGCGGCCCTGTTGGTCATGAGCACTCGGAGGCGCGTAGGAGCGCGCTCGATCGCTATAAGCCGCTCGTGCCCAGTTGAGAGGTCGACTTTTGTTCTTTTCGTGGAAGGAAAGTCTTGACGAGGGATTCATACGTGTGACGAGATGGGAGTTTTGATTTTGCGCCCAAGGAACACCGAGTGCTGATATCGTGTATGCTGTCGAGGAACCGTGGCTGGCTTCAGCGAAGGGACAAAGACCTTCAAGCGAGCGGTACTATTTAATTGGACGGCTGGACGGGCTCGTAGTTAGTATTCGCCCTCAGGCTGACGCTTCCTTGACCCTTATACTTGAGGTTGAGGTCATATCCAGGAACCATCACCATCACCATCACCATAGCACTGCCACCAAAATGAATGATATTATGTCCTATACGAGTATTCTATGAGCGATAATAGTCCTCGCAGTGATAGATATCGAGAATAATACGGCCTCGTGATGTGCTTCAAAGCCTGTCTGATGTCGTGCTCTCAATGCCTTGGTATCTGGGTCTCGAAGCGTGTTCACCGGCTCCTACTCACTGTGGAGAATGATATCCATGTATGATACAAGTTCACTTCTTTTTCATTAGCTGGTTACATTTGAGCAAGCTATGTGTGTCAGATGGCCTCGCTACTGAGAAATCGCATGTCTATCCGGCTCTACTCTAATCAGCGGCATGTTTTTCGCAGGACATGGTTCCGTCAGGCGCTGTTTCTTAGACGGGGGGTTTACAATTGAGGTGTTGGCCAGATAACTAGTGTATTTCCATGCCATCCCGTCAGGCAATAGTGCGGAGAGATGTTTGCCATCATCATCTTTCCTGTGCAAACTTCCAATGTGCCATCCATGTCTCGCTTCATCGTTCAATGCCGAGAAGTCCTTGAAGATTGGTCTGAGTGGGGCAGGGTGGACGGACGTGTTTGGGAGTTCAATGGAAAAGTGAGCTGATACGCGACCTCGAACATCAAAGTCGGGTTTGTTCGCTCAATTTGCTCCCCGCAGCCTGTCCTTCTTCCAATGCCTTCATCCCTCAAGCGGAAAGGATTCAGAGGAACTCATGATTCTCAACGGTCAAGTCCTCCTTCGGCCGGCTGATGTTGTTGTGTTGTTGTCATTGCTCGTTGTCGTCGAGGCCAACCTCGACAGCATACTTTTCTTGAGAAGCCAGCGATTAAGCTGTTGAGTGTCTTCTCCCATGCCAAGGTCTTCACCAAACACGATTGGATGTCTCGCGATAGCTGTGTCGTTTGTTACTGGTCTCAACGGCTCACCTGACTGTGGTCAGAGCTATTCGCTGGTACGGGCTTGTAGTCGAGTTGACGAAGAGTCAAGCTAGACGAGAAGCCTGCGCCACATCATCGACAACATTAAATGTGGAGAGGGCGGTACATTGCTCCCTTGAGATGCCCTGTTCAAGCACCAGTATCGGTTGTAGACCAAACTGTATCGTAGATCTCCAGGTAGCCCAGTCTCTTTTTGCCGTTCCGACATGAAACAAAAATGCGATCCTAGTCTTCAGCTCGGCGGCTCTGTCCCTTCCGAGTCTCGTCCAACAACCTAACCTGAGTTTCCAAGCTCTTGATCTCCTGGTCCTTATTGGCTTTTAGCTCCTCCGTCTCCAAGGTCAACCAGCTCCAGTACACGACCTGATAGCTGAAGAACGCGAGAGTCAGAGCTTTGAAGAGTGCGCGGCCGTGTGAGCGGTAAAAATTCACGGGTCGGTCTTCTAGTTCATGGCCTGCTGGTGATTGTCGCAGAGCGCGTGAGGTATTGAATGCACGAGCTGCGGCGTGGAGTTTCGATGGCGAGGCGCTGCTGGGGCGCTGGGATAGCGCGTGTAGTAAAGAACGGGTGGCCCTCATTGAGTTCTGAGATCCTCTGGATGAGAGTTGGATGTTGTGCTGAGTTTCTGGAGGAGCTGTAATTCCTTTCTCTGCCCTTGGGATGGTCTTGAGGCTTGGTTTAATGCAGCAAGCGCCTCACATGTAAATACTCGACCGTAATAGTACGGCGCAGCACATGCCGCAACCAAGTTAACCCTGATGCCATCGACTCTTGGCCTTTCTCTCTTCTACTTTCGACATTGTAGCTGTGTGTTGCCATTGTGTTAAGTCAAGAGATTGAAACATGCCTGCTCAACCTGGCCTAGCGATCACAATATGATCACTATATGTTACAGCTAGGAAAAAAGTCAAATTAAGGTGGTCGAACACCTAGAGCGGGAAGTATGCCCTCTAACCGTTTCTCCCAGTGCTCTGCTTCCATCCCTCTTCCATCAGTAGATTTTGGGATCGCGTGGATCGACTATACTATTTACATCAACAGGAAGGCGAGGAGGGCGAATCCACTGGCTAGTCCTGTGGCGAGGCTAAGTTTGTTTGAAGATGCAGCTCCTGTAAATTGCGCTGGATCTACCTGCGTTCCCGAAGGAGCAGTGCCGGACATTTCCCAGCCTGCTGAGCTTGCAGGAGTGTTGTTCTCAGAACTTGGCGTCAACATCGGGTTAACTGTAGCTGTTTGGGTGCTTCCAGATGGAACAGGAGCTATGCCCGTAGACAGGCTCTCACCCGTGTAAGCTGCAGCACCAATCGAAGCAGGAGCATCAGGAACTCCCGAAACCATTCCTGAATACGATTGTGGCCAGGCCGCAGTGGACTCTGGAGCAGGACCTGATGATCCAGAGGCTGGGGAAGTAAAGCTTCCAGCATCGACATTAGAGTCGGGTATGCGATTGGTCTCGGCTGGGTTGGAGGGTTGAGTGTGGTAGTCGCTTTCCCAAGCGTTATAAACTGGCTGTGAATATTGCGCCCTAGGGTCATCAGTCGATTCGGCAGAGGGTGAAGGAGGAGCACCCGCATGATATAGTCACCGAGGACGGTGCTTCTCAGGGACATTGCCCACATTGTCTCTGCTGCGTCACTGTCTGCGTCACCGTCGACAGGGTGAGTGTATCGACCTAGATGGTTGATCCTGCTGTCTCTTGGGGCACTTCGAAGGCACAGGCTGTGATATAAGTTGTAGTTCTTAAAAAGGGTCAACGGGTTGTTCTCTCAGTAATGGCATCGAAGATGTAGCTAGTACATCTCGTGCGCTTGGTAGTGGTTTGCACTATGGAGACTGCATTAGTGGAAGCATCAAATTCGTCTTTCAGGAGCGTTGGTTGAGATGTACGGCTGTCCGTGAATGTAGTAGACTCAGTATCCGAAGATACGCGAAGGGCTATTAGGTTGTCGTGATCAATAAATCTGTCTCCGTTGGTTTTGCTCTGCTCGCGGGAGTCGCGGAGACCAACAGCTTCTTCGCTGAAGGTATTCCTGTTGCTGCTCATGTCAAATCCATTAAGTTGTCTATATGACACTCGCGTCGTTCTCCAGGGGCTTTTGGCACTGTGAGATGGTTGCTGGATAACGTCAGAGTAGTCGTCCCTTGGTAAGTGCTGAGCAACAATAGGCGTCGCAATCATAAGTTGGCTTTCCTACTTCGTAAGCTTCTGCTACCTGGTAGTTTCTGAAGATAGTGGATTGCCCGGGCGGCTTCAGTTTGCCAATCATACCATCCTGCAACAACTGGGCAGACGCGGCGAAACGCTCTGGAACTGTCGCCTTCATGGGCTAATGTCTTACTGCGAAGACGCACTGCCCGTATGATAACGCAACTCAATCTATTTGCGGAGCAGCTCCATCGAAGGGCTTTCAAGGACTATCTCGCGGTTTGCACTCCGCTGGGGCTCTTGTGAGTAAAAGATATCCTTGATTGATTCCACAATCCTTTGGTGATTTAATCCAAGCACTTTTCTAGAGAAGCTAAAATTCTTTAGGATGAACTTCAACAAGTCCACCAAACCAAGACGCTTTTGTAAGCCGACATACACTTTTGGCGGGGTCGTCCAATATAGTTTGGCTAAAGGAATCAGCCATAGCTTCGAGAGGGCGAGCCTGTTCGACCAGACTCTCAGCGAGCCTATCCGCGCGCGTCCGGGAACTCGTGGTTCAGTATAAAATGAAAGAAGGCCAGATCCTCAATCATCTGATGACGATGATGAATAGATATTTCGAAAGTGAAAGGTGAATACAGTTATGCGGTACCGGATCAGAATCAACGTTATCCAACGAACGATCACCACTAAGTTGACACCACTTGCAGTATGTGTGGCCCAAAGGAGAAGGAGATAATTGTACGGAGCGATCGCCCTCATAAGCGCCCACATCTCCACTAACTGACCATCATGTCAGCCAATAAGGTGGTGAAAAACGCTCGCAGGCAAAGCAGGCTAAGAAGACAGATGGAGATCCTCTGCCTCGACATTGAGGCGGCTGGTATAACGAACTCGATTCCGTGTCTGGTAATTGGCAGGAACTTTGACTAGGCCAACTCACGAGAACAAAAGATGCTAACCGTACACAGCCGGATATATGAAAGAGCTGTTGTCCATCATCCTGTCGCAGGACGTGGCTCAGGTGATGCCATTTCAAATGATACCGGAAGAAGGAATGCCGTCGGAAGTTAAGGCGATTTGGCTAAATGATCTTTTAATCTTCCAAGCACTCGCCGTTTTGAGAAGATTATACTCTACTCGGTACTGTACTAGTAGTCAAAATAGCTAGTGTATGTAGTTCATGAATGGATAGAATTTCAATTACACGCAGAAAAAGTCATTGGCATTACGCTAAAATTCCAAGCTATATAGGGAGAATGTGTTGGCAAATTAATCAATCACAGTGACCGGATCTCCTGTACTATACGTCTTTGAAAGAGCCACCTATAGAATATATGTAAACTCAAGGCTCTGATCTCCCTCCCTCCCATTAGTGGTAGCGCCTTCGGCAATCAGCTTCGCTTTCTGAGCATTTCTTCTCCTGAGCAGGAACCAGCAAGAGGCATAGAGAAATCCAGCAACGATAGTGAGACCAGCCGAAATGGCGTTTCCTGGTACATATCTTGGGCCTTGCTGACTTGGATATAGCTGTCCGGAAACAAGGTTCGATACGTTGGCCAAACTATAGGCAAAAGGCTGGCCTATCGCACGCTTCGTGTCCGGTGCCAAGTTTGTCGTGATCCACGTTACAGCCAAGGTTGAAATCGGATAAAGTCCTTGTGAAGATCATTAGAAAAACACCCTGTAAGGGCGCTGATATAACTCACCTATAACAAGCACAAACATGCCAGCATAGCCGACATCGGGGTTTTTAGACCCTACACACATAAGATACCCAATAGCGACAGGTGCACAGCATCCAACAATGAAGGGACCTCGTTTCCTGAGCTTGTCCGAATAATAGACTTGAATTGAAAGTGAGATGGCGCCAAGGATATATACTGGAATAGTCATATAATTGACTTTGAGTGAAGCAAAGCTGTAGATAGTTAGTATAAGAAAGCTTCGGCACCGAGTCACTCAAGCTTACCCAAGGCCATAGATTATGGTCGGTAGGAAGACTCCAAATCCATTAATAGCGACCGATGAAGTGAAGAAGGCAATACCAAGAAGGTATACAAAAGGGTCGGTCAGCGCAATTTTAATCCACTTGCGCTCGAACTTTTCTTCTCCTCGAATCAGATAGTCTCGTTCCTTTTTAAGCCGCATAATTTCTTTCTCTTCCTCATTTAGAAACCATGCTTTCTCGACTTCTCCAGGAAGGAAGAACAAGCCGATCCCGCAGATCACAACGGTGACGCCAAACTCAATAATGAAGAGCCACCTCCATGCCGCGAAACCATGCCGCGATCCCATTGTTTGGACAGCGTATGCGAAGAGCCCGCCGAAAGCACCAGAGATACATTGAGCAAGATTTGTGGTCATGATTCGCTTTCCCGCTAGCTCACGGGGATAAATTGTCGAGAATAGGAAGGCGAATGCCTGGGCGAGACCGGCCTCAGCAGCGTTCAGCAACATGCGGCAGGCAATTGTCTGTTGGTACGTTTGAACGAACGCAGTTCCAAGAGTACAAATACTCCATAATACAAAAGCAGTACCGATTGCTTTTTTTGCGCCCCATCGCCGGGTAGCCAGAACCCAAGGGACCTCAAAGACAACGGTGCAGACACTAGACAGCGTTTGTATGTTGCCGAATTACCCACCTGTTAGTCCGATGTCTTCGTCAAAGCCAAAGACGCGTGCATTTCCAAGCTGGTCAATCATCAGTAAGATGAGGTATATCATCATCAACAGTTGCTTACATTGTTACGATCGAGGGTAGACAAGACCAAATAAATGACAGACATCGGTACGACATAGATGTCGAATTTCCTCCGCACTGCTGCTTCCCTTGCGGGATCAATGTAAATGATGGCGGTTGTGCCGACTTCGTGGTCTTCAGAAGTAATAGTGGCCTCAAAGGCAATATCTTTAGCCGTCTTCTCCATATCTGTGGCCATCTCTGAGTTAAATTTTGGTTGAAACCTTTATGGGTATGCTGCGCTCAATACCAACGCAAAATGCTTGAAGGAAATTGAGAAAGATGTTTGTTCGAGTTGCGAAACTATATACCATATTGCTTTCCATGAAAGCTCAATGAAATCCTATCGTACCCCATATCTACACGTTCTTGTTTGGAGTATCGCATACAGAGTATCTCGTAAAGAGGATGATAAGAGGTTAGCATGAGAGATTGGTTGTCGATAAAAAGATTTACATTGTGGCGTCAAATCAGCATCAAGCCTTCGTTGTCAGCCCGTTGTGCACGTCGGGATTTTCCGATGGCACATCGCCAACCTTGCTTATCTGGCAAACTCGCGCCATCTCTCACAAGAACAGCATCTGCCATCGTATCACACCGAATTCTGGTGTCCAACCTACACGATGCCACGCGCCGAACAGAGGGTCAGGGGCGGAGTGCATGCATGTCAGAGGTGAGTCAAAAACACTATCGCGCCGGCTATTGTCCGATCAAGTATTGATGTGGGCCTTATCGATGGGAAGGTGTCGCCGGAGAAAGCAGAAGGTATCAATATCAATCTTTGCGTTGAGCTTCAAGCAACTGATGATATGGTCAATCTCGTAGTGTGATCAAGGATATCCGCAATGTTCCAATTGCCAAAGCGTTAACGCACCGTGTCTCTCCTATCACTCGGGGAAGCAGGTTGACGTGAGTACTATCTGCGGATGATATCCTACTTTCCAAGTTTATTGATAGTCTTTGAGATTCCCCGTGACTACGTCACTAGCTTGGAAGAGCAGATTGCGGAGCTCACGCAGGAAGTCCAGGACCTGCGAGATCGCACACGGGGCAACGTATCGCCACACGGGTCTGTTGCAACTATTGCAACAGTCTCTCCCTCGGCTCACAAGACAAGCATACCTTATGCAGAAACGCAGTCTCCCGCTGGTGAAAGCGCACGTCTTTTCCAAGGCTTGGTCGGGAGCGTCACAAATGATGTCGTTGATCCCTCCCAGCAACCACGATTTTTGGGAGAGAGCAGCGGCATCTCCTTCGCCAGACTAGTTATGTCAGCTATCCATGTTGACCACCTGTCATCAAATCCTGTTCCGGAGCAACAGCCCTTCCGCGGAATCTCTCCGCCGACCTCAGTCAAAGCCTCACTACCGCCACGCGTTGTTGCAGACCATCTGGTCGATGTTTACTTTCAGTACCGCACCCCTCATCTGCCAATTTTATGTCGTTCGCAAGTTGACAAGGCCATTGATTGCGCATACAACTCTCTCGGGGGGAGCCAAGTTTCACTTGAGATACCTGAGAGGGGAATGTTCATAGCATACATGGTCTTCGCCATCGCTCTTGTTGATGTTCCTCATACATCTGGGGGGCGATCAAGTCAAAGCGAGGGATGTTTCCGTTCCGCACTCATCTGGGTCGAAAAGATTCTCACGTACTCTAAGACTGACCTCGAAACACTTCGCACTGTACTTCTTCTGACTCAATTCGTCGCTTTATCCCCTTCCAGAGGCAGCCTTTGGCATTTGACAGGTTTCGCTTTGCGCCTTAGCATCGATGTCGGCCTACACTGGGAGAATGAGTTACAATGCATCAATATGGATGCAGACGTACTGGATGACCGGAGACGCCTATGGCACTCTACATATCACTTTGACCGCCTCTTAAGCATCACTCTTGGCCGTCCTTTTGGCATTCTGGACCAGAGCATACGTGTCCAGCTTCCAAATCCATGGACAGGATTTCGTCAAGCTCTTGGACGACAGCAGTCCTCTGATTTCGACATTCACATTCAGAGAGCTCACAACCATTTGTTTACCCTGGCCAGGCTGGAGTCAGAAATCAGGCACGTACAGAATAGCCAAACATGGACTCTGAAACTGGCTTACCCCCGGCCTAGCTGGAAGGCGTGGCTATCGGATATTCAACCCCGCATGCAAGAGTGGTATGCGACTATGCCAGACCCTAGTAAAGCACATCCGTCATCAATATTCGCGTTCCAAGCCTATTGGGATGTAATCTACTATAATACCATTCTACTGCTCTATCGGCCACACTCGGGCACCTCGTACCAGTCAAAAGAAGAGCTTTTCACCTGCTTTGATGCCTCCTGCAAAGTCGTCGCCGGACTGGAGGTGTTGCAGCACGAGGGAAGAGTTGAAATGTTATGGAAATCGGTGCATCACCTTTTCATGGCTGGAATTGGAGTCATATACGGCCTTTGGCACTCAAAAGAAATTCGGGATCAGTATCCAGTTGGTACATGTATTTCTACACTTCATTCCTGCGCATCAACTCTGTCGGGCATGTCGAAGACTTTCCATGGAGCAGTAGGATGTCGTCTTGCCTTTGATACGCTTTCTTCCGCGACAATTGATTGGCTGGTCACCACAGATATCGAACAAGTGCACCAAACCCGCCTGCAATTCGAAAGTCACGTAAGAGAGTTAAGAAATCAATTACACCTCTCCGGTCAATGCACAATGACGAACATCCATCATGGGGCCGATAACATGTCAACGATGTTATCCACCGATAATTCTGACCTCAGTGAACTACTCAATATAGCCGCGCAGTGGCCTGATCTAGGGGAATTCAATTTCGTTGTGGATGGTCAAAATACCATGACTGATTCTACGACTATATCATAGCTGCTTTAGTATCAGCCCAATTTTGACAGCCCTGCGTCCCAGTAAGCCACGCCGATATCAGACTGCTTGACGAGTTCGGTTGTCCAGTCCCCGAAACGTATCTCACAATTTGTACTCCCACCCTACCGAGCCTTGGCTACGGCTTGGGCCTCCTTTGCAGGCCAATCATCCACAATGGACTCGTAGGCCAACGGTTGCTTGACGAATCGCGCATCGGTCAGACCTTGCTGCCACCGGTCAAATGCCTTAGGTGGTATGGTAGCGGTAGTCCACATGCCATTCCGACGAAAGCAATTTACCACGTCAACGGCAACATCAACGGGAACCTTGGGAAAGAGCTCAGCGATCTCGTCCTTGAAAGACTCAGCGTCGTGCCGGAGCACCCATTCTATCCCTTGATTCAACCCAATGCAAAACCGCTTCTGCGCGTCCCGTAGCTCCTGGGTTATGGTTGACGTCTCTCGATAATACACACTCCAAGGGACCTCTCCTTGCGTGACCATTTCCATCGCTATTGAGACATCGGGATTGCGAGCTGCGATAGCTCTGGCAGACAGATAATCTGTCACAAAGAAATCGCCCATGCCGCCTTGAAACAGGTTTCCCAGCATGAGACCGTCTAGATCTTGGATAAAGTCCACGTATCTCGGGTCGATATCATTCTCACGCAGGAGCATTTTGAAGAATAGTCCGACGCTGGCGCCGCCTATGGATTTCATCAGGACGGTTGCCTTAGCTACGTCGGCTAGGCCAAACTCCTTGCAACTTGTGCGCCTGAGCAACGCTAGCGGGCAGCGATTTGCAATCTGCGCAAAAACAGTGTAGTTTTGTACTCGGTCACGGTACATGGATGGCACCCAGATTCCACCAAGGGCCATATCAGCGGAACCGTCGGCCAGCGCATCGAGGACTCCATCCCAAGGCGTAGGAATGGTTGTAATGACATCAAGGCCTTGCTCGCTAAAGAATCCATGCCGGTGAGCAATGTATTGAGGGAGATAGTTGATGTTAAAGCCAGTAGCGGTAAGGTGGAATGGTTGCATGATTTGGTAATTTTGTCTTCTTAACGATCTTGAATATTGCTTGAATAGCTGTGGCTTTAATTATTAAATTGACACACTTTCGGCATTGGAGTTCTGGCATACCTAAATGAAACGTGTAAACCCATGGTATAAATAGTCCTGCTCGAGAGGAGGAATCCTTTGCTGATCACGTCTTTCTGATGGACGCAAAATCTCTAGTGATATGCTAGGAAAACATTAAAGATCGTCTAACTTCCTTGCTGGAAGCTACTCCAGATTATCTCGTCGGAAAATCCCGACCAACATGAAGAAAGCTGCAATCGGGATATCCCGATACGCCGCCTTAGATCGTGGTGAAGGTTACTTAGATAGTTATGGCCCGATATGCCCGATATACCACACGGTACTGGAGCCAGCCGCCGCCACCTCGATGGGACCTTGAAATCTTGTGAGGTTGGTGCTTGCAAGTTCTTTCGTGTTGCCGGTATGCTTGGCTTCTCATGCTTAAGTAGTAGATTTTATAGATATGACTACATTCAAGCGCTGGATGTCGCATGCCACTACTGCTCAGGTCGTTCACCCTGCACCTCTATTACACTTCTACATTGCTTACAACAGTAGACTACGCTGAGTGCCAGTCATGACTCCTACCATTACGCTCTTCACGGCTCACCACTGTCCATTTGCTCATCGCGCTCAGATCGCACTTCGTGAACTGGGACTAGACTTTGAAACCAGCCTTGTCGATATCACCATCCCTCGCACACCGGAATATCTCGCCATCAATCCCAATGGAATGGTACCCGCCCTTGTCTACGACGGCCATGTGCTGACTGAATCTGAGCTCATCTCTCAATTCCTCGCGGACGCCTACCCTGACCGTCTCCTCAACGCCAGTACCGAGCCGGTTGGGGCCCTGCAACGATACAAAATCGGGTACTTTGTGGATACATACTTTGGCAAGGCCCACCAGTTTTTTGATTCTACCGTATTTTCCAATGGGCCCGATGCTAAGAAGGCTACCGTGGACAAGTACATCGACGCTGTCGTTAGGCATATTGAGCCACTCCTCGCAGGTGCAGCACCATTCTTCGGAGGCTCCGACCGCCCAACACTAGCGGAGGTAGGCATATTACGCTGAGATCCGCTCTCTTAAAAGCATTCATACTGACCGATAACCTCTAGGTACTCACTGGCCCTTTTCTTCTTCGCGTGTTGACACTGCCAAAGTATGAGCACATGGTACCGAGCTTTCTTCCCAAAGCTCTCGAGGACAGAACGCCGAATTTCTTCCGGTGGGCTCAAGCAGTCAAAGCAGAAAAATCTGTAACTGCGGTGTGGGATGAGGAGCTTGTGGTCAGGCGCACGCTTGAGAAGATTGAGAAGATGAGAAGAGAAGCGTAACGATAGCGCAATCAAATCCGGGATAGGATGGACCAGGCGCTCTCACAAAGAGAATATCTCTCAAGGATAGACGGGGCGACTTGCGCATGTATCAATGTATGGGACTCTAGTCAGTGCCAATTGAACAATATATCTATAATTAGTCGACATTGCGGTTTCAAATCCTCGTTCTCGGAGAAAAATTCTTTCACGCGATGATTGTAGTAGACTAGTACATTCCATCCGAAAGTTGACGTTCAAATTCTCCGGTGTGCTAAGTATTGGCGGCGTTCACTTACATTGTGGACGCCCTCCCATCGAATGCTACCTTTTCAAGTCTCATTTCACACAATATTATAAGGAGAGATTGATATACACGAATGCGCGCCTCAATAAACCCTAGATCCGTAGTAATCAATACATATGGATCACGCTACGGCGTCAGAGGCACTTGATTAGCAATCCCCGCTAGGAGAAGGGTCACCGTCGGCATAGGGATCATCTACATCACATTATCAAGATCGCGGTTACTTTTCACCTAACTTTAGACGATCTTTTATACGAGTCTTGAATCGCTACCGTCTTTAATTCCTTGGTGTGTTGAAAATTGAGATCGAAGCCCTAATAAAGCGGAATTATTGGCTGATAGGGATAATTGGTTCATCGTAAATATACTTAGTACCTTTTAAAACAAATCAACGACAAATTGTACCTAATACAGGGCCATATATAACAATAGGTCTATATAAGGAATTTACTTAACGCCCGATACCGCTCCTGGACAAAGATTAATCATCCATCGTATTATTTGGCATACCTATAGCTACAGAAGGAAGGCTCGAGCCTTCAAAGATCACTAGAATCTGGAGATAGAGGTAGGAGAGATAGCAGTTAGAGCATACCGTAAACGAAAGAAGATCTATTAGGTAGGATGCCGGTACTATGTGCTATCACGATACGCTCGGAGGAGATCCGCACCTTTTGCTTAATTTCCTCGGCATCATCAACTTGATGCCAGTCGATTAGCTATGTTGGCGTCACGCAGGAAACTCCATCCTTGATCACTTCCACACCGGTTTCAGCCTAGATCACAACTGAGGTAGGGCTGAAAGGGACCGGTCATTTGTTTTTGCTGGGAGGCCGCATACGCCAGACTGGCAGGGGCATACAAACTTGATACCCTTCTACGAGGCTTAACTTTCCAGGTCAATTGGAAGAAAGCCTTGCGCTGTTACAGGTGACTCCTCGTGACTTCGTGCTGCTAATAGCTCCACATTAAATATTTTGCTCACCACGAAAGCCAATGGAACTCAACTTTGATATTTTTGTCGGCAGACACCTTCTGCCAACTTCTTGACGTCAAGGACATCTCAGCGCCAATTTGAGAGTGGCCCCCTTGCCTCGCCAGCGACGATCTCGAGACCGCATGTCATACTCTTGGACGCGCAGGGACGCCTCTGAAGACAACTTCGAAGGTTCATCAAGCTGCAATGATACTTACAAGCCTTTGAGACACGTGTGATATTCTCGTTGTGAGGTCGGGAGCCCCGATTTTCATATGAAGGGAAGGACATCAAAATACGAAAGACTACTCTGAAGTGGCTTCATTTCCATGGTTAAACCGGTAGAGATGAACAACTGGCTCCTGAAAACGAGCTGGCCGTCATTTGCTTCACCGGAAACTGTGTTGAGAAATGCTGAGATCCAGACCCAGTTCAAACTACTATCAGATGTTGCTATCGTTGGAAGGACCCCAGGTTGAGAACTGTGGACTGAAGCATAGCATGACGTGCCGGTGGCAAGCCACTATACTGCAAATGATATGGTCTTAATTTCAACTCTTTGATAGTAACATAGCCTGCTATGCTCCGTATTAATTTGCTGTCTCTTTCGCAACACAAGGTCAAAATTGTCATTCTCGCCTTCGTTTCTTCCTGTAAGCATGGGTGACTTTAGGAACCATCAAATTAGATGATCAGCTGCCAGTCATAACTATCTCTCGAGAGTTTCTTCGAACCACGACTCTTGTTGCTGTGTTACCTAGGAAATGTAATTGGTCTCGTGCATGAGTCTTAGCCTTATCCCACAAGTGCAACGAGGCTCCAGCCGTCAAACATGCCAAGACATTGGCGGCTCCAAGAACTGCGCTTCTGCTTTCTGTGCGCGGCCGGACTCGACATCATCCCCTCCATAATTTTTTGGGTTGTGGCCTGTCCTGCGGGCAATTGAACATTGCCTTGGACCACTTTGTACCATATCCCTCCCGTAACGAATAGTCCTAGAGCAAATCTCCAACCATGGCAAACCCTACCCAAATCTTTGCTGAGGACGTTCAAGAAGAAAAAGGCGAAAATGCCCGTCTGTCCGCTTTCGTTGGGGCCATTGCGGTCGGCGACCTCGTCAAATCCACCCTCGGTCCCAAAGGCATGGACAAAATTCTCCAAAGTGCCAGTACTGGCTCCATCATGGTCACCAATGACGGAGCAACCATTTTGAAGTCAATAGCACTTGACAATGCGGCCGCAAAGGTCCTCGTCAATATTTCCAAAGTCCAAGATGACGAAGTGGGAGATGGTACAACTTCGGTCACAGTTCTCGCTGCAGAATTACTAAGAGAGGCCGAGAAACTCGTGTCTCAAAAGATACACCCTCAGACCATCATTGAAGGCTACAGAGCGGCATCGCAGGCTGCACTACAAGCATTGGAGAAGAGCGCAGTCGACAACAGTAAAAACCCAGAGGCATTCCGCAAAGATCTCCGAGCCATTGCCCGAACCACCCTATCCTCCAAAGTCCTCAGTCAAGATCGCAATCAGTTCGCCGATCTGGCATGTGACGCCGTCCTCCGCCTGAAGGGATCTATTGATCTCAACCACATCCAAATAATCAAGAAGTCCGGTGGAAAGCTAAGTGACAGCTATTTGGACGAAGGATTCATTCTTGACAAGAAAGTTGGAGTAAACCAACCCAAGAGACTGGAAAATGCAAAGATCCTCGTCGCCAACACCGCCATGGATACTGACAAGGTCAAGATCTGGGCATCTCGCATCAAAGTCAGCTCACCTAAGGAACTGGCCGAACTGGAAAAGGCCGAGCGTGAGCGAATGAAGGCAAAGGTCGAACGTATTAAGGCTCATGGAATCAATTGCTTCATCAACAGACAGCTCATCTATAACTGGCCCGAGCAACTTTTCACCGAAGCCGGCATCATGAGCATCGAGCACGCCGACTTTGATGGAGTCGAGCGCCTTGCCCTCGTGACTGGCAGCGAAATCGCCTCGACATTCGACCATCCAGACCAAGTTCAGCTTGGTCATTGCGATTTGATCGAAGAAGTCATTATTGGTGAAGATACTTTGATCAAATTCTCCGGCGTGGCAGCAGGCGAGGCATGCACAATTGTGCTCCGCGGTGCGACCGAACAACTCCTTGACGAAGCCGAACGCTCCCTGCACGACGCACTGGCCGTGCTCTCCCAGACCGTCAAAGAACCCCGCGTCACACTCGGAGGCGGCTGCGCTGAAATGGTCATGGCGAAGGCCGTTGACTCGCTTGCCCAGAAAGTCGGCGGCAAGAAACGCATCGCCATTGACTCTTTCTCCACTGCGCTACGCCAACTCCCCACCATCCTTGCTGACAACGCCGGTCTTGACTCCTCTGGTCTGGTGTCCGAACTCAGAAGCGAAGTCTACCGTGGCATGACGAGCAGTGGTCTCGACCTGTTGACTCCCGGTGGTGGAATCACAGATATGCGTGAGCTCGGCGTCATCGAGAGTTATAAATTGAAGAAGGCCGTTGTTAGCTCCGCTAGTGAAGCTGCCGAGTTATTGCTTCGTGTCGACAACATCATCCGTGCTGCGCCTCGGCGGAGGGAGCGTATGTAAGATATGAAGGTTCACATTTCAATGCAAGCATTCAGGCCAAGGGGCGGAAATGTCGGGAACGGAGCAATGGGATTGATTATGCACCTACAAAATCCCCGTTCTCTACACGTTCAACCGTCGAATTGCCCTCAATGTGCATGAGGAAGGAATTCGTGTAGGGATGGGTATAAGCAAAAAACCAGAATTGGGCAACGACAACGAACCCTGGGTATGAGCCTAAAACGACGAAAAGCGCAACATGCCGAATGATCTAACGACAACTAAGACGAAGTCATTTCTCGACTACCTAATCAAGACCAAGAGGCCATTCTACCTACATTCCTGATGCAGAAACGACCAATCTCTCACAGCACGGTACACGAGACCCTGGTCTACTCTCTCCCTTCCCTTCTACGTCCCAACTTTACTGCGAGGTACGACTCGACGAATGATTCTTCCACCCGCACTCACACATTCAGATTCACATCCATCTCCATCTCCCCATCTCATCAACCAACGATCAACAACCAACCGGCGCCAGAACATGGGGCTCTCAGGTGTACAGAGGCCGTCACACAAGCAGTGTCGCTTCAATGCCATCCATACATGCAATGCGGGAGGTGCCATGTCATGTTGTGTCATGCAGAGCATGTAATCTGAGTCCTGAGCATCCACTGCGAATGGGCGATTGGGTTTCCCTCAGGTCGATATAGCCTCCCTCTGTAGTAGTATAGACAAGACAAGAGCATAGATCCTGCAAGTGAAAGTGAAAATAGACCAACCTACCAAATCAATCAATCAGTGAATTAGTGAACGAACAACGTCATTCTCACTGCACGCCCAAAGCAATGCGAGCATAAGAAAAAACAGAATCCTGGAAAGGAGCCCCAACACCCCCAATATGACATGCTACAGCAACCTTGTTTCTGCTGCGATGATGCGATGAAACGATGCCCAGTACACCAGTACACCAGGCAAGAGTCAAGATCTCAGCTATCGCCCGTCTGTCCGTCCATCCAGTCCATCCAGGATAATGTCGTTGTGGCATGCACGTTTAAATAGACAGGGGAGTTGGATTCTCGTTGGGTTTTCCGGAGGTGCACAGGACTTATCGTTGTATTGTAATTTTGGTCTTAAGTACCTAGGTAGGATCGCCTCTTCCAGCGCCTGTGACGAATAAGGGGAGAACGAAAAGGCTGGAGGGGAGCCATCCGACTTCGTAGCAATCGTGAGAGCGAGGGAGCAGGTAAGCATAGAGTGAGAGAATCGAAGCAGTTGCTTAGGAGTTTCGAGGTACAGAAGCGTCATTACTTTTTCGCGTGAACAATTGGTAATTCGTAGGTAAATGGTAGAATTCAAGCTACATTGCTTTGTGGTCCAATTGCAAATCATTCAAGAACTATAGACCACCCTCAAAATAACGCTCCATCCTGAATCTTGTGGTTAATCCCCTCTCGATGATCAAGGCATGACAATTAATCAACAAACTAGGGAACCGCTTGGCCCAGAATCCATAGTAACCCTTGGCTCCTCCGCCCAACATCTGTTCCTTGACATCGTCGGGAAGATCATGGAAATGATTCTTCTTGTTTCGGATCACACGTAGAAGATCGATCATCTTGGATCCTGTGTATTTCCGTTGTTTTCCCATCTCGTTGATGAAGCTCCGAGGAATAGCCCGTAGAAAATCATTCGAGGGTCCAATGACATTGGGTGCCAGAGACTCAAGCGCTGCCAATTCAGCAAAGGATGCTAGCTCTGCCGGGGTTCGAATGGCTTTGTCATCGAAGATGTTGTTGATCGAGTTCTTCTCTCTTTCGTAGCAATCAGAAACATCACACAGGAATTCCAGCTTGTCAGCCACATCCCAGAAGTATGGATGGCGAAGTATATCTTGTGTATCAGGTCGATCTCGTGGATTGTTCTTCAACATTTGCATCACTAGATCATCGGCATCAAATTGGTAATCATGGAGGCGGAGGGCGTCTGTGGAGAAGTTGTTCTCCTTGATGTTGAGATCACGACCGAGACTAGTTCCCCCAACATCAAAGGGATGATGCCCTTGAGTCATGACATAGTAGAAGACACAACCAAGCGAGAAAATATCAATGGCTTTCGTTGCCCGACGGCCTGAAGGACGATCAACCACACCTTCACTAGAATGGACAGTTGATCTCGATGCTGTTGAAGTGGAACCTGGTGCAGTCAGAGCAGCACGAGAATGGACCAACAACTCCGGAGCACGCCAACCAGTAGTACCGGCAGCAGTGTGATTGGCAGTTGGAGCAAAGGTTGACTCGGGTCCTTCTTCCAAAGGCTTGCAAAGACCAAAGTCCGAGATGACAAACTGAAGTTTGGGTAGACCATTTGAGGGTCGATTACTCTTGACAGCTTTGACCAGGACATTCTGAGGTTTAATGTCACGATGAACCAGTTTGAGTGAATGGAGATGCTGTACACCGTCTGTGATCTGGCGAAGACAGTCTTTGACATCAAACCCTTCCGGAAGCTTGATCAGATTGGGATACTGGAGGGGTCGTTCGATGAATTGATCGAGAGATGTCGTGAAAAGCTCAAGTGCAATGTAGGTGAAGTGTTGAGATTCTTCTTTGCCGAAGTATCGTACAACATGGGGATTCTCATCACTTGAGAGTAGATGTTTGATTTCTTTGGCGGCCAAGCTGTTGGCGGAACGTATCAGGCGCTTCACGGCAACTTCACGGCCGTCCAAAGTCCCTGGAAATACGGCGGTGCCATTGCTACCACGACCCAAACAGCTTTCCTCCTTGGTATCAATCCTTAGCCGACCGACCTGAAGAGGTCCATCTTTGATAGGAATTTCAGGTGTAAGAATTTCATCATCCATGATTTCTGGATCCATGGTCTTTTTGCCCTTCTTGTTTTTCTTCCCTCCACGTTTGCCACGTTTCGCTTGTCTTTTACGCGGCACCACACCATTTTCTGTTGGCTCACCAGATGCACTTTCTTGCTTTCCTTTTTCGTCTTCGGAATCACCATCAGAGCTTTCCTCATTATTTTCGGGTATTTTGACAGCACCTTTGACAGGGCTGGCAATGGTGACGACTGAACTCTGCGCGCGGCTTCTGGCCGGGGTCGTGATCTGTTCCACAACCTCAGTCACCACTTCCGCAGCATCCTTCTCTTCCGACACATTGGCGACTGGTGGGTTCTGTTCGCTAAGGGGCTGCGATGGCTGGGTGGCTGTTACGGTTGCGGATTTGTCGATGGAAATCTCGACACCAGCCTTCTTCAGGAGCCGCTGCAACTTCAACATCAGAGGTTGCTTCAACTGCACTCCACAAATAAAGATCAAAATGCTGACAACAATGATGTTGAAGACCGATAACAATGGATGGCTCAAGGTAGGGAGCAGCGGTGAAGGTGGCTTTTGATCGATTATGTTTCTCTCCCACTCTTCACCCAAGTCCTTGGGCGGCGGAGGAGAGATGGTCAAACGCAATGGCGAACCGGTTTGAGATTGAGAGAGAACATGGACACCGACGATCTCATCGAGATCTCCATCGAAATCCAGGGGAAGAATTTCATAATTCCAGTGAGAGCTAGCTGGTGCAGCGCCGCTGGTGACACCCGGGTAGGAGAGCTCAGACATTGCATACCACACGCCAGTCTCGGTTTTGTTGACAAAGACGCGGTCAGCTCGTTGCATTTCATTACGCCAGACTTCTGGGGAAGAGACAAGGGCTGTGTCCGAGGGACGTGTCAAAAGGACCAATTTCGGAGTCTGTTCAGTGTTGTCGATGGGGCGGACAACATCGAAAACTCGAGCAACGGGAGTGTCGAGGGCCAATTTGAAGGCACGAGGTTGGATCGAATCAGTGTTGAAACCAATGATACGGCCATTGTACAGACTTTGAATGTGGTAGCTGTCGAGAGGGGCAATATACTGATCCTGTAGATCGCTATCTGCTTTGTTTGGCAGCCATTCGGCGAATCTGATGGTGCAGAGCAATTGGCGTGTATACTTGTGAGATATCTGGACGGTGTATTCAATTCTGCCGAGATTGAGCTCACCCAATGGTTCGCAGGCGGGGTCGTCTAATTCAAAACCACTCAGCCGCCGGCAGCTGCGGCTTTGATCGGTGTTGAAAGGTGCCAATGTATCGAACTCCTGGATGATGTGGCCGGTGGCAGCATCGACGATATAAGCGGTGGTTCTCTGGCTGGAGATTGTAACCAAAGGAGGATCCTCCATGATGGTAGGCTCATCGCTGGCGAGGGATTTGACGGTCACGCCGAGGCGCTGCAGACCAATTCTGGGGTCTTTGTGCTGAAGGAAGAGGTTTCCGTCTTTGCTGGGCTCGACGATAAACATGTAGTCATCTTCATACTGCGAGCTTTCCAAATGGCTCCGATTCAGCTTGTGGTGTATGGTTTCGATCATGGGACTGTTGGGAATGCCCAAAGACCATCTTTCAATGCCAGTTTTTCGATCTCTGGCATGGATTGTGCCATCTATGGTGGCTAGGAGTATCAGGTTCTCCACCTCCCAGTCTTGAAGCAGCCGCGCTGAATGAAGCGAAGAGAGACCAGAAGAGGACTCGACAGGCTGGACAAGTGGTGCTCGAACAACATCACGATAGTCGTGAGCTGGAGCCAAAGGATGGAGTTTGTGGTTTTCGGGGGATTCATCGGTACTTCGGAATTTGTTGACGGTTGTCACGTCGTTGTTGAGGAGAGGGATCTCTGCTGGACTGCGGCCAGGCCTCGGGCGATGACTCGACTCTGTGTGAAGACTTTGGGTGGCGGCCACTATTCTCTGGACGGAGTCGGATTGAGGGAGGGATTGAGATTGAGATTGAGCGGCAGCAATCAGGAGGAGGAGGATAGCCCAGGTGAGCATGGATTTATTGGATCCTCCACGTCGGCCACTGGGAGGCCGAAGTGGAGGTTTGGCCATGGCGTGTTGAGCGAGAAAGAAGCCAGAGCGAAGGAATAAATGCAAAGATGGATATTCAAGTAAGTTGAACCATGATATATTCAACGAATAACTGATAAAGGTTGTGGAAGGAGAAGGGGTTGGAAAGATTGTGTTGTCAATGGGATGAGGTTGTGGGAGGTCAGCTTACGAGGAGGTGGTTGTGGTGGTTGTGGGTATCAAGGGAGGAAAGCACGACTGACAGTTGCTGGGTGCGACTGCCAAAAGGTGGTGACACCAAGTTGACAGGACAGGTGCAGGCGTGCCCTCGGGCTCTTCGGGCGTGGGCGTGGGTGTGGGCACTCGGCGTAGGGTCTGTCACGGGCATGCCCTTTCCTTCTGGCACTTTTATTTTGGTAGCCTTACGAGTAGGTGCCGAGTCCCTAATCGACGATGGAGTTTTGGGGGCGGAGTTGATTAGTCTTTCCGAACGGGCATTCGACGAGTACGAGGTAAGGGGCTGTTATCCCAAGGTTCCTGGCTTGGTGGCCGGCACGTTCCTTCCAGAGTTTAGTTTCTCGGCTTGTCCTCAATCAGCCATCTTGAGGTGTTTCAGACTGGGAGGAGTCTTCAAACCATACTCGGTTGAGTTTGAGTCATCTTTCACTGCCGATCTTGGTAGACCTCGAATCAGTATATCTTCTCCTGACTTCGGCGTCTGGTGACATGTGCCATGAGCTCATCCTGTCGACATCAAGGTTCTAGGCAGTCCTAAAAACTGCAATGCTCTGCAAGTCAGACGTCTACCTGACTACTTTGTTCTCCTTCAGAATTCGTGGTTCATCTAACTTCGTCTCTCAGCTAATACTCTACCCTGTCCAGATCGGAGTTAGGTCAGATGGAGAACGTGCTCCTTCTCCGAGCTCGGTCTTGATCTGAATGTGAGCACATTTGCATCTACCCAGGTAATTGGTTGTCAATTTCTCGTGGGGCGCCTGGTATTCCATGTTGTACGGGCGAACAAGTGTTGGGTGTTACAGTCAACTTGAGATTCATGTCATTAAGTCTGTATCGTTCTCAAATAAAACGACAATTAGAAACCACGTAGGTATGTTCCAACTCCACGCTTCTTTCAATATCAATCATGTTCTAAGCATGTCAATATGTGTACATGGGTAAGTGGAGTCAATCACAAGAGTAGAACAAATTCGCCCTTCTCGTTCCTCCTGATCCGTAGACCCCGCCAGAGGTCCTGTTCCTCTTCCAGTTTGAGAGCCGTACTCCTGGCGTCATTTTGTTTATGCCATCGTTTTAACATTTTGTGGATCGAATATCCTTTATCCGAATCTAGCCCTGGTGCGTTGGCTAGAAAGCTCCGGCATGCTCGTTTCTGCTTTTCCTCGGCCCCAAACACCACCATTGTGCCGTTGGTAGACTTCCTTCTCGAGACGTCACCCTGAGCGTTCTGAGGTGTGGGATCGGAGTCGGTGTCCGAGCCCGAATCATCCTGTTTGCGGTATTCAATCGCCTTGAGTTTTCGCGTCGTGCCTTCGTTGGGTGAGTGAGATGGCGATTCACTGTTACTCCGGTGCTTGGATCGATGTTCGTGGCGAACATTGGCCGATGCTGTTCCGTTATGGCGGTGGACTTTGTGTTTCTTTCGTTCACGTTTCTCTCCCTCTCGGGCACGTGATAAGCTTTGGCCGTGGTCTGACGAGCTGGCCCTTCTCCTCGTTCGATTTTCCTTCGAATTGTCGCCCGAGCCAGGAAGGAGGGCAACCCCAACCATCGAAAGCGCCTTTACGGCACGACCCTTGATAGATATTCCCAGGCCGTTGGGGTCTTCCTTGCTGTGTCGGGTACGTTTGATGGGCGAGGTGGGATCTTCCACTTTGTGACTTCTTCGAACTGGTCGATTCTTTTCAATCACCAGTTGGTTCTTTTCTTCCGTCTCGGGTGTTCGTCGGAATGGATATTCCTCTGCGGTGGTCATCCGGTTAAGTCCCCCAGTCAGACCGGAATGGACAATCGTAGGGGTGTCCAAGACCTTGGATGTATCCACCATCAGCGTGTCACCTGGGGTCTGGTCATCACGTTTCCGTTTCTGACCACTTCCACTGTCGGTCCGACTATGCGAACGCGTCCGGGACTTTTTGTCCAACTTTGATTTGGTTTCCTTGGCGGCAGGCGTCATGAATTCCAAGGTGAGGGAGCTGTGGTTCATGTCCAGCATCCCCCGAGGCTTGACGGGCTCGGTGCCCCATGTATAACCATTTTCCAGATACTCTTGACTGAGTAGCTGCTCTTCTTCATTTCTGTATCCATTCTGGCTCGATGGTCGGCTGTTGGTGAAGATGGATGGGGCACCTTTGGCCATGGACATTTCTTCCCTTTCTTTGGCCGTAAAACTGATCTGAGGAGTGTTTGGGGCGCTCTCGTCCACCATGTAGTCAAAGACACTATCACGGGTCAAGGCTGGAACGGCGGGTGGAGGGGTGGGGACATGAGGAGGAGTGTCGACATCAACATCGGGCGCGTCCTCGACATATGCTGGACGTGGCACCAGGGCCTTGGAGTCGTCTGGCTCGACAATGGACACCGACTTTCGTTTTGCTGCTTTGGAGGGTTTCTCCCGGTACAGCGCTCCCTGGTATTTCTGGTCTTCCGAAATGCATGACTGAGCATCATGTTAGCATACAAAAGTCCCTTGCATCTCGGCCCAATGAGGGGTATGGGGGGATATAGTGGACTGGACATACTGTGTGGGATCTATAGTCGAGGCCATTGAAGGTGGTCATGCAGTCTATGCAGGTGAAAACTGCGGCACGACATTGGTTTCGGTGGGGGTCGAGTTTCTTCTTGGTCAAAACATCGCCGCATGCCTGTGGAGAAAAACAAAGAGAGCGGTCAGTGGCGGTCAACGAGGAACACGGGGGAGATTTGAGGATGATGGGGATGCTAACCTCGCATTGAAAGGAGACCATATTGGGATATTGGCGTGTGGAATGATGAGCGGTGAGCAGAGAGAGCAAACAAGGCTGGAATTGGGGCTCGAAAAGACTTGTTGCTATTCGAAGTCGTGGATGTAAAGAGTGGAGCGGTCGGGCAGCAAGAATTGATAGTCGCACGAAGAGCCAGCTCTCGAGCGTGAGGGATGAATCAGAATGACAGTAATAATGATTGAGGATTCAGGCGTCAAATAAAGTCAGGAGAGAGCGTGAAGATCCGGAGACAGTGAAGGACTGGGTCAGAGGGGTAATAAAACCAGGACAAGGCCTGTTTGATGGGTTGTAGGATTCCAGGCGCAGGGAGTCGAGTTCAAGTTCGAGTGTCAAAGAGCGCGCTTGGCGAGTTGGCGAGGGCGTGAGTCCAATTGCGACCAAAGTTTGAAGTTTTGGGATTGTTTTTGGGTCTCGCGAAATCGTGTTTGACTTGGGCTGAATGGGGGATAGTGTTGATGGGTTATTTAACGCCTATCGGGTCCCATGTTCAGGGGCTTCCGAGGGTACGGAGCCTGAGTTGGACCAGAGACCTTGGGGGCACCTCAACCTTGGAACTCTTTCTGTTTGTGGTGTCTATTATCGTGTATGAAATAACCTTGGTATTACTGGAATTGTATGCCCTCAATGACCTGTTCTGTTGTTGTTGTTGCCCACTCCCACTCACACAAATACCAAAAATAATCCTGTTCTGAACGTGTATCAAACTTGAAAAACAAGAAACGGGCACTAGTACGAATGAGAACAAATGACGTGCGCGCCCTTCGGCTCACCCAATGGTGGTGTGTGATGCTAATTAAAACCACTCCCCTCCCTCACAGGAACATGAACGCTTCTTTTGAACTGAACACGCCTGATCAGGGTCACCCGACTTGAGTGCCAGGTGATATCAACAAACAAACAAGAAATATCAACATCAACAATTGGAACCCACACACAGGTCCTCAAGTGCCACGAGTGTCACGCACTGACGTCTTTTCACCTCAAGAGGGCCTGTCATACATGATACCCGGCGCGGTCACATCAACCACTATGTGTCCACCGTCCACTAACACGGGTCCTTCAGCCGAGCAGCCTGATGAAACCATTCTCGCACAACTCGACTCTCTCGTCCCAGACACACCTCTGAGTAAAGCCATTCTGCGTCATGTCGTCTCCGCTCTCCCCCTGTCCATAGTCCACCATAGCTTGCGGGTATATCTATTCGCCAACTGGCTGGCCCACAAAGAAGCCTCCCCGTTGGCCGACGGCCATCTCCTGTTCGCAGCATGCGTCGGCCATGATCTGGGTGCATCACATCTCCATAATGCCACTTCCGAGAGATTCGAGGTCGAAGGTGCTGACACTACCGTCGCCCTGTTGCGGGAGCACCACCGCGACCTCACCGAAACAGATGCCCATGACGTGTGGGTCGCCATAGCCTTGCACACCTCACCCCATATTGCTGAGAGAATCACCCCATTGGCCCGCCTGGTCAGACTCGCTGTCTTGATCGACTTCCGTCCCCTCTCCCGCCAGTCACACCACGCCGTCGATTATGGTAGAGAAATCGAGATCAAATTGCCCCGTCTGGATATCGAGAAGATTTTGGCGGATGCCGTGGTACACCAAGCGGTGCAGAATCCCCTGAAAGCACCGCCCGCCTCGTGGCCCAACGCCCTCTACAAATCACATCTCGAAAACCCAGATTGGACCGGTGTCAACAAGGGCTTTTAGCCGCATAAGAATTTGATATGAACTGTGATTTTTGAACCACCTTTGTCGCTGAAATCCCATCCTAGACAAATGCTTACAATTGAAGTCGCCTTCCAATCGCCCCGAAACAGATGCTGGTACAGAACAAAATGCTGGCCAGCCATGTGAAAACACCAAACTGCTCCGATGCCATAGATTGATGAATTGCCGGCACTGGCACAAAACTAGGGTCCACCACCAGTAACACAGTCGTCCCGAGTATGCCCACCAATGCCGAAAATGCGAATCCAGGTAAAGATCGGTCAATCACATACCAGAGCACAGGGTTGGCAAATGCCAGGCTCAGTGCCACTTGGAACGTGGATTGCCACGGTATCCGACGCTATGAGTAATCAGTGATGGTTCACAGGACCATGTAAAGTGGAGACTTGACTTACCACTGCAAATGCAATCCCGACAAAAGCCCCCATACTACGAACAGTCGAATACCACATCGGCCCTGTCCCGTTGTCAAGATTCGACGACGTAGAACCCTCTCGCTCTGCGTTGCTTGATGATCCAGGGGCCCGTGCGGATTTCTGAACCGTCTGACTAGCGGAATTGACCGAAGAGACAGACTGCTCCCAGAAGGAGTCGACCAAAGGTAGTGCATTGCCCAGGATAACGCCGAGGATACCCCAGCAGAGGTAGTGGTAAAGCGATGACGGGTCGATGTTTGGCAGAGGCACAGGCTTGATCCGCCGAGATTGGTGCAGGTGCGTCACAATAGAACCATAGCCAACTCCAAACGCAAATAGTAATGTGGTTTGTATCACAAGTGGAACCACGTACCCTTGGAAGCCTCGTCGTTGTGGCTTTGGCCTGCTCTTGACCGTGTTCGTGTCCCAATTCGAGGCCTGATCTTGTGGTCGGTAATCATCAATGCTTCGTCGGTGACTTGGTGTTTGTGCCCCTGTGCCCCAAGGAGTGGACAGCTCCTCTCGCTCCCCATCGGACACCGGTGAATAGATTCCAAATAGGGTAGATGATGTCAAGTTGAGGATCGACCGAGTGCGGCTGCTGGGGTTCATGTCTGGCTTTGGACTGTTCAAGAAGTCCGGGTTGTTTGGTTCAGTGGCCGGAGAGGGAGGATAGGACGAGTCGGCTGAAGCAGGAGTAATGTCAAATGTCCTGCGAGGGATCGGTCGATGTAAATGTGGCATTTCCATGATGCTGGAGACCGAAGCCAACGCCTCGGATTGGTTTGCAGTGAGAGGAGTTAGATCAACTGATCACTCGAAAGATATACTGGCAGGCTTCTAGAGATTTCGTTGAAGCTGTTATGAGGTGATGAAGATTGCAAGTTGTGTTGAGGGCATGATGAACAGTTGGGAGTCAAGCGAGCCCCAGAGAAGGACCTAGTCAGGTTATGCAGGTGGGGATCTTGGACAGGCGAGATGGCACTGGCAATCGTGGTAGTAGGAGAAGAAGAAGAAGACAGTCTTCACATGCTCTTCGGGGTCAACATGCACTGTCTGAGCAATGAGAAGCAGAGTCGTAGCCGGACTATCACACAAAAGGACTGCCTGTGCGGAGTTTGGCATATGAGGAGAAGCCTTCTGAGTGAAATTTCGACCGTCCTGTGACCGTCAAGACCATCATGTTCCGGAGCCGGATAAACATGTCCGGAATATCGATGTCTTCGGTGCCAAGACCTTTAGATCGCCCGCCTTGCCACCACAATGTTAACCTGACGGAGAGACTCTGATCAGTCTCACAAGTCAAGTGTATTCATTTCCCTTAGAATTTGAAAGAAGCCGGAAGACTATTTCGTTGACAGGTAACCACGGAATTCAAATCGCTGCCATCGACTGTTTTTTATGCATTAGGTAGTGCCAGCCAACTTTGATCGATCTGACCTGAACTCCAGGAAAGGATTATTTATTCGCAACCTGACACCCGTCCAAAAACCAATTCAGGCATCAACAGATCAAAATGTCTCTCACCAATTTCGATGCCGAAAATGCTCCCAACTATGAAGACATGGAAAAGCAATTCGCTGTCAAGGCAGTCCAGCACATGACTGTCTATTGGTCCATTCTGGAAAAATTACCTGGTTCTAAGCTTCGACTGACAAGGTTGGACGATCAGATCTATGAGCACTTCAAGAAGGATTTCCCTGAATTTGATCCAGCTGAACCAATTGAGGAGGATAAAATGAAGAGCAAAGAAGGAAAGGAAAGATGGCGCAATTTCTCCATGACCTACGAAAAAGGCGACAACAAGATTGAAGACTTCAATTTTGGTACCATGCTTCGCAAAAGTCCAAAGACTGAATATGGCGAGAAGGAGACCATCTTTGCTGTGAGAATGCAATTCTATGCAATAGAAATTGCTAGAAACCGTGCTGGCTTAAATGACTGGGTATTTGAGACTGCGCAAAAGGAAAAGAAATGAGCATGCAATCAAGTCCAGCGCTTAACAGTGCGACTTCTTTGCGGCGAATATCGGCTATCTTCTACTGCTACTCACGGTCCTCTGGATCAAGTCGATCTCGCTCCGGACAGTCATCAATATGGGGCACGGTTGCAATACCTAGCATAAATCCATTGCGCTTCGCCGGAAGGCAACAGGACCAGACTCGAGAACCGTGCCCCAACCCTCACACAGAGATGAGAGCGAGGAGTACTACCAGCGTGCTTCAACTCACACGAGCAAGGATATGTGCTAAGTGGTTACCGAGATCTGTGGCCAGCATTCCAAGAGAACAATACTAAGCCATTGTCGTCTCGGCGCTCGGAATGTCGTACAAACACCAACCTCGAAGCAGAGCGACATTGCCAATTCTAACCGATCATCCTCATTTTTATTTCTGTATCCCGTGGTTCTAATACAATTTTATTTATGCGATCATTTTTTGACATATTCCTCGCGCGCCTGCTGCGCCCTTGGGATGCGAAATGAGTTCAATCGATCCACCCCATCCTCCAAGCGATGTGGCTTCATCGCAAGGCCACGAGACGAAGGGCTGGAGATTCCTTTTTGCGTTCACAAGGAAGGCGCATCTGCTAGTGCTACTGGCTGCAATCCTGCTATCTCTAGCTGCGGGTCTTCTCCTTCCAGCTACAATTATCTTCCTAGGAGCAGTGTTCAACAGCTTCTCAGAATATGCCTCGGGCAATATCGAAGTTACCACTTTCACTGAAGAAATGAGGAGCAGTACTTACGCGTTCCTGATCCTTGGAGCAGCTACGATCCTCCTCAGAGGTGGATTCTTCACCTGCTGGCTACAATTTGGAGAGCTACAGGCCAAATGTGTCCGTGAAGATTTGTTCCGTACTTTATTGGAAAAAGACCAAGAATGGTATGACCTGCAACCCACAGGTGTGGAAACGCTTCTGAGTAGAACGCAAACGTAAGATAACGCGACATTCGTCGATATTTTCCGGCATTGACACCTCCAGGCAGATAAGAGACCTTCGAACTGCGACTTCTCAACCTCTTGGCTTCTCGATAGCATACATTGCACAGGCCCTGGCTGCACTCGCACTCGCACTTTTCACCAACTGGAGATTGAGTCTCGTCATCGTAGCAAGCCTGCCCATCATGGCTGTGGGGGTAGCGTTGACCTCTTGCCGCATGTTGGAATATACGGAGCGCCACAACCATAGCCTCACTCACGCGGTAAGACTCGCAAACTATTCCATCTCCAACATAGTCATCTTAAAATGCTTCAATACCCAATACCAGGAAGAAGAACGGTACGGCAATATCGTGAGAACCGCAGCCGTGGATTATCTGAAGCTTGCATTTTCAAATGCGCTCCAGGCAGGATTCACTCGCTCCATCGGAAGTGCCATGTTTGTTCAAGGTCAGTTTGACTCTTGACCATAGGCAAAAACGATATCTCATAACCTTGAGCAGGCTTTTGGTATGGTGGTTCACAAGTACATGCAGGCCAGACCACGACTGGCAAGGTCATAATAACCTTCTGGGGTTGCGTCATCGCTGCAAAGTCATTTGAAACAATCCTTCCACAGGGTATCTTACTCCAAAAGGGTCGTGCTGCTGCTTTGGTGTTGAAAGGCATCATCGGAGACATTTCGGAAGATCAAATTGGCTTGTCCAGTGGTAGAGGCCTTATCCCACCCTTCTGTGGAGGCAAGATCGAATTTCGTGGAGTACGTTTGGTTTCATATCCCCTTGAAATGGACATGAGCTGATGATCTAGGTCTCTTTCGGATATCCTTCGAATGCCGAGCACCTTATATTGCGAGATTTCTCCCTCTACTTCCCAGAAGGTCAAACGACTTATCTGGTTGGCAACAGTGGATGTGGAAAAAGTACAATAGGCTCCTTGCTACTCCGCTTCTATGCTCCCAATAGCCGGGGAAAGATCCTGTTGGATGGAATGGATGTACATGATCTTGATAAAGCCTGGCTGAGGAATAATATCACGCTTGTTCAGCAACAGTCCCATTTATTTTCCGGCACCATCCATACCAATGTTGCTCTTGGTCAGAGTGATCCTTCACTCGTGACTGAAGACGAAGTCCAACGTTGTCTTGAGTTGGCAGCCCTGGAAGCAACCGTGGCCGCTTTTCCAGACGGACCCAGGACCATGGTTGGAACTGGAGGGTCGGCCTTATCAGGCGGACAAAAGCAGCGGATTGCACTCGCCAGAGCATATCTTCGTGATACACCTGTCCTGCTATTAGATGAAGTGACAAGCGCTCTTGATTATTCGACCAGGACTCGGGTAATGGAAACAATCCGGAGCTGGAGACGAGGAAGAACGACCATCATCATTACTCATGATCTCGACCAGATCCGACCAGAGGATTTGGTATACGTTCTGGATGCTGGTGTGGTTGTTCAGCAAGGGCTTCGCAAGGACATTGCCGACCTGGCAAACCGTTTGACAATCGTTAGCAAGAACCAGGACTCTGATCAAAAGCCCTTCCAAGAAACACGAGCCATATTCAGCATCTCGTCACCTTCGAACAATGCTACAAGGATTCAAATCGCCGGGAACAGGGTTTCCAGGTGGAAAGAGTCGTTGGACCATTTTGGTGCACCCACAATAACTAACATGGCACCCCTCGACTCCCCTACCAATGTTAGGCGACAAACACTCAAAAACTCAATTGCGCTTGGAGTCCAAGGTGCTTTGGTGAATTTGAAACGCCAATCAATTGCTCGAGCCAAGTTCTTGTATGCACCGATTCCCTCTCACCCTGCACTGCCCCTGACAGATAAATCGCATACACCTCCAGGGGAATTATTGGCGTCCCTTCGCCGGACAGATGGCTTCCTCGGACAGAGGAACAAAATGAGTGATCTGCATAACAAGCCACTACCTATCCCTCTGGCTACTATCGAGAATCCACTGGAGCCAACATATATTATGCGCATCCGCAAATCTAAGAACACTCAAGAGCCAAAACCTCCCTTGTCACTCTTCGTAATTCTCAAGTCGGTGTTCCCTGGTTCTGCTCTGAAAATACGGGTAAGACTCGCCATTGCTTTAGTAGCAACCATATGCCATGCAGCCATGGGGCCCATATTTTCCTATATCCTTGCACAGGTAGTCAACACCTTCTTCCTCCAATCAGGATACAAGGAGAAACTTCTGCAGCATTCTTTACAGATGCTCGGAATTGCATGCATTGATGGACTTTGCTGCTTCGCAATGACATACTTGATGGAATTTGTTGCCCAGTCATGGGTAGATGGACTGAGGTCTAAAGCAATGTGCCGCATTTTACGGCAACCTAAAGCTTGGTTTGACGAAGAAACGCACAAACCATCAACGATAGTAGCGGCACTGGATCAGAACGCGGAAGAAGTCAAAGACATAGTCAGCAAATTCGCTGCACAGATTGTCATTGTTGCCGTCATGGTCCTGGTTGCGATGACATGGGCCTTTGTGACGTGTTGGAAAATAACCCTCGTCAGTCTTGCTGGAACACCAGTCGTGTATGGGCTCGCTAAAACATTTGATTTGGTCTCAGCTCACTGGGAAAATTCCACCAACATGAAGAGTGATAACATTGGGGTCGTCTTTGTTGATGCTTTCATGGATATCAAAACCGTTCGAGCCCTTACTCTGGAGTCCTATTTTCATCAAAAGCTCAGCTCTGCAACACATGATGCTTTGTCCACAGGGCGCCGTCGTGCCTTCTTCAGTGGGATATTCTACGGCTTGTCGGAGTCAGCCGTTCATTTTCTCACGGCTCTGATATTTTGGTATGGAGCAAAACTCGCCAAAGAACAGGATTGGGCAATCTCTTCCATTCTGACATCATTCTCTCTAATTCTGTTCGCGGCGACTTATGCGAGTGCAACCATGACCTATATACCGCAAATCAATTCTGCACAAGACACGGCCACTCGCTTGCTCGGTCTTGCTCAGATGTTGGTTGTGTCCCATGAGGACAAGGGAACTTTCATCCTCGATGCCACCGATCCAAGTACGCTAACAGGTCCCATTCATTTTATCAACCAGACCTTTCGGTATCCTACACGACCAGACACGTCCGCCCTATTTCGGTTGAACTTGACGATTCCTTCAGGTAGATACACTGCTATTGTTGGTGGATCGGGCTCGGGAAAGTCAACGATTACAGCTCTCATCCTCGGTTTATATCCACCGTCCCCTGATATGGTGGCACAATCTCCATCGTTTCCATTCGGAGACCCCCCTTCATTGACATTGTCTGGACGTGATATCAGATCCCTTCACCTGAAGATCCTGCGGTCCATGATCTCCATAGTGCCCCAGACCCCGGTTCTCATCCCTGGGACGGTACGCGAGAATATTGCCTATGGTTTGCAAGCAGACGTGAACTCGATCTCGGCTTCCAGAATCGAAGCAGCAGCACATATGGCTGGTATCCACGAGTTCATACAGTCACTTCCACAGGGATACGCCAGTGTCGTGGGTGAAGGTGGCATCGGCATGTCTGGCGGCCAAGCGCAACGCGTTGTAGTTGCGCGGGCTCTGATACGCAATCCACGTATTCTGATCTTGGATGAACCTACGAGCGCTTTGGATGACGATAGTGCTCGGGTCATCAAGAACAGCATTGTCCGACTGATGCAGGAGAAAGGCAGCCGCTTGACGGTCATCTTGGTCACACATTCAAAGGCAATGATGAGTTTTGCCGATCATGTCATCGTTATGAAGGAAGGAGCCGTCGCTGAACAGGGTTCGTATGCTGAGCTGTTGGCTCGTCCGGGCGAGCTCTCGGAAATGCTTCACAACAGACCCGACTGGTAGCTTCAGCTAGCGATTCCTCAAGTCTGCAGGTTGTCAAGGTTCGGGCCATTCGTGTGCCTGACATCGTTTAAGAAACGAGAATTTCGGCATTGCTTTTTCAGATCTTTCAAGTCTCACAGTGCTACCACTGTATGACCTCTTGTACAGGCGCTCGAATATGGCTGTACGCACTCTCCTTTCGCTGATAGGACAAGACGGCTTTTCGATGTTCGAGATCAAAAATGGGTAGCACGTCTGAAGTTCGAGCCCAATCAGGCACATCTGTGCAACTCCTAACAGGCCCAAGGCCACCCTCCTCAATTGCCACAACTCTCTCCGCCACACGAGCAGCAAGTAAACTGTCCCACATGCCTTCCTGACGAGGATAGGTATAGAGCAGGTGAATTGCTCTCCTTCGAACAAATGGATCACGACAACGATGCGCGATCTCGTATAATGGTCCCACAACACCGATGTCAAGTGTGAAAAATGGTCGCTTTCGTGTTGAAGGCTCAACAGATTGTGCCGAAGACTTCTGAAGTAGTGACTCTGCAATGCTTACAGCATTGTCGAAGGAGTCGGTATAATCATCCCACAGCATTTGATTATCAATCTCAGGGCGTTTTGACAAAAGATCTAGCGACGATTGAAGGCCAAGTCGATGTATCTCAAGAACTTGGCTCGCATACTTGTCTTGATCCGTCATACTTTCAGACAGCGTAATGTTCATACTTCTGAATGCAGTAGACCACCGGTCGAAAACGTTGAGGTATAATCCCACCTCATCATGACCACCAATCTGACGATTTGCGGCGCCATGGTTGTTGTTATTGTTGTTGGACGAGGTCTGAGATATGGTATAGGTATGACGGTAGAACTCGAGACTGTCACGCGCTTCCATGACAGATGGGAAGGACTCAGGGATCCTGGACCTGCTCGTTTTTATTTGAGGTCGGGATCGATTGCCCCAAGCCATAGGTCCAACCAACTGTCTCGGTTGTCAGTAAGTCTCTTGATTACTTCGAATGTGGGGAGAAAATGTGCCAACCTACTCCAACAGCTTGCGCTTCAAGTCTTCGCAGCTGGGTTTCGAAAGCTTCTAGCAGCACTTGCGATGACCGAGTGACAGAGGTTGGAGCGCCGGACAAGAATTCATCAAATATATCAAGCACCTTCTTCACAAGGAATAGGACTGATCCGAAACGGCCACGCATCATCTGAAAATAACTTAGCAACCCTCTCGAGAGACTGGAAGATGGTACCCACTTCAATGCAGATAAATATCAAGCACGGCGCGACGAATACCTCCACGTTCCCCGAGAGGTCAAGATCCTGTACCCTCTCAAGATGTTGACGGATCGCCAAATTATACTGGACCAAGGCAAAACTATTGGCCGAACTCGGAAGAGATATGGCCCCTTCCATTTCGTACTCTTCGTGCAATGACGCAAGAGCAACCAGACCGTGACGGATACCATCATCCCAACTTGCAATCTGGAGAACACCAGTGTTCCAGAACTCGCAACTGTAGAAACCAGAAAGCTGTGAGCTGGTTCGCTGGTAGAAAAATTGGAGTGCTCGCTTTTCTGGCATGGATGCGTCAAAGAGGGACGGCGGTGGCGTCAGTATCTTCTTTTGATATGTGACAGCCTGAGAGGGGGACCCAATGGAGACAGCGTAGCCGTCGCATTTGCGAGATGTAGTTAAGCATCTCGTGCAGCTTGGTCTAGTTTCGTCGCATCTGACTCGGCGGACTAGATTGATCGGCTTTGGTCAGCAACGGATTCACTGAGACCAACATTAGCGAGCCCTACTCCTGCAGTTCTATGGTTAGTGGATCCTTCGAAGAGTCTGCAGGGACTTGACGAACTTGCACGTTATACATCCCGAGCGGGTTTTGGGAGCATACGATCGTTTGCGCTCGCCTGGCTTTACTCTGGGCATGGCTGACTGGAGCCTGCTGGCACCCACAAACTCCGTCAGTGTCGTGGCGGTGGTTCAAGTTGGAATTCCTATGAATCGTAAGTGCAGGACGATAACCTTCCTTACGATTGATGAGTAATGTGGCACACACCGTCCATACGAGACAGCAATTCAAATCGAAAGGAAAGCGACGCAAGTTGGGGTTTTGATGCAACTAGTACCAGGGGCGGGTTTTAAGAGTACCGCACGGCTTTGGCCCATCACGTGGGTTTAGGCCCCCATGGCTCCGCTGTCCTTACGAAGCACCCAGTGAAAGAGCAAGACGAGATGCGCTAGCAAACTATAATATATCAAGTCACTAAACTAGTTCAACTATCTTGGTGCTAGATCCGTGAGGCTGCACCACGTCTCCCATTAGGACGGGCTTCAAGACATCAAATTCGCTACACTCGTAGGCCTCGAGAGCTGCGGCTCAGGCGACAGTTAATTTTACCATGTATGGGGAACAAGATTTGCGTAGTTCTGGAATGCAATTATTTCATATCGAGCCTCCTGCATATTTATATCACAGCGATGCCCAGTTCCAGGAGGTTAACAATATCTACTGTGCCAGCTTCAGTCTTTACTTGAAAGCCATCAGAAAGCCCAAAGCTACTCGAACGTCGGATAGCACTCACGCAACACACAATGGCAGCAACTTGCAAAGGTAGGGTCCTTTAATCTGCTCATGGCTCATTGTTGAGTCCATGCATATTACCTCGCTAACGTTCTCGGTTCGCTTCCGACCCAGTAGCCGTCACAACTCCCGACACACTGTGGAATTTCTGTCCCTCCATAGCAGCTGCATATGTCTTGACCATTGCATTTGCCTTCACTATGGTTGCGCACATTGCTCAGGGGATCTACCACCGGAAATGGTATACGTGGGTCATCGCTATGGTAAGCACTATCCACTAAATGCCAAGATAGGACAAGTTCGAGTATCTAATAATTCAAACTTGGGGTTTCTAGGGCGCATTGTGGCAGACGATAGCATATATCTTCCGAGTGCTCAGTATCCAGAACCCCGCTAGTCTCGGGAATTACGCTGGGTGGTTTATTCTCATACTGGTATGGCTTGCCTTACGGCTGCCCGGCGTTCTACTGGCTTGACTAGGAGATTTTCTGATGGCCTTAACAGGTGGCACCACTCTGGACCAATGCATACGTTTACATGACTATGGGCCGAATGGTCTGGAATTTCACACCGAACGCTAAGATACTCGGTGTCACGGGCTGGAGGTTCGGATTATACTTTGTGCTCCTGGACATCATGTGAGTCTACTTCAGCTCGACCAATAGGCTTGCGATGGCACTTGCTGAAGGCGCTATGATAGTGCTTTTATCATACAGATCCTCGGAGCGGCGTATGCAGAGCGTCAGAATATCCCCGTCTCGGAAGTCTTGCTGGGTAAGCGTCCGATATCCGTATTTTGAGAATCCCCCGGCTACCGACTAACAAGAAACCACCAGGTCTCCATATCTACATGGCTGGAGTAGGAATCCAACAACTATTCATCTTCGTCTTCGTTGCATTCGCTATCCAGTTCCACAGAGTTCTGCTCCGAGGTGAAGGGCTGAGCAAGCAAACTCAGTCCCATGCCCTCATGCTGCTGTACACACTATACGCAGTACTAACATTAATCACAGTGAGTTATCCCGTCCCACCCCAGTATTCAGCACTGCAATTCCTTTCAGCCAACTAATCATCTCATCACCAGCTGCGTATCATCTTCCGTCTGGCCGAATACTCACAAGGCCTTGACAGCAACGTCCCTAACCATGAGGCATATCAATATTGTCTCGACTCGCTGCCGATGCTGGTTGCCTCTGTGCTTCTCAATATTGTCCATCCCGCGCGGATTATGCCGGGTAAAGCGTCAGATATCCCGTCGCGTAAGGAGCGGAAGACGACGGGCATGCTGTATAAGTTTGATCCTATGCAACGTGAACAGAGTGTCGGGGACCGCGAGCTAGAGAGGGTGGAGACGGCGTATAAACACGTTTCCCCTGAGCTTGGGTCCAAGACGAGGGGATAGAGTGAAACCTGTTGGGTTATTGGTACGGGTGAAATGGCTATAGACTGCGTGGGATAGGGTTACATCGTTGTATGGTTGTCTCGAATTATGTTTTACAAGGCTCCTGGGCACACTTAGATTATACATCATGTATTGACCTCCGCCTTGTTCCCCATCAAGCAATACGCACAATTGTTTTCATGATAGCCATCCATTGATGAGCCTTGTATTTCAATGTTATGGTCCATAGTCATTGCTATTGGAGCCATAAGTGTGATCTGCAAATGCCATGAACGCTCAAGTGGTCCGAGATTTGTAACCACAAAATGTCTTCATCCTGTGCGCAGCTCGCGGTATGTATGACGCCGCAATAGCATAGCTTATTGACAAGCCTATGACACACCAGGTTCAAGACCAGTTGTAATCAGCCAGACTTCTTCTCTTCCACATGAGTACTCCAGCAGTTATAAATCCAAGAAATAGCATGTTACAAGGCTGTAGAAGCGACAAACGCCGACATCGAGCGTCCTTCCATGTAGGTGAGGTGAGTATCGGAAACTGGGAGCAACAACAGAAGAGCAAAAATAGCCATGACAATAAAAAGTAAGCCATAGGTCCGTTGATGTCCAGTGTAAATGGGAAAATAAGCGATTGCATATCTTATGTCTCATCTGAAATTATAGAGATATAAAACCGCAATCAACTATGAGTTTTATTCCTCCCAGGACCTTGTGCTTCCGGAAACCCGTGAGTAATATTGGACCTAATAAGAAGAGGTAAGCTTGGCAATGTTTTGGGAGTTTAAAACTATGTTACCATAATTGAGAGGTTCCCTCACTGTTAGTTCTGGAGTAGCGTTCGTCAATCAGTCTGTCGGATATCAACACTTGCCGTAGAATTATGACTAGGCTATGCTGGTTGCGTGATCCAGAATTCACTGCTGCTAAGATGAAAGTAGTGTACCGTGTCGCGCATTTCTTCAGTGCTCCTGCTTTCCTGTGTGCCGGTTTCCGACATGTCTCGCTCGAGGGGTATCCATAAGTTTTTGACCCGACTCCTCCAGGATCGAGGCTTCAACGTGGTTAAGCACTCAAAGGTGCATCGCCTGAAGTGGGGAAGAAAGTTTCGCAGTTTTGATATTTCAATCTTACGGGGTTGGATTAACGAGGGAGGGCGAATACATCCCTCGAACTCCCTGTGTTGAGGATTGTGTGTCCTTCATCTGCTCTAACCTTCCTTGCTTCATCTGTAAGCACCCCTTGAAGGCTGGAATCTGTCCCTGGATATCTCGATCTTTATTGAAACTGCACCGGCTGCACTATTCATTCTGCCTTGTCATCAATTCTCAAGCTCAACTAGTTCTTTCAAATTGTCTTCTTCCCCTTCCGAATCGCTGCAGAGGCCAGGGAAATATTTTGATTTCAAGAACAAGCTCCATATCCGTCCTCTTAGAGATAAGGGTTTGGCTAACAAGCTGAGAGCTGCACAGAATGGCCACAAGAAGTGTAGCCAGGCTGCGAGTCCGACAGGCTAGTGTTTGAATTGCACAGTAACATGCGTAGATGAAGTCTGAGGGACTTTTAGCGAGCTGAAGGACTTGCAGCTGGAGATTGTTGCGTTATTGAAGTAGTCAGAAGTCCCAGCCAGTTGATCGGATTGCCCATGTCCCGTCACTTCCTTCCTTTCCTAGAAATGAGCTCGCAGATTGTCGAGGAATGAGGCAGGCAGGAAATGGTGCTTGGCGGCACACTTTGTGGTTGTGGTCATCAGGGCCGTCCAGTGGCAGTCAGTTCTTCGCAGTTTTCTCGGTAAGTGGCGGAGCTGATCTAGCATCTGACACCACTCTACGAGGTCGCTACCCCGGAACTGAAGGACATGATCTTGTCAAGCTGAGCTTGCCGAGTTTAGCTTAGCTTAGCCAAAAGCTGTCTTCGAAAGTCAACCATAAAGGACAGTCTCGTGCTTCTTTGTTTTAACAAGGTTTGAATTCATCATCGCTCAGCCGTCGAAAGCTTGAGAAGGCGACAGAGATGAAGCGGATAACAGGGTCTAGCTTAACGTGAGGAAATTTAAGACTCTACGATCTCATTATCAAGCGCCTCGTTATCGTACCATATGATCTCATTGACAAGATAGCATCGATCAGAGGACGAAAAATATCAGAAACCCAGACAAGGGGCGAGGCTAGCTCAACGCGGGAAAAGCTCCTCCGAATTGCTTCGGGCTGAACGAAGGTACCTACCATGAATACCGTCTATTGGTCAGCTGATCACAACATGTTTTTCGCCGTTAGTTAAGCCTTAGAAAGACTCAATAGCTAAAAGTAGCATCAGTTCTTGGCTGTTATCTGAGCGCTCAGCACCGGACGACGGAGCACGGAACTCATAGGCTGTATATTGAGAGCTTAAGTTAGTTCAGGCTGGGGAAACATTTTCTGAGGTAACTTGACGTTATTCGCACTTGCGCCGTTCAAGGTAGAACACTTGAACGGATTAGCCGTATCCGAGGCACATGATTACAGCTCGAAGATGGTTGAGCCATTGCCCAAGTCCGGCTTGAGCTTTAGAGAGATGAAGATACTGAGATTCGCTAATCAGTACTGTCAGGACAGGGTCGGAAGCATTCCGGGGGAGGCGGGATCGGAACTCGACCCGTGAGGTGCGCGGGCCGCGCTCACTCAAGGTATTGTACGCAGGCTTGATGGTACGAGCGACACAGATCCCCAGGCCGCAAATAAGCTGACATGATGGGTGCCCCGCACGCTGAGCGCGCCCCGTGCTCTACCAACACTCGTCGGATATGGCCCCTCTCAAAGATTTCTCCTCAGAGGACTCCGCCTCATTCACCACGTCAAATGAAAGAGCGAGGTCGAGCTCTGATGGAGTGTTTTGCGACGGTTGCATCGGGTCGGGTTCGAAGATGGAAGCACCGTGGTGGTGTTCCCCTCCACAATTCATTTGATTCTTTGTACATTAACAGTTGCACATCTGCCATTGCTTCCAAACCTGGAGATTGAATCACGCTCTCAGACTCATACCAGGAGGACTTGGCCAGCCAAATTGACATATTTTCGACCCATAACCAGATACTCCCAGACTGCTACTATCATGCTTGGAAAGATCGCCTTAGAGGAGGCATTTGCCCTGCCGCGATTTGCCGAAAGGACCAAATGGTGGGCTGGATTGTTCGCACTCGATGCTGCTAAGCATGCGGCTGAAATCAACGACATCACCGAGCAGCGAATCAAATATATGGACCAATATGGAGTTGGATATCAGTTATTGTCATATACTGCCCCAGGTGTACAAGATGTCTGGAACAAAGACGAGGCTGAGGCGCTTGCTACCGAGGTCAACGACTACATTGCATCGACCATCAAATCCCACCCAGACAGATTTGGAGCACTTGCGTAGGTTTTAGAGGAACGAGATCTGAACAAGCCAATGCTAATGCCGCGAAGAACATTGTCAATGCACGACCCCAAACAAGCAGCTGGTGAGCTAAGGCGGGTGGTCAAGGACTACGGCTTCAAAGGAATACTCGTCAACGACACACAGCGAGCAGGTGCCGATGGTGATGACATGATCTTTTACGATCAACCGGAATGGGATGTTTTTTGGGAGACCGTCACCGAGCTTGATGTGCCATTCTATCTTCATCCTCGCAACCCTACAGGGACGATACACGACAAGCTTTGGGCTCCCAGAAAATGGCTTATCGGTCCCCCTCTCAGTTTCGCCCAGGGCGTCAGTCTACATCTCCTCGGTATGGTGACCAATGGTGTCTTTGACCGCCACCCCAAGCTCCAGATTGTTATTGGTCATCTTGGTGAACATCTTCCTTTTGACCTGTGGCGGATAAACCATTGGTTTGAGGATATCAAGGTAAGATATTGCTTCCACTGCTTCCATATTAAAAGATCTCCTGCTTATATGTGATACGCTGCAGAAACCCTTAGGTTTGAAAGAGACTTGCAAGAAGACGATTCGAGAGTACTTTGCGCAAAATATTTGGATCACGACAAGTGGACATTTCTCAACACCTACTCTTCACTACTGCATGACTGAGGTTGGTGCTGATCGGATTTTGTTCTCAATTGACTATCCCTTCGAGAACTTCCATGATGCTTGCGACTGGTTCGACAAGGCTGAGCTTAACGATGTGGATCGAAGGAAGATCGGAAAGGATAATGCGAAGAGACTATTTAAATTGGGTGATTATAAGGATTCTAGTGCATGATGTTAGTTGGTGATTCAAGAAAGAATTCAAAACGTGGCCATGGGAAATCTGGTCGGGCATCTGGGGTGATGGTTCGCGAAGGCTCTGTACCATAGATATCGAAAGCATTCCTAGAGTCTCTTATTGTAAAGTTGAGACACCAGCTTTTGGACTTCTTTTTGATCAATAAATGCCTACGTCACTGGTCTTCATGGCTCAATGCTGGAAGTATCCAAATATTGATTTGACATAATCCATAATCCATACCATGCCAGTCCTTCCTCCAGCCTCGGATCGATGTCTCTACCTCTTCCGGGGCTAGTAAAATCTGGGGTAGGGGCAAAGATTAGTTAAAAGCTACTGCGATCATGGGGTGGATACGGATACCCTCTTCAGTCCCCTCGGTTCTTATCAGTACCCAGGCCTTAGCATGCCCAGTCCTTATCAGCCACCATTTCCTTCATTCCGAGAACCTGGGATCAACCAACTACTAGGTAGTGAGTTAACTTATCTCAATCGCCGCCGTCACGGGCAAAAAACATATCCGGACTGTTGTCCTATCCCTCTGCCGCTTCTCACACCCCATTACTCTTTCTTTTCTCATGATTACAACATCTGTGGAATATGCCCCGACCAAAGGTTCGACCCGAGGACAGACAGCGAGCAGCCAAAGCTTGCTTGCCTTGCAAGTTCTCCAAAAAGAGATGTGACGCTCAACTGCCTTGCGCGCACTGCACGAGGCGCAACAATGCTTCTGCGTGTACATATGATGATTCTGTCTACGCCCATCGGCCTCCAGCACGCCGAAGTTCCACCAGCACCAAGCGACAATCAGTGACTTCGAATGTTCCTCCGTCAACCCACAGTCTTTCCAGCCTAGCTGACCAGAATCTCACACCGCAATATGACATTCCAGACAATTTTACCGATCAGGGACCAAATGGTTTGCTTGAGACCACAACCTTTCCGCAGCGGATAACGAAGGATCGCTTGCTGTTGAGCTCCAAGGGAGAGCAAGGTAAATATATCTACCCACGTCTATGCTGCCCTTGATAACCAAACGACTCACGTCCTTCAGTGTACATTGGAAAGACAGCTTCGCTTTCTTTTCTTCAGTTCCTACGACATACTATCAGACAGCAGATGGGCCCATCTGTCTTCACGGAAAATGCTCGCCGGCATCTTATGCTCGAGATCAACAGTCCTGAAGACGGCTCGGCTACATTCACCGAGGAGGATAATTGTAAGCGTAGCTTGGTTGAGGCCTATTTCGCTGCTGTAAGTATGGGTCTTGTCCTGGTATCAGCACGACTCTACACAAAAACAATCGCTCTCCGCCCTCCAAATACCTCCTCGCGAGATAATGAAATCTATCTTTCATTTTATTCCATCGAGCTAATTGATTTTGTAGACTAGCGGCCTACTCGATCTTTACTCAAGAGAAGAGACTACAACATACCTCGCCACCATCAGCACCCCAAACGACAACACCCAAGGATTCGCGGCCATTGCCTTCGATCTTATCGTCGCGATTGGCGGTCAATGCCGTGCTGCCAACCCCACAGACCTCAGGTATGCCGTAAGATGCTTTACCCGGGCACAGAAAGCGGCACTTGCTGGAATGCTCGAGGACCCTTGTCTAGACATGGTGCGGTGCTTCCTCCTCATGGCATTCTACATGCTGGGCGCGTGTCGCCGGAACGCTGCGTTCATGTACATTGGAGTAGCATCGAAAGCTGCTTCAGCATTAGGACTGCATGTTACCGACCAATATCGCCATTTTCCTGTTCAGGTACAAAGCGTCAGGTAATGTCGACAATCATTTCAAGACTGCATTTTTCACTGACTTGGTGGTGAAGGCTAAGGACATTAAAGAGTCTACGAATACTAGACGTCCTAGTTAGCTCGCTACTAGGAAGACCACTATCAACACCAGCAATTCGAATCGACAATGCTGCCTTCCACAATCTGCACACTCAGACCGGTACGCCACGAGACATGGCACTCAACGCGAGCTTTGGAGCATGCTCACTCATTGCGGAAATCATGCAGACCCAGGAAACCGACAATACAATGGATCTCGCCTTCGCAGACCAGACTCTTCAACGATTGAGAGATTGGAGCTCCAGCCTACCCAACGACATCAAGCGGTTCACGAAGGAATCTGATACGCCATTGACTGTTCTTGATCAAGAACGAGTGATAGGAAACATTCATGTTGCTTGTGTCTACTACTTTGCTGTCATGCTAGTGACACGGCCCTTCCTGATTTCCCATCTCATGGCAAACCTCCCAGGAAGTGCAGCCGAGATACCGGATACGCCCGCAACAGCAAAGGAACAGGCCGAGACTATCAACATGGCAGAGGCATGTCTAGACTCGGCCGTGTACATGGCACAGATTTGTCATGAAGCACTGCAGTCTGGTCTCTTTCTCAATGCAATGCCACTCATGAAGTCAGTATTCCCCCATCATTGAGACATATTTTGCGAAACCCGCCTAACAAAACTCTACAGGGCATGGATGTTCGCAGCAGGCCTGGTGATCGGGTTCTCCATGTTTGCACAACCAGAGCCAAAGTTCGAAATGGACGAATCCTTCAATGGCGCACGAGAAGTCCTCAAGAAACTCTCCGACCACAGTGCCCAGGCAGAGCACTACTACGAGATTCTGACAGGTTTCGCCGATGCCATCCAACGACACCGACAACATCTCGCCCGCGAGAAGAGAAAGTCGCACAATAAATACGTCAACCAGATCCTGAAGCTCGACATGAACCAAACGAACCCTGGTAATAGCGCCCAATCGACGTTCTCTCCACAGTCGTTGTCGAGAGATCTGGCGGACGCTGCTGCTTCGACCCTTGCGGCGGAAGATGTCGGCGCGATGGGCGGCGAGCATGACTACCCGCAGACATTCCAGCTGTTCGACTCATCTCAACTTCCTGTCGATGGTGGTGGAGGCTTTGATTTTGGCATGTTCGGCTGGGACAATTTCGCCATGCAGATTTCGGAGAACTTCACATTTGATAACGACACAATTTGGGATCTTGGATGAAGCAAACCGTAACGAGAACACAATGGCTTCATGGAGAACATCTAATCATCACCAGAACATACCAGAGCTCAAGACTTCGCAGGCCGCGCAGATCTGTCAATCTTGTCGAGATACTCAATCAAGACATCGACAATGATCCTGGCGATCTGATCACCCGTCTCCCACAGCGCATCATGATCACCGGTAGCAGGCAATTCAAAGACCTCCAGCCCGGCGTCCATAGCCGGCTTTAAAGACTCGTGGAAGCCCGTCAGCTGCCGATACGGCACCAACGTATCGTCGTGGCTCTGCACGAGCACGACCATCCCATCATTACGGCCCCATTCGCGGACCCAGTCTTTGACAGACACGGGACTCACGTCAAACCATGTCTCCTTGTCGTCTCCAAACGCATCACGCGTGAATGCCTCATACTCGGGGATCCAGCGCGAGTGCTTCTCACCTGGATCCTCGATCAGCCCCGGCAGATCGTATAGGCCATCAAGGCCAATAGCAACGCTGGGCTTGATAATACTCCGTGGTGACGGGGACGCCGACTTCGAAAGCGCTGCATTCTCACTCCTGTGCTCCTCCCCAGCGACCACAACCCTCGGAATCCTCCAGCGCTCCCGGTCCATCAAAGCCTGAAACAAGAGCGTCGCACCACAACTATGGCCCAGTATGATATAATTATCCTTGAATCCAACAATGTCCTGCAGGAAGCCGATCCCGCGAAGCACATCGATGATGTGGTCCGGATGTCTCGCGTTTCGACTCGCTTCACCCGCTTCGCCGCCTGACAACGTATAATCCAACGACGCATAGCCCGCGATCTTGGCTGTCGCTGGGTCGCTAGACTTCAGTATATGGTGCAGCGTCGGCGCGAAAGACGCTGCTTTGATGGTCGCGTCGCGCCACGCTCCGCCGTGGATGTAGACGATCCAGACTCCTGTGCGAGAGAGAAGTTGAGTGTCGTCGGGCAGTGCGGAGGATGTCGTTGGGTGTGATTTTGAGTGTGAGGGGGAGGGGATCCAGACATCGAGTGTCTGCAGACTGTTTGCCCCGTGAAGATATGGTACGCATGGCTTATGCCAGCCGACCGGCTTTGTCGGGCTTGGGTCGTCGGCGGAAGGCGGCGTGTCAAGCCATTCTTGCCAGGGTACGCTGTCCCATAGCGTCTGGGAGCCCGATTTGTCTGCCATTGTCTGATGTGATCACCTGGATAGCGATTACCTTTTTTTTGTGGTGGCTTCACCACGCAATTTGCTGTTTCCAGCTAGGCAGGCTTCGTGCCTCGATGTTAATCCCGATCGTACTGGTCAGTCACCTGAATGGTGGGGATGTAGCTATGCGCGCAGATTTGGGTCCAAGTCTGCCGAACACCACAGTTGAAGTATCTCTTGAATAATCCGGAATTCGTGATCACTAACTAACCAAGCAACGTCTCACTTGTCACACTGAGTAATCCTTAGTTAGTCTTCGATTGCCCAAGTATGCACTCGCTGGTGGATTGATAGCTTGATTGTCCTTCTATCTGGTATGATTACTCTTTCTCACAGGGTCCCTGGTTACCTAGGTAGTGGATGATTGTATGAGCGGTCAAAAATATCCGTGTTATTCTCTCGTGTCTCAAAGGTCAGAGAATCCGAATATCGAATTCTTTTGGTGTCTTGCAAATTTCATGTAATTTTGGCTCAAGTAGTCGCCGATGAACGTCTTCTCACTGCACGTCAATATCAATGATGCTGGAGCGAGATTTCTCGTGTCGTCCATATCAAACAATAAGAGCGTGGGGGATAAAAAGTCTCTCCGTGCCACATCCGGCGGCTCAAATAGCACGTCAAGCAAATGCTCCCATTAGATCGGGCAAAAGCTGCGTAAGTGACCAGTTACCTTGGTGAACTCACCCGAGAGTTCTAGGCCGTCTGGGCGGGCGGACCGAGCACCTATCCGTGTTGTGGTCGATAAACCGTGTGGGACTCTATGCACCCATGGACGGACCGAAAAACAATCGTGGCTTAACGAGCTTACTCAGATAGGTAGGGTGGGTATTCAGCAGAGTGATTTTCAAAGGGAAGTATATATCGAGTGAATAAGTGGTATAAAATGGTCCAGAGGATGTGAATCAGTTATATAAAACATCTGAAACTGTGAAAAGCCCGACCCCTCTATTCCAATGCTTGCTCTTCAAGTTGTGCCATTCCGGTCGATCCCAATCCCGCCAGTATTAATAAGAATAATAATCGTGAACCCTAATACCATGAACAGCCGTGCTCAAAACCCACACTACATCTCAAACAGAGTAACAATCAAGAATTCCGCTGCTTCGCCGCCTCCAAAGCCTTCTTGATGCGATCCTTATGGTCAGGATCGGTCCCGATTTGATCTATCAACTCGCGAATCAACGCCAAAGCATCAGCGGGAGATTTGTTGACACCATTGACGCGAGTGTTCATTTCTTCAACGAGTTTCATGTCTTCCTTGGCCTTTTCAGACTCGAGCTTAGCGTAAGTGGCTGCGTCAGCGGTTGCTGTGCGTGCCTCTGCCACGGAGACTCCGTAATCAGATTCGTTGAGAAGAACATCTGCTTCGTTGGAGAGAGCCAACAAGCGTCGTGAGTCGGTAATGACTGTGGTGACTACACCTTGTGCGAGTGTCAATGTATCTCGAGCACCTTCATTCTCATAGAGATCTTGACCGTTAGAGGTGGCGGATTGGTCACTCGAGGCGATGCATTTCTTGAGTTCTTGTAGCTTGGGGAGCAGTTCATCAACAAATGTCTGATTATCACCTAGACCCCGAACGGTAGCACGGTCGAAAGAGTCCATCAGCTTGTTAGCCCGGTTGTCCTTTCCACGTGCTTCATGCAACACTTGCAACTTCTCCGCCACAGCGAAATCCTTCTCGAGAGACTTGACTCCTGCTGTATCACCATTGGTGTATAGAACGGTCAGCTCAAGATGTTTGCGTCGTCGTTCACGCTCGACCTGAGCTTCTGCCACCTTTTGATGACGGACTTCGATTTTGTTGAATAGAGCCAGGACGCATGCCATGACATCGGACATGCGTGGTTTCTCATTTCCGCCTTTGAGTAAACGGCTGACGGGTTCGCTTTCCAGGTCAAGCAGGTCTATTGCTAGAGTGTAGGCGGTGGTCAGCTCAGCGATTTCTTTCTGTAATCTCTCAGTGACTGGGTTGAAAACTTGAGTCGTGAAAGATTCCAATTCTTCTTGATTTTCCCGGAATCTTCTCTCTGCTTCTGCAAGCTTGAACTCGGCCTCGAGATCGCCGATGTCAGCATAGCCTATTTCATTATCATTGAAAAGTCCGTCGATGTGATTTTCCGATTCTTGTTGTCGAGCATGACGCTCGGCATCTTGCTCCTTACGGACTTCACGATTTGTCTTATCCCATTCGACCACAGCTGCATGAATGAACCCGAATTCATCGCGGACGCCATCAACTTTGGATTGAACAATCTTCAATTTTGGATGTCCAGGGCCATCGATGGGGGTGGCAGGAACAGCTTCGGTGGGTAGAATGGATCGGATAGCAGTGACCGACTGTTTGAGAGGGTCTTTGGGCGCAGCATTCGCCGGTGTCCCCACTCTCATAATTGCAGGTGTAGGACGCCGGGCAGCGTCCGCACCCATGCCAGGTCTGATTCCTGCGGGAAGTCCACCTGGACCAGGCTTCTTCTGCCTGACAGCCATGCTCTGCTGGCGAATGAGTCCAATGAAGGCTTCTTCATGCTCTCTCCTACCACTTGCCGTTGCAGGCCGAGTCGGGGGAACTAGATTGTCTGTTTTCATCAAACGGCCTGAATCTAGAACCGAATGTCGTAGAGTTGAATAAGATTTGTCGGCAGGCTGTAAAGACTTGGCCTTTTCTTCTTGAGTGGCAGCGCTATATCTAAAGGGAGTGTAGGCGGGTCTGGGAGGCTCAAACTTGATCGGCTTGCTTGGTCGGCCCGGAGTGGAAGTTCCAGAGGCACCAGATGCAGGAGGTGCCATCTCGGGAAGGACCAGAATCGGGGCGTTGATCCCGGGAGATGGAGGTCCTGGTGTGCGATAGTCATCAATCACCATGGGAGCATTGAGACTGGGCGAAAGAGCACCACTGTCTGCTGGTTTAGGAAGGCTCTGATCACGAGGAGGAAAGGGGTCGGCAGTCCGTGGAACATTAGTGGCCACAGTAGGTTTCTGAACCATCTTCGGACGACCACCAGGGCTGTATTCTCCCTCCTCATCGCCTCCGGAATTGACCATGACGAAGGAGTCATCCTTGGAAGGACGTCGTGGTTCGAGTACAGGCTTTGTCAGTACGGCTGGAGCTGGGGAACGTGACGATTGAAGAGATGGCTGAGAAATGGCTGGCTTGGGCGATTCTACTGGTTTGGGCGCAGGCTCAATTGTCGCTGGAGGGGGTGGTTGAATAGGTATTTCTCGCTTGATGGTCTCAACTGGTTTGGATATTTCTGGCTGCTTGACTTCGGTGGGAGGTATGGTGGTGATGGGCTTGGTCTCCTTGACATCCTTGGCATCCTTTGGCAATTCAATGCCATACAACAAGCTCCTCAACCGAAGCTCCTTATTTACAAAAGCCTGGAAAATGTCGAATTTGGCCTCATCGGTGTCGGCAGCCGATTCCTTCCTCAGCATCGCACCATATCTCTTCAGAGACGCCTTGAACTCGGGTTCAAGATCGGCATAGGGATCGACGACTTTGACGGTTGGGGATAGCTCTGGCGAGGCCACTCGGCCTGAGGTACGAGATTCAGGACGAGCAGTGTGGTCTGGAGGATGTGTGGGTCTCAAAGGAGAGGTCCAGGCTTGTATGACGCTGTCGATATTACCATTTCCATTAAAACTGTCAGAACGGATTGAACCGGAGGGGCCGGCCGAGGAGGGTCGCTCTCTTTCGTCGATAGGCGGAGGAGCCTGGACGACATTTGGCGGTGGGTGTACTCGTGAGTCCTTTCGCGGAGTGAGCGGGCTATTAGCACCAATTTCGACAGGAGATGGAGGACGGTTGAAGGCAGGGTATGGGGTTGGATTCTGTGTGGTAGTTATTGGCGGCGCAGGCAGAGGTGCAGGCGTAGGAGTGGAGGATGGGACGGGTTGTTCATGATGCCAGGGGGCAGGGGTGGCCGTGGCATTTGTTGGAGGAATGGGAGGACTGGTAGGAGTGTCGGTTGGAGGATTGCTCTCGTAATGTTCCCAGTCTGAAGGTCCCCCAAAACCCAAGGCTTGTGATTGATTTTGCTTGTCGTTTGGCCCATGGCCTTGGTGACCCCAGTATACGTTATTGCTTCCTTCGATGGGGGAGACGAGAGGTGGATCGGTGGGACCACTGGTACCACCAGGTATCTGATTGGGAGCTGGAGCAGTGGGATAATAGGTTGGGCCGGGAGGCGGTGGTTGAGGTGCCCATTGATGCTGGGCTGGAGGGTCATAGTGATGAGACGGAGGGTGATGAGAGTATTCTTGATGGGGAGTATTGACTCGGTTGTAGGGAGGCTGACTGGACGTTGGAGCTGCTGTCGCTGTCGAAGTTGGACCCTGGGCGTACTCAATGGGTCGTGGGGCCGGAGGAGGAGGTGGTGGTGGAGGAGCGCTTGACTGATAAGGGTCTCCCCATGAGGTTGCGTAGGGTTGGGCTGTAGAAGAGGCCGGCGGTTGAGATTGAGGGGACTGAGAATAACTCAGGCTGTGGTTGTGAGTGTGAGAATGGCCATGTTGACCGTGAGCATGACCGTGGCCTGGCTGCGGGCTGAGTCGACCGGCAGCGCTTTCAGGTCTTGGTGGCAGAGGCGGCTTCTCTTCAGCAAACGTCGGTTGGGGTGCTAATCCCTGATTATATCGAACGCCCCATGCAGTTGTATCGTACGAGGACTGTTGGCCGGGAGGCGGCGGCGGTGGTGGAGGTGGTGGAAGAGCTGGCCCAAAAGAATTGGGATTCTGGCCGTAAGGAGAGACGGGGGATGTCGGTTGCTGCTGCGATAGTCGTGGATCGCCCCATCCTCTTCTTGGAGGGGCTTGCCATTGAGGTTGCGGCGGACCAGGCGTATGCTGTGAATAGTTGTAGCCAGGGTTATTGTTGGTGTTGTATGGATTCATGGTGTTGGAGGACCACTGCAGTCCCAGCCGTGTCTGCCTTGCAGCAGCGATGACGACGGCGACGGCGACCTCGACCTCTTCGAAGTACCACCGGGATTAATACGTTTCCGCAAAGGGCCAGTAGCAAATAAAAATAATACGCTGAAATTAAAAGAGAGTGAGGAAAATAAGAATGACTGATACGATTGGATTGATGGGACTCTACTGTATCTGATTGTCACGGGGGCCGTTCAGGCTGAGGCTGAGGCTGGAGTGAGGCTGAGTTTGCCCAGCCCAGCCTCGTGTTTTTCGAGATGGAAGATAGACATCACAACATCAATACACAGATACCACACTTGGATTCTGGGTTCTGATTCATCTATACAACATACATGAATTGCTATTTTTCCTTTTTGGGATATCAAGTAATATCAATGTAAGCTACAGGACATATAAGTCATCCAGTGTGGAGGTGCTACTCGAGATGTCACACCTGAATTCAAGGTTCTCTCGAGTCTCTCTGGAGTTGGTTGATACTCAACCTTGAATCATCCACTCAGATCAAGCACAACTCGTCCCTGTAGTTTGCCCTTATCCATCCTCTCAAACACTTCCGTCAACTTATCCATCGGTTGAACCTCAAAATGGGTCTTGACCACGCCCCTAAGACACACACCACTTGATCAGCCTTGCACTCGAGAGGATCCAGAAGAACGAGGCAAAGATAGATTCAACTTACCTGGCCGCCATATCCAGCGTCTCCTTGGCGTCTTGTCTGTTGCCGACCGCGGATCCAACAATTCTCAACTCCTGCGCCAACATTGCAGCAGGGTTCGCGGTCGCAATGGGAACCGATGGGCCTTCGGGCACACCTACGCAGACCAGCGTTCCCCGGAACTTGAGGAAGCTCAGTCCTTGGGCATACGCGACATTACTGGCCGTGCAGACCACCACGGCCGCGACACCAGGTCCCCCAGTGATGGCCTTGACATCCTCCACCAGCTTCTTGGTCCCCTCATCGTCCCGACTGTAGTTAGCTAGGTTGAGGAACTTCTCTGCTCCACAGTCCTTAACCAACTGCTCCTTCTCGCCCATATCAATGCCAATCATGCGGAATCCCATGCCGCGAGCACCAATCTGCAGAGCCAAGTGGCCCAAACCACCACCCGCACCAGGAATCACCACCCAATCTCCCGGCTTGGCTCCAGACTTCCGCAGCGCACTGTACACCGTCACGCCACCGCACAACATCGGCGCCGCCATGTCGCTGGCCAGACTATCCGGGATGGGCGTCACATAGTGGGCAGGTGCCAGGGCGAACTGCTGGAACGTGCCGGGCGTGTAGTACCCGCTGATCTTGGCTGATGTGCAGTTCGCATCGGCCCCGACCAGGCACGGTTCGCAGTTGCCACAGGCTGAGGCAATCCACTTGATACCTACACGGTCGCCGACTTTGACATTGGAGTTCTCGGTTCCGGGCCCCAGTGACGCAACGACGCCGACGCCTTCATGCCCTCCGACTTGGCCTTGGGCGGTGGGTGCGGGTAGCCAGGCCCAGGAGTTGCTGTTATCCGTGTCAGCCATATCATATAATACCCTGTCATATGGACGGCGGAGTAGAAAGAGGGCGAGCTAAGCATCTGCAAGCAAAACCTACCACATGACGCCCATATCCGAATGACAGACACCGGTATGCGTCAAATTGACCAACACCTCTCCAACACCAGGCTTTGGTGTGTCAATCTCCTCGATCTTGGTCGAGATCTTACCAGGACTGTCGTACACCAAGGCCTTGTGCCTGGAGGGAACCTCGACTGAACCCATGTTGTCCTTTGAAAGATGATGTGATGTGATCTTCGCACTGCTGTCTAGTAGATAGAAAAAGACCGAGTATATGATAGTCTAGACTTTCCCGCAGATGGATGTCTATATGTATCTAGGTAGGCAACCAGCTAGGTAGGAGAGGAAAGAGACAAATTAATCAGTCCAACATTTATCAAGACAGTCTAATCAGACTTGCCTGACTACCTCATCCTGACCTCGAAGTGTTAGTTGTAACCCAAAACTCCCCTCCCCGACCTACCTTGCGTGGGGTTGTTCCAAGAGCCGACCGCCGCTGGATTGGAGACTCGATCTTCTCCACACTGGGATTCGCATTGATAACCAAAGGAAATGCAGCGCCCATGTCGAGTCAGCTCTTCTGGTCAGTATCAGTACATGACCCTTGACTCCATTGGCACCGAGTACCGATGACGCTTGCCGACTTGTCAATATCCAAGCTCTGGGTGGAGGACCTCACTGAAAGCGACAAAGATCGTACGGATTACGGATTGCTATCTTACCTCGGCTGCTCTCTCATCCAAAGTTTGATGCGCCTTACCCCGCGAATAGCATCCCTCGTGACGAAATCGATCCAGGCTGGATTTTAGGTGGGGTACTCGTCGTTCTTGTTAGAGGGAGTGCTCTCAACTATGGGTGCTTCTTCAAACGTATTGCGTATTTCGTATGAATTAGGTACATAGGTGCCTACTGAGTGTGGTCTAAAAGTCCAATCACCGGGATCCCATTCTTCCTATTGCCGTCGTTGACACGCTCTAATAATCTCGAATACATCTGATTGTTAATTGTGATCGAATGATTAATTAATGCCGGACCCGAAATACACCTAGACTGTACTACCTCTAGTTTGCTCGATAGGGCTGTGACTGTGACTGTGGCTGGATTCATGGACAGCCAGCTGAGCAGTAGCATCGAGATAGGTGTGGACAAATTCATAAATTCCTTCTCACCACGTTACCTCCCATCCAAAGCGCCGACATTGTATGACCCAATTGAATGAATCCTTGAGGCGGAGTATCTCTGGCTGGTAGTTCGAAGAATTATACGCCGCCAACACCGAAGCACCCCCACAGTGAAAGGCCAACTTTGTTCTCACCTGCTTCATAAAACCTCCTCACTTTACGTCCGCAAATTCTCAACTGTTGACAACATTGCACAGGTCTTTAGCACAACCAACGGTCCTTCTGAAGAACTGGCCGTATCTTGTATGGCAACTGAAATAGCCAATGTCAAGCACATTGTGCGTATCATGATAAGCCCCATAGCTCATCTCGATAGACCCGTGGAGCTCCTTTGGCGAGCAATGAGCCATGTATGTGGCGTAGCTTGCGACGGGTATCCGCATCTTTGAAGGTGACGGGCGCCAACGATCCGATCTTTTGCAGAGCCCGAATGATAAAATCGGGTCCATCTAGCTGACGCGGTGGGCTATGGATGAGACAGTGGTACAGACTGATCTCTCCTTCGCCTCCAGATAACCTTCTCCGCCTGGTGCTAGAATTGTAAGGATCCTCGTCTCTGGAACAGACGTCCCGCAAGACCGATATTAATGCCTGTGTAAGGTTGTTGAGCACATCTGCAGCATTCTCCTGATCGTTGTGCAAATCCCTCTCCAGATCACTGTCCAGGTCGTCGTGTGCTGATCGTGACAGAGCAAGTATGTCTCCCGCAATCTCCAAGACAAGCCTCCTCCTCAGACTCTTCTCAGCTACCGCTGGCACCTCACGGTCGTACCTCTGGATTTCACGCCGGAGGAGACGATTGATCTTCTGACCAAACTTTCGAACTCGCACTCCCGCCGGCTCCAGGTCAGTGAGGACCCCATATGTAAGTGGATCGTGACATCCCTTCTGCATCAGAGACCCCAGAATGTCGTCACCAATGACCCATTCCGACGACGGTCGCTGGGACTGCTCCTCGTCTATTCTCTCGAATATATCTGGTCTATATCTTGATGGAACCAAGTCCCGGTCGAATGAGGCCAACACTGCTCGCACCCTTCGCTTCCTCTGTCTCAAGTCCGATGCGGCGAACCGCATATCGTTGAGAGAGAGTTGAGAGAACTGTTCTGTAGGACTTGCCATTTTCTGAGAAGACGCTCACACTACCCAGGAAGCCACAGCTCTTAAACATCGCGGCAGGCTAGACTCGGGATTGCCTTTAGACAAGCTCTTCCGGGACTTTCCAAGACCGCATGGTCGACTCTTGCATTATCGATTTCCTTAGTAGCGACCGACCTGGGTGAGTTAACAGTCCTATATTCCTGGTCGAGCATATTCCGGCGAATAGACGCAGGCGGTAGCTTTCTGGACACATCGTTATGATACCTGATGTGGGCATTCTACTTGGAAGCTTGTCACCAGGACCCACTTGATACGGTGAGAGCCGCATTGAGTTGCTCTCGGAAGTTTGTAGTTTGAGCCTGTTCTCGCGAGGCGTACTCTGCTCCGCTTTAGTACGAAGGCAGAATCACTCCCAAGCAGGGTCATGTTCACAAAGCCAGTGTGAAAAAGGGGCGAGCCCTGGGTCACGTGCAGTCGGCTGCAGCGGCCGGCGGTTGCACCACGACCTGCCATTGGTCAGAATTGCACTTCTCAGAAGACTGCAGTGGGATATCAAGGCCCAGCGAGACTAGATCAAAAGGAAGAGTATCAAAGTGACCTACTGGTCGCAGACAATAGCTTCGGCTGCGCTTCTTGAGTATGCTAACCCTTGTCCTGCTACTTCGTCTTCACAACCATCCTACCGACCACATTCATCATTGGGTTATCTCCCACCAACTGTAAGGCGAACTGGTCGTGCGGAAAAACCCTCAAGGCTGCAGGCATTGGTCTGACTGGCAAGATCCGCAATGCGAAGTGTACCGCAGGGGACAACATCACAGTCAGGGAAATCGGAAAGCATCACAGGCTGGCGAAGGTGGCCATGACGCTGCGTACAACCGCCTAGGAAAGGTCGGTAATATGCAAGGACACTTCGGGAATGCACGAGCTTATTTGAAGCTAGTCAAAATATGCCGCGATATGTCCGCTGGTTGAAGACATGGTGTTTGTGTCCGGTACCCAATAAGTGCACAAGGATCCGTGCCCATCACAAGCCCATGCTTTGCCAGGCCGCAGCTATCAATCCAGGAGTGCCGGCTGCTCTTCCGCGAGCGAATTCACTTCAAACGACGCGGTAGATTGACATCCGCTGTCTTCCCGAACTAGGCTAAGATGGAGGGGGGATTTTTGCGCTCATCGGCTTGTGCCAAATGGCTGAAGCGGTCGACGAATCATTGAGCATTTCTGGATCTCCAAGGTCGAGCACGAATGTGGGACGGATCGGTCCACGCGTAGAGACCGTACTCTTGGTCGATCGAGCTCTCGCTTCCGCACCGGCAGTCTCCGTTGTCACACAAGATATGCCCGAGGTGTGCTGCAGGAGCTTCATTATCGAATCATGGCTACCGAGTGCAACGGTCTGAATGAGCAGCTGATCTTGGCCGTCCGTTTCTCTGACTGAAATCAGTCATTCGTGACGTTGATATGTCGGATTGGAGGTAAGGTAGGGTATGACTGCTGGGAGCGGATTGAACCCTGGACTACGATTGAATATGCATGAACGAGGGCCCCATATTAACTGGCCGGCAAGAACGGACACCCACCCGCACTCGAGTCATTCCAAGCAAACGTCCAGAGTCATGCTTTTTCAATAGTAATGGCTATGGCGAGCACGAATATTGCAAGCACGACCTAAAAGGATTTAGTCAGTGATGAATGACACATATCACCAAGCAATCACTTAACTAGAGTTGTCAGGGTTCCAGCACATTTAATCTCCCATCCACCAGCTACTGCATTACCTCGCGCCATTTCACTTTGGAGGCGGAGATATCGAATGGCACCCAGAACGGAAAAACAAATTGCAGAGATATGGCATACACAAGAAAGTGGTACGCTGATGACAAAATAGCCCAGTACTGGATTTGGGGTAGGACTATGCTGCAAACGCATGAGTTGAGCAATCTGACCAGCAGGATACGTCAGTACAGATTGAATAGTGATATGGAACTCGGGTTTCTCGTGGTTCAAAGGTAAGCTTACAATGACACCGAGCATTGCAAAGGCCTGGCCAGTTCGGAGGTAGCCGAGATAGGTTCTTTCGTTGGCTGCATTTCCGGAAAGACCAGGGTGACCATCAGAAAAAATGAGGTTTGATGGCAAGACCAAGATGTCGGAATGAGTGCAGAAAGCATACCTAGATGATCACGGCAGGCAACATGAGGGACAGACATGAAAATGTGTCTTTTCCACCATCTGGACAACTTGTTGGAGCCATGACTAGTTCCAGTGATGGTTGGAAATATAGAGGGATTATTTGAGTCATGGAGTTCTAGAGCTTCCTGGTCTGAAGCTGTGGACAAAGTCCTGGCCGCAGAAAGAATACTGCTCGCATCGTGGGTATCATGATTGTGATGGCCATTCTCAGCCATCTACACTGACAGGAAAAACGAGTGAGATGTCCACAGGATGATGTTGGGTCTTTCGACCTCGTTCACTTACCTACCTAGTAGGAAAAGTACGAAATATGTGGTAGATCGATGCCGTTAGGAAAAGGCTTGGATGATGGTTGCCCAATTGGCAGACCTGACTTTTGCAATCGCTTGATTATGCAGATGGCATTGTGTCAGGATGCAGAAGCAGGATTAGGCGATTATTCAAAACGTGGACTTGGGTTGGTGATAGGATGATGCCAGATGATGCCTGAGGCGTGATTCCAGGATTTCGAAGGTGCAATGTGGGAAAGAGCGACACGAGGATCTTTGAGTTCTTGGGGAAGGCATGACGTGGTTGGTGGGAACCCGGTGAATTGCTCCTTCCCTCGGCAACAGCCTGGACGTTGGACTTGCTTCACCAATAACCAAAGCATAAGCAACACCTAGAAACCATCCTCGAGCTGTTAGTTAGGCACTAACCAGCACTCGCCTAGGCGCTATCCGGGGGCTTGAATGCACTATGACGGCACCGGAGCGGCCCAGCTTGACCTAGGTCTCCTTCTGCTTCTTGCCAGCCACGAGGTTTGATATGATCGAGTCCCAGACTCCCAGCCTCCTCCCTCGGTTTCAACATTCTCACAATCTCTATTCCAGGCCTGTCCTCAGAATATATAGCCCTTCTCTGGAACTAACTTCCTCACCTTTTACTTTAGTTCTTTGCCTGTGCTCCCTCTTTGTCAACTCTCTGCGGGCCCCGCCTGGTCAATTCTCCTCCCTGGTACCGAGTCTCCAGACAATCCAACCCACGAGGTGACTAGCCACCCTGCGCTCCAAGCTCCATCCAACTCGACCCGGTTGCCTTGCTCAAGATGATCGGTGGATTTCTTTTTGCCTCATGGCGAATCGCCGAGATCATTACCCTCATTCCAGTGATTGGTATGCTGGTAAGTCACTCTTCACCGCCCACATTCCCCGCTTGGGCTCACAATCCCATCAATAGGCTTGGTTCGTTCATGGCTTCAATGAGAACAATCAATTGACCCCCAACTTCATCCTCGTTCTATTCATCGTTGCGATTCTTGCCTGCGCCTGGGCCATTGCGACACTTGTGCGACTCGGTTCAACTAGACGGTCGGCGCTTTTCGTGGCCTTCATCGACCTCTGCTTTGTCGGCGCCTTCATTGCTGCAGTCTGGTATCTGCGTGGTATCTCCAGAGCAGATTGCTCCAACTTCTCCAGCGGCTCCATCTACATCGACCTTGGTCCCTTTGGCTATTATGGGCGGAGCAGTGGTTCCTCGTGGGCACTCAACATCAATAAGAACTGCGCCATGCTCAAGGCTTCCTGGGCATTTGCCATCATGAACACCATCTTCTTCTTCATCACATTCATTCTCGCCCTCTTCCTGCACCGTCATGAAAGAGTGGTCGTGACCAAAGAGGTTCGAAGAAGACACAGCCACGGCAGCAGGAGAGGCCATTCACGCTCGGGATCAAGAAGAAGTTCTAGCCGTCGTCGGTACTACGTTTAAGACATTCACATGCGTCTACTGACGTCTTCCACGCAATAATGGATACTTTGCAGATGAAAGACTGCTCCCGAAGAATTGAGTTAACGAATTTCCTACTTTCTGATCGACGGGGGATGGAGATCCGTGTATAAGCGATGCAGCGAGTTTCTTGCAACTTGAATTGATGATAATGCCATCAACATTTCCCTTCCTTACTCGCTTTCTGGGGATTATCCCGTCGCTGAGCTATGCAGCTATGGCAGATGGACTTCAAAGTGGATATGATAGCGACGGAAAGAGCAAAATCTACCGAGATACACATGCCGGGTAGTTCACAGCACTACCGAACTAAATTCGTATTTGATTGATAATTTGGAGAAACATTCAGATGAAACAATTAGATGAAACAATTAGATTCCTATGCGCCTTCTAGCATTTGGCCGTGTTTCGGCTTTTCCTCAACACCTCGTACCTTGCAACTGTATGTTTGCTGAACCGTGTTGATCTCTAGAACGGCGGCCTGTGACTGTACAATAAATGTCGCTTTCCCGGCTTACCAAATCAAAACATACTATATGTACAAGGAACTTAGCCTAGTGCACGCATAGTCATTTCAACCCTTGATATCATGGTTAGCTTGAATTCCAAGACAGCGACAGTTTTGTAACTCACACTGCAAATGTCCCTGCGCTCACAGGCATGGCTCGGGCAAGTGTGGGTCCAATACCCTTCCAGAACCCACGAGCACCCTCGGCTTGCCACGTCTTTGCGAAACAATCACGCATGGTCTTGTACTTCTGGTCCTTTCCGAAGCCATCGCTCTGCATTTTGCTCTTGATGACGTCAAACGGATAACTGGCAACCCAGAGTGCTTCACCAGCTAGACCACCATAGAAGGCGACCTTTGGGGATGAAATCTCGGAGCGCTGGACGTTGTTCCGCTTCATGTCTGCGTTCATTAGATATTCAAAGGTCAAGAACCATACACCATAGGCTTGTGCCTCGCGATATAGGGTGACGGCCTGGCCGCGATAAAGTCCTCCAAAAACGCCACCCCCAGCGGACAGCTTCTTGATACAGTCCAACGGGCCATTGTATAATCTATTGGCGCCGTGAGGCTGAGTCTGCAACCTGATTCTTACATGTTCGATGGGTCCAGAAAGCACCGAATTGGTCAGGCCTGCGAACGCGCCAGCGAGATAGTACTGCCCATATGACAAGGTAGCGGGTCCTGCAGGGTTGGCATGCAGGTTCCGGTCTTCGAAGACTCGTCGAGCATAATGAAAAGCGCCGAATTGAACAGAGACGCAAGCGCCAATCCCGATCAGGGGGGTTAAAGTGCCTTTGTAAAAAGCCAGAGGCCCTTCATTCTTGAAAATCGAGGACGCACATGCTAGTGCATTAGGATATGTTGATGTTGTTTGTAACCGAACCTTGATGATGTCTGCTGATATGAGAAGACGTCCTCCAGATGTGATGTCCAATTGAGAATGAGCTTACCAAATGGCTGGCCTATGTCGCATAGTTAGTGGCTGATCTCTTCAATTATCCAAGAGCAAAGCCCTCCAGTCGCACCCAGATATACCATTGGACAGGATATTGCAATGTCAATCCCAAGATTGCTACCAGCAAGACTCACCGAGAAGAACTTGAGCAACACCCCCAGCAGCACCGGAGGCCAAATCTTTGGCCGTTCTAGCCCAGCTACCAATCTCGGCCTCTTTCGCTGTAATGTTGTCGACGTCTCCCATCTTGGGAAATGGGAATGGAAGCTGTCCTCTCCAACTTCTTCCAATATAACTTACCCTGCTCAGCTCCTTCTCATGACCTGAAGCTGCGTTGTAAATATGAGCAGGAATGTTGTGACTTGAATATTTATTGCTCGAGCTTTTTCTCCGGGCACGCAATTATTCTATACGACGCAATGGCGGGCGGGACTTATTGCCTAATCAAGGATCAATTTACATTAAACTGCGTCTCTCTGTGAATACTCTACCGCTTGTCTTTGCCATTCAAGCTTGTGGAACAATCTCGGCGCAAAGTGCATCTTTCACTCTTCATGCTTCGCCGTACAGGACCAAAAAAGTTCTGGTCGGGAATCGGGATGCGCCATGGTGGTCACTATCATCAAATCGCAATCACCCGATATGTGCTTTCACGCTCCTTGAACCATCAACGATTCCCAGTCGGTCAGCTGCGAGACATCGGTTCTGGCACTACAGCATGCGTAAAGCCCTAAGTCAAAAGGTATCCCTGCATTGTCCGATCCTATCAATCAAAGGTCGCTAACAACTCCGCAGCTGCTTCTTCCTCGACAAGATCTCTGCTTCCTTTGCGCCTTTCGCTATGCCCTCAGACCACCACCTGCCCATCGGACTCCAGTAGCCCTACGACGAGCTTACCAGTCATCCGCAACTTCTCGTCACCCCGGCGTTGCAGCTGCCCTCCGCGTCGAAGATGAGGACGATACTTCCTCTTCCCATCGAGGAGAGTTACTTGGCTGGCGGTGTCAATGCAAGCATGTTAACAAACCCAGGAGAACCGACTGTACAGTATGTACAACTCCACGGCCACAGAGACCACCGCTTGTTTACGAAGCAGACAACCCACCTCCTCCGCTGCCACCTCCTGTTGCCCCATGGCCCACGCCACAAAGTAAACCCCTCCCCGGATTAGACGGCAGGAGTCCGCCTCACTCCTCCCTCGCTTCGATTGATCAGTCGCCTGCCCGATCCAGTCCATCGGTCTCGGAAAATGTTCTCGGGATACTAGGAAGCGCACCCGATCGAGGTAATCGGCCCTTTGCGGAGAGATTTGGGAATAATCAGAGTGGGAGGCGAGGAAGATTTCAACAGTCTGATGCTGCTTGGCCGGAATCGCGATTCAGTCGTAGGCCTCCAGTCGAGTCCAGGTATAGGCAACAGAATTCGTCTGAGTCGCGAGATCCGGTTTCCAGAGATCTGCCTTTCCCGGTTCGACGTGTGACCCCGCAAACTGAGGCACATGTGAACCCTGGACGCTACCCTCCCCAGCGAGGAAGCAGGGATGAATCTTTTCCCCTCGCGTCCGAGAGACCCCCTCGTTTCAGAGAGCTGCAGAACAGGCCAGGTAGAGATCCTGCTTTTGCCGGGCAGTCCCGCGTTGAAGGCTTCTCAGAACGTACTGGCATTAGCCGGCCGCCGATTTCTACTCAGCCCTTGCAGCAACCCGAGCTTGCCAGTAAGAGGTCAACAAATCTTCAATGGACCCCCATGGGTGGTAGTGCCCCCAGAGAGAGGGAACTACGAGATCGAGCCGCTAGGGATGAATCACGGGTCAATTACCCACATTCACGGAACGATGATCGTGTTGGTCAGAATGATCGATATGGTTTCGAAAATCGCAGAACTTCTCAACGAGGCTCTGGCGAATCTTGGTCTACCAGAGCCAGAACCGGGTCTCGATATGAACCTCGTGTTTTGTCAACCCCTGGCGTGGAAGCGGTTGAAGAGCCCGACCTCTCTGCCGAGTTTGATGTGAATAGCGTGGAGGTAGACAGCAGCGATTACGACAACCTCAGTCAAAGTGCGCGTAGACGTGCCATGGAAAAAGCCGCGAACCGCCGAAGTCGTGTTTACGAAATCGAAGAAGCTGAGGAGCCCATGCCATCCTTCCGCAATTCTTCCGTTCGAGGCCCAGAGAGCAGAGACCGAAGGAGCAGAATATCCCGCACGATTGATGACGATGACGATGACGATGTTTACACGCCCAAAGCACTTCGTGTTTCGAAGAGCTCTCAAAAGAAATCTTCTTGGGGCAATAACCACGAGTCTGAGGCCTTTTCCCAGGGTGGAGTTCAGTCACGCAGCCGGCAACGGGTCAGCAACAAAGTCAAGGCTCAAAAGGGAGCTGCATCACATAGCGTGGTTCGTCCCGAAGTTCACTTACCCGAATTTATCAGTGTCGAAAAGTTAGCCCAGGCCTTGAAAGTCAGACTCGATCCATTCATTGCTCAGCTAGAAGAGGAAGGATTTGAGGGTGCAAGGTATGATCACATCCTCGATGCTAGCACTTCCGCCATGTTTGCAGATCTCTATGGTTTCGAACCCATCATACACACTACCGAGGATGGAAAAGATCTTGTAGCGCGGCCCCTGCCAGAGGACATGTCTGTCTTGCCGCCTCGACCTCCCATTGTTACAATCATGGGACACGTCGACCACGGGAAAACCACCATTCTTGATTACCTGAGGAAATCCAGTGTAGTTGATTCTGAGCACGGCGGTATCACCCAACATATTGGTGCTTTTTCGGTCACAATGCCTGGGTCAGAACGGAACATTACTTTCTTGGATACGCCAGGACATGCTGCTTTCTTGGACATGCGTCGAAGAGGCGCCAACGTCACAGATATCGTCGTTCTAGTCGTGGCTGCGGATGATGGGGTGATGCCTCAAACCATTGAAGCTATCAACCATGCCAAGGAAGCCGGTGTGCAGATCATCGTTGCCATAAACAAGGTTGACAAAGAAGATGCCGATATTGAACGAGTCAAAGGAGATCTCTCCCGACATGGAATTGTGGTCGAGTCTTACGGTGGCGAGTATCAATCAATCCCGGTGAGTGGAAAGACTGGCCAGGGAATGGCTGATCTCGAGGAAGCCATTACTTTGCTTGCAGACGTAAACGACTTTCGAGCCGAAATTGATGGGCCTGTTGAGGGCTGGATCATTGAGAGTAAGGTGACGGCTGCTGGTCGCGTTGCTACAGTACTTGTGCGTCGTGGCACTTTGAGACCAGGTAATTTTATCGTGGCTGGTAACACATGGGCTCGCGTTCGCACGCTGAAGAATGACTCTGGTCAATATATTGAAGAAGCTCCCCCTGGAACTCCTGTCCAGGTCGATGGGTGGCGAGGCACAGATCCTGATGCTGGAATGGAAGTCTTGCAAGCCGATAATGAGCATCACGCCAAAGAAGTAGTCGACCTCCGCATTGAGAAAACTGAAGCTATGCAAGCCACGACAGAGGTGGCATCGCTGAATCTTGCACGGACTGAAGAAGCAGAAGCCCGAGCCAAAGTTTTGGAATGGGAGAAAGAGCAAGGCTATCACCAACTCGGATACAAGGCGAGACCTCAGGACAATGAGGGGTGGGTAGAGAAAGCATCTGCTGGTCCCCAACGAGTGCACTTCGTCATCAAAGCTGACGTTGCTGGGAGTACGGAAGCTCTGGTTCATGCTGTAAGCGCGATAGGCAACAGTGAAATCATGGCGAACATCGTCCATAGCGGTGTCGGTGAGCTTACGGAATCCGACATCAAAATGCTTGCAGCCACGGGCGAAGGTGGTTATGCCATCTCCTTCAACCAATCAGTCGACAACTCAATCAGACGACTGGCCGAGGTAGCTGGACTTCCAATTTTGGACCATAACATCATTTACAAAGTCACGGATGATGTCACGGAAAAGCTTTCGGCTGCGCTACCACCGATCGTCAGCCATCGTGTGCTTGGAGAGGCTGAAATCGGACAGTTGTTTGATTTCACAGTCAAGAAAAGGGTGATAAAGATTGCTGGATGCAAAGTGACCAATGGAACCATCAGCCGGGCCCAAGCTGTGCGAGTTCTGCGGCATGGTGAAGTCATCTATACTGGTAAGTCATCTATTATCCATATTTTACTCTCATTGTACTGAGAAACAACCACAGGTATGCTTGAATCGCTGAAACACATCAAGAAGGATGTTACGGAAATGCGCAAGGGGACCGAATGTGGAATGGCATTTGAACACTGGGAAGATTTCCAAGAAGGCGACCAGGTCCAATGCTTCGAGGAGATCAAAGAGAAGCGGACCTTGTGAAGTCACTAAGCTTTACCGGTCCCTAGGTTTCATCCAAAGGCGCGCCTTTGTCGTTACAAACAAACCCGTCAGAACATGTTCTCACCATGCCTCAATCAATCCCCTCTGATATCAACACATCAGGCGCTTTCATTCTTCATGTCCGACCACCATACTCTGACTGCAACGGTCACTGACGCCTGTGCTTGTGGTGCCAGGTACCTTGGTGTATTTGAAGCAGTTGCAAGCATCTAGTCCTGGATGGCAGTCAGCCATCCAGGATGATAAATGAGCACTCAAGATACATCCTTCAACCCCACAGTTCCCAGCTCCATCATATCGACTTCTTTCCGATATAATACTCTGGGTATGTCGTCTTATAGCCAAGCACCCAACGGCCCAGGAATGCCATACTGATCAAGAAAAACCGGCTCACCCAGATACCGAGCCATTCGTTAGGTAATGGTAGGGCTAGTGGGGTGTCGGCTTTGTGGAGAAACACAATCAATTGGAAGAAGCTTGGAGCGATTTGGTGATTCTTGCAATCATCTAGATATCCGAAGAAATTCCTGAAGAATCGTTGTTCGCTGTCATGATCCTCTGGGTCCAGCTGAACATCCATGATCAGATCCTCAGTCCTCGATCCATTCTCGAAGCGATGATACCTGCACGGCTCCACTGCGGCGGAGCTTGAGTCTCCATCTGCTGATAGCGTCGCCCACGGTCTCGACCCAATTCCGCGCCAGAAGATTCCTTGACCCGACAAGACTTGGAATCTCTCGGTCTGCTTGATATGGTAGTGGAATGGTGGTTCCAAGATGCTTGCGCCATGTTCCTCTGTGGTTGGTGGTATCGTATGTCTCATGGCATATTTTGACCCCGCGCCATGGAAGAACACCTGCGACCTCCCTCCCTCGTACACTACCGGATTCTTGGCTGCATTGTTTGTTCGGGGCGGATTCGTCCCACGTAGAAAGGAAAGCATATAGTACTCCCTCCTCTTTCCCAATCTTGTTGTTTGTGTATTTTTAAGTGTTCTAAGAAAGGATTGCAGATCTCAGCAATTGTTTATGATGTAAGGGGTATGGTTGAGTGATAGAGATATGCAGAGAGGTTTGCTAGAGAAAATCGAGACGACTGAACCAGTCGACTGATGGACGGGTTCAAGGCTGTATTATTTCTTCAGATGAGATTCAAGGGGCATGCATTCCAAAGCTCTAAGAAATCAGCATAACTCATTCTAATATACATTTTGTACATTATCCTGTCTGGGTGACAGTAATCGCCTTGGTTAGTAAACAAATCAGCTTGAAGACACAAATCATCACCTCCACCTGGCTCGCTCTTCAAGTTTGTGCAACCCACTGGCACTGAAACATGTGAAATTTCCATCTACAGGAAACCCACAGCATCGAGAAATGCCCGAACTAGAAATACCTTCATAACAACTCCATGATATCTCAGTTTGCTGGTTATATCTCCCGATCTGCAGGCACACTAGGCGTAGGTTACCAGTGTCCTAATCGGGAAAAATCGGATGTAATGGTAAATACATTGGTTTGAGGCACCCATGAGGCTAACAATCCCTTAGCTGAGTCAGATTGGACGGGATCTCAATAATCTCATGTATGCTTAACGTCTAAGAGTAGATGCTACTTAATATGATCACGTAGTTGTTAGCACCTAGATTCCAGAGGTCAGCTTAGACATCCAGCGGGAAATGAGTAGGGAGAAAATAGACAATTGGTGCGCGGCAACGTTGATACGCTTACGAGTGCAGCCGACACGAAGGAGAACACGACGAAAATCAGACGACTCGCATCAACTTGCCCCCTGGAGACTAGGCATGAAACCCGCCGAGGCTGAACACGAATGACAGGGGTCTCGTTACAAGCTGTACGAGTACATGCATGGTATGTTCCAACCTGGTTACGACTGCACCCACCAGGGAGGCGAGCGAGAAAATAAGCATTGGGAAGTACATTTGCTTGGTTAAAGCTTGAGTCGAGGTGCATATTTGAGGAATGTCTCTTTTTCTTTACGCTCAGCTCGGGCACGGCGTTTGTAAAGCTTCTGGGCCAATAGTTTGGAGCGATGCCTCATCCTTCGTGTTTTGGTCAATTGCTTGAAGAAGGTAGTGATGGTGCCAGAATCACCAGCTTACCGTGAGCGAGTACATTCATTTATTCGTTCCATGACAGCCTTCCTAGCACATCCCTGCATCAATGAATGCCTGTCCACATGATACAATCGCCTCTTCGTTCGCTCTAGGCTTCCAGCCGAGCTCTCTAGCCTTCACGTTTGAGAACTCTTTTGGGGGGCCGAGCTCCGGGATCGCACCTTTCAACGAGGGCATGAAATAAGACAGAGCTCTCACAAAAAGATCTGGTAAAGTCCTGGTAGGGGCCTTGGAGGCTTTGTATCCCAGCCCTGCCTTCAACATACTACTGATTTCGATCAGGCTGACCGATTTTCCCGCAACACACAGATACCGTTGTCCTTTGGCTTTTTCATTCGAGGCTGCGAGAAGGTGCAACGTAGCCACGTCGCGCGCATCCACCACGCCGAACCGGATGTTTGGAACGGCTGGGAACCTACCCTGGAGCATGTCTTTGATGATGTCGCAGGTCGTGGATTCGTTTGGGAGAAGCAAAGCGGGACCGAAAATACCAACTGGATTCACTACAGTGAGCTCCAGACCACCCCCTTCCCGGTCGATGAAGTCCCAGGCAACCTTCTCTGCGAGGGTCTTGGACTTGGCATACGCCGTGATATAACTCCCCTTCCCATCTGGATCAGACCAGTCATCTTCGTCGAAGACCTTACCACTCATATACTTCGTGCCGTAGGATATCGCGACTGCTGATGAGGTCAACACAACGCGTCGTACTGTGCCGGATGATTTGGCAGCTTTCAGAACACGTAGTGTTCCGTTCACAGCGGGTTGAATTACTTCGTTTTCGTCTTTTGGCTGAATGCTGGGAAATGGCGACGCCACGTGTATGATGAGGGAAGCGCCATTCACGGCTTCTGCCCACCCGCTGTCGTTTAGTAAGTCGGCTGTGACGAAGGAGAGTTTCTGTACTTCGTCCGCAGTATTGGCCTTTTTGAGAGCCTGGATGATAGCGCTTCTTTTGCTCTCTGATCTGATCGTCGTGCGGACTGTGTAGCCTGCTGTAAGAGCCTGGGAGATACAGTGCAGTCCGAGGAAGCCAGAGCCTCCTGTCACGAGGACGATCTGATCAGTGTCGGGTTGCATTGGAGTAGTGTTCCTCTTGCTACAGGTCTCTTAGTTCAAAAGTATTGGTTTTCGAGGTGAGCTCCGGTGAAGGACTTGCCGTGGGGAGCGATCCGAGAAATAAGGGTCTACTCTCCCAGGAGATAGTTCGCCAGTTGGTGTTATAATTTCTCAGAAGGCTAGCAGCACATGGCTTGGGAACACTCGTACCAACACTCTCTCGGAGTGCAAACTCTGAGCTGATATTCACGAAGTTAGGCACCAATGATTGAGTTGAAGTTCAAACTTGAGGCTACCGGTATAAGTGGCTTCCATCTCTGTGGAGCTGAAATACCCATTGGGACTCGATTATGCATGCGGGTTTAGAACACGAGGTTGCTTGAGACTAAGTCGGGACAAGGGTCTAGGGTTGGTGGACTGAATTGAAGGTTGTGACAAAGTTGTGCCCAAGTTATACATGCTTACTTCTTTAACTAGATTAGAAATAAACTGCTTCAACATCGCGCCACTAAAGCACTAGCTTCTCAGCAGCCATGGCTTTGTTCCTAGTATGTGAATCGAAAGGATGGGTGATCGTCGCCCATGTTTCGCACTTCATCTGCTGACTCTTGCAGGCGGTAGTCCCTCTGGCCAGTCTCCCTCAATTTATTCTCCCTCATAAGAATGAAAAGCATTGCCGCACAAGACAAACCACACAGCCAGACACATGCTAGCCCCACACCGAACCCGACGGGGTAAGTTGGAGCCTGCTTGGGTAGGAAAATATTTCCCGCGATGATTCCCCCTGCATTACCAATGCCTAGTTGCATCGCGCTTCCAACAGCTCTCTTGTAGTGTCCAGCCAAGTTATTGCTCAGCCAAACAATCGTGATTGGTAAAGTTATGTATGAACCACTGGTAATGGCGAAGAGTGCAAAATAGCGTGCTCCTACTGGAACGGACATCATGGACAGCAAAATAGCGAATCCAACAGTTGTGATTAAGCAACCAAGCATGGCAAAGCCGAAACGATGCTTCAAGCGATCTGCCAACAGGCCTGTAGAGACAGACAAGACGCCAGCAACTGCAAAGATTGGGATACTCATAACTTGAGCAGACACTGAAGTATAACCCATCTGGTTGAGAATTGTAGGCGTGAAAAATGAAATAGAGTACGCAGTCGTGACTGTTCCCAGGTACGTAGCAGCACTGTGAAATATTTATCATAAGTCAATGTCTTTCTCGAGCCCAAGCATAATATCAAATTGTTCAGGACTGGAGCGGTATACAGGTGTTTACTTACCCGAGGTAGATCTTGAAATCGGCGAAAATCCTGTACCCTGTCTTTTTGCTCCATACACTCATCTTTGCGTCTGCTGTGTCTGCCTCGAGCCTATGGATAAGGTAGGTGCGTTCCTGATGTGTGAGAAATTGTGCGGTTTCTGGCCAGTCTGGAATGATGAAAAAGCTGGTGATGGCTACAACAACTGTGAAGATGCCTTGAAATGAGATTGTCAACACAACTCTGAATCTAGAATGGCCATCTCACTACCTTCCAATATGAAAATCCACCGCCATCCTTCGTAGCCAGAGATACCTGACATGTGGGCTATGCCGTAGGCCAAAAGCCCACTGACGGCGCCAGCGAGGATGCTGGCCGAGAAGAAGATATTGACTCGCAGCTGTAGTTCGTGCCGGCGATAGTACATCGAAATGAGATATACACAACCAGGATAGAAACCGGCTTCGAAGACGCCTAGCAAGAACCGGCAAACGACCAAGCTTGCATAGTTCCGGCAAAACCCCTGACCGATGGTGACGACTCCCCAGGCGAATATGATGAAGCTGAGCCACAACCGTGGATTCGTGCGCTTCAGTATCAGATTGCACGGAACTTCGAGCAGGCAATACGGTACGAAGAATATGAACAAAGCCACGTTAAACTGATTTCCGTGCATGTGAAGAGATTTTTCGAGGCCAAGGATTTTCACGTTTCCAATGTTGATGCTATCAGAAAGTCAGTGGCCTTCTAGTTGGGTGAACGTTTGTTAATGGAACAAGGTTTGGCTTGTCCAGAGTATCTAGATTGTACCCACCGATCAGTAAATGCGCAAAGGAAAAGAACAGAAAGTATTGGGATGAGCCTATAGTCAATCTTCCTGACCAACTTCTTTTGTTCTTTTAGAGTATATGACTGAAGGATCTCATCATGCTCAGATCTGAGGGCTTCGACGGTAGTTGAATTTTCGAGGTGAGATTTTTCAATCTCAAGGTTGCTGGTCTGTGTTGCCATAATGCTGGAAGATTGAGACGAAGAATCCTTGAGACAGCAGAAGTGTAGAATGGCAATAGTTCTGTGAGAATTTGAGGTCTGTAGCAAGTATCAAAGCTTCAGCTACTGGACTCAAGGGGGCCGAGGCACCAATATATAGACGACGTCAAGAGCAGAAGCGGCTTCATCGAGGCTTGCCCTACTTCCGTACTCAAGAAATCTCCTCATGGGGATCAAGGGAGAGGATCACTTACTGAACTAACCACTTCGACCAGTTCTAGATCTGTTCTCGCTGAAGGGAGTGGCAAGCTTGGCGGCATATGAATGCGTACTATCAAAGTCTGGGCCAGGTCTCGATGATCGGCTTCAGACCAAGGCACTTGCTTCATACGAACTTTCGTGATCCTCATCCGGGATCATCAGCTCTACCCGTGGTTCCGAGTTGATCACAATCTTTTCCAACTACTCCCATCACGATGGCGGGAAGGCCGGGAGCGGAGGACGATAGCCTTCGGGAAGCCTCCCGACTGTGACATTCTATTCGTCCGACAGCACTACTCTCAGCCGAGCATTTGAATTACAGAACACGCCTTCTAGTCGTTTGTCGACTAACAGTCTGATGCTTCTCATCCCTGTGCCCCACGCATTATTTACTGACCCATCGTGCCGAGTCCGGTGGCACCATGAAACCCGCAATATCAATTATATCAGACACAAGGCTGCCGACCATGAGCATCTAGAAGAGTGTAGTGGTTATTGCACAAGATGAGCTCCGTTAAGCTACTCAAGACCCCTCGACAGGCCTGTTTAATGATTTCAGGACTTCGTTCCCTACATGGCGTTCCACAAAGAATCCGGCAACGACGGATACACTGCCCTCAACATCCACTTCAAATCCCAAGGCGACCGTTCCATTCTACACGACACCAGCCTCTTGTCCAAGTAGTTCGAGAAATACCTATTCTAAAAGCGCTGACCATTTCGGCTGCTTGCGTTGGCTTGACAACGACCGCGTTTCTGCTGTATAATAGTGCCGGTGATGGAGCTTTGAAAGGAAGTGCGGCCAAGTCCACTTATGCTACGAAAAAGGAGATGGAAGAGGTAACAGACCATGAATTATTCTAGAAATTGACATATCAGCTGATGTGACTGGATGCTATCAAGGCAATTCGAGCGATTGAGCAATCTATTGGAGAAGACTCGGTTAGCATAGACGATGAAATTCTTCGCGCTCATGGGTATTCTGAGTGGGCAAACCACAACATCGATAAGCTCCCAGTAGCAGTTGTTTTCCCGTCAACAACTGATGAAGTGTCGAAAATGGTCAAAATCTGTCAGAAGTTCAAGGTGCCTATGAGTAAGTTGGAAAAAAACCGAATACTTGGTAGATAAGAGGCTTTTCTGATGAAGACAAAAGTACCGTTTTCTGGCGGCTCTAGTATTGAGGGCAATTTTGCAGCTCCATTTGGAGGTATGAGCTTTGACCTGGTCAATATGAGCGGCATTGTCGAGCTTCATGCTACAGAGTATGTGCCTTTCCGTGGTGCGAAATTGTTTGCACGGGAATTCTTGCTGACACCGATTGCTCTCGATATAGCATGGATGTAGTCGTACAACCATCTCTATCATGGATGGACTTGAACGAAAAGCTCAAAGACACCCGGCTGTTCTTCCCCATCGATCCCGGCCCGACTGCCAGAATTGGCGGCATGGTAGGCACTAACTGTAGTGGAACTAATGCAGTACGATATGGAACAATGAGAGACTGGGTGGTCAATCTGACCGTCGTATTGGCGGATGGAAGTATCGTCAAGACTCGTCGGCGACCAAGGTAGCCCGTCATCCAAACAATCACGTTCCTCTGCTTATGTACTGACTCAAGAATTTAATAGGAAATCCTCTGCCGGCTATAATCTGTCCAGCTTGATTGTTGGTTCTGAGGGAACTCTTGGGATTGTTACCGAGATTACCCTGAAACTCGCACCAGTGCCTGAAGAGACGGGTGTTGGTGTTGTGACTTTCCCGACTATGCGGGCAGCAGCTGAAGCAGCTATTGATATTGTTCACAAAGCTGTACCAATTGGAGCAGTCGAAATTCTTGACGATGTGCAAATGAGTGTGATCAATCGGGCTGGAAACACTGACAGAACATGGCAGGAGACACCAACACTCTTTTTCAAGTTTGCAGGATCAAAGCATTCAGTGAAAGACACCGTTAGCCAAGTTGGCAGCATTGTAAAAGCAAGGGGTGGCAGTGATTTTGAATTTGCAAAAACTGAAGCGGAGCAGAAGAAATTGTGGTCTGCAAGAAAAGAATCGCTATGGAGCATGTTAAGCTTGAGGACTTCCGGGAGTGAGGTGTGGTCTACCGACGTGGCGGTCCCGCTCTCAAGGGTGGCAGACTTGGTCGGTAAGTAATACTTCCAAAGCTATTGGTTGCTCTAAATGTTCTTGAGGAAGAGAGAGAAGTCTAACATTCACACTGCAGAGGTGTGTAAGGAAGAAATGGACAGCCTAGGGCTTTTTGGCAGCATGCTGGGTCATATTGGCGATGGCAATTTCCATGAAACCATCTTATACGATGGCAATACCGAAAGGCAGAAGGTCGAGAAATGTGTACACGACATGGTACGACGAGCGCTGGAGATGGACGGTACTTGCACGGTAAGCCCTTCGCACCCTCCAAATGTAATCTTACCTGATTTCGAATCTTCAGGGCGAGCACGGGGTTGGTCTGGGAAAGAAGGAGTTTTTGTTAGAAGAGCTCGGAGCTGGAACATTGGAAATGATGAAAGCGATCAAGAGGGCATTGGATCCATCTTGGTTGATGAATCCTGGCAAGATTTTTGATGCTTGATATTGGTGCCGATATACCTTGGCGCAAATGCCACAACGTCTTATCATAATAGCCCGCAAGGACGTGTGAGTGGATCTCTAATTGAAGGTGACTCAACCATGTATGTGTATGTGGATCATATCCCCAACACCTAATCGCTGGCAAAGACATGGTCAAAGCTCTCCCATATCGATCCAGGTATTGTACCATCACCGAAGGTATTTTGGAGGTTGTGCATCAGCAGAGTTAGCTCGTTATCTTGTTCGGGTAAATGTGAAAACTCTACGCCTTCTTCTCCTCCGAAGCCGTTGTGAGGCTGCAGTGCTATATCCCAGTTTTCTGAGAATTGGTCCTCAAATTGACCTGGTGTCTGTGAATGATCTAAACCACTGGTTGAAGTATTTGCTGCTTGATTCATATGGTTGGATGGTTGGTCTGTCTCAATGGAAGAGTCCGGAATGAACTTGTTAGCCTCAAAACTGCAACATTGAGACCTCAAACTTGAAAGGGGCAAGGAAAGGGCAAAAACAAACCCTGATGTATCTCGATGGCACGCTGCCTAACTTTCTGCAATGTCAAGCCGCACTCGCCTGCCATCTTATGATTGCGATCGATGATGTCAATAGTTTCGTGACAACAATTCCAAAGGAAGTCGAGCCTAGATTGATCTATATGCTTTCTCATACTTGGGCTGAATTCAGCAAGGATCAGGATCATGCTAGCTGTTATTATGTCTAGCGCGACTCTTTGTTAGCTACAGAACTGTTCTCAGGTCTAGCAAACGCTCTGACTTACAGAATAAAGCATACCACCAGGCTCCGAATAGGTCTTCTTCGATCAGTCTGCTGAGTACTTCAACAAGCTCTCCTGCTGTATTGAAGCAGGCGAAAGCGCAGTGGGTGTCAAACGCAATACAAGCGCTACTGCGATCTTGCAGAGTCTCATACTGAGACGGCTGGCAAAATCTTGAGAAAGAAGGGCGATAGAGCATCAATTTGACGTGCAAGTATCTACTCAACACGAGCGTGAGCCGAGGTCAGTCGTGGAAGAATTCGAATATAGGGTTCTCACGTACCGTGAATGAAGGACACATCTTTGGCGCAAAAATTGGCGAGGCACTTCATTGTCATCGCCCCCTGCTTTGTCCCATCTCAATATGGGCGGAAGTTCATTGCAAAATGCCGAGAGAGAGGTCTCCAGGGAAGCAATAGAATCGAAGCTTGGTTCAGTATTCAACCGCTTCGAGAATCGTGCCACATTCTCGTTTTGCACTTGTGGTCGGTACAACATATGCAGAATCCGACCCAGAAGTTCACAAAGCTTTACATTTGATACTGCAAAAGTCGTACGCGAGACAGCACTTTCTGGTTGCAAACATTGATGTGGTTCAGTAGTAAGGTTCTCGTCATCAACAGCCGAGAATAGAGGGACTTTCAAGTCTCCAAGGAGATATGGCACGCGCCCCAAAGTCATGTTAACAATTCTGCATCTGCATTTAGTATTTTCGACTTCTCAAAACAAATATCTTCCTACCTGTCCATCAGCACACATCCGTGCCACGCTCGGCGCCGCATTTCGACCTCCAGTACAGTATATCCCGAGTTGTTGGCATCAAGATCCAGGCCCATACCTTGTGCCATCCTGAGAGCCAACCCAGCGATACCCCAGCATCGCATGAGGTACTGAGTACTCTGGAGGTAGATAGTCACAAGAAGTAAAGTTTGGATTGCAGCAAGACCATTATCCAGTAGCTTGATTTGAAGCAGCTCATAGACTTTTCCCATGAACTCATAAACAGGTTGTGCATCTCCCAGAGGGACGCTGGGTGAAAACTCGCATCCAAGAGCAAAGATCGTGTTCAGAGCACAATGAAAAAGCTCTTCCGGACAGTCTCGACCACCAAGACCAACACGTGGCAGTTCAGCATTACTATTATCTGCAGATGTACCAAGCCATAAGTCCTTGTAAGCGGCGTCGAACGTGGGGTAATGGAACCAAGGGTAGAAGAGATGGACCATCCCATAGCAACTGTCTAAAAGATGATCTGCTAGGGCTCGTGCTGGAAGAGAAAAACGGCGGAGGTCGTTTAGAGATGTGCCGCTACGAGCTGCAGTTGTCTTCTCGTATACACCTTGCCGGGATGGTCTCCCTGCAAGGGTTCTTGGATTTGCCAACCTTGGCGAATCCCACAAGACCTGTTGCTGTAAAGAGGCAATGGATGACTGGCCGTAAACCAAACCTTTCGGCGTTTGTGGGCGCGACTTTAGCGAAAGAAAAGCACCCATGGCGTTCATCAGGCTCTTTTCTTCCATCGAGCATGGCTTCGCGCTAACAGATTGTGAGATCACTGCCCTAGCGCGGCTATGTTCCAGCGCTTTCTGCTCCGTTGCAAGCTGTTCCTCCCGCTGGCTAGTAGTTTCTGTGGAAAGGCTCACGTCAAAGGGGTGTTGTTCCATATGTCCTGCGTCCAGAAGATCCATTGGGCTGAACAGAGCTGGTTTAAGCAGCAGCCACCTGCCGCTTTCAGTATCGTCGTTGCAATCCTCTAACCTTATCGTAGAGTGGCGCAACGATGTATGCTCTTCCCTTTGCCCACTCTGTACGCTAATACGATTTAGCGGGCTTAGAACGCTAGCCACGTTCAGAGGTTTTGTAGATTCTTCAAGTTGTTTGATCCGATCGTGGAGAGTTTTGATATATCTGAAGCATTAAAAACCCCGAGTTGAACCAACACACAGAGTGGAGTGTGGACTCACTGTCTTTGGCTGAGATTGTGATTAGAATTCGTGACTGTGCTATAAACACACTCTGACTCTTTCAGGCCTTTCTTTCGACACTTGTCGCACATCGGTTTAACGCCATTGCATCTAACCTTTCGGTCTCTGCAATTTTCGCATGCCAGTGGGACTCGAGTACGTTTGTGTTTTCCAATTTCGGTCCTGAGCATCTGAAGGAGATCTGATTAGTCTCTCAGCTTTCATTACCTCACAATTCATACCTCGTCCGAGGCAGACATTCTTGAACACCAAGGTTGGATCCTGAGTAAATGTAGAGAGGCTAAACATTAAGTAAACCAGCTGTAGAAATGCTGTGTAGCAACTGCTCGTAGAATTGCTGATGCTCAATATCATTCAATAATTTCCGAGTCTGACAAGTCTGGAGTGAGCTCATGGTTTTGTCAATTGAAGAGAGCAAGCATTACAAAAGAGCGAAGTCCGGAATATGCATAATCAATTCATGTTTGGTTTGTGACAGAGTTCCTTAAGAGTAGGTACCTGCCTAGGTAAGCAGGAGCATCGAATTCATGCTCCCCGCACTTTAGACCACCCCTCCAAGACCCTATAAGCTGTGGGATGGAAAAAGCCCAGGCAGAAACGAGAATCGGGTCCTGTGGAGCGCTACGAATAGCTCTAATCATTTCATTTTGGCCAAGGTACCTCCGGCGCGATCATCAAATGGCCGTTGTGGAGAAGCCGGGGCGACGGAAGGGTAAAATCCACCCGTTCTGTTTGAAGTGGTCTTTCCCCGGCTAGCAAAGTCAAAATGTTGATATAGCGACTGGTTTGCACATTCGAACCCCCGGACATGCAGCAACACCTGCAAATCTTAGATGGGATGATTCATTGCTATGATTAAGCAGAAACATCAAGATGGGTGGGTGTCTATCATTCGCAAGGTTTTAGACGTCGATAGACCATAAACCCGTGCATGGTCCAGCTCGGCCCGACAACAAGCAACTGCCGCTTCTGTAGTACAGTACTCGGTAGGCTTTCACGTCTTTGGCAAGGTTGAACGTCGGGAAGCACCCGATACATAACAAATGCCCCGGAGAAATACCATCATGACAAGCCGACCCGATTGTTGAGATTTATTGGGTGGATAACCGTTTCCGGGTCAAGGTCTGAGCACTTTGCCAGAACAGAAAGCGTCTGATCAGACCGAAAGAAGATATGCCTTACAGACTGCCATCGGCGGTATTTACTGTCTTTCATGCTAAGAGTCAAACCAGGATATCATTATACCGCCGTATGATACTAAAGACTGATGCCATAGCTCCACATTTCTCATTGGTAGACAACCCCCTACTTGGAGGCAATACTCATCACAAGAGAAACATTCACAGCCAGTGAGTCCATATCTCAAGGAGTCCTTAATATGGGAATCTCAATCTCCAGGCTGGCGCATGGAATTTGGCATTATCCTCCGACCATCATTCAACCTCTTTGCGAGTGGTTGTTTGGTTTATCCGAGACCTCATCGAACCAGGATTTCCGAACGGTGTTCTGGTCAGCGTTGTGAGAGCCATTTTTAATGATCCGACGCAGGTTTCGATGCTGGATGAGCAAGAAGCTAGTTTTTTCAAAGGAAGGACGGACAAGTCGCTGTGGGTCTCTGACGAAATTTTCCCCTTGGGGAAGAATAATCTTGCTGAGGTCGTCGTCAAAGCTGTCCAGCAGTTTTCATATGAGGACATATCACTGCCAGACGTATCGGCCGTGCATGTTAAGGGGGAGTGGATAGGTCATAGAAGAGGTGAAGGGAGCAAAACCGCTGGCGCAGAACAAGTATACCGCAACTTGATGGAGGATTTGCAATCCGACATCGTGATGATATATCTCCACGGAGGTCAGTTCTAGTAAGTACCTTTGTGGGAGAAAGTTCAGAATTTGTGCTCAATGTTGACAACATCACAGCCTAAGGGATGCAGCATCAAGACGAGAAATTGCTCACGAGCTGACTCAACGTACTGGAGGCCGATGTATCTCAATCTCGTATCGACTGTCACCACAGCACACCTTTCCTGCAGCCGTCCTGGATTTGCTAGTGGTCTATCTGTCTTTGATTTACCCCTCATCGAATACTCGTCAGCTCCCAGTCCCACCGAAGAAAATTTGTCTTTGTGGAGACAGCTCAGGAGGCAACATCGCCATTACTTTGCTACAGTTAATTCTGCATCTCAAGAAATCGGCATCTTCGAAGGGCCCTATGGTCCATTGGAATGGTAGAAATGTCGACCTTCCATGCCCGGGCGCTATCTGCACACATTCAGGATATCTTGATCTCACTAGATCCCTACCATCTGAGCATGAGAACATCAAGTTCGATATCATCCCGTCGGCAGCAGATCCCCCAGCGCCGCAATCTAGATACCTGAAAGATGCAATTTGGCCTCCACTACAATCCCGACACCATGTTTATGCCACTGATATCCTGCTTAGCCATCCTTTGGTGTCACCACTAATGGCTGAAGACTGGCGAAACTGCTCAACAAAGGTGTGGCTTAGTGTAGGTCAGGAATGCCTTGCAGACGGTAATATCATTCTCGCCCAGAGGATGGCCGAAGGCGGCATGGATGTGTCACTTGAGGTGTATGAGGGAATGCCCCACGACTTCCTGGTTCTCCTCCGGAGCAGTGACTGTGGACAGGAATGTCTTCATCGATGGGCAGAATTTGTAAAGCTGGCATGCTCAACAAGCAAGCCATCTATTGACAATCGCGGGTTTGGCACTGCTTCGATACGTAAGCCAGATGGCAATTGGACAACAAAGGACGTGCGTGGTATGCAGCCTCAGCGCAACTCACAAGACCTCCTAGCAGGCATGAAGGCTAAGATACAGTCTTGGGGTGAACCTTGGTCAAGGTAAGGTTCATAATGCGCAGATGGCAACCTCGGGAGCGGCATTGCTAGTTTCGGGAACCTTCCGAATCGGCAGATGAGTGCGCTCCCATGATTCACGCAGGGCATGGACGGTCCGCGCTACATAGAACGCCGACTTCCCGATGTAAATAAAATGTATTCGCAGTATTATGTGAGGGTTCACCTACCTTGTCCGGGTTTCCGTGTAGATCATCTCAGGACTATAAACACAGAGAACAATAATGTTCTGTAACTTCCCTTCAAATATGTAAAGCACTCGTCGATTTTTTTTTTTCAAACCACCATCTGTTGCTATTACCCACCAGAAAGCTGCATAGTCTTCAACAAAGAAATATTGATCACATACTGCACCTATGGTTTTTGAGGTCGCGATCATTGGGGCTGGCCTGGGTGGCCCTGCCCTTGCTCTAGAACTGCTTGAAGTGCCAAATGTCAAATGCACTATCTACGAGCTCCGAGGTGAGGGATATGAACAAGGTCAACATATTTCTCTAGCTCCCAATGCGCTACGCGTGCTGGAAAATATCGGAATCCTCGAGAAACTGCAGAAAATGGGAAACAGCTACGAAGATCTTCACCTACGCAATGCTAGTGGTGCACAGATTGTAACATTTCACAACGGCAACAAGGATGGTTACGGATTCAGTGCAATGAGAATCCATCGCCACCACGTTCAAAGGGTCTTGATCGAAGCATGCCAGGCGAAAGGTGTCAGTATTCGCCATGGCATGAAGATTCAAGGTATCAGTGAGGACTCATCAAGTGACGAGGTGGAATTGACCTTCGCCAATGGTGAGACTGCGTACGCAAGTTTTGTCGTTGGGGCAGATGGATTGCATTCGATTGTCAGAGAACATGTTGTAAAGGAATCGACCTCCATTTATGCACATATGATAGGCGTAACTGGTTACCTGCAGAAACGCCAGTTACATCCATCGGCCAACTCAATTGGGCTCCCTTCACATTTCATAGGTCATAATGGTTTCATCGCCATCATGCCATCAGATGTGTCGGGTAATGAAATCGGTTTCTTCTCGACTATGGACTTCGGAGAAGAGAGGTCGAAGCAAGAGTGGGATGAATTATTCAAAAACAAGGACGCAATCAGGTCCATCCTCCGTGAACGCTTCTGCAAAGAAAATGGGTGGTGTGAGCTGGTAGATTCCCTGTGCAAGAGTGTTGGGTCTGATACCTTGTGCTCCTGGCCGTAAGTATCTTTTTTTCTAGTCCAATAACGCTGGTTGACCGATACTCCGTTCCCAGATTCTATATTGCGCCTCAGCTGCCAACTTGGAGCACCCAAAGCGGTCGTGTTCTCGTGATTGGTGATGCAGCACATGCCATGATCCCAACAGGTGGATTGGGCGCGTCGTTAGCATTTGAAGATGCAGAATGTCTTGCTCTGACGTTCCGACGACTAGGTCGGTCAAACTTTGATTTGGATGCGGCACCGAAGTTACTCAAAGTATGGGAAGGGCATAGAAAGCAGAGATTGGCTCTTATACAAGACTTTACGAACAAAAACAGGCGATTAAGGCAACCGGGTGGAAGTCGATTTTCACAATATCTAAAGGAGTGGGCTATTTGGCTTTTCTTCTTGTTCATCGGAAAGGGTGGGCAAGCGGAAGAAATATACAGATACGATACGGCGACGTTCCAGCAGCTTTTGTAGATGTTGGTATTTTAGCTCTACTCAGATGGAGTCATTACAGTTGTTGAAACATGGGTTTCTAGAAGAGGATTAGATCGTGCTAGGGCCCAAATAGAAGTCCACTGATCACTCTTGTTGAATCATATCAAGCCCGTCATGTCAATTATTGCTCCTAGACCTCCAGCCGCCATGGTAATGGCAGAGAAGATGATCATTGGGCCATATTGACTTCCGTAACCAAACTTGAATGCACTTGTCAGCATTGGCAAATGGAGAAGAGACTGAGACAATGGCCCTGATGCAACGTTCCCGATGCCACGTCCCGCAACAAAGAGTGCAAATACGAGAGATGAGTCGGAAGTGTGGGTCGTGTCTCTCTCAACAATCTCCCCGATCACCCCAGGCCAGCTCGCTGTCATGCAGCCTGTAAAGAACCCATGGGTAAACCCAAAGCAACAAAGTAATGCGGATGATGCTGAGAAGCCCCAAAGTAGTGCAGCACCACTCGTTGAGCCGAGTGCCGACACGATAATGATGCCCCTTGGAGAGAACCGATCAGTAAGTGTGCCCCCTGCAATACTACCGAGGAGTGTTCCAACGTTGAGTAGAGACACAGAAGTGGTTGCAACAATCTCGCTAAACCCCATAGAACGCGCATATGATGGCAGATAAAATCCGGGCAAATAAGAACCAAGGCCCATCAGAATATTCGGAACGCAGAAAGTTAGAAACAGGGGTTTCATGGTGAACTTCAGACGAGGTCTGTAGCGACGAACGTTCTGGGCTGCGGGGAGTCTCGGCCTGAGGAAGAGCAGGCCCGCCGCAATAATTATTAGGTCGATGATTGACCACACTCGGAATGTGGTCCGAAATCCGTAGGTGCTGAGCAGCCAAGAGATAATGTATGGAAAAACAAGACCAGAAAGGCCAGACGCTCCCCAGCAAATCCCATATGCTAGAGCTTTTTTCCGAACGAACCATTCATCAAGAAACAGAAATGTTGGATAGTAGAGCATACTGCCTCCCAATGCGAGAAGTACACCTTGTGTCGCGATGAGATCGGTGACATCTTTGGCAAAACTTGCGCCCATGAGAGCGGCACAAGTAAGAATGCCTCCAAATACCATACACCGCTTTCTGCGATTAGGCCACTGACGAAGGAGTGGAAGCAGCACCGGAGAGCAGAGAAACAGCAAGCCAGACGATATGGAGCCAACTAGAGGTAAATGTGCGTTTGAGCTTTCGAACTCGGGAGTTCTAGAGTAGAACTCTTGGAATACTCCGTAGGAGTACACAAACCCCCAGACCAGTCCCTCAAGCATAAATGCTCCTAGAAGGACTAACCACGCATTGGCTCCTCGATCTGTCGGAGGGAGGGCGGATCCGACTGTCATTTGATCAGGGATATCATCCTCTTGATCCTGTGGGCTGACACGATGCCTGAGCTCCAAATCTTGCGAGGCATCCATGGTGGATTGTGGAGTGATGCAGATAATGACGATGATTTACAAGTTCGATACAATTTCAAACGAACTCGGGCCAGTGAATGGAATATTCTGCATACTATATGAGACCTTTGGGAGAGGATTGTGAAGTCGGAATGCGAGACGGAATGAAGCTGGTGGTAGTGAACATATGTAAGGCAGGTGGCCCAAAAAGGGACAAAAGTTCCCATGTTCCTTGCTTGATATCGCGTACTAGTTGACAAGCAAGAGCAGTAATTACAAAGCGAGGACGTCATATTGCGCTTACTTTCGGCAGCCATCGCGAGGAACTACCTACCGAGTTAGTTATCGATTCTGCCCGCAACTATCCTTCTTGTTGCAGCACTGGCAATCGATGAGTGGCACAAGATCTTCGCGGCAAGTTGGAATCGTTCCGTGCTGCGCGACCCGCATAGCAAGATCGACCTAGCCGGAAGTATGATCTGACTACAATTCGGGAGCCATTGCTCTCACAGTAGCAGCGACTGAAGAAAAACAGAATTATATTCATGGCGACGAGTCAGAGATTTGGTAGCTCGTGAACCGAGGCTCGTTGCGGACCTCGGGTCTTGCACACCATTATAGTTTCGGCTGTCCCCGAGTGGGAGATACAAAGTAGGTTGGTTATGTCTTGCCAGGACCTCCTTCCCTTTTCAACCCATACAACACAGAATCCATAGGGACATTGATCAATAGCTCTCTCTAGCATCGCAACAAATGGAGTCACTTCAAATACCCGCTATAATCGAGGATAAACTCCGCCCTCACGCAAGGGAAACTCTGCAGAAGGTCAAGAAATTTGTGGAAGAGGAGTGTATGGCAGTCTGAGGTTATCACAAGAATTCCAACCTGACAGTAGAATATAGGTATTCCCGCAGATGAGGTCTTCGAGGCTCAAATAGCTATCAATCCAGAACAGCGATGGAAGTCAGTGCCCTCGATTTTAGAAGACCTGAAGCAACGAGCACGCGATCTGGGCCTGTGGAATTTATGGATGCATTCACATTTCAAAGAAGGACCAGGTTTCACGAATGTCGAATATACGCTTATGTGTGAGACTATGGGTCGAAGCTTGGTTGCTCCCGAGGCAATGAATTGCAGTGCACCTGACACTGGAAACATGGAAGTAAGATTCTCCTTCCTTTTACTTCGTGTGACAATTGGAGCTAGCTCACTGACCCCTGTTTCCAGTTGCTTGCAAAATATGGAAACGAAGAACAGAAAAAACAATGGTTGCAGCCTCTGATGGCTGGAAAAATCAGGTCTGCATATGTGATGACAGAAATCGATGTCGCTGCATCGGACGCAAAGAACCTCTCTTTGGATATGCGCCGAGAAGGCGATAGTTATATTCTCAACGGGGTGGTAAGTTGCGCATTATCCTGTCCACAGTGGCATGATTTAGACTCACGACTCCCTAGAAATGGTGGATCAGTAGCGCCGGGGACAAGCGATGTCGATTGTAGGCGACCCCGAGCTACCCTTCGTTATGGCACACTTTATCATTGATCTAACCCCTTTGGATTGTCAGGTTCATCGTATTTGCGAAGTCCAATCCAGAAAATACAGATCCAACCAAAAGACACAGTATTATCCTTGTCGATTCAAGAACTAAAGGCGTTGAGATCATCCGCCCTTTACGGGTTTTTGGCTTTGATGGTAGGTCTCCCGAGGCAGATTTGGGGTTGTCGGACTCCAGCATTCCTAACTTGCCTAGATGCTCCATTCGGACACTGTGAGGTACATTTTAAGAACGTTCGCGTACCAGCATCAAACATTATCCTGGGTGAAAGCCGCGGCTTTGAGATCATGCAGGGACGTATGGGCCCGGGCCGTATTCATCACTGCATGCGGGCTATCGGATGTGCCGAACGAGGCTTAGAGTATGGTAACCACACTTCTGATATATATGCCATGTTCCTGACGATTGCCACAGCTACATGATCGCTCGAGCACATAAGCGCATGATTCATGGTGCGCCTTTAGCTGACAAGGGAGTTGTCGCTTCGTGGATCGCTCAGTCACGCATCGACATTGAGTCAGCTCGACTGCTGACGTTGAACGCAGCGGATAAGATCGACCGCACCAGCGCAAAGGACGCCAAAACAGAGATCGCCGTTGCTAAAATTGCCGTCCCAAATTTGGCTTTGGCAGTCTTAGACAGGGCCATTCAAGCGCACGGGGCAGCTGGCATCTCTCAAGATTTCCCTCTTGCAAGGATATGGGCATATCTCAGGACAGTTCGATTTGCAGACGGCCCCGATGAGGCACACGCCGCTCAGCTTGCCAGGACTGAGAGTAAGCGCCACAAGAACATGTAAGTACCCACAATCACAACACCCACCGTCTCAACTGATGATCCACAGAATTGACCTTATTGCGGCACAAGAGACTGCACGGCGATCATTGATGAACAAGTATAAATGTACTCCTCGTTCTCATTTGTAGATAACTTGAATCAACCGAATTGTTTTTGCCATGGCAGGGGATTTCTGGTGCACATTTTTTTTGCATCCTTGCAATTTTATTCCAGCTACAGTTCTCGAAATAGTCGTTCTGTACGTTACAAGCTTGCATAACATAAGGTGCGTTGAGAAAACTACCTACTTTGTATTGCGGGTTGGTAGTGTTGTTCGATATGCATTCCAGCCTGTGTATGTGCATCGTACCCATATAGGAGCATTTAAGATTTGCATCTCCGGTTCGGTCACGATGGCCGCATGTTTGCCCGCCATCGGGCTGTGAATATAGGGGGAATATACTCCCTGGTGGCACGATCATTTCTTCAAGCCCTCGTTTGATTATCTACAACGAAGATCCCTTTCCCATCCACGGTCGTTCCTTCCTGAGCGTTGAGTTCCCAAAGATCTGGGACAACTAAGGAAACAGGAGGAAGGAGCGGCGCCCTTCTCAAAAGGACCTCGGAGCTGTATTGGAAGAAATCTCGCTCTAGCAGAGATATACAGATCACTGGCTTATGTTGCTCGGAGATTTAAGCCGGTTCAAGTTGTCGACCAAGAACTCAAGATCAAGGAAATCTTTCGAGTGTTGATGGAAAGCCCCACCTGGATATTTTTTGAGGAGGTCGATAGCTAGATTCTGGCGTGTCACTTACTCTGCGACGGTTCAAGATAAACCGAAGTCTAATGTGGTGTCATTTCAGTATTCGTTCTTTTCAGTTAGCGGCGTGGTGATTATCTTGTCCAGTAGTTTGACGAAGATTCCGTACTACAAGACTTGACACTGATCGAAAGATTGGACTCGTGCGCTTGTAAGAGCGATTTTATTGCACGAAACGTGAAAACTCCAAAGAGAGAGAGAGCCCCTAACTAGCCAAGCGAGTGGAACACTATCCTGAATTCAGGGATAGTTCAGCATCAATAGCTTCTGCCCAATTGATCATTCTGCCCAATATCCTTCTGCATGATCATATTAACTACCGCCTGACCCGTGAATTACATTCAGGTGTTTCCCTTAAGTTGCATGTCAACTTGTGAGACATTGGTATAGTATGATCTGCTATCTTACTTCCGTATCACTCGTCATCGCAGTCCTGGATATTAAATAATTAGTGTACGAATCAATTTACGACCATTCTGTCACTCACACAGGGGCCACGAACACAACCTTCACAAGACCTTTTCACTTCAGGTTGGGAAGGTATCGCCGCAACAATGGTGAAAAGGGCGACGAGCGCGAAAAATTTGCTGAAGTCCATTTAAACGGTGATATCTCGACAATGAGTCTTTATCGATGTAGTAGTACTGGTTTTACTGTGGTAGCTTGAAAACGGAGCTGATGAAGATTGACATCTCCACGATTTATCCGCGGACTCAGGGGAGATATATAGGAGTAAGGCAGTTCTCGGATTTTCCATTGATCATCTTCAGAATCCTGCTCACGGCCTTTCTTTCTCATGACCCCTGACTTGGTAAGTAGTCTTACAATCCGAAGTAAGCTTGAAGCATGGAGTACAAGGACATTCTGCCTTGTCTGCTTAGATTACCTCAGTGCTGAGGAGAGGTAATCCTGAGTCGCGCAAGTTGCATTGGAGCGGTGGCCGGGATGGAGTCAATAATGGACCCCGGACACTTCCCCGTCATCGCTGAGTCAAACGATCAGCATACAAAGTTTCAAATACTATGTGTATCACCCGTGTGCACTTATACTCAATTTACTGCACTCAACCCCAGGATGTTGCACCAAAACTGGGTGTTTCACTTTGGTGCCATTGGCTATTTTGGATATAGACTGGGTACGTACCCACTATATACTAACGTCATCAACGCATTCGTAAAGGATGACGATGAAGTGGGATAGGACACTGCTCGTACCATTATATGCTGATATCTAAAGAGAAATGCTTGGAATTTGCATTCTTAGTCGTATAGAACATTGGCGAGACGAAAGTAGGGATACCAGTATACTGGGATACAGTATTTCTCCACCAGATTCGGAACTTTATTCGGCGAAGTGACAATCAGAAATTAATCGTACTACACTCTTGAATTCTCAGTCAATTATATCTGTCCGCGATCTCCAGCGAGAAAAAACTGTTAGTCTTCAAACTCTTCAAACGCCTTAGTGTGCAACGGCTGCTGGTCAGAGTGGATAGTATCATCCTCACACTACGATGCTGACAGAGCTTTAGTTTATCCACGACCAGAATAAGAATAGCCACACTATCAGGGATGGATTAGATTTTCATTGCATAGCTCCAAGTGCATCGAGTTGATTGTGATATTTCCATCACTCACTAGGCCTTGCGAGACATCGCCCTACTTTCTTTGATATTTGTATTCGAAAACAACAAGCGCAATCGCTAACACTGATAGAATCGATTTCATCGAAAGACCTACCTGCCCTGATTCGTCTTTCTTCATTCTTGCTTTCTTCTGACTGCATAGAGTAGTCATTGACAGATACTCCAAAATGCAATTGCACCGATATGCCCGTCTTCCTGCGAATGACGACAGTCTCGAGAATGTCGATGATCAAGATTTACGCCATGAATCTCGTGATTCCTCAACCTACAACAGATGGGGAAACTCAGCACGCATTGTGCTCATGCTAGAGGTTATCCATGTGTTGCTTTTCACTATATGGTACTTCATTTCATCCCAGTTTCTGCCCCCAGGAATATGGTCGCAAGCCACCTGCCTCGAAATTCTCCAGCTACCAACATCATTCCAAGCTCTAACACCTCCGGCCATGAGGCAGGCCCTTAATTCCAAAGAAGCATCTGCATTACTGCAGACATATATAGCCTTACATCAACATACTATCCCATACACTCTGTCTGACAATAACTTGACTTTCCTGCAAAACGCCCTTTCGGAAGACTACTACTCCAACCTGACTGTTCTCCACCATCACGGCCTGATATCTCTCCCTCAGCACGCAGACCTTACAAGGCTCATGGATCTTCCCGTCACATCTCTCCCAACAATCCCAGAACATTCCATCTACAAAGTCTCTGTTTTCCACCATCTGCACTGTCTTCGTCGGATTCAGAGGTGGATCATCACCCATCCACCATTTGCACCATATAACGCCACTGAGTTTGACGAGGTCTACCCACTCGTTCAGTCCAGCTCGAATGAAGCATTTGAACGTCTCAGACAATTAGCCAGTCCTAGTCACGTTCTGCATTGTGTTGATTGGGTTCGACAAGTCCTCATGTGCGATGCTGATTTGAGGATTGACCTTACAAACACTGATCCTTTATTCGATGAACTTGGAGGCGAGCGCGTGAGAATGTGCCGCGATTGGAACGCCATCACGAAGTGGGTGGATGATCACCGTGAGCCAGTACTCTGATTAGAGATCACATAGTCTTGGGCCGGAGAATTGGTATATCCCAGATGCTGTAGCGAATACTCTCGCGTGGAAAGGCATTAGATACTTAATGCAGAACTACTAAAGTCTAACTCATTACGGGATACTCTGATTACAGTATACTATCCTTTATCTAGGTATCTTCTATTGGTAAGCTATTACTGGGCATGATGAGGGGGAAGTTAATTAGAGAAACTCGACTATATAATAACTCTAAAATGCCCGTAGCATTTCGGCTAGCGAAAGTATAGTTCTCGTACGTTCATGGGAACTCAGCATTAGTAAAAAGCTCGGCTAAATCGGTTTTGCAACGGTTCGAGGTGACTCGGGTTGGTAGCACTCCTGATTGGACCATTTAGTTCTCATTAGTGAGCGGTAGAGTAATTTGACTGTGGAAACTTAGACTAATCAATGAATGTATACAGACATCTATTCAAGATTGACAGATGCCCCACCACCTGAGTTTTGTCAAAGCGGCTGTTGTTGCCACATCCTACTGACATTGGGCTTGCTCTAGTGTATCGTACTCTTAAGAGAACTCTCAAGCGTCTTGCTATAACAAGCTCTGCAAGATTTTGCCTCCCACCCGCTGAACTCGGTAGATCCATCATGATCAGATCTAGAAGTTCCAGATTCAAGGAGTTTCGGAGTCAGATATTCATTTCTGCGAAAAGAATATACCTCCTCACAATGTACAGATTAGGTTATGGGGCGACTAGGTGTACCCGCCCAAAGTCCAAGGCCTTGGAGAAGTAGATTAACAATTATTCGTGCTCTAGGGATTTCTATGATTTGGGGGGGCAGAGGGGTGCTAAGTAGTGTATCCAAGCTTCTCATGGAAGAGTCGCCTGTTCTTGCCGTCTAATGAATGATGACTCGCAACAGCAAAATCCCAATGTGAGAAGGATGCAAGCAAGCGAGACAACTGCTTGTATGTAGCATTCCTCTGCCACGTATTTGACATCAAAATGGTCTCTCGCACGCTTTCAAGATTTACAGCTCGTGCCCGCCCGACCAAGCATCCTGTTAGGGGCGACCAGGCGAACAGCTATTGGCGAACGCATGAGGAAGTGGGGAATGAGGAAACGTTAGGCACCCGAACCCTTATCACTTCATCGACCTGCAGGGTAGTATTTGGGAGACACAACGGGGCTTGAGGTCTTTCCTGTAATGTAGTAGAAGTAAGCAATGCCGAATCAACGCTTGAATGGCCTTCCGACTGCGCCGTGACCTTAGGCTTTCCCCGTGGAGGTCCCCTCGCCCGATAAAATCCCCCAGGACCAACTTTCCACCCCGTAGGTGGCGTTGCGGGGAGCGTCCCCGAGGAGGACTGCACCCGTTCTCGGAGTAGCAATGCAAGTTAAGGCCTTCGCTTCGCTCCCATGCCAAGGACACTTGTTTGCCTCTTCGTACGGAAGAATTCATCAGATTTTACCCATGGGGACCTTCCCCTTGACTCACGCAACCCCGGGCCACCGTGCAATAAATGCGGAAGACGTTGACGGAGCGCACACCCTCGTGACACCCTCACCTGGTTGAGAATAGTCTTGATGGTAACTGGCTCACTATTCTCGCTTAGCAAGACGCCCCTTCTAGTTTTCTCGAAGCGAAAACGAATTATCCGGGAACTCTGTTCATCAGCCGATCCAATTTGCGGTCCGCCTAAGCTACATTTATCTTAGGCGTAAGACTGAACACGGAGCTACTAATCAGGGTGTTTGTCTTCGAAATGATAAAAGCTCATCATGCCCCAGCCTGCCCAACGACTTTATCATAGCTTCGGGCAAACATAACCTGATCTACAGTATCACCTAGCTGCGAAGCTCATCTGATCGGTATGGCGCCAAATATCAGTGATCTTAAGACTCATGAGAAGGGTGCAAGCGACCCTATCGTTCAAAGGCTTGCTCAAGAAGATCCGGTGCCATGGTACAAGAAGCCAAACTTACGACTTCTCTATCTACTCTTGTTCCCAACCTGTATGGGCATCGAGATCACCAGTGGATTTGATTCTCAGATGATCAATGCACTTCAGCTTTCCAAACAGTGGCAATCATGTAAGCACTTCCTTCTCTTTACGCACTGTCAAGGCTGACGAAAAATCAGACCTTCACAAGCCCAAAGGTTCCTGGCTTGGCTTCATCAATGCATCATACGGCTTGGGTGCCATCCTGAGCTTGCCTTTCGTCCCTATCATCAACGACAGATTTGGTCGTCGCTGGTCCATTTTCATTGGCTCATGCATAATGGTAGCTGGAGCTATTGTGCAGGCATTTGCTCAAAACAGTCAGTGATTCACTAGCCCTGATTACCTCCATATGCTGACGAGATAGCCGGGAACTATATCTTTGCTCGCATCATGTTGGGGTTCGGCATTCCCACATGTATTGTCGCCGCATCTTCGCTGCTTGGAGAACTTGGTTATCCCAAGGAGCGCCCAGTGTTGACCTCACTTTTCAACGTTTCGTATTTCGTTGGGGAACTCCTGGCTGCTGGCATTTGTTTTGGTACCAACTCAATCGCCAGCCACTGGCAATGGCGATTACCATCAATCTTGCAAGCTGTGCCATCGCTTGTTCAGATCTCATTGGTACTTTTCCTTCCAGAAAGCCCCCGATGGTTGATTAGCAAAGACCGCCATGAAGAAGCCCTTGAAATCTTGGTCAAGTATCACGCCGAGGGCGACCGGGACTCAGAATTTGTCCGCGCTGAGATGGCTCAGATTCAGTCAACGCTTGCCATGGAAATCGAGGCGTCTAAGAAGTCTTGGCTAGATCTTTTCGCCACCTCTGGCATGCGTCGCCGTGTGATACTGTCAACAGCACTTGGCCTATTCACGCAATGGTCTGGGAATACACTTCTCTCGTATTATCTTGGAAACTTGCTGAAGATGATCGGCTGGACTAACACAACCGATATTCAAAAGGTGAATGTTGGTCTGTCATCCTGGTCTCTGATCACGGCTGGTACAGCCGCACTCTTGGTCACTCGGTTCCGCCGGAGAGTGATGTATATGACCTGCGTCCTCTCATTGCTTGCTGTCTATATCGGCTGGACCGTCTGCATGGAGCGAACTATGACATCTGATGCAGCTGGACATATCAACCATGGCGCAGGCATTGGGGTTCTGTTCTTCATCTTCGCCTACAAACCTGCCTACAACATTGGGTAAGTGAATGCCATCGTAGAATCGGGATACAGTGTGACTAACATGATCAAGATATAATGCTCTCACTTACACATATCTGGTTGAGCTCTGGCCTTTTGCTGAACGCTCACGTGGTATTGCATATTTCCAACTCTGGGGCAGATTGGCCGGCTTCTTCACAACTTTCATCAATCCTATCGCTCTTGAGAACATCAAGTGGCGATGGTTGATCTTCTACTGCTGCTGGCTCGGCTTCGAGTGTGTCTTCGTCTACTTCCTGTTCCCCGAGACATTTGGCAGAACTTTGGAAGAACTTGCATTCAGTAAGTCCACTACTCTCATTTCAAATTGCGTTGTGCTAATACCGTGCAGTATTCGAAGATAAAGAGAAATCTGACAGAGCCATCGCTGCGGTCGAGAAGGCTCGTGCGGGCGTCGATGAGAACGAGAAGCGTGCTGAAACTGTCGTCGAGCATGTTCAAGACCGTGTTTAAGACATGTGAAAGCTTCATCTTGCTTGTAGTGCAGCCGGTTGGATGACAGTCAACCTCAACATTGCAGTGGATTAATCTATGGCCCCAAATCGCTCTAGGATCTTTTCCGCTATCCGAGCCATGAAAAATCAGTACTAATATCTTTCTATCGAGTTCAGTAGTGATAGCATTGTTAATGAATGACTCACACCTAATGAATACCACAGTAGCTCATTTGTTTCTGTCGCATAGTTACTAGCGCTCAGATGTTAAGTATAGAACATCCTCCAAGCTAACGCCCCCGACATACCTTTGGACATTGGGGAGGAAATTACATCACTGCACATTAGAATCAAATCCCGCGAGCGTATGAGGTCTGATCTGGGTTTAGTGGCAGGAGGTGTGGAATACGAGGCTCTAGTGCAGTTGCTGCCTGTATTTCTAGGCTACCATTCTGCATGAACCAGAAACAAATACGCATTGCAAAGTCCGCTCATTCAACCACCCTTGACAAACTCTTCATGACTATTACTGCACTGAAGAAGAAACAATAAATACATTCAAATGTTTATTGATTTCAGCCATTTCTTGTAAAATCGTGCGACCATCCCGTTAAAACACCTGGCGACTCAGTTGTGTTTACCCACTCTACTCGAGCTCTCCGGAACGGTGATAAAGTGGAAGGCATGGACAAAACTACTCACAAAGACCCCAAATCTAAACTTAGATTCAGGATAAGTTCCAAGATTTCAAAAAGTGATATCAAACAATTAGCTTATATTCATGTCGAAGCCCTGCGAGATGACGATTCCGCTACAGTGAAATTCGCAGATAAAGACGAATTCCGCTGCAAGATCCAAGAGATGCTGGAAGGACAATTGATTGCCACCGGAATGTCTGTGAGGCCAGAGTTTACCACGTCCTGCGTGGATCAGTGGTTCATCATCAAGGCAAGTCTGATAGACTCCAGTGAATACAATGAATCCGAAAAGATCATAGGCTGGGCGAGCTGGCTCCACGAAGGTTCAGAATCTGGTACAGTATCTGCAACTCGAATGCTAGTCAGTGATCAAGGGAATTCCAAGGAGAATAATCAGAAGCTGTTACAATTTAACCATGGGCTTGGTGCTTTCGTCCGTCGGCACCAGACTCGCATCTACGCAGAGTGGTGCAGCAAGCGATCGGAGGAAGCAAGTGAATACCTGTCTTTACGAGCTTGTTTCATTCTTCCAGAATTTCAACGTTGTGGCGTGGGAGGAGCGCTGGTTAGATATGGTTGCGAGCGTGCCGACCTCCTCGGGCTTGACACATTGGTGACCTCCACTCAGGTGGCGAAATCGCTTTATGAATCGGTTGGTAAATTTGAGGTATTTGAGCAACTGGAAGTCAACTTGAATGATTTTGACGATAAAACCAAGCGACACGATTCCCAGGGTCAGGAGAGTGCCAGAAACTATCGATTCTGGTTTTTGGCAAGAATACATGGAGGATGGAAACATACGGCCCACAAAGATTGAAAGCTTGGTATTTGACTTCCCATTAAGTGTAATGCAAGCAAGGATTGTTGATAGGGTATAGCTGGGTTAATAGTTGGAGGGTCTCAATGTACGGTTTGAACTCGGTGACAATCAAGAACCATTGCCTATTAGTAGAGATAGATGACAAACAATAGGCGCAGCGTATCTCTCCTGAGCTCTATGCACTTTATTTACTTGGTAGATGCGGCAACTGTTGCATCAAGAACAGATTTGACAGCACGTCGGGATCCCAATTTACCTAGCCACTCCTTGACAAGAGGGAAATCATCCGGATCAAACTCACTTTTCTCCAGAATCATTGCAACAATTGTTTGCCATGAAAAGAAAGCAAAGTCAACGTAAGACAGCTTGTTTCCCACCATCCATGGCCCATCACTACTTTTGGTATCATCACCGAACTTTTCCTTCTGCTGGGCCAACCAGCCCTCCAGGACGCCCGTGACTCGAGCGACCTCTTTGCAATAGCGCTCAAGTGCACTGGGGAGTTTCTCCTGATGAAATTTCTTGAACCAAGATGCTTGGCCATAGTACGGGCCCTGGCCAGAGGCCTGGAAGAAGAGCCACTGCTTGGCGTGATATGCTTCTGGAGTTCCGGCGGGAAAACTGAATCGGTGATCGGTGTCGTAGCGTTCGGTCAAGTACTCGACGATGGCTCCGGATTCCCACAATGTGATATCGAAGTTTGGATCGTGGATTGCTGGAATACGACCATTAGGATTTATGGCAAGATAGTCGGGCTTCTTGATGTCTGTGAATGAGATTGCGGTTGTCTCATAAGGTAGGTCAAGCTCCTCGAGCAGGATGGCGACCTTTGGGGGATTTGGGCCTCCTTGACCCCAGAGTTTGATTGGCTTGATATCGCGAGCCATTTCTGTTCGAGTCTTAAGTCAAATCGAATCTGCGTGAGCGATGGTCATGGAAGGTGGTACAAGAGTCTGCATATGGCCTTTTATATCTCATTACAGATATTGCATTCTGCCTGGAGGGCAAGTAGGCTGCAACACAAATCTTGTTCAGCATTTGTAATGAAACGTCAAATCAGGGGAAACCCATCGCAAAGTTTGTCTTTGGGTGGATTAGGCTCGAGCAATGCTAGGTAATTCAACATGGCGACCGTGCGAGTTTGTTGAGCTGTTTCCAGTCAGAGCGGTAAATGAATTTTTGCATGTGAACTGGAAATGCAGGGAGAATTCCTCGTTCCGCCTGCTCCTCAGTTGTGGAGCCGCACGATTACGGCAAGAAGGCTTACCACCGAATAATAAAGTCCCTTCTTCGCAGAGTAACCCTCAAAATGGAATGGTTTCCTATGGTTGGCCTTAAATAACCTAAGTTAGAGACGAAGAAACAAGCTTTGCTCGTTCCTCGGCAAATCTCAAAGCGCGACCGGCATCATGATACTGAGATTCTGAACGATCAACGGGGCGAGGAGTGTTTAACAGTTGGTAATGCGAAAAGCAATCACGACATGTTCTTGATGATATAAGTCAGAATGAACATATGCACAACCCAGGTATAGTGGACGAAATCTGCGCAGTGCAGCATTTTTTCTCTAAAACATTCCCCGAGAATTAAATACTAAATGGACATATCCAGACCTGTTACGCCGAGCTTCATCGGCACATTGCCGAGATGGTCCCCCAGCAGAGACTCTCTGTTGTGCGTGCTACAGCTTCAAAAATTGTAAAGACGGATGAGTCGAAGTTGAGAGGTGTACCTTTGGAGCAAAAGCAATCCGTATTTTCTGACGCATTTGACAGAGTGGCACAGAGTGCCAACTTGACTTCTAGTTCACACTCAGTACTGCTGGAGTTGCGCCACAAGTTGAAAATCATGATCTGAAGGATCCAACTTTCCACGAGTAGCTGGGGAAGCTGAAACACTGCAGCAATTCTTATTGCATGAATGCTGTCGATCATGCGCCCACAGAGTCTCCAAACCAAGTGCCTTGTAGAATGAGGTGAGAACCATGCAAAGCTGACTTCGTGGAGCTTTGGTCTCCGAAAGGATGTGGATTGCCTGGAGGAAAGTGTGGTAGGGAGAAAACTGTAGGACAAGTTCCTTTTCCAATGCCCGAATCTGACCAAAATTCATCCTTTGAGTAGTGACTCGTTCCGTAATTCGGGTTGACGTAAACAGGATACTGAATTTATTCCAATATATCAGGAGCTTCGAAATGCCCCTTGTTTGAAATCGCCTGCACAATGTGCTCAACTGCCCGTCGTTGATGGAAAAACTGCTTTTCTGGCTCGTAAATCTACCTGAAATGGCAAGTATGCTTGAGCCTGATGATATGATGACATGATTTAAAATTTTGGCTGAAACCGAGGATGTTTTCTTATCCTCTCGCCGTACTTGAAAAAGATCCAGCTCACAGGGCAACATGCCAAGGCAATAAACCCTAGCAATGAGTTACCCCAACCTAACCCAAGAGCCTCGTACATCTTGGGACCAGCCAGAGGTAAGAACGCACCGCAAAGACTTCGTAACACCGTGTTTGCAGCAATGGCAGAAGCCGCATGCTGTGCAAAAGCGTCCACGAGATACGTCTGGATTGGCATAAACGTTGCGAGCAAGCCAAAACCGACCCACATGGTTCCTATAATTGGCATGATCCAGTGAATCGCTTTTTCGGCACTCCAGCCGTACCAAAAAAGACCGATGGGGATGAACAAGCTGCCGGGAATCAAGGGAGGGAGACGATATTCTGGTTTCATCTCGCCTTGAGCAGCTAGCCTCTTGACGGTTCTGTCAGACAAAGCGCCAAAGATGACGAGTCCAAGCATGGAACCAATGCCGATTCCCAAAAACGCAAGGCCTACATTGCCTTGACTGAAGTGGTAAGTCCCCTCAAACACCAAGGTCAGCGTTGTAAATAATAGATATAAGTAGCCGTAAACGATGGCCATATATACCGACAGAATGAGGACGATCGGTGAGAATAGTAGCATCTTGGTCGGGCGGACAAGTGCGCGAATGAAAAACTCCTTCTTAGGAATGCCAGCGTCAAGTTTGGAACGCAAGTCTGGGTTGCCAGTCTCTTTCCGAAGGCGGTTGGTGCGTCTCTGGAGGAGGATTGGTTCGTAGGTTTCCTGCATAAAAACGACGGAGAATGCAAAAACAACCCCACCCTGAAACGGACATGTTAGCTGGTCCAAGAAAGGAAGGGTTGCAGGTTTGAGATGACTACTTACAGCAATGGCGATGAGCCAAAATATCCACCGCCAACCTGCCGCCTCGGCCAGATAGCCTCCAGCCACAGGACCGATGACCGGTCCCAACAGCGGGCCCAAGGCAAATAAGGCCATGGCGGCTCCACGTTTTTCCTGGACGATGAGGTCGGCAATGGTGCCACCACCAATGGTCAAGGGACAGCTACCAGCAATACCGGCCATCAATCTGAAGAACAAAAGAGAGCCCAGGTTTGGGGCAACAGCGCAAGCAATGGTCCAGATGACGAACTGCGCGTTGCAGATGTGGTAGATTGGCAAACGACCGTAAACCTCGCTCAGGGGTGCAAGAAACAGTGGGCCTAGTGCATATCCCAAGATGTAAATCGAGACAACGAAACTGGCGATCGTGGTGTCGGAGGAGTGAAATTGTTTCATGATGAGTGGTGTTGCTGGTGCAGCCATAGATGAGGCCAGAGGAGTAAGGAGAGTAACAACGGAAACAATCGCGACATTTCCCCATTTCTTCTTGTCTGTCCAGTTTAGAGCCTTCTCTGGATCATTGGGCCCGTCCCAGTCGACAATGTTAGGATCAGATTCGACCTCAACTGGCGCTTGTTGCTTCTCGTCGGCGTCCTTGGTCGGATCGATAATTGGCAAGCCGCGTTCAGCGGTGTTTATGCGCTCCAGTCCTTGAAGGGAGCTTTTATCCGAGGAAGATGTTGTTGACTTGACTGACGTCTCTGGCTGTCCTAGAGTAGTGTGCTTTTCGTCCCCCAGCGGAGGTTCTGATGGTGGCGAGTTCGCCATCGTGTCTGAGAAACGCTTGACTCTTAGCTGTCCTATTTCAGACGACTTTCAGAGAACCGAGATCCGCAGGAATATGGTTGTGTCCTGTTGACGGATGGGACGCACTGGTCTGATGGGGTATTTACTAATGTGGAATGATTACCACTAACCTCATCCGGGGCCTAGATATTGAGATCAGTGCTGTAATAGTTTGGTCGACTCGAAGAGGTTTCAAATTGTATTCACGTCGTGCAAAGAGTCGCAAATGAGCTGGGAGCCGAAGAAAGATATATCGAGATTGAGATCAACAAAAAGTTTAGTAATAATAGTGGAAAGAAGGGCAAACGAGCAAAAACCATTGTTGCAACATTGGCTGTACGTTTCGTCGTTCGCGTCTCGTTCAATAAGACATTGGTGATTGCTCCACCAAATTGGTTGTCGGCAACTTTTCGCCCGAGGATCGTCAATGTGCCTGGTAATGCTAAAGTCCGTCTAACACCGTCACGATGCAGAACCGCGACTAGACCAGACTGGAAGATTTAATGAAAGTGAAGGAGCAGATGACGGCGCAGATAGTATTGAAGCCCATCTTAAATGAGACTTGACAGTCTTCTTCAAAGCATTGATTTCTTGATACAGGAGTGCTTACATGGCAGATGGTAGAGGCGCACATAGTTATGCATATCGACATAAAGGTTTTATGCCGCTGTGTTCCCCAATGTTACCCCTCCTGCCTCTCTAAGATGGGCCCCACAAACTGCACTACCGAGTACGCGTCGGGGCGTGACGTTCAGGGATGGAAGCATAGTCCGACCACGGAGCATCCTAGCCACCTGCCGTCCCATGGACTCTCCGAAATCAATAATGATTCGTCTCCCTATTGCTCGGGACAAGTTGAAAAATAATGAAGCACAAAACGGCTCAGTCGTGTCTCTAACAACATCAATACAGATAGAGTCCACTACGTCGCGTGTAAGGTCTAGTCCCATGAGCATCTGCTTGATTGAGGAGGGATACTACATGTATGGCACGAGAGAGGTTTAGCCCTTAAGCTGAGTAGAACATTGGTAGACCTAGAATACCATTGTATCTCTGTCATAAGCCTTAAATATAATGACCAGACTTCAACTACTTTGATCGCTCGGTGTTGACAAGAGAGCAATATCAATATTGTTAGCGGATTCTTGGTTTCCTCTTATCTTGTTACTTAAATAGCTAATCACAGTACCAGGTCTAGATCGCCAGTAGGCGACAACAATTCGCAGCCATTTTCGTGCTAGCCACTCAATATGTTCCTGTTTCATAGCTAGACAGTGCTCTCTCTACGACCACAGATCCATCAGAGATCACGGAAGGAAGAGTTTTGTACGAGCATACTGCTTGGCATGAACATCTTTCGCCTCAGGACCTCCTTGAAAACAGACCTCTGTGACTCAACAGGGCTGCCATGTCAGAGTCTTTGACCGGTCGAATCGTGTTGCCGAGATGTTGCGCCTTTCGACCGACCGACTGGAGCGTAACCCTCTGACGGCTAGCAGCAACGGCGGCGGAGATGCCGGAACCAGAACAGAATGTTGGAATCTCCACAGCCCTCATGTAGCATAGCCTCCAGAGTTCAGTTGACGGGGCTCCCCAGCAGCTTCAAATGTTCCGTTGGAAAGCCTTCGTAGTCCCTGGGCCGAGCTTTGAGCAAGACTGATCCAGGTCACATTGTGACCAAGTGATGCCATGAATGCAGTCGTCTCGTTGTCATATGAATATTCGAACGTCACTTGATTGGGAATCAATTGATCGTGCAAGCGAGGTTGTGCAAGAGCCTCAAGGACCGTCATGTCCTGATCAAGAACATGTACTAAATTCTGGATAGTTGATGTGATGATGCGTGAACCGCCCGCTGCGCCGATAACGTAGTAGAGTGTACCATTCGGAAACTCTGCAATCACTGGCGAAATGCTTGACAGTGGTCTTTTGCCAGGCCTGATATAATTTGACGGGGAAGGGACAAAACCAAATGCGTTGGAAGTCCCAGGGATCGAAAAGTCGTTCATTTCGTTGTTCATGATGATCCCGGTTTCGGGGACCAACAGCTGTGAGCCAAAAAGTAGGTTTACGGTTGTTGTCAAAGTAATGGCCATGCCGTTAGCATCAGCAGTGACAACATGCGATGTGCCTGGTGTCTCCAATGACTCGATGCCGGAGGGGTCGTATGCAGATACGTTCAATGTTCGTGTATCCAATATCTTTCCACGGATCTCGGCTGCAGACTTGGCAGAAACCATGTCTTCCTCATAACTCGACAGATTCGCCACAAATGATGGATCGCCTAGATTGGTCCGTTCACCGTAGCCAAATCTGATGGCTTCATCGAGCCTGTGGGTGCTCAAGTTTGTCGTGCCGTCTGCAAAGAAGTCGGAATAGCCTTCCACTGTTTTGAGCACGGAGAGAGCGACCGTGCCTGAGCTTGGCGCACTGCAGCTGAACAGGCGGTAGTCTCGATATGTGATGTTTGAAGTGGGGCGTATAGCGACCTTATAGTCCTGCAAATCGTCCAGTGTCATTGTGCCATTCTGCTCTTGCAATGCTGCGATCATGGTTTCCGCGATCGGGCCGGTATAAAATGCATCCGGCCCCTCTTCTGCAATGGTCTCAAGAGTGTTTGCGTACCTCTTCCTGGTTATCGTGTCACCCAGGCCGAGAAGAGTACCATTTGGAGCAAAGTCCAACGCCCAATTTGGATCGTCGACAAAAAAATTGGGACTCACGGCCGAGTCCGATGCATTGGCGGAAGCGATATATCGGACAAGATCTTCATTGACGGTCCAGCCATATCTTGCTATGTCAATTGCGCCTTGCATCACTTGTTTCCAAGGAAGAATGCCGTAGTTTTGATGAAGATGGGCAAGACCCCTAACTTCGCCGGGAACTCCACTGTCGCGGTTAGCGGTGCGACTTGTCCTTGGGGTTGCATGGCCTTACCTCGCGAGACCACCAAAGATGCTCGCTTTGGTATTGTTTTTGTACATGTCTTGGAATGCAGCTGCGGGTGCAGTCTCTCGGAAATCGATGAACTCGTAAGTGCCGTTGGCAGCGCGCACAAGCATAAAGCCTCCACCACCGACGCCACTGTGATACATGCCAACCACGCCCACACAAAACACCGTTGCAACCAGCTGATCTCGAGGTTACCATGCGTCATCACCGGAGGATGTGGCAGAATAAGAGACTTACAGCATCGGCAGCATTTCCTCCATCCTGTATGACGCCAATACCAATGTGGCTGCAAATATCGCTTTCACTTGCGACGGCGCCCCTCGTGTCGGCGCTGGGTTCATTGTATGAATGCGACAAAGGAGAGGCGGCGATCTGATTGACCAGGGGTAAAAGAGCTGCCGCGCAAACGGTATTCGCGAACCACAGCATGATGCAAAACGGCGACAGAGCACGGGGCGTCCCAAGAAGTCGAGGTAGAAAGCAGAGGGCAGGAAGAGGGAGAAGAAACTGCACCACCAAGTCCATGTCTATGCCTGCCGAGCCGCACAGCTCACAGCTCGCGGGTCTTCAAGATAACACTGCAGGGGCAGCCACGGTGCGGATCTGAGCTCATGCAGTTCAGTCGCCGCCGTCCATTCAGGTCCTGGATACAATGACCGAGTGAGATGCTGGATCGACCTTCCCCTCCTTTTTTGGTAAGGAATATTGAAGTCGCTACCCAGTTACCCAGTTTTGGCTTCCAGCTCCCCCGCACAACAGAGGCACCAAAGAGGCCTGTTCACGAGAAGTGACGTAGGAGGATGAAAATCATGCCCTCTCACCCGCAAGCGCCTAACTACCAACGAGTAGTAATCAGTATGCCATGGAACCATGCGATCTGGTCACCAGGATTTATGCTTGAAGGATCGAACACATGGTAGGAAGCAGAGACAAAACTTCCAGGCTGCATACATCAAAACGAACGATAAGCGATTTCAACCCTGAACCTCTTGAATCCGATAAGCTTCACCGCTGCGGACATTCCCGTTAGGGTGTACCTCGCAATGAGACCAGGCCTGGATCTTAGGTAGCTAAAGGACTGGTCACTATCGCACTATCGCGGGGATGACTGCTAGGGGAAATGGTGTAGCCTGTACCTTGATAACTTGACATCTTCAAGATTGGCCTCTACCTTGGTACCTCGGTCGTTTAACGATTTCGACAAGATATTTCAGAGAGGCCGCGGTGAAGTGGTCACGTGCCGATGGCTGGGAGCCAGAGTGACTCGGCACGCGTAACCCGAGCTACCAAGGTACTGTACCTTCCTGAGGGTATTATCGACATGAGCACCAACAAACCTACGGAGTAGGTAAACTAATGGAAATGAAATCCTAGGTAAATCAAAGCTTGAGCCATACTCCGTACCTCCATGCGTAGATCATCAAGACTTCTTCCCTGAACCGGCGACAGTCAAAGCTTGACCCGCATGTCGCAATTTGCGATTACGAGTACGAGCTACGTTGTACTCCGTAAGAACAAGAAGATTGATTGAGACTTGGAATCTGTGCTGCCAGTGTGCCGATCTACCCGGTCGGCTACCGGAGGGATGATGTCAATGGCGGACTTTAGGTGCAGGGATGGCTTGGTGGACAGTGGGCGGGGGATAGCCTAGAACAAACGATGTGCATTGCAGGTGCCTGAAGTGGATGTGAAATTGAATTGTGGGAGGAGGGATCGTGTTTGTACGAGCACCAGCAGACACTGTCAATGGGAATAGTCTACTGGGTACCTGGTCAAGATGTCCAGGGGGTTGACTGAATGATTGTGTGCTTCGTAAGATGGCTATATACTTCGCAGAATGTCAATGCAACTCTTGTCGAACTTGAACTTGTGAAGTCCCCACCTCGCCCCATGCCCAAGCCCAAGGCCCCCAAGGCTTCGATTAGAATTAATGCAGGGACAGTCAGTGGTCGATTGAGGCCCAGACCGAGCCACCTCTTGGGACCTCTTGGGTTTGTGGCATTCCAAGACCATGACCATCTGACGTCTCGAGTCGAGCTGAGTGTTGAACAAGATATTGTCATACCAGAGCCAGAGCCAGAGACAGAGCCGGTTAAGTGTATTACACTCCTATGCCACCCTCGTCATTCTATATCTGATATCTGAGATCTTGTTGGAGTACGTCCTTGGGTATAATACTTAGAAATATTAGAGGAATAGAGATTCCTAGGTAGGTAAGCCCTCTAGCCTACGGTGTGAGACCCCAACTATTATATCATCAATCATTAATGGATGACACTCCTTACTCGGTACCGTCCTATTGACTTTTCAAGTAGAGTTATAGAGTTGCAGTGGTAGTGGACAAGAACTGTAGAAGATTAGGTTAGGTGAGGTACTTTGTACGAGTCCCCCAGAGGCCCGAGGCCAACCCTCCGTATTCTTTGCTTGACCGTTATTAGTCTTCGAGGTTGCCCCCCGGGCCCCTCATTATTATTATACCATCACTGCAACTGTAGGCGGCGCACGCACGTTTGCCGGGCCACTTTGGACTTGCACCTGCACAGACTCGCTCGAGTTCAACTTCGGTCCAGTTCCAGTTTTCCTTCCAAGCAACATTCATCCTCCATCTACACATCTACACATCGACACATCGACACACCAACTACGAGGTACTATTCCTAGAACCTCCCTCTTCCACCCCACGCATACTCGTTCAGACCTACAAACAATCCTTGTACCGCTTAGGCCTACCCTTCCTCCACTTCCACGACGTCTCACCGACTGCGCTCTCCATCCAAGTCTCGATACAAAATTCCATCTCTACCCTCAGCGCGGTCGATCGCTTACAATTCCCTTCCCTTCCCTTAGAGCACCACCCGATATTCCATCTTGATCGCTTTATCTCTTCCTCACCGAACCACCAATCGTCAGTCCTTGACCACCACTGCCGCCTGGTTATGCACCCAACTCTCCTCGCTCTGGTCCAACCATCCGCCCTCACCATCCCAGCCTACTCCTAGCTATCTCAGGGTCCTCGAGCCGGAAAACGACATGCAGCTGGTCACTACCGCCAACCCGAAACCCTAGCACGCTACCTGACCATCATCCATGCGATTCCTCTTGACCTGTCAACACTTCCACATCTGCCGACGAGTCTGGAGCCTCCCTGCCCTTTGACCGCACCACCATGGGAGAGGTTTCGCTGAGGGACATGCCCTTGAACAATGGCTTTTCTGTACCAATACTCGAGCGCCAATCTCTGTGCTTGCCCAGCCTCGAACCTGGCGTTGCAACCCAGTTTGGAGAACACGGCTTCGTCCAGAACCTCACCAAGCATTTCCCCTCCCAAGAGAATAATGCGTTGGAAAGACTCGTACAATTGAAACACCATCTCAAGGCCGCTGACCCCGAGTCTTTCTGGTCGGCGCTGATGGAGGGCGTCACCGATATATGCCATGCCCAATACGGTTTCGTCGCCAAAAGAGTCTTGACCGATGACCACAACTCGGCCATCGAAATGCCAACCATTGGAGACCCTGGCTCTTGTCTGTTGGGTGTCGCTTTCTACTACAACGACGGAGATAAGCAGAGGGCCATGCTTCGCGACTACAAGTATCTCGCCTGGGATGCCCCGTGTAGCTCTATGAAGCACGACAAGGTCTTTCTCATCCCCGAAAACATGAGCACCTTCATCACTCACAACCCCAATGCTTTACCCTTCCCTGCAGAGGGTTATCTCGGTGTGCCATTGTTTCAAGACGGGAAATGCTTTGCTCACTTTGGCCTGATGTGGACACAGGATGGCCTGGACCGACGGGACACTTCATGGGGATTCACCGAGATGCTGCTTCACACTCTGGAGGATCTGATCGTCGACCGCTTGATCAACGGCCCTGGCTTCGCAAAACCACAGTCCATCAAAATGCCCAAACCAGCTCAAGTCGTACCCCGCGAAGCCGTCACTGGTGCCCACTCTCTGAAACCCTTTGCCAAAAATCTGTCCCATGAGTTGAGAACACCAATGCAAGGTGTGGTCGGCATGTTGGATGTAATGCATGCCACAGTCCAAGAACAGATCGAGGGTCATTCCAACTCGGCAGTCCGTACCGTCTTTCAAACATTGAAGGATAATATCGAGACTGTGCAGGACAGCTCTAAGCGGGCCGTTGAAGCAGCAGACAATGTCGTCCATGCTTATGACATGAACATGCAGATCCCTGAAACCCCTCTAAACGAGCACGAATCACCTGCCAACGCAACCACGTCGACCAGCTATTTCGATTTCAAACCACCACGGCTAATCGAGGGCAGTGATATTCACGTGCACAGTTACAAGAGACGTCGAAGCAGTCCAACACCATGGCATTTTGGTAATGCCACAAAAGCCCGCCAAACTGGCTCCGCCTCTCGTTGCGACGTGTCCCCTAAGAGCGGACGGTCAAGTATTCCACTGTCCAGTACCCCGAGAACTACTTCGGACGATCGCATCCCCCTGATCTTTACACCAAACAATGTTGACACCCCAAGTGATCTCACAACCATCACTCCGTCCACAAAACTGTCGGGGGACAGTGATACATTTCCCACGCCGGGTCTGAAGCAATGTCGTATACGAGAACTCATTCCTACGGTAATTCATGATGCCCTTCGCGTTGGCGGCCGTCCAGACTCTGCTATTGGCCAAGTGTTGGATCTCGGCGAGCGCATCATTGTGAGGTCTCGGTCGTCAAACGGACACACGTCCCAAAAAACAATCGAATGGACCCTGACCCAAGACGTGCCGGAGACCCTGTTGGTTGACGAGCGAGATCTGGCAAAACTCGTCTCAGCTGTGTTTCTTAATGCCATCAAGTTCACGGAAAATGGAAGCATCACTCTTTCTGGTCGGCTGTCCAAGACCCGACGCTTTGTCGTCATCAATGTCAAAGACACGGGTGATGGAATCCCTGTTGATTTCCAACCTGAATTGTTCAAACCTTTCTCTCGAGAAGATGACTCCTTGACCAGGTCGAAAGAGGGTCTTGGTCTTGGCCTCCTGGTAGCAAAAGGACTTGCTAGGCGCGTGGGAGGGGACATCATTTTGGTCAGGTCCCAGACTTCCGGGCCCAACAAAGGATCCGAGTTCGAGATCAGGGTTCCGATAGAACCATCTGACAACCCTAGTAGGACGGGAACACCTCGTAGTGTAACTCCGGACCCATCGAGAAGTGTCTCGCGGCCACTTACAAGTGGAAGATCGTCGAGCCCAACATCGCCCACTTCGGCACCTCAACGTCATGCAGCTTCGTCCCGAACCCTTGTTTCCTCCAGATTGGCTGGCGATCAGTCTCATCCCACCGAACCGAGAAGAGTTTTATCGGCTCCTATCACGCCGCTGCGACAGGAATCATATGATAGAAATCTTGCACAGAAACATCCTCTTACCTTTTTGGTTGCGGAAGACAATAAGATCAACAGGAAATTGCTTGTCAGCATGCTGGGCAAGCTAGGATACAAAGATGTGCACGAGGCATTTGATGGCAAGGAAGCTGTGCGAATCATGCGGGAATTGCATGCACGAGCTCGCCGAGGGAGCGGCCCTGGCAATCGACATCGGAAAAACGTCGATGTGATTCTGATGGATCTCTGGATGCCCGAGATGGATGGCTACCAGGCCACGGAGAAAATCTTGCACATGTTCCAGCATCACACACTCGAGGATCGGAGTGATGCCGACAACAACAGCCTTTCAGCACCAGTGGTACTCGCTGTCAGCGCAGACGTGACGGATGAAGCTATCGATCGTGCTACCAAGACGGGAATGGAAGGTTTCATGACTAAGCCATACAAACTGATGGACCTACAAAAATTGATTTTGGAATTTTGCATCAAGCCCGACGGCATAACAGGACAAGTGTAATATGGGTAGGAAAGGTTGGCAGCATCAAGTCTTCATCGAACGGCCGGTTAGAAAGAGTTCTGCGTGCTTGCATGGGTTGGCGTGATGTGGTCTTACGATATTGATGATAATCAGTCCATAGCTAAAGAATTAAGATACCCTTTTATAATAGTCTGATCATGAGAGTGTCTTTTACAAAAGGGACGTCCCTCTTCCGGTGGGCAGGGAATCTCAAAGGCCGACCCCATGCGCCCCGTTCTGCCATTTTACCTGGCGAACCTCCTGATGAACGTGACTTCGCACCAGACCTTATTGTCCTTTCGAAGCGGGTGGTCAGTTAGGGAAACCTCTCTCTGTCTTGACTTTATCCACAGCAAACTGTAGCCTCTTCAACGACATTGTCATTGCCGCGGTTCGAAGGTCCGCTGCCACTACCAACTTGGATTCTGACAACGAGCCAGTCGCACAAGAATTTGCCAATGAATGCGCCGATGATGATGGAGATGATGATGTAGCCGTTGAAGTACATTGCCAACAACATGACGATGTAAGCCACGCCAAACGTAGCCGCGTGCAGCGCAGACCGAATCAACTGTTGCAGTGGTGTGGCCCGGAAGGTCACGAAGGAAGGCGAGGTTTGGCACGCATTCGGAGTAGACTTGAGATCCGTGGATCGAGAAGAGATGTGATTCTGGAATTGGCGGAGGATAAAGGCGTCGTATTCCTTCCCGAGTCGGCGGAGCAGTTCCATGCTGACGACCAAGAAAGCGACGCCTATGCAAGAGGCTGCGAACATTCCGGCACTGGTGACGTGCCAGCTCTCTGCGAGGAAACCTGGTAGTTTCGTCAATTATGTGAGTCTCTCGAAATCAAGTCATCTGAAGCATACACGCATCAATGGTGTACCAATTCCATAACATCTATGGCAGCACAATCAGCAAATCGAACCTCCAAAGATGCGAAACATCTTTCATGTACGGAAATTTTGCAGGAGCCACCTCCCATGCCCATGTCCATGTCCATCGCTGCAGACGTTGTTGCAGCTGCGGCACTCGCAGTGCCACTTGCAGTCGACGACATGCTCATACTCTCCATAGACATGGTCATTGACATCTTGCGAGATGTGACCTGGAAAAGTCTTTGCGCGGTCTGGTTCGGCGATCGAAGTGGAAATGAAGCCCAGATAGGAAGAAACCAACAACGGGCCTCTTTACCACAAAACCAAAAGTTCTCACAATGATTGACGGAAAGATTTCGAGAAGAATAATGTTTGGTGATATCCTCAGCTGATGGTAGCTCGACTCATCCCACGTGGGTCACTCATACTGGCAATTGCCGAATATGCGGGTTGGCCTCAAATCGAGCGACTTTCGAGTCGAACAATTGGCGACCACCGCTGAGCACAAGCTTTTCCCATCGGAGGATTCTGAATGGCTGCAAAGAGGCCAGCCGACGAGATCTGGCATATGGCAAGCAACCTGAACGAGTAATGTGCGCCTTTGATAACCTGCTCATTTTGCTCAAACTTGCTCACCTTGATCTTGGCGCTCCCTTACCGGACTCCATCGGTCCCACTCAAAGGGTCTCAGCGGTCCACCCCGAGCGGTGGTGGCATGCCACCAGGAGAAGAATCTTCGAACCACTTCACAAGGACGAGTAAATGTTTGCGTTTTGCAGGTGTCCAATCCAGATGTCAACAAAATGTCAGCGATGGATCTCTGTGTCACAGTCCAAGGTTTATTCTGGCCGTCGGCATTTGATCGCATATGGAGAAATATATTGCGATCAAATCGGTCGTTGGAAATTTCAGTATTATACAAATGTGCACCAGTCTTCCGTGGTCACATATTGGCAACCGTAGTGTTTGAAGAATCGGACTTTGTGACGGCAGTACACAGAGCTTCGCTCAGCATTTTCTCCCCTGTGGACTTGCACAGCGTTCATTTCCAAACCCAATCTGTTGCGAATCAACATGGCAGCCACGATGAGTTCTCTGGCTGCTCGCCATATCCAAAACATGAGCGAAGCAACATCACTAGAACCACACTGGGGATATGCTGAGAGGGCGAGACCTTGCACAAACGACAAAGGGTCCTGTGAATATCTGGATGTCGTCTACCATTCCCATGATCTCGGGATATGGTACACAGGTATCCTGTGGGCAACGCTGGGCGCCATACTATTCGTTTGGGGGATAGGGCGCCGTTTATACCCTGCCCCCAAAGCGGACAAACATCTGCCTGGACCAGCAGAGGAGACTCTAGCCGTCCAAGGCTCCGTCCAGAGGCTCAAAATGTCCGTATCATCCTATCGCCGACAATTCCTCCTTCCCGAAGCATTTCGACCGGTATTTGGAAGGACAACCCGACTTCAGGTCGTGATCCTGTTGGCCCTGATGGGATACCTCACGATTTGGTCCTTTGTGGGCATCGTGTATAAAACATGGATCACACCTGTGAAGAAGATGGAAGGGGTGTACAACACTCGTACCAGCCTCGGACCATGGTCGGATCGCGTTGGTGTGCTCGCCTATGCGCTGACCCCTCTCTCAGTGCTTCTATCTCAACGCGAGTCGCTCCTTTCACTCATAACTGGAGTGCCGTACCAGAGCTTCAACTTCCTTCATCGATGGCTGGGGTACATCATTGTGGTGCAGTCCGCCCTTCACACCATTGGCTGGTGTATCATCGAGTTGCGGTTGTATCAGCCTCAGCCCACTGTAGGGCTCATGTGGATCAAGCAGCTTTACATGATATGGGGCGTGATTGCCATGCTTTTGCTATTTGTGCTGTTCGTACTCAGCACACCTTGGGCCATTCGGCGATTCGGGTATGAAACCTTCCGCAAGGCTCATTATGTTCTTGCCATGATCTACATTGGCGCTTGTTGGGGTCATTGGTCGAAGCTCAACTGCTATCTCTTGCCTGCGCTCCTGCTTTGGTTCATCGACCGTGGGATTCGACTTGTACGCACTGGGTTGATTCACTATAACTATATATCAGCGACTTCGATGGGATTCCGCAGTGCACCGGCATCAATTACGCACTTTCCGGATGCTGAAAATGGAGATGTTGTCAGACTGGATTTTGTCCACCCCCATCAACCTTGGGCTGTCGGCGAGCACTTCTACCTCTGCTTTCCACAAGTCAGTATGTGGCAGTCTCACCCGTTCACACCTTTGAGCATAGCAGGAGCTGGAGTGAATGGACTTCAGCAGCACTCATATGTCCTGCGGGCCAAGAAAGGTGCCACTAAAGTCCTTGCAGATATTGCCGCCGTCTCGTGCGTTCCTGAGGCGAATGAGAAGACATTGGAGCAGACCGTGGCACCGACCACACCTGTGATCTTGTCTGGGCCCTATGGCGGATCTATTGTGGAGGATGTCCAGCCTCAGACTAACATCCTGTGTATCGCGGGTGGCACGGGGATAACCTTCGTCATCCCTGTTCTCCTTGACCTGATCAAACAACGACGAGTCCCTGACCGCAAGGTGGAGCTTATCTGGGCAGTTCGGAGGGACGGCGATGTGGAGTGGATTAAGCAAGAGCTGGATACATTACGACGCACCAGTAACCGGACCAACCTCAATGTGCGCATATTTGTGACGCGAGAGAATGAGCTCGACGATGTCAATCTCACTTCCCACAGGTCTGAGCGCAAGAAAGCTTTCGTGGAGGACAAAATGGCGATATCCTCGGCATCGTCTTCAACAGAAGAAGACCAGAAAGTGATGGATCCACGTGTGGGATCTTTCTCTGTACAGCACCCTACATCCGTCGAGGGAGGTTCTGAGTCTCGCCATCCAGATCTTGATCGGCTCGTACAGCAATTCCTCAACTCTACTGTTCGAGGTTCGACGACAGTGTTTGCCAGTGGGCCTGGAGGAATGATCTCGGACCTACGCAGCATAGTCGCCCATGCCAACTCTGGGGCCAAAGCCTGGAAAGGCAGTGAGCGACACAACGTCGGACTTGTTTGTGATGACCGGCTAGAATGGTAAACAACAAAAGAGATTATCCATACCGAGGTACTTTAATCAGATTAGATTAGATCAGATGCCCTTGTCCAAGCCATGACGTAATCTCGTTCCCCAGATTCCATGCCAGGCGTCCAAGCCACACCTGACGCCACCTTTCACCTTTCACCTTCATTCACAATCAACGATCACATACCAGGTTGCCCTCTACTTGGATTTCTTCACAAATCAAACGGTAACCCACCAACATCATATTCGGTGCAATAATCATCGCTCTGGATCTTTAGTTCATGACTGTCCTTGCGCTAACCACAAATTCTAAATCATCGTTGGATTCAAAAACCAATCTGCTCTGAACCGACCTCCAGGCAACCAAATACACAAGCCCACTTCGAAACACACAGCGAGTCCAATTTTAAACCATGCCAACTCCAATCGATCGGGCTTTGCAGTCTCGTGTACGTGGCATCTTCTCTTCCTCTGTTCCAGATTTTCTCCTTCTTCCTTCCGCTGCTTTAAATTCAGCGGGTCATCGGAGCTGAGCTGCATAGTTTCGTGACTTACTGACAGTATTTCAATTGAGCAGAATCTATTCTTCGGTGAGCTCTTCCAGAATCAAGTCTTCTTCTCTTTGCATATATCTCCCCTGTCCCTCAAGCTCAGTCCAGTGGCAAGCTGGGCATTTGGAGATCGCATACTCAGCCTGGTGGTCGATCCAAGCTAATTATATGTTCCGTATCTGTGTCTCGTTCCGACCACACAGAGAGTTGGATCATCATGTTAACGACGGCCGAATGTGTTGTAGGCTTTGCCGGAATAGTCACAGCTGCCTCGCTATGGAATATCTTTGGAGGTGACATATTTCCTGCAGAGAAGGATCCTACTGGGGGTAAGCATTATCCTTCGCCAGCAAATGCCCCACTCTGTGCTCCAGGCTGACAACGCGTGCCTAGACCCAACCACGTGGACAGAGACCGAACTACGAAGGTGGTTGAAGGCTGTGAGTATTCCCTGCCATTCGATCATTGTTGGGCCGAGCAGACTTGATCAACCCTGTGGACCAGGTTGCTGATGTGCATCACATGGCTAGCGCAATTTGACCGCAGACTCGAAGTTGACCAGAGGAGAGCTCATTGAGCGCGTCAAGGCAAATCTGAAAATCTGATAATGGTCAATACCATTTGTTCAGGCGTGGCAAGACGTACCAGATAACTGGCCTACAACAACAAGCCCCAACTGTGTGGAAGGAGATTGTCCAGCTTTGGACATGGGCCCCGCAATAACATTGCTGCGTGGAGGTCAAATGTTGTTCCAGTATGCAGGAAACAGCTTCATGTTATTGGTTATTCGTTATTTTGCGTTTAGTGGAAGCAGGTCACGTTTGAGCCAATCTAGAAGGTGCCCAGACCTGCCACTTCATTGCTACACAACTGGCCTACGCCAATCCTCATTGCAACCGCCATTGATAAGAGTTTCCATAAACTTCGTGCTACCACTATTTCACTTACATGGCCTGGCTCTCACCTGGAGCATCCATGTTGAGCACAAATGCAACCAAAAAAAGAGACCTAAGCTTTGAGCTGAATTTCTTAAAAAAAAAATAGGGCTTTATGTTACTCTGATGGAACACCATCTGGACTGGTCTAAGTTTAGCTTTAGCCTGCCGTTGCTTCAACTTCTAAAGATATCTGGACCAGCGCTGATGAACGCCAGTGACTAGATCTTCAGCCTTTTTTTCTGCCCGGCAAAATCTGACCTATTTCGAATCCTTAGAGAACCAATCCTCGACCAAAGTACGAGTCGACCGTGCTGTTCTCCGTACCAGCTTATCATTACGGCCTGTTCAGCGCGTTTCCTAGCTACATTAATCTTAAGATATATCATTAGTAATCGCTCGACTCTCTCCAAGGGATTTTGCAATGTCACGAACCTCAGGACCTCGCTATAAATGGGTATCAGTCTCAGCGAGCCCTACAGCTGACTAGCCTGTCGTCCATTGATGCTGGTCTGAAAGCCGTGCTGACATCCTCGTAGGTTGAAAGCTCATAAGAGCGCTGCGCCTTCCCCTTACGCCCATTGGAGCAGCAAAAGGGTATGCGTTGATCTTTCCTATGATCCTTTGAGATTGCGTGATCTTGTGCCTGGGGCTCCTATTCTGGCAAAAGCGACTACCTTTATCAGAAATGGACTACGGCAGCAAGACGCTCGTTTTCCGTGCCCCAGCAGATCCAGGGGAATCTCGTACCTCAAGGGCAAACCGCTTATCTCGTATCAATCTACATGCTGCGATGCTCAGACACGCCAATCAGAAATTGTGCAAGAAGAAGGCTTTGGATACAGATTTGGGGACGTGAAACTGCAACACGGAGGTATGTAAACGAGTAGCCTTGTTTCATGCATGACGCTGATCTATCATGCCAGAGTCTGGGTAGACGTTTTGAAAGTAAGACGATTAATGTACACCAGACCAAAATTGGACTGACGGAAAGATAATGGAGTGTGGATGATTTGGATGACATATTTGACGAACTGGATTCTTCCAAATCTCTCAACGAGGAAGTAGTTCAGTTTGCTTTGGTGGATACTGCATTCAAACCACATTCGAGCGTGTGCTCTTCCCATACCTGGGGGTGTCGTAGCTACTATGGTCTAAATCCGTCTCACTGCCAGGTGTGTTCTGTCCAGACAGTGAACCGGACTATTCGCCTTCAATCAGTTGCCGATGTGCATTCCAACCAGAAGTCAAAAGCTTCTTCGTCCAGAACGTATTCAGACCACAAGAATGAAAACAGTAAATCTGACAAACTTTGCCACTCATGTAGTCTGGGATTGGCTTCAAGCAGTAGGCAGAAAATGTCACGATACCAGTCCTGGTCTTCGTTGCACTTGCCACTGATACCTCCAAGCATGACTGACCACACAAGCCAGCTTGAGTGATAGACCGCCATGGAGCTGTCCATTCTCAATAAGCAATCGAGCGCAGCTCTAAGAGACTTCGTCAGACGAGCTTGAATGCCACTGATAGGAGGCAGCGGGTAAACCACCATGTTGTTGTAGATGAGAAGTGACAGCCGAACAATTTCGTACACACAATCTGAGAAAGCGGCGTTGGCAAAACCAGAGGTGTCGCATCTGTCGCGTTCGTCCAGGTCATCGTATGCCTCGGGAATTTCTAAGGTGTCAAATACTGAGGGAAGGCTCAAAGTAAGGTGTTGAGCCCTGTTCCTAGACTCGACTAAGGTAACTATAGAAGAGTCTGGCTGGTCGTCCTCGATGTATACGCGGAGTAACTCTGTTGTGTGAAAAACAGCGGCAATAGCCCTCTGAAGACAGTAAGGCCGTGCAATTTTCGCCAACAAAGGGTCAAAGGCAGATAGTTGTTTCCCCGCAATTAGGCTATTTTTAGCGTTTTGAATAGGCCAGCAAATGGCTGGCAGTGGCTCCGAAATACTTTCCCACTCTAGGAGCGGCTTTGACATGTTTCGTGATGCGTCCACGAGGTCGTTCCTAGAAAATATAAGCATGCTTGTAGACATCGAGTTGCCAACTTAAAACCTTCACTCACAATTGGACAACACCAGCGAGGTATAAGGAGCCGAGTTTCGAAAGCCCACCGCGCAGCCTCACCAATTGCACGACTGCCATCCGATGTGCCTGTAAGAATGGCATTGCTCCCCACATATCAATGCTCTGAAATGTGGCCAAAGGCGAATGAAACCTTGAGACAGGGTGAGAGCTCTGACTGATGACTTTGATCTGATGGCAGGAGGCCAATGCCAGTATTGATCCGATCAATTCATCGCTCACAAAATCAGGGCCAGGTTCTTCAGGCATCAGCTGTATGGCTTTGCGCACTAGCTTTGTAGCTGCGCAAAGATGTTCGGCCCGTAGAGCACAATATGTTGACATTGACGATTCTCTGCTCAACAGGTAGTCAATGTTGGTTGAAATGACCAACGTGTATGTGTAACAGGCTAATGGTGAGCTCCTCATATGAGTAAGATATACATTGTTGACAGGATTGGTTACCCCGTAACATCGATCTGGGGACAAGCATGACCAGAAGGTTTGCACAGCTGTGCCAATTTAGCGAAAGCAGGGGGCAGAATGCGAAAGGAGACATACCATGATCTACCAAAGTAGGAAAGTGGCTTGCAAAAGAATCTACGGGGTATTGTGCAAATGGATCTATGCGGCCCTGGTCAAGGTAGTTCGTCAAATTACCAGTTGCGTCCCGGTACAATATCTCCATCCAATTGGAAATCTCTTCCTGATTGCTAGATTTCTTTCGTTGATGCCCATATGTTGTTCGGCTTCGAGTCTGTGTTCTTCTCACAAGCGATTTAACAACGCCTTGCAAAGATTGAAACTGTTTCCCGGACGAAATATCGGTAAGAGCCAACCATCCACCCGGCTGAGTTCCATCAGGGCGGCCGTGTATTACTTTTCCATGCACTCTTCTTTGATCGTGAAGGGTGGCCCACATGCTTTCCAAAGAATGGAAAGGCTTTTTGGCCTCGGGTGCTTGAATAGAAGCCTCTGAACCTGCCGACTTCTGCTTACGCTGAGAGGGTTTTGATCGATTGCGGTGGTATTTCCCGACGTGTGATTGAACAATAGTTCTGCTAGCTTGATCTCTCATCTGGCTCGGGTGGGCAAAATTGACGAACGCGAACACTTTTCTTTCATCCTCAGAAACCCATGCTCCAGACATCTCGACAAGTACTTTCCAGAAGAGGAGTACTTGATAGGGCTCAATCAATGCTGTGTATAGTAGCATCAGCAAGTTCGCGAGACCAGGCCAGGGGCCAGTGCTGCATGAGTAAATGAGGCTTGGAAGTGCATTTGAACCGTCGTTAGGAAATGGCTGAATGATACAATTAACGTACTGAACCAGGGCACTGCGAGGTTGAAGTTGCTCCACGCTGCTGTTTCGTGATTAACAAGCTTGCAATAAGGCAGATCTCAGACTCTTCAAGGATCAGGCTTGCCAAGAATTATTGTTCACCTAGTCGATACGAACA